GATCCTGTTATCTATTTCCAGAATATGCAAATACAAAACTTTAGCATTCATTCTGTATCTTCTAATCATACAGAGCAAACTAAAACACATTCTAATAAATTTCAACGTAAGTTAAATAACATGTCAAAAAAAAAAAAAAAATGCTGCTTTACTAAATATAATTTCTCTACACAGAATATAATTTTACGCCATTTCAAAATGACACTTGTAATCAATTAAACCCAAAAAGTTTTAACCTATCAATTATGAATGAAGCATGTGATATTCAAACACAAAAAAAACATAATATTCCTTCTAATACATTCAATACACCTATATCCTCCAACGCAGCCTCACATTATTTCCCAGTGAATGATACAGCTAGTAATTCCAACATACCTGGTCCGGTTAATAATCACCCTATATATCCTTCTCCTACCAATAATGATCATTGCGTTTCAGGCCATAGTTATGACCTTCATCAAAATATGTATATACTAGATTCTCATTATGATTTAACAGACTTTACAAGTTCTACCATGTCAACCCCGATGACACCCGTTAGCCCCTCAATAGCCGCTCCTCTTTGTGAATCTGAAACTCATAATTCTGATCAAACACATATTCTAACAGAGAATATGGCATTTACTTCTAATATTTATTTACAGCAAATACAGCCTTATACATATGATTCCATATATCCTCCTACTACTACTTATTTATATACATCAGCCATCCCAACAAGCAACTTCGTATCCTCTGCCCCTCCAGAGACGAACAAGATGATATTTCAATTTGATAATTCTAACCTATTAATAAGTAATAATATGTTATTTTAATCATCATCAAATAATTTAGCAAGTTTGTTCTATTCACAACAACAGCTATACCTATTGAATGTAAATATGTACATGTATAAAGGATTTATTTTATTTTATTTCTATTTATTTTTTTTTTTTTTTTGCAATCATTACATAAAATCTTTGTTGTTTAAAGTGTTTATCTTTTGTACAATCGTATTAATTTTTCCAGATTTGTATAACATGTTTCACCCAAAATGATTTACTGCCACAAAAGTTAATTATACTACCATTCAATGTATCATATATTATGGACATATCTTATGTAATCAAACTACGCTTTTATTTTATTTTTATTTTTATTTTTATTTTTATTTTTATTTTTATTTTTCTTTCTCCGTTGATCTGTTTACTACCATTAGAAACAACAACAAAAAAAAAAAAAAATACATATATATATTTATTCAAATATATGCACGAGGAACTAATTCAAATAAAATGATAACCAAAAAGGAATTAAAACGATTATGATTGGTAGTTTTGGTGTATCATCTATAAATATATTTATATAAATATTTATAAATATTTTCAAATATTATAATTTTTTAGGTAATTCATTGCTATTTTAGATATATAGCTAGATTAGACTACTAAGAACCTGCTTTACTTTGACTTGTTATAAAATGAGTAAAGGAGAGAAGTGATGAGTAAAAGAAGACAAGAAAAGAAAAAAAAAAAAAAGAAAAAAAAAACAGATTTCTTCTAAAGACACTCATTTTTACTGTTGTAATTTCAAATAGAACTTTTTTTTTTTTTATAGGTCTAGCCCCTTTTTCTATTTTTTATTTATTTATTTATTTTTTACCCCAATATTGAGGAAAATAATATACATATTGTATAATGCCATTAAAAAAAAAACAAGTGCGCCCCCAGAAGAATGCCATTTTTTTTTTAAGTTTAAAAGCAGTTAATAATAAAACGTATAAATCAGCGACGTATTAGTTTTGCAGAATGATAGGAGCAAATAGCAGAGTATAAGCTCTCAGGTAATCCATTCATGATTTTTTTTTTTAGGCAATACAAGTATTCGTATTAAAAAGCTTATTCAATATATAGAATTTTAGAAATAATTAATATTAATATTATTGTTCCTTTTTTTTTTGTCTAGGAATATGTTTTTTTTTTAAAAAAAAAAAGAATAAAGTAAAAAAAAAAAAAAATCGCTTTTATAGTCTTCTATGAGCATTAGTGTAGATGCAATGCATTTTTTCTGTTTTTTCCTCAATATATCCTGCAATTTTGTTATCGTTTAGATCTAGATCATAAATTTGAGGCTCAATAATGAATTAAATTCACCAGCTTCTAGAATTCAAAAAAAAAAAAAAAGTTTTTTTTTCCCTCTTAGTATTCTATTCGTAAAATAACCTGTCATCTCAACCATTTTTGCTATAAAAACGACGTATTTAACACATTTAGATATATTCATGCCAAGAAAAAAATTTTTTTTTCCCTGTTGCTTGTATTAGTATAATTCATGTTTTAACACACCGTGAATGATATGCAAAAAGTAGAAAAAAAAAAAGTTAAAAAGTCGTAACATTATCTTCAATTCTAAATGAGCCGTTTTTATTTTATTTTATTTTGTTTTTTTGGGAAGGGAGATTCATTAATAACATTATCCTTTATGTAAAGAAAACAAAGAATGCATGGAAGAATATCATGAATATGCAAAAGACAATTTATCCAAGAAAGGGACTCAATAATCAATTGCTTCTTACAGACTAGAATTGTATAAAAGTCTGGAGAAAGTGATTATCGATATTGCATGCCAAATACAGAAATGATAAAAGAATACAATTTTTTTTTTTTTTTTTTTTTTTTTTTTTTTTTTTTTTTTTTTTTTGCTTAACTGTATGATTTTCAAGTTTCTATATAATTAAATTTCTGCAAAAAAAAAAAAAAAAAAAAAAAAAAACAGAAAATTTATTCAACTCATCAATATCTGACATTTTATAAAAGATACAACAGTTCTTCTGAATAATATATAACTATCCATAAAAGATTTAATATTAAGAGATTATAGAATACTTTTTTTTTTAATTTACTGCCAAAAAAAAATATACATTGATACATGTATTTAGAAGATACATAGTACATGTAATTAAATCCTTCAAATTCACTTTTATTAAACATTTTAAATCGCGCTTAGAGAAGAACACAGCATACATTCAAATCGTTTAATAAAGTAAAAAAAAAAAAAAAAAAAAAAAATCTTTGTTCTCTTTAATCCTTCAAAACCAACTTATGCTACATATCGACTAAATTAAACATAGTGTGTACTTTATGATTAGTAGATAAAATAGGAATAAACATGCGCTAGACAGTAAGCGCCAAACAGCAAGTGAAAAATAAATAAAATAAAAATTTTAAATGCTTATCAACTAGAACTCCGAAACACGTCAAGTAATTTGAGATAGTTTGATCTTGAACGATAAAACAATTCAGAATCTTCTTATGTCTTCTTCTTTATAATAGCTACAAGCATCTTTTATCTCAACTTCTATTATAATCGGTCACTATTAAATAAAGAAGGTGATGTGTACCTATTTAGTTTATATTTATTGTATTTTGAAGCTGTTAGACGTAAAGACGATTATAATGCATACCCTTTAATATATTTATTATAATAAGCAAAATGTCTAAAACATATGGACTATTTTTATTACTACTATATTATATAGATATGCCAGAAAGTATTTGAGAACAGATTATGCATATATATAAACAAGAATAGTTCTGAGTGAAAAAGATGAGTGAGTAGGTGAATGGAGAGAGAACAAGAATATGTCTATAATTATGTATATGTATATATATATGTATATATATATATGTGTGTGTGTGTATGTGTGTGCTGGCTCATGGAACAATAAAAAAGGACGTCAATGACTAGAATCAAGAATATTTGGCTTTCAAAAAAAAAAAAATACTCTCAGCAAAATAGTGTTGCATTGAAGACAAGCTTATAACGACGATGGAGCGGGAAAAAAAAAAAAAAAAAGAGTTCTCTCCTCATCTCTAATTCAAAAATATTTGAATAGCATGATTTTAAATATTAAGGAGAATTATGACACATACAAGTCTGTACAAGCAAATTAATCGATAAGTAATCATCTTTTATCTATAAAGATTCCTTGTAATCCATTCTTAAAGCACTTTATTGAATAACAAGCAAATCCATTAAATACGGGTTCCTTGAAGGACATACATGTATTTGAAAATAAATTCTATTCATAATTAACTCAATAGAATGAAGCACAGATAAATTAAAGGAGAACAAGAAGGTATTTATAGTTAAGAAACCCTCATCCTTTTTTTTTTTTTTAAAAAAAAAGCACAATATATTACGACATCATTTTGTATATAGTATATAGAAACAATAAAATAAAGCAGAAATGGATTTTTTTAGAGGAGAAATTAGGTTGTTAGCATACTGAAACATTATGAAATCCAGGAGAAGTGTGTTGTTCTCGTTGTTGATGATAATGAAAGGACTTTTGTGTAATAGGGTCAACAATAGGGATTGCTTGAGTCATTAATGGTGGCAGATATAAATTGTGATTATAATAATGGTAGCTATTGAAATTGTAGTTTATACTACTATCATCCATCTTCATATTACTATAGGATGAATTATTAGAAGAAAAGTGACTGTTCCACTGCTTTTGGGAATAGCTATCTTGTATAGGTGGTATAGCAACAGGAACCATATTCGTAGGATTTATAATAGGAATGGCTTTTGTTGTGGATACAGTATTTTTAGGAATAGTGGTACTGGGTGAACTTGATTTCGACGGGAAAAGCAGGTTGGTAGAAGGACATTGAATATACTGCATTTTTGGAGAAATACAATAAGAGGACTGAGTATGTATTACCATGAAATTTGGAGATGATTGAGGTGAAGTTCGTCTTTGAATTCTTTCTCGATCTTCGATAACCTTTATAGCTTAATGAGCAAAAAAAAAAAAAAAAAATACAAAGGAATGGTTTTTATATTATATATAAAATTACCTCATCTAAATGAGATACAGGGCAAAATTCATAATCATCATAAAAATTCCGTGCTAATTCATTTTCCGTTCTAAAGCGTTCTAGTCGTACATCTACGTATTTTATTTTATTTTATTTTAAAAGAATAAAATAATACCATATCAATTAAATAAACAACAAGGTTGTATTCTCTCTCTAGTAACAACTTACTTGTTGATGAAGATGCTAATGAGACTAAATTATTGGTAAGCATATTTCGTTATATAAATAATATATGAATAAGAAAGAAAAAAAAACGAAATAAAAAAAAAAAAAAAAAAAAAAAGATATTAGTAAATCGTCTGTGAATATAAACACAAAAGAAAAATATAAAAAGGATTTATGCAGCAGCAGAAATAAATAAATAAACAGACAAATAAAAACAAGGGAGAATAATAAAGTTCTACAAGTCATTTGAGAAAAAAAAAAATAGAGTTACACCATTAAACAGTGAGGGATACACAAAAGTTACATATTCTTCACTACATCAAAAGACGCACAAGCTAAGCTTACTTTATAGATGATAATAAAATAAATCCTTTATTGCACAACATTAAATAGCTTCTCTAAAAGCAACTAATTTTTCTCCCTTTAATTGACCTATATAAAGAAAGATATTAGTTAAAAAAAAAAGTATATATTCAATAATGTCGCTTTACTCTCTTTATCAACAATATAACCGCCAGCAACATCACAATCCTTCAAAGAGGCTTTTTCTTGGATATTCGCATTATTACAGATAATACAACCATCAATCTTAACACTATAGAATAATCAAATTTAATTAATCCACATGTTACAAGCTTTACCTCCTTATACTTACTTATCACCAATAACCACATGGTCCATGATAACTGAATTAGCAATCTTTACATTCTTTCCAATAATACAATGTGAACCAACACACGATTTCTTGACTGACGACCTTTCATCAATCTTTGTGTATTCTCCAATAACTGAATCGTTACCAACTTGAGTTCTAGGTGCAACTTCTGAACTTATGGGCACACGAGTAATCAATGCTCCTTGTTTTGTTGCCTACATATATATATACACACACACACATAGATAAGGAGGAATGAAATCATATTATTATTACTTTAACTTACATAACGATTCAGTTCACTATAACTAGCTGTTGTGTTACCACGACCACAAAAACCTCCACGATATATATGAACATAGGTCTTTATAGGACTCTTAAAGCTCGAATGGATAGGATCATCCTTTACTATTTCTTCTTCCATATCAGCTGTTTGCGTTGTAGATAACGAAAGTGCGTTTGCAAATAAATCATGATAAGTGGATGAGTCTAATATTATACACATGTGTTAATATTTAACCTTCTTTTTTTTTTCCTTAAATAATCTATTACATTTTGTAATTTGTTCTCTTTCAACTAACTTCTTCTGATATTGACATTTCACTAGCATAGGTATCAAATCTTTAGAAATACTTGTAATGTATTCTTTATCCACAACAATATCCAAAACCCATTTTTTAAAAATATATAAATGAGCATCTTGCAAGTTGGTATGAATTCTAACTTTTGGAAATCTAATAAAATTATAAGCTCATACGGACAAGAAAAATTCAAAAGAAAAAAAAAATGCAACTTACTTGTTTAATAAAGATAAACGCATGGAGAAATCTTCATCTTCAGAACGGAGTGCCTTATAAACAAGTGCATTACGTGTAGGGTCAATACCAACATAAGGCAAAAGATCTAAAAAAAAAAAAAAAAAAAAAAAAAAAAAAAAAAAAAAATTAGTTTCCTTTTTCTTTAAAAAAAAACAATTTTATATTTTATAAAGATACCTTCATCTTTGCTAGCACTTTCAGTTGAGCCAGGTTCATAAAATAATGCACTGAATGTAGGATCATTAACTCTATGTGCATCAAATAATTCTTTAGGATTAAGTTCTGTAATAAGATCACATGGAACAACAATGAAATCTCTCTACATGTACATAAATAAAAAAAAATTAATACTGATAATGTTGTAATTTATTGCGATCCATACATCAATTTTATCTTTAATGGCTCTTAAAGCATCTGCAGTTTCATCATCTTCATCAACACTAACAACTTGGCAATGCACATTACCAGGATATGTTCTGAGATAGGCTGAAAGTTTTTGTGGTGAATTACTCGTAGCTTGAATAACAACGATGATGTCTATTTTTGCACTCTATTACTTTAGTCTTGAATATTTATAATAATAAATATATCCCAATAGCCCCCACCTCTCTTCTTTATTTTTTATTTTTTCTAAAAATAAAATAAAATAAAATAATCATACCATTCACACCAGCTTTTTCAAGCCATTCTAACGTATATGAGATCACCGGTTTATTTCCAACAGGAAGCAAAGCTTTTGGTAAGTTATCTTCTTCTGAAATGGGATAAAGTCTGGAAACAGCATATAATTGTCCATTAACAAAAAAAGGACTAAAGTATTTATTTTATATATAGCATACCTATTGCTACTACCATAACCTCCGAGAATAACTGCCTGAAATTCACTTATACGATGATGGTGATGATGTTTTGGTTTTTCAAAAAGCATATTCTATCTATTGTACAATTAACGCGCTTTAACACAAAAAGTTGAAGAAAAGAAGAATAAAAGAAAAAAATCAACGTAGCCAGTCACGCAGTGACTTTTGCTTTTTAGGTTATTGAAGTAGAGGGCTTTTTTTTTTCGAATTTACAGCGCTCACAGCACCAAATGACAAATTTTTTAAAACGCAATCTGCAATTTTTTTTTTTTTTTTCGTGAGTAATCTTGCTGCTTTTCAATATATAAATGTGTATACATGTGTATGTATATGAATATATATATATATATATATATATTTTACAAAAATAGTCAAGACAATATTCTTAATAAACAAGAAAATGAGGCAATGGATTGGAAGGAAGATGTTGATTCTTACCATCTAGGAAATTTAACGAATATAATGTGGTACAGGGAAGCTCAAATTTCTGAACTAGATGCTCATGATCTAGCCCTTGAGCAAAAAAAAGAAAAAAAAAAGATGAAGACAGCTGGAGTTTATAAAAGAGAGGTTAATCTCTCCCAAAAACTCTAGCTTCTAAAGGTACAGAGTAGTGGGGTCATTACCTAAACTTTATTTCGAAAACGCTAGATTATATGGATAAAGTACTTGAAATGAAAGAATTTTATCCTTGTTATGGATAATGCGCCAATTTATACCTCTAAAGAAGTTGAGAATATAATTATAGCTCAAGGTTATAGATGTGTTTATCTCCTCTCTCTCTCTCTCTCCCTCCTCCTCCCTCCTTACTTTCTCGAGCTCAATCTTATAGAGCAATTTTGAGCAAATGTCAAAGACAAAGTAAGACGTAATTATTTTAATAAAAAGGAGGATTTAAGGAACAAAAATAGTTGAAGCCTATAATAATATCCTGTCAAGTCATATTAGAGACTTTATTTAGCATTCTATTGATATGTTTGGAAAATGCTCAAGCGATGAATCTGTATAATACTTATAAGCTTATTCCTCTAAATCAATAAAAATTGTCATTTGGCACTATGAGCACTATGCGAAATGTCTTCAACTGAGATTAGTAGTTGCTTATTAGGAAAAAAAATTTTTTTTAAAAAAAAAAAAAATACATATATAACAGGATAGTGTATCCATCCTTGAATATCTTTTAAAATAAGAACCCATTATTATTAATTTAAGAATATGGACTATATAAAAGGGATTTTTTTAACACTTTACCTCATCATTGATCAGAAGCACACAAGAGGATTGAATAAAACTGAATATGTGAAAAGGTATATATATATATATATATATATATATATATATATACTCTCTTTTCTTAGAAACATGTCTTACTATTGCAAGGCTTGTGTATAGGAGCATTATCTATTATAAGATGGAAGTTTTTCACGGTGGATTTATCCAATATGTCTATTATATTAATTTAAATAAGCAAGGACATTTTCAGCTCTTGTTCCAATTTTTACCGTTCTTTGAACACACTTTCCAAAAGATTTTCTTTTATTGGAAACTGTTAATAATTATAATGCGTCTTTTTTTTTTTAGAAAAAAAAAAGAAACTTCTGATGGGCAAAAGGAAAGAGGAATAGAGAACGGTATCTACAGATACTAGATGAATTACTGCATAACCATTTGATTAATTCAGTAATAAGAGAGGAGGGGGGGAAGGGAAGAGTTTCAAGAAGAATATTATCACGGTGAAGGTAATCAAGTTTAAAGAGTATGTTACATATTTTAAGTCAGCAAATAACCCATTTAAAAGTGGAAGAACTATTTCGTGCGATAAGTGATGTGCTATGTTTACTAGGAAAATAATTGAGTAGAGAATAGGTGACGTTTCAGCCACAGTGCTAGATAATTGTAGTTAGTAGTGCAAGCATATTTAAATTGGCAGTATCATAATAATAAGACCAAATAGGCTTGTCATTTGGATAAATAATAAAAGGTTTTGGGGATACCACCAGGCAACCCACCGAGACATCAGTGTAAAGCACAATTACGCTCAGCCTGAGTCATCGGTGACCAAAGAATAGGAACAATAATGTATATCGGAAAACAGGCGGATAAAAAAACCCCGAATGAGATGAATAGTATCGTCTATTAAACTATTCATTTAGAAGATCTCGATAAAATAAATTGAAAGGCAAAATAATAATCAATAGCATCAGTAGTGAGTGTACATAATTGCCATAAGGGTTATTTGGATAGTTTATACCACTAAAAGTTCTTGGCTGAAGTACGTAAAAAAGAAAGAAAAGGCATGAATTTGAATTAATAGTGTTCTCTCTAGGAGATTTAAGGAACAAAAATAGGTATTTCGCTTGTAACAGATATACTCATTCTTTTATTGCGAATTTGTGAACTAGGTAAAGTATCACCTGTTTGGAAAAGCGAGGGACACTATCCAAAAATGCGTCGAAGCAGACATTGATTTTGACAAGATCGAGGCTTCTTTAAAAGAGCAGCAGAGATAGAATTGATAGCCCGGACCATATTCAAGTTTGAGGTCGGATAATTTGAACATACAAACCTTCAGAAAGACGAACGAATCCTTTAGAGATAACACTAAATGATACCATTTGATTCGTTGTTTTGAGTGCTTTGCTAATATTTATTTTACATCAGTTCTTTAGTATTAAGTGAGTCACTAGGACTCATGGTAAGATGTTCAAATAGGAAAAAGAATTTTGTTGAGGGATGATAGTACCATACAAAGAGTAAGAATGGTCATCTGAAGTAGGAGCTAAAATAACACACTTTAATAGGCGCCAACGGTGGCCTAATTGGCAATTGCGATATTTGCATTATCTTAATAAGATATCTAGCTGTGACAAAGTAGTAATAAGAACAATATCATCAACATAAAAGGAGACAATAAATAGCTAAAGCAAAACTTTGGAAGGGTATGTCTCGATCTGATATCAAATAAGAATTCGACGAACATCAAAATATGGTAATCATAGTCAATTACCCTTTACTTATCCTTAGATTGAAAGAACCTGAGCAAGTAATATATATATATAAAAGGGGAGGATTTCAACTTATTTATATACTTTTTCATGATCTATGAATTGACTAAGGGCATTATATATTTCATCAACAATACTAAAAATTATTCCGCCGTAATTAATACTTCATTTTCTATTCCTCTCTGATCTCAGATAACTCTGTATACTTATATATGTATTAGCCCATCATTTAAAATTATAAATAAAAAAAAAATCGACTTTTCTTGCAACTATTGACTGATCTCGTTGACTTTAGTAGTCTTTTTATAATTTTCTATTTATTTTTATTTTGATATCTTAATAATAAATATATAAAAAAAAAATAAAAAAAAATTATAAATATCAGAAAATTATTAGTAATTTTATTTACTCATCAACTTTATGTCAAAAATAAATACAAAAACTCATTCATGAAACTTTACACAGACAACACAACCGTTCTAAAATTTGTTACAAAGTCAGAAGGTACATCTTCAGCAAGATTACAATAAAGTAAAATAAAAATACAGCAATAAGATCTATGTAATAAAAATCAATAATTTGATGGTAAGATATTAGTATATATCAGGAGTGAAAAATAAATGAATATCCAAGTTGATTATCCGATAAGCAGACAGACAATACAACGACCACTATACAAAGCAAAAATACTGAGTTCTATTTTCAACAAGATCCAACAGAGATAAGGGTCCTTTCAAAATAGATGCTTTCGCATCACGTACTAATGACGACAATTTTGGAACCTAAGACTAGATCTAGCAACAGTAGCAGATATAGATACATTTAGCGAGACATAAGAGACGAAGGGAATATACCTGCTCCCCATCTTGGAAATGTATTTCATAGGTACTACAACAATGAATGAGACAGAAAAATAAAGGTAACAGTCATGATAATACCATTTTGAACGACACAACATTGGTTTCTGATGTTATTATTAATGAAACGAAAGGTGCAGACAAATGCTGTTCAAAATTAATCAATGTAGGATGGCCACCTGAAAATTATCAAGAATAAAGGAGGAAGGAACAAGCTATGAAAGAAGATGAGACAGTATTCTTAGAATGTGTCATATGTAAGAACAAAATGAAGGCATATAATGCTTGATGGAGAAAATATAAATTACGGTATTAGCAACCATATCCTGCAGCTGATCCACAAGAATACGATATACACCGTATTTCTCACATTTCTCATAAATCATCAGGACTACTCAGAACAGCATTTTAAATGGAATTATATCAGTTATTGCTTTAGTTTTCAAAACAATTCTTCCTATAGTTTCCCCCCCCCTCCCCTCGATTGCTCAACAAGAAGGAAAAAGACATCAAGAAATACGAATTTCAAAACAAGCTGATTAAATTACTTCGGATACGAATATCCTCATTAATTTATTAAAAATTACATGGGCTAACTATAGAAACCTTACTTTAACTAAACTACAATTAAAAACACTTTTTACTTTTATACCTGGCGACAATGAGGAGACCAAAGTCAGAGATACGCATACTTCAGTTTCAGAATATAGATATAACGTTAAAGGATCAAAAGGTAAGCTCAGTAAGGTTACTTTCTCCCTGAGGCGAAAGAAACAAATATAGAATCTACTCGGCTTGTATTAACTGAAGATGATGGTTTTATATTTTATTACTACTCTGCACTTCTACATTTAAAAGACCATAGAGATTAGAGAAAACTTACCTAAAGATTACACATTTTTTTTAACATATTTAGACGACAGCAAGAAAGAAATATTATTAGGAAGATCACCCACAGTAGTAAATTGGTCGAAAATAGTAATGATTAAAGCTAGTATTGTACAAACATATGTAAGTCTCCTTCAATAAGAGAAACCTTTAGAACAAAAGCAGTCGATCGAGATCATATTATACAAAACGTAAAACAGCAAACTCTCTTTGAACAATACTACTTTAAACCAACAATACAACAAATCAGAGTCAACGAGAATTGTTCTAGATACGATTAACAATACAAATGTTGACGAAGCGAGATCTAAGAAAAAAAAAAAGTAGTAAAATTTCCTAATTAATATAGTTCATTTTTTCAAAAGTAATTAGTAATTAATATTATACTTATTATTTCATCCCATCCTTAAAAAAAGATGGAGTGACTTGTAATATGTAAAAATATATTTATATGAAAATTATGCATCATTACACATGAATATTGAAAATTCTGGGAAATGTATTTTATAATAACAATAATAATAATAAAGGAATAAAACTAAAAATATAAGGTTAATAACCAAGGATAATTACTTAAACATTGATTACATAGTGTTTAATAATTTACATTATTCTGTTTATCAGATCTTTACTGCATTGTATTATTCTAGCTCTGATACAATTCATGTAAAAAATGTAAAATAAAAAAAAAAAGATGTACAATGTTTCTATTTAATGAAACAAAAACAAAAAAGAGCTTTGTATGTCAAATACAGATTTAACTCCATAAGCCCCCTTTTTTTTTTTTCTTTAGAGAGCATAGCCTGAATTCAAGTATAATATCTAAAATGCTCTAACTTTCAAAAAGAAAAAGACCAAAAAATTCATGTATATAAAGAAATATTATTAAATGAAATAATGCACTTTTTTAGAACTTTTGTCCGTAATGCAGGGTGCTTATCTAATCATATTTCTTCTTTTTTGAGCTTAACGTTTCTCCGGAATTTTTTTTTCCTTTTAATAATCCAAAGAACTTGATCATTCCGAATATTATCAATAAATGAATAAGGTAATCTATCCATTTCTTTCAGTGACATCTTTTGTTTAGCAGATGATTTTTCTTTCTGTAATATATACGTATGCTTCGTGCATCGAAGGCATAATACAGAAACAATCCTGCTGCTACCTTTACTTCAAACCTTGCTCCTTTTCTTCTCAACCCTTCTTCCTCCCCCTTTCTTTTTTCATTTTTTTTTATTAGATAAGGAAAATAAAATGTGGCACAGTTTGATTCAACCCTCTTTTTTACATAACGTCATCCCCAATTTCAGGAATAGAAGCAGTTTCGGCGATTGAACTATATATGGCACCATTTTTTTTTCTTTTTTAATCCCCTGTTTAATACAAACTTATAATGCCACGTCGGAGGAGAAGAGCTCCTCATTGCTTCTTTCTCCTCTTTCCTCTCCCTCTTTCTCCTTTCCCTCCCCCCAAAAAAAAATCTCTTCACATTTATATTAAAACAAAATATGTTTTGTTTACCAAAATTAGTTTAGTTTAATAATAAAATGTCATTGTTCATTGTTTTGACACATTTTGTAAATTGAAACCTGATAATTATAAAAGTGACTTCCCTTAACTCCGCCTTTTTTTTTGAATCTTTCTTATTTTCTATACACATTCTTATGTACATTTTGTTTATAGAAGGTAAGAGAGAGAGAGAGAAAGAGAAAAAGAAAGAGAAAGAGAGAAAGAGAGTTTTATCAAACTATAAAATTATACATGTATATATAGATATTCTTTATACAAATATATTGCATGCTGAATGAGTCAATATGCATAGACAAGAATTATATCGTTTTTATTTATTGTTTATATATGTGTGTTTCTTGATATACATAAATGATCTATTAAAGGGTATTTATGAAGAAAGAATGGTCAAAATGAATATTAAGGGCAAATAACTCCGAAGAGAAACAGAATCCAAAAAAGCATTCCATAATAGAGTCGATATGAGACTTTTTCTATAATAAAATACGGTAATAGATCCAGATTTACTCTCTCAGATATTCGGAAATCTAATTAAGAAAAAAAAGTAAGACCTTTTTTTTTTTTTAAATTTGTCTACTATTATGAAGGGCAAAACAATCTCAGCATGAAAAGTGGAGTGACACTGAGGTTGTAATTTTTGAGTAACTTGTATATAAAAGGACCCCAAATTTGACGATTTTTTTTTTTTTTTTTTTTTTTCATTTTATTGTATTCTTTTTTTTTTTTTTTTTTTTCTCTAATTAATTATATTATTTAAATAGTATGTCAATTCCTTCTAATACAGCCTTTCAATTTCATTTTAATAACGAGCATAATACCAATAATAGTTTTGAAGAAATCGATGAACGTTTATTTGACAGCTATTTAGATATTTCTGGAAACAAAAGTATTTCTGATTATCGTAGATCTTCTTCTGATGAAGAAAATGAATTATCTCAAAGAGTATCAGCTATCGGTACTGGCCGTAAATCATCACCAAGAAATTCTTTAAAAAGATATTCAAAATGTAAATAAAAGAGAGAAATTTGTTTCTTTGATTACCAATCATATTCTTTTGACTGACACAATAGTTTTTTTTTAATTAGCTAATAAGAAAGAGGATTTAGAATCTGATAATGATTCTCTTATCGATAAATCAAAAAAATCACCTAAAACAATAAATAAGAAATCTCCGGTTATGACTCCTCAAGAAGTAGCGACAACGACTACTACTACCACTGCCGAGACTGAAAAGAAACAAAAGAGTCTTTATAAGACAGAGTTATGTCGTAATTGGGAAGAAACTCAACATTGTAGATATGGAGTTAAATGTCAATATGCTCATGGACCTTCTGATTTACGTGAAGTAGACCGTCATCCTAAATATAAGACACAAAAATGTCGAACCTTTCATCAAACAGGATCTTGTCCTTATGGATCTCGTTGTACTTTTAGACATTTCAATCTTCCTGGTGATGCTTTAGAAATGAAAAAATTAGAAAAAGAAGATGAAAAGAAGAAGGAACAAGAGGCTAGTTTAACTCTTCCATCCATTCGACCTGAACAACAACCCCAATTTCAACGTTCATCCATCTTTTCAACCGAGAATCAAAAAGTACTTCAACAGAATTGGTTCTTTGATAACAGCATTTTACCCATTCACACTAATAACAGTACTTTTGGTAACGATACCGGTAGTCTATTTACCAAAAGAATGATGCCAACAATGAATAATCAACTATTTGACTCTGATGATTCACTTTTACCCTCCAATGCAGAAAGTTTACTTCCTCATCAACTCCTATTTGACTTGGAATCCCCTGACGAAGACGAAAAGCAACAACACTCTTTTTCAGCTCGTTGTCCTCTTCGTAATTATGTCAATTTACCTTCCCTTTCAAATTTCCAAATTCCCCATCCAGTTTCTCATAATTTTCAACAACAACAGCAACAGCAACAACCACAACCGCAACAAATAGAATGTAAATCTTTCTTTCGTCCTTGGTTATTTTAATTTATTTATTATTTCAATTATTTATTTCACTCGCATTTAATTTATTATCATTAAACAAAGACAGTTTTCTTTGCCCTCACCTTTTTTTTTTCTTACATAATTTATTCCCTCCCCACTTCTCATTTTTTTTTTTTAATTATTATTGTTTATTGACATTAAACTTTTCGGATTCAAGTTCTGAAATAATATAACCTTTTTTATATTCATGTAATTTATAATAATAATAATAATAATTAAAAAAAAGTAATATCTATTTATATACAAATATTTATCGGGAATATCTTCCTTCAAGTGCTGTGTTATAAATGCTCTTGTCTTTTTTTTTTTTTTTTTTTAAATATTTATTTTTTTTTAAAAAAAAAAAGATGGAAATAGTAGGATTCCTTTTGTTGTATAGTATTCCAAAGTTGTTAACTTAAGGAAAGATAAATAAAATGGGCTTCTACAAAACAATGATTGCTATTACAAGACAACCAAAGATTGAAGACAAGGAGTTTTTATATATAGTTTCTTCTTTATTTTATAAGACTACTTACTGCAGGTTTACTTTACTTATATATTAAATGACAAAGAAGGTATAATAAATACTAGGGCTTATGAGATTAGAACGGTTTCATTTTTACGCCATCCTGGAGGAGAACTAAGTAGTTTGATATTCTCGATTTTAATCTTTCCTTGGTTATTTACAAGAGCCTTTGTTATTACTTCACAACCGTCATTTGAAATTGGATCCTCCAAGGAAAAATGAATACGAATTTGATGTTGATCGTCCTGTAATCGTGTGATATCCATTTTATGTACTTGTTCCCATATAAGCTCATTTGGCTGATGATATAAGCCAAATCCCTCTAGGACCTTCTTCCTTTCTTTATTCGTAAAATATTCTTTCAAGTTCTTGATAGATTCTGATCTGATCAGTTCTTCACCTCGGTGTTTACTTATCTGTCTTAATAGAGCTTCGACAATCGATGATGATGATGATGATGTTGACGACGATGACGAGGAAGGGAAGGATAGAAAATCCCACCAATACTTGTAGGTCATCTTTTGAAAAAATTGCCATGACATAACTAGAGATGCTGCACTCCCAAGCGCTATACTAGTCATAGGTGTGTCTGTAATCCATATAGAACTCAAGACAGTTGTGGTTCCTAGTAATGCACCAAGTAATATGGTTGTAGACGTCGTGATTTGATGATATCTGTTATTATCTGCTAAACGTTGTTGTTGTTGTTGTTGTTTATTATATGCATTTTTTGTCTCGTCATACACAATAGCATTTCCTTTAGTGTCTATTTTTGAAAATAACCTTCTTGAATATTGATTTTTTCTTATTTGTTGTTGCACATTTCTTTTTAATATATTGTTAATAAACATCGTTACTCATTATATATATTGAAAAAAATAAATAAAAAAAAGACAAAATAGTGTAAATGTGTATTTTGCGCTGTATTCTTCAAAAAATACTCTTTTTTTTTTTTAAAAAAAAAAAAAAAAAAAAAAATACTGAATCACCACGTATGGTAAAGTAGTGAGAAATTATTGCATTAGCTCTCTTTAACAAATAGAATAAGAGAGTAAATACTTTTACTCTCCATATTTTACCAATTATATAAGATATTCAATTTCTAATTTTCGATAATCAAATCAAACGCATTTTTTTTTTAATAAATATCTCGTTACCGCATATCAATCTTGGATAAGCAAGTCTAAAAGTAAGCTATTGTCTATTTAACTTTGTATATATCATATTTAACTTGGTCACATATCCTTTAATAACACCCTATATAAAGTATTTAAATTGAATATATAAAAAGAAAAATGTATTGAATTCTTTTATAGTTAATATACTTAATATAACCTCCATCTTTCCCCGCCCTCAATAGTAAAATATTCATTCCTTTAGATAAGACTTTAAACAAACAGAGATGGTATTGTAATTACTATTAATCTGATTAGCTGTAAAGAAAAAAATTCATACAAAAAAAAAAAAAAAAAAAACAAGTCGATCATTATAGTAGCCTGCTTTCCCCTAAGCCTATGTTTAACACTATTAAAGCGCGCTTGAAGTATTATGGATTTTATTCAATTCAATAGCACATTATATACGTTTAAAAAAATATCATCCTATAGAAAAGAAAACCATGGAATAATTCCCTTATATATGTATATATTGAACTCCCTCTGGTCAGGACTACTCAATAAGTCGCCCCGTAAGAAGAAAATATACGACTCGTCTAATGAGATATTCGCGGTTATTTCCAACTAGTTTTCCTCCTCTTTTCAAAAAAAAAAAATTAAGATAGGCATCAAGGGTAGACAGAATAATTAGCCTTATAAAGTGGCATGAATAAATGCTTCATGATACTTATTATTTCCTAGCGTCAACGAGATTGATCCACTTTATGATTCCTCCTTATGGAATCTGGAATTGAAAGTTGACTAAAGCAGTAATAAAAAAAAAAAAAGTGGAGGGCCTTATATAAAAAAGTAGTCTACTACTCCATTTGATATATATATATTTATAAGCGACATTTTTTTCTTCTTAAGATTACTTTTCATATCAATCATAAATGTAAACTAAAAAATTCCTTTTTATTGTATTTACATACATTGACGATAGTAAAGAGAATTATTTGTCATTTTATTTTCACAATCTTTCCTTAATGCTGTCATACATGACTTTAATATCATCTTTAGACTTCTTAAGAGGATTCCAACGAATACCTAAACCAGTTTCTTTATCAGGTTTAGGAATAACATGAAAATGAACATGTGGAACCGCTTGGTTAGCAAGTGGACCGTTATTCTATCATTAAATATGTATATAATTATTCATTATTTCCATTTCATTCCTCCTCATTCACTTTCACTCTCTTCTTCTTCTTACCTGTAAAACATTATATTGAGAGAAGCCTCCTGCTGCAGCAATCTTTTTAGCTATAGGCAGGGCATCAGCCAAATACTCATCGGGTAATTCATGCATATATTTTGCATGATCTATTATAAAAAAAAAAAAGTCAGTAAAATTTCAAAAAATATCACTTTTAAATATCCATACATTTTGGGATAATTAACTATTTGTAAAAATTGTATGTGAATAAAAACCTGTAAAAAATATAATAGAAAAAAAAAAAAAAAAAAAAACTCACAGAATGACCATCACTTAAAGGTTCAATATCCATAAAAGCATAACTATCATATTTGTGTCCCCCCCCCGAAAAATAAAATAAAAAATGTCAGTTTCAATATTATTAATGGTCATCATTACCTTTTTTCTGTCTCAATTAACTGAAAAGATGGTACTTCCTTTCTATCATAGTAATATTAAAACAAGTCAATCGTGAACATTACATTTGTAGTTTATATATCTATATATATATATATTACCGAATAATCTTACAGAAAATACAATCATCAGTAAGATGCTGATGATTACGTGAAACTGAAGAAGTTGACATGAAGCAATGTTGTTTTGAAAATAATCGAGTTGAAAGAAAAAAAGATGTTGATAAACGTGACAAGCGCGTCATATTTACCAATTTATGAAAAAAGAGTGGCAAATACCTTTCTTCTCCCCCCAAAAAAAAAGCTTTTTTTTTTTCTACAGCAATAGAATAATTCCATGAGTAAAATTTATTCAATTATAGAAGAAATTACATATCTTTATTATGTTGAAGATAAAAAGAATATTACTATTACAACAAACTAAATATATTCGGTCACGAATACATATACATATATACATGCATATATTACAAATCGTTACCCATTATTATTATGAACAAGTGTATTATAGTGAAAAAAGAAGGCTTAATCTCTCTAGTTATATTAAATTGATGCTGAATTTAGAACTAAAGCTGCATGGTTACCTGCAGTTCCAACCAAATTATTTTTAAGTGTACTACGACCTAGGAAAGTCTGTAATAAAGTTTCAATATTATTTAATATGGTTGATTGATCTAACAAATCAATAGGACATTTGAAGGAGACTGTATTGGAATAAGGTATACTGATTGCAACACCCAAGATACTCACTGTTGCAATTACATTGTAATCCAATTGAATATCTTTTGCTGTACCACCACCTATGCCACAATCGGATATTATTTTTGCTGCTATTGTTTGTGTCTCTTGAGATAATAAATTTAATGAAATATCAAATGGAAATGAAATAGTGGTAATTGAATTTGAACCAATATGTAAATCACTTAATGTTCCGCCACCTATTTGAGTATTGTCTCCATGATAATTAGCCTAATGAATAATGATATAAATACTCGCCTTCCGAAAAAAAAAAGGAAAAAAAAAAAAAAGAGTTCCCCCTTAATGAATAGTGTTACATACTGTAGCGGCTAGAGTCTTGAAAGTAACACTTGCAATGTTTGGATTATTAACAATAAAGCCCAACATAAGATTTAAATTGGCATTCGTTCCAGTAAGATTAAATTTTGGATTATCTTGTATACCAGTGAATTCAACGGAAGGTTTCTTAAACAATCCAATCAAGACACCCACTATAATCCCTAACACAATAACGAGTAATACAAAACAACAAGAAAGCCATCGATACCATCGAGGACAACAACCACAACAACCACAACATAGTTTATCACAACAAGACTTATTTTCATTATTATGTATTCTAGAATAAGCGTCTTGTTCTGTATATTTTGTAGTATATCCATTATCATTTGCAGTCACCACTGGTTTTGGATTTAAATCGTATTGTTGTAAATAATAGCCGTTATCATTATTTATGTGATGCATTGCAAATGTATCATTTTCATATGGTTTATAATAAGATGGCTGATGATAAAAATTTGACATTAAATGAAAAAGAAAAAAGAAAAGAAAATAGCAATTATAAGCATCCTCGTTAATATTTAAGGGTTTTAATTTCTACCTGAAATGCGTCAAAGTACAATTAATTCTTGAAGATGTCACGAGAAATTTTAAATAATACCACTGTAAAAAAAAAAAATAAACTAATAAAGATTACATATCTTTTATACAAAGTAACAAAGAAGAAGTTATCTATTTGATAAATTACTGTATAACTTTTACGTATGTAAATTAAAAAGGGCAATATTCTATATAATTGATAAATTCTGAATAACGTTTATTGCCCTAGTAGTCAGACACCAAAATATATCTACTTTATTCCTCTTGGAATAGAAAAGAAAGAAAAAAAAATACATACTATTAAGAAAGTCTAATACATAAAGATATAGTATATACAAATAACAGAATTATAATGTATATGCAAAATAGAATAGTAAAATAGAAGAGTACTTATTTCTTACACCTACCTCTACCATGGTATAAGATTGCACTAACATACTGTATTTACTAGCAAATAGAGTCACCATCGTACAACTTTAATTAAGATACAATTTCAGGAGAATTGTTGTCAATATATCCTAGAATAAATACTTCTTCTCCTCCTAATGATAATTAAAGATTTATTACGCATTTTGTATAATATAGATTGTTGTCTTCTTATTAATAAAGGACATAATCATAAAAACGCATTTATTCTCTGATAAAAACAAGTTAGTTTTAACAAAAAAAAAAAAAAAAACTAGGTTTGCGTCTGCTACTTCAAAGATACATAATGTGATGATTAGAGAACATGAATTACTTGCTAATGAGAGACCATGAGTGAAGCTATTGTTGGATACTACTATTCAAAAGTGTGATCTTGGTCCTGATGTCAGATGTGGGCGAAATTATTCGGCTTGAAAATTTATTTATCCTCAAGATCTGTGATGGTGTAATACCTGCAAAAAATTACATTTACAGTTCAAAAATCATATCTATTCATTTGAGTTTTATATAGATTTAAATAGTTCCTGTGAAGAGTTCATGTAGTAAACTTTGTTACTAGGGAGGGGAGAGAACATGTTATTCTCATGGGCAGATTACAGATAATTTTACTAGCAGATTGCAGGTATTATAACAAATGTGTATATACATATACACATGCACAACACACACAATTTACTAAAATATATAATATAGGTTAGTATTGTTCTTTTTGCTTTTATTCTATTCAAGAATTTCAATTCAAGATACAAAGTTATTTGCATTTATATAGTCTTCGTTATCCAGAATTACTATCTCTTGGTAGAATACAGCAAAATAATATGTAACTAAAAGAATAATTTTTGATACGCCACCTGAATCATATTCTTATAAAAAATATGATTTCAAAATTAGATGCTATTGAGACCCACAAAATCGGCTGTCAACTTACCGTCCTCACTATTAATTATTGATTTTTCCTGAGAACTTCACAGTTTTTGCCTTCTGATTTGTATCATTGACAAACAATTCATAGTCAGGAACCTTCAGAGGATCTAAAATTGTAAATTGCTACGTTAAACAAAACTTTTATTTCAGGAACTAAGTATAAGAAAAATCTTATACAATTAGATGGGAACATGAGTAATAGAATATATCGAGGAAAAGAAAGAAAAAGAAAGAAAGAAAGAAAGAAAGAAAGAAAAAAGCGAAAAACAAAAGTAAACTATTACATGAAAAAGCATGGAAAAAGGTTATAAAGAGTATAATCTAAAATTTGAAAGACTATAATAATAAATACGTTATGTAGCCAAATAGTAATAATTATATGACACAATGAGTGAAAGTAGATACTTATCAAAAGTAGTAGTATTAATAACAATAGTAAAGTAAGAAAATCTGAACACTTCAGAGACCCATCTAAACATTATAGAGGCATCTAGATGTATAAGTAACTCAGGTAAACTACCGTTGCATTTGGCACACCTAAAATATCACTTCTAATGGCAGAATGCGAACCCAAATTCAATACAACCAAGTTCTCATCTCGAGAAAATAGATGCCAGACATTTTTCTTATAAGTGGAATACATAAACATAGTAATATATGAATTATAGTGCTGACGGTGCCAAATGGCAAGTTTTTAATCCAATCATTTAATGCAATATGCCGAATACTTATATTCTTGAGAATGATAATAAGAATGAAACAAGGATATAAAATAGAATGGTAGAATATGAGATGATATTAGTTCATGTACAAGAGTAATCATGTATGTATGTCTTATGTTTAGTTTGTAACTGATCTCTTCAGATCATAAGAAGATTAGGACAGTTCTAATTTGAAACGTAGGCTCTTTAGTTAGTTTATCTCATTGTACTAAATTTATATGCAGCAGACCAAATGTATCATAGACTGTTCCTAGAATTAATATATTGTTTATCCTTTGTAGAACAAGAAGATATATTCTTAAATATAATGTTTCATTTATTTTTATAAGAAGAGATGTTATATGTATATAGAATTAGAGACTATAATTTATATGTACATAATTAATTATTATTATTTAACTGAACTAAGGTATAGATCATAACCATGACACTTAGTCTGAGAAAGTTAACACTGATTTCATTGAAGAAGAAAAGACAATTAGAGTTTCAAGAATTTGAGGTAATTGAAGTCAACGGTCGTGTGGACACTAGAATTACCTATTATCTTCAGTATCTTGGGAGTGTAATGAAAATATACCTGACGCTCACAGTATGAAAAGAAAATACCTTGTTGTGAATAATGCTTTTATTCACAAGTCCTCTGAGACGCAAGAACTTATTTCTTTTCCTGGGTATAAATGAATGTACCTCTTCCTCCTTCTCTTTCCTTCCCCTCCCATACACCTACACACACGCACTTATTTTCCCTTCTTGAATCCAATCATGGAAATGTGGTTTAATGTCAAGTTTGATGTAAGAAAAAACGAAATTACTGATAAGGACAGGTCAATTCCTTGTATCATAGAAACGGCTAAGCAAGTAATAGTAGACGATTGTAAAGGATAGATGATCAATCACTCCATTTCCTTTTTCGATCGTTGTCTCAATATGGAACCCCCAAGCTTTAGATTATACTTTTTATAACCTTTTTCCATGCTTTTTCATGTAATAGTTTACTTTTGTTTTTCGCTTTTTTCTTTCTTTCTTTCTTTCTTTCTTTCTTTTTCTTTCTTTTCCTCGATATATTCTATTACTCATGTTCCCATCTAATTGTATAAGATTTTTCTTATACTTAGTTCCTGAAATAAAAGTTTTGTTTAACGTAGCAATTTACAATTTTAGATCCTCTGAAGGATTCTGACTATGAATTGTTTGTCAATAATACAAACTTAAAGGTCAAAGGACGTAAATTAGAAGGCAAAAACTGTGAAGTTTTCGGAAAAAAATCAGTAATTCTGAAAAAATCAATTTTTATTACCTGGTGGAAGTTGTATCCGAGACATAAACACACATGATAAAGTGCATTATTAGTTGATAATATAATAAAAAATGTCACAGTTTGAGTAACCTTACTCTCTGAATACACATACACATTTTTATATTTATTTATTGTTATGAAACGGCTCTCTCTTTCTATTCCTCTTTCTCTTTTCTCTCTCTCTTTTTTTTTTTCTTTCTTTCGACTTCTTTTTATATATTTACACATATATATTATAAATGTCAGGAAACAATATTAAAGTCGTTTGTCGTTTTCGTCCGCAAAATTCACTTGAAATTAGAGAAGGGGGTGTTCCCATTATTTCAATTGATGAAGGAGGAACCACTATTCAAATTAAGGTAATCCGAACAAATGTCCATTTCTTATAGTCATCTCTAATAATGGTTTTTTTTTTATATATATACATAAAAGGGTGATTCCACATCTTCATTTGCATTTGATAAAGTATTTGGAATGAATACACCTCAGAAAGATGTTTTTGAATATTCCATTAAAAGCATCGTAGATGGTAGCTTCAAAATGAAATAACCCTAAAATAATTATTTTAATAAAATTTCTATAGATGTCACTGCCGGTTACAATGGTACTGTATTTGCATATGGTCAAACTGGTTCTGGTAAAACCTTTACTATGATGGTAAAATAAAAATTAAGCTTTTTATTTGATCTTTTTTTTTTTTTTTTGTTTTCCCCTGAGTTTTTAATTTTATTTTATATAGGGAGCAGATATTGATGATGAAAATACAAAGGGTATCATTCCTCGTATTATTGAACAAATATTTACAAGTATCAATGATGCGCCGAGTAATATTGAGTTTACTGTAAAAGTGTCTTATATGGAAATTTATATGGAAAAAGTCAGAGATTTATTTAATCGTAAGATTTATTTATTGTTTTAACAGCTATGAAACATTAATATAAATATATATACATTTATATGTATATATGTATATATTTATATATTTATTTAATAGCTTCTAATGATAACTTGGCTATTCATGAAGATAAAACTCGTGGAGTATATGTAAAAGACTTGTATGAAATTTATGTCGCTAATACAAATGAAGTATACCAAGCCATGAAAAATGGTAGCGCTAATCGTGCAGTCGCTTATACTCGTAAGTAATAAATCTAAATAATCAAGTTCTAATATTAACTTTATTTTACATAACAGAAATGAATGCTGAGAGTTCTCGATCACATTCTATTGTGGTTATCACAATCACTCAAAAAAACCTAGATACAGGTGCAGCAAAAAGTGGTAAACTTTATCTTGTTGATTTAGCTGGTTCTGAAAAAGTAAAATAAAAAAATGGATGCAAGTTATGTCTTATAGTTTAACAAACTTATATATCGTAGGTTGGAAAAACAGGTGCTTCTGGGCAAACACTTGAAGAAGCAAAGAAAATTAATAAATCACTAACAGCCCTTGGTATGGTGATAAATGCTTTAACCGATGGAAAGGTAAATAATCAAAGAAGAATAAAATTGTAAACAGTTGTATAAATCCTTCCTTCCTTTTTTTTTTTTTTTTTTTTTTTTTTTTTTGTAATTTTGATAGTCAAGTCACATTCCTTATCGTGATTCAAAATTAACTCGTATTTTACAAGAATCGCTAGGTGGTAATTCACGTACTACTTTAATCATTAACTGTTCACCTTCATCTTATAATGAAGCTGAGACTATCTCTACCTTACGATTTGGTGTAAGAGCAAAGACAATCAAGAATAAGGCTAAAGTTAATGCTGATCTATCTCCTGCTGAGTTGAAAGCACTTTTAAAGAAAGTCAAATCAGAAACACTTACTTTCCAAGCTTATATTGCAGCTCTAGAAGGTGAAGTGAATGTTTGGCGTGGTGGTAGTACATTACCTGAAGAAAAATGGGTAACAATGGATAAAATTACTAAAGCTGATTATTCTGCCCTACCTCCTGCATCTAACTTTAGAGCTTCCTCAGTTATTGAAGACCCCTCTAGACCTACAACTCCTTCTGTGGTGTTAGAAAAAGATGAACGTGAAGAGCTCTTGAAGCGAGAAAATGAATTAATGGATCAAATTGCTGAAAAGGAAACCGAACTTGCAAACCGTGAGAAGTTATTAGAATCATTAAAGGAAGAAATGGGCTACTATAAAGAACAAGAGGCAATCGCTACTAAAGAAAATCAGCAAATGACTACTGAGTTAAACGAACTTCGCCTCCAGCTTCAAAAGATTTCTTATGAAAGTAAAGAAAATGCTATCACAATTGATTCACTTAAAGAGGCGAATCAAGAATTAGTGGCTGAATTAGAAGAGCTTAAGAAAAACCTCATGGAGGTACGTATGGCTCACAAAGATAGCTCGAATAGCGAAAAAGAAAAAAGAAAGCTCAAAAATTAGCCCAAATTATGTCTAAAATAGATCTTTCTGTAAGTTTTTTTTTTTTTTTTTTTTTTTTTTTTTTTTTTTTTTTTTGTAATCTGAATGTTGAAAATACTCCTCTTTCACATGTATAGGGCGAAATTAACGAAAAAGAACGTCAAATTCGTGGCTCTCTACATAAGATTGAAAATGAGGGACATGATTCTTTAAGTTTAGAGGAACTTATTGCACTTCGTCGTGAGCTTACAGAATCTAAACATTTGTTAGAACAACATGCAAAAACAATTTCTGAACTTACATTGGAGAAGGATACATTAGAACAGAAAAAGATAGAACTTGATACCCGCTTTAATAATCTTGAACAAGAATATGAAGAGCTCCTTGATAAGACTATTGCTGAAGAAGAAGCTGCTGCTCAAAAGAATGCAGATGTAGAAGAAACACTTTCCACTTTAAAGGTATATAAAGTAAAATATAAGGAAAATGAAAAAAATAATAATGTTTTATTTCCTATAGAAAAAATTAGAGACACAATATGCATCGAAAAAGGAGATGCAACAAAAAGAGATTGAAGATCTTAAACAAGAAATTAAAGAAAGAAATAAAAATATTCAAAAACTCTCTACTTCATTAGCAGATCTGAATGATGCCAATGAAAAGCTTCAAACTATTCTCTCTGAAAAGTCTGTATCAGAAGCCCAAAACAGTGGTTTATCTGAACGTGAACAGGAATTAGAGCGTATGCGAAAGACAATGGCTAAAGAACTAGCCGAATTTGAAACCATGAAAAAGGTTTTGATGCGTGATCTTCAAACTCGTTGTGAAAAAGTGGTTGAGCTTGAAATGTCCTTGGATGAATCTCGTGAACAATATAATAACATTTTAAGAGCAAGTAATAATAAAGTACAACAAAAGAAGATGGCATTTTTAGAACGTAATTTAGAGCAATTAACCAATGTTCAAAAACAGGTATAGCGTATATCCTTAACATGTTACGCATATAACTCAAAAATATTTTAATTTATAAATAGCTTGTCGAACAAAATTCATCATTGAAGAAAGAAGTTGCGCTTGCCGAGCGTAAATTAATTGCACGTAATGAACGTATCCAAACTCTCGAAGCTCTTTTACAAGATGCTCAAGAAAAATTAATTAGTCAAAATCAGAAATTCGAAGTTCAACTCCAAGCTGTTCGTGAACGTCTTGAACAAGCTCGATCACAAAAGTCACAAACCTCAATGGCTTTAAACTTTGGTCGTGTTGCTAAACCTCTTCGTGGAGGCGGTGCTGTGGTTGAAAATGGTCAAAACTCTCCTACTTCACCCATCGAGAAGCGTGAAAAGCGCAATTCTTGGATTCCTGGTTTTATGGGTTCAAGATAAAAAGAGCATTTAGCTATGTATTTTCTATATATATTATATACACATAATAAAGTTCGAAAATAAATAAACAAAGCACACATACGCATTATATACCAAACAAACTAATAATGAATACTTGAATATAGAGATTTAATTTGAACTAAACACTTTAATATCTTTTTTTTTTTTTTTTTTTTTTTTTTTTTTTTTTTTTTTTTTTTTAGGAAACTCTAATAAAACACATTAATAGAATTAAAAAAAAAATCAAATAATTACACACAAAAGATTAGCTTTATTATATATTAGTCAAAACAATATTTCAAGATATTTCTTTAAAATTTATATAAAATTACTTCATACAAGACACCAATTCAATATTAACCTATGTTTGCTAGTGTTCTCTATGCTCCTCCAGGGAATCATGAATAATATCATATAATTGATCGACTAATTCTGGCCAACCAGCTAATGCTTCCATAACACTATTTAACCAAGCAATATCATCTGGCTGTTGCCGCCTTGTACAACAAATGAGTTGAGCCAAATGTCCTCCGTCTCTTTCTTCTTCATCAATGGCTTCACACGTTTGAAAGCAAGGCTCATCTAATTCTGCGACAGGACTTGGTGGCATAGCATCTTCTAAAATTGAATTACGTCGTATCGTAGCTGATAAGTGACGCGAAGAAGGAGCAATTGACAAAAGTTGTTTCGCTTTACGAAAGAAAGACGGATGTGACTGTGGTAATTTCAATTGGAAATCAGGATAGTTTCTCAGTTTGATAAGATCCATTTCTGAATATGGGTGTGCGCTCTTTGATTTATTTGTAGTAGGTGTTGAACTACCTGCTCCACTTTCTTTGACTCGATTTCTTGAATCCATTGCCATATTTTCCTTATTCCCGTATACTATTATGTCCTCATTTTCTTCATCACTATCAAGAAGATCTGATAAATGATCACTTTCATCATCCTTATCTATGTCAATATTAGCTTCATCTACTTCCTCAATTGTTGTATCTGTAAAAGTAGGGTGTGGTTCAGATTGAATCAAATGATAGGAAGAACGACGTCTTCCCCCTCCTCCGCCTAAAGGTGGATATTGCTGGTGGTGTTGTTGATAAAACTGATCCTCACTAGCAAACATGCCTTCTGGTACCTGTGGTGCTTCTTCATGAAGAATATGATCCTCATCATTATACTCTAAAGCGTCACCTAAACTCATAGTTGATGATCTACGATTCTGACGATACCCTGCACTTCCTATCGTATTAATAGAGCCAGAGCTTCGTGAGGATGGTAGTTTACGAGGTATTGGAATAACATCATTTATAAAATCATCATCATTATCATCGGTATAACCAACGCTTTCTTTAAATTTGGTTAAAAAGACAGGATTATGAGATAAGAAATGACTGATTTGATTCATCCAAACACGATCAGGTAATTTTTCACGAGGCTTATAAACAATCTCTTGAAAACGTTGCCAAGCAGATTCACCTTGTGTTTCTGTGATATAATGTTCTAAAGTGTCATAAAATTGTGTATTGCGGGCTGCAAGGTCTTTCATCTCTACAGATCTGTCCAAAAGTGCTACTAAGATATCTGATGAAACAGCTTGTCCATGAATATCAATACTTCCTGCAGAGGAAATAGAAAGATTTCTAAGAGAAGGTGACTCATCCCTTAACTCTTGTTCCGTTTCTTTTTCTTCTTCTTCTTCAATTATGTTTCCTTGACTCAGTAAATTATGTGTATGAGGATTTAAAAAGGTTGAAGAAGACATTTATTTAAAAAAAAATATGTGTGGGAAAAGTTTTCTCTTTCTACAATAAATAAATAAAATAAAATAAAAAACAAAAGGGAAAGAGAAAAAATCATCCAAGAAAATTTTAAGAAAAAGCGGGTATCAAACTATTTATGCATTTTAACTGATTGGGTTAAATTGATAATATTCCTTCTAGTGAAACATTTTTTTTCTAAAGCTGCTATACTTTTTAAAAACCAGATTAGTTTTTCCAACTTTTTCCTTAAAGCATAATAAATAGGCTTTACTATTTATGAAACATTAAATACGCTCATATATTATTTACTTCTTTTATCCCATATAAGAAATACTATATACATATATACATACATACATATATATTAAGTTCTTTTTAGCTTGTTTATTAAACTGCATACACATACACTTACACTTACACATATATATATACAATATTGAAGAAACGATTTTATGATAATATATCATAAAAACGTCATATTATTATAGTAGTATATCGGAATAAATTAAATTTTACTTTGTTCTATGAGTCGATTGATGATTGTATTAATAATTCCTCTTTTGATTGTCAAATCTACACCAAATAAAGCTGACAATTGATCTCGTACTTGCTTTTTTGTAAGCGTCATTAAATTAGAATTTATCAATATTTTGTAAATTTCACGCTCAAGTTCATCATCCTCTGGTATTATGACTGTTCTTGATTCTGTAGTAGTTTTAATTGTAGAATCTTTCATGTCTATATTATCTGCTATTTTACGTATAGGTGAGCTTGATCCAAGTACGGTAGATAGGTCTATGTTAAATTGCTCATCAGAAAAATTGGGTATCAAAGGTGGCAATAATTCAGATTTGACACTATTTGACTTGTCTATTGGATTATCACTATCTAAAGTGTGTTGATCATCAGGCAATACAGATAGATAAGATGTCACTACACTATTTGACTTGTTTACCCACATCTCTTCTTCATAAATGGCCCATTTCTTCAATGGTATCATCTTTTCATCAAATTTTTCATCATCTGTCACAATTATTTGTTTCTTTTTATTGTCACCAACTACAACACGGGTATTGCCCCATGAAAAGTCATCAAAATGCCAAAATGAATAAAGAGGTATGAAGAAACTAAAGATAGGAATGGCAAAGATATAGATAATCATCCATCCAATGTGCTGCCATTGCCGTTTAAGAATAAAAATGAGTGATTGTAATCCATAAGCCCCTGCTAGCATTCCTAACGCAATAGTTGGGATGGGGCCTGCACCTGAAATGACCTCATAGATAAGATAAATAAGGTAAATAACTGAAGAGGGTAATGAAATAGTACCAATCAAGTCAATCATGACCACAAATCGCATTGAAATACAGCAGAATCCACACAGTTCCTGTAATAAGATTAATTCTAGCAAATTATGAATAGTTGAATTTATCCAGCGTCTACGTTGAGAAAGTAAAATTCCCCATTGATCAGGAGCTACAGTTTTACATTTTGCGTAAGGTGTAAACACCATCTTGTACTGAGGGAAGTTTTTCATCATTAACGTCGTTAAATATCTATCTTCACCCAAGTGCAGTAGGTTCTTTTTATGCAAGGTATCGACCTGATTATCAGAATAGGCTCGAATGACATTAGGTGAAACAATAAGTGGTTGATGTTTACTGGCTGTACGAATACGATACATACAAAAGCATCCAGGTAAACAAGTAACGGACCCAAATAAAGATTCAAATGATTTGACAAGATGATGAGAAATATAGTATTCATAAACTTGAATCATAGTTGTCCAAGACCGATCCTCATTTCCTAATTCAGTCTCTCCACATAGACCAATAATACGACTATCATGTAACATGCACGAAATAAGTCGATTAAGAGCATCAGGATATACTTCTGTATCTGAGTCTACCATCAGTATATATTCATACAAATGTGGATCAATACCAATGATATATTTAATATGATGGTAGATTGATAGTTCAAGGGGTGACATTTCCGAGTCAAAGTGTACTTTATTTAAGAAATTCATACAAATAATTTGTGAGTCTCGTTTACCCCGGTTGCCTGGTTTTGCTCTCTCAGTCGATTTTCCTACTTTTACAACAACGATATAAGGTACGACGTGACCTTCGTTTTGATATACTCCAGAATAAACTTTGCCATAGTTTAATTGCTTAGATCCCTCACCAATTGACTTGAACATGAGGGGTTCAGGGTCATCCATTTCGTCATGCCCTAGAATATCTAACAAAATACGTGGTGTTGGTCGATCATTACCACTACCAATAATCATACCATCTGCAATAAGAAATAATAATTTGTGTTTATCATCATATGTCATGGCTGTCAAGGAATTAATCGTCTTTCTCAATGATTCTTCATCCTCGGTATAGCATGGTACTTGACAAATTACAAATTTATCATGATCTTCAGGGGTGGGACTACTTCCAAATTGTAATGCAGCCAAAAATTTAACTAAAATTACGACTGACATAATAATAGCAAAACTTAACAACAGATAATTGATAAATGTACATCTTAATGATTCCCGATAATCAAGACGACCTATATAAAACACGTTATCCAAACATGCCTTGTTTCGAGACCGTGTGAGAGCGTCTAGAATGGCATTGTTCCATTCTGATGTTATGTCTTTACCCCCAAAATTGGTAAAGATTGCCTCTATTGAAGGATGGAGGTAGTGATAGTTTGGTTCACCATTAGAACTAGCGGGATATCGACGTGCTGTCGCCATATAATCTGTCAAATCATACACTCGTTCATCTATTGATGCTATTAATCGACCCCAGCTTGCATAATCTTCTTTCATTCGCTTAAGTGATATCACTAGATCACCTTTTTTATAATTATTCATTCTTGGTTCAAATGTATTTGTAAGCCAATCTGGATCACGTAGTCTAGTAAGAGCTTTTTCAGACTGCTGAGGACCAGAAAAATGAATAAAGGGCCCCAGTACAATAGTTTGATTAGGAGTAATAGTAATGGAGGTATCCTTTACTAGACCAGGACAGGCAATTGTTAAAGGAGGTGGGAAGGTGTAAGATAGGTCCCTACCAGCTAGAGGATCTAAATTATATTTACTTGTCATGTGACTCATAGTACCATGATCTGTTGCCACGAATTTTGTTAAATCATAAACTTTACCACGAATGGAGATCCAATAGTCTGTCATCATTTGATGAACACCAACATTTTCTGCCGAATATAAGTATTTTGTATTTGGACAAATAATTTGTCTGAATCCAACAATAAAAAAAATAATCCCTCCTGAAGAGGCAAAGATAAGCATACAAAGTGTAACTTTCTCGCGCCATGCCATTTGAACATCTTGCCGAGTCATTTTACCCAAGTATTTGAGAGTAAATGACGGAATCCACCATGTCATTAGAAGAACGAATCGAGACCACCATTGTCGTGTACTTGTAATGCTTACTTCTTCAATTTGCTCCTCAATTTGATGCACAGTATAATCTTCCATCATTTGGCTCATATCTAAATTAGGCCCATATCTATAATAGAAATAATTAAAAATAAAAAGGGACTTAATTATATTATTCTTTTTTTTTCCTAAAAAAAAAAAAAGGAAGACTTTGGTATTGTACCCTTCAGCTAATCCTCTTCCATCCTCATCATCTTCCCATTCACTTTTTTTCCCAGATAAATCAGGAGCTTGAGTATCAATTTCAGTTCGGTCATCATCGTGACTTATATCTGATCTCCACTCTTCATCAAAAAGATTATTTCTTTCATTATTATTATTACTAAACCAAGTCCACTCTGGCCCCTCAAGAAGCTGCTGTTCTACTGTCATGGTCTTCACTTCTTCTTCCTCTTCTTCCTTAGCTCGTAGTAGAATCTCTTTTTCATATTCAATTACTCGTTGCCTTTCCCTTTCACGTATTCTTTCTTCCTTCTCAATCGTTCGAATTTCCCTCTCCAATCTTTGCCAAAGCTCGAATGAAAGCCAAACATTATTTTGACCCAACTGAATATCCTTAACTGTCCATTTCATGATGTCAATCCAAACTCCAATGCGTCTTGATTCATCACCTTCTACTACCGTCTCTTCATCTACATAAGCATCCATTAACGGTCGATAACGGTTTAAGAACGTTTCCTGATTATATCCATAAGGTGCCTCAAATTGACTTATTCGTTGAGCCAACTCAACTAGGTGATACATCTCTAACTGACGCTTCACAAATTCGGGATCAAATACGTTTCCTTCACTACTGGGCAGTACATGTATAATTTCAGTCACACGTGTTGTATCTATTCGATCCTTCAGCTCTTCAACACCTTGAACGACATGGTCTAAAACAGGCCCCAGTCTATTGCTGTTATGGTACCATATTGGTAATTGGGCTTTGATGACCGTTTTTTCATCCCGTGGATGCTTTTCAGTTAGCCACCCTGCTGTCTCAAATATCTCATGTACAAATGTGTTTGTACAATTGTATCGAAACATATGGACAAAATCCGGTGAAACATAGTCCAGATTACTTTCAAGGAAACCATCAATTGAGTAGTTGACATTTATGGTATTGAAATGATGAATAGCAAAACTATATGAGGGCATCGAAGGTTCCAAGAGGGTCTCATAGTCGCTATTACGGTACGATTTCTTCTTTTGGAGCAAAACAGATAGAAGGTTACTGTCTGTGGCATCTAACGCATATGTTTGAAAGCGCATAGCATCTTTATTGATCAAAGAGATGAGTCCATCATTATTCTTGCCATGAAAGAGTGAAAGCGAATTAGATGGCTGTTTAACTACTGGTAAAGTAGAAGGCCATATCTGATCCTGAACATAGGGAATATTAGCAGCAGATTCAGCTTTCATGGTCAAATCAAAGAAGGTATAGCTTAGGAGTTGCTCTAATGTATAATTAACACAAAAGTGATAAAAGCCACTTGCACGTTGATTTATCATTGATTGTGTCCCCATAGAATCCAAAACACTAATGGTTTGCATAATATCCAATTCATCTTTGTTAAGTCTTTGATTTAGTGTGTTTGTAATCCATCTTATAAGGGCAGCATATAATGTATGAGCCAATGCATCCCTTTGTTGTGAAGCAGTATCTACTGTTAGGAATGCAGTACAAAATTCATTTCCAATCAGTTTAAGTTTATGTATAAGACTCGTTTCAAGCTTTGAGGTAGCTATACCCAAGGAGGCAGCGACTAGAGTCAATGTTTCCTTATTCTTGATACGGCATATTCCACTACTAGAACTGGGATGAAATAAGATGTCATCACCTGTAAAGTGATGCTTGTTCCCATCCACAAATTGTACATTCCCTAAATGTAGTATAGCTGCTAATAACTGACACATCTGAGCCACTGTCTTGGTTTTAAACCCACAAAGTTTGAGAGCTGCTTTAACATCTTCAAATCCTATCGTGTCCTGCTCTATATCTCGTTGCCCAAGATGTTTCAAATAATAAAAATTGCTATGAGTAATATGAAGAGCGCACTTTTCATCAGTGGTTGTTCCTGCCAAAAGTTGATAGAAAATAGTAAACTGTTGTGTACACTGACGTGATGAGACTCTATATTTATCAAGTAAGAAGACAGACATGTCGCAGCCAATGATCCCTCCTCTAGCATTGAATCGTAGGGTTTGAAATTGAGCTAGACAAGACGATGACATTGCTGTTCCGAATGACTTCATGATTGTATACACAGCCAATATCTGTTTGTGAATCTTTTCTTCTTTACGTGTATGTGTAGATAAATAAAGAATTTCTTTAAGTAAATGTAAATGCGTTGTTGTTTTTCCAGATCCACTTATACCACTTGCAAAAAAAAAAAAAAAAAAAAAAAAAAAAATACGTAGGATAAAATGTTATTATTATAGCTTTTTTTTTGTCTTTTATATATTTAATATTCCCTTCTTTCCTTCTCCCCTCCCCTAAATATATATATATGTATATATATTTTATATAAATATATTACCTTAATATGATAGTTTGGTTTTCAGATTTTCTTCGCATTGACATATACACTTTTGTAGCCATTTCATATACATGAGGTTCTAGTGTTTCAAGTTTATCTGATAAAACATCTTTATATCCATACTGTCCATATGCCTTCAGAGTAGCATCATTTAATAACTCTAGGGGCTTCATTGGGTTCACAATTATCAGCCGATGGCTACCCAGTTGTGTATAGGGTTGATCTAATTTATATCGATTTTGTAGCAGTCGTATAATTGCATCTTTTGCTATATTTTCATCGTTTCGGATTTCTGGTAATAATATTATATTATTGGTGGTAGTCATACTATAATAAATAAAATTGAGCTAGTCTTATATGTATTATAGATAAAGAAATTATTGAATATAAAAGGAAGTAATTAAATATGTAAAGGTTGTGAAGGAAAGGATAAGAAAAAAAAAAGAAAGAAAAAAGAAAGAAGCAAAAAAGAGACATCAAGTTTAAGTAACTGTAATTAAAGAAAAAGAGAGAAAATAAAAAAGGAGTAACAGAAGGATGGAGGAGGAAGATCTATATAAAAATTATATAAGGAAGATGAAAAAGTATAACCATATATTGTATAGTGGGAAAACCTTATATTAAATAATATGTATATGAATATACATATATGTTATTATACATCCGTTGATATACATCATATTTTCTCTTTCACCACTTTGCCATTATTAAATATGCTATTATACATAAATTTGTTATGAAGTTAAATAAAGAAGGAGAAAGACAAATTACAACAATGAAAATGCAAGGAGGAGGGGAATAGCATATAGTCTTTTTTTTTTTCCTCCTTACATTTATGTTATTTTTATTTATACGCTAACAGGCCCATTAACAAAACTTACAACTGAAGGTACCGTATTATTATTCAAAGATGGTATATAATAAAATCCAGCAATTAAAACAAAATAACTTAAAATAAGAATAGATCCTTTAAAGTAGTTTGATTTTCCTTCTTGATAAGTATAAGTCAATAAGAAGACCGAAAAAATAACCGAAATGACATCCCACCTAGGAAACATTAAACTAAATAAAATAAATAAAAGTTTAGTTTTCTTTTTTCTTTCTTTCTTTCTTTCTTTTCTTTTTTGATACTTTACTTGAAAGTAAACTTTTGAATTTCTTCCTTTCCCCAATTATACCAAAGTGAAAATGCGACCATAACAGGAATCTGTAACAAGCAAACTTGTAAAGCATAGGCAGAACCAATTTCCATACTATATACAACAAATTAGAAAGAATCAAAACCACCTTTTTTTTATATATATATCTTAATATCTTACCTTAAAACAATATTGCCATATAATGCAAAAGAAATAGCATTTGTAAACTCTGTAATATTAGGAACTAAGGCAAATAAAGTCAAACCTAAAAATCTTTCATCAATCGTAGCATTTTCCATCACATCATCTACTGTTTGTACCAAAATCTCTGCAATAATTGAATATAATAAAGTACAACTAAATAAAACAGAATAACTCATCATTTTAGTCCAATTTGGTGAATCATGGCCTGCTGCTGCTTCCTCTTCTTCTTCTTCTTCTGGTTCCTTGGCATGAATAAATGCTAAGGGCGGATTATTAGTTGCGCTGTTGTCGGTTGGACGAGTATCAGGATTGACAGCAATCAAGACAGGTTGTGTAGTTGTATTATGTGAATTTAAAGGTGTATGTTCATCAAGCTGATGCTCTTGGTGTTGTGAAGGATGAATAATATGTATAGGGTATATTCTCTCAGAATGAGTAATCGCTGTAGACGCCATATCATGCGATTTCGAGGCTGGGCTCTTCCATACCATATCAGCATGTGTATGTAAACTAAAAATAAGGCCAATGACATAAGCAGAAGGTAAAATGGCAGCACAAATCCACATAAAAGGCTTAACGCTCTTTTGATAGACTGGGTCTTCTGAGGGATCCATTTGATCATAATAGCAATGAGAACATGCAATAGATCCATTGATTTCTATTGATTCAGGGCAGCCTGTACAATGCAACTCAAACTAAATATTAAATGAAAAAAAAAGATGAGTATCGTTTTGTCTCAACTATTTACAATGAGATTATCTCTTTACCGAGCCAAAGAACTGATAAAACAAGGTGGGAGATAAAGCACCAATGATAGCCATAATTAACATTGTACTAGTAACACCTAATATTATTATATCATATGTAAGTATTGATATGAAAAGATATAACAAATACAAATAAAAAAAAATACAAACTTTACCTGCACTTTTAGCATTAAACTTTTGTTCTTTTCTTTTTACAGCACCACTGATCATAGAAAATCCTGGCATTAATAAGACACCAGCGAGAATACTTCCAATTAATGAACCTTCCACAAGTGCACTTTTACCTCCCATAAGAGCTGCTGCATAAAGAATAATTTCAATGACACTACCAAAGGTAGCATTGATCACAGCACCTAAACCCATACTACTTTGTGCTGATACTGAACTAACACCCATACCAATAAAATAAGAAAGCGGGATCACAGATGTTAATGATAGTCCAAATATAAGTTGAGGTGAAGTCATTAAGGAGTCAGGAAAACGAGGCTTAAGGACATAATCATCAAAAATTACAAAAAATACTAAAGGGATCAAATTAATAAATATAATATTGATGCCGTTATAAGTGTATTTATAGTATTGCCAGCCGAACGCTTGGTAAGTACACAAGAGAATGACTGTTGGCTGTTGATGTGTGCTTGTTAATATGGAAGGCTTTGAATGAAATCGAAGACTTAATGGATGACGTCGAAGATGTCTGACAAGGATATAATTTAATTTGGCCATAGGCACGGTAACAACACATAACCAGCAAATTGCAGATACGAGCAATAAAAGTGGTGCTATACATAATATATATATAAATAACTGTTAACTAACATATGACAATATAATGTATTCATTTATAGAATAGTTTTACCAATTATAGTGTAAAATATAAAATAATAAAGGCAAGCTGCAGGACCTAATTTAATGGTTTCATAAATAGCATGAAACCAATTATATCTTTTACGCGTATTCATATTATGACGACGTTCTAATAATCCATGTTCCTCACATTCTTCAAATTCATCATCATCATCAATCAATATTGAAGACTGACCTACAGAGTTTTCTCTCTGTAAATCACTCATGATAGAAGGTTTAATCTCAACAAGACGTTCCACATAACGTCCAAATGGCCATAATAGATAAGAACTAAGTTCTCGTAACACAAGACCATAGGAATGATCCAAAAGAGTGATAGGCAAAGAGGCCAAAAAGACAGTAAGGGCTAACCACCATCCAAATAAAACTAACCAAAGCAAATTACCTGGATTTAAAAAATGCTCCGATGCTGAAGATGGAGCTGAATGCAATGCGCTATTTGCCTTACGTACAACTGAACGAGATTTTTTATAAAGTGCTGGTTTCCATAATGGTAAGCCAAAAGGGTGTTGTTTGTTCATAGCCTATAAATATAAGTATACTAAGTCCCTTATTTTATTTTTATTTATTTTTTTTTTTTTTGAAGAAATGTAGGCTCTTTACTTCTTGTTTATCTTTTAAAGTTAATTCATGCTCGGTACTTGTGAGGGATAAGTGGTCGTTACTATGTTGACGCGTATGTAAACGATGGCTAGCAAATTCACCATCTTCATCAGAATGGTCAAAGGTGTTTGACTTGTACCTGAATCCTTCTTTGTCATTTTCATCACTATCATCTTCGTCGTCATCATCATCATCATCATCCACCGCGGAAACACGACTATTATTATTTAGATTTGGATAGTTATGGAGACTATCACTTTCCTCAACAATAGAGCCATATTTAGATATTGTGCGGCTTGGTCTTCTTCTTCTTTGAATAGAAGAAGAATTTGACCGGATTTTTTGAAGTTTCGGCCTTTCAGTAGAAGAAGAGTCCATTAATCTTTTTTTTTTTTTTTTTTAAGAGATTAAAAGAAAAGATATATACTTTCAAATGATAGTTGTAGAAGAGAAAAAAAAGAAAAAAAGAAAGAAAGAAACATTAATCAAATGATTAATTATTTATAAGTAAAACACGGACACACAATATAAAGTCCCGTGCTATTTATTATATAATAAAATCGGAAATGATCGTCGCTCCTTAAACAATATTGAAAATAAAGTTTTATTATGTGAAGAAATAACATACATAATTTATAAGTAAAATTTTAATATACTGAACTTTATTCATCGTAATTCCGCTAAGAAACTACTTTCAGGCAATGGTAATAACCTGGTAAAATTAAATTTTGATACTTTACTTATTTAGTACGGAGAAATCCAAATGATTGTTAACTTTGATATTGTTTTCAGGTTCAATTAATTAAAAAAAAAAAAAAAAAGGTTATAGTATAAAGTCATACTAAAGATTTTTAGAAGATAGTCGTTAGTATTACTAACAAAGATATAAAAAAGTATTATAGTCAAGATTAGATTGAGCATTTTATTCGAATAATGCAACAAAAAGGTTTTAACACTACCAATGATGGCTACTGACTAGGAACTGGTTACAAACTATTACTTTAATAATGAAGTAGTTCTTTTTGATACCATCTGAAAACAACTCAAGTAAGGATTTAAGCATTCAACTCTTTGATAACTATCCTTTGATTATTATTTTTTTTTAAAAAAATGAAACAAACGCAATGTGAACCGTTTTAAAGGATTTTGTGTATGCATCGGTGAAAAAAAAAATTTATATATATTCAACATGCTTTTGTAGATAAAATAGACTTTCACTTGCAGTTAATAATATGATCAAAAAATTAGTAGTTGTAGAAGCATACACAAACAGGAACCGTTGGATATTTTCATCTACAGTGGAGCCACTAAAAAAAAAAGATAACGCAATTATTATTGATAAAGGATAGTTTTATGGATCATCGTCATCATAATGGGCAGCAGAACCAATTAAAAAAAAAGTCTATCAAAAAAAAAAAAAAAAAAAAAAAAAAGCATATTATATCACTATTAAATTTATGAATTCAGTTACAAATCTAAACAGATATAATGATAATGATATATTTATTGCCACGAACAATTGTAAAATTAACCACTCTTAATCTATTATGGATGCAATCAATAAATATATTAATAAACTCTTATCCATGCTATTTTTTTTTAAATTAAGAAGGTTACAAGAGAATATGGCTGAAGCTTGTAATCAAGTTTCTATAGCAGATTATTAGAGTCGGATAGAATATACTAAAACTTATTGTAATAGAGGTCCTTGGAAAGAAGTCATATTACAATAAATCAGGCTTCATCAAACAAATAATTAACTTTCGATTTTTATTATTATTATTAAACAAATACAATATTTGATGAAGAGCGTTTTGAAGATGAATTGGTATGTGGTGTTGAAAAATCATTGTCCAAAATAGATAATTTCGAGAACTTAAAGTCAAATAATGATGAAGTAGTGCTACTACTGCTGTTACCAATACTACTCTCTTCTTCTTTAATTACATCTAATAAACTAAGTCTTGGTGTCAGCATTACCTTTTCCCCTTTAATAGCTCGATAACAAAAATCAGCAAAAATATGATCTGCTCTTTTGATAGCTTCTTTATCTTTCACAACTTCACGAACACAAAACCAGTCATGAACAAAATCTTCGATTACAGTTTGCCAATTCACTCCATCATGTTCTGCCTTCATAGCTAACTGTAAAGCATCGTCTCTAAGCACTTCTAAATTACCAATATACATTAATACTTCCGGAGTCATGAATGCTTTAAATCCAGTTTCTAGTTTAGCAATGCCCAAAATACGTTGCTGTTCCTCTTCATCTTGTGAATTATGAATAGGTTCAAAATAGTCTCGTTTAATCACTTTTGCTGTATACTGAGTAATATAATCATATTTTTGATTCACTTTCCATGACTCTGAGTTTGTTTTATCTGTTACTAGAGGAGAGATTAAGACTAGACCTGCAGGTCTTGGTAATTCTTGTAGGATAGGGTGTGATCCTGCTGATTCACTATCTTCGATCACAATTTCAAACATACTTGGATCATGAGTAATAAATAACATTTCTAACGCAAGTGCTGCTCCTGCAGAGTCACCCATAACAATTACATTTTCACTTTTGACTCCTAGCTTTTGAATAAGATGCTCATAAGCCTTTACAACATCTTCTACTGGGCTTGGATAACGATACTCTGGTGCTAATCTAGTTAATGACCCATTTAATGAATGACATCTCTAAAGAATAATTGTATTTTTTTTTCACAAATTACCTATAATCAATCGACATCATCATGCAGCTTAATCCATACTTTTCTTTTAATATATTGATCCAAGCAATATTTGTATCCATATACATTGTGCAACTACCAATACGAAAGCCACCACCTATTTTTTTTTTTTTTTTTTATAAATATAAGGTTAATATCTCATATTTAAACAAATATAAACTCCACTTTTATTTCAGGTACCATGAACATAAAATAGAATAATATCAGCATCATAGATTCTCTTTAATAATGCCTGATCATCTAGTTTCTGAATATTTTCACCTATCCAACAACCTGACCAATCATACTGATTATGAGTACCTAATTTTACTCGATGAATCCAAGAAAGATGGCTTTTCCTTGCTCTTGTTATGTCGTTTAAAATAAGTCTAGCAGCAGGTGCAGGCAATGCAAATATTTTACGTAATAGCTTAATGACAGCTTTTGGTGGTAATTTTCGGATTTGAGCTCTTACACTGTTCATTAATAAAAAGAGAAAGAGAAAGAGAGAGAAAAGAAGTGTGTTGTAATACAACAAGTCCTAAAGCTAGTTTTTTAAATATACTTGTCCATGGGAAATTATATTTTTTTTTTCTATTGTTTACATATGAAAAATACATGTATTTAACCCCACTTTCATAACCTTTTTTTTTTTCCTTTAAACATCAAATGAAGCCTTGGTCATGTATTAATTTTTTTTTTTCTTAAATGTGACTAAATAAAGATGTTTTTATTATTGAATAAGAAAAACATTAAACCTTGAAAAAAACAAAATGTTGTACAAAAGTCAAAAAAAAAGTAGTTTGTTATAAAAGGTAAAACTTTATAAAGTATCATAATAATTATAAAGCCCATATAAAATACTTGTTGAGACCGTCTACAAAGCATTTCGCAAAACATTTTATCTGTTGTTTTTACCGACTTGATTTTTTTTTTTTTTTTGTTGAAAATATTTGTATAAACCTGCTTTTAATATAACATGTTAACAAACACTAACCAGAATGACTCCATTAGGTCTTTTGTTTTAGGAAGTAAAAAAGGTAAATAAACAAACATACTAGTTCTTTTATTAAAAAAAAAAGATCTCTTTTATTTTTATTTTTTTCTTTTGACATAGAATTGAAACATTCTCCTTTATTAAGTAATACATGTATTTCGTATTAGGAAACTTTGCCTACTCATCTAAAACCTGTCTTATAAAGTAAATGGAAATGGTATCCGGTCTTTATTTTATGCCACCAACAAACTTTCTTGTCATTTTAAGCAAATAGAGTTCCTTTTTTGATTTAGGCGTCAGAATAAAATATAGATTCACTAATATTAAGCTCATTTTTGAATTAGACTATAGCAATTTAAAATGTATTCTTCATATTGACTAAAATGGTATTTAACGAAAAATACATATTTGCATGTATGTATGCATATTCGTCTGAAGTTTAAACCGTTGTATTGACTACTATTTTGCAAGTGATGTATGTAAACATACAGACGCATTGACATATCATTTGTAATAACGAATTTCTATATTAGTTTACTTTTTTATTTTTATTTAAACGCTTCAATAAATGTATTTTTTTTTATTATTGTTATTATCAGTAGTGGCATTGAAATACAATCGTGTGGGTATTGAGAAAGGAAAAAGAAAACCTAATTTCGTAATATTTATAATTATAATACAATCTTGTCTAATATCTTTTGCATGTCATTTCGTCTTTTTTTTTTTATAATTGTCCTATGGGCAAAGTAATCTTCCAATTCCACCAGCCTTCTCCTTGTCCAAAAGTCGCATTTGAATCTTGTCGTACGTCAAATAATCGATTTTGCTGTAAATCAATCCAACATCTACCTTGACCCCAATAACAAGTAGAAGAAAATAGAGCAATTAACAATAATGTACAATAAATACTAAAAGAAAAAAAATATGTATATGTTTATATATAGTCAAGATTAATAATGTTGAATTGTTCTTGTTTATTACCAAGGTTTTTGATGAAGAAAGAAAGAAATTAAAAATAAAATAACAAAAATAGGTGGCGCATCAGGGAATGGTAATAAGAGTAGAGGAACAAAATAGCGCATGCAATACATTCTTGAATGGACTATAGTAAAAAAGAAAGAACTAAAAAAAAAAAAAAAAAAAAAAAAAAAAAAAAAAAAAAAAGGGATTTCATTGCTGTGTTTCAAAAAGAATACGATTAAACATTTTTTTTTTTTTATAAATTAAAATTTATAAAGCGACCTATGAGTACATAATATGTTTGTTATATTGAATTGCCCAGGTCAGTTCAAATTATGTGAAAAAAAAAAAAGTTTCTAAAAACCCTCTTACGGGACAAGAGGTAAAAAGGTAAAGGAAAGGAAGAAGAGAAGGTGAGAAAGAAAGAGGAATATTGCTAACAAGTTTAAAGGGACAACCAGTTGAGCCATTTCCTGCCCGAGTCAAGAAGTGGAGAGGGGATAGTTTGTCGTATAGTAGGTAATCTATTTACTGTAGAATGGTGCGCATAACTGGTCAGCGATAGAGCCAGGAAGGAACATCCTAAGAATTTAGGTACTTATGCTGAGGGAGATGATTTAAAAGAAAGGAAAAGGGGATCTGCAATTGATCGTGGCCAGAATAAACGAGTGTGCATGTGCAAGCATTCAGTGGCGTGTGGCCGACTAAAGAGTACATAAGGATGATATGGGTAGGCTTTAGGTATTCCTTCGGGTAACCAACCAAGACGCCATCGAATAGTTCGACTGCGCTTACTGTGTGTTATGGGTAACCAGAGTATCGGATCAATATTCAGATTGAGGCGGCAAACGGAAAGCAAAACAGAACGTATCTCGCCGCGTAGTTGCTGAACATAATTCTTACCCTGTTTAGATAAAATAAAATGTAAATCAGACAGTTTTTTCCTATCGATGAATAACGTACTTTTCAGATATGCGACTCCTGTAAAAGTAGAACGATGGTGAAGCATCCTGATGTCAAAGACCAAAGTGTACTTGTCTGTACAACTTGCCATACACTTTGGCAAAGAGACATCAGAGCATCGAAAAACATAATGTTTATATCGTTTTCTGTCTGGAGTGGCCATGGAGCTCCTGAAGCGTTCAGAAGGAGCAGCTCATAAACTTTCCATCCCCCAATCGCCGTAATAAACACAGTTTCCTTGACGAGATGTAGGTTGCATTACAGGTAAATGTCTTAATTTTAATTCGTCCAAAAAAAAAAAAAAAAAAAAAAAAAAAAAAAAAAAAAAAACTAACATCGTCTAAATTTAAAGTAGAGATACTGTAGCTATCACATCATACACCACTCTAGTTCAGAAGGAAAGAAAAAAAAATAGGTATATTTGTTAATAAAGCGTATTTCCACTGTCATTAATATAATACGGGTCGATGGCTCCCTTTTTCAGACAAGACATATTTATATTCCTTTGCTTTTATAGATTGTCTTGATGTGTTCATGAATAGGCTTCATATTCGTGAATGAGTCTGTCGCTTATTCGAGATGTTTTATATTCATTAAGAGTTTAATATCCGAAAAATCACCTGAAGAAAATTCAAGTTTGTCTTAAAGAAGGTCCTAGTCTTCAATTATCACGACATCGTTTTCACATGGTCTGTTTCAAACACATCATATTGTCAGTAGTCAATTGACCATGATGACCTTTTTTTTTTCTCATTACAAAGTCTCCACATTACTAAATATTTGTTTCCTCTTTTTTTTTATACATATATAGTTTAGCATATCGTTCAGAAGGGTATTGATGATATAATAGATCACTCTTTACCTGTCTTGTTATAAGGAAGTTATGACTTTTATTGTTGTACATATTAATTGATGTTAATGTGTTCTTCTCAACTCCTATTTTATCCTTTATCTTTTTTCTTTATTTTAAGTTTTGAAAAGAGACAATAGAGTTGCAATATAAGATTTAGTAGCGTAGCTTCTTATTTTATCGTAGTCTTTCTACTCATATTAAAAAAAAAAAAAAAGATGTTAACTTGCAATTCACTTATTTTTCTTTTTTCATGACCCTTATCTGTAGTATTCATTCCTTCTCAATATAAATTGATACTATTTATTAAATTAAAAGGATGGATTATATTACGAAATCAAAAGTGGGAAAATCGTATTACGTAATAAAAAAAGAATAGGGTATAATAATTCAACTAGTATTTATTCATCATTAAAGAATTCTTCAACAACGCCTGCAGTTCTTATTACTTTTAAAACAGGGGATGACTTTTCTTCTATCATAGGCTCTTGTTCTGATAATTTGGATACCTTTAACAATTCTAATAAAGCTTGATTCTCTTTTTTTAACTGAACTATTTCTTGTTCATGGCTATCTTCTGATGATTCATGCTCAAATACTTTACGTAAACAGTTTGATAATTTTCGAAGTTGTGTTTGAAGCATTATATTTTCCATAAATAATGCTGCCGTTGTACTCTTCAAAAAAAAAAAAAAAAAAAAAAATTAATACCAATGTAGGGTCCTTCTCCTCTTCCTCCTCCTCCTTATTATTATACTTTTTCCGCATCAAGTAGAGCTTCATATTCTCTTTTAAGCCTTATTTGACCTTCTGTTCTTGTATTCTATTATGTTTAAATTAATACTAAATATAAATGTATATATAATTACTTCCAAGTTCATATACAACTTACAGCATGCACTCTAAGTTTACTTGTCATCATTTCAAAACCTTCTTCATATTCCCTTATAATAGATTGTAAATCTTTTACTTCTGCTTGTAGTTGCTGATTCAACAAGGTGGTTGCTTTTTTTTCTGCTATTGCAATGTCCAATTGCGATTTTAAATTTTCTATAATTTCATCTCTTTGTTCGGGTAATAAAGGATTAGGTATATAAATGTCTTGAACTATATAAAAAATTAATTCAATGAAAGTGTCTATCAATAATAGAGTTATATACCATCTAAATTATATTTTGTACTTGCTTTATTCTAAATAATTATAATAACAAATCAATAGTTTAGTTACATACAAATTCAGGTACATTTTATGTTCATTTACTTTTAATTCAGATAATTGAGAACTTAAACCTGAAGCAAGATCTTGATTATTCTGTTGCTGATAAACTAATTCACTAGCTAATCTATATATTTTTTGAACAATCTCGTCTTCCATGTTTATTGTAATTGGAAATAATTAAAAAAAAAAAAAAAAAAAAAATATCTGATAGTTGGCATTATTTTATTTATTATACTTGAAATCCCCGCATATACTGCAGTAATAATAATAATAATAATAATAATAATAAACTCCTTATATTATGGTATTTTATTTTACAATCTTTATACAGTCAAAATAATTCTAATTGATTATAGTTTATTAGAGCAGCAGTCTTGTTTTTGGATCATAGAATCTCTAGCATGAACTGAATGATTTATCTTTTTATTTGTGGGTGGTACATCCAATGCAGGGTTTGCCATAAAGAAATTACATGGTTTTATAGTAAAGCCACAATATTCAACTGGCATAATAGGAAAATCTTCAACTCGAGGCAAATGGGTGATACCAAATGTATACCATAATACAATATCAGTTTGTTCAATATTGACTTCTTCTTGATTAGCCCAAATCTCGACCGTATCGTTACCTCCTGATTGATTACAATAGAAGCCTCCAGCAAACATCTGTCGCTCGTCATAGACTGTCACCCATAATGTCTTCTTCGCAAATCCAGCACGTTCAGCTACTAGTGAATCGTGTTTTGCATAAAGTGGAGCTGTATGTCCTGATACAATCTTCCAGCCTACAGGAGTTTTACTATAAGGATGAATACGTTCGGTATTTACGATTTTCCAGAAACGTGAAGTGTCATAATTAGCCATCTGTTGGCCTTCCTTTGTAGTCTTCAGGGTTCTGTATGAGGATGTAAAACCGTTACCAAAGGGATTCTTTGGATGGCCAGTAGGGTAAGGTAAAGAATAGGTATCCACTTGTTGAACAGAGTTACGAAGACCGTCGATCATTGGGTCAATACGCATAGTAAAGAAGTGTTGATGGTACTGGGCATTAATTTGTGGAGCAACAATCATGCCCATCCCAGCAGTTGATTCATCTTCAGCCAAAACGTGTGTATTTAATTCACCTGTAGCTTTAACCTCATATTCGAATGTACCATCTTGATAAAAATAATAATAAAGCCCATAATCATAATTAGCCACTGTATATATATATATGTAAATTGTAAATTAGTAACTATATAAATATGTAAATATTTAATTCAATCCCTTTTATGATTACCTGTAACAATTTGAGAGATAACTAATCTTCTAGAACGAATGGTATGAGCACGACCGTTACGATAATCAGTATGCTTCATCAAAATACCATAATCTTCTTCATGAAGACAAATTGCATTAGGGACATGGAAAGGTTTGCCATCATGATCATTAAAAATAGCATCAAAATAATAAATTGAACCAAGACAATCACAACCCAAGCTATATAAAAAAAAAAAAAAAAAAAAAATGATGATAATAATTATTTTAATAAGCCATGTGTGTTTAATACACACCGCACCTCTTATTATCATTACTCACGCTAGACTATTTGTACATAAGCCAAGACCATATTCACCAACATCAAAGGCATGTTTACGATGATGCGGTGAATTTGTATCAGCATAAGGGACAACCATTTCAGAAAGCGAAATACGATAAAATAAGGGACGCCTTTCAGGACCGTCTTGATAGCTTACATTATGAATTACTAAACCTTCACGATAATTCATAGAAATACGCATATTCCATTTTTGCCAGTCTATTTCATGTCCTTTCACGACAAATGAAACACCATGAGGCTGTTGAATGATGATCGGTTTCACATCCTTTCGGTAATTTTCCTCTCCAATAAATTCAGGCAAGAAGTTGTGTTGCTGGAGAGGAATAGTGGGTCGAGTAAATTTAGAATCTCTAGGCTTAATGCGTTCAATAGATATCACTTTCATTAGACCAACATCTAAATAAATAATAGAAATGAGCTATATAAGTCTCAATCATATATATATGTATTACCAATAATTGGAACAAAATCAAGTGGGTGGGCATATTGATTATCATCTTCACAAGTACGCATATACATAAGAGCTTGCATTAAACGCTTTTCACGTCCTGGATGGCTCACATGACGAGCAATAGCCCAAGGATCAGAAAAGACATTGGACATATCTCTGATTCCTAATTCGAGACACTCTTGACGCACCATAGGATCCTTGATAACCAACGCCTCTACTTCAAACATTTCATCCATCGTTAAAATAGGTTGAACATCAGGAACATAGACCCAAGATTTCAAGGATGAATGAGTTAAAGAAACTACAGCTTCATAGCATTTCATTGTCCTTTTCTCAAGAGCAATGACGAGGGCTTCACGTTCAATTTTAGTGACACGATTTGATTTGTCCCATCCAAGATATACAAGCATTTGCTTTTTATTAGGCTCTTTAAGGGTAATCGTATTAAAGACAAAATCAATATTAGGTTTATTTTGACGAGTAATTTGAGCTACTTGAATGATTTCATCACCAGAAAGCTGATCAAGAGGATGTATTTCCTGATGTTGAATTAATGTTGTATTAGAACTAGTTTCTTTAGTAGTAGACATTGAATTATATAGTTTATTATGTGAATAACTAAAAAAAAAAAAAAAAAAAAAAAAAAAAAAAAAAAAAGAGAAAAAGAAAGAAAGAAAGAAAGAAAGAAAGGGAGAGGAGAGAAATCAACTACATATAATCTTTCCCTTTTTTATAATTGCTTACTTTAATTGATGGATGATAACTTTACTGACAAATCAAGACCAATAGGAATAAGAATAAAATCCTTACACAATAGAGAAGCATGTTGTTAAACCTTTATACTAGCCTCAGACCAGTAAATCATAAAAGGCATAAGTACGCCCGTTAAAACAACGGCATATAAAGAGCCTATTTGTCTGTAAAACTGTTTTATCGTCTTTATTTTATATATATAAAAGTAAAGTTATAGATCTTATGTATACTAAAGAACTAGAATACGACATTGTAAGCTGAAGTATTGCATATATGCTTGTTGTTGTAGAAAAATACCAAAAGTATGTGGAAACAATTGGGATAGTAAGACAAGGTCAGATATGACGAAGCGTACCTTCCCAGGACTTGATCTGACAAATCAATGTCCAAATATAGTAAGTCGTGCGAAAATCGATCATAACACTATTGATACAAAAAAAAAAAAAAAAAAAAAAAAAAAAAAAAAAAAAAAGAGGGCTTGATTTGTTATTTATGCATCCAACTTCCTGAAATATAAGAATGAATTACGGGAAAATAAAAATATAAATTAGTTGCATAATCTACTACAAAAACGCGATTATATTACAAGTATAATATCAAATCCTACTAGAATTAAATAAGATATTCAAATACAAAGGGATTACTTGATCTACTTTCATCAGTAAAGCTTTTTTTTTCCCTGTGTTATCTAAAGATTAAAATTTTTATTACAGTAGCTACATTTGATTGAATGCCTCCTATTGTTGATTGAACAATATAAATATGAGTAAAAAAAAATACTATTGAATAATAGCTATTATAATAATACAGTTTGGTATAATATTCGATGTAATCAATTTGATAACAAAGACGATACATAAATGGGAACTATTGATATCTATACTGAAATTACTATAAAATGAATTCAAGTATTATTCCAACTCGTAAGACTATTTTGTTAAAGAACTATATATTTTTTTGTATAATTTTAGTGCTATCTTAATTACGATGAAAAAGACAGGTATGTTGAGCCTAAGAAACTCTAATTGAACGAAAGAAAGTAGTAATTTGGAAATATAAGTGTTGTCACTCATATCTTCAAAGTAGTAGTATGAGAACGACTACATATTAAATACATCAATAGGCTATAATGCTATATATACATACTACATGAAATTTTGACAGTTTCTAAATGTACAAGTAGTAATATCTATATTTTAAATATGTATCTTGTAGTGATATACGTTCATACAATATATCATATCTTTATATGATATACTAGCTCTACTATAATTTGATATAGGATGAATGATTAGGAGTGACACGAGCTTTTGTTTTTGTTTTCTTCTTTATGGTCATCACCATGTTATATCAGAAGAGCATATGATAAATGATATGCTTATAAAGCAATAGCTAATTATAGTAAAGACTGTATTATAAATCTTCTTTCTTCAAGACATGAAAGAAACTATATATTAAACAAATGATCTGGGTATTTTATGTTTCTTTTCTATTCTTCATTAATTTTACAGTTAAATATATATATATAAATGAACATTATTACTATTATATATCATAAGTTGCATATTCAATAGAACTGCTCAGTTTTACATTTCTTTGAATAGTATTAATGTTAAATTTATTACACTACAAATAAAGTGATTATTGTCCCGTTTTAATCTTGATTTTTATATATAAAAAGTATATCATACAGCTTTATATGCGAGTTCATATTTTTAAAGAATAAAGCTGTTTGAAGAATGCATATTATTTTTTCATATTTTTTCTATAATATTTATCATTAATTTGTATGTATGTCAAATAATTACTTATTGAATCAATAAGGCTTGTAGTGATATAGCATGAAACTATACCTCATCGATACTATAGCAATAAGTAAGTAGTAATCCTATTATCATTTTTAAACTCCCCCATAGTTTTTTTTTTCCGCGATTAAGTATGTATTTTTCCTTTTTTTTTTACAACTTTTTTTTTTTTTTTTTTGGAGAATTCTTTTTTGATAGATTAACATAAAAGAAAATAAACATATACATATAAAAAAAAAGAACATGTCTTCACCATCTGGATCTATAAATGAAATGGGTAAATTCAAATAAATAAATAAATATATTTATACATTTAAAGATTTATTTTGAATTAACATACTATTGTAGATGATTCTTCAGTAAATAAAAAGAGAGGAAGAGCTCATTCAGTAGAACCAGTTACACCACAAGAGATAGATAATGAGGTTTGATACTTTACTCTTTTTTTTTTGTCTTTAAGAAATCAACCACTAGTTATTAAAATATTTTATTATATAGTCTAATACTTCTCAGGAAACTTCTTCTGTTACTGTTTCTGCTCCAAAAAAAACGTAATTGACATATTTTTTCTTTAAAAGAAAAAAAAACAAAAACTAATTATTATTTGTTTAAATAGTAAACGCGATGATGAGGATAATTCTACTAGTATCAGTACAATTCGTAAAAATATGAAGGACATGTCAACAACTGATAAAAATTTGACAGATAACCATAGTACTGCTACTAGTGAATCACATGATGATGAAACAATGAGCCATAGCTCAGAAGAGAATGAAGCAGAAGAGGAAAAAGAAACTTCAGAAAAAGATGAAGAAATGAAACAAGAAGCAAAAACTAATGTCGAGGTAAAAGATGAAGACAAAGAATCTAACAAGGAAAAGACGATAACCTCTGATCCATTTACCAAGTTTGGTGGTAATGGTAAGGAAGATGATTGGGGGGAATTTGCTGAAGATGATAATAGTCAGCAGAAGACAAAAGTTGATGTTAAAACTAAAGATACAGAAAGTGAAAATGGTAAATCAAAATATACATTTGGCGCTTCTTCTGGGTTTGGTTCAAAAGGTTGGGCTGCAGCAAACCAAACAGTGCCTATTTCTTCAAAGGTAAGAGGAAATAAAAAAAAAAGTTTTTTTTTGTGTATGAATTGTTAAAAGAAAACTGTTAATTCAGCCATTATTTGGTGGATTTGGTAATACATCTAGTTTTGGATTTAAATCGTTAGGAAGTACAACGACAACGACAACAACGACAACAACTAACGCTTTCACTTCAACAAATGATAATTTGTCAGATAAAAAGACTTCAACTCCTTCATGGGGTTCATTTGTTAATGCTACTGCTTCACCATTTGCTGCTATTGCTGCTTCCGCTGGTAATGCTTTAGCTTCTTCACCTGCAGATAAATCAGATTCTACTTCTAAAAATGCAAATATTACTGTCTCAAATATGAATACAAATACTGAAAAACAAACAGAATTGGATGGTGAAAAAGATGAAACAAGTGCATCCATTAGTACATTTGGAGAAGGGCCTAAAGTTAAAGTTCCTGGTATTAAGCAACAAACAAAAGGTAACGAGAAATCTTTATATATAATAGAAGAGTAACTTATATATACACACACACACATATATATATATATATATGTATATAGTTAAAACTGGTGAAGAAGATGAAGATACGGTTTATCAAACAAGAGCCAAATTATTTACATTGGATACAGCTTCTGGCAATTGGAAAGAACGTGGGGTTGGTATATTCCGTATTAATGTGAAAGACGAAGATGAAGAAAAGGGAATGCAAGCACGTCTTGTGATGCGTACAGATTCAGTTTACAGACTTATTTTAAATCTTTTACTTTTTGAAGGCATGAAAGTATTTATTATGCAAGATAAATTTGTTAGATTTGCTGGATTCGAGTCAGAAACAAAGGAAGACGGTACAGTTGAAACTAAGTTGATTAATTTTGCTTTGAAATTAAAGGACGCTACTCTTGCTAATGAAGTTTGTGAACAAATCTCTTCGTACGTTCCATCTTCTTCTAAAGCATAAATACATCAAAGTTTGGATGTATTAAACTAGTACATGTATCATTTTATATATATACAACCAATTACCCTTTTTCACCTTTTTTTTTTTTTTTTCATATAAATATAAAAAAAAAATATATTACATAATTGGATGTAAAACAAGCCACCAAAATAAATTAAATCAAATTGAACAATAATACTTTGAGTATTTACCCTTTTCTTGTATAAACTAAAAATGGAAAAGGCAAGGAAAGGCGTCAAGCCTATTAAATTTCCAAAGCCTTTATTTGCTTCTTGGAAGAATATCATTGATGAGTACACGACAACTCATGCAAACATTAAGCTTATTTCAGTTGTTACTGTTCTTCAAAAACTTATTACTCTTGAAGATGCTACTTATGACCGACAAGCTGCTTGCATTAAAGAGGCTGGTAAGTCATTCATGACGATTTATAAAATACATGTCTCAATTAACAATATATTTATATGCATATATTTTCGAAATTATTAATTTTTTTTTTAGTTAAATTAATGCAAATGCATGTCAACTCGATTGAGAAATTGCAGCCAGTAGAATTAGAACAGATCAAAACACTTGTTGAACCCATTGCTTCTTTAGGTTATTTTGCTGCATGTGAAAATTTGTCTAGACGAGCTTTTATTCCCCTTATTGAAGCATCTATCAAATGTTCAGGCGAATCAAAAGATATTCAATTCAGACATTATTATATGCAATATACCACGATCGATGCTGAATCTTTATTTAATAAAAAATCGTTAGCTGAAAAAGCATTGACGATTTATGCTACACTCAAGTTTCCACTAGGTCATGATATGATTGTCGAAACATATCAACATACACTTCAGTTTCTTGTAAGTGGACTTGAAGACGCTCAGCGTCAAATTAAATCAGAAACTGCTGCTGTCAACCTTAGTAACACAAATCAACTTATGAATGATATTCAATTCACTATTAAAACATTACTTGTCTTATTCTCTCGTCAACTTCAAGTTGCAATTGACTTATTTTCAAGGTTAGAATCAAATGAAAATCAAGAAGATGACGCGGATATTATTCTTTTAAGTCGTGCTATGCGAATGCTGTTAAATATATGTGTAGATACATCAACATTTATTAAAGAATGCAATCAGGTAGCTGGTATGGCTATAGGTGCTATTATCAATTTAGCTAATAGCCCTGAATTTGCTCGTGATTGGGTTCTTGGTTGGTTTTTTACGAAAAAGGAATTTGTGACTAGTGCAGCTGTGGAGCAAATGAGTCGTATCTTTGATGTCAGTTGCCCTTATGAAAAGCTTACCAGCTTAGAAAGCTGGAACAGTCGTGATGCACCCATCATTTTTATATTAAGAGGTTTGGTTTCTAGTCTTCGAAAAGAAATTGTTACATTAGATTTGCCAAGTCAAATAGTTTTAAATCCTGCAATTGAAAAGTAATAATCGTAACTGATCTGTAACATACATACATACATGTATTTATTTATTTATTTATTTTATTTTATTTTATTTTATTTTATTTTATTTTACTTTACTTTATTTTTTTTTTCCTTTTAATTTAATTAGATTCTTAGCAAAAAATATTCATGAAATTCTCTTTATATGCATTAATTTGTTCTGTGGAAGAGCTGACCTGGATGCTTCTTGCAAAGTTATTGCTTTCGAATCAATGGCAACATGGCTTCAACAGACTAAAGAAATGATGGAAAAATATAATACAAAAGAATTAATGGATGCTGTCTCTGGGCCTATTGAGTCTAATAATATGAATATACTTATTCAATACGTTTGGGATCATTGGGATGATCCTATTGACTCTATCCAACACAAAGTACGTGCTATCTTTGAATTATCGCTTTCTACACTTCAGATAAAGACTACCTTTTATCAACAAGATATGGTATATAGTCAATTTATTGACACGCTTCTAAAAAATTTATTGGCCATGGACTGGCACCGAAAAGTAAAATATTCTCTTTTAAATATGCTTGTTGAAAAAGTACATACAGACGCATTTTTGAAAGCAGAACCTCAATTGATGCAAAAATGTATGTTAGCTATGGATAGTTTTATCCTTTGTCCTCAGATTACATACTTTATTCTTGCATTTTTGTATCGTCGTATTCAAGATACAATTCCTCACCATAAGGATTTTAAGGGTCATAATGGTAAAATCAAAGACAGCGATGATACAGCAGTCAAAATGGCTATTCAAGCTTGGATTCATCTCTGGGCACCTTCTTTATTGCATTGCTTAACAGCTTCTTCTGAATTATTACGTAAAAATATGAGTGGGTTCTTGTTACAACCATTGTTTAAAGTTGCACCTCAATCTTTCTGGTATATAGTTTACGCCTTTCAAGACTTGGAACATCCTTTATGGACACAACCAAAAGAGAATTTAGAAATCAATCCTGATTTAAAACTGAATGCCTTTATTGCTGTACTCAAAGCAGGTAGAGGTCTTGATATTGTAGATGGTACAACTTATACAACTAAAACAGTACCCGAAATAGATCAAAAGAAAATCTCTATCGAAACTCTAAAGCTTGCTATATACCATAGTGACGATCAAGTGCGTTTAGATGTACTTGGCTTAATATGTGAGTCACGTAAAGCAACAGCTCAAGTAACTACAACAGAGTTAGATCTTTTGAAACTATTTATTCCATTGAATATGAATTCAACTGCACCTGAATTCCGTCAACAGATGTGTGCCCATTTAAGTAAAATCTTGACTCGCCTTCGAGGAAATTTATACTCTCAATATCGTAATTATAAATCACTTCTAATCTATGCTGACAAGAATACAGGTATAAAGCGTGAAAACGCCTTGTTGGACGCTCAGGATATTTTAGTTGAGATTGATCAAGCCAAATCCTTTTTGCATTGGATCTGTGATCATATTGCAGAATCACTTTACCCCGGTGCGTCTTATCAACGTGTTGCTACGACATTGCGTATTTTAAGCATTGTTATTAAAATATTTGGTGTTACAGAGCTACCCTCTATTGAAGGATTTACTGATGAACAGCCTGATTTCCCCTTTAAGGTGCCTATTGCAACACCTCGTCTCTCAAAGCTTTTAGTGGATGTTCTCATGAATCCTTACGATTTCAATCGTGTTCAGGCTTTTGATATTTTATGTCAATTCCCTAGTCCACTTCCTGGTATTGAAACTAAGAGCGATGTACAAGACTTGCTTTGGTGGGGGTTAAATAATGTCATAAGCACTCGCGCTGGTGAAAGTGATAGTGGTGCCATGATTTTCCGTTTAATTTTCACGAAATATGTTATACGTCTTGGATTTGATTTGAGCCCAGAGCAGCATGCTACTCCTGTAACAAATAATACAAAAGCTATGGTGAACACAACTGCTGCTATTGTTTTTACAGAACGATTATTAGATCTTCTCGAAAAACAAGTCAATATTGCTAAATCCAACCTTTTACTGGCTGCTCAGCAGCATCCAATGCATGGTACATTACTTGCTCTTCAGTACGTTTTTCAAGAATTAGATTATAATAGTTCAAGTACAATAAAATATCTTCCCGCTTGGAGGAAAACCCATGCTCGTACAATTAGTCTAATTCATATTACCTGTAATACGGTTATGCCTGTTTTATCGGATGCTTCTCCAGAAGGGAATGTACCTACTGATTATCGAGAAAATGAAGCAGAAGACGAAGACGAAGACGAAGATGCAATTGATATGAGCGATGACAGTACTACAGGCCCTAAGCATCAAGTTATTTTAAGTTGTTGTTGGCGTGCTGTTAAGGAAGCAAGCTCACTTCTTCAAGCCATTATATCAAAAGCACCTGTGAGTCCTACCACAGAAGATGACACAATTCTTACTTACAAAGACCTTGTTGAAAGTGGCACACTTTTCCGTCAATTGCTAACTAGCATTCGACACCGTGGTGCATTCTCTGCGGTTTATCCTGCGTATGTTTCCCTTAATACGCGTTTACTCACTTCATGTGACCCAGCCATTGCACAGCTTCCCTCTCAATGGCTACAGGAGAACCTAGATAGCCTTATATCTAGTAACATATCCATTACCCGTCGTAGTGCAGGGCTTCCACTTTGCATTCTTGCTATCGTTAGCAGTGAACCGTCGGTGAAAAAGGAACTTCTTGCTAAAACAATGAAATATTTGATGAAACTTGCACACGATGAGCCTCCCATTGATGCAGATCAAAGAATTGATCTTCCTCAAGTTCATGCGTATAATATTATGCGTACAATCTTCATGGATTCTAAACTAGGAACTCACGTTTTAGAATATGTTTCAAGCGGATTCTCTCTTGCTATTAATGGATTCTCTTCACATAGTTGGGCCATTCGTAATTGTGCCGTTATGCTATTTTCTACATTACTACAGAGAACATTTGGTACAAAAAAGACAAGAGATGAGCATAGTAGTGTTAATACACTTACAGGTCGTGAATTCTTTATTCGTTTCTCTGATTTACATCCTTACCTTTTAAAAGAATTAAGTACGGCTGTAGATCAGTTATTGAAGAATTCATTGGCAGCAAGCGTGCATCCTGGATTATATCCTATTCTGACGCTTTTATCTCGAATGCAACCTTCCACAGAAACAATCAATGAGAAGAAGGAAACTGTCCTAACGCCCTTTATTCCACTAGTTATGCCTTGTGCTGCAAGTGCTATTTATAAGGTAATATATAATACTATGTTTTGAGATATTTTAATTAATACAATTATGTATCAAGACACGTGAAATGGCAGCTAGAGCCCTTGTACCACTTGTGCTTGATGTTGTTACTGTCATTAAACAATTGATGGAATTTCCTGAACAAATCACGCAAAATGAAATCCATGGTCGTTTACTTCAAGTTCAGTTCCTTTTACGTGGACATTTTTACTCTGAAAACTCACCTTATACTGAATTTATCAATGATATGCCTAGTATTATGATTCATATGCTTGATTTAGTATATGAAAAGAAATTTTGCAATATCAACAGTGCTCTTTTATTAAATATTATTGGTGAATTCTTTTTTGATACCAAATGGATAACAGAAGGTGGAAAAGATAAAGAAGTGATTACGGGTATGTTTTATTTTATTTTATTTTATTAGCCGTATTTCGTGTTATTCATCTTGAAGACTTTTTTATTTTTATTTTTATTTTTCAGAGCTTATGGAACTTACTAAGAATAAGTTTGCTGATATTCGAAAAAGAACTAAGAAATATTGTTTGGATGCTATTAAGGATGATCAAATTTTGGGTATTGGTTCTTATTTAGTCAGGGAAAGTATGGCAAATATTATTGTCATGAGCACTTTGTATAAGCCTAATGCAAAAATTGATGATATTATGTTCTTACTTGTGGACCGAGATTACGAAGTACGCTTCTTGGTTCTACAAAAGCTTTTGAATTACTTTGAAACGATCTCTGAATATCCTAGGTAAATTATAAATGTTTATTGGCTAGCACATTATATTTTTTTTTCTTGTTCTCTAAACATAGTTTATTTGATGTTATAGTACAAAGCAATTGCAATCTTTGCTTGTAGAAAGGACTTATTATGGTGAAGATAGTCTGAATTGCTATGTATTAACCGTTAAACTATTGATGGTTATAAAATCAACTGATCCTTATCCCACTGATATCAAAATGTCTTTCACTTTAAAACAATATTGGGATAGACTTGTTGCTCAATTTACTGAAAAACGTGCCTTGTCTATTACTGAATCTGTCCTTCCATTGCTAAGTGCTTTACTTTCACAGGTATATATATATGTATATGAATGTTTATATGATATTTATTTTAATTATTATTATTATTATTATTTTTTGTATATAGATTCTTCGCAATTCTTCATCGGATACTAACTGGATTCAGCAATGTCTTGTTATTTGGAGCAGCTATATTGAAAAGTATAGTAGAAAGGACATTACATTACCTCTTCGTGAAGCAGTTGTAAAATCACTTCACTTTATTTCTGAGCAAATATTTGCTGCCAATAATACGTTTGAAATACAAAACGTTGAAAATGCTCGTATTATAGCTGCATTAGCTATTACTCAACTTTTACAAGATGATGACGTTGATGTACGTAATGATATAGCTGCTATTGTTTCAAGAGCACTTCATTTGCAAGCACCAGTACATCATGACCGAGCTTTAGAAATTGTTCATAGATATTTAACTACCCAGTTTAGTACATCTAAATCACTTGAATCAATTTTGATGACACGCTTAACTGACAATAGTAATATTCGTAAGTTTTTTTTTTTTTTTTTTTTGTTATTCAGAAGGAAATTATTTGCACGAATACTTATTATTTTTTTTTTTTATTTAATATATAGAACATATTTGGGAAAACGAACTATCACAGTCAAAGGCTCTATTTGCTAAAGAAAATCCTAATATTTATAAAGAAGATTTGATTGATTTACAATGGGCTAATGTAGATTTAGATACCCTTCATTTACAACATATGCCTGAAATTAACAGCTTTGAGCCTATAATATCAAGAGTTCAACAACTTGTGTTTTTCAGTAAAGCAATCAAAACTGCATCTCGAACTGTAAGGATAAAAGATTCCAATGTTAAGTTACTAATAAAACATTATAATAGATTATGCAGAATGGTCCTTTTGGTATCACTTCAAACGCAAATGTTTTCAAAGCTGTATATAGTAATATTCTATCTTTACACTTGGATATAGAAGCGTTAAATCACTTGAAACCTATTCCTTCAGAAGTATTACAAAACATTGAAGGTATATATTGTATATATATATATACATATATGAATCTAACAAATTATACTTTTCTGTAGAACTCTCTTCCTTATTGGTAGAATTAAAAGAAAATTGGGTTCATCCTATACTTTGGGCTCTTTTGCGTGATGAAACTGGATTATATTCAAAGATCAGAAACCTGCTAAAACATCATGGAGGTCCTGTTGTGTTTGATAATATGTTCTTGTTATCTCCTGATTCTAAATGTTTGTGAATCATATAATGCAAAAATTTATTCTCGTTTAAATAAATTCATTAAAGGAAAACTATAGATATTAACTAGAATTGTATGAATACTTTTTCTTGTTCTTTTTTTTTTTCTTTTTCTTTCCAATTATGTATAATAATCACCAAAAGCGACCATTATATTATTTGTATCTATAAAAAAATATAAAGAAATCCTTTGATAGCTATGTAGTACATATACATTTATATGAATAACTCTGTAGGAGTATGTTTAAACAATACATTGATTAGATAAGTTTTTATATATTAATATACAGATATAAATAGTGTCAAAGTACAAGAAACCTTTTACATTATTTAGTATATGTCTATCAAGTTCAAAAAAAAAATAAAAATAAAAGTAATATTGAAAGTTATAATTTAATTAGAATAGCAGGCTTTATAATTGTTCTATAAACTATACAAAAGGGGAAAAGGATTTATTTAATTTTTTTTTTAATAGACATTTTTTTTGTTTTAGCTTTTGGCTTCTGTAATAAAAGACTAAACAAATATAAAAATTAATGATTAAAGTATTACTTAATTAGCTAAAAAAAAAAATAGACTTACTTGGAAATATTTCTTAAATTGTCTGTTTTCATATTGTTGAACTGCTTGACAGTATTTTTCTGCAGTTTCTGGTGGGCATTGAATAGAAGGGAAAAATGCAGTCTTCATGTATTCAATAAACTCATTACCCTGTTTGATATACAAAGCTCTTTGAATACTTGTCATCTCACCAAATACCTAGAAGAAGAATAATGAATTAAATATTTATATATTATCATCTATTGCGGTTTCCTTACCAAAAGTGATTGTCCATCTGCCAAATTAAATGCTGCACTCATTGGTACAGAGAATGTAATAGGCAAAAGCTCATTATATACAAACTGATCAAAACCAGGTACACCACTTGCAGAACTACCTGCATCAGTAGCCCATGCATTTACCATTTTTAAAAACACACCAAACGACATCTTTTGTGTGGTAGGATCCGAGTTATCTTTGGCAAAATGTAATAAACTTTGTAAGATAGTATTAAGATGCCCCACATTTCTTTGACCCACGAAAACTTTTTCAAGGCTAGCGTTGAATAAATTAAGGATAAAGTTGAGATATGCCTTACGCAAATCAAGCAGAAGGAGTGCTTCATCTGTACCCGATGGAGTTGTATTAAGAAAATCAAAGACACGTTGAACAAGTGGAACAAGAAGTTCATCAACAATAGATTCAATCATTGGTTTGTATTTATGGGCAACAAGGCCAATGAAAGGCAAAAAGTCAACGAGTTCATTAATTTGACATTCTGTCAAGAGTCCGTTAATCAAGTTAGGTAAGTAGGGTAAGACTACAGTCCCTAAACAAGTAATAAGTCGAGCAAATGTATATCGAACTGCATCTCGAATCATTGCTATTTGACTAAAGGTTTGTAAGACACTTATAATAATTTCTGTAGCTTGAACAAATACAACGGTCCAAGGAAGTTGTACACCTTCCGATGGCTTTGCCAAAGTAGGAAAACCTATAAAAAATTAAATTTAGAATATTAAAGTATTCATATTTGGAGTATAAATCTATATATACCTTTTGCAACACTTCCAATAGCCATAATATAATGATGTAATTGAAGCAAAAAGAGTTCATCATCTGGGCGAGGTTGCACCATTGACTTTTGAATACCATCCACCAAAGGCTCTAATACTATCTTAAGATATTCGGTTTGTTTTAAGGGATCAATACTTTCCAAGGAAATTAATGACCCAACTGTCTCAAACAAATATAATTGACTATCAAAGGTAGATGCAGCAGGCATAGGTGTACCATCCATTGTGCTTGTCTCTACAATAGGTTCTGCCTGAATTGTTAGGAGATCACCTAAGGAAGATAAAACATTCTCTACATAAGGACCCATTCTAGGTCGTAAATTTTTAACAAAGCGTTGGAAGAGATACCAGCAGCGGGTACGGATTTGCTTTACAGGATGATGTAAACCACGATTGTCAACAAAGGCACCCAATGCTTGAGGGAGCTGACCAGGCCTATGCTCAAAAAATTGATAGTAACGTGCCAAATTTTCAAAAAATTGCATGGCACATGAAGGATGGGGATAGGCAGAGATATTGGATGAGACCATTTCAGAAACCATTTCACCTAAAGGTGTTAATATATCATTGTTATTAGGTGTAACAAAAATCATAGCTGCCTTTGCAAGTGCTTCGCCATAACAATAAAGTACATAAACACATAATTCTACATCACGCCAATTTAATTCTGTTCCTGTTTCATATTTTTTAAATGTACTCATAACAAATGTATGAATATATCTAACGTATAACTCCTCATTGATGGCTGAAATATGCTCAGCAAATATTCTCAAATTCTACAAAAAAAAAAAGAGAGAATATAAATATTTGCATATACACAGATAAATAAGTTTTTTTTTTTCTTTTTTCCTTTTTTTTTATATACCTTTCTCATCTCAAAGAATAAAGCTTCGTCTTCAGGTTCATCTTCATCATTATTCCAATCTGTCTCATCATCATATCTTAATTTCATGATAACAACATTTAACAGTGAACCCAAAAATTCATGTTGACCTTGAGAGAAAGGTTGCATTTGTTTCTTTTGTCGTTTGAACTATAATAGAAAATACATTAAAAATAAAGTACACTTCTTTTTTCTATCAAGACTTACAATATACAACATATCATTAACAAAAGGAAATACAGCAGAAGAAGTATCATCATATTCATTTGCCAAGAATTTAAGTAGATAAGGTGTTACTTGGTCAATCATATTCCAAGCAGTTTGCTTTCCATCTGCTTGAAGTGAAGGTTCTGCATATATTTTACAGAGCTCTGTACCCATTGCGTTTATTAAACGAGCTACATATTCAACAAATTCTGGTTCAGACTATAGACAAATGAATTAGCTTATTTCACGTGAGTAATAACTTTCTGTATAATCTTACCAAATCTAACCTTCCTAATATATCTGTCAAGTTCAGCATTTGAAGCATATTCAGCTTATCCATAGGTAACATGCCTTTACTAATAACATCTGCTAAACATTCACAGGCAGAAATACGCAAATTAGTATCAGACAATAAATCATACAAGACATTCATCACTTGATCATTAACAACCAAGGCAATGTCCATCCATGCAACGTAGGATCCAATATTCTTGAGTACAAGTTGTGCAATAGCAGGATTGACTGATCTAAATTCCTGCAAGAGTTCAAACCAAAATGATGCCAACAACTGAATATCACCTAAACGCATTGTATCCTTAATAGCTGTATTACGAATTACTTCTTCTCGAGTACGAGGAATATCGAGACGAGCAATTTCTTCATCAATGCTAATGCAAAGTCTTAAAAAAAAATCAGCAGCTTTTTCGTGACTGGGTGTACCAGCAGGTGTTTTAGCCACCGCCATTATGTCTTTAAAGAAACTAGGCCAGGTTGTTGGGTATACATGTATAAATAAAAGTGTAAGTAATTGAGCCGCCTTATTTCGAATAACTTTAAAGAAAAAAAAATGCATGAGCAAAAATGTAGATTTAAATATTTGAAAGGGTCTTACATGCTTCTTCAGATCCGCTTATAGTGTTGTCAACGAATTCCCGACGAAGGTATTCCATCATTGTCTGCTGAATATATTCTACTGCGACATTATCTAAAGTATCAAATCTATATATTTGAGTTAGAATAATAATGAATCTGCATATTAATGAATAAATACCTATTTCTTAAAGTGTTCTCTAATACTTGAAGTGAAAAGAATCTTGCTTCAGGAAGTCTAATAACTCAATATGATTAATTACAGGATTTTACTTTCTATTTTTCTTTTCTTTTTTCGGATTACTTACGCTTTCGGCTCTTTCATGAACAATTGAATACATAATTGCCAACCATCATCTGAGTTTTTGACTTGTTCACAATATGCATTTGCCTTTTTTAAATAAGAATAACGCGTTAAACATTCATACAAATAAGTGACATTTATTTTTATTTTACCTGCGCTTTCAAATTTGGATCGACTTGAGGACCAAGTGCATACATGACAGCCTGTTCGATTTGTTCCATTTTTTATTATTATTTGAATGTATTAAAGTCAACTTTTTTTGAGGAGAGGAAGGAAAAGAATGAGATAATATAAATAACTTGAAATTTAAAAAGTCTATAAATTTATTTAAAAAGAAAGATCGAGATTTGATTCGTCTTTTTTTTTTTCTTGGTGGTTAATTTAAGTTTATAATAAAATAAAGGCTTATAGTATTCTGGTTTTATAATATATTGTCTATCAAACTTCAATAATTTAATAATAATAACAATAATAAAAGAAAACTGTTGAATGTCTACTTTTTTTTGTTTACTTTAAAGTAATTAAAGAAAAAAAAAAAGGTTTATAAATTATATGTAAAAAGCCTTCAAAAAAAAAAAAATTAACTTAATTTCAAAGCCAGAAATTATACGTTTCTTTGACATTTTCGAAAAATAGTTTAATTCAGAAATGTTAAACAAATTTGTTCATAAATGAAATTATACAGGCGAGAAATTAGTGAACATATGCTCTCTTATTAATTATATTGATATGAATTATAAATTTTTATATAATACTAATAAATTGATAATTGAAAATATACATTTTTAATACGATATTACAAGTCTTTTATTTGTTTAGCAAATATTCATCTTACTTTTGCAAAATAATTCCTGGACTTATCCGAAAACTCTTTATATAATATAATGTAGAAGTTTGATTATAAATGTTAGTTTTTATTACTAAAAACTTCAGAGCAAAAATTCATCCATTAGTTTGTATTTTACATTATACTCTACCTTTACCTTTGGATTTAACATTATTCTTTTCCTTCAAAATATAATTCATATCCATGAAAACCTAATGTACTAAAAAAAAATATCGTACATTTATCAGTGTCATAATAATTTAATTAATAAAGATCACGAAGACTCAAAGCAGAAATCTAAGGTGTATTTGTGCAAAAATTAAGTCGCACTTGCCGAATTTTTTAAGTCGTTTTTTTTTTTATTATAATTATAGAATAGTTATATAGGTTCGTTATTTTCACATTTTTGAAATTAATTCACTGAATGCTGCACGATAGCACGAGAGTTATTTAACTTCAGTACACCACAGCTGTCAGTCATCCTACTCATAAGGGTTTCATTATCAGCAAGCTTGGAACACTTAACTTTGTCTTTAGCGACCTTCCAGAAATTCTCGATCAGATTAAGTTCGGGGGAATATGGAGGAAGATAGATGTAGCAATAACCTCGTAAGTGGATGTATCAGCCTCTGTTCTTGTTCTGCTAGATAGGAATGTTATCCGTTACTAGATAGTGACCCTTCATTGCTGGAAAATTGTCCATTTCGTCTATGATTGCTTTAAGAAATTGAGGTAATTCCCAGTGAATGCGCCTTTTGTGATGGCATCCCTACCCATTTTTTCCTTTCTTAGCAGGTTTCAGTACTCGTAGACAAACATGTGAATGGTATTCTCGGTGAAGATTGTTTCCAAAATACTGGTGATTTTTGCTCTGGTAGTTAGCGTTGTTGTAGCATCTCGACTACCTTTGTTTAACTAGCCATACCTGCATCGTATGTTATAATTAAATACTGGTTTATTCAGAAAGACGTAGTTGTTAAGAAAGTCTATTTCTGTATTTTGTCAAAACTTGATCCAATCATATCACATCTAGAGGTTTTCTTTACCGTTCCTTTGAACTGATTGTTAAAAAATTCTCTCGAACGTAAAATTGCATTCAATATTTATTAACGTGTGAACTGTTGTTTTTGCAACTTTTAGTTTCTCAAACTTCTTGGTGAAATTATTCATCACGTCCTCGACACAAATACTAGCATCATTAGAGGCTACAATGGCGGATGTGATATTTGTGCTTGTTTCTGAGAATCCTTTTACAGCTCCTCTTCTTTCCTTTGTTAGAAATTGCTTATAGCTTTTTTTCATACTTTTTTACTCAACGTAGAGCCACTCGAACATCGATCTTGAGATCAAGAGCTACCTTTCTTGCAAACAAAGCTTGATCAAACGGTTGTGTAATAATTCATCCAGTATCATAAAATACAGTTATATGTTCTTCCTCTCTTCTTTATCTTTTTCCCTTTGACTGTCAAACGTTTTCTAATCTCTATTTTCTCCCTTTTTTTTTATCTGACTCAGGCAATACAATATTAATTTATTGTATGCTCAATGGGTTTTCAGTAAAAAAAAAAAAATACATATTTGTATATATTTAATCGTATTACAGATTGAATTTATGAAGACTATAATAGTGTTCTCATTAAAGAATATATAAAATTAACAAAGAATACAATATATATTCTTAAGTTTTTAATTTACTATTGTAGTATAAGAAGGATTGCAACAATTCAAATAGAAGATTGTATTTCCAACAAAGGATGAGATTTACATTAAATTTACTAGATTAGGTTAACAATGATTTTCAAAAAGCCAATTGAGCTTCCCTTCTTCCCCCTAAAAAAAAGGGGCTCTTATTACATCTTGAAAAACTGAATCGAGAAAAGCTGAAGGTAGTATTCATTTAATAAGATTCTCATCTTATTACTATAAAATGCCTTTGTATTCTTGGTTTGTTTTTTTTTCAGAAAATAAATTTGAATAAATGTAATTCCGCTTAATTTTTTATTATAACATAAAAAACTTATTTTATACAATTTACATTTTATTCATTTTGCATCTAAAGAAGAATGATTGGCGTTGATGAGATCCTTAAAAAGCGTAAGCTATTACAGTTATTGAATACTATTTATCAATAAGTAACAATTATATTCTTTAGGGTTTTTGGAACTAATTAAATCTGTTAATCCTACTGGAAGATGGAAATTAGTTGTTGTGGATAGTCTTTCTTCTAAAATACTGAATTCAGCTTGTAAAATGTATGATATTCTCGAGGAAAATGTAAAGTTTCATTATATCACTAACTAAATTTAACATACTAATATTTATACTTTATTTTAGGTCACCTGTAATGTATATAAATAATGAAATAAAAAGGTATATAAAAAGAATAACATCTGTTTTTGCTTAGTGGTGGAAAATATCGAAAAACCAAGACAACCGTATCCAAGCTATGAAGCTATTTATATTTTAACACCTTGTATTGAATCATGTTCACGGCTTGTAGATGATTTTTCCCGCAAAGAAGGAAAAATGTATGCAGCTGCGCATGTTCATTTTATTAATGGTACATGAAATATATCGCTTTGAATTATATACAAATTACTAAACTGTTTATTACATAGCATTGGAAAATAATACATTTAATGAATTTACTCGACTTTTGAATGCAGCAAATGCAGCAAATGATATACGAAGTTTAAAAGAAATGTATGTTGATTTCTTAGTTCGAGAAAATTGTGTCTATACTTTAGATGATCAAAGGAAATTCCTTGGATTATTCGGTTCTTATGAAACAAGTCCTTCTACTATTGAAATGCAACTAGATGATATTGCTAGACAGGTAAATAAAAACTAGATAAGACTGAATGGATTATTAATTTTTGTTTTATTGACCCTGTTATATAATAGCTTTTATGTGTATGTGTCACTCTTGGAGAAAATCCATTAATTCGATATCATCGACCTTTAGATATCAAAGATACCATCAATCGACGTATTCCTGAACAGTTAGCAAAATTGATTCAATCTGAATTGGATAATTTTTGTACAACAAATCCAGAATTCCCAGTAAAGTATTAAAAATAGACATAAAGCAAATAGAATATTAATTTCATTTTAGCCCCCCAGAGATCCACCACTTCCAAGTGGTACACTTATTATCCTTGACCGTACCATTGATCCTATTTCTCCCTTTTTACATGAATTTACTTACCAAGCTATGCTTGCTGACCTTCTTCCGGTTGAAGAAATATCGAATGGTCTTAAGTATGAGTATAAATACACTCAAGAAGATGGCACAACACAAAATCAAGAAGTTACTTTAATCGAGACTGACCCAGTTTATACAAGTATTCGCCACATGCACATTGCAAATACTACTGAAAAACTTATTAGTGACTTTAATGCATTTTTAAATGAAAATAAAATCTCAACTTCAGGATCAACAACAGTTGCAACTTTAAATGATATGAAAACTATGATTTCTAATTTACCTCAATATCAAGAAATGAAAAGTCGATTTTCAGCTCATATGAATATTGCTAATGAATGTATGCAGGAATTTAAAGATCAAAATCTTGAGGAGATTGGATTAATCGAACAAGATATGGCTTGTGGTGAGACACCTGAAGGAGATAAACCAAAAAATCTAGTTGAAGCCTTGACGCCTATCCTGGATGATCCTCTTACAAGTCAAATGATTAAGGCAAGATTGATTTTATTATGGATAGTAAGCTCAGATAGTGTAGATCCTGAAGATTTGGAGACCTTATTGGCGGTTGCACGTCTCGAACAAGAATACAAGGATGCGATTGAAAACATAAAGCTACTGGGTGTACAACTATCTAAATCAGCAAACCGATTAGGTAAAAAGATGAAAAAGCAAGAACGCACAACAAAGAAGAAACAAGAGGATGATGTACCATTTGATTTATCTCGTTATGTTCCTGTTGTAAAACGTATTGTAGAAGGGCATATTGATGGTACAATTGATCAGAGCTTGTTTCCTAATAATATTCGTAATGTTAAACAAAACAATACACGTAAGAATACTTCTGAAGCACATAAAGAAGCCCCTAAATTAAGAGTTTATAAAACTCAATGGCATAAAAAATCAACAGGAGCTAATGTAAACTTTAATTTGAATACAAAGTTTGTACATTTAACTCACAAATAATTGTAGGCTGCACCCAAACCACCTTCAGGTCCACCTGTTATTATTTTTATTGTAGGTGGTATGACTTACTCAGAAATTAGGTCTGCTTATGAAATAGCTGAAACATATGATCGTGAAATTTATATTGGTAAAGATTAGATTTCCATCTCTTTTTTTTTTTGTTTTATTTTATTTTCTCTAATGTTTTTTTTTCATAGGATCAACACATATAATTACACCTGATAAATTCGTAAAGGATCTTTGTCAATTAGATAAACGATTGTCACCATCTAATAGTGTTGTCCCTGCTTATACAGGTTCTGTTCATAAAAAAAGTACTACGTCTGCTACTCAATCATCTATTACTTCAAAAAATAGCAATAAAAAGACAGCACTTCCTCCTCGTACTGCATCTTCCATTTCAAACAGTAATGTATCCAGTAAATCTGGACATCATAAATTATTAGGAAAATGGTAACATATATAAATAAATAAATATGATAGTTTATATATATAAATATATGACATAAAAGGTATATTATAAGGATTTTTTTTAAACCTGAGTTTTACTTCCGATAAAGCTACGAAAATATATACAAATATATTATATACAAAGTGTATATAAGTCAAATGGATTTAAATCTATACTAGACATTTAATCTTTCATATACTTAGTTATGTTCAAAGAAACAAAAAATAGGGGAATACTGTCAGTTTGGTTATATAAATTTTTTTTTTTTTTTTTTTTTTTTTTTTACATTGAAATGTTTAAATAAATTGCGGGTGAGTGCGGGCTTTTTTTTTTTTTTCTTTGTCTTATCTGTTTTTTTTTTTGTTTTTTTTAAAGCTTATTTTTGACCTCTATCTTTTTTTTTTCTCTCTCTCTCTCTCTTACAAATTTTTCTTCTTTTTATTCTATATATATATTTTTCTTTTTTTATTGTATATAATATAATTTTTTATATAACTAAAAGAAATGACTTTCCTTGCAACTCTTAATCGTATGGCTCCCAGCGCTATTAAGCATGCTGCTACTATCTCTACTAAACCTACTACTATTGCTATTCTTTCACAAAAACGTTTCAACTCCACTTCTTCTGGGACTGAGGTTCGAAATATACACAAATTTTTTTAAAAAAAAAATTGGGGGGAGAAAAGGATGCGGGGGAAGGAAGAGTAGGATAGACAGAAAAATATAATTGACATATATATATATATATGTATTTATCTTTATAGATGACTGTTCGTGAAGCTTTAAATCAAGCGTTAGAAGAAGAGATGATTAAAGATGATAAAGTATATATTATTGGTGAAGAAGTTGCTCAATATAATGGTGCTTATAAGGTAAATGATTCTTTCGCGAATTATTTTTTTTCTATTTAGTTAGGGGTGGAGAGGGGTGTTGTTAGTGGCTATACATATGGGATTATCCGGGAAAAAATAAAAAAAATTGGGGTAGATTCGGGTTCAAGGGGGGAAACAACCATGGTCTATAGTTATATGGAGTTTTAATTTTTTTTATTATTTATTATTCTTACTTCTCCCCCGCAAAAAAAAAAAACCAACAACATATAGGTTACTAAAGGCTTGCTCGATAAATTTGGACCTAAAAGAGTGATTGATACCCCTATTACTGAGATGGGCTTTGCTGGTCTTGCTGTTGGTTCTGCCTTCAGTGGATTAAAACCCGTTTGTGAATTCATGACATTCAACTTTGCTATGCAGGTACGCATATATATATATATGCATATATATACATATAAAACAAAGAGATATTGTCAAATATATATATTTATGCGATTTGTAATAATAGGCTATTGATCAAATTGTTAATTCTGCAGCCAAGACACATTATATGTCTGGTGGTATTGTTAAATGTCCTATTGTTTTCCGTGGACCTAATGGTGCTGCCGCTGGTGTAGGTGCCCAACATTCTCAAGATTTTTCAGCCTGGTATGGCTCTGTCCCTGGTCTTAAGGTTGTTTCTCCTTGGAATTCAGAAGATGCTAAGGGTCTCTTGAAGGCTGCTATTCGTGACCCTAACCCAGTTGTTGTTCTTGAAAATGAACTTCAATATGGCATTTCTTATCCAATGTCTTCAGAAGCACTCTCAAATGACTATGTCTTGCCTATTGGTAAAGCCAAGATTGAACGTGAGGGTAAGGATATTACCATTGTCTCTCACTCTCGTCCTGTTGGTTTTGCCCTTAAGGCTGCTGACCTCTTAGCTAAAAACGGTATCTCTGCTGAAGTTATCAACTTAAGATCTATCAAGCCTTTGGATACTGAGACAATCTTCAAATCTATTAAGAAGACAAATCACATTATTACTGTTGAAAATGCATGGGCTGCTTTTGGTTTTGGATCTGAAATTGCTGCTCAAATTATGGAAAGTAAGTTATAAACAAACAGATAAAAAAAAAGTGAAAATATGAATGAAAAAGGGGAAAATACTTGAATGTTAATTCATTTTGTTATTTATAAGGTGACGCATTCTGGTACTTGGATTCACCCATGAGTCGTGTAACCGGTGCTGATGTTCCTACTCCTTATGCTGCTAATCTTGAAGCTCTTGCCTTCCCTGATGAGCATGTTATTGCTAAAGCTGCTAGAGATAATTTGGATAAAAAGATTGGTTTCTAAATCAAGAAAAGTGTAAATTTAAAAAAAAAGAAAAATGAAAAAAAATGAACAAACCTTTTTTTTTTTTTTTGATTAACCCAATTTGATGCATATATCTTTTGTGAACTAGTTTTACTTGTTTTTTATTATACTATATTATAGATTAAATCCTACTTTTTTTTTAAGATAATGTACTATAATTTATATTATATCGTAGACATTTTTAGACATGCTGAATTAACTTGTAACATTAAACTAAGGAAATGATGAATTTGATCTGTAATGTTTCGGTCAAAAAAAAAAAAAAAAAAGAGGTGTAAATATTGGCTCAATATACATTACTTAGCTCCAAATTAAAATAGAATAGATAAAAAGTTTAAAACATTATTTGTAAAGATCAGAGATACTCTAGATGTGTGTATACAATATATGTGCTTATGTGTTAAGAGTAGAGAGTATTCTACAGTAACAATAATAATAAAAATGAATACTTCCTTATTTTTGTACACATATTAAATGATTTATTTATTACATAATAAAATCAATTACAGCAATAAATCCTTTTGCATAATCATTATTTGACAATACTAATCACCTATGATTGTCGTCATGTCAACCTCAAAAGTAAATATAACTATTTTCCGTTACTATTCTTAATAATGAAGGAAAGCTTAAACTTCGTTTTTTTTTTTATTATTATTATTATTATTTATTTATTATTTCTTCTTTTTAGATATATTGCATACATAGTTTACTATATTCAGTTAAAAAAAAAAAGGAGGTAAAAAGAAAATAAAGCGATATCGCATTTTTATATCTTGATGATAGTACATATCAAAGAATGTTTAATAACAATCATCCTTCTTATCTTAGACAAATGACAGCTAACCCAATTGCACTTGATCAACCAATGTCTACAGATGATTTTACACTTATTAATATCTGTTCTCCAACACCAACATCAACAAAGAATGAGTTGGCTAATCGCTTAGTTCAGGCAGAAAATAAGAGAAAAAGTCAATTGCCTCGATATCCCGGTTTAGAAAGATTTGAATTGATTCGAAAACTTGGAGAGTAAATTACATGTGTCTTTAGTATACATATTGTATGCCCAGTTACTTACATATTTCTTTATTTTATTTTATTCTATTTATTCATTTTGGTTATAGTGGAGCATTTTCAAATGTCTTCGAAGCAAGAGATTTAAGAACAGGTAGAAAAGTTGCTATTAAAGTTACTCAGAAATCAAATCCATCTGATAAGGTATTATAACATATTGGAAAAAAAAACATGATTTATTAATCTTCCTCTTTTTTTTTTTTTTTTTTTTTTTTCTTTTTAACTTCTTCCATTATATTATATAGGATGCCAATCAATATCATTTACATTCAAATATAATTAAAAAACCAAAAGTGACAGAGGTAAATTGTATGAATGATATCATTATGAGGTCTTTCTTTTTTTTAAAAAAAAAATGGAATATTCCTTTTTTAATAGCGAGCCAATATTATTAAAGAAGTTCAAATCATGAAAAATATCCGTCATCCAAATATAGTACAACTCATTCATTTTATGGAAACTCCAGTCAATTATTTCCTCACCTTGGATCTATGTGAAGGAGGTGAACTTTTTCATCAAATTGTCAAACTGACTTACTTCTCTGAAGATCTCTCTCGTCATGTCATTACACAAGTGGCCCAAGCTGTGCATTACCTTCACAAATCCTGCGGTGTTATTCATCGTGATATTAAACCTGAAAACATTTTATTTGATCCCATTCCTATTATACCTTCTAAAAGACGTATTTATCGTCCTAGTGATAATATTGAGACTAAAGAAGATGAGGGGGAATTTATTCCTGGTATAGGTGGTGGTGGTATTGGGCGAGTCAAGTTAGCTGATTTTGGTTTGTCTAAAGTGATTTGGAATAGCTCTACTTTTACACCTTGTGGTACAGTCGGCTATACTGCACCAGAGATTGTATGTGATAGGACATACTCTAAATCAGTTGATATGTGGGCTATTGGTTGTGTCCTTTATACTATACTATGTGGTTTTCCACCCTTTTATGATGAATCAATTCCTATTTTAACAGAAAAGGTTGCGCGTGGCGAGTATTCATTCTTAAGCCCTTGGTGGGATACAATGTCATATTCCGTTAAAGATTTAATTTCACATTTACTTTGTGTAGATGTCAAGAAACGATATACAATTGATCAATTCCTCCAGCATCCATGGATTATGCAAGGCTCTTCAGCACAGCATCATCAACACTATACAACAAAAGATGCCACTCTTTTGACAAACAAGCAAATTCAACAACGTGTAAATAACATGTATAGTATCAAGGATCCTAATAAGGCTCTATCACCTCCTGTGATAGAACAAGATGATTCGCTTCTTTTAGACGAAGACAACAGCATGGTATATACCACACCTGATGCAGCAACGCTTAGAGGTATCTTTGATATCACTTATGCTGTTCAACGTATGGGTGAAGAAAAATCCCTAGTAGACAATCATAGTTTACCATTATCAGATGCTAATAATAATAAGCAACATAATTATCATCAAGTACCCTTGTCACAACAAGCTTATAATTTACCTATAGCGCAAAAGTTAGCTAACAGAAGTTGTGGAATAGCTTCAAGACGATATCAAAAACAACAACAACAACAACAACAACAACAACAACAACAACAACAATATTTACCACAAAAAGTAGCAAAAAATAATAATCCGTTTATAGATCAAAATAGAAGACAATTTAAACTTGATTTAAATAATGCTACTTTATTAAATAATCGACGTAATTTAAAATGATAATAAATGGTGGCTGACTTTGAATTTTGTTTTTTTGTTTTTTTTTATGTGCATAATTTTTATTTATTTACCTTTACCTTTACCTTTACCTTTTTTTTTATATATATATATACATATACATATATATAAAATTATGAATTACATTGATATAAAAGCACCAGGCGAAAAAATAGATATACAAAACGAATTATTTTGTCATCTACCCGAGTAAATATAAGCGCGTATTATACAAATGTTATAATTAGAGAGACTTTATTATTAATAAACTTATCTATGATTGTTTAGTGGTAACGTTTCTTCTTCTCACTTATCTTCATTAAATACTACACAACGTAAACGTCGTGTATCAACAGCCCATGTATCACACTCTCCTCCAATAAATACTAATAATCCGGACGCCAGATTTGCCTTTGATGAACTTGTTTCTGTTTGTAGCCGTTTCTTAGGCTCAGAAGTTATCAATGAAACTGTTAAACAATTTGCAGAAAACATCGTTACCCTTATTGGATCACCCATGACACTAGACTCAACTGAGGTTAAACGACGTCTTGAACAGCTATTACCTACTTCACACGAATTTCGATATCATAGAGGCATGTCATTGTCAGATCGTGATTGTACAATTCTTTGTAGTCTTGCTGATCGTGTTGTATACTGCCCTAATAATACTGGCAATTTAAATATAGTAGACGATGATGATGATAATTTAGTGACAGAAAATGAACCTGTTGAGAGGGATATCAATACTAGAATGTCAAATAATGTACACTACATTCGTTCACCTGTCAAAAATACAGGGGCGAACTGGATTAAACAACAGGTTGTTCCTTTACCTCGACAACTGCCAAATTTTATTGAGCCTAATAAAGAACTCGGAGAAGGTGAACAGCTCGAATATGATTATGATATCACACCTTATGATAGTGATAATGAACCGCCTATTCAAATGGTTTTAGAAAGAAGATGATTGGTTAAATATTTATATAAATATTTGTATGTATAAACAATAGTATATAAATAAAAAAAAAAAAAAAAAAAAAAAAAAAAAAAAAAAAAAAAAAACTTTTTTTTTAACAATATGAGTTGTCTTTCATGTGGTGGCTGCTTTACCGGCACAGGATGTTCTACTAGCAAATCAACATTAAAAAGGCAACCAGATTTAATAGCTCGTTTTCAATCATTACTTGACTTGGCATCTTCAACCAGTACCAAAGCCACAAATAATCTTGATCATGATCATATTATTCCCACTATCATTTCAGAACTATCAAATCAGGTTTATTCTTCACAAATTGTACTTTTCAAAGCATATGATGAACTCTCATTAGAGGTTTTCTTAAACATGGCAAAATTGCTAAATGATCATGGTGTTGTAGGCATGCATATTGCATGGGCAGCAGAATACTGTCAAAATGATCTTCATCAATTACTGAATATACTGTCTAATAAAGAAATGGAACAAAAAAAGAAATCTTTATTGCAACATTGTAATGATCAAGCTGAAATTCATGAAATGTTTGCGCAGCTACCTACTAGATCAGTAGGAAGAACATTTATAGAAGAAAAAAAATAAATTTATATACCATCTCTATTTGTAATTATATTGTTTTAATTGATTGAATAAATGCATATTTATAGATTAATTATAGCTTATTGTATAATATAACAGTATAGCAACAAAAACAAATAAGTGTATTAGTATGAGGGAAAAAAGGGGGGGCATTTCTTAATGTCTTTAAGCATTTTCTCTCATTTCTACAGTTTAGCTCATCTTATTCTTCATGAGATATTCTAACAGTAACTGGCCTTTCGTCAGACGAAGCTATTTCTTGTTTTTCTGTAGCTGCTTCCATTTTATGTCTTTGAATTGAATAATGTTTGATGAAGAAAGAGGCAATAAAACCTAAGCCAGCCATTGGAATGAAGACATACCAAATCAATTGAAGAGCCTTAACATAAACTTCTAGAGTAACATCTAAATATTCCTTTGGAAGCCCATTGTTGACATATTCGGATGATTGAATGACGATAATTGCTTGGTCATAAGGTATCACTTTAGGTAACTCATCTGTTAGTTGAGTATTGAGTACAGTTGAAGATATAGCAATACCAAGAGCACCGCCGAGAATTCGAGAGAAGTTGCCTAAACCAGTAACGACTGCAATGTCTTTTTTTTCTACTGATGCTTGAAGAGCAATGATAGTAGATGAGAAAAGACAGCCAAGGCCTCCAGAGCCGATTATTGTGATACCATAAACACCTACATATAAATAAATATTTGCATATATAAGTACATATAATATATATGAATGATATATTATTGATGTAATGGTAAAAATGAATTATGTTAATACATACGAGACCAAGGGGTGTCATGATCAAATAAGCTAATTAGACCAATCCATATCGTAAGTAACGCCATGCCAATGGATATTCTAGAATGAAAAAAAAAAAAGAACATTACATTTTAGCCCTATAGACGTCTATTTCGTAGCTTACAATGGTTTATAGATTCCTGTTTTAGAAATGAAAAATCCAACAAAAGTAGAAAGTACACATATAACCATCTGCATGGGAATAAGTCGAATACCTGACCACATGGCTGAATCGTGTCTTACAACTTGAAAATAGACGGGTAAATAATAAATAGCAGAAAAGAAGGTCATGCCAAAAAACCAGTTGGTTACCAAGACACTCACAACAGATCGATTCTTGAATAGACGAGGTGGCATTAAGGGCTCCTTTACGAACTTCCTTTCAACAACGGCCAAAAGTCCAACCAATAGGATAGAAAGAACAAGAGGAACAATGACAGCAGCTGATTTCCAGGGAAAAGTCTGGCCACCAAAATTGAGTGCAAGTAAGAACAATGTAGAAAACATCAAGACAATTATCGTACCTATAGTTTTTTTGTGAAAGCATTTCATTTAATTTGTTTGCTTAAATATATATACATACATATAATACATGTATATTAATATTTATATGCTTAGTTATAACCTGCATAATCAACACGTTTTAACTTGTCTGAGAGTTTATCTTCTGGTGTGGGCAATTTCAAAAATACAAATAAGAGACCCATAGCAACAGCGCCAATAGGAAGACTACAAAAAAAAAAACAAAATAAATATATGTGTACTCTTCTTCTTAATTTGTAGGTATTCTTACTTGATATAAAAATTCCACCTCCATGTTACATAGTCAGTAAAGGAGCCCTATTGTTATTACAAGAAACAAATATGTTTATGATATATAATATGTCAAAATTTGCATCTATACCATGTTACCCCAATTAAAGGCCCAAATACACTTGACAAAGCAAACACAGCATTTACAACTCTATAATACTATATTACTTAGACATATAGCACAAACTAAGTAATATATATTTATATATATATTTTACCCTTGGTATTTGCCTCTTTGATCAAGTGGTACTAAATCGGAGAAAATAATAAACACCTATTTATCATTGCCCGTCCCCGACCCCACATTTGATTAATATTATATGTTTTATTTTAATTTTTCTTTTTCTTTTTTTTTTACCATTGAAAAGATAGCTGCAGCACCTATACCTGCTACAGCTCTACACACAATAAGCATAATCATATTCTATATATAAAGTTCATGTCAATATCTATACCATTTAAAATCCATAGAAATATGTATCTATACCTTAGCAGCACCACATAGAACTGAGCCTAGAAGGAAGATAATTATACCAAACATTAAAATCCATTTGCGTCCAAAAATATCAGAGAATTTTGAAAATAAAGGTTCTATTTTACTTGAAATCAATCTATTGCTATGTCAATATCTGTTTTCTATATAGAACTTACGAAATGCATCAAATGTAAGGATATATGCAGTAGCAACCCAAGATACGATCGACATTTGGTTGAAATCAGAACCAATACGAGGTAAAGAAGTCGATACAATAGTGCTATATAATATATATACATATATATATAATATAAGTTAAAATAAAACTACAAATATTAGCTATTTTACCCATCTAGGGCAGCTAAGAAGAGGGAAACTTGGAGTCCAACAAAGGTTAATACACGGGCCATCGTCTTTCCTTTATTGTTTTTTTTCTGCTCATCAGCTGTAACACACTCTTCAACAGTAGCTTGTTCTTTGCTCGATTTATCCGTCGATGAAGTAGATTCTTCGGTTGAATTGCTTTTTCCATTGTTTTCGGTTGGGAGCTGGGTATTTGATATATTTGAATCAATTAGAACCGATTCCTTTGGTATCTCGTTTTTTTCCTCCATATTCTACCAAAAAGAGAAAAAATAAAAAAAAAAAAGAGAGAGAGAGAAAAATAGCAAATTGAAAAAAATCGAAAAAGTCAACATTATATACGTATATAATCGAAAAAAGCCAATATACAAAATCGAAAAATAATATTTGATCCATTACCGCCTTTTCTATATACGGCAAATAACTTTGTTTAACAAGAAATTTTCTATGATGCGTGAGCGTGACTCGGGCTATTTTATACCCGTACCGATTCAAGAATACGATGAAAGAAGAATTTTATTTAAAAATTAAAAAAATGACCAATGAGCACATAGCATTTGTATATGCTGTTTTGCCGTGGTCAGATCGCTATGAAAAAAAAAAAGGAAAGAAAAACCCTTTTGGGATAAAAGGGAAAATGTTAAAGTGTATGTATAAGCGATGATAATTAACTATCAGAAATTTGTTATTGTATTGAAAGAAGATGATTGACAAAGGGTTCACCAAGATGGTCAGAGGGTTCAGGAATTTGGGAGTGAGCTAGATAGTCCATCTCAAGCAGAATTGCACATATAGAAGGCCAGCGTATGAGCCAGGCATCAATTGATTTTTTCACTTTCTTAGTATGGAATGTTGATGGTAATAGATTCAAAAGATAAAAGAGTGGATCTTTGATAGATCTGGGGGCTCTGTTACTACAGTATTTCTTCTTTAAATTCAGACAATTGAAAAAAAAAAAAAAAAAAAAAAAAAAAAAAAAAAAAACATTTACAGACAGTGGAAAGAAATTATTTAGATAAGTTAAAAAATAATATTCAGACAAGAACTTGAAAAGATAGTTAATGTTTTTCATTATATATAGCTTTAAGAGTGACAGTTCCACATACAGCCTTGTTTCTACAAGTTATATTTGCCTTGGAACCTCATGTAATAGTTACTCCTTGTATGTCAATTTAGTCTGGCATAAAGATAATTAATTTAACAACAGCATATATTACTGATGCTAATAGAGCAGATCTTGGAAACTACATATATTTCTCAAAGCTTTCACAAATCTTTATATTCAACCAAAACTAACAAAACAAATTATTACATTATTAAAATGTGACCACAAATAGTCAAAATGCTCCAGCCTGTTTAATACGAACTTGGGATGTATGTTGTGCTGCCTTCCCAAACATCGTGTATAAGCAAAAGTTAGAGGCAGGAGCGAGCCAGTGTTTAACAGAGGCTTGTAAAGAGCTGTCAACAGCTTATAGCAACCATATTGTTGAAAATTTCGAAGCACAGTTCATGAGATACTTCAGATATTGGTTTCAAAAATATGTTTGTTGTAAGTGATTAATCGACAATAAAGTTAGTGATTATACTTATATGCTGTTAATTAAATTATTGAATCCAAATACATTCACAAAATCTCTGTAAGATACTGTTACCAATTTGTTTGTGGAGGGTACCCTTAATGGCCAGAATCTATAGTTTTAGAAGAGCATCAAAAGCAATGTGTTACCTTATTTTGTCAACCGCTAAAGGAAATTACCCCCAAACAAAGTAACATTGAAATCACTTTCTGGGTACCCCGAGAAATGTATACCTATTATTTTACATATCCTACTAAAATATGAAGAGGAACATGTAAATCACGGTCCTTATCATGTATGAAGATTACCGTTACCTTATTTGTTTGGCTTGTTACAAAAACCCTCTTTACACTTCAGGTCTATAACAATATTCGTAAACGCCTTCTCGGCTTTTCTGTCCACTTCTGTACCAAGGGAGTATAATAAGCAACTTGAAATGTTTAAAAAGGTCGAGAACTTTTAAACATTGCGAATTAAAAGGTATAGTATAATCTGAAAAAATTATTAATTGCGCAAACAAGTATCTGGCATAATACTAGCAATCTTGCACTTAATGGGAACAATGGAGTCTTATTTGGAAACCTTTTACGCCCAGACGGATTTTCGGTGGATTGTCTTTTTTTTTACAAAAAGAAAAAAGAATCTTATCAGACCGTTAATAATCTAGATCTCAGGTTAACAGATTTTGACTACGAAGAGGTGGCGTCAACATATAATTCAATTTATTTAGACCTCGGAAGAAAAGTGGTATATACAGCAGTGTGTGGCCTTGTCAAAGATGTCCACCCTATTATACGCTGTTCAACCAAAGAATATTATCACTACACCGGTTTAACAAAATTCTTAGTAGATCAACAAAAAACTTAAAAAACAAAATGGAATTGAGGAAGTAAAATCGAAAATTCCAACACACAAGACAGCAAAAGCAGAAAAATATTACGAATACTTACAATTTATGCTTGGGCATATTGACATACTATTTGATTTCTAAAAAGATACCAGTGGCGAAAGCCGTTTCGCATTGTATCAAGGTCGCCAACGGGCTCCAGAAATCATGACCAACATCTTGCTTAATGGCGGACTGAAATACAACCGTGAAAGAAGAAGAAGAACAAAAAGAAGAGGGGAGGCAGGAATAAGAAAGTAAAAAAAAAAGAGAGGAGAAGAAGGTTGTAAATAAGCAGGCAATTTATAATTCAACGTGTTAAATAGTTCTTATCGAAAAACATCTTAAAAGGTCAAATAAGTGGAAGCCCCAGAAGTACCGTGAAGATAAGAAAAGGATTCCCTTCATTGTTTTCGGCGACGGTATGTTTGGAAAGGACTCAATTAAGCTAAGAGGAAACCGATGTGGAGTTACAAAGATTTTATGGCAGACTCTGTGTTGTATAGTAAAGAATATAAGAAGACAAAACAAATCGTGAGATACAGGCACAAGTAATGATTAGAAAAAATTATATAAAAAAAAGCTAACTATTCTTCTTGTACAAACTCTGACTATTTATACTTTTCTTGGTAGTTATAGATGATATTTATAGATGCTATTTCATTGGTGTTGTATTGTGTTGTGCTGTGTTAAATATTGACCTTTTTATGATATTATCAACAGTCATGTTTGGTATTATATTTGACATATCGTTAATTCAATAAGGGCTTCATTTGCAGGTTTTACGTTTAATGATTACATAATATGATGATAATATTGTTTATACAACATTATTGTGTAATGAATATTCAATATTTATATTTTATTATCTCTTTATGGTGTTATGTACAAATACAACATTCCATCTCTACCTATCCAATCAGAATACATCAAGGTAAAAGGATTTATATTGCTATCATTCATTTCATGAGGGAGTCTAAGCAATGCTTCTAAAATGGAAGCGTTTACTCTTAAATTTTTGCTTTCTTGTTTTCTTGCAACAGAAGGGCATACATTATTTACTTTCCACTCGCAAGAACAGATATTTATTTTGAATGAAGATAACAAAAGATCAATCCTGCATCCCATGATATTACATGTCGAATTCAAAGCTTCATTACTAGTGTATGTTTTCAAATGGTCAAGATCACTTTCCTTTCTAAGAAAAATGTTGTCAATAACATCTTCTGATGGTGTGTAATCCTCATTTTTGTGCTATTCATAGGAGGATTTGATTAAGTGAATTCATAAAATAATAATATTTCTTGTTTACGAGTTTAAAAGCCCATTTAAATAGTTCAAATCGTATACCGTTATTACTATTCACTATATTTTTCTTTATGAAGTACATAATTTCTTCCTGTTCATCGTCTTTCTCTTCATTTTTTTTTCTTGGTTACATCATCACTAATGTTATAACTTTTCTCATCATAACTGTCAACTTCAATTTCATCTTTGTTGCATCCTTCATCTTCTGTCATTTCTTCATGTGTTCTTTTCTTAATATCCTGCAGTTTTACATTTATTGCTATCTTAGTTAACGTAGCAGAAGCGAAGTTTTCCTAACAGATTAAAATTAAATTAGTTAAATACATGTAACAAAGTTTATTACTTAATGTAGGTAAAAGCCTCTGCAACACTCCTAGACAATTTTGCAATGAATTGTCTATCACTTAATTTAGCACTCTTCACCGCTTGTACTCCCCAAAAGTGAGAATTAACATAGTCATTATGGATAGCTATTTAAATTGGAAAAAAAAATGAGTAAACTCTCAAGTCAAACCCGTACAACATTAAGCTACTTTTACTTTTCATCACTAATTTAATTTGTTTTAGTCTTTGCACTTTTCTTCTGTTTTTATTAAGAGCTTTAATCAAAGTATTTAAATCTTTACTCAGGTCATCGTGAGCTACCATTCGTTTAATACCTGAATTTTGTTTAGTAGCTTCATAGTCAAAGTTGTGGACAGACCATTGCTGCCATTCTGTTTCCGTCCAAAAATCTAGTTTATAGACAGTGTTAATTACATATAAATAAAAAGTACAAGCCAATATTCGGTCATATACTTGGTACATAAAGCTTGTTTCTTAAGTCTTTAATTATCTCTCTTTCAGTTGTTACTGTATTATCTGGTTTTTTAGAGTTACTTTATTTTAGTATTGTTTGAAAAACAAGGAAGGTTTTTATTCAAACAACTGGTGTTATAATTTTGCATATTTTCATTTATACCTACAGTGACTCACAAAAGTATGGCCATGTTTCGGAGTTTTAGGTAATTTATGCAAATCCGCAATAACTAATTATCTATTTATTAAACAAAGTATCAAATAGCATATACTAGCAAACAGAAAGACAGAAGTCTCCCCTTTTTTAATGATACTTACAGTATATATGCATCTTTCTTACAAAGCCCATGGCCCTTAAAAATATCATACCCTTGACTATGTAAGTTCCGTGCAGCGTCCATTGCAGTGATAAAATGATCTGTATAAAAAGATCGTGCAATTATTCTTCCAAGTAATAGACTAATCCTTTTTGGTCTACCTTCTTTTACGTTAACCTCAATTTGATTTTCTTTGGCAATTCTACCAATCGTCCTAGTTGACACGCCCACTGTCTTATAAATATCACTATAAGGCTCCTTAGCATTAAGTTTTGCTAAAATATCCATCTTTTTATCGTAAGTAATTGGTCTCATTCTATTGTATGTAATGATCTATGTGTTAATGGGAATAATGCACAAATTTTGTTTTTGTTAAGAAAAATAGACAAAAAAAAATATTATGCATCGAGACAGCTAAACCGCATAAAATGGCATGATTTGTTGTCAAAATGAACATTCATGCATTTAAATGAGATTAAGAAGCTATAAAAATAATGTAAATTTTGTCAGTTTTTCATTAAAAATACTTTTATTAACGTATCTTTATTCATTTATGTTGTGCATTAAGGAAAGCCAAAAGTCATAAAACATTGCAAACACTTTTGTGAGTCACTGTATAGATAATGTTCTAATGAACCTTCAACTATGAATTACGAGATAGATTAGATGAGAAGACATTTTTCTATTTATTCTCTCAAAGGAAGATAATATTTATTCTATTTTTGATGCTAAACTTTATAAAAAACAAGCAAGTTAATAAGACAATAATTTGAACTATTGAAATGCTATTCACAAGAAAAGAAATAATATAAATTAGGAAAATAAATATTTTAGTCTATATTTTACAAAAGAGGAAAGTTTTCGATTTCTTTACAAACAGAAAGATAATATATTCTTTTTATCTATTTATATTTTATCATTCATCTTATTAATAATGTTACTATCAGGTTATTTTTTTTTTTTTGTAGCAATAGTAGTAATTACTTCCTATTTCTCTCCTTTCTATTATTTTTAATTCCTTCTATGTGCGAAGACAAAATTCTAGTTATGATAAAAATAGGAATTATGCAAATCCTTTTTTTTTTTGTCATCTGATTACATACTTAATATGTTGTTAATAATACTACATACACCGCAAAATTATGTTTCTTTTTTTCCCCTTAAATAAAACCAACTTTTCTCTTTTTTATTTATTTCTTTTCTGTTACTGTTGCTTTCCTTTTAGTTATAACTATGGGATTTATTGATAAATTACGAACGCAATATGATTTACATCAAGTGAATAGATACACAAAGCGACGAGAAACACAATCAGATTTTGAATTCAAAGGCAAAGACTATTATCAAACACATTATAGAGATGGTGTCTATACTACCGTAAATGATGATTCAATAATAGAAACTAATGACAGTAATTTACCCTATGGTCGTCGACGATTATCATCTCATTCTAATAATAATAAATCCATAACATGGTCTACTACACTTTCCGATCTTATCAAAAAGTCAATAAAAAAACAAAAGAGACATTCTCTAGCTACTGAACAAAATAAAACTTCAGAATCATACACACTGAATGCTTAATACATACGATATACATTTAATAAAAGAAAAAATGTATAACAAGTATGAATAAAAGGTGTATTTTCTATTGTAGCACCCTGTCTCCTAAAAAGAAAAAAAAAAAAAAGTCTCCTAATCAATCATAAAATACTCAGAAAAGTTGCTTTACTATAAGGACTTATTAGGCTGATGGTTTTTTTTTTTTTTTTGAAAATAAACATTTATCATTAAGATAAATGAAGATTTAATGATTTGAGCGTTTATCTTCTGAAGGTGGTAAGAATGATTGATTTTTGGAAGAATTGATGGCTACAGCTAATTATGAACTATAAAATTAGGCTAATTAATTCGATTAGAAGGATAAATCTATCACTGTACTAATATCTATACAGCAACTACGATTGTTCATAAGTCATTTTTTCCTATAGATAATTATACATCTGTATACATACGTAGCAATAAATACAGGTCTGTGGTTCTGTATTGATTTATAATGTTCTATCATCTATCAGCAGAATAGAATTATATATGTGTACATATTTATCTCTTTTTTTTTTTTTTTTTTTTGTATTTAAAGTTCTTCTCTTGTTTACTTACAACTTGTAATACTAATAATTTTGTAGTTTGCTTTTGAACTAACATTGCTGACTGTAAAAGGAAAAGAAATTACATTATCATCTCTAAAAAAAAAATAGCTCAAGAAACTTTCTTTTCTATTCCATGTATTCATCTGCCTGTCGTAATATGTCAATGATTGATCTTATCCTTTTGTTGCCTATAGTGTAATCTGATCGAAGTTGGCGTCTTCATTGGCGTTTCGGCTGGTTACCCCACGATTATCTTTCATATCACCCTTTTCATTCTAATCAACTATTTTGTAGAACTCATTCAATACAACGTCTCCATATGCACCACAAATTGCAAATGCTACAAACAATTGACAACCATTTTTCCTTTCTCCTCAATAAACTTTCTTTCAAAAAACCTTCTAATATAATATCTGCTTTTCTATGATTTGTTTATTGGCTCTTAATATGTTCCATATTACATGAGATAAATTGCCTAACTCACAATTATATTCCTCTTTCCCCCCCCCACTTTCCGATTTAGAACCACCCTTGATAGATTAGTCCTCCAAGCGCTCTTTTTAACATTTTATTTATTTTCCCCATAATGTGACTAATCTTTTACTTTTTCTACCTACCTTTTGTTTTAAAAGAATTTTTAGTTACTTATATTATTATATTTGAACAGACTAGTGTAATTCAGTAATTTTATAAGCTACGAGCCCATTAGTCTTTTTTTTTTCTTTTCTTTATATTTCTTACAAATAAAAATTCTTAATTGTATTAATAATGTCAGATTTGATCTGTAGGTAGTAGTAATATTTATTATTAAACAGAAGACTTTGATTAGTGTTTGGTTTATTTATTTCGAAAATTCTTCTCTGAGTAAAAAAAAAAAAAAATGTCAATATTTATATTTATCAAAGGTAGTACAAAACAAATAACATAGTTTAACAACTTACAACAAAAACACTATATGCACCACACCAGTGTAACATTTAAAAAATAATGGGCTTCTCCGGGAATCGAACCCGGGACCTCTCGCACCCTAAGCGAGAATTATACCACTAAACCAAGAAGCCTTTGTTGATTTTAGAGGTCAAAAATTATCTCATATGGGGATTCTTTAATTTTAAACTCCGATTAAATGATAATTTAAAGTACTCCTGCTACAGTGTGTAATATTTCTTATAGAATATCAAGTAAAAAATATTCAAAACAAATAAATAATCAAAAGAAATAACTGGACTGAACAATAGTTTTAAAATTAATGTTGTGGTTTAGGTAAGTTGAATAATAAAAATATAAAGAAAAAAATAAAAGAGAAATATGTTATAGAACAAGCTCTGGATATAATCATAAGTAATATTATAATAGATGAATTACATAATACAGGATAAAATATAAGCCTGAATATGAAATAAAACTCTGTATATAACATCTTGTAAATAATATAAAACTTATCGACATCCAATTGTCTAGATGTATCAATTATAAGACATCGTACCATTTCTAAATATTTATTTTTATAACCTTGATAAAGGATTCAGGTCGTCTTTGATCCAATAAAATAAAACATAAAAGATATCAGGAACATATACTCAGATTAAACAATAAATTTTTTTATTTAAAACTTGATCAGATCATTATAACACCCAATAGATAATCCATAGATCAGTCTCTTGAATCAACAAGACGTATATCCGAATACTAACACTGTTTCATGACTCATGTTCTTTGACGGTTATTTTTATTTCTTTGATTCAGGATTCATTAATATAAATACAAGCAGTTGTTTAGACACAAAATAATCTTTAACTTCTTTCTCAAAAACCTTCAATTTTTATTCTTTATTTTTTATTGAATAAAACAGTCTTAAACTATACTTCCTTTTGTTCCCTTTCTCTCTTTTCTATTTTATCTTTTATCTTTTATTTACATTCCATCACAAAATAAAAGAAAACAGACAGAGGAAGTACGTTGAGACTTGTCAATAAGTTTTTATTAAGAGTTAGATTCAATTATAGTTCAAGTATATAAAATAAGGGTTAATAATGTAAGAGTATTTATGTATTTTGTGGATAAGGATGATGGGTAGTAAGAAGATAAAAATATAACAAATTGTATTTGATAATATAATTATAGAAGGATTACTAAGAGTTATTTAAGATATAGGTTTATGTCATTTGTATATCTTATTCATTTTTATAACTAATGTGTGTACTCTGAGTAGAATCAATTATTACGTCTATTTGTGTTATTCTTAGTTTACCCCAGTTTATCTTATATAAAGTTATTTTTATAAATTTATATTCAGCTAGCATAATTAACAGAGATTTTCGATTTGATTGTGCTAAGTTTAGAAGGGAATGCATAATTGATTCCAAGTAGAAACAGTATAGCATTCATAAATTTGAATAGGCTTTCTGTAGCTGTAACTGTCAAAGTGGTAGATTGAAAGAATGCCAAAAGAAATCATAATATAATATGGAAGGGCTTCATTTTCACTGGTGTTGAATAATTTTACATCGTTAGCTTCCAAGCTATCGCTAATTTCATCTATCTGTAAAATGAATAAAGTAAATAAAAAAATTAGTATAAATTGTGATATTTCTTTTTAAAATATCAAATAAAAATATTAGAAAATAAAAAATAATATTAAGACAAAAAGAGTCAACGAGACCGAACAATAGTTCTAAAGTCAATTACTTTATTTATGAATTTAAATTGATGGTTATTTATAAGAATTGTTAAAGAGGTCTGAGGATAAGATGTGAATCAGAAAAGTGTTAGTTACGACCGAATAAGGTATACTGTTGACAATGAAGTGTCAGTGATTTTAATGTTATTAGATAGAGCGGATCAAGAGAGAGTTAGGATAGAATTTCTTAAATAAATTTATGACCCGCATGTTTAATCATGAAACATGACATTATAAGTCAGCTCATGACATAAAAAAGCTATATGAAGATAATTATAATAACACTATTTTTTTAATAAGTAGTACATACCTTCAACTACATCCTCTTCTCCTTCTAAAAAATCCAAGTCTTCTAAATCAATAGCATCAATGGCATCGCTATCGTCAAAAATTAGGTCATCATTTGCATCATAAACATCTTTAGCGCGATAACAAAAAAAAAGTTGGTATTATTGAATTTATTAATTGTAACGTTTGAAATGTATATTTTTAACTTCTATTTACTTTGTTCAGTTGCATTTGCATCTTCTAGACCTTCATCAATTTCTTGATGTATATGGACTGTATGTCTGTGAACAACACTATATCCCAACTCACTTTGAGAGTAAGTTGAACATTTGCATTCTCTTTGATCTTTGTTTAATTGAACGGACATGTTGTAATCAATTTATAAACTTATTAGTTAAATTATTAATAATCAGTATTGGTTAATAAAAAAGGGAATTTTTTTTTATAACAAGCAGCTAAATGTATTGCTGTAGTTTAAACTTACACTTGTAATAAAAAATCCGTTTCTTTTTAAAGGCCTGATTTACCTTTAAATAGGAATTTTGTTGGGTATAAAGAAAATAAGAATGATATATACATAGATCACCCTACTCACTGCACCCCAAAGCAATAATAAATTGGAACAAAAATAAAAGAAGATTTGCCCTGTAGTTGTTTCGAGAAATCAGGTAAAAAAACGAGGATTATATGATAAACACCTTATTGTTGACATACTTTGGGATTAAACCCACATAAATATTTTTGCAAATATCAAATAATAAATACTTCACTCCTTTTCTTGCTTTCTTAATTGTAGTCAATTCTTACCTCTGTTATAACTTTTATTACATCTACTACTATCCCCTACTGTTAACTTTTGTAAAGTAAAAGTCTTAGATAATTGCACGAATTATTTTTATCATTGTTAATTGAAGATGACCAACTGTGGTTTAGTCCAGTGAAATATACTATATTGATTGTCTCGATCTAACATGCAATAAAATTTCATGATAATTCGACCAATCATCAAAATAAGATAATCAAAGTTATTTACCCCTTTTTTTTATTTTATTTTATTTTATTTTATTTTATTTTATTTTAATTCTAGATTTAAAATACCTGCACAAATAATATAAAAGAAGAGATTTTAACTTGTTTATGTTATACTCCTTCATGAATTATAAATTTAAAGACGCTGTACACTTTACTAACAATACTAAATATTATTAATACTTTTCTAATTCCTCTCTAATATCAGATATTTTTATATAAATACTCATCATTTGAAATTATATATAAAATAGTCGACTTTTAGAACTATTGTTCGGTCTCGTCGTTGACTTTACTAATCTTCATAATTTTATAGTTGTTTATTTACTGATATTTTAATAGAGATATTTATTGTTTTTACACATATATTGATCCAGGAGTATGCTCGTACAATTAGTGATAATAAGTCAGTATCATCTAAAGAAAATTACATACTTTTATTAGTGATTATGCCTGGATAATGTGTCTATACATGAGGGCTACATTGTATATTGATGTATTGGTGTAATCACTTACCAAAAGTATAACAATGATTTGTGTGTGTGTGTGTGTTTTTGACCATTTGGGATCTTTCATTTCTTTCTAATTGAATTAAAACTAACTGAGACTGAAGTAATGTCACTTTAGAAATCGCAAGCTTATTGGACATAAAAAGCAACCAATAAATAAAATGAATCTATAAACATTTCCCTTTTTTATTCAACTATTAGAAGTTTCCCTTTTTCTTTTCTTTTCTTTTCTTTTTTTTTTTTTTTAAATATAAAATGGAGGATGATGGCATAAAAGTAGATGATTTAGAGAACAACATTGAAGTACAATCTATTACAAATAATGATTGTCCTTGTCAATATATTCTAGACTCTAACAATTTATCTATTTGCTCACTTTGTCAATCTCCCATACCCATAATTCAACAACTTCTTGCCGAAAAATCCCAATATGAGACCCAAATAGAACAACTCCAAGCTCAATTAAGTATTGAGCAGACACGCATCGATGACCAACTACAGTCAATTGCTAATCTTAATGATAATCTTCAAAATATTAGCGAACAACTCGATACCAAAACAGCTCAATTCCAGCGTCTCCAAAATGACATGGAAATGTTAAATGACAAATATGTAGACGAAATTGAACGTGTAGCCGAAATACAACATTCAAAAGATATGGTTGAAAGTGAACTTGAGGACCTTTCACGCCGACTTTTTGAAGAAGCAAATGGCATGGTAGCTCATGAAAAGCGTGAAAAGCATAATTTACAGATTGCTCAACGACACCTTGAGAATCAACTAAGAGAGACAAGAGAGCGGTTAGGAGCAGAACAAATGCAGTTACAAGAATTAAGAAAACGAATGGAGGATATGGCATCTCATGATAATTTAGTATTGCAGCAAACTACCGCATTACCTCCACCAAAATTAACAGGCGATACTGATGCTTTATTACTGGATGAATTTAAAGAATTTGTAAAGACAGGCACTAAAGTCAGTTTAAAAAAAATTCACATGATACCATTCATGAAAGCTTGTCAAGAAGAGGATGTGGAAGCCTGTTTAAGATTTGGACCTAATAATCGTTTATCAATTCGTAAAGTAAATGAAGCGATTGTGATGAATACATGTTTTATCGAAGAAGCTCCAACTGGATTTCAAGAGGAACAGACAAAAAAAATAATTGCAGGAGCATCGTTGAAGATATCAGCTACAGCAACTAAGATGTGGGAACGATTAAGCAATGCTAGTAACAATAGTAGTAGTTATACACAAACAACTGTTTTCAATGGCTGTCAAGCATGTGGAAGAAGCGATGGTACAAGTCTGCCTTATCGCTTTCGTATTTCATACTTTGATGATTGGGCTTGTATTGATAGGTTTTGTAGAGATCGATTAGTAGCTGTTTGTGAGTTTTATGTATTCATTCGAAATATCAGACAAGGACTATATAACAATCGAGATATTCAAGACTTGTATCATGAGGCTATGCGATTGAGATTACAAATGTTTTATGCAAGGTAAGACATATATATGTATTTTCTATAATTTATTAACTTTTTCTTATAGAATGGGCGCTTTACCATTGACATTACGTAATACTAATATTAATGAACCTAAAGTAACCACTTCTGAATCTTCACCATTACCAAAATCAACCAATAATACTAAACCTTCTTACCGACGAGGAAGTTTAACCGATGTTCGTAAAATACCATAAAAAAAATTCTATTATCATTCATACCTACTACTACTGTTAATATTAATAAATTATTATTATTTTTTTTTTATACATATGTGACAGTAAAAAAAAAAAAATTCTCTTTCATTTTTATTTCATTTTATTTTATTTTTAATCATGGTATGGGGAGGTAATGATGGTGCCGTTGATCGTTGGGTAAAGCAGCTCAATGAGAACGACCCAAAGCTTACTTCACTTCACATTCTCAGTTTTCGACACATCACTACACACGAGCTTACACGCATTTTTAATGCTATTGCTCATAATACAATCCTTCAAAACCTTTATATTTCTGGTCATCAACTGGATGCTACAAGTATTGAGGCTCTTAGCGAATCTCTTACCCTTAACGAAACCTTAAAGTCACTTAATATTGGTCATGCTGCATTTGGTCAACGTCCAGATCTTTTTAGTATCTTCTGTGAAGGATTAGCTGTCAATGAGGGATTAGAGCTACTCGATTTTGAAAACAAAGCACTTAACTATGAATCAGTAAAGTTACTTGCAGACGCACTTGCAAAAAATCAGCATCTTAGTGAAATAAATCTAGCTAGAAATGAATTAAATGACGACAGCATTGCAACATTAGCACCTTCTTTAAGCAAATTAACTAAAGTTAATTTGAGTATGAATAAAATAGGTGTAAAAGGAGCTGAAGCATTGGCTTGTCATGTTTTAGGTAATGCGGCAAGCCAAGTTCAAGAGTTAGATATTTCAGAAAATCCACTTTTAGAAGGTGCAGCTATGTTAGCTACTGCTTTAGGACATAACAAGCATTTGCATGTTTTAAAAATGGTCAATGTTGTATCACCCGATGAAGATACACTCTTGCCACCACCTGCTTTATCTAATAGCGAACTATCAGAGCAGCCACAAGAAACGAATCAAGAGTTTTCTATTTACGGCAATGCACTGATGCAAGCAATTGGACAATCGCTTATTACCAACCGTCATCTTACACATCTCTGGCTTGATAACAATAGCATTGAATCCAAAGCCCTTGATACTCTCGTCACCCATCTTGATAATAGCGCACTTATAGAACTAAACTTACGACAAAATCTTATTGATGATAACGGAGCCTACATGCTAGCTAACACAACTACTTTACAACACCTTGAACTTGGACAGAACCAAATTACAGCTAAAGGATTTGGTAAATTACTAGATCATAGTAGTCTACAGTATTTAGGACTCTTTAGTAATACAGTAGGGGGATTTGCTAATGATGAATTACCAGAATTAATAACAAGCCGCGTGCATCGTCTAGATATTGGATGCAACGGTATTGTGCATGAAGACCTTAAAGCTATTGCCCAAGTGCTGATAAATGGAGGAGTGCCTGAATTAAGATTATTAGAGATGGGAGGTAACGTAGAAGATAAAGAACTTGAGCTTTGGGAGAAGACTATGGAAGATATTTTAAAACAGAGGCAAAAACTAGAGATTATTTGGAAACGAAAACCTAGTCAAATGGAGAATCAGCAGGCCCCTCCAAATATTATGTAATAAAATAATTGCTTGTAAAATTTGATCGATTATATTAAGTTGTAGTACATTTTCTGGATTTTTATCTGTTATCTTGATTTGGACAAGAAGGAAGATGATTAAGTGGGGTAAATTTATTTATTTGTGTTACTTTTTTTTTTTTTCAGGGAATTAAATATGAAAAAGCAATATTTATTTTTTTTTTCTTTTTTCTTTTTTTTTTCCCGTTCCTTTTCTAAATGAAATTATCAGTTACTAAATATCTAAGACGGATTAAAACAAATTTTACAATTCACGAGGTTAAATATGCTATATATTGATCAGCCTAACTCAGTATGTTAATCATACATGTATTTATTTTAGATTTCAGGCAGTTTGGGCGATTTAGGCACGCTTCTGCCTATTATGATGTCTTTAGCTATTTCAGGTCAGATCAACTTAACTAGTACTCTCTGGTTTACTGGTATATGGAATATTTTATCGGGTATATGCTTTGGTGTGCCAGTATGCGTACAACCTATGAAAGGTGTGATTTGTACATTTATTCTGCATAGATAAAACATTAATTCTCTTCTATATAAAAAGCCATTGCCGCTGTTGTATTGACTAAAAATATGCCAATTCAAGAAAATATGGCAGCTGGTATAAGTAAATATGATTAATTCGGCTTTTATCTATATTAGCTAATTTTTTTTTCTTTTTCTTTCTTTTTTTTTTTTTTTTTTTTTTTTTTTTTTTTTTTAATTAGGTGTTGGAGCACTCGTTTTCTTTCTAGGTATTACACGTACAATTCATCTCATCGGTACATTTACACCTACTCCAGTAATCAAAGGTTCACATGATATCACATATATGGAAATACTGCTAACAACTAATTATTATTATTATTTTGCATAATAGGCATTCAATTAGGTACTGCTATACAACTAATCAAAAAAGCACAAAGCCTTGTTTCCGACCTCAAGTGGACAATCGATAGTACGAACTGGTCCGATAATAACACTTGGATACTTCTGGCCTTTATTTTTGTCGTCTTCTGTTATCAAACTAAAGTTCCTTCAGCTCTTATCTTATTTTTAATCGGCTTCATTTTTGCTCTCATTATGATGTTTGCCACGTCTAATGATTATGAGCGACCTTCAGTAGGTCATGGTCATTATCCTGATACCATTATTGTACCTACAGCTGATCAATTTCGCTCTGGTTTTCTTAATGCAGGCCTTGGCCAACTACCTCTCACTAGTCTTAATTCTGTTATTGCTCTCAGTGCTCTTATCATTGACCTATTTCCTAACAAACGGCCCTCAACATCATCTATTGCCATGAGTGTAGGCGTTATGAATCTAGTGGGATGTTGGTTCGGTGCTATGCCTGTCTGTCATGGCTCCGGTGGTCTTGCTGGTCAGTATCGATTTGGTGCACGATCTGAGGTCTCTGTCATCATCTTGGGGTCCCTTAAATGGATTCTAGGAATTTTGTTTGGTTCTTCCTTAGTTGGGCTTTTACAGGTCTTTCCAACCTCAATCTTAGCAGTGCTATTATTTATTTCAGGTGTTGAATTAGGAAGTACAGCACGTACATTGAACGATGGAATAGAAGATGTGGAGAAACAACGTGAAAACTTTACTATCATGTTATTGACAGCAGGAGCGTTAGTATCATACTCAAATGATGGAATTGGATTTTGTGCTGGGTTAGTATCGGCAATCTTGCTGGCGATGCAGCGATTAGGTATTAAAGAATGGTCAAAATTAGCCCGGGAGAATATTTGTTCAGTACCTCATGTTTGGAGAAACCAGCATTTGGAATCACCTATAACATTACCTATCATTACTGAAGAAAGAACTAATATACTGACATCTTCTTCCATCGATAATAATTATGGAACTCAACAACAAAAGAATGCAGATATTCTTAAAGAAGATGTACCTACTTCAACGATCAAAAAATAGTGTACATACTATTCGTAATAATAAAAAAAATAACCTTTTTTTTATTATTAACAATTATAATACAAACGAAAAAATGGCTTCCATATCTTGTACAGTTCGAGGCAAAATAAGTTCTGGGTGTTCATATCCATTATTTACCTCTTTGCTTATTTCACGATATGTTTCTAGTAATAAACGAATCACATTTGATTGAACTTGCTGACAGTGTTGAGAAGAAGAAAGTCGTTGTAATTGAGGAGACACATCAGCACTAATAGATACTAAAAATGTATCAAACTTTGCCATAATATTTGTAAGTATTTGAACATCCATAAGAGAGGATAATGGCGTCTACAAAAATATAAGTTAATAATATGTATTTTTTTCTTATCCTAGTTATGTTATTTTACATTTGGATCTTTTGTGGCTAACATTTCTTTAATTTGAGTTAAACCTGATTGCTGTAATAGTTCATTATACTATACAAAGAGAGTAAAAAATATAGAACTTTTTATTTTATTTTTTATTACCTCTTCATGTGCAATGTCATCTAATATATCATTCATACGTGCTTCAATACTTGCTCTTTTTTGTTTAGTGAATTCATATGGAATCAAAACATTCTAATATATGCATAAGTCAATAAACCACCAAAAAAAAAACTTCAATAATAAAATCTTATTTTACTTGTATGCGATATAAACAGTTCATCATATAAATGTCTTGATCCATCTTTTTAAATTTCTTAGAAACAGATAATTCGCATGTATTTAATAAGGGTTCAATAATAGCGTCTAAAGTTTCTGCAAAATTAAATCCTTCTATGCCTATTGCAACCAGTGATGAATCATAAGATGCAAGGATTTCTTTCTTAAAAAAAAAAAAGATTAAACAAATGACTTTTGATATTTAAGAAATTTAATACCAATTGATTCGTCATTTCTCGAACTGTAGATACAATTGACAGATTATGATTTGGTGGCTAAATAAACTATATTAAAAAAAATACATATACAAATTTAATTTTCTTTTTATTACCTCTGCTGATTGCATTAGTCGCTCTGCTTGTGCATTTAATGTCTTAAAAAAGTATTTGTATGCAAGCTCAGTCATCCTATACAGTAAAGTAAATAAATATTTGACCTTTTAATTTGTTTTTTTATACTTTACTCGTATAAAACCCTTTCTAAACTCGTATTTTTTCTCATTAATTTACTCAATGTTATCGCATAAAACTGAATCAAATTAGCAACTTTGTACGAAGTGATAGCTCCTGGTTGTAATGTCAGGACTTGTTCCATACGTGTCCTGAGAGGCCTACATGTACCATCCATAGCACAATCTAATAGCTCATTGATTGCTTCAGAGTTTTCACCTAATAATGTCTCTAACATCTCCTTTTCTGATGCACAAGCCTGATGAACCCATGCTAACATATCTCCAATATAGCGTAGTGGGTCAGGTGCCTGTAGCTCGATAGGACGAGGAGTGCCGCCTGGTCCACCTCTGGTCAACGCCTTTAGAAATGCTTGTGATACTGCATCATGACGTGCAGACCCAATCTCATCCAAAATTGTCCTTCAGAACAAAAAAAATATATATTAATATGAACGCAAAATATACATACAAAAAAAAAACATTTGTAGATAATTTTACTGGAATAGAACAGGCCTTAACATAAGAGCTCGCAGCGCTTTTGTCATCAAAGAACTGATATCAATACTTTCTCCACCGAATACAGTTCTACTTTCATATTGCATCCATTTGTAAAGTTTGTTGTATGCATTTTCTTGATACAGCGCCATTGATTCCATAATATCCCGGCTATACAAAATAATTTAGTAATAATCCTTTTATCTCTCTTTCTCTTTTTTTACCCAGCTGTTTGGTCCTTTGTTGAAAGCAATAGTTGACAATCATTATGAATCTGATGTAAATGTGATAATGAAGTAAAGAATACATTATCAATAGGTTCTGAAGGGTCGCTAAGTGTTTTGATTTCTTCTTGACTGAGTGTAAATTTTTCTAAGAATCGATCTATAACTGTCTTTTGAATAGAGCATGAAATACTATACAATAAAATTAGTGATAGTTATCAGTAGAGTTTTGTATTTCGTATATACTTGTGATCTTGCAGCTTATTCGCTTGTTCAATCATATCTGAAGTTTGTACTTGAACTTTGGACAACTTTTGTTTTAAATCTTGACATTCATTATTCATAACTTTTACTTGCGTTTCTAAAAAATCAAATTGCTTTTTTTTTTTTTTTTTTTTTTTTTTTTTTTTTTTTAAAAAAAAAAAATGTTAATTTTAAGACATAGCTTACGTCAGATTTCAAAAATAAAACCTTGACAACGTTTTCAAAAGCATTTAGAAATTTCTTATTGTTCCTAATCTGTTCCTTTTCAAGTTCACCTCGTAAATCGGTCCGAAGATTAGCTTCATCAAGAGAAATATTTGAGAGTGAAATAAGAGCTGCTTTAATTTCGGCATCTTTAGAAGAAGAAGAACTAAGAACTTGTGAGAGTTTGATGGAAAGTGACTTATTTGGCTTGTTGGAAATGGATAATAAAGAAGGTGATTCTGGTGATGATACTAGTTCCATAATAATAGAAACAAAGGTTAAAAAACTATGAAATCTTACGCGCTGTGTTTTAATTTACTTTGATTATATAAAAATCGTCACGAACTTGCTTCATAAAACCTGTAGCTTTTTTCTTTCGTTTTTTTTTTTTAATATATGCATTAACTTTCAACATGTCAGATTTGTCTTCAAACTTATTATTACAACTAAAAGATTATTCAAAATGTAACGATGATCTGGCTATGTTGATTCGAAAAACCATTTTAGAACCATTTCAACTTGACCTCTCACGTCCTGATGCATTACGAAAACCACCACCTACCCCATCACGATTTAAGCAGATGGCTACACGATTAGCGCCTCTCGCTATGCGTATTGTTAACCAAAATATCGAAGGGTTGATGTGTGTCAAGCAGGCTACACTGCATACAGGAAACTATGTGGTTGCGGTCAATTGTTTAGTAGATACCTCATTTTATGCTTTGACTGCTTTAAGACATATGAATACATTTACAACACTTAAACCATTAGATTTAGAAAAAACAACATCTAATTTAATTTGCAAGATGGTCGAATTAGGAGAAGTAAAGGGCAAAATTCTTTATGATAACTCTCTTAATGTTAATCTATATTATTTATTTATTTATTTATTTTGAATAGTATAATAGGGCATTAGATGAAATTGTCAAGTTTCGTTTATTATTAGCAAGTGTCGCCAAAGTTCAACTTGATGCCAAAAAACCTATCACTGTCATTCAGAAAGCAGCTAGTCCTATCAAAAGTGTGCTAACGGAATCACCTAGAAATCATCAACTGCAAACTGTCGCTATGGCATCTACAATACCTGTTGTGCCCGATTCCATTATTAAAACACAATGGGAAGATGACATGTTGGTTAAATATCAAGATTTATTTCAATTCCCATTGGATCCAAATCTTAAAGATCGAACAATTATTTTGCTAGTTTTAGCCTATCAAATGAACACACTTCGATGTTGGTGTGAAATTGGCGATGGCTCATTATCAAAGGTAAAACCAAAAAAAAAAACAAAACAAAACAAAAGTTTCAATAATTAAAGTATAGCTAATTATGTCTTTCCTTTTAGTACGTACCTTATTTTATGGAAAGATCAGGAAATTTCTTCGATTGGTGTAAACAACTATTGAAAGTTGATCTGCCTGTTGCCAAAAAACAACTTGATACGTTTCAACGATTATTGTATAAAGCAGCTAACCGATTTCCTTTAACAGGTAAGCATCGATACATTTTGTGTTAGCAATTAGTTTTATCCTTTTATTTATTTGTATATGTGTATATATATATTAGAAGAGTTAGCTTTCCATTCACATCATGTTCAGAGTTGGGCTTTAAAGGCTTTAGTTATATCAAAATCCACTTCTTTAAAATCTATTATGGATCGTATAGTTCGTATTGGTATTACTTATGAAAAAGCAACAACACAATGTAAGTATGAAAAATATGTTTAGCAGTTGCTTCGTATAGTTATTGATGTAATTTCTTTATTTTTAGCTAATTATTCTTATCTTCAACAAGGATGCAAAGACTTTTTAGAAAATATACAGCCTAATATAAAAGACCTTGCTGAAATGGATTCCTATTTTATCTTATGTGAATATTACGCTTATGTCTCGAGAAAGGCTAAGAGTTATAAGGGAGCGTTTTTTGCTTATAAGCACATGATTGGTCCTTTAGTTTCTATAATTGAAAATCCAAATACTTACTATTATGTAGCATATGCGGCTAATGCCAAATTAGCACTTGGATCAGTACAAATGGATAAAATCGTATTAGATGATACTTGTATGTTTTCTTTTCTTTTCTTTTCTTTTCTTTTTAAGCATATACTTATTTTTTTTCTAATTAGATGCGGATATAAGTACAACGTTAAACGAAAGTATTTCCTGTCTACGAATTGTTTCCTCCACATTAGAAACAACATCATCACAAAATGAGCATGATGAACAAGCACTGTTCAATCTTTGCAAAAGTATTGATGGTTTTCGTTCAAGCGCTAAGCGACTTTACGACTTAATTTCCGATAAAAAAAGCAAATATGGCAATCGCACCCCACCACCTGATATGGAGCGCTGGAACGCTATCATTGCTTATCTTAATAGTGTTCTCCAACAGTGTGGTGAAACCTTACCTATTACCATTAATTTAGCCTTGAAAAAGAAATCAACTAGTAAACGTGCAATGACAGCGGCTGATATGATGGTTGCCTTTATTGATATTATGGTTTTGTTGGCGCGTATGCAATTTGATATCAGTGATGAAACAAGTTATCAACAATCTTATGAGTACTTGTCTACAGCTGAACAACTATGTGCAGAAAAAAAGTTTTTAAAAGGATACAGATATTTATCAGGCTCATACTACAATATTGGCACTGCCCTCATCAAGAAAGACGAACGATTTTTTGGGCATGCAATTTATCCATTGAGAAAGGCATGTTCACTATTAGAAAAAGATCCGGAACGCGCTCAATCAGATGAAGGGCGACTACAACTTTGTAAGCGTTATGAGATTTTGGGTATTTGTTGTCACAAAAATAAGCAGTTTGAGGATAGTGTAAAAGCATACCGCTTGGCTCTAAAACGAGTGCCAGTGTCAACAGTGGATTCATTTGTAAGTGGTAGTGAAACAAAGGCTGTCTCACGAATGATGGAATGTGAACCACTAATTCCCAAGTTAATGGATCGTTACTTAAGAGCTGCAGTGAGTGATCCGGATCTTATAAATGTGCATTTTGCGAGTGAATATGTGCAAATGGCTGGACTAAGTGCAATTCAACAAAGCTTTGTGTATGAATGTGAGCTGAAAGTATGGCATAGACTTTCCCTAAAAATGGACGTTTCAAGGTTTCAGTTGTTTATTGTGAATAAATTATTACAATTATATGACGCAGTAAATTATCCTGTTCGTAGAGCAAGGTAAATTATTAATTCATATATGATATATACAGTTCACTTAGTTATTTTTTTTTAATATATATAGAATCTTATTACACCAAATTCGTATTGAAAGAGCAAAACGTGGTAATAGTGATGAAAATATAAGGGCAGCATTAGTATGTGCCAAAGAAGCATTAAGTTTATTAAAATTACAGGTAAGTTTTACACATATTTAATATACATATTTAGCTTAATAAACTTACCTATTCTTATATAGAATTATGGTCAAGATAGTAATTTATTGAACTATCGTCTTCATTATCTTGGCCTTGCTAATTCATGGATTGCTATTTGTAGTAGAGAAACAAAACAAGAAACACCTAACACATTTGAAGCAACACTTCAACAATGGGGCCTCTTATTAAAGAAAATACAACCTCTAGCTAAACTTGAAAGCAAAACGCCTGACGCCTCCCTCCTTCAACAAATTTATGAAGAAATTGATGATATTGAACAGTTTTATGATCATCTTCGTATGCTTGCTGATCTTTTCACCATTAACGGAGAATATATCTATGAAATTTGCGTATTACGTCTTCTGCTTAAGCTTAACGCTATCCAAATTAATAAGGCTGATGATGTGGAAAACGATCCAATTTCAGAATCTGTTATAATTATGAGTCGTATTGGCAAATTATATTGTGAATTAGGATATACAGGTAGAGCTTCAATGGAGTTTATTAAAGCTCATCAATTAATAACGCGAGGATGTTCAAAACAAGCGGAAATTGTATATCGCACTTATTATGCATATTATTTATTAATGACAAATGATATTGAGACAAGTAAGGAAGTATTTGAAGCAACCAAAATTGTCTGGCAAGAAATTCCAGCTGTTAACTCCCGCGATCTTTTGGCAACTGTCAAGAGCTATACACAGCATCGTATGATGCTTGCCGATGCTTACATGACTTTATCATCTATTCAAGCACAAACGGCTTCCCTAGACAATGCTATAGAAACTGCCACAGTTGCTCTTCAACTTCTCAATAAATGTATTAAGGTAGTCCAGGAAAGTTATGATAATCCTAATGAGCATCGCTCTGAAAATCCCTTTTTGGTATCCCCTTCCAAAAAGGAAGTTTCTAAACTTGTATTTCGTGAATCACAATGGCTAATGGCTCGTAAAACGAGCCGTTGCCTTATTCACCTTGCAGATTTATACATGCGTAAAGGATCATGTCACGAAACTAAGTATTTTATCAAACAAGCTCCACTTTTGGCACAAAAGGTTATGTCAAATGCTCTCTTTTTTGAAGCATTTTTGTGTGCAAGTGAATTCTATTGGAGAAGTGGAGACTTGGAACGAGCACAAGCCGAATTAGAGAACGCAACTCGAGCTGGTTCTAAAGGCTTAGATGAGGTCCGCTTAAAGATAATGATAGCCCGATTAGCAACAGCAAACAAGTTTAATGATTTAGCATTAACGACCTATGATGAAGCGAGTAGCATAATGGATCAATTAATGTCTAAAACTATCATTGATAAACTTGAGCAACTTGTTGAGCAAGAAAATGATAATATATATGAATGTTTTGGATTACAACGTGTCCAGAGCTCGATTATTTTACAAAAGGCGTGTGTAATGGCTGAATCAAGACTTGATGATGCTCTTGACCTTTTAGAAAAGCTTGAGGAGTCTGGATATATGATTGATGATGAGATAGAACTGAATACTGTTGTTTCTCGTCTAAAGTTGAAGGGAATTCAAGACCATGAACAAACAATGATATTACCCAAGATGAAATTGGCTCGTAGTAATATTGGACAGAGACGAACGATAGATATGCGTGTACAGGATAGTTTGACAGTTGCAATAGAGCGCCTTCTAGAAGCATATCAAGTAGGTTCTCTAACGGCACGTGCAAGTATTATACAAACATTATGTAATACATTAGGAACTGCTATTTTTATGAAGAGCCGTATAGCAAGTCGTGTAACAAATGATGATGCTCTCTTAAATTCTTTTTATCTATCAATGGCAAATGGTGTACATATGCGACGTGAAATGCAAGCTTGTCTCAAAATGAAGCAGGGACTTTCGATATTATCAAATGAGGTTGATTGGCCAAATATATATGAACAAAAGTTTACTATAAAACCTAGTCTACATGACCATTGGCTGCAATCCCATCTTAAGACTCTCACAGAACGCTATCATGAAGAATCATTACCGTCAACAAATGAAGATTGCGATGATAGTCATCAGTTACTTCAAGACAAGTTTGTAAATCTTTTACCAGACCATTGGACAGTCTGCTCGATGACATTGATAGGCAATGAACTCTACGTAGTTCAGTTGAGAGCCAAGGAAACACCATTTGTTGTTCGATTACCATTACAACGTCATAATGGTATCAGTTATGATAATGCTATGGGTGAGTTACGGGCAATTATTCAAGGTAGTGATGAGACAATCCATGATAGTTTGAAATGTACAGAAAAGAGTCAAATTGAAGCATGGTGGAAACGACGTAAAGAGTTAGATGGTCGTCTAAAGACATTACTTGAAAGAATGGAAAATGATTGGCTAAGTGGTTTTAGAGGACTCCTTTCAGGACGTGCACCTGTATTTAAAGAAGAATTAGTCAAGTTTCAAAAAAATTTAAATGATCTCGTTTACAAGCTTGTAAAAGAAGTAGTAAATACACCATTAAAACAAGTCGATTTTAGTCTCTCTTTGTGTCGTATTGTACTTCGATTAGGACGATATCCTACCCAAAATGAACTAGAAGACATCGCACACTTTTTAGTATCTACCTATTGTGAACAACAAAATGATGAGACACTTGATGATAAAATTGATCATAGGAAATTGACAGACCAATTAAGAGTCTTAATGGGACGATATCATGAAAAATGTAGTATGGCAGGTATAGATTCGTGTCTCAAAAATAACAATAAGGAACATGTTATTCTTATTCTGGATAAATATCTCCAAATGTTCCCTATCGAGTCCTTACCTACACTTCGCACACAACCTACATCACGTTTACCTTGTCTTTCCTTTTTAAGAGACCGTATCCTATATAGCCAGGCCCAATATGATAACTTTATAGATGGATGGCAAGACCTAAAGGTTTCAAGACGAAATGCTTTTTACGTACTTAACCCAGGCGGTGACCTGAAGGATACACAAAAAGTCTTTGAAGCCTACTTTAAAAGTATACCCGAATGGGACGGTGTGATTCAGACGATGCCAATGGAATTACAATGCCAACGTGCTCTAGAGACACGAGATATCTATATGTATTTTGGACATAGTGCTGGGCAAGCATTTATGAGGGGTACAACAGTGCGTCAATTGCCTAAATGTGCTGTTTCATTATTGATGGGTTGTAGTAGTGGTGTCTTGGAGGCTAATGGAGAGTTTGATCCTTATGGTTATGTACTTAATTATTTGCTAGCTGGAAGCCCTGCAGTAGTTGCTAATTTGTGGGATGTGACAGATCGAAGTATTGATAGATTGACTAAATATATGTTAGGTGCCTGGGGTATGACGACAACAACATCAACTAACAAGTCAATTGTACAAGCTGTGACAGAGTCAAGAAATCAATGTTCCTTATCTTACCTTATTGGAGCTGCACCTGTTGTGTACGGAATTCCTGTTTATATTGAATAATTTTTTATATACATTTATATTAATATATATATATAATCTCTTTTTACAAATAATATTATTTATTTCTTTATTTTATTTTATTTTCAACAGTAATAAAAACAAAAGCTATTTTATTGCCAATGATGAGTAGTATTAGTAGGAGGTTGGTAAGGCTGAGGAGGCAATTGAGGTGTAGCATTATTAGCGGTTGAAGGTGGAGGAGGCAAATAAGAAAGAGGATTACGGTTTTGGGAAGGGGGGATATTAGGAACTTGAGAAAGACTATATTGTCTTTGAGACGAATAAGTAGGAGTTTGCGGAGGCGGAGGCTGTTGAAGCTGCTGAGGTTGATGTGGCTGCTGGGGTTGATGTGGCTGCTGGGGTGGGTGTGGCTGCTGGGGTGGGTGTGGCTGGTGAGGTTGATATTGCTGTTGAGATTGATATTGCTGAGGAAGAGGCTGCTGCGACTGATAAGGTTGCTGAGGAGGTTGATGTTGGTGTGGAATTAGTTGCTGCTGTCCAATTGTTAATTGAGAGGGGGGTGGAGGAGCAGGTTGAGAATAATTAGGATGATGTGGCACAGTCTGTTGTTGTTGTTGTTGTATTTGAGGTGGAGGATAGTATGGAACAGAGGCAGTAGTTGTAGAAACAGGGGAAATACTATTGGTTAATTCTTTTACAGAAGAGGCTTCTTCTTCATGTGTTGTACTGGTATCGAAAGAAGCTAATATTAATAAACATTAGTCAATAAAGTAGTATAATTACTAATTTATTTACCTAGTTCAGAGGGAGTAAGTCGTCGAGTCTGCTTAGTTTCTTCCACATTTTTTGTATCTTTTCCCTTTCTATCCTCCCCTTTTTCTTCTTTTCCATCAATTCTATTGATTAACTCTGTTAAACTATCACGAAGCTTAATTAGGGATAATTTCACTTCGTCATTAGCATTTTCTTCACTAAATGATTTATCGTAAATTGTTATTTTGAGTAAATTATTAATAGAGATAGCATGTGTAATGTCGTTATCATCTATATTTTATAAATTTGAACAAGCTGAATTACTATACATATAATTTTTTTTTTTTTTTTTTTTTTTTTTTTTTTTTTTTTTTTTTTTTTTTTTTTTTTTTTTTTTTAAGCAAATACCTGACATATTAATCATATCACCCTCTACATAATAAAATGTTAACTAATACATAACAAAATAATAAAGCCTTTTTTTTTTGTTTCTTACCATCATCCATATATTTCATAATCATATTTTCAGGTGTTTTAAGTTTATCTTTAAAAACACGACACATCATTAAACATAATCTAATGAAATTTCATTAGTTTATATATTTAATATGTTCATTTATTATACTTTACTCATCATAAGTAGGTATTTGATTGATGGGTATACGGCGGATGTCATTACCAAGTCGACCTATACATGTATGTTAATTTCTCTTTTTTTTTAAAAAAAAAAAAAGGAAGAAGACATATCTTACATTTAACAATAATATCTCCTGTTACAATCTTTCGCAAATTAGCGTAGTCAGTCATTAAAAGTGATAGTTTTTGTTTTTAGAAAAAGAAAAAACGAATAAATTACTTTAAAATAAACAATTTCGAAAAAAAAATCATGTTATGATTGGATGATAGCGATCATATTATTATTTCTTTTTTTTTTGCATAATAGATTTTTATTTAATAGCGGAAATGTTTATTATTATCATTATCAATTAATTCAGCTAAACAAGCTGAACGTTTTTGGGGTATAGAAAAAGTAACTACATCATTATCGTTAGTATCGTCAATAATATCTGGTATTTCAGGCATAAAGAGCGAGCCATCACTTGCGTATTTATATAAGGGAGGAATGATAGCTTTTTTATCAAAGCAATCTTCAGGAGATTTAACTGGACTCAAACTATCGCACTGTAAGATTATATAAATAAGTGATACATTTACATGAATTATTATTTTATTTATTTCTTACCTTATCTAACGCAGGCAATTCCATATGCTCTAGTATCATTTGGATAAAATTACATAGATTTCTTTCAAAATAAACTAATGGATAAAGTTTTTCTAATTCTTTAAAGTGTATTTCTAATGTATTTCCTTCTTTAATTTGTATAAACTAATTCCCCCTTTTTTCTTTCAGTAATAAATTCTATGAACTAAATAGTATTTACCTCTTTTTCTCTTTCACGTACTTGTAGCTTGAATAAAAACATTGTTCTCGTTTTTGGAAATAATAAATGATGATCTGCTGCTTTAACATTCCAGTTATCATCGTCCTCTTCATCTTCTTCTTCACTCACTTCTTCATCTTCTTCATCCTCATCTTCTACATAGCCATATGAAAATATGTCATAAATAGTCTCAAGTCCTGTTTTACCATCACACATATAACTCTGGATAGCAGCTTGAGTTAAAAAGTCTAGAAAGAGGTCATACCAACGTGGAGGCATCCCTCCTCCCATCACTTGTTGACCAGCTACCATCAAGGGCTTTGCCACACCTTGATGATTTTCGAGTGCAGATCTCAGCATATTAGCACTTGTCTTCAAAAATGCTGGTATTGCTTCTGCTAAACCTGGTTGTTGACTTAAGGTTAAAGATGAACAACAATTTGGACGACGATGACGGCGACAACAGCGTGGACTGAAAGGCTTTGAAAACAATAATTCATTTCTGTTGTATCTTTTATTATTATGTCGATTAATATGAATAGGATTGGGAATTGTCACGTGATGAATAGTACCACTGCTACGACGATCTATGGCCAGGCTTGTTAATTTATAAAGATTTAATCTTTGTTCAAATTTAGCATCTTCTTTATTGTCTCTTATTAATTTTTTATTATTTCGGGATGAAAGTATGCCTTATTGTAAGCGATACGACAATTAAACTTTCTTTTTTTTTCAGTTGATAAACTTTATTTATTTTACCTTCTACAACTGATTCAATAACGTTATTATTGTCTGTTTCGGCCTGATAATTTTCTTCTTCTTCTTCTTCATAAGAAAGAGCCTTTTGAATTCTTGATTGAATTGATTGATAAAAGAGATGGTCTAATATTAAATTATTTGTAGTCGAAGAAATATTATTATTCGTGAAGAGCATGATTTACATATAAAATAAAAAAAAAGAAGAAAGCAGACAAGCTTATCCGAGAATATAACACGAACTTATATATATGAAAACTTGCATCGGAAAAGTGAGGATTGTAAAAGCATTATCTTATCGGGTACAATATATCCCTGAAATAATTTAACTTCCGTTGCCTCCCCTCTTCTTCCCCTCTTCTTCCCCTTTCTTCCCCTCCCCCCAAAAAAAAATATATTTATATTCTTACTATGGTTAATTGGATAATTTCTGAAAAGAGCTGTCTGACTTCAGAGATTAGTTTAACCCAAAAAAAGAAAGTTTAATTGCTCTTTTTTTTTTAAAAAAAAATATGTTTCTTAAAGAGAGATTCTAATAAGCTTATTTTCATCTACATACTAGATCCTAGTTTCTATTCTTAGCTTTAGCTATCTCCTTTAACTTCATAAACATTTCTGTTAAAAAAATAAACATATCTTCTTTAATCTTCATCACTAGAAGCATCGTGTTGAGTAGTTGTTTCCTTTTCTTAGGAAAGAATTCTTCCATCATAACATTGTGTGGAATAGTTACTTTAAGTTGAGCTTTGACGCGTTTTCGAAGATTGGTCAACAGATTTAATTAAAATGACTCTTTTTTTTTCTCAATAATAAGTCCTTCTTTGTCAAATATAGTGCTATAATCATCTTTGTTAAAAAAAAACACAAATAAATAAACAAATAAAAAAAAAAAAAAAAAAAAAAAAAAAGATCTGTAGCTGTTATTGACGATAATCAATATGATAAGTAAACGAAAGACCATTCGAGGATTCCACTAAAGATAAGATAGTATTAAGAAGAATCACTACTATTTCTCGTTTTATCAGGCTTATAAACGAACTATTCGAGATTATTATAGAAGATACTTTTATCTATAAATCTCAGTCATCCAAATGAAAGATAGAAAACGAAAATCATCGAGTAATAAGATTTCTCCCTATCTTACTCTCCTTAACTCTATATTAATAGTGCAGTTTCTGGGGTTTTGTTAAGGGTTTGTTTTAGTAGAGTTGCTGATATTTTCGACAACATACTCATGGTTAGTAAGCTCTATAGTTATTCTAAGCATCAAATTATTAATTGCTATACTTTAACTCCCATTATTAACTTGCTTTACTCTTTATTGAATTAAAAAGACACTGATAATTATTGATTACTGTTTTTTTCCATATATATAGTTTTTTTTTCTGCTTTTAGCCCATCGGCAAAAGTAATAATGCTTATCAGCTGTACTGAATGTCATACTAATTAAGCCAAAGCACTTTAAACTATATGCTAAATAATAATAATCATATGATGCATACCATAGCTTATTAAATAATCTATATTCCATATATGTATATATTTATGATTTCAAGTACAAAGAAAACATGAGTAATTCTTACTACATCTTTTCAGTAATACAGTATAAAGATAACCATTTCCAATATCAAGTCTTTGGTTGAACTATTAGATATATATCAGTTATGTGTGTGCTTTGTTATAACTTTGAAAAATATGTTATTAGCTTATTCATTTTATATCTGTTAATGTATTATAGCTATGTACTTTTATTTACTTTAGGTCATGAAAAAAAAAAAAAAAAAAACTTTTATGATTTAGTAATGTGCCATTATTTATATAAATACATGCTACTGAATAAAACAAAATAACTATGCTTTGTTGTGCCTAATGTCCTAATATAGGTTTAGGTAGCTCAGTTTGTACAGTTTTGTAAATAATGTCGTGTTTATTTTATTATTGGTGTTTCTTAAATTTATTATTATGAATACTATAATAGACACATAAGCTTTAAATATCATGTCAATTTTTAAAAGCTTTTTATTCTGTTAATAATAGTTATATTGGATTCAAATTTCTCTGAACATGAATGATCAACTCTATTCCTCTCGACTTTTGATCTAATATCCTTGTTCATTAGAGATGCTATGTAAAATTATTTTGAAAGCTTATTTTGGCTTATTTGTAATTAAAAGAATACAATTGTATTTTATTACAAGTGCTCTTGATGATTTGTTAAATTTAATGAATTACAGAAGACACTAATTCTCATGTGTTTATATTATTTATGGTATCTTTTTTTTTTCTTTAAGCCCTAAAGTCTACTCATTTATTTATTTGTTTGTTTTGTTTTTTTTTAAAAAAAAAAAAAAAAAAAGAGAAAAGAAAAAGTATACCATTTGGTATCTTGAACATTTTATTTACAATTTTTTTTCTTTTAATAATAATAAGATTTTCAACAACATCGCTGATCTCCCCCCTTCTCCCTCTTTGTGTTTACATTATTTTTGGTTGATGATGACTGGCCAGCAGTTGTTGTTATATTCTTTTGTTTTGTTAACCAAGATAAGCATTGAAATAACAACCAAGTAGTTGACAAAGAAATAACCGATTTCATCGTAGAAGCTAACAAAGCCACAAATTGTAAAGAAGAAGGATGTAATAGTTGTTTTCTCTTTTTAGTCATGGTAGTTATTTGTTGTTTAGAGATAGAGATAAAACGAGGAAAAGACTTTAAAGAAATGCTAGTTTGTAACAAGAGTGAAGACCAAATCATATCGTTGTTATTTTTGTCATTGTCAATAATAGAGGAAACAGGATATTCAGGTTGATATTCAATCTCGATAATTTCAGGATTAAAGTGAACTGAAGAAGATTTGCTACTAATACTACTAAAGCTATTAGTACGTGATGCTATCATAACATTATTATCGGAATAAGTCGGTATGTTTTGGGTGACGTTACTACTGTTATACTTTTTTAAAACAGGTTTAAGCGTTGGAGAAGTTTTCTGTTGTTGTTGTTGTACATTCTTCTTCTTCTCCATCTCAATATTTCTATTGTTGGAAGTAGCTGTATAGATTGGACCATATAGCCCTAAATAAACATGTATATATGTATTTATATATTTTCTTCCTTTTAGTAACTATTTTATTATTGCATGTTATATATTATTTTTACATGTGATATCAGATTCTTTTTGCCTATGATATGATATTATAAATAATCACGTTCAATTATAATTAATCGTTTTATTTTATTTTATTTTATTTTACCAACTAACAGTGGAAGGGTGAATTAGTTTATTAGACTGGCCAAGCTGGTTTGTACAATCTCTAGCCATCGTTCTCCATAAAGCATTCTGAAATCGAAGTAATTTATATTCTTCAGATTTCTTTAATCTTTTTTCATTTTTTGTTAATAAAGTATCAGTAGGAGTGATTGTATTGATGATATAACATTGACGTTGTTTATAGTTTTCTTTATAAGTTTGAATCAAATCTTCTGGTGACCATTGATAGGAAAGATAATCGACGCAATACTCTGCCTTCATATCTGATAAATATAAATATAAATAAAAATATAAATATAAATAAAATAAAAAAGGGAAGAAAAGAAAGTTTAATACTGAAACTATCATGTACTTTATAATAAACGCCACCTTACTCTGTCACGACATTATATCTTCTAGAGCTTTATTTTATAAAAATAGCATTTTGTGAAAAGGAGCATCCCGGATCCGATATTCCCACAAAGAACATTCAAGACAGTAACAGCACAGACCGTGTTACACTCTATTTCTCTTACAAAATTGATATGATGATGCTCTCATTTGATATTATGCATTTGTATATTTTTAACATCTCCTTATCTGAAAGGGTAAAATCTGTTTATGAGTGTGAAAGATTACATATCCATGATGTTGCATAAATAGAGTTTAATCTCAAATTTCAGGCACAAAGAAAAAAGAAAAAAGAAAAAAGAAAAAAAAAACTGATTATAAAGATTTCCGTTGAGAAAAGTATAATAATAATAAGGACATCATACATGAATGTTCTCCTATCATGCATTTTTGTTCAACGATATCACATTGATGAATAATTCCATTTGACTATTTGTTACATTATATGAGACTCTTTATTTTATTGTATAACAAAAAAAAAGACCTGCATCCCAGAACACGCATATAAGCTTAATAAGGTTTTTTCTGTTATGATTATACATTTATAGCTTGGTGGAGTAAAGACAATAAATAAATCGAAAGCTTATTTTTTATTATTTTTATTTATTTATTTATTTATCAAAAATATATAGTTTAAAACTATAATTTTATGATAAGAACACACTCTTCCTTCATTTTAAATCTAAAAAGTTTATATGCATATCTTAAGTAGACTAACTATATTAAAACTTGATAAAATAAAATAAAATCCCTTATCAAACATGAAAACATAAATCTTCAAAGTCATTGGATAAAGTTATTTTATTATACTAAACCTTGTTACATCTGATATACTATACATGTTTTTTATCGTTTCAAATTTTATTTGCTCTTCTGGGCATAGTAGCAAATTTGCTCAACGATAATCAAATGTATTACATAAAAGGCTTCATTTATGTAATATTCTCTTAATATCCGTAGACTTGTGTTTTATTTTAAAAAATCAAGTACTAGATATCAATTATATTAAAAATTAGTTAGTTAGGACTAGTTTAAAGGAATAGACTAAGAAATCAAAAAGGAAAAGCTTTTTTTTTTCTTTTGGAATAAGGACTAAACAAAAAACAAATACTACTTATATTATTGGTAAGAAGGATAAGAAGAAGAAAGCCAATTAAAGATTCTCTTTTCGAATTATGACAGTAAAGAAAGCAGCGAATCATTATTTGAATGAATTAAATAGTTTAATTTGTAGAGGGGGGAGGAAAAGATAATACAAACAATTGGCTAATAGATAAACCGAGGCAAAAGCTTATTATTTATATTTATTGCGGTAGTAGCACTCGATTCTAAATACACATTATTATTATTATTATTTTTTTTTTTTGACTTCTAATATTTTTATTTGACTTTATAGTTTTCCTTTGACTAGTGCTTGTTCGCAGTATTGCATTGTATACAAGTATATAAAATGTCTAGGCATGTTTTTTTATTTTACTTTATTTTTCTTATATATAAAAAATAAAAGACAAGTCCACTTTGTATTGTTCACCATGTAAATAATACCTTTAACAGTTTTGCATTGATTCCTATTTAGTCTAAAATAAGACATTAATATGAAACTCGAAAAAATAATAAAAAGTACACAGCATAAAAAAAAATAATAATGATTATATTTTTATGCTCACTTGCCAAATAAGTTAAGAAAGGATGCAAAAGAGTGACATCAATCATATTTAGTTAAAAAAATATAAATATAAATATAAATATAAATAATAAATTAGCCAGGTACAATTGGTTCTTTTGAATATAGCTTATTTATTATTACTATTCTTCGCTTTGTATGTAAAAATAACATAAATACTTTTCAACAGCATTAGTATCGAAGTTCTATACGGTAGTACAAGATTTACACTTGAGGATTGTATGTACCAGTCCAGCTGGTGAATACTGTCGGTTAATAAAAATATAATTGTCGAAAGAGAAGATTTAATTTTGTCCGTTAATGCAGTTCCTTTTGTCGTTCCCTTTTTTTTTTGCAAATTTTTGAGATCTCTACAATGACAAATACTTTTTATTTTAAAGAATGGAAGGGACAACCCTTTCGATGAGTATGCTGTCCGCCCATAATAGTAGAAGTCCAAAAAAAAAATTGTTAATGACAGATACATGTCTCGTGCAGCAAGTTACTCAACATTAGTTTATAAAAAAAAAATACCGTAAATACCTGATTATTTTAATTATTGGTGTATCTATTGTAAACACATCAGTAACCAGCAAGCTAGCTCCAGCTACGGCTTATCCATATAGTTTTGAAGTTCCATGTCTCTTCTGTGCCAAGCGCTGTTTACTAATGTCTTCAATCACATTATCAGAAATTGAATCAACTGAGCAACTAGATCCTTTAACAGCTATTGGTATATTTTTGTGTTCACAAAAACTTTCGATAACACACCTTGATTGTGGCTCTGATGATTCTACTATGAAACTTTATATAAAGTGGCGATTGTTATGATTGTAGTCGTCCTTACAACTAAGTTAATAGAAAAAAACCATCATTCATTACATAATAAAGAGGTTATTCAAATAAAGCTAATGTATTGTACTTCACAGCATAATATTCATTCTACAACATTCAGTTTTAATAACAGCCATTGTTAGAGTATTCGAGCATTAAAAAAAAAAATTATATACATTGTATTATGACTGTTATATTCAATTACATAATTATTTATACAAGCCATACATATTATATATACATTGATAATATTGAATTGTTATGTAATAACATCTTAGTGGATGATGATAATAATAGTGGCATATAAATAATTGGTATTATTGTTATAGCTGGAGTATTCGCTGTGAATTAATATTGACGCGTTGCTTACCCCAGAAATAATAATCGGGTATATTTTTAGTAACAGCGACAGCTCAGGGAGAATAAAGATAAAAATAAATCTTATTACAAGCAGAATTATTCGGAGACAATATTTATGAATAATGCTTTATTATAACAATATTTGCTTATCCAAAACATATTTCTATTAATATCACTTACCTTGCAAGCAAAAAAAATATATAAATATCCCTTGTCATTTTTCCATATTATTTTTTCCTTGAATAAACTATACAGAATTTTCACAGACTTGTCTTTTGCCCTCTGTCCTCATTTCTCTTTATCTTTTTGCATTTTAAAACATAAACCACTCGTATCCTGTCTCCAAATTGTCAACAGAGTTCCTAACTTCGGCTTCAAAATGAGGCTTTTTGACAGTAATCTGCATAATATTTCTTAAATGATGATTAAGCTGCGACTTTGATATAGAAAAGGCCTGAAATTGTTTAGTCAATTTTTCTATAATGTCATCAGCAAAGAGCTGAGAATCATCATCTATCAAATTCTTAATATAGTCTTCATGTTTCGCAATGAAAATACTCTTAGATCCACTATTATTCTTTGATTTCTTATAGAGCATCTCATCCCCCCATCTTTTGGTATGTTTTCCACCACCTTTCCCGCAGTACATGGGTGGTCAATCAAGAGTTCTTTGGAAAATTTAGTGATATTTCCTTTCTCTTCAGGATTTTCAATCATTTTATCAATAAAATCCTCTCTTTGCTTGTCTGTATAAGTGTTATAAACTACTAATTTGGTAGACTTATCGTCTAGAGTGTTTGCTTCTTTAGCCTCTTTCACTATACTAATCTTTTCAACAGATTTATTAACTAAATAACTCTTGCAGCCAGTTTAGTTATTGTTTCAAGTACAATGCTTGGGTTTAGTAAGTAATTTCTGTCAAGATACCTTTTATGGGATCAAAAACTCTTTCAGTATACTCATCGAAAGGGTTGTCCCTTCCATTCTTTAAAATAAAAAGTATTTGTCATTGTAGAGATCTCAAAAATTTGCAAAAAAAAAAGGGAACGACAAAAGGAACTGCATTAACGGACAAAATTAAATCTTCTCTTTCGACAATTATATTTTTATTAACCGACAACCATTTTTTTATAACCGCCAATTATATCTTCGTGTAATCGACAATTTCAGTTTTTCGTGACCGACAATTACTTTTTTTGTAACCGACAATATCCACCAGCCGGACTGTATGATGAAATCTTATTTAATGCATAAGCAGAATATTCTTTTACTTGAAGAAATCATTGTTTGTATCGCTAATTACTGTTTAGCTTTCAAAAGTTCTTTAAGTTTTTTTTTTTTTTTTATTAAAGGGTAATGACATTTAGCAGTAGATAGGCCAGGTTTAGTCAAGTAATAGTTACAAGGTTTGCCAACTACATGTAGGAGCTCAGATTAAATTATAACTTCCTTTTCTTGAGCGCTTGATAATTATTAGGACGGGACCTTGTAAATACTCATCTTCAGTAGCTTGAAGTTCCCTTTATATATATATATATACATACATATATCATGAAGTACTTATTACATAATTTAAACACTATTATCTTCTTCTGCGAGAAGAGCTTTATGTTTTGTTTTGTTTTTTTTATCTCTTTTCCCCTGTATTATTGAATAAGAAAATGGTAATTTTTACTTTGATCTATTATCTCCGTCTAGGAAATAATAATTGATAAAACCTTTTTTTTAATTAATTATTCAACTCAGCTATTTTTTAAAGTTGAAAAAATCAAGAGTCTTTAAATTTTCATTTTTCTCCTTATTATTTTATTTTGTTTTACTTTTATTTTTAAAGCAGAATGACTGCAAGCAATCTAGAATTACTACAAGTATATTCGAAAGGACTTGTTGTTTGGTTACCTGATGAAGAACAAGGATGGATTTCTGCAACAGTTATATCTATCGAAAATGATAATACCATAATTAAAATGAGTTTACAAGATGACATGAATCCTGAAAAAGTAAAAGAGCACACCCATGAATCTTGACCTTCATTCGTATTAAATATCTATTATATACATATATAATAGGTACATATATTTGAAGCTAGTTTAGTTGATATTGAATCAAACAAAATAAGTTTACCCCCATTTCGAAATCCTCCCAAAATGGAGAATACAGAAGACTTGACAAGTCTTAGTTACCTCAACGAACCTTCAGGTAAAAAAATAAAAAAATAAATAAATAATAAAAAAAAAAAAAAAGAAAAAAGAAAAAAGAAAAAAAAACTCCTTAAAAAAATAAATAACAGTCTTTCTGTGTGTATTTGTTGTTAAATAATATTCTCCCTAGTATTAAATACTATCAAGATTCGATACGAGGAAAAAAACATTTATACCTATTCGGGAATCGTTTTGATTGCCACTAACCCTTTTGCCCATGTCCCACTCTATGGACCTGAAATTATTCAAAAATATTCAGGAAATAGAAGAAATAAACTTGAACCTCATTTGTTTGCTATAGCTGAAGATGCTTACAGATGTATGATCAGAGATAACAAAAATCAAACTATTATTGTATCAGGAGAAAGGTAAACCCAACAAAAAAAAAAGTAATAGGAGTTAATATGGGAGATGTTTATGTGTGTTTTATTTTAATAGTGGTGCTGGTAAAACTGTAAGTGCAAAATATATTATGCGTTATTTTGCTACAGCAGACGATCAGGAAATGGATAATAAAGGCATTGAATCCATGACTGAGGTAGAAGAACAAATTTTAGGTAAAAACATCGTTAATTCTCCTTGCCATTTTCTCCTTATTAAAAATATGTGTGTTTTCTAGCTACAAATCCTATTATGGAAGCTTTCGGTAATGCAAAAACAACCCGAAATGACAATTCCTCAAGATTCGGTAAATATATCGAAATCCATTTTGATAAAGAACGTACAATTATTGGTGCTAAAATCAGAACCTATTTACTGGAAAGATCTCGTCTTATCTTTCAACCTGAAACTGAGAGAAATTATCATATATTTTACCAAGTAAAATTAGATCCTTTTTCCTACATATTACTGAGGAGGCTAATTTTTTTTTTCTTTAGTTGTGTGCAGGTGCTAATGAAAATGAGAAAAAAGAATTGGCATTAAAAGAATGGTCATATTTTCACTACCTTAACCAAAGCGGAACAGGTGTTATTCCTTCTGTAGATGATGCAAAAGATTTCCAAGAGACTAGAGCTGCTTTAACAACAATTGGTATTCATGAAGAACTCCAATCAGAGATATTTCATCTTTTAGCTGCACTTTTACATCTTGGTAATATTGAAATCGGAGGAAGAAATGAGACAGCTGTTTTGGATGACCAACAAGAATCTCTTGCCCTTGCTACTGAGCTTTTGGGTCTTGATGCTACTGAATTCAAGAAATGGATTGTAAGAAAGCAAATCGTGACAAGATCAGAAAAAATCATTACCAATTTATCCCCCTTACAAGCACAAGTAGTACGTGATTCAGTAGCTAAATATATTTATGCTCATCTGTTTGATTGGCTCGTGGATCATATCAATAATAGTCTGTCATGCTCTGATCCAGAAGAGCAAGTAGCGAGTTTTATTGGTGTCTTGGATATTTATGGCTTTGAGCATTTCCAAAAGAATTCATTTGAACAATTTTGTATCAATTATGCGAATGAAAAACTTCAACAACAGGTATAAATATACACACTTGCTTCCCTTTTATTTTATTTTATTTATTTATTTCAATACCTTTTAGTTTAATCAACACGTATTCAAACTTGAACAAGAAGAATATATCAAGGAAGATATTGATTGGAAATTTATTTCGTTTAGCGACAATCAGAAATGTATAGAGTTGATTGAGAGTAAGATGGGTATTTTATCATTATTGGATGAAGAATCACGTTTGCCATCAGGCACAGATCAGGGCTTTTGTAACAAGCTTTATCAGCAATTTGGCAGTAATTGTCCAGACTATTTCAAGAAGCCTAGATTTTCTAACAATGCCTTTGTCGTTTCACATTATGCTCATGATGTTCAGTATGAGTCTGAAGGCTTCTTGGATAAAAATAAGGATACCGTTCCTGAGGAACTTTTGGCATTGCTTCATGCCTCTCAGTCTACATTCTTGGCAGATATGATTCAACCTGTTGCACCAGTAAATCTTATAGTAAGTCTTTATATATATATATATATATACATATAAGGGGAAAAGAAGCAAGTGAATGCAAAGTTTTAAAACTTGTGTATATTTTTGTATAGACTGATCAGGTGCCTAAAAAGACTCTGAGTCAATCCAAGAAGCCTACTTTAGGCTCTATGTTTAGAGTAAAATAATAATAATAACAAAAAAAAGGGGATTATAGAATTAATATTATTATTTTCTTAATAGCTCTCACTCATTAATTTAATGGACACGATTGGAGAAACAAACGTTCATTATATTCGTTGTATTAAACCTAATGAAGCTAAAATAGCTTGGGCCTTTGAGCCTAATATTGTACTTTCACAATTACGTGCTTGTGGTGTCTTAGAGACAATTCGTATTAGTTGTGCTGGATATCCAACTAAATGGACCTATGAAGATTTTGTTGAGAGGTGAGTAAAGAAAAAAAACCCCCTTTTTTTTTTTAATGCACTTTTATAACATATTTTATTATATAGATATCATGCATTAGTTGACTTTTCACAAATGGATAATACTAATAAAGATGCGAAAATGATATGTTCTCATATCATAAATAATATAATCCAGGATACTGATAAATATCAAATGGGTCTTACAAAAATCTTTTTCCGTGCTGGTCAGGTAAATAAGTATTCTTAGAGAACAAAAAAAAAAAGAGAGAGATTATTATCACTCATACCTTAATATTTTATTAGCTTGCTTATATTGAAAAATTAAGATCAGATAAATTGTACACATGCGCTGTGATGATACAAAAGAATGTACGTCGTTTCTTAGCTCGTCTCCAATATAAGAGAGCTCTTCAAACTATTGTAAAGTTACAAGCTATTACACGTCGTCAAATAGCTGTTCGTGCTCTAGAGCATATGCGCCGAGAAAAAGCGGCTACAGTCATTCAAAGTAATTGGAGAAGATATTATGCTAGAAAACAATTTTTGAAAACGAAAGCCTTTATCATTCAATTACAAACAGGTAATATAAAGACAAAAGAAAATTCATGAATTCTTTTCATTCTTTTAACGGCTTTTTTTTTTTTAGTGATTCGTGGAGATTTGGCAAAAAAGAGATATAATATGTTACGAAGAGAACATGCGGCAATCATGGTTCAGAAGATTGTAAGGGGCTGGCTGAGTCGTAAACGATACCAAAAGATTCGAAATTATGTAATTCAACTTCAAACTGCTATAAGATGTTTCCAAGCACGACATCAATTAATAGTGTTACGTGCTGAGGCACGCTCGGTCAATCATCTTAAGGAGGCCTCTCATAAACTTGAATCACGTGTTATTGACTTGATTCAAAATTTAACACAACAGCGTGAAGAAAAGTCACGACTTAAATTAAAAGCAATTGAATTAGAAAACCAAGTCCGTTCCTGGATTCAGAAATATGAACGATTAGATCAACGAGCTAAGGACCTTGAGCAACAGTATGGTAAAAACTTTACTATTACTAACACTATGAATTTAAACGAACAAAGAGATGCTCTTCAAGCAGAATACATAACATCATTAAATAAGATTAAATTACAAGATAAGGAATTATTGCGATTAAAAGAAGAGTTACTTCAACAGCGAGATGGTATGAGTCGATTAAGGATGTCAAGATTATCGACCTCAAGCGATAAGACGTTAGACATTACTGAGTTAAAAAATCAAATCTCTGCGTTAAAGGCAGCTACTGAGTGTAAACTCTATGTACAGTAGTAGTAGTAGTAGTAGTAGTAATGTTTTCTACTTTAATTATAATATCCATAATAATATCCATAATAATAAAATATCGTAATTTATTACCTTCTCTTCATGATGGTGTTCTTTATAAGATAAAATACATAAAATATAGAAAAGACAACAACAGCCATTCATCTTGGTATTTCTATACATATTTTGTGTTATGTTACATTTATTGTCTAATAGTAATAAAAAAAAATAATCCCGAAATATATGCCCGGGTTTATCAAACAGAAATTACATACCAAATATAGAAAAAGAAGTCATCAGAAATAAAAAAAAAAAGAGTTCCTGCTGCTGCATGTGCTTCTTCGGTAAAACGCTAAATAATAATTATATTTTTTTTTCTTCTTCTTCTTTTTCTTTTTTTTTTTTATATATCTAATTTTTTTTTTCGTAATGTCTGGACCATTGCCACAAGGTATACATATATATATATATTATTTATTTAAAAAGGATAAAATAAATATTAACTATATATTTAGGTTGGGAAGAAAAATTCACTCCAGAAGGAAGACCGTAAGTGAATATATACAATTTAATTAAGCAACTCCCCTCATCTTGCCTTTTTCCTTCCTATTTTACTCTACCCTTTATATAATTACATACAATTAACATAAATATGTGTAAATAGATATTATGTAGACCATAATACAAGAACTACACATTGGGAAAGACCTGCTGCAGCACCTCCAGTTTATGGTAACTATGCTTCTCCACCTCCTCCACCAGCTTCAAGACCTGAAGGTTATAATAGATATCCATCTCCTTATGGTCAACAGCAAGATCGTTCATATACTCCTCAATCAGCTAGCTATAACCCTTATCCTCCTCAGCAACATGGCTATCCTTCACCTTATTCTAATGCTAGTGGTAGTCCTTATCCTCCACCTCAACCACAACCACAACAGCAATCACCTTATTCCAACAGTCCCTATCCTCCACAACAACAGCAACAAACACCTTACTCTAATAGTCCTTACACTCCTCCTCCTCCACAACAATCTCCTTATAGCCAACAGCATGACCGTGCATCACCCTATCCTCAACAACAAGCGTATGGCTCTTATCAATATCAACAACCCTATGGTGCCTCTCCATCCGTTCCTCAAACAAAACCTAGTGGTATGTCAAGTGGTATGAAAATGGCTGGCGCAGCTGCTGTAGGTATTGCAGGTGGCTTAGCTGTTGGTAGTATTTTACATCATGAAGAAGAGCAAACTGAACGTATTGAACGACTTGAACAAGAGCAACGTGATTTAGAACGAGGTAAATCAGAATAATTCGGTATAAATATATATTTATATATTTATATATATATACTAATCAGTAAGGGTTTATATATTAATATATAGAACAACAACAGCATGCCTATGATAGTCAACCTGTTTATAGTCAACCTCCTCCTCCTCCTCCTCCTCCTGCTCCTATGGACGGCGGTTATGGAAATTTTGAGCCTAGTTATCCACAAGATGGAGGAGAAACTACGACTACAATTATTCGTGAAGATGGTGGATGGTTTGGACCTGATAAAGAGACCATCATTACAACAGGTAAACCACACACGCACATATATATACATAGACACACACACACACACATATATATATATACAGGCCCTTTTATTATTATTATTTAATTTATGCAATTTGTTTGTTTATTAGATGAATATGGAGGACAAAGAATTGTTGAAAGAGAAGATGGTTGGTTTGATAATGATGTTCAAGGTAAAATAGAATAATAATAAGAATAATAGAAAATATGAAACTCATTGAAATAAATAGTTACAACCATTGATGCTAATGGAAATACCACTTATGTAAGTAGAAATTATTATTTTATTTATTTATTTTCTTCTTTTTTGTTACTAAACTAATGTATTTTTTTTTTTTTTTTTTTTTGTAGGAGGAATATGACGAAGACAATAGTGGATTCTTTGATTAAAATATCTTTTTTTTTTCACATTATATGTGTACAACATTTATATTCTAAAAATAAATTTTTATACTTAATAAAGACTTGAATATCGTGTAAAAAAAAATAAAATAAATTAAAATAAAAAGGTGTATAGACAATTTTATTAAATTTGTGGGTATCAAAAAATGGATAACGAATTTTTTTTTTTCTTCTATGAAAGTTTAGACTCTAATTGTTGAATTCTATTTGAAACTTGTGTCAACATATCTTCTAATTTATTACCAACGATACGTTGTTCTAAGCGGCTAAGGCGTTCTGTACATTCTAAAAGTTGCTTTTCAAATTGTTTTGACACAATATCGCGTACCTGACGACGTACAAGAGTTTCTACATAATTACCTTGTTGTAAAGTTTGCATCAAATTTGAGGAACGACGAATTTGGTCATCCAAGTTATGTTTGAGGTGTTTAGTTTGTTCAATTTGATCATAAAGGAATTCAAAGGGTTGTAGGAATTTTTGTTTTTGAGTCATCACAGGTGGTGTCTTCGTAGTAGATCGTGAGGGACGATATTGATGCCAAGCAGGTTGTTGTGATGGGACAATAGGTGGATTTGGGAAACGGTGTGTAGAATAAGGAGAAGGAACGGTAGCAGATGTAGTAGCAGGATCATTACTACTAAAATATGGCTTTTTGGTTATATGACCACCTTTAGAGACTTTGTGAGAGATGGGGTGATGGTTAGGAGGAATGGTTGTTCTTCTTAAAGGTGCAGATTGAATTAGACCCTGATTGCTTTTTTCATTATAGGAGGGTGTTAAAATAGTTAAATTCTTTTTAGTACCATGTTTAGGAGCAAGTCGTTTTAATAAAAGTGTTGAGGGCTTTGGCAGCTCAATAGCTGTTTGTCTTTTATTTGGTGGTGACATGGAAGAAAGAGAAGGTGAAGAGGATGGTGTACTACAATGTGTATAAATATATAAAAAAAAAAATAGATTAATATCAATGTCACTCAAAAAAAAAAAAAAAAAAAAAAGGGGGAGGGGAGGGGGAGGGAGGAGTACAAATATATTTACCTTGGTAGTAGGAGAGGAGGTGAATTGGTAGAGGTGGCGGGAGGACAAATAAAGGCAGGCAATGTAGGCGACGAAGCTGTTTCTAATTTATGATCCAAATTTTTATTTTGCTTTAAAAACCATTCAGTACCATCAAGTCGTCTTGGCTCAAAATGAACTTGATTAACATGACATATAGGTTTATTTAATAAACGAACAAAGGTTGTCATTTTAAGAAGAGGAATAGCACCTCCATCCAATAATTCATCATCTTCAAGACAGCATAGATCTGCCAAGTTATAAATTTGATGTTTAGAAGCAATATCAGCCATAGCACGAGCTTGAATATAGGAACGACCTGATAAGTCTTTAAAAAAAAGACTAGGAGATTGTAAGAAAGTATTAATTATATCTTGACTTGCTAATTGAAGATCAAAGATAGAAAATAAATCTTCAAGACAATAATAGTTTATGAATTGTTGATCTTTTGTTTGTGAAATGGGTGGAGTGACTATAGGTGATGGAAGTTGATATAAACAAAATGATATCGCTGGAGATATTTGATATTCTCCAATAACTATTTTTTGAATTCTCATAGTTTAATTCTATTTTTGTTAAAAAAAAAGGTTATATTAAAAAAAAATAAATAAAGAAAGAAGGAAAGAAAGAAATGATTCTTACCTTGCCTTCCTCTATTATAATCAATTATTTTTTTTACAGTAAATAATGATGGTACTCGATAATAAATTACCTTTTATGCGGAATATAAAATTTGTATATTTATACGTTTAATTAATATTACAGTCATAATGTTCGTGAACAAAAACTATTATGGTATACAATGAATGTATAAAGAGATAATATTGTTTTTAATACCCAGTAAATTAGCTTATTTGCTGTCATGGAAAGGTTGTTCATTTTGAATTACCTAAAATAGAAATATGTATTTTAGGTTTCGGTAACTAAGGATACAGGGAATATATTACTTTTTTTTTTCGAAAATTGATCGCCAAATTTAAGGTACACAAAATAAAGTACTAATAAATATCTTGAATATTTTGTATTTTATTTTATTTTTTCAGGAAAAATTTGTGCTGTTATAATATATATTATTATAACTATTACTAGTATTATTATATTAATATCTAAAAGTAATTTTTTTATATACAATAATAAAGAAAATTTTATTATTATATTAACATTGTAAAAAAAAAGGGAAAATTATGATAAATATATACACTATGTTTCATGGATATAATAAATTAATATCCCTGATCCTAATTATATTAAAAAGATTCATCTTCAGCAAGGATATATTAAAATATGACAATATTATTACATATGATTATGGTATATGATTATGGTATATGATTATTATAACACATGTCATATATTTATTAGATTATTACAGTGCAATACGGTTATAGTAATAATCTATATAATGTGCTTTATATACATAATACTGTTTTATTTATGATAATAATTTTATTTTTTCTTCTTCTTCCTTTTAAAATCTCAGCCATAATAATTCATTTTATCCTTTTTCAGCAATAAATAACAACAATAATGTACACATGCTGTTACACGTACTTGGCATTAGAAATAATTTAATAATACTTTTGTGTATACTTTGCTTAAAATATTTGCATAAACAACTCTCCTGAATAATACTTGCTAGTAGTTTATTTCCTGTAGTAGTATATATAAAGGCTTTTTTTCCCTTTTTTTTTTCCTTTTTTTCCTTTTTTTTTTTACAACTTAATAAACTTTCTACTTTTTTTGGTAGTTACTTTTTTATTTTTTAAAACATTTCAAGATCGATTATATAGTTTAATGATTTTGGAACTGTTAGAAATATGACGCTTGTCATATATTAAAATAAAATAAACCTCTGTTATAGTATTCAGCCTAGAATAACATCAAAATAAATAATACAATTCAATATTAGCTTGAATGGGTTTAAATTATATGTCATACACAAGAGATTAGTTTTGCTCCTGTCTTCCTATCAGACCCAGATCTGTTTTATTTAATAATATTAAATTAATTTTTTTTTTTTTTTTTTTTTTTTTTTTTTTTTTTTTTAATTTAATTAATATGCCTAGTATCACGGATATATTTAAATTTTTCCAGTTATTAGTTATAATAGGTTGATTAAGTACTCAGAATGAATAAGTAACATCATATATAAACAATTAAAGCATGCAAGAAAAATGATTATAACTACATACGTACAGATGTAAAGGTAAAATAAAATAATATACTGTATTTTACGTAAATTAATCAAAAGAAGAGAGATAATAAAAATATATATCTAAAAATAGCAAGAATAATAATAGTATTCCTACTATTATTTACAATATATAAATACATCTTGGAAATATTTAATTTCTTGGTTTTGATACTTATTGTATTCTCAAAGTATCATAAAGAATATTGTTGTATCCTTATATCTTCATGGTGACTATAATATTAGTCAAATAAGTAGGTTTGAACAGGAAGAAGTCAAACAGAAGAGAGATTAATAAAATGAATCATGCCATTGTACATAAGCATAATTTCGCTAATTTGTTAAATAATGCTTTAATTAATCAAATTATCAAGACTAAATTCTTATCATTAAACACTTGCCCTTGGCAATTTCAGTCTTCAAGATTAATTAGACATATTCACTACTTATTGAAGGAAAAGAGTTAGAATATTTATGAGAGGTGTAGTAGCTCTCGGCTGGAAATATACAAATAGATAGTAGTTGGACTCTTTTTAAGCAAATGACCAATATGAACAGCTATTGTGGAAAATAAAAATTGCCTCTAAATCAATAGAGCATTAATAAATATTCATTCAAAAGTATTGGAAGAGATTAGATAATCAAACTATTCAACTTTAGGTAGAGCCTTCAACCAAGAGGTTGTGTAAATGTATTCCCAATTTTCTTTTTCTTTGTCCAAACTGTACATTCAATTCAGTCGTAAGACAAGACACTAGGCAATTTGGATAGAAATCAAATTTCATTTGCTTATAATCAAGTGGCTTACATAATTTGATTTATAGCTATAACTTCATCAAAAGAAAAAAAAAATTGTTAGTATGTTTCCTCAAATCATTACGGTATAATAGCTATTAATTATCTATGCATAAGCTACTGATGCCATTAAGAACAATGTTAATATAACAGGTTCAAAAGTTATAGAATTGTTTAGTAGTTTAATATATCAATGAAAAGAGCCTCTATTATCATATATAAATACATGTGTATGTACTGTAGCTTAAATCAAAAAGCTTTAAGGAAGGAGGGGAGGAAGAAGTATGAATCTATTAGCAAGCATTAAATATAGTTGGTTTATTAAAAGTAAATAGCATAATAGGTATCCTCGGTAATATAAAATTGAAAAAAAAAAAAAAAAAAAAAAAAAAAGAATAAGCATAAGCATAAGCATAAAAAAAAAGTTAGCTTATCTCTCAATCAATTACTGAGGCTTTTCATTTTATAAATCCTCAGCTGTTTGAAAATTATTACCATGCTTATGAGATTTATCTTAATGGGTTAAAGGTTAAAGTAATATCACGAGTTTATTAAATAAATAAATTAACACAGTATTTGACAATAATATGTATACATATTTATGTAATTTATAAAGAAGGTGGAGTCACTTGTCCTCTCCAGATTTCTTTAATGACTTTTCTATAAATAATATGTCTATCCACAATATCAGCTACATGGCATTGTCTTACGTTTCCATAAAGGTGTCCACCTAATCCACGCTGATGAATAATAAGATTACCTGCCCATTTATGTCCTATACAGAAGATGGGAATAAATGTAAATAAAATATAAATATGTATACATGTATATATTCCATAGTTATACCTCCGAAATGGCTCGTTCCCCATACTTCTACTTTTCCTTGTAATCCTTTTTCTTTAATAACTCGATTAAATTCTTCAATAATTAATGGACCAATCTTGCCACATCTTAAATCCCGACGAGCATGTGTGCAAACTAGAACTACTGTATCCGCTTCCATATCCTGCCAATCCACAGAAGATAAAGGATTATGAGGATTTTGCCAAATGGAAGACAAAACTTGATATAAATTTGAATTAGATTCTAATGTATCTTTTTGCGTGGTAGTAGTAGTAATGATTTTAAATTCAGGAAACAATAAAATGTCTGTCTGATTAGGTGAATGGGACGGCTTCTCTGTTACCGTAGTCAGCACAAGCCGCCCTTCTTCTTTTTCTTGCTTGGTTGGGGTGTGTGCTCTTAACCACTGATTTTCTGTATTTTGAATAGTATGCAAAATACCACCTGGTACAGCTTCTACTTTAGATCTTGTCCATTCGAGAGCATCAGGACCAACGCAAGCGACGAGATGACGTAGAGTAGATGAGGGTCGAGTCATATCTTCAGACATATCGATCTTTTTACCCAAAACATCTGGTATAGGATGATTTCGACAGGGGACATATCCATTAGGGGCAGCTGCCTCGTTAGAAGGACAACAAGGCTCAAATCTTGAAAAAGGAAAAGGCTTTGGATCAAAAGGTACAGAATGATAGAAACGAGTAACAGGTGGTATTCTAACAGCTAATGTTTTACATAACAACATGATTAAAGCAATAAAAAAAAAGAAAAGAAAAGAAAAGAGAAACAACAAGGAAAAGAAAGAAATGATAACCTATTTTTATACATAGACAAATATATGACAGCGCGCTTGTTCGGGTAAGAGAAGAATACTTATATTTGGGCTAAATAAATTTTAATGTGTAATGTTATTATTATTATTGTTATTTTAAAGAAAAAAGAAAAAGAAAAGAAAGAGAAAACTGTACAAATTGATTATTGCTGTTGTGCTTCATATTTAATACGTGATTGAGCAAAAAGTAATTCTTGTTGTCGTAGTAATTCCTCTTCTGAGATTCCCGTATTTTCTAATCTTGTACTCTTTCTATCTCGATCCTATAATAAGTTGAAAAAAAAAAATTAGATTAAATTGCATATAATTTAAATTGTAGCTATGAACCTTTTGTTGCTTTTTGTGTTCTTTGAAAACTTCATCTACTTCTTCAACATACTCCTCAAAACCGAGTGCTTGTAGTGCTGCAATCACATGCTCTCCAGCAATTGTCTTTTTTGTTTCTTTTTCACAAATTTCATTAGCTTCAGAAGCAATCAAGTGAATAAATTCTATATTGATTAAGAGTTACGACATGTTTTTATTTTACTGAATTTTAATCATGGTTACCAACACAGCAATCAATTAATAGATCGCGAGTGTCTTTTGCACAGACAATGTCTTCTGGCATCATTTCATTTATTAATTTTTGAACAGTAGCTATTGAATGCTTATTTAGTTGATTACTTTTAAAGTCCTTTTTTTAACACTCTTACCTTTGGGAAGTGAAAGATCATCATCGCTAGTAGGCGCAGAACGCTCGTTATCACTCATTGTATTTTATTGAGAAATAATAATAATAAAAAAAAAATAAAAAATAAAAAAAGATAAAAAAAAACTGTTCTAATTGAATTTAATTTTTCCTTTTTTATATTGTGACCAAATGTTTTATAGTTGTGGCTTTCATAACTATAACAAATTTTAAACTGATACAAGAAAATAATATGATAATGAAGTAGTGTTACTTATCAAATAAGAAAATAATAAGCATAAAGTGTGAATAAAAATTGAAGAATTTAAATATATAAATATTCCATTATTAAATATCAAATTTCTTTCTTATTCTTAATAACCTCACTCAACCTACCATGTATTAAAGCTATTTAGAAAATAATTAATATGCTAAAAAGCCATTATTATTATTTATTTGTATTATGGCATCAACGCGAAATTTATCATAAAAAAAAATGGTAACGTGTGACTGAATAAACCCCCTTCTTTTTTTTCCCTTTTTTTTTTTTTTTTTTTTTCTAGTATTTATCATCTAATGTCCTCTAACATTCCTGGTGTGGAACAACGCGATCCACAATATTTTGGTTACTATGCTCAACTTCAGCACCAAGTAAGAGTCAATTCAATTATATAGTTATTTTTGTTTTGTTTTGCTAATTACTTCATTAGCAAAATATGCTTCAAGATACAGTTCGTACCTCGACCTACCGTTCCTCTATCCTTTTGAACGGACCAACATCTTTTAAGGATAAACTTGTCTTAGATGTTGGTGCTGGGTCTGGTATCCTCTCTTATTTTGCTGTCCAAGCAGGAGCCAAAAAAGTTTACGCAGTTGAAGCATCAGCAATGGCTGGCAAGATGAAAAAGTTAGTTTCGGATCCAAATAGAAATGCTTTCTTAAAAGATAAAATTGAAGTTATTAATGGTAAATTAGTATATGATGAAGGGAAAAGTTAGAAAATATTAAATTATTTTTTTTTCCTTTTTTTTTTTTTTTTATGTAGCTAAAATTGAAGATCCTGATTTACCTATTCCTCAAGTGGATACTATTATTTCTGAACCTATTGGCGTACTCTTATTTCATGAAAGAATGGTAAAGTGAGCTTGTTTAATTACTTACTACTATAATTATAACTATTCGTATATTTAGTTGGAAAGTTATGTTTATGCAAGAGATCATTATTTGAAACCAGGAGGAGCCTTATTTCCTTCAAAGGGTACTATTTTCCTTGCTCCTTTTACGGATGCTACGTTATGGAGCGAAACGATGGCTAAAGCTCGTTTCTGGTAAAAATTATGTCACATTATTTAAATTGATATCTATTATTTATATAACGGGCTCTTTAGGGAACAACAATCATTTTATGGTATTGATCTTACTTCACTATATAAAGATGCTCGCGATGAAATGTTTGGTATGCCGGTCGTTGGTCATTTTGATCCAAATAACTTGATTACAACACCTTTTAATGGTTACAATGTTGATTTTACTACAATTACTGTAGCTGAGCTACAAGATTTAACAATTCCTTTTGAATGGACAGCACAATATACTGGCCTTATGCATGGTGTTGCAGGCTGGTTTGATCTTTTGTTTGCAAGCACGAATGAGGGCACAACCATTGAGATGTCCACAGGGCCCGCAGCTGAGCGTACACACTGGCAACAAGTTAGATTTTTGTTTAAGGAACCTTTGGCAGTAAATGCACGACAACAGATTCGTGGATGGATGCGATGTATTGTAAATGATATGCGAAGTTATACGATCTATGTTGAAGTGACAGCTACAGATGGAGTTGAATTAAGCGACCCTAATGATATAAATAGATTTAAGGAGCAACAAGAAACAGGACCTTTAATGCGTCGTGGTATTTGGGAATTACACGAACAAACATATAATTATAATTATACACCTGGAATGATGCCAGATCATAAACCTGAATATTCATGTCTTTATGAGCCTGAATTTAATTTAGATAATCACGATTTAGAAGCTATGAATGTTATGGAAACTTATGAAGATTTTGTAAACTAATAAAAATCTATTCCTTTATACATATATATATATTGTATGTATATAATTATTGCATATATTTATTTATTAGTACTATTATTACTATTCTTATTTATATGTTTTTTTTTCCTCTAAATCCTCGATATTAGTGGGTGTATTTTGTCCGCTATTTGTAGCCGTAGTACTTGGTCCAGCTTCATCTAGATCATAATAAAAGAAATTCGGTGTAGACTGATGCGTTATATCTTGTAATTCATGCGCACTTGACTGATGTGATTGAGTCTGATGTAATTTTTCTGTTGGAGGACGAGTGGCAGCATCTAATTCCTTTGACAAGCTTCCACCCATTTCTTTTTCATTTTGTCCATAATTTAATATAACAGGTTCTTCCATACTAAACGCACCGCCAACGGATGCATTATGAGTCCTCTTTGATTTCTTTCTAGCCATTATTAAGTGACGCAAGTTAAAGCCACCACCAATACGTCGTGCAGTGGATGTACTTGAAGGTACAGTATGAAGATGTAAATCAATTCCACTAGGATTGCGGACTTGTCTATTTAAAGTGCCATTTACATGCTCATCTAAATTGACTTCACGACCATGCTCTATCGCAGCCTCTTCAGCTTCTTCTAAACGACATCTGTTTTCTTCCTCCATTTGTTGGATACGAGCCTGCTCTTCATCCATTGGTAAATAGCCATAGGCACGCTCACCCATCTCAGCCCAATCAGTACCAATAATTTCATCTTCATCTGCTAATCTTAATTTCAAGAAGGGGAACTTGTTCAAGACGACCAAGATAATATACGTTATCACAAAGGACCACGCAGATACACTGGCAATAGCAGCTAGCTGGACAGGTACTTGAATCCAATTACCATCTAGCCAGCCACCAAGTGGTATAGAATCGAGTGGCGTATTATCAGGATAACTAAGTGCAATCACCCATCGTTGGGCAAAGATACCGGTTAACACAAGCCCCACAAGTCCTCCAATGTAATGAACAGCAAAGACATCAAGAGCATCATCAAATCCTAGACGATGTTTGTAACGAATGATAATGTTCGAGATAATGGATCCAAAGGCTCCAAAGGCAAGAGAACTGCTTTGAGAGACAAAGCCTGAACCAGGAGTAATCGTAGCAAGACCAGCAACGGCACCTGTACAAAGACCAATAATACTCCATTTACGAGTATGTTGATAATCCATTAGGACCCAGACTATAGCAGCTGTACAGGCTGAAAGGTGAGTACAAATGAGGGAATGAACACTACGGGCATTAGCGGCTAAAGCACTACCGGCATTAAATCCCAACCAGCCTATGAAAAAAAAAATCATAACAATAATAATAATGAGTTTAGATGTATTTATAGAAGAAGAAGAAGAAAGAAACATAGGTCACCTACCAAACCACATAAGAGCTAAGCCTAAGAACACAAAGGATACATTGTGGGGTGTATTCACATTTTCATTATAGTCTCTACGTTTACCAACAACCATAGCATAAGCGACTATTTTTAAAAGAATATTAGCATGTATATACAATATATACATAAATATATAATAGTATTACCTGCTGCTAAACCACTAGAAATATGAACAGGAGTTCCACTATTAAATATATATATATATGTATATAAATATATAAGCAACTTTTATGAATTAAAAAAATACATCTGTATATGTATATTTTTTTTACCCTGCATAATCCATCACACCTAATTTGTAAAGCCAGCCTGTACTGCTCCAAACCCAATTTGTAATAATATCTTAAAAAAAAGGGGGGTTAAAATAATATTCCAAGTGCAAATGTTCTATTGTAATTACCATAAACTAAAGTTGTCCAAAGAAAAATAAATAAAGTAGCAGGACCTAGCTATTAAAGACAATCAACTAGTTGCTATGATTAATATGTTAAATTTTATCTTACCGACATACGTTCCGCGGCAGATCCAAATGCCAATGCTAATAATAACAAAAAAATTAGTCACAAGAAACTTAAAAAATATATCTCAAGTATAATAAAAAAAAAAACTATACCTGGTGTGATAGCGGCAAACATGCATTGAAACAACATGAATGCGGATGCGGGAATTGTTTCTCCAGTTAAATGAGGTGCTTTTCCTACACCTCTTAACAAGAAATGCTCTATTATAGGTGTCAGATATCTATTACTAACGATGATATTTTTTTTCTACAAATTATTACTTGAATCTCCAATAAAAGGTGTTCCAGTATTAGAAAATGTAAGCGAGTATCCAATTAAATACCACTAAAATAATATAAAGTTTAGGAAAATATGTATGTATTTGTGTATATAATTCTTTGCATTTAATTTAATTACCTGAAAGGAAACGATAGCTACTGACATAACTGTTAAATACATTAAAGATAAAGCGTTTTTTGCTCTTGCAAGACCTGCATAAAAAAAACCTAGAGCAGGTGACTGAGGGAAATCAAAAAAAAAAAAAGTAAGTATACAGTCTAAGCACTTATTTGCCCATCAAATACCATTAAAAAGACAAGTGCTGAACAAATCATAACCCAACCAGTGTCACCATCGTTAATATTATATGCTGTCACTGAACCTATATTTGGTAACTCTGTTGTATTTGTTGACATGTTATAAAAGAGAAAGAAAAGAGCAAATTTTTTTTTTTTGGTTTTGTTTTTTTTTAGAAAAATATAAGAAAAAAATAAAGGGCAGATTATTCGATCTTTTATTATTATTATTTTTTTTTTTTTTGGATAAAAGATAGGTAAAAAAAAAAAAAATAAAAATAAAAAAAGATAAGGCGGAAGTTAAAAAATAGATTATAGGAGAAACTATCATCTGCTAACGTAAGGTCAAAAATACAGTTTATTACGGTCCACATACGTAAAGAAAAAAAGGGGAGATTATTATATTTACTATCATTTAGATTCAAAAATATATTTATCCTGAATCAATGCTACATAATATACTATTTTATATTATTTCAACTTTGTATAGTTAAGGTTTTCATTCTTCTTTTTTTTTCATTTGTATAACATATGAAAATTGAAAAAAAGGGTAACTTAGGTTTTCTATAAATTGTATCAAATAAATCAGCAATAGGAAAATGAAGTTATTAAATAACATATACAAATATATTATTATATATATAAATAGTTGTCAATCATCCAATAATAAAAAAGAAGCATTTTCTATCATTAAGTATGTTGCTAGAAGTAGCCGACGAATTATTTTTAAGAAAAAAAAAATTCATACAGGGTGATTCACCATCAATCAAATATTTAAGCCTTCAATAAGATAGTCACACAAGATTGACAACGAAGATACTAAAAATGGAAGTTGGTCACGTGACTTTTCTTTTTCAAAAGCATTGATTATAATTCTAAAAGAAAATTTTCAAGGAGCGTTTTCATGGAGAAGTGGTTTAACTCGTCACTTTCACATAGTGAAGATCGCCGGTTCGAGCCCGGCTGGAAACACTCTAATTTTTTATTTTTATTTTATTGCCCTCCTCTCATTGTATTTTAATCTTATAAGTGTTGTGCCCTTTACAACGAAGACGACCATGGTTGCAATTAATTATTATAAAGTATAATAGGCGCTAATGATTATATGGAAGAAGTAGAAGTGTCAGTCTTTTTATTTCACATTCTACTTGTATTTATAATGTTATATCCAAACTAGCTTGTCATACCATGACAAAAGTTGAAGAAGATACATAAATATTATAATAATTGAACCTTCTTGTTTCACTGTTTACTGATTAAATCTGACAATATTATTATTATACTTTTTTTTGACGTTGTGAAAGAGGTTCAATGAATTATAACTGGTAAGGGATTATTGTTATGAGAATCAAAAGAAGGACTCCCTCTCTCTTTCTCTCTCGGTTATTTATTTTTGGATCAAATAATAACAAAGATAAATTATTAAAGATTACTACTTGTTGATTAGACGTACTGATATAAAATTGTCGGCTTTTGATAACAATGTGTGTAAAAATAGATATTCTATCAAAACGAAACTGGACACTTATTATTAATGATCTGAATTCTTTTAGCTAAGATAAAAAGAAGAAGCCATATTTAACTATTTTTTTTTTTATATACGTACTATGTTCTATACCTATCTCCCTAAAGCTCAAATATGTTTGCACATCCCTTAGTACCTTTCCGGGTAATAAAATATGTAGTCTAGTATATGAGGTGTCAAAAGTTTATTCATTTTTAAAGAGACTCTTAGATACTACTAACTTATAGAAGCTTTAGATTAAAAATCTAAAATTTCAATTAATAGTAAAGTAAACTCTAAAATCAAATTATAATGTATACTTAATAAAGTAAGAAATACATTTTAGCCGTTAAAGATATAGAGACTTTATTATGAATGGCTAAAAAAAAAAGCGTTAAATAAGAGTATAACAATAAAAAAAAAGACCTGTATAAAACTAAATTATAGACTGAAATAAAACATGCAATGAAAATGAAAGGAGTATTATCTAACACACAAATAAATAATGGATATCTTGTCAAAAAACGATGATGAATTTTTGGTATAAAACACAAAGTAAAATTTTTAATTGACGCGCGAGTTTATTTTCTTATTTTTTTTTTTCTCTCTCTTTCTTCTCTTTTTTTTTTATTTTCAAAATGGTAGTCCCATCCAGTATAATTATACCTGCACATTCTTTAAGTTCAGAACGTAAACGTCCTACCGATACAACATCTGAAGATAACACATCAAGTACAGAAGAGGTATTTTACAAATGAGACTTATTTTTGTCAATTTTACTGATTATTTATTATAGATAAAGAGGCCACGTTTAGATGATACAGAAGCAGGGAAGAATCGTAATAGACGATTATTCGGTGCTCTATTAGGCACATTAAATAAATTTAAAGATGAAACAGAAAAAACAAGCGAAATTGTAAGATATACATATATATATATATATATATATTTGTCAACTTTGTGTTTATATAGAGAAGCTGACATTAATTGTTTAGGATAAGAAAAGACAGGCCATTAACGAAAAGTTACATGAACGATTAGAATTAGAAAAGAAACAGTTAGCTGAAAAACTTAAAGCTCGTAAAGAGGAAAAAATGCGATTAGCAGAACAAAAGAAGCAAATAGAGCAGAAAATGTGGGAGGAAAAGAAGGTAAAACTATAAATAAATAGTGTAATGTATACATGAATTGTTGACATTAAATTTACTCTCATCATTCTAGGAACTAGCTGAAATTATCCAAAATGAAAAATTAGCAAATTTTTTAAAAACGAATGTTGCTCAACCTACCTTATATTACTTACCAGCAAAATTAACAAAGGAGATGGAGGAAATAATTAAAACACAAAAAGAAAAAGCATCAGAGGCGAGAAAACGCTTTGAAATGAAAAATGATGAATCAGATCATGATGATCGTCACCATCAAAATAAAAGTTCAGAAGAAAATAATAAAGATAATTAGTCATAAAATATACATATTTTTGAGGGTAATAATAAATCCATTATATTTTTATTATAACGTATAATTTTCTTTCTTTTTCTTTAAGGAAACAAACAAAAAAAAAAAAAAAGTATTTGTATACATATGCTACTTATTGCCTGAATAACAAAGGGGGGAAAGTTACAAATTTATCTCTTTTTCTTTTGTAAATAGGAATGAGGGGTATGATTATCATGTTTATATAAACCTGCTTATTGGTCAAGCATAGTAATTTTATCTTCTAATAACAAGCTTAAAAGTTTTTTATGTCCAGGCCCATTTAACTTTTCAAGCTTCTCACATACTCTACCTGATAATATTTTTCTTTGATCTACTGTCAAAGCAGGGCAAGAAAGTAACTTTTGAATGAAAACAAGTCCACGTACTTGATCCGACAAAACTTCCATTAAGATATCCTGTCTTGTTAACAACTCGTTTAAAAGCATCTCTTGGGCTACTAGTTCACTTGTTTGATTAATTAGTTTATAAATAATTTGCGAGCCTAATTTGTGGGCACATAATTGGGGCAGATGTCCCATAAGTCGGCCTGTAATGGCTTGAATGCGATTCTCAATGTCCGTTGATTCTATCAACCAGGATAAAAGTAACGCACCATTGGTATTAGTAGATAATGCAACTGCATTTTGGCAAAGTGAAGCTGCTACAAATTTCTAAATATATGCATATATAGAAAAAAACATAGATTAATACATAATAGATATATAATATACTATTTATAAATGTGTATATACTTTTTGATATGATGTCGCATATTCACTTTCCAGTATGCCACGCATGGATCTTGCGCCAAATCGACCTTGTGCAATTGTCATTAATTTTTCTACCATGGCATCAAATACAAATTGAGAACTTTGAAGATCATTGATACGAAGACAACATTGAACTGCATAATTACCAAATTGATCTAGCAATAAGGGTGGGATATAAGGTTGAAGATGTGTATTAATTATATGCACTTGTTCTGGTAACTTTGCAAGATCAATTATCTTTTGTGTTGCCCAAGTACCATTTTTGTGAATACTGATAGCAGCTAAATGAGGTGCTATACGTTCTAATAGTTTTGTTTTTGTCTCTTCACTACATTTCTCAAATAATCGTTGAACAAGAGTATTGCCAATATAATCTATTATAATAGAGTTAGAATGATAAAACATATTGAAGTTAAGCTTTATGGTTACCACTACTAATTTCTGCAATACAATCCATACATTGAAAGGCAATAGCTTCTGCTTCTTCTCTTCCGTTATTGGGTGCACTATCAATTTTTTTACGCATTTCTCGAAGTCGATTTGCATCAAGTAACTTCCGATTAACACTCAGCTCAGGAACTGAAGGTATAAAATCAAAATAAACATGTGAGGCAATCTTCAAATCTAATATACACCCATTGAAATTAATATATAAACATATTTATCCCTATTGTTTTTTTTTGAATACCTTTTACAAATGATTTTGCTGTTTGTTCATTAACACCGAACTGTATCATATATTCATAAATCTCATTTTGCCAGACTGTCGTTGTTGGATCCATTAACGACAAAGCTTCATCATCCTCCTGTTTAATGCTAGGTATCTTAGCGAAACCAACTCTAGCGACATCTACTTCATTTGCTAGAACTGCATCCCTTGCTCTTACTGCACTCTCAATTGTTTCAAAATTAATAAAACCACAGTTTTTGTGCGACAGGACACGTACCGATTCAATAGCACCAAACCTGGAGAACATGGCATGCAATATAGTAGGTGTAATACTATTTGGTAGGTGGCCTACCCATAATGCTCGAGTTGCTACCTGATGATCTGGTTCAGTACCTATTTTGCCGAACCCAATACGAACTATACATTGACCTATACGACCGCCCATTCGATCCAATACCTCTTCCTTAGCTCTTACTGCATCTTCTGCCCTAAAAAAATTAACGAAACCACATTCTTTTTCTGCTAGGAGACGAACACTCTCGACAGGCCCAAAAACTGAAAAGACTTGAGTAAGAATATCAATGGTGATTGTAGAGTCAATATTGCCAACCCATAAAGAGCGTGATATGAACTCACGATGCTGTACTGAAGAAGTTGGTGTTGATTGACTAAAATAGGGCCTCTAATATATGTATATACAAAAAAAAAAGAGCGAATAAAATTGTTTTAACGCGTATTCATATAGTTTCTTTCTTTCTTTTTTTTTAACATACCTCAGCAGGAACATAAATAATCTGATCTTCTTCCTTTTGATTTAACATGTTAGCTAATAATTCTGAATCACCTAATGATAATGTTTGCTGCTCATCTTCCTCACGCATCGATACTAATAATGGAGAAGCTCTTCCTCCCCAAAGCCCTGCCGTTAAGAGACGATCGGCACGTCCCATACTTGATGCTCTTGGTCGATTTATCAAAAAACTCTGCTGTTGCACATTTACTTCACATGTATTCACAGAATACGATCTACTACGATTGCTACCTGACAAAAGGGATCGGCTTGGTAAATGAAACTCAGGTGGTGATTGGTGATGAAATAAAGGATTCGTGGTTGTTCCATCTTCATCTTCTAAGCCTAAGGAACGCATAGTGCGAGCAATATCATTTTCTAAACTTTGTTGTTGGTCTGACCAAATAGGTAAATTTAATGAACCAGAACGATGTCGGCCATTACTATTTGAGGCATTAAGTGTATTTAGTAAATAGGTATTGGTTGGTAGGTCAACTGGCTGAATAAAAGAGGGCATTGTACCCGCTCTAGGTCTCCTAGGGATAGGATTGGTGTTATAAATGATGTTTGCTGGCGAAGAAAAAGGAGTTGAATAGGTGGATTTTGGAGTTAGGAAGTTTAAATTATATTGATCATCTTCAAATACAATATCCAAATCTCTTATGTTATACATATACATATAAATATAATATTTAATAAAAGCTACTTTTTTTTAATAAATAAATAAATAAATAAATAGGAACCTTGTTGCTGATGAAGATGGATAAACAGGTCCCGTCAATTGTCTTGATGGGTTTGCTGTTTCTTTCATGACTTTTTAACTTAAAAAAAAGGAAAGGAAAAGGAAATAATTACTAAAATAAAAAGGTGACCTATATATACACACAATACAAAAAAAAAAAAAAAGGGAGTAGGAAAAAAGAGAAAAAAGATAATGATAAAAGCGGAGAAAAGGAGAGGAATTAATAGTAAACTTGTTACACAGGTATATTTAGCCTTTATTTATTTTTTTTTAAAAAAAAGGAGAAAAGAATTTGGAGATTATATAAATTTGTATACATATTTTTTTTTTTTTTTTTTTTTTTTTTTTTAAAAATATGAACGCATGTGTACTTTGAAACAATTATTTTTATTTAAACTTTGGAAAACCCAACATTGTGCACAAGATATTAATTATATCCAAATTGCCCGGGTGAGGTCATCAATGATAAAAGATACTAAAAAATCCCTCAAGGAACAAGGATAAAAAATGAAAAAAGAAAGGAAGTTAAAAATGTACATAATGTAGTTATTGAGAGGAGCCAGTCAAGGAATTACTGTTTAAGTTGTGATGGCAGTATAGGTAAATTTTTGTGGTAAAAAAGGTAATCAAGCTCATGAAGGATTGCACAAATAACTGGTCAACGGACAAACTAAGAAAGTATGCTAGAGTATGTGCGTGGTTATTCTGTAAGCAGCTGATTCAAGATAAATAAGAGAGGATCCTCAATAGTTTCAGACATTTGAAGTTGATAGCATATTTGGAGATAATAGATGGTATGTTGCTTTGTCAAAAGTGATTTAGAGTGCTTTGGGCAATAAGTTGAATGGACCACCAGGTAACTATTCAAGGCGCCAACGAATGCATCAATTACATTTAACGAAGTATAGGATCTAACGAGATAATTGGTCAATATTGTGTTAGTAACTTTGATTTATTAGGAGTACTTCTATGTTGATCTTAGCTGTGTTATCTATAGAATTTAATTTATTGTTTAAGTTTGTTTGAGTGTTAAAGATTATGTTTCAAGTTGACAGTTTTTCCAAACTAGGTTAGATAATAAGAATTTCGATCATAGAAATTTAGTAGTGGAATCTTGTAGAAGTGATAGTAATTGAGATAAAAGAGTATCTATAGGTAAACCTAAGGAAGGTAACAAAAATTGAGCTTGTAGGATATGTAATCTATCACGCATGAACAATAATTTAGCCATATGTAGCATGGTTTTAACAATAGACGTTCTGAAGTCGCTAAATAGTTCCCTGATACACTTGTTTTGAGCATCTTCCGATCTACGGTACTGAGCTGAAGCAATTTTAGTAATAGCTAAACTATATTCAAATCAAGAGCAAAACATTTGGAAATAGAATCAATGAGACAAAAGCTTGTAAAATCCTTTGCTATCAATGCCAATAGCTGTTATTTGGCTCATAGTTGTAAGGGCTTTGTTAATGTTACTAAAGATAAGCTCAGATGTATAAAGGACTACATCCGTGCTAAATGGTACACCCCCAAGATAGGAAAATGAATCATGTCAAGCGTCGTTTAGGTGGTTGTTATTTAGTTTTTAAATGAGAATTAAAGTAAATGCATCATAAACTATTGATTAGAATCTAGAAACAAATTGTCAGGTATAATTATCTGAAAGGAAGATGACTCTATAGTACCAATAAAGTAGTCAACAATACTAGTTCCATTAAATGTGATGAACGTAAGATGGCCATATTTTAGTCGTGGGCTTTTCTAAATAATCATGCTATGCGATCATATAACTAATTATATGTAATTTTGCCACGAGGATTGAAAGTGGAGTCACCAGTATATGAATCCATCCAAGCGTTAAAGTCATCATATATAATTGCTGCTTTTATATTATTAAATTTGGTGGGTAGTCGCTCTAATATTATGGGCACTTCTGAAGTATTCATAGTAGGTGGAAAATATAAAAAGTGAATTGGTTAATTTGAAATAGTTAAGGATTGCCATATGTTATATGATGGACTAGAAATGGAGTATTGGGATTCACTAATAATGCAACACCAAGCCGACCACTACGGCTAACAGAAGAGCTAATTGGTTGACTATACGCATGAGCTTATTGTCAAGAGGTTGAATATTTATTAGGAGATAAAATCTATGTTTTAATAATAAATAAAATAGAATGGAAGTTTACTAATTGTAGTATTGGCTTAATAAACACATGTGTATGGTTTATTTACGTTTGAAAATCCAACTTCTTAGTCCTGCCAAAAACCCAATTTTTTTTAACAAGGTACAATTTTTGGTTAATCAGTACAAATAAATAAATAAAGTAGTATTTTACTCTAAAAAGGGACGATTGGAAATTTTATTTAAGACAATTTTTTTAGCTGAGGTGGACTGATGGATATTAAGACTATTTTAAGCCGATCTCTAGCTATGCATAGCTATTTATGCTAATCAGCTCCAGCTTTCTGAATACATCTAAATGGCATATCTTCCTTATAAGCCTTATGAATAATGATCATGCATGTTTTTTTAATGCAGGGCATACTTTCATTTCCTTTTTTGAAAATTTAGTTTTTTTACAGGTAAATAAATCTAAAAACTAGTTTTATTTCGTCTAAACCTATTTTTGCTTCTTCCCAGATTTGTATTAATTGATCTAATTTTTATGTAATTAGTCTATATTTTATCCAAAAATACTGTAACTGGAATTCCTTCATTGGTACCTTAGTTGGCTATCTGGTGGTAAACTAAGGGATGTATCTTTCACATGTATCACAATTGGAGCCGTCGCCGTGCTTTTGAATGTTTGCATTTTCACTACCATTTGTACTTGCCTTCCTTAATTGATGATCCAACATCATTCCTTCTCAATTTGCTCCCACTGCGTAAACCTCATTGTCCCTCTGATTGTCTTAGTTGGTTTACCTTCTGGCCCATCCTATGTATCATTCTATATGAATTGGATTATTATTTCTATGATGAATTTCCTCCTTCTCCTGTTGATCCTGATCGCAATCTGTTGAACTGGTTACCCAAGTAATAATGTGAGTCTCTCTTGTTACTCTGATCTGGTTTCTTTTTTCTTTTTATTTTATCTCTTTTTCCTTATTATATTATATATTCTTTCTATTATTTTACTCTTTTCGTTCTCCTTTTTTCCCTCTTGTCTTTTACAAGGGGTTTTATTCTTATAATTCCCTTATATCTGGCTCGGGCAATACAACGCATTTCGTTACTACATGCTCACTGTCAAAAATTTTTAAAAAAAAAACTGAAAAAAAAATAGAATTTAATCGTAATTGGAGTTTCATTTACGCTGGCATCTAGGTTGGTTAACTGATGGTGTCCCAAAGCCATACCTCTTCCTTTCAAATGATAAGCTCACTCAATCTCATGCTACTGTCTGTTTAAATATGTATTGCCAATTACAAATGCCCACCACCATGGCTAGTCCTTTATCTTTTCTACTTACCCACCTTTCTAGCAAACGTTGAAAGTCTTTTTTTTTTTTTTTTTTTTTTTTTTTTTTTTTTTTTTTTTTTTGCACAAATAGCTCCCCTATTCCTATGTGGATAATTCGCTAACCAACAATATGTAGTATACTTTTTGAACTTGATTACCTTCATTATGGGAAAATCTCACCTGAAGTCCCACATTTACTTGGCACCGACTCAATCAACTGATTATGTAGTAATTATTCTAATGTTTGAAGGTACTGTTCTTTATTCCTTTTCTATTATTTATCTTTTCGCTCCTTTGATTTAGCCCGAACAATACAGTATTATTTTAAAAATTTTATTCAATAAAACAAAAATATTTAATCATAGCTGGAGTTTCAAATGATAATCAATAGGATTACCAGTAAAAAACTTTTTTTTCTTTTCTTTTTTTTCTTAATTTTAATTAATTTTAACATGCTTGAATATTTACAAACAAAGGCTGAACGTGAAGCTTTTATTGACAAATACGATAATTTCTTATTTGACTGCGATGGTAAGATATATTATAGAATAATAATCTTTAAATATTGATTAATGAAATTTTTAGGTGTTTTATGGGAGGGTACTCGTGTATTTGATAATATTTCTGAAGCCATGAAACTTTTACGTGAAAAGGGTAAAAAAAAAAAAGGTCATGCAGATTGAATGACATTGTAATTGACTTAACATTATTAGGTAAACGTGTTTTCTTTGTCACAAATAATAGTACCAAATCTCGTGTATCTTTCTTAAGTAAATTTGAAAGTTTCGGTATCCAAGCAACCAAGGTAACAAATATACCATACATCATTTCTATATGCAAATAGATAACTTATCTATGACATCATGTGTCAGGAAGAAGTCTTTAGTTCTGCTTTTGCCACTGCTTCTTATCTTAAGAATGTTTTAAAGTTCCCCAAAGATAAGAAAGTTTATATTATTGGTATGAATGGTATTCGTGATGAATTAGCTGCAGAAGGAATTCGTAGTTGTGGTGGCGAAGAGGATGCAGGATTATTCGAAAATGAAAGCGTCACCGATGATAAGGAAGTCGGTGCTGTTGTTATTGGTCTTGATACAAAGGTCAATTACAGAAAATATGCAAAGGCTTATGCCTATTTAACTAGAAACGAAGGCTGCCATTTCATTGTTACTAACGAAGATTCTACTTATCCTCAATTTGGTTCATTTTATCCCGGTAATGATATTATTGGTATTTTGATGTAGTTTACATACTCATTTTTTTTTTAAAAAAAAAGGTGCTGGTGCTATTGCTGCTCCTATTATTACAGCTCTTGGTAGACGACCTGATGCTGTTTTGGGTAAGCCTGCACAGAATATGCTACAGGCCATTTTTGCAGAGTAAGGGGAAAAAACTTAAACTGTTTATAAGAGAAGGCGTCACTAAAATGGCTTTCTTTCCTTTTTCTTTTTATTTTTTCATCTTAGATATCAACTTGACCCTAAAAAGACAGTTATGATTGGTGATAGATTAAATACAGATATTGAGTTTGGTGTTAATGGTGGCATTGATACTTTATGTGTATTAACAGGTAAAACGCACATTTTTTTTTGGATATAAATAAGGATTTGCAGCCAATGAGTGTAATATTGAATAGGTATTACAACAAAAGAGGAATTGTTATCGCCTGAGAATACAGTTAAATCTACTTATTATATGGATTCTTTTGGTGATTTTGCAAAGAGGGATTAAAAGAAAATATATAGACTATTAGAATAAAAGTAAATATTTTGCAATAGAGCATTTTTTATGATACACTGCCTGTAGTAGACTACTTTTGTGCTAGAATACTGAAATAAATGATAAACCCAGCATTTCGGTAATTCATGCGTCCCTTTTATCACTTATTTCTTCTTAAAATAAAGCTGTTACTTGGATAAAAAAAAAAGGTATCGATTTCCCTTTGTCTCAAGCATAACTCTTTATTGATACATTTCTCTTTTTGGATTTCAAACTACCTAGTTCAAACTAAACAGTCTTTAACTATAATTTTTTGGCAAGCTTTGATAAATGCGTAGTATAAGTTTAAAACTTTCGCCTAAGTGAATTTTTTCTAATATTGCACTTAATTTTAAAACATTATTCCTTTATTGACTTTCAAGAATTAGATAGAACGAAGAGATGTATATACACTTTTTGGTTTATCGTAGTAATCACAAAGGAGGCGGTGCAATATGTTTTGTAATCATCCTTTGAGAACAAGCTCATGATAACCTCAACAAACCTAATTATCTTATGAATTTTAGTCTCTATTTTAAGAGGCTTTGACCTATCCTCTATACCTGTTCTCCTCCTCCTATTTATTTAAGAATAATGGAATTCTTTTTCGTTTTTTTTCTCTTTATATTATATGTATAAATAAATGTATTATATTATCACTTTTCAAAAATTGAACTTTTAAAGTTAATTGTATTAAAGGATGAAAATATAACCGATAATACTTATGTTTGCGCCTTTTATACTATCCATTTCCACACTTAGTTTCTCAACTTTACTAATTTAAGAAGTTTGAATAGATTTGTATTGCTTTATTTACTGTTATTTTCATATATAACGAGTTAGAATTAATTATACAATTAATAGTAACGAGTTAATGCTAATTTAAAGAGATCCATATGTATCTACTATTACTGCTGTGTCAAAATAGTTTGAATGCGATTACATACTTCAATTTTTTCGATCTTTGTGAGTATGTAGTATTTACATGATACTGAATTATTCAGATCAGTTTAATAAAACAATAGTAAAAAAGAAAGATAAAACACCTACGCTGGTGACAAAGATAACTACCTTATAGTCAATATCAGTCTTATTATTATTATTATTATTATGTTGCTTTCTTTTTAATGAGTTACTTGAATAAACTTTCTTAATACTATTTTACCCCCTTAAGTTGTACAATTTTGTTTTCCTATTTTCTTTTACTTTTACATTTCTTCCTACAGTATTTTAGATAAGTTTATTTATTTGTAGACCATTAGAGTTTATTTTTTTTTTTTTTTTTTTTTTTGAAATTTACTATAAATCTTGAGAATGCTATTTAAACATCGATCTGGTATTCACCCAGTAAATACTTGGCTGTTTAAACACCGATATCCACAAAACGTATAAATACTCTTACATTATTAACCTTTCTTTTGTATAATTTTAATTGAACTTAATTCTTAATAAACTATATTAACAAGTCTCAACGTACTTCTTCTGTCTGTTTTCTTTTATTTTTCTTTTATTATATTCTTACCTGTAATGTAAACCACAATAATCCCAAAAGGGTTTTTCTTACCTTTTTTCCATAGCGATCTGACCAGGGCATAACAGCATATAAATACTATGTGCTCATTAATTATTTTTTTTTCAATAAAATTCTTTAGTTTAATCATATTATCTTAAAGAATTTTTTTTTGTTTCCTCTTTTTATCTAGTCATATACACAGATAACTATCAAAATTCTATTAACTGATTAATAGTATCATTGTGAGTTTTTTATTATTAGTTATCCTTATCCAATTACTGTTCGTGTAATTTTGTCCAAATTAGTTAGAGTATGTCACTCAGTCGGAGTGCCCTTAGTATAGCAAGTGTATTTACTAAGCTTTTCATTATCTTTTATTTTTTTGCGTTTTCTTTCTCTTTTTTTTTTTTTTTTTTTTTTTTTTTTGCTTTTTTATTTTTAGTATCATATAATGATACAAAATATGTATTCTAATGAAGCAATAGAGATAGGACAAGGAATAAATTCGCTATCCAGCGCAGAGTATGAATATAGGGGCTTAATTCAAAAGCAAGGTACAATATACGATATGGACATAGAAGAAGATGAAATACTAACAGAAAATACAAGAGGTACGCTTATTTTTTTTGTTGTTACCAAAAGGCACGTTGGTTAATATTCGTAATCTATTTTAGTACCAGATATAAATGACCCTGATTTTTATTGCTGTGTCTGCGACAGAACATATACCAGTAAACTTATCTACAAATCACATCTTAAAAATTTTCATAGCTTCGCAATAGAACTACCTACTCAAAAAATAAATTGTCCTATTCGTTATCCAGATCTTGAACCAGACCCTAGTGATCCTGATTTTTATTGTCGTTCATGCGATCATTCATATTCTAGTGCCTACAGTTTTAGGACACATCTAAGACGTTTTCACGATATCATAATAGAGAACCCCTCACCTCCACAAAATAGTAACCGTCCTATTCGTTATCCAGATATCAAACCAGATCCCAATGATCCCAATTTTTATTGTAGATCGTGTGATCATGTATACTCCAGTTTTCGCAGCTTCAAACACCACCTTGCAAAATTTCATAACATTATTGTGGAACCGCCACCATCGCGACTATCTATGCAGAGTATTAATTGTCCTATCCGTTATCCAGAACTTGAGCCTGATCCCAAAGATCCAAACTTTTATTGTAGGTCTTGCGATCACACCTATTCTAGTTTTCGTAGCTTTCGTACTCATCTTGCCCAATTTCATAAAAACATTATAGTGGAGCCACCATCAACTAATGAGAAACTTAAACGTCCTATTCGTTATTCAAATCTTCAACCAGATCCCAAAGATCCCAATTTGTATTGTCGCTCCTGTGATCATACATATTCTAGTAATCGTAGTTTTAGAGATCATCTTAAAAACTTTCATAACATCATCATCGAATTACCTCCACCACCACAAAATATGAACAATCCCATTCGTTATCCAGATCTTAAACCAAACCCCAAGGATCCTAACTTCTACTGCTGTTCATGTGATCATACATATTCTAGTAGCTACTCATTTAAAAAACATTTAGCCAAATTTCATAATATTGAATTAGAGGACCAGGCAAAATCTTCTGCATTAAATTCAGATACTGAGCCAGATCCTAAGGGCCCCAACAAGTATTGTCGGATCTGTAATCGTAAATATGCAAGTGTCTATGGCTATACAGTACATCTTGAAAAGGTTCACAATATACGAATGAAACCGGTTAGAAAGATGCGCGTACCTAGACCTGACGTTAGGCCAAATCCTAGGGATCCTAAACACTACTGCCGTTCTTGTGACTACATCTATGCCGACACTTACGGCTATAGAGCGCATTTAAAAAAGTGCACAATATCATTGTAGAACCCGCAGTTAGAACAACCATAGTAAGGCCAGAAATTGAACCTGACATAAACGATCCTAACAACTATTGTCGTTCCTGTGATAAAACATATGCAAATATTTATAGTTACAACACTCATCTTAAAAATATTCATAAAATCATAGTGAGTCCTTCAATGATTTCTTTGATAGAGAATGGCAAAGGTGATGATTACTTCCAGGGTTTAGAATTAGTTGAATCGTTTTTGGAGACGGAAAAGGATGATTTAAGATCAATAAGCAGTGATGATCCAGAAGAAACAAATGAGAATGATGAACCAGAGAATAATGAACCAGAGAATACTGAAATAGATGAGGATGAACTAGATCTGAAAAATCCAAACTTCTACTGTCGTATTTGTGATATAAAATATGCCCATAATACCAGTTACAAAAGACATCTCAGAAGGGCACATAATCTGGTAAACCTTGCAACACAACTAAAGTATACTCGTCCTAACCTTAAGCCAGGAGTTATACCTGATATAAACGACCCAAATTTCTTTTGTCGATCTTGTGAAAGGGTGTATTCATGCGGAGAGGTTTACAAAAAGCATTTAAGGAATGTTCACAAGATGGTCACTAAAAAACCGAAAATCCTTTATACCATTAGCAAAATACCTACGAATGAACAAAGTGTAAATAACTCCGATAGTTGTTGTAATATTTGCAACAAAACATATTCAAACAAATATAATTTAAAAAAGCATATGAAAAATGTTCATCGAAGGAAAGCAAAACGTGTAATAAGACAACAAATAACGATCAATAATCCTTTTCTTTACTGCTATTCTTGTAAAGTTGAATATATGACAGAAACTAGTTACCGCCAACACTTTAAACTTTTTCATCCATCTAAACCAGGTGTAGAACCCAATGCGGATGATCCCCATTTTTTTTGTCGCGCTTGTGAGATGAAATTTCCCAATGATACTGTTTACAAAAGACATATTCGTATCTTTCATCAAATAAAATCCACGAAAAAGACTTCAGATCCAGCGATATCGACATCTATTCGACAAAGACATAATACTGTAGTGGCACCATCCTCGTCAGATCCTATACTCAATATCGATGACCCTAACCATTATTGTAATGTTTGCGAAAGACAGTATACCACTAACGGACATTATCGAACTCATCTTAAAAATATCCACAAAATCAAGCTGGTACCTCTTTTAGCATCTTACGTGGCCAAACCAGATATTGAACCGAACATTCACGATCTTAACAACTATTGTCAATCATGTGAGGCCAAATTTTCTAATAAAGCAGGCTACAGAAGGCATCTTCGCGATAAGCACAAGATGCGTTTAACACCCTTAATCACACGTGATGCTGAGTCTAGGTCAATAAATAACCACGAAGACGACGGTGGTTACAGGAAACATACCAAAGACAAGCATAAAGTAACATTTACAACGCCCCTTGAAGCAATCCCCGTTCAACAAATACACAATGACGTTGATAACCGCTGCAATAAGTGCAATATTGATTTTGTTAATCGTAGCCTTTATCGTGAACATTTAAAAGAGAAACATAGGATGGAATCAGATTCATTATCTATTAGAGGACAACGGAACACATCAAAGTCAAATCTTGTGCCTGATGTTTATGATCCAAATAATTATTGTCGCGCATGTAAGATAACGTTTCTAAGGCGTAAAAACTACACAAGGCATTTGAGGGATAAGCACAAGATGAAGCCATCTAAAATTTAAAAAGGATAATGGATTGTTATGCTGCGTCATACATGAATGTCACTTAAAGAAAAAAAAAAGAACCCCCCTTCCTTCTTCTCCCCTCCCCATCCTCCCAACTTTATGTCGAAAATATCTCGTATAAATAATTATACTATTATATCTATTTAACTATATAGCTTCTATATAATAAAATATATAAACATACGCACGCAAAAAAAAATAAAAATATAAAATCAGCTTGTCGATATTTACAATATATTAAAGATGAAGATAAATCATCAAAATATTCTTATAATTTTGAGTTTAAGCTATTGATATCGAATTCTCTTAAGTATAAGATATTATATTATCTCTAAACATGTCTATGTGTATATATACATACATATATAATATTTCATGATAAAATAGAATATGCACATATAAAAGGAGGATTTGCTCAAACTAAACAATTTACAATCCTTATGTTGGTTTAATTTTTTCATAATTATAGACTGACTGCTACGTAATCCATAAATCAGCTTCTTCTTAATTCAAGAAAAAGATGTATATATTTGAATACTAAATATTGTTTCCTAACACATTATTCTTTGATTCAAGATTTATTTTTATAAACCGCCTCAAACTATACTGTCCTTCATCTATTTTTTTGTTTTGTTTCAGCAGAAGTTCTATATAGCAATATCTACAATTCAATAAGGATAAATGTAATTCTGTAAAGAGGCCTGTTTTGATATGGAAGTTTGTTGATTGTTTTTCTTCTTGAAGTTTGACTCATAGCCTAAAGCTTATTCTTAGTTTAATATGAAATTCTATAATTAAGCAACTGTATCTCTCTATATATGAGAAGGATTATTTTTAAAGAACGGCTACTATCTCAAGGAATGATAATATGACTGAGGTCATTAAGTATAGTAGAAATTACGTTTAAAAATTGAACGGAGGATATAACTCATAAATTAGCTGTTTTTTGAGCTCCGATGATAATTTTATTTGGTATTAATTTTTTTTTTATTAAATTATTGCCTTTTCTTTTTTTTTTTAGTATATAACTCATCTTTTATAACATCTATCATGAGCAAAGCAGTATGTATAATAAATGAACACATGTACATAAATTATTAAACTAATATTATTTTGTTTTTTTTCTTTATTCAGCCTACTCAAGAACAACTTGATGGTAAAATCCTCATTGGGCCTTTTTTTTTTTTTGTAACTACATCATCTTACTTTTTTTTCTTTTGTTTTGTTTTTTCTTTATTTATTCAGAATGGAAGGAAGCCTTTTCTTTGTATGATAAGAAAGGTAACAGCACAGTTTCTTCTACCAACTTGGGTGACCTTTTAAGAGGTCTTGGTCAAAACCCTACTCAAGCTGAAGTACAAGAACTCATCAAGGACACTGCAAAATCAAAAGGTGTACCTGAAACTCAAGGTAAATTATAATTAGTAGTTGAGTAAAAGAGTTCTGTTTTAATGAAATTGGGTGGATACCTTTTCCCCTTTTTTTTTTTTTCTTTTTAGAATTTGATATCGACTTTGGTACCTTTTTATCTATTCTTACGCGTCCTGATGGCTTCAAACCTGCAGGTTCTGCTCAAGAATTTATTCAGGGATTCCAAGTTTTTGATAAAGAAGGAGACGGATATATTTCTGCTGGTGAATTACGTTATGGTAAAAGGAAAATAAAGTCGATTTTGTTATCCTTGAAATTCATGAGTTTTTTTTTTATGTTATAGTTTTGACCAACCTTGGTGAAAAATTAAGTGAAGAAGAAGTAAATGAACTTTTAAAGGAAGTCGAAGTTGGTAAAGATGGTCGTATTAACTATGTTGGTAAGTTACTCTATTTTAATGTTTTAGTTTTCTTTTCCTTCCTTTTCCCCCCTGGTTCTAATCTTTTGCTTTTTTTTTTTCTTTAAAAGACTTTGTTACTGTTGTTTTGTCGAATTAAGTATACCGTATCAGGATTGTGTTCACGCGTGATAATAAACACATTTAAACATATTAAAATGCAGTTTTATTATATTATTTACGAGAGCATAAATTAGATAGTTTTGAAACAATTAAAGTCAATATGAGACAAAATTGATTTATATTATGACATGAAAGTAAATGATTTTATTGTTCTGTTATAAGCTTGAAGATCCTTTTTTCTTTTTCTTTTTCTTTATCAAAAGAAGTCTTCCCTTTGTATTATGAAGATATTTTATACTATTCCTTTTCTCAAAATTATACCATACTTTAAAGTATATCGGCATGTGAAAAACCATTCAATTTATTTATGAAAGCAAAAAAAAAAAAAAAAAAAAAAGATAAATAAAAAGCAGATTACGTAAAAATAAAATAAAAAATAGTGTGGAGTAACCACAATAAATCTCCCAATGGAATATCGCCAGCTAAAAAAAAAAAAAAAAAAAAAAAAAATTGGACAAAAAAAAGTGGGGGAGGAGACAAAGAAACAAAGTATTAAAATTGTTATTTTATTATTATTATTATTTTCTATTTTTTTTAAAAAAAAAAAAATAATGTTGTATCAACAAAGTAGAATAGTATTATTATTCTTTATAGTGCTTTTAGTAACATTATTTGGACCTAACTCTACTAATGCTACAGCTTTAACTTATGAGCTCTCTGCTAATGAAGATGCCTGTTTCTATGTTTGGGCAGATAAACCAGGCAAAAAAGTCGGGTTTTATTTTGCTGTAAGTTATTCTATATACATTTTGATTTTTAAGGATTGATCATTTAGTATATATATATACATTCTGAAGGTTCAACAAGGCGGTGCATTTGACATTGATTATGAGGTCAAAGATCCACAAGATGATAGCATTCTTAAAGGAGAACGAGAACGTCAAGGCGATTTCGTCTTTACTGCTAACCAAGTAGGAGAATATTCCTTTTGCTTTTCCAACGATATGTCAACCTTTGCCGAGAAACTAGTGGATTTCGAAATTAGCGTTGAACATGAAGTACGCCCAGAATTTATTGTGAAGAAAGATGGAGGTAATGACCAGCAATTGACGGAGATGGAAGAGACCTTGTTTAGGTTATCAGGTACTCTAACAAATATTGCCCGCACACAAAAGTATTTCAGAACGCGTGAAAATCGTAATTCGGCTACTGTTGCTAGTACAGAAAATAGGATCTTTTGGTTTGCATTTTTAGAGAGTTTGGCTATTGTTTCAATGGCTTGTTTACAAGTATTTGTGATTAAAAGCTTTTTTAATGTGAAAAAAGGTGGTGTTTAAATAAAACAATTCGAGAAGGAGAAAAAAAAAGAAGAAACAAAAAAAAAAAAAAAAAAAAAAAAAAAAAAAACGAAACCTTTTGCCATAATTGATTTAATACTTATTGTTGTGTCGGGATAAAATGGTAAACAATAGAATAGGAAAAATACGGAGAGTTTTAGAGATATAAAAAGATGTACTTTCTGTAATTTATTTTATTTTATTTCATCTTTTTTTTATTGTTTTTTTTATATATATATAAAAAAGCGTGTTGATATAATTATGTTAAGAAGCCATACTGCTCGTCTTGTTAATAAACGAATTATATCTTCATATTTAAGGCCATCTGCTATTGCCTGTTATCATCAACAGCCAATCACATCTGTTATTAATAAGCTAGATAACGGTAATCAAAAGCTATGGGAGCATCTACCTGGTGAAGGTGGTTCGAAAAATGAAGGCGTTGAGACACTGTTAGGCTCATTGAGAGCTGAGAATTATTGTCATCCTGATCCATTAAAAACAGTGGGTCATGACCATTTTGATGTCGCTGTTGTAGGTGGTGGCATTGTAGGCTTAGCGACTGCAAGAGAACTTATACGTCGATATCCTACGATGAAGGTGGTATTGCTAGAAAAGGAAGCTGAGGTAGCAGGTCAACAAACAGGACATAATTCTGGTGTGGTAAAGTTTTACTCTTATAGTTAACAATAGGCTTTCATTATTTATTTTATTTTATTTCTTTTTATTTTGGTTTTTATATATTATAGATACATGCAGGTATTTATTATCAACCTGGGTCTCGAATGGCGCACACTTGTACTAGAGGCGCAGACTTAATGTATGCTTATTGTGAAGAGCATAATTTACCTGTAGAACGCTGTGGTAAACTTGTTGTAGCATGTAATGAAAAAGAACATGAGCAAGTTGAAAAACTGTATCGACAAGGTACAGCCAATGGAGTAAAAGGATTAAAGATTATATATAGTAAAGAGGTATATAAATATATATACACATATATATAAAGTAACAATGATATTTTTTTTTTATATATATAGATTACTGAGTTGGAACCAAATGTGAAAGCCTATAGTGCATTGTATTCGCCTAATACAGGCATTGTTAATTATTGGTTAGTAGGTCAATGTATAGCAAATGAATTAAGGAAATCAGGGTAAATAAATAAATGAATAAATAAATAAATAAAACCCGCATTGCTATATTTATTTATTTTATTTATAAATTTATTGATTATTATAGACGTGTAGATATCAAAACTTCCTTTGAAGCTAAACAATTTCGCAAATCCTCCGATCAGAAAATTGTTATTTCTGGCGGCGAAAAATATATGGATGGCCCTCAATTAGAGGTGACTGCAGACAATGTAATTACCTGCGGTGGCCTTTACGCCGATCGATTAGCTGGCCTAGCAGGAGGAAATCCTCATCAGCACAAGATTGTTACTTTCCGTGGCACTTACTATCAATTGAAACCTGAGTATCGTACCTTGGTTCGACATAACATCTATCCAGTACCTAGTGGAGGTGGTATCCCCGTCGGAGTTCACTTTACCCCTACTGTGGATGTACGTCGTGGCCATCAAATGATTGTCGGGCCCGGTGCTTGTATCACCTTCAGTCGTGAGGGTTATCGCTTCTGGGATATGCAACTCAAAGATATATGGGATAATATAATGAACATTAACTTGTGGTCCTTTGCACTCAAGAATTTGAACCTCTCATTTGGTGAGGTCTATAGAGATTTGAATAAGAGAGCGTTTTTGAAAAGTGCTCAAAAGTATGTACCAGGTTTAAGTGGGGACATGGTAGAGCCTAGTTTCGCTGGCGTTATGGCTCAAGTCTTTGAAAGTGGTGGCAAAGCCGCAGCTGATTTCATTGTGGAACGTCAGGTTTTAGATGGCTTGGTGATGAATGTGCGTAATGCACCGAGTCCCGCTTGCACTGCTGGTTTTGCCATCGGAGAAATGATTGCTGATTGCGCTGAAGAGGATTGGCAATTAAGTAAAAAATATAAGAAATAATTAATACAATTATTTATTAGTACTAGATAAACTAATCTTCAAGTGATATAATAATTCATGTACAAAAAAAAATATATATATAAAAATAAAAAAAAATAAAATAAAATAAAAATAAATGGAATATATGCGATTCATGTATATACAATAAAAGTAAAAATAAAAATAAAACAATAATAATTTAAATGGGCACAGCATCAGTTGTTTCAGATGTAGCAGTGACGTTAGTAGTAACAGTGCTTAGACTATTGGCAGGTATAGTAGTGTTATTCATATTAGTAGATGTAGTGGAGTTATTAATAACTGTAGGAGGAGTACTGGCAATAACAGTAGTCATGTTATTAGGTGTAGAAGGACTAGCATAATTTGTTGCAACAGAAGGTGAGCTTGTAGTATTATTTGAACGAAGTCTTTCCATAAATCCAATGACACGCATCATATCCAAATCTGGTGGATCACTCTCAATAGCTAACGTTAAGGGTTGAACCAATGCATCTACTTTTTCAATAGGTAAACCACAACTACTAGCAATTAAGCGTCGATATTCCATTTCCTTTTCATTTGCTCTCTTTTTCTCTGCTTCTAATTCAGCCTGAAGCTTCTCCACAAGTTTTGTACTGGACTCTAGTTGATGCTGTAACGTTTTAACTTTCTTTTCCAGCTTGTTATCTGTGTGTGGAGCGTCTTGTAGGGTATCTTCGCCCATAAGCTCATCATATGCGTTTAACTTGTCTTCTAGTTCATGTATCCTCTTTCGAGATTCTGCCAATTGCATAGAAACAGGTAATTCAAGCCTTCGATGCGCTTCTCTTAGCTCGTATTTTATCATGTGTAATTCCTTTTTTAATTTGAATACTTCCAAATCTCGTTTTTTTAACTGTTCTTTATAATCGTCTTCAAGCTTTTGAATCATATGTTCGACAGCTATGAAAAGATTAAGTATGAATCGTAAATCAATAAAACATAATTGAACTTACATTTTAATAATTCTTGCCCTTTTGGATTGTTTTCATATTTTGTTGGTTCAAACTCAAGTTCATCGTTATCATCTATGTTAGATATTAATGGATCCTATAGTAATAAATATTTAGTAAAATTAATTCATAATTTTTAATATTTTGTTTTTTTTTCTTACCAAGGCACCATGCTTAATTAAAACGTCGGCAATATCTTGACATTCAATCCTTAAGGCAATGGCCAATGCTGACTCATAATAATGTGTATCCTTCACATTCAAAATATTTTTGAGAATACTTTTCTTAGGCACGGCCTTCACAAATCGTTTTACATAATAGATAGCTGCATCTGTAAAGCCTTCTACAGAAGCTGTTAGAGCAATATGATGTAGAACGGTGCGTCCTCGTTTATCTGTGACAGGAATTGCTTCTGCCATCAAGTCAACCATGTCACCAAAGCATTTATTTTCATAGCAGCAAGTAATCATGGCTGCACGCATTAGGGGTGTTTCACCCTCATAATTAACGCGACAGACATTAGCGCCATTCTGTATTAAGAGTTTAACAATTTGTAACCGACCCAAAGCAGCAGCCCAGTGAAGTGCAGTGTGGCCCTGTTCGTCGATAACTAAATCAATATTAAGATCTTTGGTTAAAAGGGCTGAGGTAACTAATGATGGTGTGTCCTCAGGGTCATCAGAAAGAAAGATGCTCATTAAAAGATTGCGATGATGTTCATAAAAAGGATCTTCTAAAAGATAGGGCTCTGGTGAAACACCCACAAGTTTAAGCTTCTTGCGTGATGTCTGTTGCTTTGATTGATGGAATGGCCTCTTTTGTGATTTGGGAAATTCTTCTGTATTGTTGTTGGGTGAAGGAGGCGCTGGTAAAGCTAAAGGACCTGAAGAAGATGCTCCCTCTTCTTGTTTTAAGTCGTCATTATCTTTTTTATCTTTTAGAGTTGAAGGATCAAAGTTTAATAAAGGCATTAGCCTATCTAATACTTCATATTTCTCTGCTAATTGCTTCCCTCTTTCAAATGGAATCCTAAAAAGTAAAATATATGAATTTACAAAACTTTTTTAATTGTTGAAAGCTCATATATTTATATTTACCAAGTTCCTTGATATTTTCCATATCCACCCTGTACTTTCTCATGTTCACCCGTTAATACTTCTCTTTCGAGGATTTTGGATCTTCTTGTCTTTTCAAAGCCTGCTACTTTTAAAATTTGCGTAGCATTTAAATAAGAATCTTCTCCACGAACCATGGTAGCAATACCATGAATCATCATTTCATAAACTTGAACACCAGAGTATACGGCAGAGTACACTTTGCCAGCTGACATTGCAAATTATTCAACAAAAAAAGATGATAAACTATGAAGAATTTTATTTAATTTCAAATTAAGGAAAAAAAAATGATTAAATAATTGAGAAAAAAATATATGTGATAAAAGAAAAAGAGAGGGGAGGAGATTTTTTTAGTACCAATATGATGCAAAAAAAAAGAAAAAAAAAAAAAAAAAAATCGCGTGCTGCTTCAAAAAAAAAAGCGCGTAAAAGTTCCCTAATTAGGAAATTAATTAGACCTTGCTTATTTATGCATGAATATATAAAAAAAATTGAGTAAGGAACAGAAGGTATAAAATATTGAGAAAAGACAGTAACTATGTATGTAACTAGACTAAAATTATTTTGTACATAATGATTACTTTGCAAACACTTGCTTGTATCATGATAATTGTTAAATCAACTTATACAATAATTGAGAGTAACATTTGATACCAAAATGCACATTATGTATAGAGTATTTTTTGATGAAAAATAAGAAGCTACTTATAGGAGTAATATAAATTTATATTTGCTACTATAGTAGCATCAAAAATTAGAAGGAAGTAAAGAAGGATTATGATTATATATATGTATATGTATATATATATATATATATATATATATATTAGACTTATCGTTAAATCAAAATTGTACTATTTTGAAATGTATGTATATTATTTCTAAAATTGTAAAGTATTATCTGCTAACATGGTATTGTGATTTAGATTAGTTAAAAATGAAATATAAAATATAGACAATGATAAATTAAAAGAAAAAGAAAGAAAATAAAATGAGAATAAAATAAAAACAAAAGAAAGCACTTCAAGACTTATCGTGTAATAGTTATTAAGAGTAAAGTATATAAAGATTATTTCAATATTGTATGTCAAGTATTTGTATTTTGAAAATATTGACATGTATGGAATTATAATATATGATATAACAAATGAAATATGATAACAGTATATGACCTGATATTAGTTGTATATACAAGATTAATCATATATAATGCATGTTATTTGTTTAATGTGTAATGAATCAATAGATATACCAATAAAATATAATAATCTCAAATAAAACATAAATATAATTTCAATAATAGTGATAAAATAATTACATTACAAAGCATTATCAATGTTTGATTGGATGGCTTTATTTAAAAATTATGAGTACAATACCTTAGTAAATAACTACACTGATCTGCAATACGTCGATCATGCTATTGAAGACATGTCAATAGAAATTAAAGTACGTTTAAAGAAGGAGGTCAAATGAAGAAAGAAATTTAAACCGCTGACCAATAGCAAGTGAATATGTAAGACAGGGACAAAATTGAAGTAAGTTTACACATCGATGTTTCTTGGAGGTTGAGGCTTGTCTTAATATTTGTTTGTATTTTATTGGAACTCATTCATATATTATGTATTACTTTATCATATTTTTATTTCATATAAATACAATTATTGTTTGATAGAAATAAAGAAAAGGATCAAACAAGATTTAACTTAAAAATTTAGATATTATCTTAACTGTCTTTATTTTATTTTGACTTATCGGTTAGCAACACCAACAACAAGAAGAAGAAGTATAGTGGCTTGAATTAGGCTATAATTATTATTGATTTTGATAAGCGTTCTAAGCCAAAGTTATACGATAATCTAAGTGTAATCAAAATAATATCCTAATTCTTTGATTCTATCTGACATTTATTTCGCTTTAATTGTACCATCTCACTTATATTATCCATTATATGCACTCTATATTATATTAAAGTTATTCATAGAATATTTTATAACATTCGATTGTCAATTTATATAATTATCATCCTATATTTTATATTTAGAAACATATAAATATATGCATCATTAGCATATGGAATAAAAACATCGTGTGATATTTATTGTAAAATATTAAATGAAAAATATTATAAAATAAAAATAATAAAAAGACCAAAGAAGTCGATGAGACCGAACAATAGTTCTAAAGTCAATGATTTTATTTATGAATTTAAATTGATGTATATTTATAAGAATTGTTAAAGAAGTCTGAGATAAGATGTGAACCATAAAAGTGTTAGTTACAACCGAATAAGTTATGTTATAGATAATGAAGTATTAGAAGTGTGATGGAACGTAAAGAAAAAATAAAGATAGAAGAAAAATAAAAAATAAGAATTGAAAGTTAAAGATTATTTTGTGTCTACACAACTGCTTGTATTTATATTAATGAATCCTGAATCAAAGAAATAAAAATAGCTGTCAAAGAGCATAAGTCATGAAACAGTGTTAGTATTCGGATATACATGTTGTTGATTCAAGAGACTGATTTATATGGATTACCTATTGGGTGTTATAATGATCTGATTAAGGTTTTAAATCGTCTAATTTGAGTATATGTCCCTGATGTCTTTCGAAGACGATCTGAATCCTTTATCAAGGTTATAAAAATAAATATTCAGAAATGATATGATGGCTTATAGTTGACCCATTTAGATGATTGAATGGTAAAAAGTTTTATATTATTTACAGGATGTTATATACAGAGTCTTATTTCATATCCAGGCTTATGGTTTATCCTTTATTATGTAATTCATCTACGATAATATTACTAATGCTTATATCCAGAGCTTGTTCTATAACAAATAATATGTTAGTAGGTTGATTTGATGTTTACTTGAATCCTTATAATAATATTAACTTATTGATATTAAATATCATTTTATTGAAGTATATAGAATTTTTTCTCTTTTTTCTTCCTTTAGTTTTGTTTCTTTTATATGTTCTAAAAAGTTTATATACAAATATATCGAAACTAACATGTCATGTATAACAAGATTAATTATCATAGTTAAGGACTTGACAATACGAAATAATTGATAAGAAATAATCGTGTAAGATGTTAATAGAAATAAAAATGAAGGATGAAGTAAAATAAGTAGAAATAAAATATACAGGTAATATATATATCAATAACAAATAATAAATAACACCAACAATAATACTAATAACGTTACCAATGTAAATATTTAATAAAATTATAACTTGAATAACTGAGAATACCAATACAATTTTTCTTTTATTTTCATTTTACTTTGCTTCACCTAATTATCTTTTACATTATGGGCTATTATAATTTTTTTTAGCCAGTTAAATAATTTGTATTGCTTGTCTACATCATCATTTTGCGAGAAGAGCCAAGTTTTAACCAAGAATTAAATATACGGTGTCAAATTACTGTACATTTGTGGTGCTCCTTTAAGCTTAATCTTGATTTGACCTTTGTTATTTTTAATGTTACATCCGGGACTTGTACAATAATAAGGAAGAATATCTTGTTATAAAATAAATTTTAAGTTGCTCTTCAATTCCTTTTCTTTTACTTTCTTTAACCAGTTGATGTCCTTCGCCATCAATGCTCAATAAAATAATTTACAAGAGCAAATTTAATGCCCAGATTATAACTCTATATTTTATTCTTAGAAAAAATAAAATAGAGGTGTTTAAAAGACAGATAAGCAATATTATTGGGTGAGTCACGTGATTATTTTAAAATCGAAAAGCTTCATATATTATTTAATTAATCTCTAGGCACCAAGTGCCTTGTTAGCTCAGTTGGTAGAGCGTGAGACTTTTAATCTCAATGTCAGGGGTTCGAGCCCCCTATGAGGCGATATTTTTTTTCTTTTTTTTCTCAGCTCGCTGTCTTTTAGACGTCGTTGCTTTTGCTTGGAACAAAGATTTGATTTTGTTTAATAATTAATGGGTGATATAAGATACCCTGTGAAAGCAGTAAAACAAAGGGAAAGAAGAGTGTAAGCAAGACAACTGTAGTAACGTAGCCAATCCTTAAGGCACCACCATCGGCTGGGAATTGCTGTTTTCGCTCAATTTGGTTTTTGACCTTGATGCGTCTACTCAATTATTGTAAATGTTATTGAAAAAAAAAAAAAAAAAAAAAAAAAAAAAAAAGACTTTATTAGACATATTATCTCCCAACACAATGACGATGACATGCTTGATAAAACTTTTGTCTAAAGGGTGTTCCTTTCAAGGAGCTTGAGACTAAGTTTCGTGATCTTTGTGAAAACCATACTAAAGTTTTCTATTAAATTTCAAATAGGTGAATAATTTAAAATCAAATAAAAACTTGCTTTTTTTTTATTGTTTGTATAAAGAAATAGATGTGCACATGTTCATATGATGTTATATATATAACTCTTTCCTTATAATAGACTTTATTGCAATAAACATATATAATTATAAATAAGTGAAAATTAATCTCTTTTTTTTTGGTGGGGGAGGGGTATATCTTAATGATGATAATAAATAATAATTCAGATATAAATTAAGCAAAATCTTCAGGCTTAGGCATATTACACAAAAGAGCCTCCAATGCTTTCCAAGTCTCAACTGTTCTACGAGAATATTGAAGTTGATCATGCACAAAATTTTGATAAAGTAAGGATACAAAAGCTTGTTGTTTGTGTAAATAAGATAATTCACTTGCAAGGCAGTATTTAATATAGATATCTCTTCTTTGTTGGTATATCATTTTTTCGGTATCCTATATAGAATAAGTAATTATTTTATATGTATACTTGTATTTTTTTTTTAAAAAACTTCTTACGGCTTTAATAATTGCATCTAATCTTTCTACTTCAGATTCTAAACCTGGTACACCACGATTCTGATTCACTTTAACAGTATTTGCAGAAATTTTACGATATAGAATGTTGATTTGATTTGATTCTAGATTAGGTTTTCTATTATTTAGCATTTCCAAGAATGCTATACAAATATCTCGATGTCTTTTAAGACTTTCGAGGATGCCTTCAACCGTAGAGGTAATTTCGGCTTCAATAATCATACTGCTTTGATTTAAATAACTACCAATATTTTCATAACCACGTGTTACTTGCCCACAAGCTCGACAATCCGTTGCAAAGCATTTAGCCTCTATATCTCTCAGCTCTCTATTTTAATATATATATATAGAAGCAGAGAGAGGAAAAAAAAAAAGCATTAAAGACCACCAGAATAGAATTGATCTAGTGTAACCTACTTTAAATTTTCTGTATATTTCTTCATTTCTATTGCTCTACTGTCATTTAATTGAACGATTTTTTCTATAATAGAACATAGTATATCATATTTTTCTATAGATTTAGATAACCTTGTATGAATTTGCTCAATACGTATGTTTAAATCTTTTGGTATAAATGCTTCAAGGTCTTTAGTTTGAGGATTGACACGTACAAATTCTTCGTTTACATTAGGCGATTTTGCTTTTCTCCAAGCTAAGAATTCCTAATGATATATAATGCACAAATTCAATATTTTAAAAAAAAATAAAATAAAAATAAAATAAAATAGTTAGTATTATGTGTATTATTTACCGTTTGCTCTGTTAAAAATGTGACCACTTCTTCATCATTTCGTAGTACTGGATGCCGTATAACACAATTTATAAATCTTGATAAACCCTGACATCGTTTTTTAAGAAAGATTTGATCCTCTTCATATTAATTTTTTTTGTTAAGTATTATTTATTATATTATCGAGGATTTATTTGTGTGACTTACTTCCTGAAATCTTTTTCGGTGGGAGATTTGGGATAACTCTGAAGGGATATCTTTTTAATAATATTTGCCAGAACCAGTAAAAATCACTATATCGACGCCTTACAGATGTTTGACGCTGATTACTATGAACCCAATAATAAACATGAGTAAATAAAAAGCCTTCTGTTTCTGCAATGGAAACAGTAATTTGATCAAGATCCGAAAACCATTGATAACTTTCAGTGGATGCCTTCACAAGTGCTTGTGTAGATGCTTTGTCTGTAACAAGATCGACACTCATCACTCTGCTTGGTGTAAATGTAATGTCTACTGTTGCTGTAGCGGATACATCATTTTTAGATAATGACTGTTCGTTGACATTGCTTTTATTCATATTATCAGAAGAGTCATTATTATTCATGTTTTCATACGTTGTAGGAAACATATTTCCATTTGGAGGAGTAGATGAGGTTCTCCATGGATCAACGTCGTAGCTTTGTTGTTTTGTTGATTTACTAGCCGTAATTGGATTTGTACGTTTGATGAAAACATGATCAAGATTAAGTAATGAAGGAATTGGTAAGTCTGTTATATAAATATATATATATATACACATATAAAGAATTAAGAATTTAATACCATAAAAAAAAAGGGGAAGCAGAGAGATGAAAGCTTACCATTACGATGTTGATATACTTTATATAAAGATAATTCTAGAAATATATGATTTATTAAAAGAGAGAAAAAGGAAGATAGACATTTATATATGAATTCTTTTGTTTACCCATATTTTTTTGAGCAAGTCCTAATAATGCTAAAGCTGTATTAAATTCATTTCTTGTAATATAAATTGCATTTGAAGGTACAATCAAAGCGGAAATCTAATTATATAAAGATATATGAACAGTATTAAATATTTATACCATTTGATTTTAATTACCTACTTGTTCAAATATTCGTGGTCCAAGTCCTCCTAAACCTATAATTATTTCTAAGGCTTCAATACTCACTCGATCTCCAACAGGCCCTGCACGTATATAGGCTGTGTCAAATATTTCTGGCAAATCGACCCCGACTAATAATAAGTTTTGAAAAAAAAAGTATATTAATAACATATAAAATAAACGAAGAAAGTATAAATAAGGCTTAAGAGAAACCACCATATATATCCTTATGAAAGAATAAATAAAAAAAAAATTTTTTTAAATGTACCTAATGCATTATTAGCAGTGATATCCTCAGTAATTAAATTGTTCTCCAGTATTTGTGAATGTCCCAGAGATTGTCTAAGCGCATCTACTGATTCAAAGCCTGAGGCGCTCCAGGGGTCTTCTTCTTCTACTGCAAATGAGATGTTTCTTAATTCGGGAAGAAAATAATTACTACTAGGTTGAAGAAATGATGGATTCGCTAAATCATCAGTCATTGACATTTATTATTGAATATTAAAATAAGTATATAAATATATATGAAAAAAAAAAAAAAAGATAGAGAACAAAATAATAATAAAAAGATTGGATGACGTTGATATTTTATTTTTATTTTTATTTTTATTTTATTTTTACACACTACTTTTTTTTTTTCTAGGTACGAATAAACTCTATCATTAATTCGCAGTGTTCAGTGTGAGGAAATAAGTCTACAGATACTGCTTTCGAAGGCTTAAAAGGTGATCCTTGATATTTTTTTGAAGTCGGTCGACATAAACTAAAATTTAAAAATGCATATTTAATGATATATCAAAGATAATATGGTATTATTACCCAATAAAATTCTGCATGGCTTGTTTAGCATCACAGCTAATAAAAATTACTTTTTGAATGGCTAAAGTTTCTCTAATTGCACGAATAACAGAACTATGAACACCGCTTCGAGGAGGATCCAAGATGGCAATAACTTCTTCATGCTTTTCTTTATTGGTTACAATATCTAATCTGTCTTCTACTTTACCAGTATAAAACTGAATATTTGACACATCTATAAATCAATGATAAATACAGTAATAAACTTAAATAATAAAAATATTACTATTCATCAATGCGTTTGCTTTTGCATCCACAATGGCTTCAGGTACCATTTCAATACCAATTACTTGATCAACAGATTTTGCCATAGTAATACCAATCGTGCCTGTGCCACAACAGAGGTCAAGTAAAGTTGTCTTTTTTTCTTTATTAGGTTGATAACACCATTCTGCACATTTAGCATATAAAAGTTCTGTTACTGGTGTATTGACTTGAAAAAATGAATTATATGAAATTTGAAATCGATGACCAAGAAGCTCCTCATAAACGTATCCGTCACCTGTTAGGATTTCAGTTTTGCCCTTATCTGTAATTCCATTCGAGTTACCATTCCAGATTTGAAGCATTAATGTATTCTTTGTATTTTCCTCTCCTTTTGAAAAGAAATGACTCCAATAATTTATTAAATTCTTCTTTTCTTGTACTAGTTGCTCTTCAGTTAGACTTTCTGCATTGATTTGTATCAATACCATCACTAATTATGTATGCATATATATATATATCATTTAACAGTTAGCAGAATTTATTTCTAACGTATAATAAACAAATACATACCATCACCTGTTCTTTGAGTTCTTGTCATCATAGTCCTCCATACACCCCTCTTTTTTACTCTATCATATACCTCATATTCAGACTGTCGTACATATTCCTATATAATCTGCATAAGTATAAAGTTTGAACACTTCTTTTCCTATATATACCTCCATCATCTTTGCAATTTCTTTTGCTTTTTTCGACACATGTAGACACTCATTTGGACTTGAAACAGTTGTTATACCATCTTTATATAATCCTAATACAAATCCAACAGTTTCGTTACCTTCCAAGTTTTTACCGATTGAAAATTCACATTTTGTTCTATACTCATCAATAGAGGGAGAGTGTATGATATCGAATACTTCACATTGCATATCTTCTCTATGTATATTTTAGAATAACACGTTAATTCATAAAACAAGTATAAGAATGAACGGAGGTCAATTATTACATACAATGTCTTTGTCCAAGCTATTTGCTGTTTTCCTACATCACTTATATCTGGTAAAGAATTTAACTTTTTTCGAAGTTTATTTAAATATCGTGCACCTAATTTATGCTTTTTCGCAATTTGATCCTCATAGGCTATTTTATGTAAAGGAGTGACTTGATCTGCTAACCTTTCAGCGATAGGTCTATCATCTTTTTCTATTTCCGATAATCCTCTTTGCTGTTGCTCTTTGGATGGATGAAGAAGCAATGTAGAAGAAGATGATTTTTCAGGAACTTTTGAATACTCTGCAGATAGATTTCTTTTTTTAAATTCAGCTCCATGTAATTTAAATACAGCAGAACGAGCAGCTTCTTCTGTCTGATAAGAAGAAGATTTGTTGTCAGTTATTTAATTATCTTTTTTTTTTTTTTTTTTTTTTTTTTTTTTTTTTTTATAATTCCTTTATAATAATAATAATATGAATACCTCAAAATTAAGATAAGCATAATCCCATTTTGGCGCCTTTTTGTATTTATGAATACCAAAACTTTGAAAAAAAATTTTAATCGCTCCAAGCTCATGAGTTGGTAAATTAGTTATTTTGACTCGATGTACAAAATCATTATTTAATTCTACTGATGAGCTTAACTTGGCTGATCTTGACTTGATGGTGGTGGGTAATCTCAAAGTGGACTCTATATAATGTAACAAGAATTTTATTTTTTTATAATTAGAAAAGAAAAGAAAAGAAAAAACAAAAAGAAGGAGGAGGATGGTTGTGGTTAACAAAGATTCTCTTACGTTTGATTGAATAACGTGATAACAAATGATACATGATAGACAAAAAGGATAAACACTTTGCGTTCCTTGAAATTAATTACAATGAGTGAAAAAAGGGCAAGGGTTTGACAACAATATTCCTATTTAATAAATGTAGACTCCGATCCACATCACATATTGTTACTGACAATGCGACACATTTGTTAGTAAAAGAAAAAGAAAAAAAAAAAAAGAGAAGCCATAGTTGTTTATTATTGTAATTGTTCTTTTCTAACGTATAAAGAGTGATAATGAACTTGGTTAATCATTATCTATTTATTCTTTTATTTATTTTTTACAATGTATATATATATATATAAGCACTTTAAAGGAATAGATTTTTGTTTATTATTATTATTATTATAAAAATGGCTATGTCAGAGAAAAATAAACAGCTTGCAACCGTCATTGGTACATTTACTGTAATTGTTTTAATTGCTGTTGGAATCACTATGGCAGTTGTCGGTACATCCCCTCATTACAAATATTTGATAGAAAAGAGGTCTTTAAACGATACCGACACACTCGATAAAGGAACATCGTCACACTCTAACATCTCTTCTTATGTCGAAAATAATTCAACAATAGATTCATAAAAAAAAGAATTCATTTATATATTGGTTGAAATAAAAGCGTTTTATAATTTCTTAATATTTATACATAAATCTTGTTACCTTTTTATAAAGTGATTAAAGTTTGAAAAAAAAGAAAAAATGCATAAAAAGCAGCTATGTCAAAATCAGTAATGATGACAAGATACAACAATTAATAATTTCTATAAAAAGAAAATTAACAAGTATTTCAATTTATTAAAAACCTGTTTTTTTTTAATAATTAAAAATTGTTAGTCACATGTGTATTATATGTTAGTTTGTCATTAAAGGGGATGAATACTATTATATCCTAGAGACAAATAAAATAAACCCCTGCTCTTGCATAGTAAAAGACAGATCGGCCAAACGGGATCCTCTTTAACAAAAATTAAGTTAAGCTTATTTGTTTTATTTTTTTCTTCGAGTCGAAAGGATATATATATAAATATCTACTCTGGCTGTGAGGGCAAACAAGGTAAGTATAGACAATAGATCCATCTACATTCATTAATGATCATCTTTTGCTGTACAAGTAGTAAACGATTTTTCTTTTTCAAATAGTATCCCAAAGTAGAGACTTGCTCTTCTAACAGTATTTACTTGATTGTGTTCTACTTTAGCATTTGGCCATAATAATCGAGGAATATCTTTTATAGTTGCACATCCTAGATAAAAGAAGAATGAACAATGAAAGTGAATTATATTATAGTACGCGCCATTTGTGTTCATTAAGTTCAAAGTGAAATTACTTTAATAATATCGATTATGTAATAATATGTATTTACATTAATTTGTTGACAGGTCTTTATATATAACACGTGAGTAAGCATGTTTTATTATCATTGCAAATTAATATAACATCCGCTCTTCTTATTGGTTAAAATGAATGAAAAAAACCAATATAACTTTAATTTTTGTTGTAATATTCTCCTTTTAATCAAAATGTCTATTATTAATAAGTAGATTTAATTATTTTTTATAATATAAAGTGACTAGTAACCATATCTCTCACTTTTCCCCTTCTCTTTTTCTTATTGAAAATTACAAAGGTAAAAAAAAAAAATATTGTTTCGTCTTAGTTTTTTTTCAATCATTTTCTTGCTAATTTGTAAAGGAAAATCATAAAGAAATAGTCAATTTTCAATAACAAGAAATTCTTTAGTAAATAATCTTATTACTGTCAATAAATACTTTTTTTTTTCTTGTTACTAATCTCTATTACTGCAAATAAACATTTTCCAATGTTGTTGTTAATATTCATCATGTGTATTTTAACCCTATTCAAACTTTAGCTCTCAGATTTTATTGATATAAATTTAGTTTTGTTACACGTTAATAATAAATGTGATATTATAAAAATATCTTTGTTTTAAAAAAAAAAAAAGAAATTTTGCAGAAAGAAAATTAAATGAATTTTGAATTTTATTAATCATATGAAAGGGAAACTTGTTCTTGTCTCTTTAATTACTTTATTTAGAAGGAAAAAATAATAGTTTGTCTTTAAATATTAAAAGGAGAAAGACAAAAAAAAAAAAAAAAAACAAAAAAAGTATTTATTACAATATAATTTTAATTTCTTTTAAGCGGAGTAAATGTTCTCTGTGTAACATTCTTTAGATTTAAATCACACTTTTCATTTTATTCATGTTCTCTCTTTTCTTTTATTTATGCTTCTTTAACGTTTTTTTTTTATTATCTTTTTGTACATATATAATTAATATTAATTATTTTCTCTTCCTCTTTCCCTTTCTCTTTCTTTTTCTTTTTCCCTTTCTCTCTCTTTTCTATTCTATTCTAATTTGTTTAATATATATACACATATAATAGATATATATATATACATACATACATATACATATACGCCCTCTTTCTTTCTATTTTTTTTTAATCATATAATTCTTAAAATAATTAATTACCATGGCAACAACAACAGTTCAACGTAATAGTATCATGTTATCACAACAAAAGAAATTACAAACAGAACAGAATGATGAAGATATTGTATTAGCAAATTATTTATCTTCTTCTCTAAGATTTGACCAGGTAAATTAAATTAACTCCCTTACTTTTTTTTTCTTGTCTCCTTTTCTTGTCTCCTTTTCCATTTATTTTTTTTCTTATATATACCCTTTCCACATCCTTTTTTTTTTCGCGCCTAATTGAAAAAAAAAGGTGGTACGGATAATCTATATCTGGTTAATAAGCTATTTTTAATTTTTTTTATGCATTTTTTTTTTTTTTTTTTTTTTTTTTTTTTTATATTGGATTATTCAAGCAATAAACTTAAATCTTATTTTTAAATATTTATTAGTCACAACAAAGACTTTGGAATTTTACGACACATTATAATACTACTAATACTAATACTAATAATATTAATAATACCACTTACTATATCCCACAACAACAACAACCAATAAGACCTTATCAACAACGTACTCGTATATCAAATAATTCTACATTTAATTATAATTATCAACCACAACCACCAATTCAAGTACAAAAGTCAATATCGACACCTAATATATCACAGCAACGACGTTCTTCAACAAGTAGTCAACATACTCAAAGGAAAAGACACACGTCCTCTTCTTTAATACAGTCTCCTTCTTCTTCTTCAGAAGCCTCCTCTAAAGACATGAATAATACAATACAGACTGAACGTCGTCCCTCAATTTCGTCTATTCAATCTGAAGTATCTATAAATACAAAATCATCTATTTCGAAAAGAATACGTAAAGTCTTTAGCATGAACAACCTTAAAGGATCCTCTTCAAGTACCGATCTAGCTTCCTTAGCAGATAAAAATGACTCAAATTCATCTGTGTCTTCTTCTATGGTAGGATCACCTTTATCTACTTGTTCCTTTGCTGCAGGAGATGAGAAGAAGAAATCGAAATCTTCTTTTAAAAGACGATCTATTGCTTCTCTATCTAATCTATTTCATAAAACTTCTTCTTCTATTGCAGAAGAAGTAGATGAAACTAGTAATTATGAGACAGTTCAACAAAAAAATGTAGCAACAATATCTAGTAATAATAGTAGTAGTACTGCTGCTGCTGCTACGACTTCTTCTTCACAACAAATGGATGATAGACGCCATTCAACTGGTGACTTGCGTCAATTGGTAAAAGATAAAAAGAAAGAAAAGAGACCTACATTAAAAGTCGATACATCCAAGCCAACTCATGGAACAGCTTCATTACCCAATGTAAGAAAAGGTGGTTTAAAAGGTAATATATTTATTTATTTATCTTAATTCATTCTAATATTTTCATCATGTATCATAGTACGCTCTTCTACATCCTCTTGGAACACTAACACTAATATGAATAGTGTTGCCCCTGATTCACCCAATTCTATCATTTCATCACGTTCTTCATTCACTCGTCTCCCACCGCCACCTCCTCAACAGCGTAATTTTATTCAATTACCAGAACCAGGTCTACCATCACCTACATCCTCTGTTACCTCATCCATTAAACAGAACGAAGAAGATAATCATAATTATCATCATCATCCTCATCATTATACAAAACCTTCTGTTGGATTTCATTATGGATCAGGACTTCATCATGGTTCTCCAAGATTAAAGCCTGCTTCTTCATCTGATAGCTCACTTATCATCACAACTGGAAGAAGGATTCAATTTTGTAGTACAATTCAAGTTCATGAAACCTTCTCTTCAGGTGATTACGATCGTCGTTGTGATACCAATGCAACATGTCAAAAGCTAACCCCTATGATGGCTATGAAAATCAAACAAGAATTAAATGAATATAAATTATCTGAAATGGAAGTTCATGTAGAAAGTAGACAATACACACACTTCTTTTTATAATCAATTAAATGCAAGTCGTATATCCAATCATGCATTTTTATAACTTATTAGAAGAAAGAAAGAAAGAAAGAAAGAAAAAAAAAAAAGGGAAGATGTACTTGTATTAAAAGGGATATAATGAAATAAAGAGCTGACTTGAAGATGTGTTTTTTTTTCTTTATTCCCCTTCATTTCATTGTCCTAAATGTGAATACAATCTTTAAATAGATATTTTTTTTTTTTAAAATGGCACTGGCTGCTTTTTAAGTACACAGTAATCTTTAGTACATACAATATAGTTGCTTCTTACTTATGACTACCTACAAGCTGATCATTCAATCTTTAAAGAGTAATGAATGATAAATAAAATAGGAAGAAAGGGAGGGAGGGAGGGATATCTCCTTGATTTTTATCATTTTATTATTTATATATAATAGACAAAGAGTACATGGTAAATAATAATAATAATAATAAAAACATTCTATAATTCCAAGTTCTTTGTGAGTTGACTTCATACTACTCGGAAATATTTATATTCTTGAGAGCTGTATTTCTCTATAATAATAAACAAAGAATGAATACACGAGCTTCGGCAATATTTGCTATGGCTTGATTCAAATTAATCATTGGATTCCACTCATATCTGTCATAAGATGACTTGTTTAATTTCTTGAAAACGAATAGGTCTTTACACTCTTTTCATTCTGAATATTCATTAGAAACACTACATACTACACACAAAGTCAAAACATGGTCATAGGAAGAAAAAAAAAAAAAGATGGGTAGAGGAGGAGTCTTTAGTGCAACTTTTGAAATAATCAAATTTACTCTTTCACATTTGTATCGTATTGAGTTTATCAAAGCTTCCTTATTCAAGTCATTCTGTGTACAAGGAAGAAGAAAAGAAAAAATTAGATAGTTTAGGGGAATAAGTGAGTCTATGTTTTGAAGGCCTATTATTAAAAGGTATCTCTTTATCATAAAGCTTGATCTTCAAGATAATATTAGATAGAGTTTCAATATAAAGCCCCCCCCTTTTTTTTTTTCCTTCTAGATTAAAATCGTATATAATTTAAATAATAACAGTAACTTTATATATAAAATAGAATTGTATACCTTTTGTGGCTATTCCTATAAATTTTGAAATCTTGAACATTTTTTTTTTTAAATTTAAATCAGTCACAGAATAAAAAAAAAAAAAAAGCCAGGCCCCACACATGCCCCGCCCAAACCCCTCCCACATACTGAAAGAATAGTAGTATCATGAAGACCTTCCATTTCTTTCTCCTCCCCCCACTTCTTTTTTTTTATTTTACGTTTTATTTTGTCAATAAGAAAATAATAAAAAAAAAATAACTTATGTTTTCTACTGTTGGTAAACGTTCCTTTCAAATAGTTCGCTGTATTTCAAAGTATAATGTGAGTACACCATGTTCCATGTATGTATAAACTAATTCAAAATTGAGTAGAATATACGTCAAGCTTCAACAAAGACATCAGGTCATACAGCATATGAGGAAGCACTTAAATTGATTGCATTAGATAAAAAGGAAAGATTAAACATGTTAGAACGTCTGGAGAAGGAAATCACTCGAGCTGCTAAAAGTAATAATCATTCTTCTTCTTCTTCTTCATACATGTATACTAATTAATCCCTTCTTTTCTCCTTTTCAGCTGCTACTCCAGCGCAATTAAAAGCGCTTGATGCATTAAAGTTTGATTTACAAGTAAAATCTGAATTAAATGAACCTGAAGTACAGAAAAAATTCAAACTTGGAGACAGTAAATACAGATATATATAAGAGTTTGACATGTGTTTAATGCTTTGTTATATTTAACCCTATTATCTAGTTGACATGTTAAAACCTGTATATCGTTATATGCGTCAGAGAGAATTTGAAAAGGTATCAAAAAGTAAATTATTGGAGCGTTTATCACAGATGAATGTCATTCCCGATCTTTTACCAACTGGTTTGAATCCTACCATTGATGTTGCTGTCAAATTACTACCTGACGGTCAACAAGTTGAACCTGGAGTATTTTTAAAGCCAGAGCAGGTATAATATGTATATATATGAGTTTAAATAGACCAACAAAATTAAAAAAAAAATTGTATTAGAGTGTTCAATGTCCAGAAATTGAAATTACAAACTTTCATGTCGAACAACGATTATATACATTAATGTTGGTAGATCCAGGTATATATTTATATATGCTTATAAAGGAATATGGTTTAATTATTTTTATTCCTTAGATTCACCTGATGTTGAAAATAAAACATATCAACAATATTGTCATTGGTTATTGTAAGCGTCTTTGTTACATATATAGATAGATATCATATCTAGTCACTAATAAACATAGCAAATAGATCCAATGTGCCTTTATCAACTACGTCAACTATTATAAAAGGAGGTGATTCAATTTTGGATTATATTCCACCTCATCCTCAAAAAGGTACAAAATATCATCGTTATACTCTAATTGTTTGCGAACAGCCAAATGAAGGCCAAGAGAAGGTAGATATAAAGGTCAACAGTCGAGATCATTTTGATGTAAAAGGTTTGGTGCAGTCTTATGCTTTAAAGACCACAGGAGCTACTTTCTTCCGTCAAGTATGGGATGAACAAGTTTCCAAAATCTATAATGAAATTCTTAAGCAAAATGAACCTATTTATGGCAAACCACCTAAAGTAGAGCGCTATATTCAAAGAACTGTGTATTATTAGAAATAAAATTTTATTATATATAGTAGACTTTATAATACACGCCACCCCTTGTCAAAAAAAAAAAAAATGCATTATTTTATTTTATTTTAGTGTATTTTTTTTTCTTTTTTTTTCTTTTTTTTTTTCTTTTTTATTTGTCTTTCATCAAATGGTATTATCGATTTTAGTAAAAAGGCAACAAAGGGCCTTAAGAGACTGGAAGGTATTGAAAGCGCTTTATCAAAAAAGATGGAATCATACAACAATTACAAACGATGATCCCATTCATAAAGTTGATTTGAGGGTTGGAAAGATTATTGACATCAAGCCTCATTCAGGGGCAGATCATCTTTATATTGAACAAGGTATTATTCATAGATAGATATACACGTAACTATCATTCACGATATTCCCTTTTTATTGTAATATCAAGTGGATTTAAAGGTCGAGTCAAGTGATCCTCGTACTATTGTAAGTGGACTTGCCCCTTATTTGTCAATGGATTCACTTTTGGTAAAAGAAGCATTAAAAAATCGTATTTTGAAATAATAATAATACCTTTTTTTTTTTTTTTTTTTTTTTTTTTTTTTTTGTTAATACATATAGAATCAATATGTTATTGTAGTGAGTAATATGAAGCCAAGTAAATTTAGAGGCGTTTTATCACAAGGCATGTTATTAGCTGCTTCATTAACCAATGACGATCAAACATTAGTAAGATTATTATCACCATCATCATCTTCTTCTTCTAAAGATCATTTAGTGGGTGAAAGGATTCAGCTAGAAGGAATCCAATGGGAGGAGGAGAATAAGCCGGATATTGTACTAAAGCCCAAACAAAAAATATTCGAGCAAGTGGCTCTCTACTTGAAGACAAATAAAGATGGTATTGCAACTTACAAAGACATACCATTAATGACTTCTGCAGGTCCTATTATTTGTGAACTGAAAAACGCAACTATTTCATAATAAATAGAATACACATATTATTATTTTTATTTTTATTTTTTTTTTTTTAAACAGTAGGGAAATTTCTTGTATTTAATAAAACTGCTTTTAGACTACGAATATCACTCTTTAATCCAGCAACAGCAGAAGAATCAGAAGGATAGGTATTTGTACGTAAATAAGAGGTAGAATAGTATGGATAGTCTGAATAAGATGTAGAGGTCATTAAAGCGTCTTTGAAATAGGCTAACTCGGAACGAAAATCCTTGTAAATTTTTGTCTTTAACGAATTTGAAAGATATTCTTGAGACTTTTCTGCAAGTTTGCTAATTTTATCAATGAATTCAGCTTCATGCTTCATCAAGGCATCTGTAACTGTCTTTTCTTCTCCTTGATCAATGAGTGCATCTAGATCATCATTTTGTAAATGATAATTCTTTAGTGACTTGAGTAATCTTTCAGAAACTTCTTTATGTTGATTATATCGAATACGTTGGTATTCTGCAATACGATTGAAAATGGGTGAAATAAAATGCTACATAAAAAAAAATAAAAATAAAAATAAAAAAAGAAGGAGTTATATATACATTTATATTATTAGTGTATGTGTATACTAAAGTTTACCTTTAAAAGGCCTATCATACTTGCTGTTAACCCTACAGCGCCCATACCTAAAATAACTGACAATGCAAATACTTTTTCAGCGGGTAGTGAAGGTTGTGGTGGTTGAGGATAATATAAAATTTGAGTAGTAGGAATAAGCGATGGTGTATAATTTCTCAACGGAATGGCTGGTGCAATAGTATTTATAGTAGATATCTAAAAAAAAAATATGTATACATATTATTATTTGTATATACACACACATATATATATATATAAATAATAACAATTACATTAGCAATAGACTGATCACCTACTCTTTTAAATGCTTCATCAATCTCGGCTTGATTCAAACCCTTTTTTTGTAAAAAGGCCATCTTTTTCTCTTTATCGGCTGATCGTACATTAGCTGAAGAAAGAAAAGAGACGGCCTGTTTAATCAAGTCTTCTCTTAGTCCATCAGATGGGAGAGTAGTTGCTGTAGGTGTAGGAATACTATTATTAGTTGGTGATTTTGTGGAATCTAGAGATGATGAAATAGTTGTTTGAGCATCGGAGGAATTATCCTGTGTTGTCTGACTAGTTGGAGGGTTATTTGTAGTAGAAGATGACGATGAATTGGACATTATTAAAACGAAATACTAATAATAATAATAATATGGGGTAATAACAAATAAAAAAAAAAAAAAAAAAAAAAAAAAAAAAAAAAAAAAAATTAAATTTTCACATGCTGACTAAATTTTTGAGTACATTAAATTCGGAGGCTAAATATTCATATTATACTTTTATAATTAAAAGTTATGTAATCAAACCTGAAGAGCAGCATAAGAAAGGTGAATATACCTATTTAGAAGCATAAAGAGAAAAAAAAAGTTATCTATATATTAGGGTTATTGAATGGTTAGAGGCAATCCTGATATTTGCCATATGATAACTATGAAAAGCCCCTAAATGTATCCAAAGACGAATTAATAGCATCTAAAATTGTTAATCCCCTTGATTTCTACTTTGATGAGGAAGTCAAAAAATCGATAGACACTCGATGTTATAAAGTAAATGAAAAGATAAATTTATTATGTAGTCATAATTAACTAGTACCAAAGCTAAAAATAATTTTTTTTTAACAAGGAGAGAAGTATCTGCTGAACCTTTTATACTTGTACATTTGTATGAAAGAAAATAGTCTTAAAAAAAAAAGAGTCAAGTTCTGAATCTTTATGAGGATGTACATCGAAATACTTCATAACATATTACTTGCGCTGCCATTAGCTTAGAACTACCCGCTTGAGGATATGAGCATGACCATTGCTAATAGGCAAAGTACATGATGAAAAAGGAAGAAGAAGAAGAGATTCATTCCAAATCTGGCAGTCATACGAATACCGTTATTACTAAAAGGCATACTCATTTTTTATTGTCATTTAATGCTATTAACACTCAATACTGAAAGATAGGGCTATAGGCATAAACAATCGAGGTGGGACGATTAACTTTGGACTTACTTGATAATTGTATCAGACAACGTAGTTAACAAAAGTCGCTGTTAAAAATATCAATCTATTTTGATACAGCTGTCATTGACAATAAGAACAATCGTTAGACTTTGTATATTGGTTATGAATTTTGATGTCAAGCACGCTGTTGTCTGTTTGTGTTGTGACTATAGTAGTTGTTGAGAAAATTGTCCTATTGAAAGAATGAATCCTTTCGCAATAAAAAATAAAATAAAATTCATCGAAAGGGTGCATCATAAGCAGGCTTTAAGAGAAAAGAAGGCATAGACCCTACAAACTTACAATATGAGCATGTGTTTGTATAATTGCAGCGCAAAAAAAAAAAAAAAAGCATATTTGATCGTCAAGGGGATAACGTTTGAGATGAGAATTGTTAGTTCCTATGAATGATAATTTGTGACCAAGTATATACAGCAGAGTGCAGAAAGGACACATATGGATGACGCTTGATTGAACTATTCTCAATATATATATATATATTTAGTTCTTTCTCATCAACTTTTCATTTATTTAAATACTAAGCAGGAAGAATAACTGTTAACGTGGAAGATTTGAAGATAAAGTTCAATGATTGTTTTCCAGTATAGAATTCAACAGTAAAAATAAATCCATGTGTAACCAAGCTGTCATAAAGTTTGAAAGAGTCCAATCATAACGTGAATGTGTCCCGCCCATTGAATGGTTAAGATAAAGTATCATCTGCTGAATGTATAGATATATGATATTAAAGTATTAATGAATTATACTTGCAAAGAAGCAAATTACTCTTAGTGTAAATGTATTCATTGCTTTTTTCAATTAAACAAAGGGAAAAAAAAAAGGCGTAAAGGTTCTAACCTTTTGGAAATTGTGACCGAGCGGGAAAAATAAAGGATTAATAATATAATTATTTTTTTCCCCGTTTCTGTATCTACTCAAATAAATCAGTAAAGAAAACTACAACATATAGACTTTTCTATTTTACTCTGATAGTCTTTCAATCAAGAATTAAGTTTTTAAAAACTGCCAATTGATATATTAAAATCGGTTTTTTTTTTTTTTTTTTTTTTTTTTTTTTTTTTTTTTTTTAAAAAAAAAAAGACGCTGGTTTGTTTTGCAAAAGTGCAAATTAGTATTAGAAGCATTGTAATATTAGATAGATAAATATAGATATGTATATGTCAAAATTAATGGCATGAGTGGAAAAGTGAATAAAATACAAAAATTAACAACAACGACTTCTTTTTAAAGACCTCGATGTATCACTTGTTAAAGAAAATGAGTGGCTTTCACTCAAGTCTAATTCCAATTGAGGCACTTTGACCATTTTCGCAATATAAGCAAAAGCCTTTTCTACATTGTCTCCATTTTTAGCACTCGTCTCAAAGCAGGGAATTTGCATTTTATCACTCGAATGTGTCTCTGCCCAAGCTCTTGCTTGTCTTCTTGAAACAACTCTATCATCGATGTCTATTTTATTTCCAATAATTAATAATGGGAAGTTTTTTGCTTCTTCTGCTGGTAGTGATGACTGCTTTAAAAAGTCTTCTCTCCAACGTTCTAAACAAGCAAAGTTAATCTCTTTAACCACCTTCTTTCATAATCCAATACGCATACACATAATTCCTCTTTTTCTCTCTCTCCCTCTTTTTTTTTTCTTACCAAGATGCTGAAAAGATAAGAAATTATTCACATCATAAACTAAAACACATGCATCTGCTCCACGATAGTAAGCTACACCTAAAGACTGAAATCGTTCTTGACCTGCTGTATCCCAAATTTGCATCATTACTTTTTTACCATCGTCTGTTTCAACTTCTTTTGTAATAAAATCAGCTCCTTTCATGGAATTAAATGTCAGGAATGCAACAAACTCTCACTTTGATTTTCATCCTTCTATTTTTACTTTATTTTTTTTTTTTTTTACATGTGTGTATTTATACCTATAGTTGCTTTATACGCATTGGTAAAACGTTTATGAATGTACTGTATGAAATGAATAAGAATGAATATAATGGTATCATTGAAATTAATTCGAATAATTTACTTGATTACGAAGACTTGTCTTTTGAAAAAATAAAATAAAATAAAACAAATTAGAAAAAGAAAGAAAGAAAAAAAAGTATTTTAGTTGTCTATAATGATTATACCTTGCCTACACCACCATCCCCAATAAGCACAACTTTAAGAATGTCTTTATGCATAATATATATAAAAGGAAAAAAAAAAAAAAGAGTGCCTATTTATTTTATTTTATTTTATTTAATTTTATTTAATTTTTTTTTTTCTTTTAATAAAATTACAACAGGGAAAAATCATGTGATTTACATATTTCTTTTAACTGCCTCAGGAAAATGAATTGTTGTTGCCGTAGAAACTATCGAACCTTCTGGTATTACTATGGTTGTAAGGTCTGTTTCCATAATAACTGATTCACGATTGAATTCATCCTTATAGTTGTTATTTGGTGTTATCGTAGGCGGGCCAACCTCTATACAATTATTACTATCACAAGACTTTCTTAAAATCAAACGGTGATCATCCCCAATATAGAAATAGGCTAAAGGTAAGAAACAAAAGAAAAATGTACTCAATATAGCACATAGCCAAAAGAATCCCACACTGGCATATAAATAGCCTCCCATCAAAGGGCCTATACACATGCCTAATAATAATAATAATAAAAGAGACAATATAAGCATTATTGTTGTTATTATTATTATATGTATACTTATTTTTATATATTTACCAACACCATAAGCTGCGTTAAATAGTGAATAACTTCTTGCTAGTCCATCTGATGAAACAGAATTCCCATTTTCTTTATCAACAACTTTAGCAATTTCCGGAAAAACAGGAGCTTGACAACCCGCAATCGTGATCCCACCCATAATGAGTATAGGGATTAATGGCCAAAATGATCCTCTTTCCTGACTTGGGAAGCCAATCAAAAAACAAAAAGGGGTAGAGATAAGTAAGGAAACAAGTGCAACAATCTTAGTTCCATATTGGTCACATAACCAGCCACAAATAGCATTTGCAATAATAGAGGGTATCATATAAGCTAATACAATTAAACTACAACCAGCCGCATTAAATTGCCATTCTTCTGCTAAGCGCATTGATAACGTAGGCTAAAGAAAAAATAAAATAGATTTTTTTTTTCAAATAATAATAATGAAAAAGATCAGTTAAAGAAATATTATATGTATCTACGCATATATATATTTTACTTCAAACGAGCTCATAACAGTCGCTACTATAATAGTCAAAGCTAGAGAAACAATCAATCTTGGTTGTTTTAAGAGCTGGAGCCATGTTATAGATTTTTTTGGTAGTTCATTTTCGACAGTTTTGCTAACATCATCATGACTTGACTCAAACCATTCCTTAGGTGAACTTGAACGTTCAATAATAATTAAACGCATAATAAGATCAAGGCCGCTAAGAATCATAGATGCAATAAAGGGTGCTTCATAACCAATTTCACTATATAATACTTTTTTATTGGTTAAATTTAAATAACATCCATTTATAGTATACACTTACATCCTAAATGGATGTAAAATGAGATATTTATGTTAGTTAGCTATACAATGCATGATATATATATGAAACATCAAACGCGTATATACCTCCAGCTGGTAATCCTACCATCATGCCTAATGGATAAAAGCCAATAAGTTTACCCATTTGTGTTCCTAGTTGTTCTCTAGGCCAGTTATCCGCTATAAGACATAAACACATTGTCCAAACACAAGCATTAGATATGCCTTGTAAAATACGAGCCACTAGTAACATCATGTAGGATGTACTCAACATAAATAATACATTGGCAGCTATTGATGCGGTTGTACCTAATAGCATAGGTAATCTTCGTTGTTTTATTCGATCACCTAACCATCCAAATATAGGTGACCCAACTAAATAATAATAATAATAATAAAAGAAGTTAAAAGACATATGTGCGTGCGTGTGTTTTAAAAGAAAACAAATTATCTACTTAATAGTCCAACAGCATAAAGAGCAACTAGTACACCTGTATCTCGTGAAGTCATTTCTATATTTTCTGTAATAGCACTTGATTTTGAATGATCTATCCATTCTTTATCCAAGTTCCTTATACGAGCAACAATGAACGGTGATAAAGGAAACAAAATTGAGTGTACAAATGTCTAATAACATGAATAATACAATAAATATAAAATGAGAATCTTAGATTTTATATATAATATATATATATATATATCACAATACGCTAGTAAATAATCCAATTGCAGCTGTTGAAAATACAAAAATATTGCTTGATCGAAATTCGAATAAAAAAGGCTTTGTTTTATTATTAGATGGCATGTGTGATTTTATTTCTATGTCAGTATCAACAGACATAGCGATACGCGAACGAAATAGTTTCATTATTACACTACAGTGAAGAAAGAAAAAAGAATAGTGTAAATTTAGTTTGGATATATTTTATATGTTTTTTATAACTTTTTTTTTTATAAATATACATGTATAAATGTAAAACTGAAAGGGGAAATGTGAGGGGGTTGGGGCAAGATATTCGATGCTTGATTTATGACATGAACATACAAGGTTTTAGGGAGAAAGAGAAGCAAAAATAATAATAATGATAATAATAATAAAAAAGAGGTAAACAAGAAAAATAAAGGAGGGGAAGGGGGAAAAAAGAGAGGACAAAAAAAAAAAAAGATTATTGTAACAAGTCTATTGTCAGTTCATAAATATAAAAGGTGACAGCATTAACAGGGAAACCTCTTAAAATGGTTGCTCCAAGTCCTCTAAAGAACACATGAGGACCTTCTAATTTGTAAGATCGAATTACACAATCTTTTATGGATGCATATGGACGATCTGGTAAAATTCTTGTATTTTCGTTATGTTGTGTTTGCTGCATTTGAAGACGAGATTTGATAACATCAATGGGATAAATGGACGTCCACGAGACTGTCCCTGCTAAACCTCCTGCTAATAAGAGTTTCCATGCATCATTATCAACCCCTGATGTATTCACTTTTAAAATTCGTTTCATGCCTTCATAAACCCAAAAATAAACCCCATAGCTTGGTGCATCTCGGATCAAAGTAATAAGGCCACCTTGATAAAAACCTATTTTAAATTATTAGATTATTAGCATGACTCTATATATATATATGTATATATAGAGGTGTATGTATTTATGTATATATAAAAGACCTTTTAAACCATTTGCAGCAAAAATTTCTTGAGTCACTTGCATAGTAGACTTTGGGGCTTTTGTCATTTGAGCTTGGATTTTAATTAACTCAGTAGGTGTTGAAAAGAAAAAGCAAGCTATACCAGCACCTGCTCCAGAAAGATAGACTTGAAATAAAGAAGGATCTTGAGATGGATACTGATGCTGAAAGAAACGAAGAATAGAGCCATAAGAAACAAATAATAAAGCGTTCAGACCTGCTAAACCAACTATAGGAGACAATACACCTTTGAACATGGAACCTAACTTTAACATAAAATTCCATTTGTATATAAAATGAATAAATTTATATTTCTATATTACGCATACCCCCTCTGTTTGAATCATAGTTTTAAATGTCTGCCATGAACTCGGCCTATCTGAGCTCATTAAAGCACCTTTAGGTGTAGTAGGCGCCTGTAAACGTGCCTAGAAATATACATATAAAGTTTTAATAATCTGCAATATTAAATTTAATTTCTTTTTTTCCATACTTTTAATACATCAAGTGGACTGCCCACGATAATTCCTGCTGCACCACCAATCCAACCTAATAAACAATTGCTTAGTATTTAATGTTACTTGTCCCTTGCTTTTCCCCCTTTTTTCTTATCTCATGAAAAATAATGATATTTACCTGCTATAAAATCATTTACACTTTCAGCTAAAAAAATGTTTTACTGAATATTAAATGCTTCTTTTTTTTCTGTTTTTTTTGTTTTTTTTTTTTTTACTTCATCTCATTTACCCATTCACTAGAAATCTTGAATTTTATTCAAAAATAAAATAAAACAATAAAAATTAACAATACAATAACTAAAGTCAGTCATCGGGAGATTAAAAGGGATTTGGTTACAGCTTTATTGTGGAGTTTTTTTTTTTTTATAAATATCTAAAACGGTCCATTTAATGGAAACTGTTTATTATTCAATATCAGTAAAAAATATATATATTTATATATTAATGAAATAACAGAATAGAGTTAATTCAATTTAACATGACTATTTTGGACTTACAAATGCTAACTATATACAACAGTAAGCTAGCGATTAATTATGAATAAACCATAATAGCTCATTTATAGAAATGTAATAGAGGTCAAAAGTCTTTTGCATACATGTATTATTTCAGTATAGGAATATTTATTTTTACTTGTATATTTTTATGGATATCTGTAAACTTATTTAAACTAGCTTCTTTGATTAAGCTATACTTAGTTATGTGATATTTGGGAGGACTCTAACATGGCCTTAACAAGCATAAAGAATACTATTACACACTTTCTGTTTAGATATTAAAGTAATAAAGAGGTTAATTCAATATTGAGTTAAAGTGAAATATCGTCTAGATAAAAGCAGATTTAAGCATAACTTGTCCTCTCACTAAAGAAAAAGTATACACAATAAAATCAGAATAGTATAGATTATACGATGGAATATTATTTCTTTATGATAGTAAGCTGCTTTACTTCTCATCGCCTATAAGAAACAAATATAAAAGTCTTTCGATCTACATTATAAACCCTTTTTTTTTTTCTAGCTTGTATCGTTATCATACACAAAATGTCTACTTATCTTGTATTATTGTGAATTTACACTATAATAGCTTATCTATTTTGTATTACATATCTTAAAAGGAAAAACAAAAATTAATGAACATACAAATAAATGGCTGAAAAAAAAGACAAATTATTTTATTTTACTCTACGAATATACTTTCACTATCTAAAATATAAGAAAAAGAAAAGGATGTAAAATTGATAACATTTTCCTATTTTACATTGTTACTTTTTATACGGAAGAAAATTAAATAATGTAACTGTGTGTATATGTGTGTGTGAGTGAGTGAGTGTGTATGCATGTATTAAATGTGGGGTAACACATATTCTTATCGATTTCATATGATTGTGACTGTAATTTACAACAACGACCTCCTTATTCTTATGAACTATAAAAAAGTAGATGTTCAAAGTTATTATTTTTTCCCTTTTCTTCTTCTTCTTCTTTATTATTACTATTTCTTCTGTAGGTAAGTCATTAAATAATACTATTTTATTCTTCTTCTTCTTCCCTGCCCTAGGAGGAAATTCTTTTTCTCATAGCTAGCACAATATGTAACGCCCTCTGAATCAACAAGACACCCTATCTTGCCCTCCTTGAATTAGGAGGACATTGTAGGGTATCTTGTTGATTCAGAGGGCGTTACATATTGTGCTAGCTATGGGTTTTTTCTAACCTCCTAGTAAAAATAAAAAATACAAGAACAAAGAAGGTGCAACGAATCCTAGCCTCCACGCGGCCACCTTTGGACTGCAGTAATTATTACTGTTGACGAATTGGGGATTCAATTTTTTATATATGAAATAAAAATGAAAATAAATAAATAAATATCTCTTTTTTTTTACGCGTTTTTTATAAATATTTTTTGTATTTCTAATTTGTCCTTAAAAATGTTGAAAATAACTTACAAGTAGCTAGCATTGGAAATAAATAAAATAAAATAGAATGAACTTTTAAATAGATAATACATTTAATTATTGAATAGACTTGTTCACTTCAACCATTGAATTAATAAGAATCCTATATATATATATATATATAAAGGAAGAAAGTTAGTTTCTTATTCAAAATTATAAATGGTGTTTGCACATCGCGAACTTATTTAAGACACACACTTTAAAGACTAAATGAGCATTTATTGCCTCCAGTATTTTTTATTTATTTATTTTTTCATAAGACATAAATTTGATATTTGCACTCTTTTTCTATATTCTTCTCAGTTTAACTTAACAATGACTGCAATAATAATTGGTATTATATATATATATGTATATAGAACGTAAAGGGATTTAACAAAAGGATAAGTCAAGTATTTCACAACACTATATATGAGTCACGCTTAAAATTGAGATATGAAAAATCAATTACTATTATGCTTATAGACAATATAATAATAATAAAAAAAAAGTCAAGAATTGGCGTTAAACTTGATGAAATGTAAAAAATTGCAACAAATGTAGTTTTATGTCAGTCTTTGGAAAAGAAAGAGCTTCTTTCAACCTACTATTATTTTTCTTTGTTTCGCTCATTACAAAAAAAAAAAAAAAATTACATTTTACTACCTCTATTTAACTCTATTCGAAGGAAGATCAATTTTATTAATATTAGTATTGTTATTTATTCATGTATGTGCAAATGAAGAGTGGCTCAGGAAGTATGTACCACTTTAATACTTCAGATTAAATGCAACTCAAATTAGAATTCTTGTAGAAGGAATATCATTTACAGTAACAATAACAATTACTACTAATGTATTTCTCCTCCCTCTTAAAGGAAGCATGTTGTATCTCATCACATCTTTTTTTATTTTTCACTAATATAAAGCCAAATGTAATTCTTATCATTATTATTCAACTGAGCCTTACATACACATATTCATGTAAAAAGGTTGTGCCTTGCCTTGTCTTTAGGACTATATTTATTAATGTATACATGTATATATACATATACATTAGCTTATTTTATTTTTTTCTTTAATAGTAATAAAATTGTATACTGTCTGTCAATACTTGCATGTTATAACATGTTCTGTACCTATACAGATTAAACGTATATATTAGATATTCAGTGATTCAATAAAATCAGGTACTATATCTACTTGATTGATGTCTCTGTAAATGATAATATATAAAAGTAGGAATCGATGATATATATATACATATACATACATATATATATTTTCAGCCACAATAGAAGAATAGATATATGTATATCAAAGGCTCTTCATATTATGTCATTTTAATCAAGCATGGCTGAATTAACATTTGCATATAGAAAACAGTTAAATGTATGCAAACAAAGCTTGTGTAATCTTATAAAATAGGTAAATGTATAAATACAGTTGCAGTCTATTCTACCTTTTTTGTTTATTTATTTACAAGCTTTCTCTTTTTCTCTTCATTTTCAATTCATTTTATACGTTTTTTTTTAAAAAAAAAGTAATTATAAGAAAAATGAATAATAAGAGTGAATCATCATCACCATGTTCTCTTTCAATCTCTATTAGTGCTAAAGAGACACAACACGTAGTTGAACCAAATCATGAGATTCAACAATTGGCCAATAAAAAAATTCCATCAACTCGAATCAATTCTGATATGAATGCATGTATTCATCAATTCTCTTTAAATGATACCACTAGTTCTAGTGAACATAAAGTGTTTACTTGTAACGACTGTGGTCAAGAATTTAACCGGGCTTATAATTTAAAATCACATAAAGCAACACATTCAGCCTCAAAATCATTTCAGGTTCCAAGAAAAAAAAAAAAAGAAAAGAAAAAAGAAAGAAAGAAAGAAAGAAAGAAAGAGAGAGAGAGAGAGAGAGAGAGAGAGTGTGTGTGTGTGTGTGTGTGTGTGTGTGTGAACATGTTTACCAGTCTAACGATGGATGTTAACTCTTTTTTTTTATATCTTTAAAATAGTGCTCAGAATGTCAGAAACAGTTCTTACGTTTACATGATTTAAAGCGACATCAAAAACTACATACAGGTGAAAAGCCATATCGTTGCTCTATATGCTATCGATCATTTAGTCGACTGGATGCATTGAAACGCCACAAAAAGGCAGAAGAAGAGAGATCCAATTGCACCATTCGAAATTATCATGTATATACCTCATCATCACCACCATCTTCGATGTTAACTCCTTCAAAATCTACTACCACTAGCAAGGGAAGTCTATCATTTATCACTTCAGAATGGCAACAACCATCTATTTCACCACCGAAAAATGTTGCATCAAATCAAGTCTATTTACCCTTTATTCTACCATCTCATCAATCAGATCCAAACGAACTTGAAACTTTAAGACAAAGAATACATGATTTGGAAATCGAGGTAAAAAAAAAAAAAAAAAAAAAAAAAACGAAAGAAAAGAAAGAAAACGAGATAAATAAAAATGGCATATAATAGAATCGAGTACTGAGATCTCTTATTCATAAAGAAGATGAAGAGTTGGCTTCTTGGTAATTAATTAAAAAAAAAAAAAAAAAAAAAGAAAAGCTCAAGATTGTATTTAATATTTAATTACTTCATATAAAAATAAGATACATTACAAACTTTATAGTTCATGTATTTTAAGATTAATTATAGTTTGACGAATTTATTGCATATACATATTAACTTTATTTGTACATAAAAAAGGTGACTTTGTAAATGATATAATAAATTATAATAGAAAAGAGACTTTTTACATATTAGTTCAATGATCATGAATGTTACATTAAAGGTAGTAAGAAAGAAGGGAGAGGATGGAACACATATAAATTAGACATTACTATTATACATACATCATATAGAATAAATAGTACAAGATGTGTAGAAAAGAGGGATAATATACATTGAATCCCTTATAATGAACACAAATAAGGGTTTTTTTTTTCTTCTTCTTTTAAGAAATACAACATGAAGTAGTCGAGGAATTATTTAAGAATAATGACCATTGATCTTCAAATCGATCTATCCAAGAAATAATGATCAAAACTCTTTCTCTAACAGTTCTCATGGCTAATAAAGGATACTTTTCATCATCACTCAAGGGTATTATATTTATAATCCACCAACTAAAGATCACCCGATCCCGTTGAGGGCCTCGAAGGATGGGCGGATTAGTTAGAGTAGATAGCCAGCGTAACATATGATTGGATGAATTCTTGGTACCATGTTCAATTAGTTTCTCTACAAATATAGCTAATTCATGTAATATTTCTTCAGTAGATTGTATTTGTCGATTCTTGATCACCTTTTCAGGTAGGGAAAAAGAGGTATGTCTTTGAGATGTCGATGGTACTTGTCTTTGAGGGGGAAGAGTAGGGGTAATAGGATGAGAAGGCTTATGCCGAGTAGCGGATAATCCTTGAATATGCATTTGTAACCAAGGTGCTCTATTGACTTGAGTCTGAGGATGAGCTTGTTGTGCCCAAGATTGGCGCTGGCCCCAACTTGACTGATGAGGCCTTGGTATTGATCTATGGACAGATTGAGTAGAGCCAGTGGTAGCTACTGGACGATGGATGCTAACTGACACAGGCCTTGCTGATAAAGAAGGTGACTGTTTCAATTGTTGCTGAGCCTGTTGGCGAGCTCTTTGAGCAGTTATTTTTAAAATTTGTTGTTGCTCCCATAAATTTTCTTGTTCTCTATCTATATCATCAATCCTTTCAATATCTGCCATATGATAACCATCTACTAAATCAAACCTGATGACTTTAAAACGGTGTGAACCCACTGCTTCAACCATCGATCGTCCATCTGGCAATGTTTGTACATGAGTTAATTCAAGCATTGTACCGTATTCATAAAAGGGTAAAACAGACTCAGAACTTCTTTGTCTACGTGCTAGACACATTGCAAACCTCCTTCGATCAGATGCCATAATACGTCTTAACATGAGTCGATAACGTGGCTCAAATATATGAATCGCACACTGAACATGAGGGAAGGCCATACTTCCGATTAATAAAGGAACACGATGTTCACCACCCAAGCTGCCAAGCCCTTCTTCTTTTGCCTCTTCATCCTCACTATAAAGTTCTAATAAAATATCATTCAAGACTTGAGTTGTGGATGGACAAGACTCAAGACTGTCACGACAAAAGGGACATAGACGTTGATGGTCAAGAGACCGTATAAGACAGTTTTGACAGAATGTATGACCGCATGGTGTTGTAGTTGGGTTTGTAAGTCGAGTACAACAAATAGGACATTCAGTAGATGCATTAAAAGACTGGCGTAAAATATCGGGTGATAAAGATCCTAATTTGCCATTGTTAATAATTGATTGCATGGATTGGATGATAACATTAGGTTGAATAGTTGTTGTATGAATTCGATCACAATAAGGTGAAACACATTCTAATACCAATGTAGTGTTGATATTATTAGGAATGCAATTTTGACATACTGTATAACCACAAGGTAAAGTAAAGGGTCGAATTAGATTTCCTTGACAAACAGGACATGTCGTCAATAGCTGAATGACATGAAGATCAGTTCTAATATTTTCTTGTTGTCTTTGCTTTTTATGTAGTGGCTCTACTCCCACAGGTGAAGAATTGACCTGATCACGAGAGCGCTTTTTACTGCGAACTGAACTGTGCAAGGTAATAATGAAAGTAATAATACTATAATATATATAATATATATATAAAAAGAAGAAGAATTTTTTTCTTATTATATTATATTATATATAAAGAAGTTCTATAGTAAATTGAATATAAACAAAAAATATGTATGTATATATGTATTTATAAAGAAAAGAAGAAGAAAAAAAAAGATGTCCAATATTCATGTTATCCTTTTTTTTTTTTTAACTTACAATGTGCTTAGTGTGAGTATAATAGAGTGCTAGTAAAATGATAAAATAATCATGGAAACAATGGAGAGAAAGTAAACAAATTTGTTACTAGGAAACTGTGGTATTCGATCGATCTTTCTTTTTCCCTTTTTTTTTTTTTTTTTTTTTTTTTTTTTTTTTTTTTTTTTTTTAAATTATTATTATTTATTTATTTATTTATTTTCTCATTCATTTATTTATTTTCCGAAATCATCGATCGGAAACTGCGATAATAGCTTTATATTATTAAATTAAAGGTGCGCCTAATAATTCGATTGGATGTTTTGTATATACAGGATGTAATTGTCTTTCAATATAAGTAGAAAATGTACTTGAATTTGTACCATAAAAAGTATGACCTTGAGCTGAGATGATAGCGTCTACCATAGGAATAAGATAAGAATTTAACTTTATTTTCTCTTCAATGACTTCAATCTTTTTCAATTCTTCTAATTCTTCTTTAAAATCAGATAAAACAAAAGTACATGGAAAAGTAGCAAATATTTTTCGCAATAAAGGATTAGAACGTGGATTAGGACAGTCTGTGGCAATAAAGAGAGTTGTTTTAGCAAAAAGATCGTTTCTACCATCTCCGGGCTGACAGTTTGATAAATGTGATTTTCCTAATCTATTTTGAAGAGTCTCCTTTTCTAGTGGATGCTGAACCCAAATAGGCCTCTCAAACGAGTTATTTGTAGTCGCATTCTCTCGTTCTCTCAATTGTCTAATTTCGTATCCTGTATTTTCTAATCTATCTGTATCATGTTGATTGTCATATTTTTGTTCAAGTTCTTCAACAGACAAGTCAGTAAAATGATTGACTAATTCGTGATAGATATCGTCTACTTGAATAGATGCACGTACTTTAAATAATCCATCTCCTACACGAATATGGATTCCTACAAAAGATTCAATTCCTCCTAGTCTATTCACTATATTGGATGCAACACGTAATAATACAGGATTCTTAAATATCATTTCTCTACGAATAAATCTTAACATCTCTTTATGTTCCTCATTTTGTGCTAATACTCGATAACTGCCAAATAAAGAACCAAAATGAAGGACTCTTTCTTCAATGGCCTCTAGCGTGTTTATCTCTATACGGTTTATGAATCGAGATAATGGTGTCCTTGACTCTGGTAAATCATAGATACGAAATTCAAATGGTGAATAATCTTTAAACAGATAAATATCTTTGTCCTTTAAATTTAAATTATCTTTCATCCATTCTAAGCTGAGGTCATTTCGAAAGATAATACGAACATGTTGTTTTAGTTGACTAAAATCATAAAAGAATGACCAGGGCACAGTTGTCCATCTAAAATAGTTGAGACACTCAGTAGGTAATGGTTCATCACCATGTATGGCTTGACAATAATCAAGACCATTTTTAGTTTGTAACAAAAGACGTTCATACATTTTATCAAATCGAAGCCAAGGAAAAGCAGGGTTACCAAGATAGACAGAAGGTAATAATAGGGTACGATTTAAATAAATGGATAATAAAAGGGCATTTTCAAGTTCAATACGTTGGTTATGGAATCCAGAATGGGGTAAATAAGTTATAAACTTTTCATCAACTGAATCTGCAGTAGATGGTTTATAAAACTCAAAGGGTTTAGGGTAAAGCACTGGTAATATATTTTCGTTTAAAATCTCCTTTTCTAATGAACTTGTTTCTTGCTCTAGTTGTTCTTTCTGTTGTTGCACTTTTTCAAATAGTTTGTTTTTTGTAGTCGTAACTGTTGTATTAACATGGTTATTTATAAAATAAACAATAAAAACAAAAAGAATGAAAAAAATAAAGCCTTTTCTAATGAATGAATTGAAACTAATGTCTAGAATAGACATTATTCATTTACGAAAAAAAAAGAAGAAAAAAAAAAAAAAAGAAAACTAATACAATTTATCATTATGTGGTTTACTGCAAGTACATGCGTATATGTGTGACATGATAATTATCAAAAAATGATAATTGTTCGTGAGAAGAGACTTTTTTTTTTTTTTTTTTTTTTTTTTTTTTTTTTTTTCCATTCTTCAGTTACAAGATATTCTCCTTATTTTCCTTTTTTTTTTTTTTTCTTCCTTTTTTTTTTTATAACTTTAACGAGGATGACCAAGACATCATCAAGCACTTCAACTTCTATTTCTTCATTACCAACTAACCAGCAATACATTGATGACGAAAAATTCAAAAAGATAAAAAGAAAATTAAAAGAAACTATGGAGGTATTTTTTATACTATTATTATTGTTATTTATTTTATTTATTTATTTTTATTTTATTAGCTGAATGATACATTATCAAAAAATTTTATTCGTGCAAAGAAAAAGATTCGTACTTTAACATTTGAAAGAAAGTAAATATTTAAATACGTTTATTTTTTTTTTTTTTTTTTTTTTTTTTTTTAGAAGATTTTTTTCTAACAAAAAAAAAAAAAAAACTTGTTTGTTCAGTTTCCTATTAGACAGTATTGCACGTATGAGCCATTATCCTTCTTCCGATGAATTCTGCTTTACAAGTGCTTCTGATACAGACAATAGTGAAAGTGAAGGTAAACTATATTTATCTATCTTGAGTCTCCTTTTTCTAATTAGGAAATCCTTATATGTATATATATATAATAGTAACTCCTTTCACAACAGCAATGACATCTTTAACCAATAGTAATAAATCAATAACCACAAGAGTTCCACGGCGCGTGACATCCAGTACAAATGATCAACAGCAAAAAGTAACTACCGTTGCTTCTGCTCCACCTAAACGATCAAAGATCAATCGCATTAATTTAAAGACAAGAAGAGTTCAGCCTATTGATAGAGATGAGGATGGTAATCCTATTTTGCCACAACAAATTGGCGTCTTGACTGTGATTAGTTTGGGCACAATTGTAACTGATCGAGATACATTTCATAATGAAAGATATATTTTCCCAGTAGGGTATACAGTAAGAAGGTTAGTATTATGTGTATGCTTTTGTATGTTAATCTATCTATCTATATCTATATACATATATTTACAATTTCATATATGGTTTGTAGAACATATCCTAGTATGATTGATCCAAATAGTAATACTGTTATCACTTCAACTATCATTGATGGAGGCGATGGTCCTCGTTTTCACGTTGTTGCTGCTGATCAACAAGATCAACCTATCATTGCTAATTCTGCAACTGGTGCTTGGACTGTAGTTGTACGTAAATCAAATGAAATCCGTCATCGAGAACATTCTAATTCTGCAAGTGGACCTGATTATTATGGATTTAAACATCCCACAATTGCTAAAATGATTCAAGATTTACCAGGTACAAAGGATCTTAAGAATTATTTATGGCAAAATTTTGAGGAAATGGAACCCAGAGCTGCTAAAGGTGTTATGGCAGCTGCAGAAAAGAAAAGAGATAATTTAGAACAAATGGGTAATGCTAACCGTAAAATATCGAATTCTAATAATAATATCAGCTATCCTACTTCTGATACTATCGCTCTAAAAGAAGAATCAACAAACCAGGAAAGTAATGATGATGATCATAGTTACAGTATAGATAGTCACCATCATCATATGAAGAATACAAACCAGGATATTCAGCCCATTCATACGACTACAATCAATATAAATAGTGATACATCACCTTACAATATGATCATTGACTCTGAAGAAGAAATTGATGAATTAGGTGCAAGTGATAATGAACAATAATAATATTCGCATTATTCTATATTTCATATTGTTATATAAACTACACTACACTTATTACTGATATCTATTACCCATTCATACACACATTTTATTATTACTATCATTACTATTATAATCATCTTAATCTTCCTTTTACTTTATTTCGCTTCATAAATAAATAATAACTCTGCTTCTTATTTTATTTTTGTTCTTTAAAAAAAAAAAAAGACATTTGCATTTGCATTTGTAGTTTTGACTTTAAGATCGCCCTTCTTTGTTGAATCCATCTTTTCTATTGCTGCTGGTCTGTATCGAGAACCCATCAAGTGACCTTTATCAACAAAGTTTATGCTTGTCCATCCTAAAGGATCAATTAATTTAATCTTATTTGATCTACTTGTTTTTACTTCAACAAGGCCCTCGAAATCAGACGTCTATAAAGATGATAATACAAATCATTAAATGATGTATATATATATATATAGATATATAGATATATATATTTATATACAATATGCAAAATAATATACCATATAAGCATGTATTTCATTATTTGTAGTCTGTGCAATCACTTCAGTATGATGATCTTGATTCATATAGAAATGCAAAGGGCTATTAGTAGTTTGAATATTTAAAATTGAAGTTACATTCGTAGAATTGACTTTGATTTGTTTATTCGTTGACCTTATATCTGCATAGTCTGCAATGATGGCCTCAATCAGGACATGTCCATTCGTTGTGATTGCCCTTAACTCCCCTCTTGATTCAATTAAAGCTTCAATATCAATATTTGAATTCGTAGTAAGAACTGATATGAGATGAGTTGCCCTTATAAGCTTTTTAAATCGTATGAAACCATTTGTAGTCGAGATGTGAATAGAATCCGATGCTACAAGTGATTGATCTATCTCAATAGGACTATTCGTTGTCTCAAGTTCAAACCTCTTGCCCTTCCAACTTGAATTAAATCGGATAGCGTTATTGGTTGACTTTAATGATAGATGATCTATTTCAGATAATAAATGCTCATCAGAGGCTTCGATGTATGTATTTGGAACGTCGATTCGTAAAAACTGTATCTTCCCTTCATTTGGTATATAGATAATGGTATCCAAGCTAACACATGATGAGAGACTTGAATGAGGAAGATAAATCTCAAGTGATGTACTTCCATTTGTATGATTTATTAAATTATATGTTACTTTAGAAGAACTTGATACAGCATTCCTTTGAGAAATGGAAGCAATCGATCTAACCAACCCTTTGTCTTCACCATCTGTCATTCTTTCTAGTCTAATATGTCCCTTTGAAAGTCGTCCCCCTATAACCCGAATACTCAGACCATGACTATCATATTCAAATTGTTTTGTAAATTCTTGTCGATCAGTACTGTTCCAACAAGAAGCATTCTTTGTATAAAAGATAGGCAATACAAAGAAGTAAAGTAAAGCAAAAAAGCCAATAAAATAAAACAAGATACGTGTTAACCTTTCAAGACAATACAATTTTTGCCCTTTGCCATTATTATGACATGATTGTTGTTGTTGTGGAGGCGGAAGTGGTATTATTGCTATATATTGAGTACGAGTAAGTATGCGACCTTTTTTTTTTTTTTTTTTTTTTTTTTTTTTTTGTTACTCCAAGACTGCGCCTTTTTTTTTATTTATTTTTGCAAAACTTACTATTATCATTTGTTAGGTTGGGTTGAATAATTCTCCAAGGCCAATTATGATTGATTGGATTTGAGGGTGGTGAAGAATCAACAACAGCACCATAATGTGGATAACTAACAAGAGGAGAAGTAATAGTAGAAACTTGCTGGTTATATCCTGGAGGTGGATAAATACTATTATTTGCCGTGGATAAATGTGTTTCTATTAAGGGTGGCGCACTTGGAAGTGATTCAGTTGTAGATGGTAACATTGGTAGATAAGGGGGAGGAGAATGCCAATAAGGATTCTCTGTTGGAATAGCAGCATCAGAAGTTGTATCTAACTTTTTCCTTTGAGAAGAAGATCCGAAGAAACTTGGCTCAATTCTACTGTGACTGGAAGACTTATTATTTCCAGACATATTTATAAAGAAAAAGAGTAAACTTCTCGAAAAAAAAAACAAAACAAATCTCTTTATGTATCACATGTTTAGTTCAGAAAAGTAGTATCATATATAATTCAAATAACGAATAATTACAATTGGATAATATTATATATTGTAAGTAGCATAACAAGAAGCTTCTGTTGTATAATAAAGATATGCATGCATATTTGTTTAAATCTCTTCAGATGTGTACTCTAAAGTTAAAACGCTATATCACTTGTTCAATCAACTATAGTAATATCAGACTACAAAATATTTAATAATGGAGACATTCAAAGCTATCTTTACTATAATAATACAGCTCAATTCTCTGTATTTATATTTTAAAGAAAGATAAATCTTCTTGAATAAAATTTTAGTGTTTAATCATTAAAGAATAAGGATTCATAATGCACTTGGGTTATATCCTCCTTATGAACGTATTCATGTCTATAAAGGAACTAGGAATTTTATTATGCTAACGAAATGATTCTTGATTCACGTATTCCATTTTGGTACTAATCCTATGATGAATTATTTATGCCATACTTTAAAGGAATTCCTTGTAAAGTAAATATAACCTAATCGCATCATTCATAACTATTAAGATGATGTAAATAGCAGGATTTTTAAACTTAATAAAGACTATAAGACCTAAAACTAATTTGTACGAGATCAAGATTAAATTTTAACTACCTATGTGTACATAGTATTCTGCTTTCACAGAAGAAAAAAAAATCCTTTACTTACTCTTTTTTTCTTCAAAGTATAAATGTTTCCCAGTTCAAAATTATGAACTGAAATGAAATATAGATGTTAGACACTATATAAATAAATTATTATTATTATTATTTTCAAGAACAACAACAAAAAATATAAATAAAAAAAAACAGAGCCCCTTATTTTCTTATTGTTGTGGGCTTTTTGTATAAATAAATATATAAAAAAAAAAAAATTAAGCTTTTTTTTTTGTTTTGTTTTTTTTTCTCTCTCCCTCTCTTCTCTCTATTTTAGATAAAAAAGACATCTATTTTAATATTTCTATTTCTTTCTTATCTTAACTCTTTCTTTAGTAAATAAATATATTTATTATTATTTATATCAATATCTTGACTACATTTAGACTCAACTTCTTTATAGTTTAATCTATAAAACTTTAACCTTATAAAATAATTATTATAATAATAAAATGTCGGGTAATAATAGTCTTTCTAGTAAGGATACTTGGTCTTATTGTCCTTGTAAATCTGAAAAATATCCTCAATTTGATATCAAGATGTGTAATTATTCTACTTCTCTTGATCCTCGTGGTTATATTCCAGGTAAACTCGTTAAATACACGTAATATATCCAACTTGATATTCATCTTAATATAGTTTACCAATATAATATTAAAGATGTGCCAGTTATGTGGGATAGAGAAACAGGTATATAATAATAATAATCATAATAATGTACATCCTATTAAATATATATATATACACGCGCATATACGTTAGGATATGTTCATTTCACTGGTATTTGGAAAATACTTGGAAACACTAAAACAGATATTGTCAAAATAATGGATGCAAATCCTAATTTGAAAACAAAAAAGATTCGAGGTGGCTTTCTTCAAATTCAAGGTACTTGGGTTCCTTATAAAGAAGCTCACTTACTTTGTAAGAGAAATGCTTGGAACGTTAGAAATGAACTTATACCTATCTTTGGGCAAAGTTTTCCTTTTGAAGCTCTTTCTCCTAATCATGAAGATTTTGGTTGTCTTTGGTTAGATCCGAAAAAGAAAGATACGAACAATATCAAAAAGAATAGTTCTCTTATCAAAAATACTTCTTACACTACCGCTTCCACAAGCCGTAGTAGCAGTATGAAACCTTACACCAGATACGAGATAAGAAAATCAATAGTTCGAAGAAAACCTCCTATGAACTATATACCAACCAGACAAAATTCTCTTTCTTCAACAGAAAGTAATATATCAGCAGTAGCACAATTTATAGATAAAGATAGCTTACTCAGTGATGATATGATTTCCTTATCAGATGATTCATCTTCAGCACACTCCTGCCAAATCACACCTATTCATAATAAATTATCTTTATTACCTAATACCTTTCATACCACAACTACATCTCAATATTCTATCTGTCCTAATACAACTATGCTTATGAATTCTTCCACTTTTTTCCCTTTATTATCACATATAAATCAGGAGAAGAGTGAAAAAGAAGATATAGAAATAGTTCAAGCAGCTCTTGCATTACAAAGACTCTCTCAAGATGATGGTACAAGGCCCTTTCCACCTTTTGATACCGAAGCTATTCCTTCTAAAATCATTTTAAATAATCAAGAATTTACTATCGTTTGGGATTAATTTAATATTATTAGTAAATATTGATATATATATATATATTTATATATTTATATGTATTTATATAAAAACTGATGTAATATTTGCCATTTAATAAAATATGCATTTGATAAAAATGGAAGCGTTTTTAGTCGTCATTATCATATATTATTATTATTAACTATAATATATTTGTAACCATTTTTAGACATGTTTTATTCTATAGAAAAATTCACTACATAATTAGTATAATTAACGCTCTACGTATAATAGTGACAATACAATGGACTATTAGGTTTTTATCATTAATATGAATAAAATTATGTAATAATATCTATTTCAAAAGAGAAGGCAAAAAAAAAAAAAAATAAATAAATAAATAAATGAATAATATTGTGCTTATAATTCATGTTTGTAAATAGGTAAATGCAGAATTAATATTGATATGTGAGTTACACTATATCTTTATTATTCTCTTCAAAATATAAAAATTATTTTTTTCTTTTATATAAAAACTTAATATTAGCTAGCATGTGCTTTGACTAACTACAAAAAAAAAATTAGTATATGTATGTACAAGTAGTTTATAAAAAAAAGGGGTTATTTATACTCGAAATAAACTAGTTAAAAAGGGAAGCATCGTTTCATAACTGTAAAACATGTTTACTTTTATATCTTGCACTGTATAATAATAGGTATAATTATTTGATTTGTGAATACTTTTTGGTATATCCATATATTGTGACGCAATGTATCGAATTTAATTTCCGCTAGATTTACCTACAACTGGCTACAATTGGATTTTTTTTTTTTTTTTCCTAAAATAAAATAATAATAATAAAATATACTCAATGTCAACGGACGGTGAAGGATCGAAAGAAAATAATTCACAGATACAACAGCAGACAACAACTCAACATACTTCACCAGCACAACAACAGCAATCGATAATTCATCAAGAACTTAATTTTTCAATTAATGATATATTTAATAATAATCATGATGTTAATGATTCTTCTTTTCAATCCATCGTCCAAACATTAAGTAATAATAATAATGAGGAACACATCACCCCTTCTTATGCTCATTTACCTGCTGAATTACAAGACCTTTTTAATACAAATGAGACCGATGATTTATTATCTGTTCAAGGTAACCATACAGACGCGTCTTTACTTCAAGGAGACATAGCAACCATTTGGAATAATAGGTCAAATCTATCTACGTCTCAACCATTTATACAACCCAATAGTAATCCAATAGCTTCATCATCTTCGCTTATTTCTTCTTCAGTTACTAATTCACCCATTACTACACCTTCTATTCAAGCAACACCAGTGTTACAGCCTTCGTCCCATCCAGTTACGCCAGCAATACAAGTTCAGACCCCATCGCTTCAACCCACTCCAATAATGCAGCCACCACCACAACAGCAGACAAGTAAGTGAGCAATAATAATAATAAAAATAAATTCTAGATGTTTAAATTATTCTTAAATGTATTTTTCTTTCTTTTTCTTTCTTTTTTTTTTCCTACAGATTCTCCAACTACTTTATTAGATAATATTGTTGCTCAATTACCACTTGATAGAAAAGAAAAATTTATTCAAATATTTAGACAATTACAAACTAGTTCAATTACTGCAGCACAGTTTTTAACACAAGCTAAATCCTTATTAGGTCAACAACAATATCAGCAATTAGAAGATTTAAAAAATAAACCTGCACCTATAGTACAGAAGCCTGCAACTGATGACGAACATAGAAAAAGACCTATAGGGAATTTACAAAATAATACCGAAGGAACTCAACAATCCATACCAGGAGTCATGTAAGTAACCTAATAAATAAATAGAAAAAAAAATAAGAGTGGAAAGAGGGAGAGACAATTTCTCTAATATGTATACATTATAGTACGCCACAATTAAAAAAAATAAAGACTGAGCATATACCACCAGTGAGTTCTTCTCAAACACCCTATATACAAACTGCACAACAACCTCCAGTATTATCTCAGCCTATATCACAACAATCACAGCCACCACTACCACTCACACAAATACCTACCACTTCTCCCGTTGTACAACCTTCTACACAACCTGTATTTAAAGCACCTGCTACACCTAGTATTGCTGGTTTGCAAGTGCCTTCAAAGGCAAACGTGCCACCTTCATCTAGGTAATATATATATATATATATATACACGTATATAAAAGCTAAAATCCATATTTATTTACTTATTTTTTTTTTTTTTTTTTTTTTTTTAGTAAACCTTCAATATTAAATGGGCCTACAACAGCTACAGCTACAGCTACAGCAGCAGCAGCAGCAACAACAGCGGCAACAACAACAGCGGCAACAACAACGACACCAGCAGCAACAATGACACCAGCTAATACTGGAGGAGATAGAATTGATTATGATACATTAACAGATGTAATGGGATATGCAGGGGTTGATTTAAAAGAAGAAGCCGAGCATTTTATAAAAGATGGAGATTCTAGTGGTATATTACCAGATGGTATTGATCGATCCAAGGCTCAAGATTTTATGAATACAGACATGTTGCGCGAAAAGATATTAAAATATGGTACATAAAAGACAGAGTAATTCTATAAATGAGTCTTTGTTAATAATATTAATCCCATTTTATTATAGCTAAAAGTGTGAATATAAAAGAAATTGATAATGATTTTGTCTCATATATAGCACTTGCTACTCAAGATAGACTACGTAGAATATTGGAGGCTATGGTAGCTGTATCCAAACATCGTACATTTGATCCATTTGGACCACCGCCTTTATCAGAAGATGGACATCCATTATTTAAAATTCAAGTAAAACAAAATGTCCAATTACAACTAGAGACTATCTGTAAAGTATCAAAAAAACAAGATAAGATCATGGACCAAGACAAAAAAGAGGAAGAAGAAGAAGAGGAGGAGGTTGTTTTTAATAAGGGCTGGTACTCTAATAAGTCAAAGACGCCTCTTAAAAGCATAGACAAGGAAAGGAAAGTGACCATACAAGATGCTATCTTTGTTATGGAAAGAGATGTTCAAGGTGGTAGAGGGACCAACCAGCGTACATTACTCAAATCTTACAATGGATGGTTATATTAATAAAAAAAAAGGGGGAAAAAGAGAAAAACAAAAAAAAACAAAAAAATTTTTTTTCTTTTTTCCTTTTCTTTTTATATATTTATTTTTTATCATTTTCATTTTATTATTCATATAAATAATTTTGGCTAACCATTCCAATAAGGATATTAACATGTTATAATATCCATAAAAAAAAAGGAATAGCAAATAACCAATTTTGATCTTTCCTACCTTTCCCGAAGGGCGACAATCCATGGTTATGGAAAATAAAAGGAAAGACCACAGGATAGAAGTAGGTGTAAATATGTTGAAGAAAAAAAGAAAAAAAAATTGTATACTTCGAGAATTTACTTTATTTATAATTGAAAAAAAAAAAAAAAAAAAACAATAATAACGAGTATTGATAAGCCACATAATAAAGGACTGCTAATATAATTAAAAGCACGCTCAGCAACAAGAATATTTAGCAGTCATTCTTTTATGTATACAAATATAAAAAAGAAAGGAGGGTGGAAATACAAAGAACAACAGCATCAAATCATTATATGATCACTTACAGAATAGTCTAATAATTTCATGAGCTTGTCTCACATACTCTTTTTTTTTCGTATTTTTGTAAGATTGCTATTATATGAGTACTAATAAATTGTTTATTATTATGCAAAAGTTAAAACCTATTCATGTTTGTATGTTGGGTAATAATACAGTGCGTCCACCCTCAATTGGACACTTTTTTTTTTTTTGAAAACTTTGGTTAGATTTTAGAAAAAAAAAAGATTACTACCATTTTGAATTTCATTTGGACATTCTTGTGAGAGCCAATTGGCCACTTTTTGGAAACTTAGTTGGTCATTTGCTTGAATTCATTTGGTCACTTTAGATCTTAAACAACATCATATGGGTTATATACCGTATACAACATAATCGCAGTCGCATAATCGTAGTCATAGTCGTAGTCATCCCTCTTTTTTTTTATCAAAAGATGTCTGATAAAGGTATTGATTTCGCTTTGGTAGCTGCACTAATAACTAACTTTTTTTTTCTGTCAAGATCTAAGCTCAATTCGTTTGCCCTTGAACTGGAAAGTTGGTTCAGATTTGATGAGCAAGCTGTTGTTTAACAATCCCATGATTGTGAATTTAGTTGTACAATCACTACTAGGTATTTTATACTTGTCTATATAAATGTACTATGTAGGTCTTAACACACATATTGTTATGTAGTCAAAAAACATTCCAGCAGATAGTTATAAAGTAGCTCCAAACGAGTGAGCCAATAATTTTAATAGTACATTCATAATATACATCTCACAAAATGAAAGTGATAGCAGATTTACACCTATAGTTATTAACATTCAAGAAGTAGTTGATTCTGATTCGATGTCAAGTACGATTCTTTTTTCTACGCTTGCTTTTAAAAAAAATAAGATTCTTCCGACAGTTTTGATCATTCCTTCCAAGCCGATCAATAAAGAAGAATTAAATATTAGTGAAGACTCATTTTTGATACCACTTAAATCTACGTTTTGGGCGTACAAGTGTTTTTTGTTCTCTCCTTCTGGTATCAGTAGCGCAGATGACAGACCCATACCTACAACGTTAATTGCACTATGTCAATTTATCTTAAGCCCCAATAAAACGTTTTCTTTATATGAGGCTCAATCTCATAGTATTTGTTTTATTTGCGAAGCAAAGAGTTATGATGAAGAAGAGTAGATTTTATTTTTATTAATAAATAAATATTTTATAGTTTTCTTCTTCTTTTGATATGCCAATAGGATGTTTTCAGATTAGTAGACGATGAATAAGATTTGAAAAATCCTTCAGCTTTTCCTTTGTCAAATATTGACTTCTATTTTTTATTTTTTCCAACTATGCTGTTGGACTCAATAAATAGGATATCTTCTTCATTATACTTTGTGGTGCTGGCTGTGTTGTGCTGGCTGTGTTGTGCTGGCTTGAAGCCATTGACAACAGCTCGTTTTGCTTACTTATCAAATCGAAACCGTCATTAACGCAGTCTTTTAATTTTTTTTTTGGAAAACTCTTGGTTCATCCTGCTTGTTTTGAGTGCAAAAGAATAGGAAAGAGAAAACAGAAAAGATAAGTCTGTGGAAACTCTGTATAGTTTATTTCAGAAAAATAATACAAAAGAAAAAATAATATGGAAAAATAACAAGGGCTATTTATATGTTTTTTTTTTTTTTTTTTTTTTTTTTTTTTTTTTTTTTTTTTTTTTTTTTTTTTTTTTTTTTTTTTTTTTTTTTTGCAATATAAGTGATATGAATAGGAGTATGATTTGCTATACAGTGCGTCCGCCGTCAATTGGACAATTTTTTGAAAAAGCTGGTCAAATTTTTGAATAAATTTGCCCACTTTTTTGAAACTCAATTGGTCATTTGTTTGAAATTCATTTGGTCATTTTATTTAAATTCAATAGATCATTTTTTTGATCATTTTATCTGAGGTATATTTTGTTACTTTTTTTTTATACCATTATTTCGAGATTATTTTTCAAATGAGCATGAATATTTTTTATGAAGATGGTGCTGGTAATCTCATTGATGAACAGGGCGAGCAAGCAAAAGCATATGTTGAAGAGAAGTCATTTCGTTTGAAAAGATTAACAGATCTACGAAAATACATTAAGAACAAGGATCTCCAATTTGAAACGATCAGTTCAGACGATACAGTCATGAAAGAGGCTAGTCCAAAGAAAGAAAGACCTCTTGAGTATAACATTTATACAATGGAAGACCGTAGACGTTACTTTTATTTTTTGAAAGAAAAACTCATGAGACCAAAAGATGCGGCCATAGCCGCAAATGTAAATTATAACACAGCGCGCAAATGGAAAAAGGCTTACGAGAATGATCCGGAAAGGAAGATTCCTATCAAAAAGACGAATCTGAATCCCAACAGACCAGTCAGTCAACTGAACGAAGCTCATAAAGTTTATCTAACCAGTTTTTTTGATGATGACTCAACTGCAACAATCCAGGACGCAGTTGAAAGCTTGACAGCCAACTTTGCTGGCTTACAAATAAAAAAAACAAGAGTAGCCGAGTTCATGAAGGAAGAATGTAATCTCAGCATCAAACTTATTAACCGACACCCTCTTGCCAGAAACGATGATAAAAATCTTAAAGCTCGTGCTGAGTGGGTTGAGAAATTGATCAGCAATGGCGTCAATTATCTCGACAATTGTATATTTGTTGATGAGTCCGGGTTTGACATTAATATGCGTCGTAGTCGTGGTTGGTCACAGCGCGGTACGAAAGCAACTACCACAACTCCCTCCACCAAGGCTACCTCACATACTGTTCTTGGTGCAATATCAGCTAATGGTGTCGTCAATGTGAGTATGCGAGAATCTGGAAATGTTAAGAGAAGGAAAGTTGTAGGGGCCAAAAAGAGAAAGGCTCCTAAAGATAAATTAACTATTCCCAGTGGCACTACTGGCGATCATTATCTTTTGTTTCTTAACGATACTATGGATATTATGGATGAGTTCCCAGAAATGAAAGGATTTTTTATTGTTATGGACAATGCACCAATTCATGTTCCTGCTATAATTGACCCTGTAATTGTAAGTCGGGGCTATAAGCCATTATACCTTCCTCCCTACTCGCCCGAACTCAACCCAATAGAACAATTTTGGGCCATTCTTAAGGGAAAAGTAAAGCGAAGTAAACTTAATGATGTTGAAACGCTTACTTCAAGAATTATTGAGGCTAGTGAAGAAGTACCTGTTGAGCATCTTCGAAATATTATTCAACATTCCATAAACCAATTTAGTAATTGCTTAAATAAGGTCCCTCTATAACTTTCCCTTAACATTATATAAAGTATAATAATTTTCAAAAAAAAAAAAAAAAAGATCAATTGAATTTAAATAAAATGACCAAATGAATTTCAAACAAATGACCAATTGAGTTTCAAAAAAGTGGGCAAATTTATTCAAAAATTTGACCAGCTTTTTCAAAAAATTGTCCAATTGACGGCGGACGCACTGTAATAAAGCATTATGTGTAAATGTTGTCAGTATAAATGTTGTCAGTATAAATGTTGTCAGTGTAAATATTGTCTCCGAATAATTCTGCATATTTCTCCTTAAGTTGTCGCTGTTACTAAAAATATACCCAATTACTATTTCTGGGGTAAGCAACGCGTTCATATTAATCCACAGTGAATACTCCAGCTATAACAATAATACCAATTATTTATATGCCACTATTATTATTATCATCCTTTAAGATGTTATTACATAACAATATTCAACATTATAGATGCATATATAAATAATTATATGAGTCATAATCCTATTGAATTCTTATTATTATATAATACAATGTATATGCTTATTTTTAACAATAACTGTTATTAGAACTGAATATAAAATGAATATTATGCTGTGAAGTACAATACACCAGTTTTATTTGAATAACCTCTTTATTATGTAATAAATGATAGTTTATTTCTATTTACTTAGTTGTAAGGACAACTACAATCATAACACTGTTATCTTCATCAACAACAGTCTCAATTCGTCTTTTCACCTGCTCAAGAAGTGATTGCAAAGGTTCTACCGATTTATTTTTATGCTTTAGCTCTGCCATTACCAATTTGTAGGAAGTTTGATAGAGCTGTTGTACTGTATGATCTAGTTTATGCTCCAATGTGTTCAAAGACAAACTGCCTGAAGTTAAGAAATAGCCCAAAGCGACAATAGGATCCAAGGGCGTTTGGTTTAGACATGCTTCAATGGAGCTTTGCGAGATTAACAGACACTCCTTAGCCCAGAATTTTGAGCCAATTTTCAAGAATGGGCTTCCATTATCACCAACAAACTCTTTTTCTACTTCAAGGCTTGAAAAGCCATTGATGGCAAAGATTAGCACAATTGGATATACATTATATCGGCCTTCGCAAGAGAGCGAATACCGAATAAGTCTACCCATAAAATTGCTAGAAACTTTACTTTGAAATTCAATTAAGATTGGAGGTGTTTCTACAGTCGATTTGTCCCTGACCGAGTAAACAACATCAGACCTAGTTCCATCGGCCCACTCGTTTGGAGTTACTTTATAACTATCTGCTGGAATGTTTTTTGACTACATAACAATATGTGTGTTAAGACCTACATAGTACATTTATATAGACAAGTATAAAATACCTAGTAGTGATTGTACAACTAAATTCACAATCATGGGATTGTTAAACAACAGCTTGCTCATCAAATCTGAACCAACTTTCCAGTTCAAGGGCAAACGAATTGAGCTTAGATCTTGACAGAAAAAAAAAGTTAGTTATTAGTGCAGCTACCAAAGCGAAATCAATACCTTTATCAGACATCTTTTGATAAAAAAAAAAGAGGGATGACTACGACTATGACTACGATTATGCGACTGCGATTATGTTGTATACGGTATATAACCCATATGATGTTGTTTAAGATCTAAAGTGACCAAATGAATTCAAGCAAATGACCAACTAAGTTTCCAAAAAGTGGCCAATTGGCTCTCACAAGAATGTCCAAATGAAATTCAAAATGGTAGTAATCTTTTTTTTTTCTTAAATCTAACCAAAGTTTTCAAAAAAGTGTCCAATGGAGGGTACACGCACAGTATGCTTATTTCTTTTTAATCTTATGCAGCACGTAATCGAAATAATTTATATGTAAAGAGAGAGTGCGTGCGTGTGTGTGTGTGTGTATGTACCTTTTTTTTTTCCTTTTCATAGATACTAGTACAAATAGAGTCTCATGACTTTATAAAAATGGTAGTAGAACCTGTAACACAGAATTTCCCCTTTCATGAATTTTCGTTTTGTATAGATTTTAATTGTATGAAAGTAGGATGTTCTAATATGACCTATCTTAAATTTTTTTCCCGAGGAAAGTATCCTCTACTTGTATTATCAATTTGGTTTTCATTAACATAAATTAACTATGCGAGATATAAAAATAGAAATTTTGTTCGTCAACTTCTACTGGTCAAGTTGATGATGATAATACCCCATATTATTGAAGTTTACTATTTAACTGATTTGTGCAATAGTAATGGCCAATCATTTTTTATAACAGACATTATAGTTCCCTCTTTTATAGCACTTAAAGATATATGCACACATATATAAAAAAAAGATGGTCACGTTATTCTTTGCATATAGAATTAATATATTCTATTCAATAATGTACTTCTTGAAGATACTCCTCCTTTCATAGATCGCTATGTATCATTAAAAGGTAAAGTATTTCGATGTATGACAAAGAATAGTTACAGCTATTGACAATAATAAGAAGAATCTATAGTTACATGTTATCTCAAAGTATATATAGATACGGTTACATTCTATTTTGAAATCCACCTATCAATGCGATTATAAGAAGCATTGACAAATGAGTTACTTATTGTTCTTCCAAGTAGCAAAGCACGTGGAAGAGATTCGTGGTTTTAATAGACGAATGTAAATCAAATAGCTTACTCTTATTATATAACAGTGTACTTGGGAAATTATTTTTAATGAGAGCCACCACAGTATGAAATTGCTGTAATATAAATAAGGAAAGAACAAAATTCTATACTCGGATAATAAAAGAATTTACATTGCTTTAGAAAAGTATTTTAGGTATCATGCCTTTCTCTTGAATACCTTATATTTTTTTGTATTTCCTTTTATAGACCCTTTCTATTATTAAATCTATTAAACAAAATGGATAAAAATACTTTAAGATTATAATCTAACAGAAACTTATAAAGCAGTAATATTGAATCTTAAACATATGCTATTGTCAATAATACCCGTATTCTTCTAAAAAAAAAATCTTTAAATACATCCTTCTCATATTATAATCCTACAATTATTTCACATGTTTGATGATTGACATGCTTTTGTTACCAATGTCTTGTTCTCATTTATAATTAGTACAATTACAAATAACAACTATATACGTTCAAGAATCTTATTTATTCTTGTATTATTCAATATAGCTAAACATGTTGATATTGATGGCTTCTTTTTTTTTTTTCTTTTTAAATTATAGATTAAATTCTGTAAAAAGTATAGTATTGATTCTTCTCTGACTCTATTTTCAATATCTGTTATATTTCTTTTAAATAGCGGTTGAAGATATACAATCCTTATTCAAGACTAAATAAAATAAAAATAAAATAAAGTATATCATATAAACTACTTGTAAATGATATAAAATATCCATAAATTAGCATGCATTCAACGCATGGGTCACTTTTTTTTTCTTTTTCTTTTTTTTTTTTTTTTTTTTTTTTTTTTTTTTTTTTTTTTTTTTTTTTTTTTTGTGTAGCAAAACACGTGTATGAATACGGATTTCAAAAATCCCTTTTTTTTTTGTTTTTACTGCTTTCTTTATGCCATATTTATTAAATTTTATATCCCATATTAAACATGAATCATTGTTAGAGGTATACACACACATATATACATATTTATTTATTTATATCATATTTTATGATGCTGTATTTATCTGTATATGTATATTCATCTTTGTATATAGACAGTGACGTCAATTGAGTCAAATAATACAGCTATTCAACTTCCTTTTAGTGATTGTACAACAAGTCCAGGAGATACAATTGAAATTATTACTCCATCTGATAATAAACGTCGATTGTTCGTAAAGACTTTAATTGATTCAGACTTACCTACGCCTTTTCATGCAATTTATGTCGATTTTACGAATAGTAGATATATTACAAATACAGAAAGATTCCATGTTTTTCAGCCTCAAGAAGAATCAAATACCTTAATAAATAGTTTAGATACTTGGCTTACTTTTCATTCTGATTATAATGTTCGTTGGATGATTATTGATGGCATTTCGCATGTTGAACATGTTCAACTCTTAAAACGATTACAAGTGAAATGGAATTTTATTCTTTTATTTCTATCTTCTTCATCCAATCTTACTAGCTTAGTTGATTATCAATTCAAGTTTAGAAGAGAAGGTGAAGTAGATCGTCTTATGCAATAAATGTGCAAATGTTATGTGTAATACAAAATAAAACTTTATCTTAATTAGGACTCATTGTTTTTAATAATCAAAGTTTATACACATATAAAAAAAAAGGGGGGGCGGGAGACAAGTTGACAACGACTTTCTTCCTTCTCTTTTTCTTATAAAATAAAATAAAATCCTTCTGTATAATAATATGCCAATAGCCATTGATAATAAATGCAATATGCGTCAACAAAAAATTGATTCTTTTCATATAGCAGTAATTGAAACAAGCCTACAAATTGCTGGTCATATTTGTACTGTAATGTATTTTTTGCAAATGCATATTAAATACAAATTATTAACATATATACAACTATATACATACTTAGGTCTTTCATATTGTACTCGAAACTAATACCCATCATTTTTCATTAATACGCTTTATCCAAGATTTTAAAGAATTAGATGCTTTGGTATATATATAACATAATCCTTTCTTTCTTTCTTTCTTTCTTTTTTTCTCCCAACTTACTTACTTTATCTTTATAGCTTTCAAGGCATTTTCCTACATATCGAATTGCATTGCCTAATATACATCATTTTTATCCACAACAAATCTCATTCTTTCACACCTTAACAAAAAGGAAAAAGAAAAAGACAAACTCTGAATTGTTAGAAGCTTATCTTTATCAATGTCTCAAAGGTACAATCGGTCGATCTTCCCTTTTCAGAGATTTTTTATCTATACAAAGAGATGAGGATAGAATCATCTCAAAATCGGCTGTACGTCAACTTGTTTCACAACAACATCATCATGTATCACAATCATCATCTATTCATCATGAAAAGCGAATACTGTGTGAATCTCTACCACCTTCTCCTCCATCTTCAATTTCTATTACTCAATTTCCTGATTATCAAGAAGATTGTCCTGATCGTCAACATGAGATAATACCTAAAAAATCAAAATCTATTCAAGATTATCAGTTTATTAATGTACTTGGGAAAGGAGCTACTGGGAAGGTAAATATTAAAGCCCTACAATACATCTTTTTTTTTTTTCCCTGCATAGCCTTATAAAAATCTTTTTATTTAAATATTTATAGGTCATCTTAGTTAAGGAAAAGAGTTCAAATGATAATCAATTATTTGCTCTAAAGGCAATTACAAAATCATGGAATATTACAAAAAGAGAAGTGAATCATATTCGTATGGAACGTAATATTTTAGCTACCATTTCCTCTCTTCATCATCCTTTTTTAATTCAATTACATTCTGCTTTTCAAGATCAACACAGTCTTTATCTAGTATTAGCTTATCATGCAGGTGCTGATCTCGCTACCTTGTTACAACGCTATATCTGTTTCCCTCCTGAACAATGTCGTCTCTATGCTGCTGAGATTGTCATGGGCCTACAAGAGTTACATCGAAATTTTATCCTTTATAGAGATCTTAAACCTGAAAATGTCTTGTTAGCAGCGGATGGGCATATTGTCTTGACTGATTTTGGATTGTCCAAGATGTTTAATGATAATAACCATTTTGATCATCGTACAACCACCTTTTGCGGCACTCCTGAATACTTGGCTCCTGAAGTTATCTTGCAAGAGGAAGAGTATTCCTATGCTGCTGACCTTTGGAGTTTAGGTATCATGCTTTATGAAATGATTTCAGGTATCATACCCTTTGCTGCTTCTACACCAGCAGACATGTATGAACGTGTTCTTTATGATGATCTTGTTTTCCCAGAGCATTGCTTCGCTAGAGATCCTGAAGTAGTAGATTTAATCTCAGGACTCTTGGAGAAGGACCCATTAAATCGTTTAGGCGCTGGATTAGGTGGTGTCTTTGAATTACGAAATCACGCTTATTTTATTAATCATTTAAATTGGAGAGATGTTTACAGAAAGAGGACTCAACCCATCTATGTGCCCTATCGTCTATGTGAGACGGACTTGAGTCATTTTGATACGGATTTTTTAAATATGTCAACTAGTGTGTTTGATAAAGAAGAGGATATACAATTACATAGTGGCCTTTATCCTGCAGGTTTGTCGGAAGATGCATTTCGAGGATATTCATATTATCATGATGATGATGATGATAATTCGCAATCATGTAATGACAATGGTTCAGAATCTTTCTTTTTTGATAAAGATGAAGATTATAGCGATTATCAATACTTTAATAGTAGTAGTATGAGTGATCTTGAAGAAGAAGAAGAAGAAGAAGATGATATAATAGATGTTCCTACTTCAAAACTGTCCTATTACTATTCACCTACAATCATTTGTAACAAGACACTTAAACGTAAAAGATCCATGATCATGGATTCTTCTTCATTTAGTTATTTATAGACACACACACACACATATACTCTCTCTCTTTTGGATACCATGGTTACAATCTTGATGATTCTTATTTTTGTATGACTTTATATGCTTCTCCTTTTATGTAATTTATACATTGTATAGTAATAGTAATAGTAATAATAATAATAAAACATTTATATTTAATAAACCTGTATTATCGTCTTCTGTTAAATCCACACACATATTAATAACTTTCAAACATGGGATGAAACTTCTTCAAGACTGACTGGTTAGGATAGATTCTATATTACTGACTCTGTTGAGAATAATACTATTACCTTGTACTTACCAAATTCAAATTTCTACTATATACATGTATTTATTTATTTAATATACTTTTATGTCTCTATTACTTGTGACTAAATCAAACAAATTGAAACACTAAAATCTCTCTCCCTCTCCCCCCTCCAGCATAGGAAAATAATAACCAAAAGTCTATCCTTAGAGCATATTCATAATTTCTATAGTCAAGAAATCATATTATACTCCTTTTATAATCATATCCTCTTATGACTCATAAACACTCGTTGAATAGAGTAAGTATATACACAAATAGCATAGAGAATCGTTTGAAGAATGCTATTTAATACTTACAAATGGACTTGATTTTGCTTATAGTCTACACTATGTTATGAAATTGAAAGGATAATAATAATAATAAAGATCCAAGTCTATTTGTAAAAATACTGGAGAAAATTTATTTATATAAAACACAAGATGATATGTTTTCTTCTTTTTTTTTTTTTTTTATTTCTTTTTTTGTTTCTTATTTGCTAGAAATGGCTGCTTCCAAACTTGTTGTACTCGTCTTACTTTTTGTTCACCAAAGCCAGGACACATGGCCAACTCCTCTGTCTTGGCCTCTGCCACTCCTTTCAGAGTTCTGAAAGTGGATAATAACGTCAATACATCTGTCTTATTAACACTCTTTATTTGTGTTAAACAGTCTGTCATCTTTGCTAAATATTCGTTTTCTACACGTTCTCGAATCAAATCAGGTGCCTTGTGTTCAAACATTTTGTAAGTCTCTAAATATCGCCCTGCTTCTTCTAGGCTCCAAGATAGCATCAATGTAAAATCACTTAGGATGGCAATACGATTGATTTCTCGAATGGCATCGTGATAATTTTCAACATCGACGTGCACAAGTAAAATTCGACAAAGATAGAGCGATTTGAGAGAAGTAAGTCGATCATAAATATAGGAAGGATAGAGTCGATGATAGCGTAAGCTAAGATAAACGACACCTGTGGTTTGTCCTACAACGTAATCAATCTTGATTGCATTTGAAAGTTCCCATGGTACATTACGAATGTGTTTTAAAAGTGGGTTCTTTTGTTGTGTAGGATTAACTAGGATAGTATTACCTGTTGTCCGTCGAAGAGTAGTAGATCCTGTGTATGTATGAATAGGTTGTGATATTTTTGTAGTAGTATTAGCATTAGTAGTAGTGTTAGTGGTAGTGTTAGTGTTAGTAGTAGTAGTAGTAGTAGTAGCAGTAGATGTTAATGGACTTTTATTAGTAGCTTGTTCTGCTCGCACTGAATTGAAAATAGAATTAGCTTGTTTTAGTTGTTGTTCTCTTTTCTTTTGAATATCTTCAAATGAGGGTATATTGAGTGTTGATTTATCGTTGTTTGACATTACCAATAGATTAATAAATTATATATTATTATTTGTTTTGAGCAATTTTAAAAATATGCAGAACTGTTTTTTTTTTCTTTCCTCTGCGCATTTATTGACCCAAGAGCGTATTTGAAGAATCTGAGTTTTTGTTTCTACCAAAAGAAAATTGACTAGCATACCTTATTTTTTTTTTTTTTTTTTTTTTTTTTTTTTTTTTTTTTTTTTATATACTATTATTATTCTTTTCTTTATACAAATAGAGTCAATGGTGAATATAACGACTGGAATTGCTAATTTAGTATGCATTGGGTTTACTTTAATTTATATTGCTGGTTTTTATATATTTAAAACACCAGGGGATCGTAATGATCCACCTGTGATGAGAGCTCGCATGAAGGCTGTCATTATTGCTTCTATTATATCAGCCCTTATTGTTATGTTTCTCTTAAAGTTGACAGGATCCAAATATAATACTGCTCAAGTACTAGGAATTGATCAGCCCTCTCATTTTATATATATTTTTAGTTATCTACGACCACTTGTGCTAACTTGTGGATTGTTTCTTGGACCTTTAAGTATAATGTACTTTGATCAGGAACTTCCATTTCAAAAACATTTCAATTTCAAAAGAGATGTCGCGATGAATATTATGAGCTTATTAGGACAACGTAATTATATAGTGGTAATAAAAGAGATAAGAAAGTTGACAAGTTTAATATTATTAATTATACTTTGTTAGGCTCCGTTAACAGAAGAGTTTGTTTTTAGAGCTTGTATCATTTCTGTACTAAAGCAAGCAGCTTATTCTCGTACCTATTTAATATTTGTCTCTCCATTTTATTTCGGTATAGGTAATAGATACAAGCTTATATGTTACACCCTTCCCTTTTCCTTTTTTTTTTTTGGGAACTAATTGTATAAAAATACAGCACATCTTCACCATGCTTGGGATAAATATCAAAAGTTAGGTAAAACGAGATATGCATTTAAAATGGCGATGTTATCTTCATTGTTTCAATTTGCATATACAACACTATTTGGATGGTATGCAAGCTATTTATTTCTAAGGATGGGTAAATTATGGCCACCAGTATTATGTCATTCGTTTTGTAATATAATGGGATTTCCAGACTTTAATGGGATTTCTCATAGACCGACTTATGAAAAGACAAGTAAGTTCCATATAATAAATAAATAAATAAATATATAACTAAACTTTATTTTATTTTAGTTATCTATTGCTGTTTTCCAATTGGTATCTTATTCTTTGTATACAATATCGACTATCTTACACTTCCATCTTCTGTAGGTGGATCGATCTATTGGAAATAAATAATATATCATTTCTTGTCATTTGGCTTTTTATCATGATCCATAGCATTTTCAATCAATCTTTTTGTACTCTCTTTCACCAAGTAAAAGGCATCTCCTTTTTGCATACTTGACCATAATTTAGAGAAAAAGGCTTGTTGACTGCCATCCTTCCAAGAACTAATATATCTTTGTGTAAAATGCTGTAATGGAGTAAATGTCCTCTGAATAGCTTTGGAGACTAAAGAATGTAAATAAATATATATTGTTTGGTTAAAAAAGAGAAAGAAAGGGAGAGAGTATAAATATATATGCGTGTGTATGAACTTATTTCTACTTACTATATTCGCCTGAACGGCTTAATTCTTCTCCTAATTCCATCCTATAATAATCTGGATGATTTTTCTTTGTCATGGTTCCTTCTATTAATAAATGTTCTTTACATCGTTTTGGTGTCTTTGCTACGGAAATCCAAGTGCCATAAAATGGATTAAATTTACTCTTTTGTTCTTGTTGCTGTTTTAGCAAATTTTGGCTCGTCTTTAGAAAACAAACCATACTACATTTTTTTGATTCATCAATAACATTTTCTAGTTCTGCTTTTATGCTATCACTACTACTAGTATTGTTATCAGTATTGCTCTCTACTTTTGTTGTGGCTAAGAGTAAACAACGCTCCTTCCAATCTTGATTACTTCCTTTAGGTGCTGCTCTAACAAATTCGAATAATAAAATATTTAATGCAGAAGAGTTTTTAGTTGAATTATGAACTTGATTGTTATTCGATAATGGAGTGGAATCGTCAGTGTCATTTGATGAATCGGATGTTGATTTAGTTACATTGTTATTGTCTTCTGTCGTTTCTTCAGACCACCAAGGAGAAGTTAAAGTAGAAGTATCTTCAGGTGGAGGAGTAGATAATAATGCTTGTGGAGGTAATAATCCTTTTTGTTTATTGTTTTCTTTATTATTGTCATTTACCATCTTGTTGCAAAGAGTACTAAAAAATCTACTTTGCATTTAATTGGTTTTTTAAAATAAATTTGCGTATCATAGGTATTGTTTTTTTTTTTTTTTTTTTTTTTTTGTGCATGTTATTTTTAGTTTTTACGCATGAGCTTTTTTTTTTTTTCTTTTTTCCTTAATATTCAACCAGGTTTGACCGTCACATAGTCAGCCTTACCTAAATCTAGCACTTGTGCTATGATAGGCTACTATGATTACGACTCTAAAAATTCATAATGTATCTACTGCTTTATTCCTAACTGTGATTGAATGTATTCTGAATTGATGAGTTTTTTTTTTTTTTTTTTTTTTTTTTTTTTTTTTTTTTGGTATTCTTAAACTAATACGTTATGTTCCTTTAAAGGCCAAAGTTAATGTAAGACTACCTATTTTTATTTTATTTTATTTTTTTTATTAAAGCTTTAGCCAATTCTTCCAATTCTTCAAGTTTTGTCTCCTCATCAAGCACTTTAAAGAGTGGAACTCGACAAATAAAATTATTAGCGCTTTTAATAAGTTCAGTATTTGAAAGCTTTCGTTAACAGCTAATGTTAATATTATTATTTTCTTCTTAAACAATAATATTACGCATTCAGTACGATTGATTTTATCCGGCTTTATGTATAAATATATATATATATATCTGTTTAAGTCAAACCAGTTATTGTTACTTTGGGAAAAGCACTTTAATAAAGAGCTTCTTTTATACAATATACTAAAAAAAAAAGTAATATACCTGTATAACTTATAAGAGTGTACAATATGTCTATCCTTAACTTCACTGTTATAGCTTATGATATTAATTGTAAAAAGAGCTATAGATATACATATTACCTTCTATTAGCTTTAATTAGAGATAAAATGGTATTCTATTTAATTAAATATAAAACTTTTTATTTCTTTTTTCTTCTACTTAAAGCAACAACCATACAGAGCTTGAGAACAATAAAGAAAATGAATGCTACCTTGATAATATTCAGGTTCTATAACCTGAGCAAATCAAATGAATATATACAAGTAAATTATTAAGAATAACCAGAAATATTGCTTCTTTATCTCACATCACATACTTGAAGTAGAGTAGAGTAGAGTAGGTCTCAAAGAAGATGATTGATTGACCTCTAACTTGTATTTTTTTTTTTTTGGTTTTTATTGATATAGTGTCTACCTGTTTATGTTCTCATGTCACTAGAATCTAATGGTATCAAAAAAGACGATGATCATTAAGAGAGGAGAACTACTATTTGTATCTTATAGAGTAAATTGTATCTTATTTTCCAACTTAAGGAAAGGCATACAAATGTAATTGATAAATCTATTCGAAAACAAGTCTTCATAACTGTGTTTACTTTAATGTACTATTGACATTTGCAGCAAGTTAGTGTACACTGTTAAAAGACTTTTCTGTATTGACAGATAAATCAGAAACATACATACATATATAGGTTGTAAGTGAAAATGAAGGAGCACCCTTGTTAAAATGTTCCTATTGTGTGAAAGCACCTTTTCTCAGAGTAAACAAAATTAATATGCATGTAGAAGAATTCCATTTGTTAGCCATTATGAATAATGTTATCATTAAAATATTAAAAAAAAAAAGTAAGCGTAATATCTATAAAGTATAGTTATTCAACATATTATAAACTATACAGTAAAGATTATAATAGCTATAACATAATCAATAAAAACTATCTAAATAGGATTTCAGGAAAAAAATTTTCAGTCCTGAAAATAATATTATAAAAGACACTTTAGAATGATTCAGCAGTTAGTTAGTTAGTTGATTTATTTATTTATTTTTTATTAGTAAAATAAGTACTTTTTTTATCTGTCTTTTTATTGTTAATTCTATATTTGACTATCATAAGATAGTGTAAAGGTATAGACCTTAGATGTTATCATGCAAGTGAATAAAGTATGTTACTTTTTTTATACCTTTATAATATATAAATATACATGTATATAGAAAGGATATGTAGGGAAACAAAGAGGGACCTTACAAAAATAGAAATCCAATACTACCCTATTTAAACGACAACTAAATGAAAATGAAAAAGGACCATGGCCTTCTTCATAGGCCGTATTATGGGAAATATTCACCTTTATACGACACATTAGCTTAGTTTTTACCTAATGTCAAATGATTATATGCTGACAATACTGTCACTCATTGCCTCCAATCAAAATGTATAATACCATCACTTTAGTCTTTGTGATATTAGTAAAGTACACACCATACTTATTAAATACCTGAACGACCCATAAATATCATATTTAATTCCTTACTATATCGAAGACTTGTTTTTTTTTATATATTATATTTTATTGATCATATTTCTATTATTAAGCTATCATGTATTCATGATGCTAATAAGAAGTTTATGCAACATTCTACTGAAAAATATCTCCCCTGGATTTGTTACGTGAAAATTGTTTATAAATAATAATAATAATAAAATATTACAGTGAGCGCTGTATCATATCGCAGCGACTGAGATTCATAAATATTTAATGCAGAAAAAAAAAAAAATAAATAAATAGTAATAATTGGCTGTAGACTAAGTTTGATGATCTGGTTAGACTTTTAAATATATTGTATTTTTAACTATACAACAGGAAATATTCAAGACCTGAATAACCATTTATTCTTTAGTAACTAGTGTATTACATTGATAGTGTTGAGCGTAATTCACAGATCAGAAAATTTTAAAATACTGTTTAACATTAATTATATCTCTGATCTGTAGCTAAAAATATATATTAATTCTTTTGGGAAGCTTTCAACATTTCATAGAGAATCTACTTTTAGGAGTGCTTTTTCCTTATTGAATAATTCTGCTATATTTAAAAAAAAGAAAAACATTTATACTGGAACATTGTGTAAAAACACAATATCTTCCAGATTATAACTTTTGCTCTTTTAATAGTTACTCATGGTTCGCTCTGTATACGCATTTCTTAGTCGTGAATTTGATCTTTTTATATGTTATTTTTTTTTCCTCTTTTTTATTATATTTAAAGGAGTTACAGCGGTACCAAGTACAGCTTATAGTAGTATTATGATATAACCCTTGATGCCCCCCTTTTTTTTTCCTTTCAATTCATAGCATTGAATAAATATATACAATACGCATACTCTTCTTCCAGCTTAAAATACTATAATTTACATTATAGCATGCTTTATATATTTGTATATATTTTTGACAAATAATACGTGTTAAATTACATTGTTCTGGACAAAGATTTATTTTTTTGGGGAAACACAAAAATGATCAACAAAAAAGAAAAAAAAAAGTGGATGATCAGTTCAAAAGCTATTCTGAAAATGGTAAAAATTATAACTTGTAATTAAATAAATAAATGAAAGTTTATTTTATTTCTCCCTTTTGCATCCTTATCTTTTCTTACATGTAAAGTATATTTGAAGTTACTTTATTATATAAAAAGTGTCGTGCTCTTTTTTATAGTTAAAAATAATATTATAGCATGTTATACATTCTCTAATAGTCATATTCCCTCATTTGATAAAACGTTATTTACATGCTTAAATAAACATGTACAAGTTTCAAGTATGTATGTATGCTTCTCCTTTGTTTATATCTGCATGAGGCTTTTCTTCTTTTTCTTCTCATTCTTCTCATTCATTTCGCCTCCTTTTATTCTAGATTCCCCTTTGTAAAAAATAAAAATAAAGAATACATTATAAAAATATACAATTTTTTAATATAATAATTCTTATCAAAGTGTGGAATAATTAAAAAAGTAACGGTGTGAGCTCTGTGTTTCCCCCCCCCACTTTATATTAATAAAATTGTATATTATATTATTATTATTATTATTGTTATTATTGTTATTCTCTCCTTAAAAACAATCGGACTTCCTTCCTCCGAAAGTAGTACAGTACATTGTACAAAAATAAATAAATTATGCATACGATTCAATGCAATATGAATAACTTGCCTAAATTTACACTATCTCCTTTTAATTAGTATATCCAAGCAAATTCAAATTAATATAAATAGGGACCTTTTTCTACAATTAAATTTTCTTTTTTCTCTTTCATTATTCACACACAAACCCTTCTCTCTTCTTATAATCTACTCTACTTTTTTATTATCAAAATTTCTGGTGACCTTTGGTGAAAAATATTTAAAAGTTAAGGAACCCTTAAGAGATTTGTGCTGTTGAAGTATGCAAGTTGTATTAAAGATCTGGGGTGAGGACTTGTCCAATGGCAGAAGAAAAGAAGAAAGATGTCAAGACTCCCTTGCGTTTGGAAGACCATGACACAGCCCCCTAGGCCATACTTCAGCAGCAGAGTTTAAATATTCAGCAAGCTCATGAGGTTATTTTTTTTATATATATATAGATACATATAGGACTCATTTTTCTCTGATATTACTTGGTTATGGTGGTGCTGAATAGACAAACCAGCAATAGGTAAATAAATATAATATAAATTATATCTAACATTAAAATTAACTAATACTAATTTTATACTAAAGAATAAAATATAGGTAGGTAAATCTACTAGCCTCAACAGGAGGAAGGCTACTCTCCTGTATATTATATAAATTTTAATAAATATAATAAATTATTTAATTGTCACATATAATATCGTCTTTTTTTATTATGATTATTTTTATTATTTGTTAAATATCATGAGCAATAAATCATAAGCCTTTAGTTTCTTATAAAAAATAATAATAATACAATCTCAGCATAAGCCTATATTATATTAAAGTATAAGAATGTAAAAGAAAGCAAGCTATTGAGAATGATAATAATATAAATATCAATATAATCAAGTTTAATATAAAAAAAACGTGTTTATAATACGCTTTATATCATAGAATTAATTATACTAAAATAATTTTCAAGTTTTCAAAATTTGAACATTTCTATTAAACATCATTATTACGATTATTGACAAAAGATTCCAAAGTAGGAATAAACATCTGGCTTTATAAGTGTAAACATCTACTACATTATCTATGTATACATTCTTCTAAAATAATACATGGAATGTATATTTGTATATTTATTTATGTATCTAGAAGGAAGCATCAGAAAATGTATACAGACTCTATATGCTATATGTAAATTAAATAATGGATATTAGCAAAGGAATTTATAACTAAATTTAACAAGTTAGTATATACACGTAATCTAACAGTTCTTAAGGTCTTTATTATGTCTTTATATTAGTAATTTGAGGTATGATGTGCAAAAGTGTGAAATGAGTAAGTTACAAATTAAAATGAACTTCATTGACCCATCTTACATGAACGAAAATGAGTGGATCAAACATCCTAAATAAAATAGATAAACCTCATTAAATCAAGTATTCTGAATTGATAGAAATCCAATTTTATAGGTTTATTCTTATATTTTACTATCAAAAAGGCTGATTCAATATTATTGACGTATTCAGGCACCACCAATCCCATCATTGTCTGATTATGTGATATAGCGTGTCATATATGGCTTTACTAAAGTAAGCATATCAAACTATCCATTATTAATAAGAAGACTTTTTAGTCAATATTTTGTACTGCTGAATATTGTAAAATCATTATTTTATATATAATAAGACAGTTTTTTTTTTTTTTTTTTTTTTTAACTCATTAATAGTGGTACATTGAATCAATAATCCACCTACTAGTAGCTCTTAATAAAGTATTTTCTTTTTCTCTCTTTTTAATACTAGATTTACTCAAGGAGAAAATGGGTGTAAATACCTTCGTACATCTGATGACAAACTCTTATGTAATGAATGCGCTTCAAACTTTGTTTTATTTTATTCTGTCTCAAACTTACCCTACTATTTTCTGGAAATAGTGTATTTTAGGAAAAAAAAAGAAAAAGAAAAGAAAAGAAAACTATATCAAATTCCTTTTTTTCCAAATTCAGGCAATCAGAAGTTGTTTCACATTGCTGCTATCAATAATGTATGTTACTACAATTTTTACACTTTAAATTTGAACGAAGTTAGTTTTTTTCTGGACGGATCAAAATAAGTGTTTAAATATTTAGTTTACCTTTTTTAGACAAACGAAGAAGAAGTGAGATTAGTTTTTAAACAAAGTAAACATAGTTTTCAGACGCTTACCTGTAAAGCATTCAAACAACAAAAGTTGAGTGAATGTGGTCATCTAAATACACTAGGTAGGCTGTGTTTATTACAGCGATAACTGTGGCGGTGTGGTGGTGGTGGTGGTAGTGTGTTGAAAAGGTGTTGGTCTTTCTCGTCCTTACCAAATGCTGATAGAGATTGTCATCATGTTTTGGAAGGCATTAATGTCTCTTTGCCAAAGAGTATGACAAGAAGAACAGGCAAGCATACTCAATCTAGTAACAGGCGAGGCTGGCATCAAGGTTAGAGTTTGGCATTTACTGCATACTTTGGATGTTCGGAACTCGTCAATTGTGATTGTGATAAGTTGTCCAGCTGCTTCACGCCTTCTCAGCGCGCGCCATAAAATACCCGTCACCCCACATCTGAGCGTCCTGATTTTATTGGTGTTCTTATTGAACATTCCACTTCCAAATACTATCAGAGGAACCTTCGTCTTGTCTTCTTTGTATTTGATGGGCCTCCATTTGTTCAGTTTTTCTCTAAAGAAAAAAATATTGAATTAATAACTGTTTGGGAATATTCAAGTAGAAAATATTAATACTTGATAGCATCGTTCTTATTTGGTCTCTTCTTTCTTTTCTTCTTTTGTTTCTTCTTTTTCTACCTCTTCTTGTTTCTCCTACTTCGATTATGTTTGGTGTCGCCGTTTATAAGCATATTGACCATAGTTTCTTGCGCTTTTTGCCTCCCTTGATAAAGTTGGAAGCGTTTTTTTTGCAGTACTGGGATTGTAAAAGTTGAATAAAGTATTTATGTTATCAAACAGATATTGAACATAATCTAAAAAACGCTCCTGGTTTGATGTCTTGGTTTTGGGAATTCTTGATTCAATATCCTCTATTCCGTTTTGACTTTTCAAAAATTGCTGCTGGGCAGAAATAAAAGTCGAACCAGTAAGATGATAATACTCTTTAGTACTGCAGCGGATTATTGGGTGCCCAGACTTGTTTAAACCACTCACGGCAGTGAATACAGACTTTCGCCTAGGTCAAAAAAATTGGATGATAATCCTTTACTACTTCTGGTAAAGTGAAGTCGTAAAGAGTCAACTCAAAGCGTTGCAAAGAAGGACCGTAACTGGCTTGACATCTTTTGTAAAACAAAAAAATCCACAACAAACCCATCAGTCCGTATCAAGTTTCCAAAAAGGAACTGGTTGTTTCCATGTGGTGTTAATTCAGCAATGCTACAAATATAAAAGTAAGAAATACATAAGTCTGATTTGATACAGTCTCTATCTATACTCACTTTCTGTATCGCAGTTTCCCAAAATTGGAAACATTATAAAACAATCTTAGCTGTCTTCAGGTGTTATATTGTATGGGCGTAAGGGAGATCTTGTTGTAGAATGATTATCACCACAGCATTTCTTACAATGAAGATTGGTTACATTATCATTTGTGATCTTTTGTCGTTTTGCTGTTTGTTTAGCTTGCTTCAAACTTTCGCTTTGCCTTTCTTTTCTTGCTTGAAGCTCCAATTATACGTGATCATTATTATACATAAATAGTATAATATTAAATTGCCGTACCATCATCAACGGCTGCTTCTTTGTAAAACTTGCACCTGTAGTAGTTTTTATTGAAATGTCCTACTTCTTCACAGTCGATACACTTGGCGTTTGCTATAATATCAGTTAGTAAAAACTTTTATATACATTTTTTTATTAAGTCTTGACCTTCATTAAATACTAGTCGATTGTTGAAACCCGTTTCTTTCTTTATTTTAATAATGCCAGATTGATATTCATTAGACATGTTCAATAGAGTAAGAAAGTGAGAAAATCAATTGATGCCTGGCTCATACGCTGGCCTTTTATATGTGCAATTCTGCTTGAGATGGACTATCTAGCTCACTCCCAAATCCCTGAACCCTCTGACCATCATCTTCTTTCAATACAACAACGATTTTCTGATAGTTAATTATCATCACTTATACATATACTTTAACATTTTCCCTTTTATCCCAAAAGGGTTTTTCTTTCCTTTTTTTCCATAGCGATCTGACCAGGGCAAAACAGCATATATAAATGCTATGTGCTCATTGGTCATTTTTTTAATTTTTTAAATAAAATTCTCTTTAATCGTATTCAGTCTTTACCCTACCGAGCGAAGCATCATTCAGCTATCTTGGAATTCCAATCAAACCTGGTGGACTTATTGACACTGCTGCCCTCATCAATCTCAACACTAAAAAAGCTAGATCCTCTATGAATCAAATTTCCTCTCTTGGAGTCAATCACAAAGGGTTTAACCGCTTACTCTCAGTACGTTTCTACAGACAAATGATACGATCACAAATGGAATATGGTCTTGCTATCTGTGTCTTGAATAATAGTCACTTTAAAAAACTTGAAGCTTGTCAAAATGAATGCATTCGATGTATTTTTAGTGATTCTGCTAGATCATCAACCAAAGTAATGCTGCACCTAGTACAACAACCTTTTATGACAGCCCGAGCTATTATTCTGCAAGCCGAATACCTTATTCGATCAATGCAACTACCCGACGATACATTACTGAACAAACTTCTACCTCATCTTCAAATGTCCAGCAGCCATTCTCAATGATATAAACTAACAGTCAACCCACTCTGGAGAGAATGTGTCCCTATCTTGGACGAACTTGATAGAAAGGTTTTCAAACGGCTCTGTCTGCGTTTTCAAAAAACTCAATATGAAAACCTCTGTCAGGGTTTAAATTCCAAGCTGATTCGTGCATGTCGTCCTAATATGATCATCGATCCAATTCTTTGGCTGCCCATGACGAATACGGAAAGAAGCCAAGTCATCCGCTGGCGCCTCGGTTGGCTACCTGGCGATATACCTCGTCCATGTCCCTATCTCCTTCTCAAACGTTCGGTCGTACTCATTCTATTGAGTGTCTACATATGCACCATCGACTCCAAATGCCAAGAACGGTCACCGACCCACTCTCCTTCCTGCTCAACCAACTACCTACTAAAAAGCTAAAACGCTCACAGGATGTGGCTCCTTGGACAATCCGTTGGCCAACTATTTGTATCATCCTACATGAAATGGATTATCTCTTTCACGAAAAACTACCTCCATATCCTCCCTCCGAACCTGGTTCACTACTGGTGAAATAGTTACTCAACTAACAGTGCTAATATCCTTATATTGTTTATGAATTTTATCTTACTTTCTTTTTTTTTTTCTTCCAATTACTTTATTTCTGTCTAACTCGTTATATTTATTTTATCCTTTTCCCTTTTGTCTCAAAAGAGGGCTTTTCTTACTTATATACTACTAGAACTGACTAAGGCAATACAGCAGATGAAAAATGCTATGTGCTCATTTGGTCAAAAAAAAAATAATAATAATAATAAAAATTCAATTTTAAACGCATCCAGTCTTTTTTTTTTTTTTTTTTTACATGTTGTCAAATCAAACTCAACAATTTTTTTTTTCTTCATATAAAAATAAAAATATTCGTAAGTTGAATACCCTTTTTTTTCTCTCTCTGTCAAAACGCGTTATTTTACTTTTTTTTTTTTTATTAGTGAAAACATGAGCTCAACTGATTCATTTATGCACGATTCTACAACTACTTCAGTCTCTTCTTTTACAACATTAAATAATGATAATAAAGATCAATTCTCGAATAAATCCCCGTCTCAGATTGACGAAAACTCATTAACAATTCGTTCACTCGTATCTACAAAAGAAGCAGGTGTCATTATTGGCAAAGGTATATATATATATATATGTATATATGTATATATTGCTTAAAAAGAAAAAGGAGGGGAAGAGGAATAAAATAAGTCTAACAACATAATTTTAGGTGGTAAAAATGTAGCTGAATTACGAAATATAACAGGAGTCAAAGCAGGTGTTTCAAAGGTGGTTCAAGGTGTTTACGATCGTGTTTTAACTGTAACAGGTACATTAGAAGGTGTAGCAAAGGCATATACTCTAATTTCTAAAACATTATCGGATAATGATCCTACTTCACCCATCATCATTCGTTTATTAATTTCTCATAATCTCATGGGAACTGTCATTGGTCGCCAAGGAGCCAAGATTAAACACATTCAAGATATATCAGGTGTACGCATGGTAGCTTCAAAGGCACTATTACCACAAAGTACCGAACGTGTGGTTGAAGTGAAAGGAACAGCAGACGCTATTCATAAAGCCATTCTCGAGATTGGACGTTGTCTGATTGAAGATAAAGAGAGAGCTTATGGTACAATTCTATATAACCCTACAAAAGTGATTATAAATGAAAATAGACCTATTATACGCACCGGAAATGGCTCTGACTTTAGTAATAGTGATATTCGCATTCAAAATATTTCAATTCCAAGCGACATGGTGGGTTGTATTATTGGAAAAGGTGGTTCAAAGATATCTGAAATTCGTCAATTATCAGGTTCTCGTATATCAATTGCAAAGGTACCTCATGATGATTCAGGAGAAAGAATGTTTACTATTCAAGGCACACCTGAAGCAAATGAAAGAGCTCTTTATTTACTTTATGGTCAACTTGAAAATGAAAAAGAACGTCGTCTTAGAAGTGTCATGAATGATAATACACCATAAAAGCAACATACACAGATATAATAGCATTATTATTATTATTATTATTATTATTATTACATCTTTCACTCCAACTTTCTGTAATTCCACTCTAAAACTCTTATATGGGCTCCTCCTACCCCCTACCCTACCCTACCCTACTTCCAATTATCATCCTCCTCATTCAGCAAGCATCTAAATTATATATAAAAGTAATAATAAATCATACTAATAACATCTCATATTAATCAATATACGATTATCTTTTAATCACAGAATCCATTCATTGGTAAACAAGAAATATATCTACAATAGGGACACTCCTATAGATTGATATAAATAAGCTCATTATTTATATGGTCTACTTCTTATAATTACATACCTCATCTATTTTACTTGTATCAAAATGATGTATCAATAAAGCCAAAAGTGCCCCATATAAGCATAAAGATAGAAACCTTATCAAGTAAATTCCAATTCGTCGACTATAGCCTATCTTCCTGCTGCCAATATTTGATAAAAATAAACTCAATAAGATACCTGCAACTAACCCGCCTAAATGTGAAAAATTATCGACTCTACAAATTAATTTGTATTAAAAATAGATAAACTTTTCTTTTTTTTTTTTTTTTTTTTTTTTTGCAAGTTACCCAGGTAACAATCCAAGTATAAAACTGAATGCAGTCCCTAGTAACAACTTAATCATATATCGAATTGCTTGTTCTAATCGTTTCCAATGAATAAATAAATCAACATATAAAAATCCTATTAAACCAAATAAAGAGCTACTAAATCCTAAAAAAGCTATCTTTCCTTCCCATCATCACCAATAAATAAATGTTAGAATTCATATATGTATTCCTTCCTCCTTCTCTTCTTCTTACGTGTTGTTGCTGGTGCAAAGTTAGCCCCAAGTGCATGTCCAAAGATACCCGCACCAATATAGAGTATCATAAATCTCAAGGAATTCATGACTTTTTCCACTTTGATTCCAAACCAACATAGGATAGTCAAATTGATAAATAGATGAACAAGTCCCGTATGAATAAATAAAGGAGTGAATAAACGATATTTTTGATCTGGAATTTGTGATAAATGAAAGGTAGACATACCACAGATGGTAGCTAATGAACAAGTAGAGTTGGCGACAATGTGAGGGTCTGCTAAATCAATCACAGGATCTAATAAATACAAGGGCGAACCTGGTGTTGTTGTTGTTGTTGTTGTTGCTGTTCTTTTAGAGGAAGCAGCAATTGTATGAAGACAGACATAACGAGCATCAAATGGCATTGATTCAATAGGTCTCATGCATGGTGGGAAACGAGCTCCAACTTGAACCATGATCTCCATAGAGGGTCCCAACATGTAATTAAACGGTTCTAGCTCAAAGAATTCTCCTGTATTTTGTCGGCTCAATAGTAATTCACCAGAAAAGAGAAGGATGTTCAAGAGTACGGTAATGTATGTAAAGAGAGGCCAGTGTTTGACGGTCGAAAAGGGTCCCCAATAATGACTGGATAAAAGCCAATGAAGGCGTTGTTGTGATTTAACAACAGTAGCGTCAGCAGTAGTAGTAGTAGAAGAAGAAGAAGAAGAACATGTATTCATTTGTTTTTCTTCTGATGAATGATGATGCATAAATGATACTACATTGCTCGTTGGTGAGGAGGAGAGATGATATGAAGGACTATGTTTGTTGGCTAACTCATCCACCGTCAAGCTTGCTTCATCAAAGGGCATAATGATAAATGTGTCCTCTTCTGGCTGTGTAGAGGTAGACCGTTTTTTAGTGATCTTTACATGGTTTAATTTTGTATTATAATTAGATACTGTGGGTGAAAGGGATGCTACTACGGAATCTGTTAGTACCGTTGATTTATGAAAGGGAAACATAATACTTTTTTTTATAAAAAAAAGGAAAAGAAAAGAAAAAGAAAAAGAAAAGAAAAAAGGAGTAGAAGAGAGAGAAATGAAAAAGAAAGGTTAACATTAGTCTATATACTATACATTTATTAAACTTACTTTGTTAATAAAAGCACTTGGAAAAGAAAGGCTAATCCTTTTTTTTTCTTTTAGAGAAAACATACATAAACAAGGAAAAAAAATTTTTTTTCTTTATATTTATATATGTATATGTATTCCATCAATATATGGTACCCAAAAACAGAATAAGAAATGAAAAATTATTAAATACATTTATAGGATAAAATGTTTTATTTCTTTTTTCTTTTTCGTAAAAAAAAGGGGGGGGGAGAACGAATAGGAGGGATGAGGAGAGAATGGCAATAGTTTTACATAAGGAGTGAGGGTGAAGGTATGTATGTGTGTGTGTGTATGTGTGTGTGTGGGTACAGAAAGTCGAACAAGGAAAAGTTAAGTTTGTCTTGCTCTATGACTTCCTTGTGCAAAACTAAGAGGAATCAATTTGTTCAATTCAACTCTAGCAACCACACTAAGATCTTTAGCATCTAATACTAAAAGGAAAGAAGTGGAACGTGCAGAATCCATTACAATACTTATTAAGACACCTGCATCTTCTGCGTTAGTTGATGCTTTATCTTCTTCTCCTACGGATGTTTTACTGGTTGGTCTAGGAACAAATTGTGCTTGACTTGGATAACAATTCTCTTCATGCCAAGAAGCTAAAACAGTATGATTATTTATATCCTATAAGTCATATATTAGTACAAGACTATATACATATATATATAACTTACAATTTTAATAATACTATCCCAAATTTTTCCTTCTTGAATGGAACTATCAGCACTAAAACCAAGTCCATAAACAAATGAATATGGCTTCATTTTATAATGAGGATTTACTTGAGGTAACTCCAATGTAGTCTCAATTAGTTTCTGATAACTAATTACTGGGATCCAAGCATGCCATCCACTTGCTCCAGTCGCATTTTCTCGAGCATTAGATCCACCTGTCACATAATTCCAAATGGAACCGATACGAGAGGTAATGGAGGTAGTGGAAGGTATAAAGGAGTTATTAGCTACATAAATTGAGTGTGCCTCATGTTCAGGATGGTTTAATATATATCGTCTCACTTCTGAAAACGCTAAACGACCCATCTTTTCAGGATGGCGCAAGTTTTCGGTTGATAGTTGTGAAGCGATTGTATCATCTTCATAACAAACTATATCGATTACAATATTGCCATGAATATCCTCAAAGGCGTTCACTTGGTTAAAAGAGAAAGTAGCATCAGAACGATAGCATGCAATCACGTCCTTTTCTTTACGATTAATAACATAAAATAGGGTCGGCTCTGAAGGATAAAAATTGAAAGAATCAAGGATACTCTCTGACCAAGCAAATTTGACTGCCCCTGAGTTGGCTAACATGGGATGAATCACCATGACAATATAATGAGGTGTTAATGCAAAGTTATTAATCCAACCTGTAGGAGCATTCCAAATGGTGGCAATTAGTTCTCCTTTAGGATTTTGTTCAGTAATAGAAAAGAAATGATATTTTGTAGATCGATAACCAATTTCCATTGTAAAGTTAATGTATTCTCCTGTCTCTACATCAAATTGACCATTAGAACAAGAACTGTACCCCTTAAAATCTGGATTAATTTCGTTCCATGTTTGTATACGAGTAGGTTTCAAGTCAAATGGATCTAATTCTTGAATCTAATGCAGCATTGTTAGTTCAACTTTTTATCATTACTATTATAACTATTATCATACTGTACATGATTTGCAAAATCTTGACAAAATAAACGGCCATCAATACCAGGTAAATAGGGTAAGATGCGTTGTCCACAAGGCACACGATCAGGTTTTAAGGTCTTGCCATTATTCAAAAATTTGATTAATATGGTTTGATTAGGGTTCGTTTTAAATAATCCTGCGGGGAAGTTTGGTGCATAACCATGGTGATCACGAATCTTTTCTGACAATTTTTTGTTAGTTAAATGATGACGATACGTTATTGAGTTTCTTTCACCATTGATATCAAAACGATTTACCAAAGGAAGACTATAAAGAATAGTAATTAAAAAAAAAAAGATGAATACGTCTATATACATATGTATATACATATTTGAATGTATTTATAACTTTACGCATCAAACCAGTGTCCTAAAGTAAAAACGGCTGTTGCGCTTTGAAGTACGCCATCGATTTCAATCTTTCTTGTATAACGAACATCATAAATACCAGGACCAATAGTATAGTGTTCTCCAATTAGCCAATCTGGTAATTGACCATCAACAACTAAATCAACTACTTCTGCTGAATCTGTAACGTTATAAAACCCCTAAAAATAATATATGTATATACATATATTGATAAATATTGATATACTTTATTATAATGATAAAATATAGAACCTTAACATGATTGGTGTCATTTGAAGGATTAGACAAGTCAGTTGTTGAATAATTTGTATTGGTATTTCCAACTAATACTGTAGGTGGTTCAAGAGAATGACCATTATATTTTTCTTGTTCAAAAGTAACATCTTCTTGAGATACAATAGTGTTAATGTCTTCAATAGCTGCAATTTTATTGTCTCCCATGTTATTAAAAAAAAAAAAAAGAATAAAGAAAAAGAAAAAAAAAAAACTATAGCATAAAAATTTTAAATTTCTAGACCAACTTTGTAATAATTTATTACTCTATTTACAAAAATATTTATTTATAAAAAATATAACACATGAAATTTAATAAAAGTGTCAAATACTAACAATAGAAAGAGTAGTAGAAGATGCTTGATTTCCTTCATTTAATAGAGTAGAGGAAAAAGTAATGTCTTCATCCTCTTTCTTCAAGTCTTCAAGACATATAAAAGTATCACTAGAATTCTTTTCTCCTTCTTTAGTTAATCCATTGTTATAACAACGAATACGACAGCAATGAACGAAGAAGAAATGTATAAAAGTGGCAATGCATGGATATCGATAAGGTATATAGACAGTCTTTGAATCATTTACATGAATAGTTGTCATAAAGTTTCTAGTTTCAGTTTTTCTAATGATGAATGCAGGTGGTGGAGTTGATAGTATTCTTTTTAGTCGTTGATGTTCGATACTCTCTTTCATATTAGGGATTATGATGTTAAGTCTTCGCATAGGAATCATCTTGATATATTGTTGTTGTTGCTGCTTTCTCTTTCTAGATGTCCATGCGATTGATAGTCGGTTACTGAAAGATGTATTATTATCAGGAGGAGGAGAAGGAGAAGGCTTATGAGGGCTTGAATATTCATTATCATGTACATTAAGAGCTGTAGTAGACGATAATTGTATAAAATGAATTGATAAGGGAGAAGTAGAAGAGGATTGAATTGAAGAATAAAATGAAAGAGGAGACATTGGTATGCATTTACTATTTATAGTTTGCGAATTAGTTTCATCCTTAATGAGGGTTGATTTAGGTATTAAAGTATATTCAATCACATATTTCTGCACACACGTTTTAAAAGAAGATTTTATAAAAGAAGTAATTGTAGGATCAGTGAAAAAGACGACAGCTACAAAAAAGCCTTGTATTGAAGAAAACATGGTATCTAGCAAAGTTAAAGAAAAACTAGGTGTAATATTGGAGGAGGTGCTGATTACCATTTGCAAAATAAAACCGAAAATATTTGAAAGAAAAGGTACTAAAAAAAAAAAATGTTATTTAAGATTGTTGATTCATTAAATAGTATAATAATATTTACCTAGAGGATATATAATACAACGTAAAACTACTTTAGTAAATACATTATTAAGTCTTTTTTTAACTATTTGATATAATTGCGGTCGAATATTTGGATCCATTCTAGAAGCAACTAACTTTTGTTCATGAATAAGTTTCTTTATAGCTACTATAGAGCATAAAACAGCGATTATATTAACAAAGAAAATGAATGCATAAAAGCACATCTATAAAATAGATAATGAATGATATAATCTTTTATTATTATTATTAGCTATAGTTATTTTATTTACTTACCCATTTGTCAAATTGATTTAATCGACTTTCAACGTATATCAAATACAAACAACTAAGGTTATCATCATATTTAATAGCACTCTTCTTCGAAGCTTCTTTATAAACAGATAAAGAGATACCAATCGAAGCATAAATGATAGCTGATGGATAATAAAATTTTTCCAGCAAGTCTCTTCGTTTTATACTTATGACAAAGACTAAAACCAAGTTCAACCCCACTAGAGTCAATAAAGAAGCGCTTAAAATATTTAGAAAACCAATAACAATATCAGCAGCCTTACAAAAGGGAGAATTACTAAATTGATTTGTTATTATAATATTTATAATAGCGTCAAGAATATCCAATAGACTACACATAAAGACACAACGTAAGGAAACTCGATTTGCTTCACGTCGATAATATTTAAGCATATAGATGTAAATAGAAATAATCAATATAGAAGCAATAAGTGATATAGATGAAGTAATAAGTGACGTTGTTTGTAGTGCAATAAACTCCTTTATTGAATATTTAAATACGCTAGTTTCCAATGTATACTGATTCCATTTCTCAAAAGCCAACATAACTCTTTTGCTGGGCTTCTTTCTTTTCTTTTCTTCTAATTTTATGATTTATCAGACTGAGTTGTAAAATAAAAGAGAGAAAGAAGATGAAAAAAAAAAAGAAAGGAAAGGAAAAGGAAGAAAAAAAAATATTGTAAATTCAAGTTGCATCTGAAACTTGATTGAATTTACGTTTAAGACATGTCTTTTTTCTTTATTATGTGAAGTAAAATATATATATATATATATACATACACTAAAAGCAATATTAAAAACGAATTTCTTTATAAGCACGGTAATTCACTGTCTAATAACGTATTAACTATGATATTTATTTATTCTCATAAATAAAGCCTGTGTTATATAAATCGTGTCTAATTTAATTCTCTATTTTATGCATATCCTTTTACTAAATATAGTAAAAAATATTTAAATCTGTCATTCGCAAATTTTTTTTTCTTTCTATTTAGAAAATACAATAGAGGGAAACGAGTTTTGCATGTGCATAATAAGTAAGGGTTAATTTGGTAACAATAGTTATGAGTGAGTACGGGCTTGTCTGTTTTGTCTTCCCTCCTCCCTCCCCCCTTTTTTTTAGAAGAAAAAAAAACAAAAGTACAGCAAATCATTTATCTATCTTCAAATATATTTAAAGACAATAAAAGACACTCTTTTATCAAGTAACCAATTTGTTGCTATTGTACCTGACTGTAGATAATGTTTATTAAAAACTATATCGACTATATAGTTCCATGACAACTGCTGAGATACAAACTGTATTTTAATATATACAATATTGTTTTGTTTCAATTGGAAAGTCACTAAATAAAAAAAAAAGAAAGTTGTGCAGATCTTTTTATAATTTAGCGATTGAATAGCATTGATAATAGTCCGCTAAAATAGAAACAATGGCTTCAACTCTCATTAAATCATCTTTGCTTGCTCCATTATGAATAGCTCCATGACTATGACCTACAAGTTGAAGTGGTATATCTTGAATCATTAATCCTGCTACAGTTATTAAACTTGTATCCTTAGCGTTTAAGATAGAAGTTTCACTTAATATAGGTCCATATAATTGATTTAATGCTGTTTGTGCCAAGTCAGGATGTGTATTATACATATTTTTAAGCACTTTATCTGTATGTCTATCATATATATTACTAAATAATGATTTTCCTCTTTGTCGTTCAGTTTGTACATCAGACCATGCCTCTTCATTTCTATATAACAATGATAATAATTGTTAATATGTATATGTATATATATGCGTGTATACTAATAGTAATGAAGCTAACCTGATTGGCTTTGTAGGTAGCAATGTCTTTATATTATCAGGGGTAATATTAGCTAATTGTTGTAGTGTATTTATTGTCTTTTATATAACAAGCAAAGTTAATTTTTTTTTATTATTATTACTTGATGCATAATAATTTACCTTTGGAAACCCAATAATAACAAAACTCTTAAGTATAGCTTCCCTTAATCTTAATATAATTTTAGCAAAAAGTTGATTCTTTTCTTCTTTTGATAAATGATTCATTTTATCGATTTTATCAGAAATAACTTGATAAACAATTTGAATGTCGTTTGGCTTGTTCACTGAACTTATAACTACTGCCTATAAAATACTACCCATTATATAAAATAAAATTGATACGATTATTGTTTTTATTCTTACAGCTATTATATACCAAACATCATTAAGAATGTTTTGTTCATCATGTTCAAGATTTTCTAAAATTTCTTTTAATGACATTATTAATTTTGTGAAAGAAAAAAAAATTTTTTTATTATATTCCACAAATGAAATAAAGTAAGGGAAGGATAAATATTTTAACCATCTTTTATATAATAAAGTTATATACAATACTAAAAATACATGTGTAAATTAATTAAATCACAAAGACCAGACCAGATAAGCCTTTCATTTATCTATTATATGACCTGTTATTATGTAATATATAGCCATATTTCCTTTTACAGTCGAAGAAACTAGGTTGGGCCAATGAGAAAAAAATCGGGTCGTTTCAAAATTGAATTAGGACACCATTATGAAAATGGGACAGAGATATGAAAGTGGGACGGCGATACGGAAATAGGACATATTGAGATACTTTTAAATTTTGGGCGAATGAAAACTTTTTTTTCAATAGGTCAACTAATCTGTAAATATAGGGTGTCTTGCTGTTATACAAGACATAATGTTATTCAATTGTTAAGGCTATTTTTTCCACAAATAATAATATTGTTGTTAGTATATGAGGTAATGAAATCTATATTAATATCAAGATAGCTTACTCCGCCGAAACTCTTCAGGTCGATTATTGTTGTTGGCAGCCATATACAAAAAGATAGAGCGTATGTTGAGACTCGCCATGTGATCTCTGTCCCATCGAGTATTACAAGTTTGACAGTTGAGAATTGGATGGATCATCATATTGGAGTTATCACGTTGGTTGGAAGTACTTCTTGTATGACATCTGGGACATATTAGACTTGTGAAATACTCATCAATCATAACGACGTACTTTCTTGAATTTGGCTGTCTGCGTCTGGTTGTTTTGACATAATTTAGCAAAGCTTTTCTGAATGCCTTTGTTGGAGAAGGTACATTCCCACGAAGCCCACCGAACCGAGCAGAACCAAACGCCACTACAATAGGCCTTTCAGCTTCACCGGCATTGTCTCTAGGGGCTAACGGTTTCCACTTTTGCTGATTTGCTTGCTGTATATCAGGATTGCCTTCTTGGTATTTTTGGCTATCTGTAAACAACCGTTTACACATTTCGGTCAATGCTTTTTGCTTGCTTCTTCTATAGCCGTGATATTTGAGCTTTTTCAACCTGGTTGTGTAATAGCCTTTAATTGCCTCAAAGTTCTGAAATATATATCGCAAAGCTTCCCAGTTACACGTCCTTGTTGATGGTGTATTAGAAATCAGATGGCGTGCGTCAATATTGGCTCACGAATGATGACTTGCTGCTCCATTCTTTCTAAAACATGGTATAACCACGGCAAATACGAGTGTAATCTAGCATAGTAATCTGCTTCAGTCAGGTTCAAGCCATGTAATCTTTGGTGGTATTCATCAATAAGATTGTTGATTGAGGTTTTGTGAGTGTCGGCAACTTCCAGATTAGCAGGGTAAATTATTTCTTGATTGGTACAAATAGCATTATATACCCGCTCAGCTAGGTCGCGTTTGACACTATTTCGGAAAGGGAGGTCTGGAAATTCAGTTGTGTCAGAAAGCCTCGTAAAGAGATAGCGCAACGTTTTTGGCTTGAAGTTGGTTCCAACATGATTCTCTATAAGTGTCTCAAAGCTACACATGACTATTGAGATTAGTATGCTATACTGAATGTTGGGGAACTGCTGTTGCCTATTAAAATCTTCTCCCATTTTATTACTAAATTGTAAGAAAGCTTTAGGGATCTCGGCATCGGTATTCTTTCCTTGACCAACAAATAAAGCATCAAAGTTGTATAGTTTTTTGTGAGTCAGTTTTGGTACAGCCTCGACCAATAATTGATGGGTATCAGCATAAATGACAATAAAATAGGAGAAAGGGGATGTCATTTAAGTTTTCATTCTGTAGAATCGGTAGATAAAAAAGATATAAAAAAAAACAAAAACGGTGGATTAATCTAGATGCTTGTGTGAGTGTTTATTCAATGTAAACTGACTGAAGAACTTTATTGATCCAAGATGATCTCCTTTTACATACATTTATCGTTATTTGTTACTTGTATGAATATAATCGTATGAAATTGTCAGTTTTCTGATCCACTATTATCATAACATTGGTACCTGGACTACATACGGAGCCCAATATTACAGAGACCTGAACTTTCTTTCTGGAGTGATGCTGTAGGTGAGTACAAAGGTCGTATTGGTGACTATGCAACCAGTCGAGAAATTGAGAACAGAAACATCAAATCTCGTTGTGTGTCAATTACGGCTGCCTACACTGCTTTTAGTGGCTGTGTTGCTCAAGTTATGAGAAGAAATGCCAGCGGTGCCAGCACAGGGAACATGGTAAGGCGATTTATTTACTTTTATTTTTTTTTTTTAAAAAAAAAAAAATAAAATAAAATTTACATTAAATATCATAACGAAAAAATTATAAATCCTTTATAACTTTGTTAATGATAGTGTCATGTTGACTGTGAATCTCTTTTTTCAAACCAGATGTCGAGTTTACAAGTTCTATGCACCATAAATTCACACTATGATAAAGTCTGGACTCTTGCATCTCTTTATAATCAGTTTATAAACAATCAGCCACCTTGATACCATATTTTTCTTTTGATTTGCACGAATACGTAGACTATGTGAATTATCATGAACCTCTTTTCAAGCTGACAGCTTCGTCAGATTTTTATGCAAATTAGAATAATAAAATTGATTATTTCTTTTCGTTGATATTTCACTATGAGACTTCCCAAACGTAAAATAACTATATAAAAGCATGAGGCAATTAAGATAGATGTAATTGGATAGCCAACTTGCAGTTTCTAAGGACTTGATGTATAGAAACAGTTTCCTTTTTTGACAATTAACTAATATACTAAAATGATTGGTTTGTGGCGACTTGATTATTTTATAAATGTGAAAATTTTTATGAATATCTATAAATGGCTGTTATTTTTTTTTTCTTCAAGAGTATTATTTTTGGATTATCAGTGATGTTTTTAGTGCCCGTCAGGACGCCCAACTGGTCTAACCGGTATTAGCTGCAATGACACTTGGTCTTTCTTCTAGCTTTTAATTTAAAGATAGTGCTCCTGTGGATCTGGGAGATGCTTTAGTTTTGGTTTGGGGTTGCCTAACAAACTACTAAGGCGTGATTGGGGTTGCCTGCCACACACTTTTTTTTTGGGATCAGACGACTTCTTACCTTCTTGTGGTTGATCCTGTTAATCAAAACTGCTATAGTTTTGAGAACTAAAAGAAGTACTTTATATAACTTTTTGACTTTAATTAAAATAAAAAATGTTGCTAAAAAAATATTTTGAAGTGTTTCTAACTGTCTTGTTCACGATAAGTAGACGTTTGAGTTGAACTTGTTTATGCTTTTGTTCTTCATTAATGCCTTTAACAGGAATTGGTTACGGATAAACTTCACTGAAGAGACCCAAGGATCATTTATTTGTTCCCAAATACCATTTCATCTGCTTGCTGTTGTACAGATATGGGTAACTTTGAAGACTTGAAAACAAGAGTTACTGATGCCTGTAGCAATGTACCTGCAAGACACACTGGTGCTTTTATTCAACATTCAGTGAACCAGTTCCCCAAATGCAGAGATCAATTACCTCTTTAAATAAAAAAATATAGTTTTGTTCCATTTTAACTGCAACTTTTGAAGTAAAACAGTTCTATTTTTTTTTTTTTTTTTTTTTTTTTGAGAGGATTAGATATACTTTTATTTTTTCGTAGTTAATCCTACTACTAAAATTAAAGCATGAAAGCATACTTTGTGTTTTGAGATACTAAGAAAAGTATTATCCCTATCCATTCTTTTACAGCATTTATCTCAATTCATATAAAAATAAAGAATTGTGTATTTCTCGATAAAACTAGGCAAAAGTTCTTAAGCCACATGTAATAGAGGATGGTAAAAGAAAAAAAGAGTGATCCTATAAAGATAGTATTGCCAATTTCAAAAGAAACTTTCATCACTATTCTTGGATCTATTTCTTCTCAAGGTGTCATTGACATCTCGTTGGGAAAGCTTGTAACAGTGCCTGAAACAACACCAAGAATTGATACTCGAACAAAACATTATTTAAATAAAATAATGGATATTTCATGCAAAAGGATTTTAAAGTGTGATGGAGGATGCATTTATTTGCAAACCAGCCATTATTTGAAAAAAAAACAATTAAAGACAGAGGATACAAATGTTTTTATTTACCTTCATATTCATCATCCCTTCACCAATCCACACTCAAAGAACGAATGTACCTGTTACAAACAAATTTTTTTAATTCGTTCCTTAAGCCTTTCAGAAGAAGATACGCTATTGATCCAAATTTATGCCTTTTTTTTTTTTTTTTTTTTTTTTTTTTTTTTGCGTACTCCGGCCAATAACTTTTAATGGTGTAAATTTTTCAAACAATTCTTATGGCAATTATGTGCACTCATTACTGATACTATTGCGCCTTTCAATTTATTTGTTAAAGTTTTCTGGACGAAAAGATTTGATAAGCGATATTATTCGGTTCTTTTTCTTTGTCTGCCATCCACTATTGATCCTATTCTTTAGTTACCTATGGCTCAGGCTGGAGGCAGTTGTGCCCTATGCTGGTATCTCTGTTGGTTGCCTGGTAGTATCCCAAACCTGTATCTCTTTCGTCTGAACGATAAGTTTATTCAGTGGATCTCAGGCTATTGTTTGGTTAAATATGCACTATTGATTACAAATAATTAATGCTGTGGTTAATCCTTTATCCTTTTTTACTTCATTATCTTTCTAATAAATATAGAAAGCAACCTATCATACGAATCAATTCATCCACTTCTACATAGATTATTCCTTGGCTTATAATATGAATTAGTATACTCTTTGAACTTGATTACCTTCATCATGGTAAAATCCCTCCTGAAATCTCTCTCCCCTTGATACTGACTTAATCAAATGATTATGCAGTAATCAATCCAGTATGTAAAGATGCAATTCTCTATCCATTTTACCTTCTTTATCTTTTTTTTTTTTTTTTTTTTGTTACTATCAACATATTTTTGTTTTAATTTCCTTGTTTTTCCCTTTTTTTTTCGATCTGACCTGGGTAATGCAATTCTATTTTATTGTGTTGCGCTTAAATGGGGTTTAAAATTTTTACTCAATAAAATGTATGTAGATGCGTGTGCATGTGCGTGTGTGTGTATGTATGTATTTAATTATTGTAATAAAAAAAAACTTTTTTTTTTCTTTTTTTATCCCTTTTATTTTATTTTTATTTTTTTTTAAGGAAAAAACAAAACAAATTAATACGTAATTAACAACACCATTTGTAGACATGTCCATAAGTTCATTAGGAACAAACGACTTTATAGACCTCAATAAAGCGTCGTTATTAGAAGAAGAAGAAGAAGATGATTTAGACTCTCAGTATAACAAAAATTTATGTCGTTTTAGATATAGTTTAAGAAGCATTGATGAAGCAGAGACTGAACGTTTTAGATCCAGTTTACTTACACCTACCTCAAAGCATAGTAGTTTAGATATACATTTAGGTATAAAGAGTCCTTCAAGTCCATCTTCTTATCCTGAAAGTATTGCTTTCTCTAGAAACTTAGGTATAAACAAATTTCCTTTTTTTTTTTCCCTTTATTCATATTACCCTATCTGAAACAAACCCAACATTATTTTTTGCAGGAAATGAAGATACTATTGATTTAGTAGCAAGTAAATTTAGAGATTATTTTGATTATGACCTTGATGACTTGCGTTCTTCAACTGAAAGTATTACTAATAGATCGTCTTTATTACAAAGAAAAAAGAGACCCATTGGCTTGTTAGCTAGGTATGCATATATTATAAACAAATAAACAAAAAAGATCATGTCTTTTTCTTTTTCTGATTTTTTTTAAAAAAAAAAAAAAAAATCTGAACTTGTATTTTTTTTTTTTTTTTTTTTTACTCAGTTTGAATAATATTGAAGAATTAAAAGTTGGAATGACAGAAGAAGACGAACTCCTTAAAAAAAATAATGATTTACATCTTTCCCCTAAGTCTCCTCATCATTCTTCTAATTTACGTTACACTAAACATACCAGCTCTGTTGTACAGACGAATACCAAAAGAAAGAGTATAGACTCAACTGCACTGAAAAAGTTAGATAACAATGAACAACAAACTATCTTAAAAAGACATCATACGCTTAATAACGATCATAGTCGCCCAACTGTAAATAGTCCTCTTGCCACTAATGCAACTATGACTCCTTCAAGATCTAAAATACCTTCTAGAATAATGACTCGATCAAATACGATAACCGCCACAACAACATCTAATGATATGAATCCAAAGCATAATCATGCAACAAGAGTGGGTAGCTTATTACCTCAACCTATCAGTAAAAGACGTTGGAGTAGTTATGATGTACCTAAAGATAAATCAGTATCTCAAAATGATAAAATAACTTCACGACATTCTATCCTAATAGCTAATCCTACCAATAACGGTCATTATCATCATTCTAATAATACACTTATCATTGTTAATAATTCAAAGAAACCATTACCAAGTCAACATGATAATAAACCTATTCTTGATCATGCTGGTAAACCTTTAGAAGCATCTACATTTAAAGTCATCCGACGTACATCCTCCCAAGCGATTCGTGATAAAAAAGAGCGTCAACCTATTCCAATTTTGATGGATAAAGAACAATCAGATAAAGGACACACTTTATCCAGTGATAAACGAATCTCTGCTCCTCCTACTCTTGAATTTAAAAAGCAAGCAAAATATAGTACTGACAAACAATTAACACCAAAGACTGATAAATCAAGTTCATCGCCTTCTATCATTATACCACCTGTTCGACATAGCAGTAAGTCGGCAGCATTCTCTGTAAAGAATAGTCAAGGACAACACATCACAAAGACAACACCTCTAACTGTAAATACAACTACATCATCATCATCCACTAAAAGATACTCTACCTCTAACTTGACGACTCCAAGATACAGTAAATCAAATGAAAAAGATGAATCCATGTTATTTAATATGATTCCAAATACAAAAGAAGTTCGATTCTCTAATCCAATTACAACAGCAACAACAGCAAAAAATACTAAATTACCATTTTATGAACAAGTCGTTCATGTCACTGCATCTCATAGTTCAGGAGGATTTTCAAATTCGACCACATCTTCTTCTCATTCAGGCGATTTATATTATGATCCTCCTACTACTAGTCATAAAAAGGATTCACCGGTTGTGGCAACTATATCTCCTCAAAGAAGGAAATCAACTACCACTGCTAATATTGAACAAGTTTATCCTAAAAAACCAACTGAGTATCGTTATAGTAGCTACTTGTCATATTTAAAAAATCAAAGAGAACATTCTTCTCCTGATAATAATAATGGTCAAGATACCTCTGCTGCATCCAAGTTAATAGCTTTATCTAGAAGACAAAGAATTTCATCAGAAGATAATATAAGTCATTATAAAAATAATCATCATCATAGTCAAGAATTACCACTACGACAAAGATCATCTTCAATACATCAATACTCCACTTTACCAACACGTACTAGTTCAATTCGTCTTAATGATGCCATGGTAAGTTTAAGATATATATCTATTTAATTCTTTCTTTATTTCTTATATGTTTATCTATATTAAGGCTTATAATACGACTCCATCTTTACAAAATAATCAGCAAGATCTTTCTAAAAGATCGTCATTTTGTCATAAAGAAGGAAATTATAATACTATTGAAAGTGTAACAGCATCAGCAAGAAAAGCACTACGATTAATACAACAACGTAGAAGTAATCAATCTTTGGAAACTTATTAAAAAAGAAAAAAACACACACACACACACACACACACACACATACATACATACATAACGCATAAATACATTCATACTATAAATGTACATATCTAACCTTTTTTTTTTCCTTTATATATATTTATATATTTATATGGCTGTATAATTTATTCATAATTATTAAAATAAATGGGTATCTATCTATCATCTCTAATAACGTTATTCAAATCAACTTGATCGTTTACACTTGCTATACACTACTAATGTGTCTTTTGTTGGTTTCAGTCATCTTAACATCCTTTGTTACTCGATGAAAATAATAACCAATCAATCACAATACTATTTCTTACATAGAGTTTCATCTTCTTTTATATCCTCCAACCTTCCCCCCTTTTTTTTTTGTTATTATCATTTTTAACTACGATTAGTAACGTTCATCTTTGAAACAAAATTTACTCATATTTATAGAAAGTAGATGGTCAGGGTCTTTCAAAGATATAGCTGTATCAGCTGAGTAAAAATATATATGTGTGTATATATAGCTTGGCGCAAATAATAGACACAATCGTATTTTAAGCCATAATGAATAATTATAATAAAATGAATACATGAAAAAAAAAGAGGAGGAAGTAGGAGCTGTTGTGATAAATGATTGATATTTTACATGTTAATATGACTATCATTCTTTTGTTTTTTTTTTTCTTTTTTTTTTAAAAAAAAAAACGAGTTCTTGTTATAAAAAAGATGAATTAAAAATAGATACTCTACGTATGCTAAATTTTCTTTCATGTTTTACATGATTACTCTTATTCTACTACAACCATGTCATTTCATTACCTTATTGGCTTGGTTTTTTTTTAAGAAAGCGGAGGAGAAAGGTATTCAGATGAGAGGAACTTTAATGATGAAGAAGGTACCGATCCTAAACATCTTTGTAAACAGTCATAAAGAAGAAGAACCATGATTCAATCTGCAGCATGTATATATGAGAAAGAAAGATCATAAATAATTTAGAATATCTTTTTTTTTCTTTATATTAATAAAGAAAAAAATCAACGCGACTTTTTTATATCCATTAATGAAACCCATTTCCTTTTATTAATCGCGGTACCAGGTATAAAAAAAAATGATAGAGAGAGAGAGAGAGAGGAGGTGCCTTTTAATCTTTAAGTAATATAAAATTCAAATGGCCAAGTTTTTTATAAATTAAAATAGGATCTTGAGACAAAGCAAATCAGATTATAGTTAGAGTCAATCAAGGGGGGGGGGACAGGGAAAGAAAAGTTTTTTTTTTTTAAATTGCGGTGAAACTTTACTTTGCTGATCTTTATTTCGGAGGGACAACATGAATTAAGCTAAAATATATCCATATACATATTTATATAAGCTTTTTTTTTGTTTTCTTTTTTTCTATATAGTTAATTAAGATCTTTGTTGTATTGATTACAGGATCAATTTACTGTGTGTACGTGATTTTCAATTCAATTCAATTCAATTTAATATACAGTTATGTTGTACATATTTTTGATTGTTACTGCTTTCATTGCTTTTGTTCAAGCAGTCCCTATTGAGCCCCGCGTCATCACATCCCTTTCTGGTGTATCTTATAATTCTCGTAATCCTGATGGTTCCTGTCAAACGACACAAGAAGCAATCGATACTATCAAATCAATGAAATTGCATGGTATCCAACATATTCGTACTTATTCTCAAGGATGTAATGCACTTCCAAACATTATAAAGGGAATCGAAGCCGCTGGGGGTGGTATGACGGTGCTTGCGGCGGTTTGGATTGATGGTACCTCAAATGACGATAAAGAAATTGCTTTACTTGAAGAGAATCTAAACACAATCTCAGATTTGAAAGCCATTCGCGGTATCCTTGTTGGTAATGAAGTCCTCTTTAATAACTATATCACTAGTTCTCAACTCGTACAAAGATTGAATTCTGTTAGGGCCATCTCGAGGGGGATCCCTGTAGGCTCTGCCGAAACAGATGGAAGTTATAGTGATGAATTAATCGCAGCCTCTGATTTTATGGGTGTCAATATTCATCCTTACTTTGATACCTCAGTTACTACGATAGAGGATGCTTATAAAAACTTGGTTCTTCGATTTAATAACATCAAAGGTAGAGCAGGAGATAAGACGATTTATATCACTGAAACTGGCTGGCCCAGTGCAGGTTCTGGTTCTGGTGCTGGTCAACCTAGTCTTTCTAACATGGAAGCCTATGCTACTACTGTATCAAAAAGCTCTTTACCTTATTATTATTTTGAATGGATAGATGCTACTTGGAAGTCTTCTGCTAGCATTGAAGGTCATTTTGGTCTTTTAGATTCCAATGGAAAAGCTAAATTTAAATTCTAAATATGTATCTATGTAAAATAAAAATAAAAATAAAGTATCACATGTTCGAAATAGAAAAAAAAAAAAAAGAAAAAAAGCAGGCTATACTACTCATTTATAGCATTGTACTACTTGTTTGAGTCCGGGCATTTATAAATTAACTTAAATGGAAAAAAAAAGTGTAACAGTAAACGATTTTTTTTTAAAAAAAAAAAAAGAAAAGAAAAGCACAATGAATAATACTGTATATTTTTAATTATTAAAAAATTATACATGCATAATACTACATACAAATGATTTATTGAACCAGGGAATTTGGAATTATTATAACATAGAAGATACAATTTTAAAGTGTTAGTATATATGTTTGTACTCTCATCTATACCTGTTTCAACAGCATGTGTTTAATATGAATTGTTCGTTTGTGATATGATGGAATATCTCACAATTGTATACTTTTTTTTTTTTAATTAATTTTTGATCTTTAATAAGAGATTGTATGTATTCGAGTTTTTTTTTTTTTTAATTATTGTTCTTTTCCCCTATGAAACTAATTATGTTTATCTTTAGAAAATTACAATTATTATTATTATTTAATTTAATAGTATGTCCAGTAGTATTGATCTATGCACAACTTGGTCCCACCATTATCAAGCCAGAACAAAATGCGACAGTTCCAGCAGGAGGTCAGTTTGATATTGTTTACGAATATCAAAATATGGGCACAGGAAACTATTCTATCGATATTCAAGTTTGGCAAGATGCAGCAGTAAGCCTTCCTATCTTTGATATTGTAAAAGACCATAAAATTAAATCAGGTAATTCATCAGGTATTCAAATCAGTTTCAGAATGAATGATTCATATACTTGGAAGGTTCAGCGTGGTCTCAATCAAACATTTTGGTTAACAGTAACAGAAACAGCACAGACAGCATTTTATTCAAAAGGTATTTCGCTTCGATCTCGACCTGTATTACTTCATACAAGTCATGCTACAAAGATATCACTTTCTCTTCCTATTCTTATTTCACTTGTTGGATTCTCCTTTATACTCATGATAACCCTGTTTGTTTAATTTCATTACTATTATTCTCGACAAAAGTAGTAATGCGCATGAATACCCGGTAGCTACATTAAAAAAAATCTACGCTGAATGTTATAATATTAAAGGTTAATAAAGTAATTTCGGATTTTATTTTTTTTTTTTTTATTTTTTTTACCTGTCAGACACAATTGATAATCGTTACTAAATATCGTCATCATTATTATCAAAATTTGATTCATAAAGTAGGGACCGCTTTTTTTTTTAATTACTTACTTCAAGAACGGATATGTTTCGAATTCTGTTTAAATATATTTTATAACACAAGTTGTTATTTTATTAACATTTTTATATATAATATAAATGCTTAGTAGTTATAAATGACATATTGGAATAGTAGACGATATTATTAACATCTGATTAAAATAAAATAAAAAAAAATCTGACAAGTAAATGACTTTATCTGCTTGCATTAATTTATTTTCATTTATCTGAAAAAGGAATTCAATAAAATAAATAAGAACTGAAACCATAAAAAAAAACATTTACTTTATGATGTAAAATTTTACTTTACATATTTTTGATAAAAAGACATAAAATAGGCTGTATTCAATCAATAAAAGAAAAATTAGAATTCATTTCTTATTTATTAGAGTAAATCATTAAATTAAACATAATGGAAATAACATTGTTGTGTTGTTGAATTTAAAGTTTTTTCTTAAAAAAAAAAAAAAAAAAAAAAAAAAAAGCATGCGTTTAAATTTGTTATTTGTCATTTTACTTTCGAGGCGTTTATTTAATTACATTGTATCATTATTTAAATTTACTATATAGCGTAGTGTTTATCCCAATTAAAGAGTTCAATTATCATTATCGCTTGTTTCTATTATGTAATTACACTTTTTCATTTCAATGAGCGATCATAATAATAACCTTCCCTATAAATACCACTTACACCCCCATTACTCTTCTCTACTTGACTCACTCTATACTTACTTACTTATTATAATGGCTCGTACTATTACAAGTTTTTTAATTTTTGGTTTAGTATCTTCTCTATTATCCATTACAACAGAAGCGACATTGTCATCAAGAGAGACTACTGTTTACACAAACATCCTTTCCTTTAATAATAAAGATACCTGTACTACCTGTGTCCAACGTCCCTTAATAACCTCAACCAACATACCTGCTCATTCAAGGAAGACAGTAAAGCATAAAACTGTTACCCCTTACTATACCAAAAAAGCGCATGGCAGTGCACATCAACATGACCCCTCATATTATAAAAGACGTGTTATTACAAAGAGGATCATTAAAAGGAAACGTCTGGTGAATAATAGTACAAGTAAAACGATTGCATTTCCTCCTGTTGAAACAATGACTGCTACTCATCATCAGAAGAAACATAGTAAGATCTACAAGACAACGAAAAAAGATAAAAAACAGAATATTCTTATTACGCCTAGTCTATTATTAAATGCAACCTCAACTACCAATCACGCTACAACCCGTACCAGATTTAGATCTACAAAGAGTAAGAAGGAGTATACGACTAGATCTTATAAGAGAAAGTCTAGTCATAACACGAAAAAAAAAAGCGTACGTTTATAAAGAATGAATAGTACAAAGAAGAAGTGATAACATAGCTTATTATTAAAGAAGATATAAGAAGAAAGAATGACTACTTATTTGTAATAGTGTGATTTAGTATAACTAATAAATATATATAAATTATTTTTTTTTCTCATATTCTTTTTATTGAGTCTGGTATCTTTGCTGAGTTGAATCTTTCTTTCCACGCATCAGGGATAATAGGACTTTTTTTTTTGTTGTATTCATGAACAAGAACAATATTTATCTGTCTCTTTATTTCCAATTAAATTATGACATTATTCCCAGAGTTACATAAAAAAGCCTTACTGTTTGTGTTACAGGATACATTAACGACATGAATAGAAAAAATGTATTCTTTTTTTTTTTTGTATTTAACTATAATCGATGTATTAAAAAATGTATTTTGTTGGTGTTGTAATATGTTTAAACTTTCTTTTTCTTTTGATTTTTTTGTATTTCTTATAGTAAAGGTAAGAAAGATGGCAATGATGGCGGAAACATAAAAAAAAAAAAAAAAAAAAAACTTGCCTAATTTGTTCCTAAGGTCTAATTTTGTTAAATTTTGCCTATGATAAAACTCAGCTATTAGCAGTAAAACCTATTTATTCTAATAATATGATAAAGAATCTAATCTTTACTCCAATTTAATAATAAAAGAAAAAATACTTTATAGAAAAAAAAAAAAAAAGAGAGAGAGATTTATATATAAATAAATAAAAAGCTTATTATTATTACCTTTTTCTTCTAATAATAAATCAAGTTTATAATTTGTTCCAATTGGTAGTTAGTTACTCAAAGGAATGTGATGCAAATGTTACAAAAAATGTCATTATTACTATTCTGTCCATGACATTTAACAAACATAGATAGATATACATATGTGTGTGTGTGTGTGTGTATATATAGTATTGATATATTAGTGATGGTAAATTGTCATTATATCATAAATATTACATTCTATGTGATATATAGGCACACTATATATATAGACACATACAGTGTATGGATTTATATTATTATATACACCACACACTTGCTCTAAATAGATTAACCCTAAAAAGAGACGACTATTGGATAATAGAAAGAGATGTATACAATAAACTAAGCCCAAAAAGATGTATAATTTGATTTACTATTATGTCATTCATTATTACTGCTCAATGAACATAAAAGAGTTATAGATAAAGTTAATTGTACTTGATACTTTTTTTCATTTCCGAATAAATAAACGTGTTTAAAGAAGTTTAATTCATAAAAGTTTGGAGGAAAGGAATTTCTCGTTGGACGAAAAAATGTGGCGTGAGCTTTTTTATTTTTTGATAAACGTGGAAATAAAATAAAACAGTGTGATACAAAAGAAATAACAGTCTTTTATTTATTTATATTTCTGCTTTTTTTTTTTAATAGTTTATTGTAAATCTGCTTAATTTTTATATGGAACTTTCCTTTTTATTTAAATTACACAGTTTAATGTTCGAAACTAAATTTGGATATTTAATAAAAACCAATCAAATAATTCTGTTCCGCTTTCAACTCTTTCTCTCTGCTTCTTTCCTCCCCCCTTAAAATACACCCTTTACACTTCATCAAGTTAAAATAAAATAGACCCGTTTTTTTTTGTGTACATCAAAAAAAAAAAAGAATCGGGAAATTAAATTCCCAAAAAAAGTTGGCTCGAGCGAAATAGAATAAAATAAGAGAAATTCATTTCATCTCTCTTTCTCTTTTTATTTTAATTTTAATTTTATATTCATACATATTTTAACAATGAGTATGTTATCTGTTCATAGCATGTTGAATACTAAATGCAAAAGAAGACCTTCTGTTCTCGATATAAATAATTTATTATGTTCAGATGAAATGATAGATCAAAAAAGTCCTTCACTTTCACCTTCTTTAACTTCATCTCCAGCAAGCATATCTTCCTTTACAACGAATTATACATTTCAAAAACAACAACCAGCTGATAACTGGAATCATCATAAATCACATCCTCCTTCAATACAATATATAAATTTAGCATCAAGTAATAGTCATCATGGGGATGATTATGAGGATGTTGAAGAAGAAGAAGAAGAAGACTATGAAGATGAAAATCATATTAAAGCTAAAAGAAGAAGAGCCAATGTAAAACAACTCGAAGTATTAAATCGTGTATTCAATCGTACCTTTTTCCCTTCAACTCAAATGAGGGCTGAATTAGGTCGACAATTAGGTATGAGTCCTCGTACAGTACAAATTTGGTTTCAAAATCGTCGTCAAGCGATGCGTACAAGAGAACGCCAAAGATTAATAAAGCTTCGTAACAATCATGAAACAGCAAAATCAAACTAAAAATTAACTTTATGTCATTAATTTTCCCGCCATTTATTATTATTCATTTTACTTTTCTTTTTTTTTTTTTTTTAATTTTTTTATTTATTAATTTTTTTTTTCATTCTCCCCACTACTACCACCATCCCTCACCCCTTGATCTTTGTGTTAATCTCCGACTAAAAAAACACATACACACATACACACACACACACACACACACACACACACACATTTATATATATGTGTATACATATTTATATATATATATATATATAACAAAAACAAAGAGAATACCCTTCTTACTATGTAAAATATTTTTATATACAGACACACACACACTATGCATATATAAAACATACACTATAATATGTATGTCCTTAAAAGCTGGCTTTTTTGTTATTAATAAAAAAAAATAATAATCATATTACGACTAAGATGATTCTAATTTCTACTAAAATAAATCCTTTCATTTTTAATTAAAAGAATCACCTTCTAATTTGAGTTTACAAAGTGTAACATAATAATCATGTAATCTTAACATCATTTTTATCCACAAAGTAAATAAAGAATATCTTTCTATAGTAAATATGTATTTATCCTCATCATTCTTACTGCACTATTTGTATTTATTCACTCTCCCTCCCCCTTATATACATCCTCTTTTTTTTTTCTCTTCTCTTCTCTCTCTTTTGCTAAATATATCCAATCAATTTCCTACAATGACACAGCCTTCATCAAATAATAAAGCTACACCATTTTTAATAAAAAGGAAACAAATCAATTTGAATCCATTGGATACACAAAAGTACAACCATTCAATTGTAGTACATTTTGTTGTGTAATTAACCTTATTCTTCTTTTTTCTTTGTAGGAATACAGTTGAAAGTAAATATGATAAAATAAATTTCATCCTACTCACCCTATAAATTTGGTTTAACTCATTTTATATATCAGCCATCTTGAAAGAAAAAGATGATAAAATCATTGAATTAAAAGTAAAAAAAAATATATATATATATATATATATACATATATATATATATATATATCAAATGAGCTTGATATGCTTTCTCTTCTTTGAATAACAAATATTCTCTTTAAAAGTTACAATTGGATCAAATTAGACAAGATTTACAAACTACAAGACATAAAAGTCGTTTAATGGAAAATGAACGTCATCAATTTGAATTAAATATAAAAGAAAAATATTTAAAAGAAAAGAATCAAGTTGAATTAGAATTCAAATTATTAAAGGAATCCCATATTGAAAAGATTCAAAGTCTTTCAATCACAGTAAACCAGTTATCAAATAAAATTTTATCACTTGAAAATCAATTAAAGGAACAGAATATCGTTGAAAATAATCAAGAATTGACTCATGAAGAGACATTAATGTTATTGATTTCTAAACCTGAATATCAACAAGAAGCTCAATTTGTAAAGGACGCATATACTAAAATTAATTCTAATCAATCTCAATATCCTTTAATATGGTCCAATATTCAAGTCGGTTATTTATTTATTATGTAATCAATTCATTCCATAGTCTTACTCATTTCAATTTTTATTAGAATACTGTGAAAGCTATTAATCATGAAATCAATCATTTTCATGCTTGGAAATCAATACCTATAGCTGATTTAACTAGATTATTAAAAGAAGATCAAAAACAGCAACATCATACAACAATGAAGTCTTTATTATTTGGTAAAATAAAAAGGTCCCAATAATAATCATAATTCGATATTTGTGGTTTTTTCTTTCTTTCTTTTTTTTTTTTTTTCCTTTATATTTCTTTATTTTATTCTTGTTTCAATAAATGGATTGGTCACATGTAAACAAGCAACACTCAACATGTTTAATCTTAAATGTCATGTTGATCTTTTTTTCTTTCTTTTTTTTTTTTTTTTGTTAGATTGATCTTTGGCTTTTGAAAATATATAAACAAACAATCTTAATTCCTAAATTTGAACGTTCCAATAAAAATTATCAAATATTAACAAAACTTGAAAATTCAAACTTTAATTCCATTGAATTAATAGATTATATTCTTAGAAACAAAAGTAATGTTCATACAGTTAACATTATAGAGCAAAGTTGATTGATTTTCCCTCTTTTTATTATTATTATTAGATGATTTTGAATTATCAGATGAATCTATACAACATGTTGAATCACTTGCAACAATAGCAAATGCACTTGGAATGGAAAATACTGAATTAAGCAAGTAAAATAATAATATGAATACTATATACACGTAATATATAGTATTCACTCCATCCATTAGTTACATTACTTCAATATCTAAATTAACAATTGATAAAATGGAAGCAAGTCATGAACTAACTGCATTAATCGATGTTGAACATAAAATAGATAGTCTTCAATATGAGGCAACGTTGGAGTTAGATAAAATGAAAAAGTAGGAATTGATTGATCTTGACTCGTTTAATAATGTATCTTATTCCCCCCTTTTTTCTCTCTCTCTTTCTCTCTCTCTCTTAAATGTAGACTTTTAGATAAAATACGAAAAGAGCATAATGTGAATGAACAAAATAGAAAAGACAATCGAATAATTCAATCAGTTCAAGAAAAATCAAATGAACTTGCAAATTTACAAGTAAATTAATGTTGAAATGTATATATTTAATGATCGTTTGTTGATGTGTATATGTATTTTAAATAGAAAACATATGATGAATTAGGAATTGAAGAGCAGGATTTAAGATTAACAGATATTCATGAACTGGAATCAAAAAGGAATTCTCTTGTAAAAGCCATAAAAGAAAAAGATGAAAAACTTTTGTCTTTTCAGGGATTACCATTGGTAAATAATTATACACATGTGGTGTAGTAGCTATTTTTTTCGTTTAATAATTCAATTGTTAGGATATGGCACGTGCTTCAATGAAAATTAGAGAAACGGAAAAAGAATTGGTAAATAAATAATACAAGTATATATTATAACACTGAGATATAACACTTTGTATTGTTGTTTAGGAAAAGTTAGAAGTAGAAAGGGAAAACCTGATTTCAGATATTGCAAAGAGTGTACATTGACTGTCTTGGTATAATGTGACTTTTTTTTTGTCAAGTAGACGACACGCAATTTTGGAGAACTAAACTATCTCTCCCTCTCCCCTTTTATTATTATTAAAAAAAAAATGTCATTTGTGCCTTTACATAATTTTAATCCTAATTCATTTAAAACATCAACACTTATTTTGGTATAAATATGCATAATAAAATATAAATATTAATTATACTTACTCGTATATCATCTATAATAATAATAATAATTAAAAAGCCTACTGTTTCTATTGGAAATGTACCTCAATTAGTTACAGATCTACTCATTCATACTTTTAAACTTGAACGTGTTGGGTTTTTGGATGATAATGATGTCATGCCTGTAGCAGGTGTACGTGAAGATGTGAATCAACCTGGTATTACTGTACCTATTGAAGGTATATTTAGAACATCTACATCATCTCTCGCATTTATTTATTTTTATTTTTATTTTCATCTAGTTTTTCAGTCAAAAGATAAACGCTGGACTTGTATTCAACAACGTTCACCCGCTGTAAAAGGCAAAAGAAACGAATTTATTCAGCATATAAAAGAGTTTGCTCTCAATTTTGCTCACGTTGTCATTTTAACTACAATGGACGCCTCACGTCGTTTAGACTCCCAAATACAAGGAGCACCTTTTAGAGTGTATGGTGAAGGAAATGTAATGATGCGTTCAGCTACATTGGGTATTCCTGTCTTGGAGAATTTAGAACTTGAATCTAATCAAGATAACAAGGAAAATGGCCGTAAAGTTCATTTGCCTGGCTCTGGCTTAGCAAGACATTTATATGAAGCACTTTCTAAAGATATTGAGACAACGTTACTTATTATGTTTGCATTAGAAGGAGGTAATAGCATAAATCACTTTAAAGTTCCCTTTATAATAATAATAATACGTGTATCCATTTTTTTTTTTAGATAATGCTCAAGACAGTATAGAATTCGCAAGATTTGTAAATACATTATTACAAATTCAAACAACAAACTTATCTTCTTGGACTATACCAAAGAGTTGGGAATATTTATTCGGTACACCTTATAATGCAGAATTATATCAATAAAATGAGATTAAAACGTTTCATCATCATCATCATCATTATGAACTTCTTCACCCTCAGGCGGGACTTCAAATCCATCTTCAGTTTGGTAAAGAATATGTTGAATTTGTCTAAGGCTATCTGAATATTCATGATGACTTATTTCTACATATTCTTGAACTAAAATTTCAATATCTCTTAATTTCCTAAAATAAAAATCTCTCTCCGTCTCAAGTCCGTCTACTGTCGTTTTTAATGCCATAATTTGCCTATTTAAATCTTGGATGGCCGTATTTGGGTTTTTATCCATCGTATGACCATTATGGGCCCCTTTTGCAGATGATAAACGGCCTGTTGCTGCTGTATGATTTGTTATATTTCGTACTATATGTATTGAATTATTATTTCTTCTTCTTTGTTCACATCATTTGACAAGAATTACCTGGATTATGGTTAACTGTCTTACGTGTCTTTATGGTATTAGTAGCAGTTGAATGAATCATGCCAGAAGGACTCTTTGTCTTGTTACCCCCTTTTCTACGTTGAAGAGCATCATACACTTCTTCTCCTTGATAATGAAGGTCCCAAAAGCGTTTCATCCATTGCATAAACTCCAAGTTGTCTTGAAACTTACATTTGATTAGTTTATCAACAGGGATAATCTATAATTTTTACCTTTTAAGCTGATACATTTCTTTATGTGTTTCATGTGTGTGTGTGTGTGTGTGTGTATATAGACCTACCTTATCGATTCTTTTTTTTTTTTTTTTTTTTTTTTTGCAAGAAAGAAAATGATATAAATAGGTAATAATGTTTTTTTTAAAAAAAAAATAACATGACATAACTTACTTGTGTTTATCAAAAGTATGTTGAAGTATTTTAAAATTTGAAATATTTTCATATTCATGTTTAGTTTCATATTTAACCTTTGACATATGAACATCATCTATAATAATAATAATAATATAAGCTTATTATAAGAAGGAGAGTCAATTATAGAACATACAGAATATAGAGTCCATGATTTGACAATAGGCAGCACCTTATGTTTAAAATTATTATCATGATAAAAATATCCTTATTATCATTTATATCCAAATTACCTGTTCCTGCTTGCTCTACTTTAGTATAATTTAACCTCAAAAGATCGTTAAGCCAAGATAATAACTCTGTTCTAGATTCTGCCATCATTTATTTAACTATAAGAATAATATGAAAACAAATGAGAATGTATGTATATTAGAAGAAGAAAAAAAAAAGGGGGAGGGGCTAATAAAGAAAAAAAAAAAAAGGGACACAATGATTCCGTTCATTTGATTTTAATCTCAGCGTGTAATTCCGCCATTGCTGCTTATGGTTTATTTCTATGATAAATGTGTGTAAATACCTTTTTTTTTTCCTTTTATTTAAATACCTAAAAAGAAAAAAAAAATGTCCAATTATTATTTTGCTATTGTTGGAGCGACTGATAACCCGTTATATGAAACAGAAATTATACCTTCATCACGTTCCTCTGCATTTATTGATTCAAACAGAGTAAGAAATATAAGCGATTCATGGGAAACAAACAAATTCCTTGTTTATTTATTTTATTTTATTTTATTTTTTTCAGCAAAAAGATGAGCATAAGCATCTAAACCAATTCATTATTCATGCAGCACTTGATGTTGTAGAAGAATATCAATGGAATACAACAGCCATGTAATCTTTGACTGACGAGAACTTTTTTCTTCTTTTAATTTCTTATTATCCATATTTTAGGTATCTTAAATCAATTGATAGATTCAATGAATTTTTTGTGTCTTGCTTTGTTACTGCAGGAAGTGAGTTTGTAATTGTGTCCAAGAGTATATTGAATTAACATGACCTGTTATTAGACGTAAAATTTATGCTTTTACACGATCAGAAATCAGAAGACAGTATAAAACAATTTTTTACTGAAGTATATGAACTATATATAAAGGTACTTGAAAACAATCCATGTCATTTATGTTCATGTAGCTAATAATAATAATAATAGGTGCTAATGAATCCATTTTATGAAAAGAATTCAACCATTACCAATCCTTCATTTGATAATCGCATCAAGCTTGTTGCAAGACGCTTTCTTTAATATGTATAATGTTTATTAAAAATTATTTACAAGTTATATATATTATATAATTCATTGAATTGTTGCATCATCGCCATTATTTGTCCATACACGAAGTCGTTCTTTAAAGTATTTCTCTAGTCTATTGGCACATCGTGCATAATTTGTTCCTTCCGCATTATAGAATCTACAATTATCGAATATCTTTTGAACATCTCGAATAAATTCATCCATTGTTTGATAAGCATCTGATTCCACATTTTCTTCTAATGTACTCAAATCTACACATTAAATAACTTGCTAAGTAAAAACAAAACAAAAATAGATATATATAGATAAAGTATATTATGTTTTACCCATAGGTTCTGCAATAACATCATAATAATCTGCAACTTCATCTGCATTAACAGGTTCATGAAAAGGCCATGAATGAGGATGTGCCCTTAATTCACTGACTAAATGACGCATTTGATTATAATGAGGAGGATGACGAGGTCGGTTTGATCTATATATACGTATATATATATATATATAAAAGGTGAATATTCAATTGATTAGTATGAAACGATCAACTTACAAGGCATCCATCTCAGGAGTCCAGCCAGATTCTTTTACGCCTGGAACTTCATATGGATCTATAGATCTCTTGCCCTCTTCATTAATAGGCATTTGTATACCTGGATAAACAATATAAGACGTAGAAAATTCTTTCATTTTCTCATATACTGCCCTTTTTTGAATTGCTAGTATTTCATGTATTTGAAGATATTTCACTTTAGGAACCGTTGTACACTTGAAAAAGAAGTTTTAATGTATATAATCTTTTTTTCTTAAACAAAAAAAAAAATGCTTACCTGCATAATGGTTCCTCCTTCGTAATCCTTGATATAGCCGACCCATTTCCTTTTGTCTAATGTTATCTCGGTTGTAAAGCCTTGTTTTTTAAAATATCCAGTAGCATAATTATCTGCATAAGTCAAATAATGTTTTATATTCGTATGACTTGAGACATAATCCTTTAAATGATTCATTAAAAATGATCCATAACCTTTAACTTGCTCTGTTGAAGCAATAGCACAAAATACAATCTCTGCAAACTCTTGAGGATCAAAGGGTCGGAAACAAATACCACCAATTACCTTCATTGGCTTTCGAATTAAGGCCATACTTTTATGTTTTCGATCATAGACCAAACGGGCAATATATTCCTTTGGCATTTTGGGCAATTGCTTTTGAAAAATATTCTTAAGGCCAGTTAAGAGAATCATACTTTCAGTGGTTCCATCATTTTCAACTACACGCACTTCAATTAGTCCTGTTCTTTCCTCAATCATTGCAGGTGTTTCTTTCTTTTCTGACGGTTTAAAATCGTCTAATATTTTGACATTGCCATTTAGATCCAAAATCCCATCAGTTGCGTCCAGAACACCATTTACCTTTAGTGCTTCTTCATTTAATAGTCGTTCCCCTTCTTCTGTTTCACTCTTAATTTCATAAAGTACGTTTTTATCTGTGAATGATTTCTCTTGTTTTTCTTTGTTATCTGTATCCATTTCATGATCTTCTTGCTCGCTTAATTTTTCGGTCTCATTATGATTTGACATAGTATCGGTATGATCGTTATTCTCTGTTAATTCATGTTTAACACTGGTAGAATTTTCTTTCTCATTTTCATGATCTAAATCAACTACCATTGGTACATCTAAAGTACTATTCTCTTGCTGAATTGTATTTTGACTCGGAAGCGTTTTATCTGCTTGATTATTGTTAACTGAATCCGAAACAGTATGGTTGATTTCTTTTTCTTCTGCCTCTTCAAATACATCGCTCTCTTCCTTTCCACCTTCTTCCCTTCCACCTTCTTCCTTTTCACCTTCTTCCTTTTCACCTTCTTCCTTTTCATCTTCTTCATCTTCGGTATTCTCATCTTCTTCATCCTCTTCTTCTTCATCCTCTTCTTCCTCAGACTCATCTTCCTCTTCTTCACTTTCGTCATAAGGATCTTCCTCCTCTTCTTCCTCTTCCTCTTCCTCCTCCTCTTCTTCTTCAAATGGTTTTTCTTCATCATCATCTTCATCCATCTTGAATCTTTTAGTTTTCTCTTCTTCCTCATCACCTTCTTCTTCCTCCTCATCACTACTATCTCTATGTCTTTTAGCAATTCTTTCATCTATTAAAAAAAAAAAAAAAGATGAGTAACTGGATTCTATAACATGATTATTTTTTTTTCTTTTGTTTCTTTTCTCATTACCTTCATCTATTGAGGCTTTAGACACGAAATTCATAGTTGCTTGAGCAGATGTAGCATCATATGCAATTTGTCTAAAATGAGAAAAGACCATCAACATTCTTGCTCTTTTAATTTTATCACAACCGTTTCCCCCCCCCCACCCTTCAGAAAAAAAAATTACTTTTTTAAAGATTCAATGTCATCATCTGTATAATCGTAATCATCTAATTTTCCTTTTTCCTAATAGTATAAAAAAATAAAATAAAATAAATATAAACATAAACAATATAATATGTATCTTACTTTTAAAAGTTCATCTATTCGTAGAGCAACTTTGAAACGTCGAACAAAATCCTTTTGATGATCTACATGATCATCAGCCTCATGACCACAAAGACAAATCGTGTCTTGTGAATAATCAAGAGAGAAATTAGGTCTCCAACCATGACAATCTGAACATTGATCACATGGCATATATCTTGCTACCTTTAGTATCTTTTCTTTTTCGCTCATCGTAGCAATTTGCGGGAATAATTCCTCTAAAGGATCTGGTAAGTTTTCTGACATTATTGTTGTTTGTTGCCTGTTTATTTATTTATTTATTTTTTTTTTTTTTTTTTTTTTTTTTTTTTGTATATTAGAAAAGAATAATAATTTAAATTTGTTTATTTTATTTATTTTTTTTTTATTTATTTTTTATTTTATTTTTTTGCAACAAGACAAAAGAATAAATGAATTTATTGTTTAAGAGTTGTATATATATGATGGCAGAAAATAATAATAAAAAATGAATTCCTTCAAGTACCTGAAAAATTTATAATGCGCATATTTTTTTTTTTTTTTTTTTTTTTTTGGTGTTAGTGAAGTCGAAGCAGTCCTATAAAATGCTCAGAATCCTCAAGTAATCACAGCATAACAAATGATACTCATTTTCTCTAATTGGGTCAAAATAGAATCCTTTCTGTAATAATCACCTATCCTTATTATCACATTAAAAATAGAGTCATCACTAATATATCAGTTCACCTGCCATGAAGAAGCTTCTCTTTTTTTCGCTCTCTCTCTCTCTCTTTTTTTTTTCTTATTGCTTCCTTGATAAAATAAAGGTCTCTTAAAGCCAACACTTGACAATAAAAAACCCTCAAATGTGAAAGAAGATAAATGTTAACATAGTTAATCTAACATTTTAGAGAGTATCGTTGATATTTCAACTTTTTGTTTCTTCAAGACTCTATTTATATATATATATATATGCATGTACGCTTATAAATGTTTAAAAGTGGAAAAATGAACTAATAATGACAATAATCCATCCTTCTTTTATATATACGTATAAAAATGTATGTATGTATATATTATTAAGGATCTTGGCTTGATGATCATGATTGATGTCATTAAAGAGTTCATGGATATTCAAGTAATCGTATCTATTCTTGAATAGAACAAGTAAAATTGACTTTATTCGAGTTAAGAGACCTAATCAAAATAGTACATATTATAAAGAGTGAAGGAAAAAAAAAAGAAAAAGAAAAAAAAAAGTAGTTGGTGAGTACTACAACACTTACATAATAAGTCTTGAGTACAATACGTAATGGAGATAAGCCTTTGAGTGATGATGTCTCTTCTAGTCACCGGTATGAGAGTTTTATCAAACAATTCCCATCTGCCCCCCCCTCCTCCCTCTTTCCTTTTTCTCTCCTCCTCCTACACCATTATTGTAAATGTATAATACCACTTAATGAAGTAGTACTAGATACTTGCAAAAAAAAAAAAAAAAAAAAAAAAAAGTTATTTATATACATTATACCTGAAGCGTAGAACCGTTATGTATTGTATATTCGAATTATATACATATGAACACCTCTCCTTCCCCTTTCCCCCTCCCCCAACAAAAAAAGGGCAAAGAGAAACAAAGACATTTAACAACACATATCTCTATAACTATAGTAGAATGTTCCTGATGCGTGGTGAGACAGATTGTGCTAGTACTCGTTTTTAAGCAGCATATACATGAATATATAAAAGAAAATAGTTTTTTGGGACCAGTTACCCGAACAAAATACACAACATACATGCACAAAGAAGATAATTCATAACCTCAGTAACTTTATTAGAAATGGGATTTTCTGTGTCAATATCTATTTAGTTGAATAGCATAACTGCAAGAGTATCTATAAAGAGAGAGAGAGAGAATGTGATAGTCTAATAGAGGCCATAAATATAAGAAAAGATAGCAATGACCAAAGATATTCTTTAAAAGATCAGATTCAGTGCTACTGACTGTATGAAGTGATAGTATGAAAAGAAAGAAAAGAAACAATAATATAGTACCAACAAGAAGAATGATTTCTAGAACGATGATTAAACTATTATATAGGGGGGGGGATTCAAATAGAGAACAAAGTAATTCAAGTCTTTATAATTAAAGAACGTCCAAAGTATTCTATATGGTATTACAGTATGTATATTCGATATGTAACCATCAGAACTTTCCAATGGAATAATACTCTTATAATATACTCAAATTGCAACAAAACTGTAGAACAGAGACATCCATGCTAGCAAGAAATAGGCCCAAGGACTTCTTTTCAATTTAGAAGGAAAGATCCACTATTTTTTTTTACTCAAGGGAACACAAACGATTGAGATAGTTACAGCCTATTCCTCGTTTGTCTTACTTTATTTTCACTGCTTCTAAAATTAATACTGTAGTAGTTTATGGCTGAGATTGGTCGAAAATAATGAAACCTGACTACTTTGTATTGAACCAACAACATGTAAAAATATGATAAAAAATAAAAAAAAAATTTTTTTTCCCCCCACTCCTACTTGTACAAACATTATTTATTAACAAGCAGAATCTATTCAACTCTTTCCCTTTCTTTCTCTTCTTATTTATTTATTTCTTCCAAGCTATTTGTTAATGTAGAAGGAAGAAAATAAAGATGAGTCATAAAAATAAGAAATAAGGAGTAGTAACCAGCCAATCAAAATTCGTTTTTTATTTATCTAATATCAAGTAAAGTTCACCGTTAATTAAAACAAGAATGTAATATATTTCTCTATTGACTACAGTTTTCTCAAAAAAATATGTATATGTATTTAAATACATATGTGTATATATTTGTATATATAAAATAAACAACACATATTTGTCAATATTATGGATAGCTTTTTTTTTTTTCTCTTTTATATAAGGATAAAGAAAATAAGTCACAGGTGGCTTATACAAACAATTATCTTTTTCTATTTTTTTCTATTTTTTTTTTCTCATTTTTGTTTTTCGTTTTTTCTCATTTTTTTTTTTTATTTTTATTTTTATCCTGTAATCTGCTTGAAATATTTTTCCGGTTTGTGAATAAACTGTACGGTATTTGTATTTTAATTTATTTTTATTTTTATTTTTTTTTATTTTATTTTTTTTTTTATATTTATACAAGAAAAAAAAAATGTATTTAATGATATAACAACTAACTTTTATGTATTTTAAATAAAAGATATACAAAGATGCTCTCTACCAGTCTCAATAATCATAACCATTTTGAAAGGTAAATAAGAGGAAAAAAAAAACATAATAAGGAGGGGAAGAGGTAATATAATATGTGGAAGAAAGATATAAAAATAATGAGGAAAAAAAAAATAGAGATGATGAATGGCGCGTTTAAGAGAGAAAGAGAGAGAGAAAAAAAAAGGATTACGCGTGTTCTTACTATAAAAAGAAATTCCAAGTTACACAAACAACATTTTTTTCTTATTTATTTTAAATTTTATTAGTAAACAAATTTCTTTACCTTCACCACCTCAACAACAACAACAACAACAGCAGCAGCAGCAGCAACAACAGCAACAATTAGAAACAATACAAAAACAATACCCAATGACACGTGATCAGCATAAATATTGTTGTGCTATTATGAGAAATTTAAAGAAACATAGAGATGCAGCACCCTTTTTAAATCCTGTTGATTATGTAAAATTGAATGTTCCTGATTATCCACATATTATTAGTCATCCCATGGATTTATCTTTAGTAGATCAAAAATTAAATAATTCAGAATATGCTTCTGTTGATGAATTTGTCGCAGATGTTCGTTTGGTCTTTAGTAATTGTTTTAAATATAATGGACCTGAAGCGATGATATCTGTTTTATGTCAAAATGTAGAGTCTGCTTTTGAAAAAGGCTTAAGACAAATGCCACCCTCTCCTTCTCCTTCTTCTTCTTCTCCATTATCTATCAAAAAGGAACCATCTCCTCCACTTAGTCAACATAATTCACCATCACAATCTGATTTCTATTATAAGCCTTCTATAACTGAAGATATAAGCAATAGTAGCAGTGGTGGTGGTAGTGGTGGTTGTGGTCGACCTAAGAGAGAGATTCATTGTCCATCAAAAGATTATCCAGAGACTTATACAACACAAAGGAAATTATCTCAAATCAATAAATCATCCATGAAGTTTTGTCTTCAAACATTAAAAGAATTGAAAAAGAACAAATATCGTCATCTTGCTTATCCTTTTTTACAGCCTGTAGATCCAATTGCTTTGAATATACCTGATTATCCTGACATTGTTAAACATCCTATGGATTTATCTACAATTGAAAAAAAGTTATTGAATGATGAATATAAGGATCCTGATGCCTTTCAAGAAGATATGACTCTTATGTTTAACAATTGTTATCTTTATAATCCTTCTACTTTACCTATCTATACTATAGCGAAAGAATTTGAAACAATCTTTAGAGATAAATGGGCTCAAAGACCTATTGAAACTGAAATAAAACAAAAAGACGATGGAGGAGAAGAAGAAGAAGAAGAAAAAGAAGAAAAAGAAGGAGTGAGATCAATTGAACACAAGACTTCAAAAAGGTCTACACAGACTAAAAGATACCAACAACAAAAGAAACGTATTTTAGATCATAAAAAGACTAAAAAGATAAATGAGGAGCATATTGAAGAAGAAGAGGAAGATGATGATAGTGACATTAAAATTGCTGAATTAGAACGTCATCTTGCTAGTATTACTCAACAAATAAAGTCAATTAAATCTGCAAAGAAATCAACATCGACACTAACAAAGGAAAAGGGTCGTCGTGGTCGTACGCCTGGTTCAAAAAATAAAGTAAAACCAACATCAGTAGCAAAAAAGAGAAAAAGAAAGGCAATAACTGAAATGACTAGAGATGATGATGATGATGATGATGATGAAGAAGAAGAAGAATTTAGCTTTGAACAAAAAAAGAAATTAAGTGAAATGATTAATAATTTAACAGGTGACAAATTAAATACAGTTGTATCTATTATTCAAAGTTCAATGCCTAATCTTGGAAAAGTAAGTACCCAAAAAAAAACTCGATCCTATTTATTTTAACCCATCATTATTAGAATGGACAGCAAGAGATTGTATTAGATATTGATGCATTAGATAAACAAACATTACGCCGATTAAATGATTTCGTTAATCCAGAACCTATTAAAAAACCAAGATTATCCAATAAAACAACGAATATACCACGTTATTCTACTAAAGAAACACACAAGAAGATTCAAAGACTTGAAGAGACATTAAAGAAATTTGATGATTATGGTAAACGAAGATTAGAGTCAATAATGAATATTACATGTACTTAGTTTATTTTAAATAGATTCTTCATCAAGTCAAAGTGATTCAGAGGATAATGATGGTTCATCTTCAGATTCATCAAGTTCAGAATCTGATTGATTTAAATAATGTTTATGCATGTTAATTTACCATTTAAGCTTTTTTTTAATATTTTTATTTTTTATTTTATTTTATTTTATTCTTTTTTTTTTTTTTTTTTTTTTTTTTTTTTCATTTACCCTTCCTTTATAAAATACATAATTGGAATGAAATACAGTACAATACAATAACACACAGGATATTTTATATTTATTTATAGTGTCATACATATAAAAAAAGGAGAAATGAAATAATTAGGGGTTTTTTTTTTTGAGTATGTCTTGATGAAATACAAAATAAAAGGGTTTTATTTATTTATCCCTTCTTCCCTCCTTTTTTTTTTCCCAATAGAATTGATTATAGCATAAATAGACCTCCTTCAGTTGCAAATCATCTCTTTCTCTCTTTGTCATCATGAAAGTGGATAATTCCATTTTAATAAATAATAATAGCAACACCTTTAAATATAAATTATTACGTTATTTCAAGAAACAATCCTTTAATAAACGTCGTTTAAGGATTGATGAAGGATTTCAGCAACCAACAAAAAGTAGTAGTCGTATTCACTCTTCTTTAATGTCATCAAATCAACATAAAATAGGTACTAAAAGTAACCAAAAAAAATAAAATAAAATAGAATAAAATAGAACAGAATAAAATAAAATAAAATAGAATAGAATACAATAGGAATAGTAATAAATTCTTCTTGATAGATTTCTTGTCTTATTTACCTATTGAATTATCTTTCATTATTTTATCTTTTTGTGATAAAAAAACGATATTTGAATCAAGTCATGTGTCTAAATATTGGAACTCGTTGTGTAAAGATAATCATCTTTGGCGTGAATTGTATTTAGGACATCATGGCACCATTTATCCCGCTACAACCTCTAGCTCTAGTATTAATTACCGTCTACTTTATGAAAGAAAACTCCAATTATTAAATCGATGGAAAGGAGGATATCGGACTAGAATGCAAACTATCGTTGGCCATCAAGATAGTATCTATTGCGTTCAATTTGATGGCTCCAAGATAGTAACGGGGAGTAGAGATCGAACTATTAAATTCTGGAAGATGGAAAGTGACATCGTTCGTTGTTATAAAACTTTAAAGGGTCATGTAGCAAGTGTTCTTTGTTTACAATATGATCATCATCTCCTTGTCTCTGGCTCCTCTGATAATACAATCTTAGTTTGGTGTATGAAGACCTTTGAAATAAAACGATGTCTTAGAGGTCATAGTTCAGGTGTACTCGATGTTTGTTTTGATAACAATGTGATTGCAAGCTGTTCGAAGGATACAACCATTCAAATATGGGACAGAATAACAGGTCAACGAATACAGACATTAATAGGTCATCATGGGCCTGTCAATGCCATTCAGTTTAAAGACAACACACTTGTCTCTGCTTCAGGAGATGCTATTATTAAATTATGGAACCTAAAGACTGGTGAATGTTTACGTAATTTTATAGGTCATAGTCATGGTTTAGCTTGTGTAGGTTTTGATGGAAAAAGAATTGTGAGTGGTGGTAATGATAATAAGATCAAAGTATGGAATGCAGGTAAAAATAAAGAATACTATTTTAGTTTGTGTTGTAGTAATTGGATATATATATACATATATCTATTTTAGACACTGGAGAATGCATTCTTACTTGTGAGGGTCATACTGGACTCGTTAGATCACTTTATTTTGATAAAGATAAAATTGTGAGCGGAAGTTATGATCAAAGTATAAAGATTTGGGATATGTACACAGGTGAATGTATCCAGACTTTTAATAAATGTCATAAAAGTTGGGTATTTGATGTCACATTTAATGAAACAAAAATTATTAGGTAAATGAGAAAAAAGAATAAAAAAAATGAAAAATGAAAAAAAAAACAAACAAACTAATGAGCCCTTTTTTAGTACAAGTCAAGATCAAAAAATTCTTATAATAGATTTTGCACATAATATGGATACCAAACATTTAATAAAAGTTTAAAATCATTTCACGTTTTTCGTTTTCTTCTAAACCAACGTTTCTTGTATTTCTTTGACTTTTCTGTTGTTTTTGTCTTTGTTGATCTCTTTCTTTTGGTCTTTGTCTGAAGTTGTTCAAAATAAGGATTAAATTCTTCATTTTTATCTCTATTTTCTTTAATATTAATAAAGCCTTCTAAAGGTGATAAACATCCATCATCAGCATTAGCATCATTCTTTGATTCTCCTTCTAATGGCGGATCATTCACCAAGTCAATAAGACTATATTCTGAGTCTGAATTTAATGATACAATGCTTTCATTCTTACTATCCTCTTTGACCTTATTTATGTTAATACCTAATTTACATACATACATACATAGCTTACTTACTTTATCTTCTTCTTCTTCATTTAGAAATGATGTCAAATCATCAATGATTAGGCTTTCTTCTTCTTCTTCTTTACTATCTTCTTCTTTCACTTGAAGCCAATCTGATACATTCTCAATGTCAAATATAATCATGTTTTCCTCTTTCTCCTCTTCTTCTTTTTTAACAATAGCATCTATCTCTTTTGTCTTTTCTTTTTGATGTCCTTTCTTTGTTAACCTTCTTTTTTTCTTCTTTTCCTGCTTTGAGATATATTTTGGCTGCGGTCTATTTGATATGGTTTGAAACCATTCATCATCATCATCATCGTCATCAATAATTGAAGTAACAACTCTCTTAGAGGTGGATGTTTTCACATGTTCATCAACAGCCATCCGTTGGCTTAATTGTGAAAATTGTTCAAGTAATCTTCTCTGTTCATTTACATGTTCTTCTTTACTTAATTGAATAGCAAGTTGTAACTCGTCATCATCTTCTTGTATTGGCTGTCTTGATTGTTCCTTTTTAAATAATTCGTCAATTGTATAGGAATCTTTAATTTTTTTACTTGTTTTTGTTCTTGACAGAACCATAAAATAAATTATATTAAAAAGAAAATAGGGATGAAAATTTTATTTTTTATTTTTTATTTTTTATTTATTTATTTATTTATTTATTTATTTTTTTTTCATTTATTTATTTGTTTTCTTTCTAAAAAAAAAAAAAATGAATTGGATAATTTTATTTATTCTGAATAAAATATACCAAAACCCTTTATTACTTTCAGTTTATAGAGCCTTTAAATATATTGTGCGTATTACGACACAAACAACAGAAATCTATCGTTTATGTAATTCAGTCATCATCACCAATTTAGAGTTTGAAGGAATAGAAGAAAAGAAAAGATGGATCGAGATTGAATCGGTTAATGACATTAAAGTACCCACAGATGTTGTATTTAGAATTGACAAGTCTATATTTCATTCAAAGGAATTAATAAAAGAAAAGGAAGAATTAAAGGAACATTCATGTTCAATACAGAATGTTCTTTCTAGTATTATGCTTAAAAAGCAATTCAGTCATTATAGTCAAAAATCACCTGTTGCTCGAGTACTTGAATACAGTTTGATGCGTATCTACGAAACAAATCAATTACTTTTTGAAATAGAACGACAAATGAGTACAAAATATGATTCAACCAATGAAGTTCATGAAAAGAAATTATTACAGGTAACGACATGAATATATAATTCTCCTTCATCAATTAACACATACAAAGTTATGGAATTATATGAAACCAGATACAAAATTAGAATCTAGATTGTCTAAACAGTGGGTTGAAATTGGTTTTCAAGGTCAAGATCCAGCTACCGATTTTCGTGGAATGGGAATTCAAGGTTTAAATGATTTACTTTATTTTGTTCAAACTTACCCACATCATGCTTTATCTATTCTTCAACATGCCTCTCATCCCGTGCATTGGTATCCTTATGCTATCGTTGGCATTAATATCACTAAATTTGTTTATCAACTATTAGAATCTAAAAGGCTTCAATCTTATTTATTTCAATACGGTACACATCTTGATAGTCTACAAGACTTTTATTCTTATTTATTTTATCGATTTAATCAATTTTGGATCTCACAGCATTTAACAGTCATGGATTTTGAAGTCAAATTTAAAGAATTTCAGTTACAAATAGAAAAGGATTTATTAAAGGACACCATGATGTTCAAGATAAAATAAGGAGAATGAATTTATTAAATAAATGTATTATTTAATAAGTGAGTGTGTGTGTGAGTATGTGAGTGTGTGAGTGTGTGTGTAAGTGTGTGTGTATGTATGTGTATTATATAGATACTGTTGTATATACTTTCTAAACAATTGTATCTTCTCTATTTCTTGAATAAATAAGTTAAAAAAAACTATTTGACAACATTTCATTCATTGTAGATGGATTAGTATTAGTATTAGTATTATTATTATTAAATGCTTGTTGTTGTTGTTGCTGTTGCTGTTGTTGGTATCCTCCTTGTTGTGGTGTATTAGGTGTGTTAATAGGAAATGGTGACGTAGCTGATAATGAATAATTATATGGCATTGTATTCACAAATAAAGGCTGTTGATGAAAAGGTGAAGAAGATAAGGTTTCATCTTGCTGTGATCCTGGAGATGAATTTGCAGTTGTGTCTGTCTTTGTTTTCTTACTATTCTTTCTACCTCCTGCATTATTTGTATTCGTATTACTTTCGTATCTTTGTCTCTTTTTAATAATGTCTGTCTTCATGGATAACGGTCGACGTTCATGATGTAATTTCAAGCTATAAAATAAAAACGGAATAAAATAAAAGACTTGTCTATTTTTATATGTATGCAAATAAGACTTACTATAAACCACAAGCATTACATAAAGGTGCTCCTTCATCATCTCTTCTCCATAAAGGTGTAGTTGTTGTTGAACAGTTAGAACAAACTAACTGAGATGCTTCATCGTCTCTTGCTTCTTTTCTTGCATTATGTGGTTTTAATGTTTTAGGTCTAGGTGCATTATGTAATTTTTGACTAGAATCATACACACACACACACACACACACACACACACACATTTGCATATATATATATATATTTTAATTACATATCTATTTTACTACACTTGTATAAATCAACTTACTATAAACCACAAGCATTGCACAGTAATTCATCATCTGCAGATCTTCTCCAAAGTGGAGTACTAGTAGCACCACAATTTGTACAAATAGGTTTTGATTGATTTTCTACTAAACTATTCGGCATACAAGAAGTAGTACTTAATGCCACTGTCCTTCGAATCTTATTATTTGTATCATAAGAAGAATTAGGAGGAGGTGAATTAGGTGCAGAGGCAGAGAATCTTCTTTGTTGAAGATGATTATCTGTATTTGTAGTAAATCTAAAATGATGGAAAATGTTTGTTAAATAAAAGTAGCTTAGGTTAGGTACATACGTATGTTATGTAAGACTTACATGCTTGGATTTTCATTCATAGAAATGTTAAGTGGTTGCATATTATTTACAGATGTGATAGTAGAGGTACTAGAAGAAGCAGACATAGGAGGTGTTTGATGATGCTGACCATTACTGTTCAATCTTTGATTTGAACTATTGAATCGCATTTGCATATTTCCTAATAGTTTATTACGTAAAGTAGCTTCAGGAGGTGGAGGCATAGATGCACCAGAAACATACATAGCATCACTTTCAGTAGGATGAGAGGGTATAGACGATATTTGTTGCTGTGCTAAATTATTATCAAATGTACCTAATAGATGCGGACTAGGAGTATTATTATTATTATTAGTTGTTGTTGTTGTTGTTGTTACTGTTGTAAATTGCTGCTGCTGCTGCTGCTGTTGTTGTTGTTGTTGTTGTTGCTGCTGCTGTTGCTGTTGCTGTTGTTGCTGCTGTTGCTGCTGGGTTTGTTGATAACCTAAAGGAGGTGGAGAATAGTACGGATTTGAAGGTGAAGGATAACCAAAGTCCCAACCATCAGCCATATCCATTGCTGTATTTGGAATATTAAATCCATTATTAAAAGCATTAAAAATATCATCAAGTTCAACAATATCACCGCCATTTGTTTGACTGGAAGTATATTGAGGTAATGTAAAAGTAGTTGGATGATTATTAGTAAATAAAGATGTATTGTCTATCATAGTTTGACTATTATCTACAGGAATAACGATACCCTGTTGAATTTCTTGTAGCTGTTGTTGTTGTTGTTGCTGTTGTTGTTGCAACAATAACTGTGGCTGCTGGAATTGTTGCTGAGGGAGATCAGTATCTTCATCTGTCATACTTTCAACTTTAACAGGTAAATCTTTTAAAGGAAGTAGTTTACAATTACTACTTAATCTTCTTGCAGTTCTAATAGACAGTTTTCTAAAAACATTTTTATTATTTGTTTTTTCTTTTAGTAGATGATGTCGAAACCATAATCGCCAAGATAGATTCTCTAATCGAGACCCGTTTTCAAGTGAATCCTTAACTTTGGAACAAACTTTCCAAGTCTTTGAAAGATCATCTTCAGAAGTAAGTGTCGAAAAAGGTGTAAAGGTTTTGTTACCTTTAATTTTCAGCACAAGTGGCGCCATAAAAGTTATTAGGTTAGGTAAGAATAATAATAAAAAAAAAAAAGAATATGTCAAAAAAAAAAAAAAAAAAATTGTTATGTGCTTTGTTTAACAGTGAGAAAAAAAAAATATGTATAAATAAATATATACAGTAAAAAAGATGAAATTAATTAATAAAAAATTTTGTTGCAAATGTATAAAAGGCGGCCAGCTACTTTAAATTCAGCGAAATAATTCCAGTAAAAAAAAAAAAAAAGGAAAATTTATTACAATGAGCCAATCAAATAGGCCGTGCGTTAAAAAAACTTTTTCTTGTCATTAATGACCGTAGTTGTTTGCGCTATTGTTTTAATTAGCGCTTCTTTTTTTTTTTTTTTCTTTTTAAATACATGTTAATACAGATTAACTTTTTTTTTTATTTGATGAAATGGGCTTGTTACAATTGATGAATCAATAAAAAATATAAAGATGAAGATAAGGAAAATGTTATTTTTAATCTCGAAGCTTTTGTATTCAGGTTTTTTTTTTAAAAAAAATCAGATTGATTAAAATAAATGTAAAATGATTCCCATCTTTGATGATTAATAATGAATAAAAAGCTTTATTTACATAGTTTCAGTAAATACATTTTACCAATTATAAATATTTTTATGTAAATATGTTTCTATACTTTTCAATGACACATGTATGTATGTATGTATGTATGTAAAAGAGTATTGCTTACATAAAAAACGAATTTTACTATAAATGTCTCGTTCAAGTCACAAATTATAAGTCCCCTTAATGACTGTTTATTTATTTATTCTCGTCTTTTTTGAATAATTGGCTCTAAAATAGAATTACCATTTATTATTTGTGTAGTTGCTACTAAATAGTCTCGACCTAATATAATAATTAATTTCAAATAATTAATATATAAATATGTATATAAATATATATATAAATACATTTGTATATATATTATATGTACCTTCATCTTGCTGAGCTAAAAATCGAATAGTCGATACTTCGGTATGAGTGCAACCACCTAAGAAAAAGATAATAGTTGTTTTATTATGTCGAAGTCCATGTCGTTTCGCTCTTGCCATTGCCAAGTTTGTTTCAGCTCCATATTCAACTGTCTGTTTTAAATCAAATGTTTGGCCTGGCAATAATTTTAAAACATCCTCCGATCCATGCCAACCACCACTACTGGATTTTGTCTCACTATTATTATCTCTCATAAAATGAACCGTACTTGTACCAACATATGAAAATAAACTAGCTGCACTATTTGTAGATGGAATGGTCCCTGTGGATAATAACTTTTGTAAAGCAGTTTGAACAAGTCGAATACTTAGAGGCGCATATCCCGAATAAACATAGGATATATCATTAGGGTGTAATTCGTCTACATCATCTACTATAAGTCGTAGTAAACGTCTACATTGCGAGAATGCACTTCGAGAGGCAGCTGTATTTGTTCGTTTAGTCCAAAGTCCTAATTTACCTAATCGATGTAGAGTCTCGACATGCTCATAACCATACGTCTGAACAATTTCCTTTTCAAAATGATCAAATAACTTTGGTTTTATGCCTCCTTGCGTAAGTGACATGAGACAAAGTAAACGAAGTACTTGAACTAAAGGTTTTTGTTTATTTATCATTTCTTCTATATATTCAGGTTCTCTATTTCCATCAATGCCTGCAACAACATCTATTATAGATATAAAGTGAGCAAAAGTGATATATAGATATATGAATATATACAACAAATTTCTTCTTTTTACTTTGCTGAACTTCTAATATTTTATTAAATTCATCTGTTACTGTATGACTTATAATCTCTTCTGCAATTCCTGTATCTATATATGTAACTGAACTGTTAATAATAATCATATATAAACATAAATAGATAGTTCGTACGAATTTTTAATGATTGATGTTCTTTTTGAAGTTCACTTAATCGTCCAACAAAATCACGAATTTGAGCTACTGTTTTTGCATTATGTCTCTCCTAATGAAAAACAAGTTAAATATAAATTAAATTCTTTGTCTGTCTCTCTCTCTCTCTCTATATATATATATATATCCATAGACTACCTCATAATTTTCATTGATTCTCTTTGCAATCTTGTTTAACATACCACCAACTACAGCAAAATTCTGGTCTCGCAATTGTCCAAATAATTTATCAGAGGAATTCAATACATATTTTTTCTTTTTTAGTGTTGAAGAAAGGGGGACTGCAGGTTGTACTGATGCAGAAGGCGTATTCGGTGTTTTATCAGGTGATTGAGCAGGATTTACAAGTGCAGCATCCAACTCTATAAAACAATGCTTGATACCAAAAATTTCATCAATTAATCCCTCATATGTAAGTTCAGTACATAATGGTGTAATCAGATCCACATTTCGATCAATGATAATTAATTGGTCAATATGATTTGATACTGTATTTAATAATGATGGATTCTTGGCTGCTGTTATACTTGAAACTTCATTTACTACAGAATGTTCTTTTCTCATACGTAATAACATATTTGCCAATTGCTATATAAGCACATGATTAACCTAATTTATTCAATTCTTGAGCCTTTGTTTACTTACTTTTGCTCCATCCCCTTTACCAAGAATACGTGGAAATAATCCATAAATAGATTCAAGTCTTATCAATGCTTTTGCAGCATAATAAATAGCTGTTTGATCTCCATCCTATATTCATATATAAACAGTGTTAGGCTGCTGTCTAGTTAGCATCAAAAATAAAACAACGATACCAAATATATTTCTTTCCAAATAGATGGACCTAATTCCATAGAGATTAAATCATCTTCATAGGGTATCCACTCCATAGTATAATCCCCAATCGTAATATCACCTTTTACTCCTTCTTCCTCAAGTACACGTTCACATATTAACGTACGTTCAGGTACAAAAAATAACCAAAAATCCATTTTTGACTTTTTTGAAAACTGCTTGATATGATCTAATAAGAAGGATAAATAGATGTGTACATGAATTATAGTTCCTTTTTTTTTTTCTTTTTTTTTTTTTTTTTTTTTTTTTTTTTTTTTTTTTTTGCTTTACTAGCTATATATCGCATATATTTTAATTTGGGTCGGCAAATATAAATCAAACCAGGACAGTCTGTTTCAAGTATATCTGATTCAAGATGATATATTTTATCAACACCATGATCCTATGTATATATGCATAATGTAATTATTATCATTTACAACAAGTTCAACATTCAAGGTTACCTTTAATAAACTAAATTCTGCAATTAAACTTAACGGTCCAGTTAATGAAGGATCGAGTACAAGCCCTTTTTTCCCTCCAACCTGTTATAAAATAAAATAAGAAAAATCTCCGTATTATGTCGGGTTTCTCTCTCTCTCTCCCTCTTTTCTTTTTCTTGTATATACTTCATCATATTTACTTTATCTAAAATTTCTGGTAATTTTCTTCTAGTAAGTTCTCTAAGTTTTGCCAAATTCAATGGTGTATTTCCAAGATGAGTTCCTGCATTACTCATTTTATTTTTATAAAAAAGAAAAAAGAAACAAATAAATAAAAACAGATTCAAACCGCGTTGTAAATTTTATTTTATAAGCTTCAAGTACGAAAAAAAAAAGTCATGCTACTACAAAGAGTTAGAAATTAATAATAAAAGGAAAGAAAGATGATGTTGGTATTTCATGACTGGTAGTAATAATTCACTAGGGCTTTTACCAAAAGAAAGAATATGTATACTAATAGCAAAAAAAAAAAAAAGACAAACAATGAAAGAATCATAAAAAAAGTGAAGACAAGTTTCAATAATTCTATTTTATTCTTTATTTTATTTTACTTTATTTTATTTTACTTTATTTTATTTTTGTTAAAAAAAATAAACTAACATGTCGACAGAAGTATTATCAAATGCTGTCAACACAATTGACTTGCTTCAATCTATCTATTTTGATAAAGAATTTGAATTTCGACGACTCGAAGATGAAAAGTTGTACCTGAAAATTCAAGCCTGTCACGAAAAAGATGAATGGTCTTCATTAAGCAAAGAATCTTTACCTAATCATATTGAGTTTATCCTAAAAGCTCCTATAGATAATACAACCATGCATTTGGTTTTTAATGGCCGTATTTCACTTATACCCCACATAGATGACCAATTAACATTGACTTCTGCTAGCAATCCTTGGCTTTCTCGAGAGGATCACGAAATTCTCAATCGCATATTAAATGATGATCAAAATAAAGTCGATTCAACAACTTGGATTATCGAAAAATTACAGCACATGCAATCTGCGGCTGAACCTTATGCTCTTTTATGGCTACAAAAATCTAAACAAAATACAATGAATAAAGCAAATGGCGACAACGAGCCTGTTGTTCGTTTTTTAAGAGACTGGATTTGGTTTCCAATGATTTATACAAGAGAAAAGGTAAAAAAAAAAAAAAAAGAATCTTTCCTCTTAACCCCTTTCTTTTTCTTTTCTTTTTTTTTTTTAACCTGAACATGATGATATTTTATAGAGAGGTCATATCATTCATTGGGCGCCAAGGTATAATATTACTGGATTTTTATGCCCTGGTAAACCTGGTTGTATGTGCTTAGAAGGCACAGAAGAGGATGTTACAACATTTGTCAACGACATCAAGACCATCTCTTGGGCAGATATTCCAGCAAGTCATCGTAAAATGACCTCACGTTGGAAACAATCAAGTGAGTGTAAGAGTCATGCTGAAATAGATTCACAACGCTTGTTTAGCAGCATGACTGAAGTTAAATTTGATATTCACGGTACCTTTGCCAATCATAATGATTTAAATAAATTACAGTCTTGGCTACAAGAAAAAGGCTGTGGTGAAGCATTTAAACATTTATTTGAATATGACCATAAATAGACAATAAATACATCAAGTAAACCATTTTGTATATTTCCTTTTATTTTCTTTTCATGAAATTCTTGATGAGACTTAAAGAAGAACTACCCAAGTATGATGGAGGATATTATCATGCCAATAAGTCGCTGCTTCTGTTTTTTTTAAAAAAAAAAGTTTATCAGTAGTTATAGAAGGAAGGAGGCATTCTCATAAATAAAATAAAAAAAGGGTATTTTAACGAGCTTAAACTAATAAGAAAGAGCATAAATTTGACGGCTTCTTATATAATAATATAGCTTCTTCCCTTTTCCCCCTTTTTTTTTATTATTTCTTTACCTAATGATACAATGGTTTCACGATATTCTTTTATAAACTCATTAAAAAGAGGGGTTTTTTTGTATCACAATCAAAGATTTTATTTTATTTTATTTGCATGATGAGTACTACACATTATGAATAAAGAGACAAACACTTTTCCTTCTTTACTCTGTTCACTAGTTAACATTATGTCGTGCCTGAATCAGACGATCAAAATAAAATCAATCATTTGCCAAAGACAGTAATGTCTTTATAGTATGAATAATTAGATATTTTTTCTTTTGCCAATCTAACAGTCAATTATGCTAGAATAAAACTAAATGAATATAAAAGCTGCGTGAAAGGTTTGTGAAAAAAAAAGGCTGCAACTAGATAATCATCTTTTTTTTTCAGTCAAAAATAAAGAAAATCACTTAGCTTATTCATAATACAATCATATTCAGACATAGAGTTGGCATCTGTGGAAAGGATAATATTACATCATCTAGTTTATATAAACTTACTAGTATCTGCTGCATTACACGAAAGAAATATAAATTTTATGGGGTTTTTCATATAATTGTTGATAGTATACATTTATACAAAATCAAAAAAGGTTGATATCAATGAGATGAAATACACAATAAATAGACTACATCCAATTTCCTTCTATTTTCCTTTTCCCTTGTAATCACTCAAAAATGGAGTTTTATTGAACGGATCAGAGCAAATCAAGTGAATAAAACGCCGAAGCTCATTACACCTGGAGCATGTTTACTCTTAAATAAAAATCGTTTTTGTAAAATCCAATTATGTGACGCAACAGTCACGTGATTCAAATCTCCGATAAGCTTGAACAGAAGTCGCGTTTTGCGACGACTGTATTATAGAATTTTACTACATAAAAAAAAAAAAAAAAAAAAAAAAAAGTTTTTTTTTTATTGGTGTTTAAACTTAAGCCATAGAACAACAAAACAAAAATATAAATCTTTTTTTTTTTTTTTTTTTTCTTGTTGTCTTTTTTTTTTCTTTGTTTATTTTTTCTATAGTTCGTCTTATTGTTTTTATTTTCTTTAGGTAAAATAATAATTATTTCCTTCTCTTAAAGAAAAAAAAAAGAAAAAAAAAGAAAAGAAAAGAATCAAAGTTTGTAGAACTTTTGTTATTAAAACGAGCCTTTTTTTTTATTTGTTTTAATATAAGCACACCTCGAGAAATAACATTAAAAGATTAAAACATGGACGCAACTACTCTTCTTGCCAACACTTTATCCACAGGTAAACACTCTTGTTAAGCAAAAAGCAAAAAAAAATACTAGTTACAAATTTATTGATGAATTTAATCATCTGTTTATAGATCGTGCTTTACGTGAGGATGCTACCCAAAAATTAGAATTATTTGCTCAGGAGAACTACGTAAGATTAATAGTAAATAAATAAATATTGAACACTATAATAATATATGTGTATATTTAAATAGCCAAATTATGTCCTCTCTTTGTGTCAAATTCTTGTCAATGAGCAAGCTGATGATCCTATTAGAATGTCTGCTGGTCTTGCATTAAAAAATAGTTTGACAGCAAAGGTAACATCTCAAAAATAAACAAACATTGATCTTGAATCAAATAATGATTTTAACTTTTATTAGGATTATACTCGTAAAGAAGAATTCCATCAAAGATGGCTTTTAATAGCCGAGGATCTTCGCATTCAAATTAAGCAAGGAGTATGTATTTTTATATTGTTATTTTTTTTTTTATACTTTCGTGTCTTTTTTAATCTTTTTTTTTCTTTTTTTTTTTTAAAAAAAACAGGTCCTTCAAGCTTTGGCTTCACCCAAAAAGGCTGTTGGTAATATTTCTGGACAGGTAATATTTAGATGTATATTGAGGAAGTATGTATATTTATGTTAATCATAAACTATAGGTTGTTGCTGCTATTGCCGAAATTGAGTTACCTTTAGGTGGCTGGCCTGATTTGATCCGCATTATGCTTGAAAATATTTCTACTGGCAATGATACTTTAAAACAATCAACTTTACAAGCTATTGGTTATGTTTGTGAAGCTACAGTACGTTAAACAAAAATGAAAAAAGAAAAGCCTCTATACGCTATAAATTTAACTTTTTTTTTTCAACATTAGGATCCTATGGTTCTAGTTAGTCAATCTAATGATATTTTAACTGCTGTTGTGCAGGGTGCTCGTAAGGAGGAGCCAAAGTAAGTTTTTTTTTGTTTGTTTTAGGAAAAAAAATATATAAAGTAAAATGAAGGTTTTAACAAATTATATTTTATAGTCAAGATGTACGACTTGCTGCTATTAATGCTTTAATCAACTCACTTGATTTTATTAAGGAAAATTTTGAACGTGAGGTAAGTGTGTGTGTGTGTGTGTTTGCATAGGGTTGATGGTTCCGGTAACTAATATATAAATAATCAGGGTGAAAGAAATTTTATTATGCAAGTGGTTTGTGAAGCTACTCAAAGTGAATCTAGTGATGTTCAAGTTGCTGCTTTCCAATGTCTTGTCCGTATCATGCAAACATATTATGATAAGATGCGTTTATATATGGAAAAGGCTTTGTTTGGTGTAAGTAAACTTTTTTTTTATACAAAAAATGATACTTTTTAAAGTGAGCTAAATATTATTTATAATAGCTTACTGTTGCTGGTATGAATAATGAAGATGAACGTGTTGCATTACAAGCTATTGAATTTTGGTCAACTGTTTGTGATGAGGAAATTGAATTAAGAGAGGAAATAATCGAAGTGAGTATATAGATATGGATATAGATAGATAGATAGATTTGTAACTAATATTCAATTTTTATTATAGGCAAATGCTGCTGGTGAACAACCAGATCGTGAAAGTTATCATTTCGCCGAATTGGCTCTTGGTGATATCCTTCCCGTTCTTTTATGGATTCTTACTAAACAAGAAGAAGATTATGATGAGGATGAATGGACAGTGTCAATGGCTGCAGCCACCTGTCTTTCTTTACTTGCCCAATGTGTAGGTAATCCTGTTATCCAACCTATTGTGCCTTTCATTGAATCCAATATTCAAAGTGAAAACTGGAGAAACCGTGAAGCTGCTGTTATGGCCTTTGGTTCTATTTTGGATGGTCCTGATGAAGCTGTTTTAACTCCTCTTGTTGAACAAGTAATGTTATATCTAATAATTAGAAGAATTTTTTTTACAAGCGCTAATTCTTTTTTTTTTTTTTCAGGCTTTACCTACTTTAATTCAAATGATGAAAGATACTGATGTTCATGTTAAAGATACTGTTGCATGGACACTCGGTCGTATTTGCGAATTACTTATTGATTGTATTAAGCCTGAAGTTCACTTAACTGAATTAGTTTCTGCTCTTGTTTATGGTCTTCAAGATAGCCCACGTATTGTTGGAAACTGTTGTTGGGTAAGTGACTTAACACCTTTTTTTTTAGTTTTCGATTTACTGATATATATTTATATGCAATAGTCATTAATGAGTTTGGCTGAACAATTGGGCCCTGCCATTGGTGAAGAAGCACCTACTTCAGCTCTTTCTATTTTCTTTGAGGGCATTATTACTGCTCTTTTGCAATTTACTGAAAGATCTAATAATGAGGCAAACTGTAGAACTTCTGCTTATGAAGCCATTTCTGCACTTGCAATGTATTCTGCTAATGTAAGTTGAAAATGAATTATATAAATTAACATTCATTCTATTTTATGATTTTAATCTCACACACACATATATATATATATATAGGATTGTATCAGTACTGTTCAAAGAATTGTCTTGACAATTTTAGATCGTTTAGAGACTACAATGGCTATGGAAAGTCAAATTCTTGATGCAGATGATAGAGCTAACCATTCTGAATTACAGTCTAGTCTATTGGGTGTTTTGACTAACTGTATTCGTCGTCTTTCTAGAGATATTAGTCAAATTGCTGATCGTATTATGACAGTTGTTCTTCAACTCTTAAATAATCAATCTAAACAAGCTACTACAACTGAAGACGCATTTTTGGCTATTGGTGCCATGACTAGTGCTTTGGAAGCTGATTTTAGCAGATATACCGAACCCTTCATACCTATTCTTTGTAATGCATTACAAAACCCTGCTGAATATCAATTATGTTTTATTGCAGTTGGTTTAATTGGAGATATTTGTCGTGCACTTGGAAAGGATGCAACACCTTATTGTAACAATTTGATGCAACTCTTAGTAACTAACCTTCAATCACCTGTTCTTCATCGTATTGTTAAGCCAGCCATTCTTTCATGCTTTGGTGATATTGCTTTAGCTATTGGTGATGCATTTGCTGCCTATTTAGAAGTTGTTATGATGGTCTTACAACAAGCTGGTAGTATGCGTGCTGATAGAGATAACTATGAAATGATTGACTATGTCAATACTTTATATGAAGGATGTGTTGAAGCATATGTTGGTATTGTTCAAGGTTTAAATGGCACAACACATGGTAAAAATTTTATCAAAAAAGAAAAAAAAAAAGAAAAAAAAAAGATTGAATAACAACGAGTAAACTAATTTATTTATCAATACATAGCTAATATGTTATTACCCTTTTTACCTCATGTGTTTGATTTTATACACTTTATTGCTACTGATCCTAATAGAAATGACTCTCTTGTGAGATCTATCATTGGCTTATTAGGGTAAAATTTATTTTGTTATAAATCTAAGGAATAATGATATTAACTCTATTATTCTATTTTATTAGCGATCTTGCAGAGACCTTTGAAGGACAATTGAAACAATTCTTTATGCAGGATTGGATTACAGCTTTGTTACGTGAAGCTAGAACTAGCCGTCATTATTCATCATCTACAAAGGAAACATCACGCTGGGCCAAGGAGGTAAAATATAGATAACATAAAAAAAAGAGAGAGGACAAATATGAACTAATATTATGTATTTGTAGATGATTAAACGTGCATGCCAATAGAGCAATGCATTTTTTATTTTATCCATTATTTTATTATAGCTTTTTTTTTTCTTTAATTTACATTAGCCTCCCTTGTTTATTTACATATGTTTTTTTTCCACATATAAAATAACTTTTGTATTCGTATACACACTTTTTTTATATAGCTTTGTTTATACAAATAGCTTCACAACACAAGCGTCTACATTTCCTCACCCATTCTCCCACTCCCCATAAATATATTTTTATATACAAATATATATTTACTCACTCCCCCTCCCCTAACACCCTTTTTTTTCCCCCAAATAAATGACTTTACATTATTTCCCCCCTAGAAAAACTTGTTTTTTTTAAAAAAAAAAAGAAAATAAGTAAGAAAAAAAAAAGACCACACAAAAAATCAATAAATATCCCCCTCCTCCCTTTTCCCCTAAATTTTATATAAAACATGCATTCTAATATTTATTACCTTTATTAACAAACTGCTAAATTTGACATTTTATCTGTTATGACAGTTATTGTTTCTGGTTCTCCTTTCTTCTTTTGTTGTCGTAGTCTATTTTCTTTCAAATTAATTAATTTACCAGGCTTTTCGTAATCATCAGAAAAAGCGTAAAACTCTACTAAATGACTCTCTTCTTCTTCTTCTGTTCTATTTTCTTCTCTTTTTTTATAAGGTTGATTTTTAATATAATTTGCCACGTTACTTTGAAACTGTAAAACTTTCAAGTAATCTAAAATTTGTAATAATTCAGAATCTCCGTTTAAAATAAATCCCTTTGAGTTATGATCAAATTCTTTAGGATGAATAGAATTGTAAGGCTGTAATTGTGTCTTTTTCGGTGAATCATCTAATAAAATTGTATTGGTTGCATCATATCTTCCACCAAACTGTTCCCATACTTTATCCAGGTCTTTTATCGTTAATACCTTTTGATGATAGTCTCTTGTAGACAAGCCAAAACTCTTTCTATCCCAAATGAGGGATATTTTTTCCTTCTTTTCCTTTGGAAACATACGACACATATTATGAACTGAATCTGGCTGAGCACTTGACCATATCATGATTTCAAAATTATCGAAAATGTAATTAAAAAATTTGTTACTATAGGGACGAACATACATCGAGCGTTTTCGTACTCTCGACACAAGGGTGCCATTTAGATCGAGAATCAAAAGTTGTTGATTCTTTAATGGTGCCTTTAATGTCTTTGAATCAACATGAACAATATCGAAATACGACTTTTTTGGTGCAAACCTTTTGGTCATTAGATGATCGGATCTATATATATACAAATATGTATATATATAAATATATATATAAAAAAAAGATATATAAAAGAGAAAAAAGAATTTTATTTTATTTTTTTCTTACGGGGAAATTATATCCGTTGTATATGAATGTATAAATTTATACATATAAAAATAAAAATAAAAACAAATAATAAAAATAAAATAAAAACAAAAAAAAAAAAAAAAAAAAAAGAAAGAGGGGAAACTATTTTTTTATCTGTTTTTGTAGTTCTTTTTTTTTTTTTTTAATTTCCCTTTCTTTTCTTTCTTTTCTTTCTTTCCTTCTTTCCTCTTTCCTCTTTCTTTTATTTATTATTTTTTTTTTCAGTTGAATTCTGTTATTTACCATGACAACGGAAGGAGATGTAGAAGTCATTAATTTAAATGTCAATTTAGATCAATTTAATAAAACAGAGTTAGTCAAGCCCGTTGTTATATTAGATAAGAATTATGAAATGGATAGTAGCAGCACGACATCCACAAATAGCCCTATTATTTCTTCTCAACAATTGGAAGAATTGCCAACATTATGTGCTTGTAATGAACTCATTTCTTCTACGGTTGATTGTTCAGATTGTGGACGTCCTGCCTTTAAAGCGCTTCAGCATCTACAGGAAGAATGTAACAAGTCTAGAGCGAAATTAAATGATTTAGAACGAGAGAAAGAAGTTTTACGTCATAAACGAATGGAGATAGATACAGATAAAGTAAATTTGGAAAATAGTTTGCAAGATAAGTTATATAAAATGAAGATGACTTCGAATAATATCCTTTCATTACAACATGATATCAAAATCTTGGAAACAAAGTGTAAAGAAGAAGCGACTCAAGTAGAAAAAATTCAACAATCAAAGGAAAACGTGAAAAGAGAGCTTGAAGATTTAACTCAGCGTCTATTTGAGGAAGCAGATAGTATGATTAAGGTTGAAAAAGCAGAACAACACATACTTCAAGAAAGGAATAGTAAATTAAGGGATGAGCTCGATTCTGTTCAACTTGAATTAAGAGAGGCACAAGACGAGCTAAAGTTAATAAGAAAAGAATTAGAAAGACAGAATGAGAACAATTCAAGTTATTCTTTAGAGTCACCAACGTCACCGCCAAGATTTCATAATGAAAATCACACGCTAAAAATGGGGAAAGATAGTAATGTGATGGATGCATACACTCGTGCACAAGTAGAGACTTTGTTAATGCATGGCGTTGAATTTGGGCTTCAAATGGATACACTGGAGGATGATAAGACATTAATGGATTTTAATGACTTTATACAACTCTCTCAAACGACACCTTTACGTAAAATAAATTCTTTAAAATACATGAAATATTGTATTCGAGAAGATATTGAGCCTTGTTTACGATTTGGCCCGAATCCAAAGATGGCTAGTAAGAAAATCTTAGACGCCATCTTAGTAAAGACTTGCTTTGTAGAAGAATGTCCGAATGGATTTGTGATTGAACAAGCAGAACGACAATTAAAAGAAGAAGCAACTGCAACCCTTTGGGAACGTTTTACAACATCATCTGTCTTTCTTGGTTGTCAAGCATGTGGAAGGGAAATAAAGGATCTAAAGGCAAGACCAGACATATTGAAATATCGTTTTCGAATTTCTTATTTTGATGAATGGGCCTGTATTGATCGTTATTGCCGTGACCGATTACTTGCAGTAATCGAATTCTATACCTTTATACGTTATCTTCGTAATGGTGCCTATAAACATCGTTCACTTCATGAATTATACCAACAAGCAATTCGACTTAAATTACAAATGTTACTAGCAAAGTAAAAATTTAATTTTAGATATTTATGTAATATGCTTAATATTATTTATTTATTTATTTATTTATTCATTTATTTATTTATTAGAATGGGTACTCTACCAGTCATGTTAAACAATTGTGGAATTAACTCAGAAAAAATTGCATCTGCTTTTCAAGGTGAAGATATTAGTAACAGTAGTTCTATTTTATTTTCATCAGAATCAGTATCTAATATTGAACGAACATCGAGTTCAACAGAATCAACTATTACCTTTTCAACTGTAAAATCATCAAGGACATCTGCATCTTCTTCTCAATAATACCTCCTCTTATTTTATGTATATGTATATGTATTACTGCCTTAGTTTATGAAACTATAGTACAAAATTCCAAACCCTTTCTCTAAAAGAAAAGAGTCATATTTTCTTCTTAAAAAAAATAATAATAATAATAATTCTTTTTACGTCTTACATTTTTACTTATTACTAGTATTACTTTTAATTGCTTAACTTAATAAAGAACTATCCTTTAGTCTTTCCCCTCCCCCCTTTCTTTTGTATATATACAGTAATAAACAAGCTGATCACGCTGCATATTTGTTTAATTAAAATCCCTGCATACATGTTGGTAAAAGTTTGTAAATAGAATGTAACGTTAAATAGGAAACAAAAACAAATGTGTATACAATAAATAAAAAGCACAGGGAGAGAGTAAAATAAGTGATGTGCAATCCGGCTGGTGGATATTGTTGGTAATTGTCGTCCACAGAAAAATAAAATTATCGATTACACAAAAAATGGTTGTTGGTTAATTGTCGAAAGACGAGATTTAATTTTGTCCGTTAATGCAGTTCCTTTTGTCGTTCCTTTTTTTTTTCAAACTTTTAAGATCTCTACAATGACAAAGAATGGAATGGACAACCCTTTTAATGAGTATGCTGAAAGAGTTTTTGATCCCATAAAAGGTGTCTTGACAGAAATTACTTACTAAACCCAAGCATTGTACTTGAAACAATAACTAAACTGGCTACAAGAGTTATTTAGTTAATAAACCTGTTGAAAAGATTAGTATAGTGAAAGAGGCTAAAGAAGCAAACACTTTAGACGATAAGTCTACCAAATTAGCAGTTTATAACACTTATACAGACAAGCAAAGAGGGGATTTTATTGATAAAATGATTGAAAATCCTGAAGAGAAAGGAAATATCACTAAATTTTCCAAAGAACTCTTGATTGACCACCCATGTACTGCGGGAAAGGTGGTGGAAAACATACCAAAAGATGGGGGGATGAGATGCTCTATAAGAAATCAAAGAATAATAGTGGATCTAAGAGTATTTTCACTGTGAAACATGAAGACTATATTAAGAATTTGATAGATGATGATTCTCAGCTCTTTGCTGATGACATTATAGAAAAATTGACTAAACAATTTCAGGCCTTTTCTATATCAAAGTCGCAGCTTAATCATCATTTAAGAAATATTATGCAGATTACTGTCAAAAAGCCTCATTTTGAAGCCGAAGTTAGGAACTCTATTGACAATTTAGAGACAAGATACGAATGGTTTATGAAATGGAAGGATAAAGATCTGGAATATACAGAAAATTGCATGTTTATTGATGAGGCCAGGTTTCATATAAATATGAGAAATAACTGGGCTAGATCACCAGCTGGAACTCACACTGTGGTTAAAACTGCAAAAAAAAAAAAAAAAAAAAAAAAAAAAAAAAAAGAGCAACTTTTCACTCGGTTATTGGAGCCATCCATTCGTCTACTAAAACATGATATGATTTTATTAATTAAAATATGGTTAAGCTCTATGAATTAAACCTAGTAGCATCTTTTCATCCTATCATTCATTTTATATAAAAAGCGTACCGTACTGTACGCTTTTTTTTTTTAATCATTCTTTTTTTCTTCATCCAACTATGACTAATTCTAACATTTTAACATATTACGCTCATCTTGTAACAAGCAACAATTCCTTTGAAGGTAAGTCAAATGTTTTCTCTCTCACACAATCATATTTTAGAAGAATCAGAACATAACGTTACTAATTACTTACTACTAAAAGAATACGTTCCTGGAAGTAATTTAATAAGCAAGGCTGTATTAACTGATACCAGAATTATCGGTAAAAGTTTCGTTAACGCCCCCCAGAAGATCAATATACCGTTGCGCCAAATGAATTCAGTGAATACCCTCCAATAATGATAGAGGTTCAAAAGGATGTTAATGAAAAATACATGTGTCGTGCAGTAAAATATTCTACTTTGGTATATGAAAAATATGAAAAAAAAAAAACATCCAATTGTTTTGATAGTTGGTGTATCCAGCATAACCGCGTCAATAAACGACATACTAGCTCCAGCCACAAGTCATCCATTTAGTAAAAAAATTCCCAGTCTGTTTTGGGCAAAGCGTTATCTTTCAATATCATCGACAACGCTATCAACAGTTCAATCAACTGAACAGTTAGTTCCTTTAGCGGCTATTGGTTTATTTTTGTGCTCCCAAAAACTTTGTATAACTCATCTTGTTAGTGGTAGTCAAGATACAAAGATGAAACTTCTATACAAGATAGCTATGAACAACATTCAACAATTACTTGGTGAAGAAGAAGAGACAACAAAAGGAATCAAAGCAATATGTGACAACACTTATGTCCCAACTTGAAAAAAATTAAGAGCTGTAGCCAGAATGGTAATACTGAGTCCCCTGATAAGGCGCTTCTATATGTCGAAAATGTTTCCATTTATTTGAATAGACAAAAAAGAAAATTTACAAATGGAAGAGATGGAACATCCGTCCCAGAAACTCCAGCCTTAAAATATTTGCAAAATAAGGATATTGGACCAAAAGAATATCACGAAGCCAATTGTTATGATTGTAGTTGTCTTTATAACTAGGTTAATAGAAATAGGCCATCATTTATTTAAATAATAAAGATGTTATTTAAATAAAAATAGTGTATTGTATTTCACAGCATAATGTTTATTATATAACATTCAGTTTTAATAACAGTCATTGTTAGAGTAATAATTATACTATGTAATTATAAAAATTCAATAAGGCTATGATTGTTATATGCTTTTACATAATCACTTACATAAGTCATACATATTACATATGCATTTATAATGTTGAGAATTATTATGTAATAATATCTTAGATGATGATAATAACAGTAGTATATAAATAACTGGTATTGGTTATAGCTGGAATATTCACTGTGAATTAATATTAATGCGTTGCTTACCTCAGAAATAATAATTAGTAACAGCGACAGCTCAGGGAGAATAAAGATAAAAATATATCTTATTACAAGCAGAATTATTCGGAAACAATATTTACACATAATGCTTTATGTTAGCAGTATTCACTTCTCCAAACATACTTCTATTAATATCACTTACCTTGCAAGCAAAAAAAAAAAAACATATAAATAGCTCTTGTCATTTTTCCATATTATTTTTTCTTTTAATAAACTATACAGAGTTTTCACAGACTTGTCTTTTCTGTTTTCTCTTTCCTTATCTTTCGCATTTAAAACTGATATCAAAACATTAAATGAGAACTATTAACTATCCACAGTTTACATGAATTCAGATTAATACAGTTACATTTTATAAGAGAAAGAAGGCCTAGTGATCAAAATTAGTTTGATTTATTATAATTAATATCGACTTTACTTCTTGTATACGCACAAGCAAACCAAATATATATATATATATGTATATGTATATACTTGGATACAGTATTTAACTCAACTTGATTATAAAAGAAAAGGTAGTTTACAGTATCTTTGATTTTTATTTTTTAAATTTATGTAATAAAAAAATAAAAAGTTATTCGTTTTATTATGCTTATTTTCTATCTCGTCTTCTTTTTTCCCATTTAACTGAGGTCTGAATAAGCTTAAAAATCTTACGAAGACAGTTTTCTGGAAATAAAGAGCAATGATATTCTTGTTCGACACAAGTAGTAATGTCTCTATTCAATAAGTGAAACGTAGCTTCTTTATAATTTTGATTTTTATATCCACAATAAACGATGATTAAATAATGACATAAGGTAATCAGTGATAAACATGAATCAAATAAAATGGACAGCACCTTTACAAATGGATTGAATTAATTTGGTTTTGTATTTACCGATCACTAAATAAATAAATAAATAAATAAAAAAGGAGGGAGGTGAAAGCCAAAATTTCTTGAAAAGCCTTATGAATTCTGTATCTTGTATAGGCTCGTCATAATTCATATCAATGATAGACTGACTATCCATTAAAAATATAGAATTTATTTATGTCAAACTTAAATCTCGGGTAGTTATTTATACTGAAAGTTCTATTGAGTTGCGCGAAATTATTTTTGATCAATATGAAGAATAATTTCTAAAGAAGGTATATATCTATAGTTAATCATGTTTAAAATGTTATTCATAACAAAGGTTAATAAAAGAAAAATGTTAATAAAACGTACAAAGTTATTGAAGTTAGTTAAGGAGAGAAGTTCAATATGTATTTACATAAGCTTTCTTATGTCATCTTATCCTCTTTTTTTATTGAATTATGTTAATATACTCTTGTTAGAATTAAATGTTTGTATGAAGAGAAATTATCATAATATGTCAAAAAAACTTAGTTTATAGTATACTTGAATAATTTATAACGTAGTGCACATATTGATCAAGTATATAGTATTATCTACTCTGACGAATATTTGAAATTTGAACTAGTTTTTCAAGTTTAAATAAATATAAAATGCTGAAAAAGACAAGTCGCAACGACAGTGTATATACCGCTAATGAGAAAAATATTAATTTACACATATAGTGTATATGTCAATCTTTCTATAATATGTAATTTCTTTTTATACGTATAAATATCATTATCATATATGCATTATGCAAGTAGAAAACAGGTACATAAATTAAATTAAAAAAAAAAGAAAAATATTAGGAATATCTGACCGTTAAAATATTTACCTTTTCTTTTCTTATAAAATAAATCAGCAGGTAATTCTCTTATATAGCAGCACTTTTTTTTTTGTTATGAATAATCGAAATGAAGATAAATCTATTACAATTTCTATGACGGAGAAAATAGTAAGTGTATTTGAATTAAAAAAAGGATTACAGAATGTTTTGTGTATATTTTTATGTCTATTTTTTTTTTCAATAAAAGATTACTACAGCACATAATAATATTGCCTCTACTTCTTATGATATAACTCACCATCATGTTTTAGAAGAAAAAAAACCAATTAAAAATAATAATAACTATCGTCTTAGTAAAGGTATACATTCAATTATGAATAAATCTGATAGAGCTATATTTTATCAAAAGTATAAAGTATATATACAGTAAGGTTCTTTTATATAATTTACTCAATGTGTTTATACTGATTAAGTTGCATACATGTTTGTAGTTTTTTAACTTGGTTACTATTGACTGCATTTGTTTGTGTTGCATTTGTTTTACAGATACCAAAAGGCTACAACCAAGAGTTACTTATACTAGGTATTGTGTATACATGGATTTCACTTTATCTCTTATTTTGTTATATGTCTACTACTATTATCACTGATCCATGGAAGAAAGGTATTAAAATTATGTCTAATTTTCTATACGAATATTGTAATCAAAAATGGCGAACGATATGCCTTGGTATCTGTCTAGTTATTATAGTCACTGTAACTGTATTTTCTTTTCCAGAAAAACAAGAATCACCTCGAATACGTCGACTAATTCCACTTTTTGGAATGTTTATTTTTATTTTTAGCGTCTACATAACTTCAGTAGTATGTACAAATTATTCAATAGTATTTTTTTTTTCTTTTTTTTTTTGACTGACTGACTATGCATACACTCGACTTTAAGCATCGTAGATTTGTTCAATGGAACACAATTTTTATAGCGTTATTATTACAATTTGTATTAGCATTGTTTGTATTTAGAACGTCTGTGGGACATGATATATTTCAATGGATAGCGGGTTTTGCAGAAGGATATTTACACAACGCAGGATATGGCGCCGCATTTTTATTTGGAGAAACAGCTGTTCAAGCAAACACATTTGCTTTAAATGTGTTTCCTGCTATTATATTTTTTGGATCTACAGTACAAATGTTATATTACTTGGGAACTATTCAATGGTTATTAAAAAAGCTTTCCATTATCTTTATTAGTATCTTGTCAATTTCAGGTGCTGAATCTATTGTAGCAGTTGCATCCGTAAGTTGAAATATGTGTAGATGAATTAATCTTGCTACTTAATTAATATGAAATATGTATATATATATATATATATATATATATATATATATATATAGCCATTTTTAGGAGCAACTGAAAATGTCCTTTTGATAAAACCATTAGTACCCCAATTAACAAAATCTGAAATACATCAAATTTTAACTTCAGGCTTTTCTACTATCTCTGGTTCAGTGTTATATGGATATATTGCTATGGGTATCTCTGGACAGGCATTGCTTACATCATGTATTATGTCAATCCCTTGCTCCATAGCTATTTCTAAACTGCGTTATCCTGAAACAGATAATCCTGTTACAAAAGACAATGTATCCATTTCCTCAAAAGTTGAAGAAGAAGGGGAAGGAGAAGGAGAGACAGCAAATATATTGCATGCTGCTGGGAAAGGAGCTGAAGTAGGCATCAAGATCGTCCTACTGATTATGGCCAATATCATTTCAATATTAGCTATTTTATATGCAGTAAATGGATTTTTGACATGGCTAGGCAATTTTTTAAACATACAGAACCTTACTCTACAATTGATAACAGGATATCTATTTGTTCCAGTAAGCTTTTTATTTCCCAAGATATACATATATATTATTATATACTATACTAATTAATTTATATTATCTTGGTAGATTGCTTGGCTAATGGGTACAGATAATAAAGATTTAGTCATTGTAGGTAGATTAATGGCTACAAAGATTTGGTCGAATGAGTTCATTGCATACAAAGAAATGACAGCTACTTATGCAGGCCAATTATCAGCAAGATCTCAAATAATAGCAACCTATGCTTTATGTGGATTTGCTAACTTTGGTAGTGTTGGAATGCAAGTAGGAGTTCTTAGTACTTTAGCACCATTACGTTCAGGTGATATATCATCGTTAGCCATTTCTGCATTAATATGCGGAACACTTAGTACATGGTTGTCAGCTTCTATTGCCGGAATGCTACTATAATATCCTATTCAGCGTTTAATTCATGAGAATATACGACGATTTATTATGTGTATACATTTATACTGTAATAAAACTAGGTCTAATTACTCTAAAGCATCTACAAATAGAACTATCAAGCTAATATCGACATAAAGCTTTAAAAAAAAATTAAAAGAAAATATACATATATAAATAAATCAAAGAGCTTTGTTATCTATTTTCATAACAAGTTATATAGCAAGGTATATTTAGTGAGAAGATTGTAAAGGAAAAAAAATGAAGAAATGTAGAACTACTAAATGAATCAAACAAGTAAATTCAATATTCTAGTGAATATTATTTTAAAGAACTAATCAACTTGAGTTTAGCTTGTTTAATAAACTAAGTCCCCCCTTTTTTTTTAACCAACTTCAACAAATTATTAAGTGAAGTTGGATGCAGCATATTACATAATACATGATGCTTTTATTACTGAACTGGTTTTAATATCAGCTTCATTTTCTCTCACTAATCTATTGTGTGTAGTTGAACAGTATCTGATCTTACTTTAGACGAGTAAGCATACTATATGACTTTAATTCTCTTTTTGTAGCGATTATCTAACTTCTTTATTTTTAAATATTTTGCTTTATTGTTTCTAAAGTTCATATTCATATTTTATAATTCGAATCATTACTATCTTTTTTCTCTCCATTTTTTTTTTAGCCTTGTCAATTTAGATAGGCCTTGCATGCATTCCTGGTTGTTCCTAGTAATTTTATTTGATATAATTCATAATTTATAACCGCCGCTAAATAAAATAAAATAAAATGCCATTTATTTATTTATTTATTTATTTATTTTCACTTATTTATTTATATATAAATGACTAGAATTTTTGAATCAAGAAAACCTGAACCATACATTAAATCTTCTTGTAAAAAGTGTATTACACCTATCGAGTTTTATCCTGAAGGGGAATCAGTCGGACAAAAAGTTTCAGTCAAATGCTGGGCTTGTGGTGAAGTTGAAACATACACAGTAGTCGAACCAACAAAAGACAACAAGGAAAATCAATCAAAGTCATCAGGAAAGAAAAATGCCGGTAAACATATCTATCCATCTTTATATATATACATGTAAAGAGAGATGTGTCTCTTTTTTGTTGTAATTTGAAATTTATTACATTCATTACTGATCTTGTTTTTTTTTTCTTAAAAAACAGATAAAAAGCCTATATCAACTGGCTATTATGATTTATTAAATGTTCCAATAACTGCAACACAAGAAGAAATTAAAAAAGCCTATCGTAAACTAGCAATAAAATATCATCCTGATAAAAATCCTGAGGACCCAGCAGCAGAAGAAAAGGTAGAGAACAACAACAAAAATAATTGTCACATGTTAATATATACATTTATATATATTTTTAACAGTTCAAAAAAATATCTGAAGCGTATCAAATCTTATCTGATCCAAAGTTAAGAAAAAGATATGATGAAGTGGGTGAAGAAACTGGAGTTAAGCCAGACGGAGGATTTGGTAATATATTTATTAAGAAAAGTACAGTCATAGAAAAGAAAACTTATATTTTCGATCTATAGTTGATCCAGAGGATTTCTTCAAAACAGTATTTGGAGGAGATCGATTTACGGATATTATTGGTGAGCTAACTATGGGTAGAGACATGAGAGAAGCAATTGAATCTGCTGAAGAAAATGACAATGATAAAAATTTATCACCTGAAGAAAAAGCAACTAAAGAAGCTCAGAAGGCCGAATTAGAAAAAGAGCGTACAAAAATACGTGAAGAACGTATTGAAACTTTAAGTGTAAAACTTAACAAAAAACTGGATCTATATAATACGCATGGTGAAGAAGAATTTAAGAAGATAATAGAAATAGAGGCGGAAGATTTGAAGTTGGAGAATCATGGAGTTGAGTTATTACACACAATCGGGAATATTTACATTACGAAGGCGAATCAGTATAACAAAAAGAGCTCTATGTTTGGGTTAGGTGGTACATATTATAGTATTATGGAGAAGGGGTATATCTTCAGTCAAACAGTAGAAGCTCTTAGGACTGCATATAATTTACAAAGCACTTTTGGTGAATTGCAAAAAGCTGAGGAGAATGGTGTATCAGAAGAAGAAAGGGGTAAATTAGAAGAAGCAGCTGCCACAATGGTTCGTTATAACAAAATAGTAAGCAAAATGAAAAAAAAAAAATAACGTTTTATTTTTTTTTTCATTTTTAGGGTTTGAAAGCAATGTGGAAAGGATCAAAACTTGAAATTGAAGGCGTATTGCGTGATGTTTGTGATAGAGTTTTAGGTGATGCAAATTGTAGTAAAGCAGAAATTGCCAATAAGATTCATTCGTTAAGTCTAATTGGTACTATTTATCAACAAGTGACCTTAGAGGAGAAAAGTGAATGACAATCATTCTAAATTTTTGCACTCAGCAATTAGAATCAACTTTAGTGAGTGAGAAAGAGTCATCAAACTTTTTATTGGATAATACATAATTTGACTTAAAAAATATTTAAGTTTTTCCCCAAGTTGTTTTCACTTTTCTACTTTCTACTTTTTCTATTAAAAAAAAAAGAAATAAACAAACAACTATAATGCCAAAGTCTATTACACCTCCTTCTGCTACTTTCGATTTCTCTTCTATGGGATTTCAATACAGAGATGTTAATGGGTATGTAAAATATACTTGGACTGAAGAAGCGGGCTGGAACAAAGGTACAGTCGAAACTGACCCAATGGTAAAAGTGCATATGTGTGCTACAGGTCTTAATTATGGACAACAGGTACGAACAAAAAGGAGTATAATGTACATGGGAAATAAAAAAAATAAGCGTTTATGTATTGTATTTAGTGTTTTGAAGGTATGAAGGCTTTTCGTGATGTTGAAGGTCGTGTACGTATCTTCCGTCCTTATGTGAATGCTACAAGAATGGTTCGTAGTGCTGAAATGGCTTTTATGCCTCCAGTTCCCGAAGATCTCTTTGTTGATGCTGTTCGTCGATGCGTTGAGCTTAATCTTGAGTATGTTCCTCCTAAAGAAACAGGTGGTTCCCTTTATATTCGTCCCCTTCTTTTCGGTAGCGGGCCATATATTGGTATGGGAGCTGCTCCTGAGTTTACCTTTGTTGTCTTTGTTATGCCCGTTGGTTCTTTCTATACAGGTGGCGTTAAGCCTGTTGACGCTTTAATCATTGAAGACTTTGATAGAAGTAAGTTAACTAATTGACTTTTCCCTAGGAGTTTGTAAGCTTATTTTACATTACAATAGGTACACCCAATGGTACAGGTGGAAGTAAATTAGGTGGGAATTATGCTCCTACATTTGGTCCTATCTTAAAAGCAAAAAAGGCCGGATATGCCCTTACTCTTCATCTTGATTCTAAAACACATACATATATTGATGAGTTTTCTACATCTAATTTTGTTGCTCTTACTTATCCAGGTAATAATCATTATCTATTTTATGAACCTATTTTAATATTAACTAATATTATTTGAAAGATGCTAATGGAGTGCGTACCTTTGTCACACCTGATTCTAAATCGATTTTGAGATCCGTTACTCGTCTTTCACTTGAAGATATTGCAAAGAAGATTGGTTGGAAAGTTGAAGAGAGGCCTGTTGCTTTCTCAGAAGTGGAAGAAGGTAAATTTGAAGAAGTTGCTGCATGTGGTACAGCAGCTATCATCACACCTGTAAAGAAAATTGTACGTGGTAATCAGACTATCTTGATTGGAAGTGGTGAACAAACAGATATTGGCGAAGGTTTTAAGAGACTATATGATGAATATCGTGGCATTCAAAGTGGTGAAATTGAGGATACTTTTGGTTGGATGTGGCCTGAAGAAGGCTTATAAATTATACCTAAATTAAATAATAATAGATATATAAATAAATATAAGAAGGTATTGTTTTTATAATTGCTACTTGCGATACAATTATATATTCTTTCTTGAATGAAAGTTTAAATGTCTTCTTTCTTTATGTATTCCAAGACATTATTAACAGTTTAAATCTAAGAAGTATGCATATCTTATATTTCACATACAAAGTAAATCACCTCTTTCAAATCATCATTACTTCCAACATAGATAACAGTAAAACTAATACACTGACAAGCTAATAATGAAGTAGATAACGAAATAGGTTCATTAAGAATTATCCCTTGATTGATTTATTTGATTTCCCCTTTTGTTTAGATTTATATAAGAATATTTATACCTCCAGAGGATCATCCATAAAAGCTAGAGTCTTTATAATAAATACTGCAATTTCTAACTTAAGATATACAGTCTTTTTAGTTGATGATGATGAAGGAGCATTGAGATATAAGTGAGTCAAGTTATGAGTTGCTCGAAATGAATGTACTCAGTGTGAGACTACTCATATCTTTCGTGAATAAGAATGATGCATAAGAATAAGATAAAAATAGAACGAAACTGCATTTGATGATAATATCAAGAATTATTACAGATATACTCATGTCTTTTGTATGTATTTATTTTTATAGCTAATACATGTACTTTGAGTGAGATCAATTATTGCGCGTACTAGCATTATTCTTAGTTTGTCCCCAGCTTGACTTACAAAAGTTATTTTTTATAAATTTATATTCAACAGAATAATAATAGAAGAAGGTGTATTTTTAGATGTAGGACTTTATCTACTATTTTTCTTCATAAGGGTAAATACATTTAATCTGTGTATAGGTAGAATTATCATAATAATGCACTATATGTTTTATTATGACTATTTATCTTATTGAATTAAGTCACAAATCTTACAGCCATGACAGGTACGTCATCAAAGATTTGATCTATAAACGACCAGTTATGAATGTTATACCACAATTCTTTCTTTGAAGCCTTTAACGATCCACTTTCATATTCCCTTAGTAATGCATGTACTGCAAACTTTAACCAATCAAAATCATGGTGTTTGCCTATATTGTATTCAATTTCCCAATGTTGTCCTTTAGCAAAACTTTGGCGGATTTTTTTCGGTAGTAGTATAGTTGAACGAATTTATATAATCGTGTACTTCATTCGGAATCGGTATACTAGTATTTGTCACGTTTTCTTCCTTAATCTCCTCTAACTCCTTTTCAGTAAATATGTCTGATCGTCAACGTCTATGATAAACGAATTTGATAGACTATCGACTTTTTGCTAAAATTATATAAAGCTTCTTCCACTATCTTTCCCGGTTGAAAGTACCCACTTGTGTGCAACATTCAATCTTGAATAGCTTTTCTCCAATTCAGGATGATGTGTGGGTCCCCTTGTCCAATTGGGCTTCAAATAATTAACCAATTAAAGTTCAAAAACCTGACCAACGTTTTCAATTGACAGTGGACGCACTGTATATAAGTGATGCCATACTGCTGTCTTCTTGTTGTCCTACTCTTAAACTGGACCCTATCCTCTGGCTACCTATGACTACCTCGGAACGGAACTGTGTATTTTACTGGTGCCTTGGTCGGCTATCTGGTGGTAAACCTAAGGAATGTATCTTTCACCTGTATCACAACTGAAGTCGTCGCCATGCTTTTGAATGTTTGCATATTCACCACTGCTTGTACTTTCCTTCCTCAATTGATGATCCAATATCATTCCTTTTCAATTTGCTTCCCATTGCATAAACCTCGTTGTCCCTCCGATTGCCTCGGTTGGTTTACCCTCTGGCCTGTCCTATGTTGAACTGGTTACCCAAGTCATAATGTGAGTCTGGTTTCTTTTTGTTTTTTTTCTTTTTTCATTCTATCTTTTTTTTTTTTCCTTATTATGTTTTATCTTGTTTCTATTATTTTGCTTTTTTCTTTTTCCCCTCCTGTCTCTTGGGATGTTTTTTATTTTTATAACCATTTCATGGCCGGCTCGGGCAATACAACACATTTCACCACTACATGCTTTTTGCCAAAAATTTTTTTTTAAAAAAAAAAGCAGAAAATAGATTTTTTTTTTTTTTTTTAATTAAAAAATCTGACAACATATTTTGAGTATCAGCACCAATCAAAATAATGATAAAAATTATAAAATTAAAATTAAAAAAATAAGCCCCTCCTTTTTTTTTTTTTTTTTTGTTTATTTGTTTAATTAAACATATTTAATATGGCTAAAACGTTACGTTGGCCGATTATTTCCTTATGCCTTATCATATTTTTATTGTTTTTTTCAGTGAATTTTAATCAAAATAATTACTTTACAACACAAAAGCTACAGGAGTTGAACACATCTTCCTTACCCGATACTTTTAATCAACAATTATTCGTACAATTACATGTACAGGAACCAGGTATAAGTGAATATATCATTATTATTACTCTTATTTATGTTCATTATTTTATATCTTAGAATTAAATGCGACAAAAGTTAAAATTATATCAAATGATTATGATATCGCAATAACACATCCTTCATTAGTATGGACAGGTATGTTATATTATATATGCATATAAATATTAGTTTATTTAGATTTACTTATTGTAGAATATTTGTATAGAGCAAGATTTAGAGTTCTTTAAATCAGCAGCAGGTGAAACAGTGTTTTCCCAACTTGCCCTTATCCCTGAGGCACATGAAAAGCCTAATTTTGCTACCATGACAGCAGCAGAAAGATTATTTAAAGCCCTTTTTATGTATTTTGACAAGATATTAACAAATGATCCACTAATAGCTGTAGCAGATGATCCAAGATACAAATACACTTGGGAGTTATATAAGCGACTTGAAAGATCATTATATCCTTGGATTTATCCTTATTGGCAAAATGTATTTCACATCAATAACCAGACACTAAACGCAGATGGTAGCAGCAATAGGGGCATTGTTATTTGTGTTGGCAATTCTCAATTTAAATTCGCTGCCTCTACTATACGTGCTATTCGAGAGATCTTCCATTGTGACTTGCCTATTGAAATCTTTTATATCAACGACAATGATCTCTCAGAGGCTAAAAGATCTTATTTTCAAAATGAATTTAGTCATGTTACTTTAAGAAAACTAGAAGATTATATCGGAAGATATTATACAAGATTTGGTGGTTGGGCTATGAAACCCTTTGCTATGCTTGCAAGTCAATTTACTGAGTTAATCATGATGGATGCTGATGTTTATTTCTTACAAAATCCTTCTATCTTATTTAATGATACTGGTTATCAAACAGCGGGCAGTCTTTTCTTTTATGATCGTACTCTTTTTCCTAATTGGGAAAAGGGACCCAATTGGCTAAGGTCTTTCTTACCTACGATGAGTTCACTTGTTCCTAATACACGTTGGTTTAAAGGCTTGTCTTCTCATGAACAAGAATCAGGTATCGTTGTGATCGATAAACGTAAGTCTCTATTGGGCTTACTATCTACATGTAAATTGAATGGTCTTACAGAGCGTGATGAAGTTGTTTATAAACATGTTCATGGTGATAAAGAGGTAAAAAAGAAAAAGAGTTTAATAATTACGATAACTATAATATTAAAATAATGATATGATCAGACTTTTTGGATAGGGTATGAAATTATGCAAACCCCTTATGCATTCATTAGATCATTTGGCGCTGTTATTGGAGGTATGGGTCGTGGTGGTAATGATGGTGAACGATATCAAGTATGTGGAGTACAACTTCATTTAGATGCAAACAAGAAGCCTTTATGGTTTAATGGAGGTCTTTATAGAAATAAGCATGCACACACACTTGAATATTTGAATTTTACTCATTTCGCTGAAGGTGATAATTGGGAGTTTGCTACTCACTGCATTCGTGATACAGATAAAATTCAAGAAATTGATCCTGAGCAGAGAAGGGTTGCTTTAACTACAGTTGAATTTGATAAAAAAAGAGCTAAAGATGAAGAATTACTTAATCAGGGCAAATGGAGACCAAAAGACTATAGCACGCATAATTAGACTACAGCATCTTATTATTATTTATCGTTCGTTTTATACGTTATTGAAGGAATAAAATCATAATTATTGGAATTTAGATAAACGGCTTACACTACCATTGTCAAAGCTATTTTCAGGTCCACAGGAACATTTCTTCCAAATAGACCTTTTTGCTTGGGCAATGCGAATAAAACAAATTAAAACGATAACTGATATCTTTCCAAAAGTGTACTTGATATTTATTTAAGAATAAAGCAGTCCTCTAAGGATTGTATAACTAGATCTGCCCATCTTTCATATAAAAAAAAATATATATATATACCTTCCTCTTGATCAATAATGTTACAATAAGTTTGATATTAAAGGCTTTTAAAGAAGCTAGTCTTTACAATCTGAAATCCATTTCACTAGAAATAACATCAATTCATAATTTCTACGCTTATCTAACGTAGCTGCTAATAGACTTCTTTCTGGTTTATCAATAGCTGGATGTTTATGTAAAGTATCTGCCATTAAGCGAGACTTGGAATAAAAACTCTTCTGTATTATTATGAATATCCCTCAAGTTTTTTTTTTTTTTTTTTTTTTTTTTTTTTTTTTTTTTTTTTTCTCCTAGAAAGATAAGCTCTGCATTTATCTGTTTTATTGCTATAACCATGGTCATAGATTGATACTTTTTTTTTTTAAAAAAATTTAACATCGGCTTGAGTCATAGAGGAAACCAATTCTTTATATTCAATTGATAGGTTCTCGACTGAGAAAATAATATAGAAATAATTGCACTTTTTATTAAAAACGTCTTCTATATTTCGTATTATTGTTCGCAAGCCACTTAATGTTCGAAGGTTCCTTTTTCCGATAAATGTAATGAAAGCAGCAGTTAAATATGGATTAGGTTGTTTAAATTAAGTAGGAGGGGAGGGGTATACTGTCATTTGTTATTATAGACTGGGATTGAAGAAAAGAAAGGTAATATTAGCTGATATTGTATTATAAAGAGATGTAAGAAATAATATAACAATAGATGATACTATTGTGAAGATATAAAGTCGTATTAAAAACTTCTTAAATAATTATGCCATAAAGCAGCATAGTAATTAACAATTTTCATTTTCCAATTGTATACTAAATTAGTTTAGGCCAATTCAAAATATCTTAATAAAAAAGAATGTAGAGGCAAATAGGACAAGCAAGAAGTATGGGGATATCATATAAGAAGGATGAATATTCCTAACCAAAAAAGAAAGCAGTCTATGCATAAAGAACAATAACTAGTATCCTTCAAATATTTTCAAGGAAATCATAGTGATTATTCCATTTGCTTAAAAAGAAAAAAACAACCCTTTACTCAATTGTAATTAAGTTATACTTTTATACCCCTTTTAGCCTTTATATTTATGAAAACTATAAAATATCTCATTTTCAACTTAATTCTGCAAGCAAATTGTCAATTTAAATCATCTCATTCCATTTTACGGTTAATCTCACAGTAGTTTTTGAAATTGTCTCTCAAAAAAAAAAAAAAAAAAAAAAAAAAAAAAAAAAGCTTCAAACTTTCTGAAATTAAAGCGAAAATACTGTGGCATATATATATTATTCTCTCTAAATATTCTATACTTGATATAATTTTATACAAAATAATATATTATTAAACACTAATAGTTTTGAAGATATTCATACCAGTGCTTGCTGTACTAATAACACAACCAGGTATTTGCTTATGGAAATGTAATTCTTTAATATCTTCTTGGCCTTGATGAACAAATAATAATTGAGGTGGAACTTCAACGCCACCGGTCGTTAAACGTCCTTCTTGTTCAGTATCAGGTTCAACCGATAAATCCCAAAGTGTCAATTGGTTATCTGCACCAGAAACAGCTAACACGGATTCTTCAGTAGGATGCCATTCAATAGATGTAATAGGAGCATTATGCCATTTAAATGTAGCAACAGGTGTAGGTTGAGAATTACCTCCCTTGAATGTACGAAGATCCCACACACTAAAGATGCCATCATCATGTCCACTTGCCATTAAATATGATGCTTTTTTATTCCATGTAATCACGTTAACATCTGAATTGGATGCATGAATGCCAACTGCAGAACGTTTCTTGTTTCTTGTGTCCCAAATCTTTACTGTTTGATCAGAAGAACATGATGCAAAGACATTTCGTTCAGTAGGCGACCATTGAATATCTTCAACAGATGATTTATGTTCTCTAAATGCAACATTTTCCGTATTAACGCCAGTAGGAGTTAAAATTGTATGATAAATACGACCATTATTGTCACCGGATAATAGGCTAAACAAACATAAAAAAATAAAAAAATAAGAAACACTATTTTTTTTTGGATAGATTATATATTAACTTACCGGCCAGTATCAAGACTAGACCAATCTAGAGCATAACCTTCTTCACGTCCATGATTATTAATAGTTACCAAAGGCTTCTTTTGTGGCATATTTGAAGATGTACCAGGAACATCTAAACTAGCTACAGCATCTGTTAAATCCCAAATATGAACTTTACCAGTTTCTGCCCAAGTAGCTGCAATATGCTTTTCTTGTTGTTGAGGCATTACTCTTAAGCGATTAACACAACCATTATGAGGAATAGATCTATACTCAAGAATAGGATCTTCGTCTAAAGCATCTGGGTCATCCTCATCATCAGAATCTATTATTTGTAATTATCAATACTTTGCTTTCCCTTTAACATATATGAATATATAAATGTATACCTTCTTGTTGAGTTTTATGCAAAGAGGACATCTTCATAACTAAAACTTCGTTATTTCTATCACCTGGAAGTGAAGTACCAGCAGCTACATATGCAGTTGCAGGAAACTAACATTATAAAAATGAGTTTAATATCTATAGTTCCATGCTGAACAATAACAAATACATACATTCTTTCTCTCATTACCCAATTTATCTTCTAAAATATCAAAACTTAAAAATGGAAGACGAACGTCCAAGTTATGAAGCATAACATAAACTGAAGGATCTGCTTCTAAAACTTCACCTTCTGCTAAAGGCTGGCCAGGCATATATAACTTTAAATCATCTTCGTTTCCTTCATCGTCGTCATCTTTTTCATCTACTTCCATACCTAATCATTTAGGCGTAAGTTATCTATTAAAAGTATCGTTTTCTGCTTGTTTTTTTTTACCGTCCGCTTCTGAATCAACATCAGCGCTTTCGACAATCTCTTCCTCCTCCATTTCATCTTCCCAAGCATCTTCAAATTCACCCATATCATTCTTTTCTTCCATATTATATCTAGAAGCTTCATTTCCGAAAGCTGTAGACTTATTCTGATTCCTTAAATCAGCTTGATCAGCTTGACGTTTTGACATTGTTAATATATTCTTTATGATAAAATAAAATAAATTAAAAGTGCATTTGGCCTTTTTTTTCTTTTTTTTTCCACAAACCAGAAAAAATTTAGACAGTCCTATGTGTGACTGTCAAACCCAGCCATCAGTTCTGTTGCACGCAGCAGCAGTTCTCATCACTAATTTTAGTCGTTGTCCCCATTGAGTTAACATAATAACATATTTAATACATTGTTAGTTACACCCTATTACTATTGTATTTATAACAAAGTTAATAGAAATAGACTATCATTTATTACATCCTTATTATCTCCAAGTACTTACATAAATCAGCGTATTCAAGAGTTCAGGGCAACTATTACTATTAGTGATAATAATTAATATTATAAGTCCTTTGAACTCTTGCTTTTATGTCCTTCCGTATACAACATAAAGAAGTCTTATTTCAAACGTATCCTCAAGCTTTGATTCTTTATCTTCTGTAGTATATGTAATTTAGTATAATAGATATGCATATCCCTCATCATAATCCATAATAACCCCTTGGATAATTTATCTTGAGAAATAAAGAATTTTTTGTTAGAAATATCTCCAAGGATAATAAATAACTACTCAATGCGAAATTTATAGAGAATTCGTCTATATTCAATTTTACATCATAAGAATAACTATTGAATGTATCCAGTTTTTGAATTATTATTATTTTCATAGAAGCTCTCATAATAGCCTTTTTATAGTCTTTTCTTAAATGTTCCCATATTTTGTCGTTAAAGATGTAAAAGGAATAATGTTACATGTTAATATTTGCAGGAATTCCAACTAAATTATATAATTCATATTTTTAGATTTTTTTTTTCAGCTTCTATTTTTTCCTAAATAAATAATAATAATCTATTTTCTACAAATAGATTAAACAATCATCATTTTGTCGACAGATTATTCACTGGTATCCATTCCTTCACCTTCTTCGCTTCATCAGCGACAGAACTCAATCCATGTTAAGCAACAACAATTCCATCGGAAAAATTGGTTGAAGAAAATGTCATCAATTCAGAATAAAAAACGAGTTTTCATCTCAACGAGCATAATCATCATTTTCCTTTTATTACTATGGGCATTTATACCAAATGATTCTTATCAATCTATAATTCAGTTTAGGAATATTAATTCTGGTAATAAATATACTTGTGTATTTTTGCGGCAATGATTGTATAGGCTATACTCTCTTTTTTTTTTTTTTTTTTTTAACCTATATTACCAGTAGAAGTTACACAAGACTTACTTTCAGAGCATTGTTCAGTACCATTTCCAGGAAAGCCACTCATTCAATATGCAGTTATGGTTGATGCTGGTTCTTCTGGTTCCCGTGTTCATATTTACAAATTTAATTTTTGTAAAGAGGAACCAGAGCTTGAAAATGAAGTCTTTCATATGTTAGAACCTGGTCTTTCTTCGTTTGATGATCCTGAAAGAGCAGCAGACTCCTTAGAAGAACTATTTCAAATTGCAGTTGATAATGTTCCCCTAAAATTACAGCGGTGTACACCTATTGCTGTTAAGGCAACAGCTGGATTACGTCTCTTAGGGCAAGAGAAGAGTAAAGTCATTTTAGATACGGTACGTAGAAGACTTGAAACACAATACCTTTTCCCTATCTCAAGTGTAGAAATTATGGATGGTAAAGATGAAGGAGTTTATGCTTGGATCACGGTGAATTATCTTTTAGGAAATTTTAAATCATCCTCTTTATCACGATCTGTAGCAACTTTTGATTTAGGTGGTGCCTCTACGCAAATCGTATTCGAACCAGAATTTCCTATCTCTGCTGGCAAAGGTATAAAACCTGGCGACCATTTATATGAATTGGATTATGCAAATCATCGATATAATTTATACCAACATTCATACCTTGGATATGGTTTAAAGGAAGCGAGAAAAATGATAAAGACAAAAGTAATTGAATTATGGCAAGATAGATTACCTTTTGGGCAGATCTATCATCCTTGCTTGCCCGAAAATTATACAGAAGTAATTAGTTGGAAAAATGAGAGTATATCGACGGATATTCAACTTATTGGTACTGGTGCTGGACATGCAGCTTGTCGTGGTATTATCGAAAAGATATTTAATAAAGAAAAGGTGTGTCCATTAGCACCATGTTCATTTGACGGTATATACCAGCCTCCTTTAGAGGAGACATTCATAGATCGTGATTTATACGTGTTTTCATTCTTCTATGATTTAACACAACCACTAGGACTACCTCAGGAATTTACTGTACGCGAGTTTGGAGAATTGGCAAACCGAGTCTGTAGTCGTGATATAGAGGCTCTTAAACATGTACCTAATGCCTTGCATATCTTAAAAGAATCACCGGATTATTGTCTAGATTTGACTTATACACACGCTTTATTGCGTATTGGTTATGATATCTCTCCTGAACGTATAGTACGTACTGCAAAGAAAATTAATAATGCAGAGACAGGATGGTGTTTAGGTGCTTCTATTGCTATGCTTAATAATAATCAATTATGTAGAGTGTAGTAGTTACAAATAAAACTTTTATTTATTTGATGCCATAAATATATACATCTGTAATATAATGCTTGCATACATACATAAAAAAAAAGGGGGGGAGCAATGCATAAATTAGTTAAAATGTATAAATAAATTAAATTAAATAAAGGAAAAAAAATACACCTTTTGCCAAAATGATGTCGCAAGAAAAAAAGTAAAAAAAACCAGTGTTGCATACTGGATTTTGCAGTCATTTTGCGTTGGTGCGTTACCATGTCGATTTTTTTTTTTTTTTTTTTTTTTTTTTTGGAGACACTGTCTGTTTACCTCTTTCCTCAAATTGCCATAACAATGAGTAAGGCAAATAGAATACAAAAACCCAAGCTGAAACTTATTAACAATGTCTTCTTTTTTTTTTCTAATACCAGAAGAGTTGTTACAATACAAATTGCCACGCGACTATATGCCATGTACGGATCAAATTAGTAAAATCGTGGCTAAGAATCAGTTTACTATCGACCTGATTACCACCTCGCTTCTGGGAGTCCCTGCAGGCACCTATATAACCGGTGACAATATGTTTATCGATGATACAGAGCGTGACATTCTCTATTTGCCTCGTTCAGCGGATTTTGCCAACTTATCCCCCGTAGTAGTGGAAATACAGCACACAGTGACACGTGAGTTTATGTGCCGAGCTGTCCAATACTGACTGAACGTGTACAAGCGTTTCCACATCTTCCCAATCCTATTCATCGTCTGTATCTCAAAAACAGAATCCAAAGTCCTTAGGGACCTCTTCAAACCTATCTAAAACAAGTCTTACCTCCTGGAAACACCTTGTTGCCACTTCGTAACTAGTTGCTTCATGCTGACCAAACAGAGTATCGATCCTTTTATTGACAATCGTGATATCAATACATTGGACCCTTTGGTTGCCTTTGCCCATTTTTTGATGTCTGGTCAGCAAAGTATCATCAGTATTGACTGATGGGATGACCCAACCGTCACAAAACTGTACTTGGTCGCTATGGAAATGGTCAAAAACGACAGGAAGGCAGAGAATGACAAATTGGAAGCCTTACGAACGATTTGCCAAGCAACACAAAGTCAATTTGAGAAAATATTATCGACCGTCTTTGACAACCCCAACCAAGTGCAAAGATACGCAGATGCAGGGCAACACTATAGCGCGAGTCTCAAAAGGAAGTACGACACAATGAAACAGGGATCAAGCAGCACACCACCAGAAGCAACAACACCAATGGAGCTTCCTAAAGGATTTGATGGTGCTTCTTGTTCTACAAATTTCAAAAACGAAAAGTTGATTGCATTTGTCAATACTTGGAAACAGAATAATAATGGTCGAATGAATTGGTCTGTCTGTTAGGAAGAAGGAAAGAAGAAGGGCCTGTTCACAGAGTACTCAAATAGCCATAGTTTGAAGAATATATACCACAAAGTAAAAAAATGATTTCTAATCACTATCAGCAATTGTTAAAAAGAGTTATCAGCCAGGGCTACTCCAATTTTTTATCTCGTGAATAGTTTGCATGCACTTCAAAAAAATAAAAATACAAAAATTCGCTTTAAAACTGGTTTTTTCATACCAACCCAAAACTTTTTGTGTGTGTGTGTGTGACGATATTGATGATATTGCAATTTTTATTTTACCTTACACTTTTATGTTTTTTGACCTATGGTTTAGAGATTTCTCGCTTCATTTACACAGCGTTTGAAGAAACTCATCAATCGTCGATAGATGTAATGCAAAAATATCCCTTGGCCAGACGCAAAAAAAAAAAAAAAAAAAAAAAAAAAAAAAAAAAAAATCGACATGGTAACGCACCGACGCAAAATGACTGCAAAATCCAGTATGCAACACTGGTTTTTTTAATTTTTTTTCTTGCGACATCATTTTGACAAAAGGTGTAATAATAATTTATACTGTTATAATAAATAAAATAACTTGCTGTTAAAAAAATATATATATTATATAATACATTAAGATATGTTTTTATCATGATAAATGTCTATAGCAGCTTCATCCAACATCAGTAGACTACTGCTGGTATCATCATTAAACGAATCAAAAGAACTACATGAGCATTCAAGGTTATTATGCATTCCACATTTCTTTAAAAATTCGCAGAGACATTCTGTCATATCATCAGGAAGTCCTTTATAAATAATTGTACATGTCTGTAATATACGTATAATTCTATGAATCATAAATTTTGCTCTATTTTTTAACTCAAAGTTATTTTTTTCTAAAGCATGCCCACAATACACTGTTGAAGCATGGTAAAGGCATACAATAACTTGTTGGGATACACACCATCCAAAACAACGAGTAAAAACTTCAGAATATTTAACAATAAGATCTGCTGATTCCGAACATATCCTGCTTGATCTTTGTTCTTGGTATAATAAAGAAGGTGATGTGTAATCAGTAGTTTTTGAACGTCGAATACTGCTGAGAATAGCTTTATGCAAAATAATCCATTGAGCTTCATATTGTAATTTTAATAATAAAGATGCTTGAGCTCGTATACTTGTAGTATCCATGTGTGTAACTATATCTCTTTCTCTAACCTTTTTCAGTTTCATCTGCTCTAATTGATCATAGTCAAAATCTTCGTAATTAAAAATATCCATAGGCACCCGGTTATGCCACTCTTTCAATGTCTTTTCTCGAGATAGCAGCTGTTTTACAGAAGCACTATATTTAATTTGTAATTTTATTTACTTAGTCACTCTGAGAAGCTCTACAGAATGAGCAAAATAAGATTCCTTGACGAGAGTTTTGCCATTATCAAAATCGATTTGAAGATTTATATTCTTGGCTTTATTAAGTTCGTAAAGTGTATCATTTAGTGTACAAATTTCATAAAAACTGATATCAAATATTGAATCATCAATAGTGGGTGATTCTCCAACATAGTCAGATAAAGAGCAATCATAATAATAAAAGAGAAGTAATAATTTTATCATATTCCTACGCAAAATCAGATTATCTGTAGGTAAACCGTTTGTTTTATAAATACCAAGCTCTGCAATCATATTTAGGCAAAGTCCAATATAAATCCTTGCTTGCGTATAACGTTTACAAATGAGACAAAACATGATAAGATTTAACAGTGTTTCGAGTGTCACGCAGTCAGGAGGCTCATCAAAGAACTCCATCAATTTATCTCGAGCACGGTCAAAATAAAATCCTGCAATCTCTTGAGCATTTTCACAAATATGTTTATCATGGCGTATAACATGTAAAAAGAGCATAGCCAAGCCGGAATCAATACAAGCTTGATTTCTCGGAGAATTATCTAATTTGTCCCAAAAGGATTTCCAATCTGAAGAAAATTTAGGATGTAAACAGTCCCAAAACACTTGTCCAATATAGTTAAGTGCAGCTGGTGAAATATTTTTGGTAAGTCCATTCAAGTTCATTCTATAATGTCGATAATTTTCGAGACAAATTTCCGGACGTCTGCCTGTAGCATATTGCCAGTAATCTAAGGAGATCACATCCTGTGGCAAATTTGTAGATGAACTAGGAAAGGAGTATAGTAGATCGAGTACTGTATCATCTTCTTCAGATAATGTTAGGGCTGGCACTTGTAATGCTGTTATATTCGAATAAGTTGTATCAACAGCTTCTTCCAATTGTAATAAACGTATCTTTTGTACTGCTTGTATTAATTGCTCAATGCTAGTAATATTAGTATCTAGTCTTAAAATATTACCAGGCTGAAATGATAATATCCATTTTATTGAATTGTCTTTAGTTGAGGTCATTAAAACTTTATTGGTATTTTTAATGACGTTAAAAGCCTGCAGTGATTCATGATTCTCTATTAAATCTTGTTCCCATAACTGTTGCCGTAGTTGTTGTTGAATATTTACTGTCGTAATATTTTGCTTTTCAGCTACTATTGCTTTTGTTGGAGAGAATTCTTTTTTATATTTATTTAACCGATCGGAAGCTGTTTCAAGTTCTTTAGTCAAGCGATTTAAAAGAGGGGTTGTCTTTTCAATCCAAGACTCAATTTCATAAAATGTTATTTGTAATGATTCAATGTCCTTTTCAGGTGTATTTTTCTTTTCTTTTTTCTTATACGTTGTAGTCTTTATTTTCCTTTCTACTATTGAATCTTTTGCCATCTCATATATATATGTTCATACATATATGTGTATATTTGTATATCTGTAAAGAAAACAACATAAAAAAAAAGTTTCATAAAGTAATTGGCTTGTTGTACAAAATACAATTTTTTTAAATTTTGCTGGACTATATACGGACTTTAAATTATTATCAAAGATATAGAATTTCAATGTAAATCAAATTGATAACGAAGATGCATGTCTTTAATTCAAAATAAATAAATGGAATAAACTTGATGCGTATTTTTATTATATCTTTTTTTTATTGATTTATAAGACATGAATGAAAAATAAAGTATTTCATAGATATAATTAGTAAGCAATTTTTGTTTAAGAAATGTAAGTTTTTTTTTTATACAGATATAACACATTATTTCCTTTTTTGTTTTGCGTATTTTTCACTCTATGACTCAGTTAGACTCAAAGGCATTGGATTTCTGCTTTCAAAATATGGGATTTGCATTACTGTCTTTTTATGTGAAAGGTTAGCTTAAGATATTTAAATTTTGTCTTTTTTTTTGGAAAAAAAAATAAGACCCTCAATTAGTTATTATTTACCTACTTTAATCTATCAATAAATAATGGTATTTCGTTCTTTGTGTATTTCTAGAACATATTACAATCATGATTTATATGAAAGATTATACTTTACACTCGAAAAATAAATAAATAAAGTAAAATAAAAATAGACATTTGCTTTATTTAAACTGAAAACAATACATAAAATAATAATTTTTATAAAATAACAAAAGTTTATAAATGAGTAATAAAAAGTATCAAGTCGATAATCAATTATTTCTTTTTTCCACCTAAATTTAAAACATTGCCTAAACCAAAGCCTTCAAGAATCTTATTAAGACCAATTCCACCTAATAAACTGTTGATAATAGAACCAAGACCAAGACCATTAAGAATGTTACCAACAAGACCCAACACACCAGTTAACAATAATCCAACAGCAGAAAGAATTTGCAATAAAGGACTCTGTAAGATATTCCACAAAGGACTAAGTTCTTTATTTGCATGAGGCATATTTCTGATCTTTTTCTTCGCTCTATCAATGGTTGTAGTAACTTCACCAGAAAGCTGCGCTAGAAGTTCAGCCAAATGATATTCTTCAGGTGTAGCTTTTCTTGCTGATGATTTAGCCTGTGCTTGTTTAGCAATCTTTCCTAAAGGATCAAGCCCACGAATAGCTCCATTACATTCTTCAAGAATAGCAGAGCCTTGTTCAATTAAGGGTTTCACATTTTCAACCAATTTTTGTTCGTCACGATCTTTTTCAGATTTTGCTTCTTCACTATCAATAGTATCAGTTATATTTTTAAGTATAGGCTTGATTTTATCCAGTGATTGTTGAATAGCTTGAGACATTTGATCTGCAATCTTACGTTCATCAGCCTCTTCAGTTTCTTTACGACGCTCTTCTTCAGTCTTTTGTCCTATCATCTTGGCTTTACCAACGATATGGCCATCCTTATCAATAATATTACCATCATCATCGACAGGATAGTTTTCCCAGTTATGAGCAGCACTTTTATCAACAGTACCAACAACATTGTCATTTTCATCAATGACTTTACCAGATTTCCTGACTCGAGGGGAATGTTCATCAACCATAGTATTTGGATTAAAAGGCTTATTCTTATCTTCTTCTTCCTCTTCTTCTTCTTCTTTAACCATTTCAGCACGACCAACAATATGGCCTTCATTGTTAAAGATATTACCTTCATCATCAACTTTGAAACCAACAAACTTGGAAGCAAGACGTTTATCAACATAACCAACAACATTATCATCCATATCGAGGACCTTACCAGATTTCCTAACTTCAGGAGAGAATTCATTTACTGCATCATTGGAACTCGAGGATTCTTTTTCTTGCTCTTGTTCACTTTTGAAAAGCTCAGCTTTTGCAACAATATGGCCTTCGTTATCTATTACATTACCATCCTTATCAACTTTGAAGCCAGCTAGTTTAGGAGCTCTTTCTTTGTCAACAGCACCAATAACATTATCTTCCATATCAACAACTTTACCAGACTTGCGAACTTCAGGTGAGTTTTCATTAACACTTTCATTGGGATTAAAAGGTTTATTTTCATCTTCAGGTTCTTCTGGCTCTTCTGGTTTGATCATATCAGCTCGGCCAACGATATCACCTTGGGGATTAACTACATTACCATCAGGATCAACTTTGAATCCAGCCAATTTGGGTGCAATCTTTTTATCAATGTAGCCAACGATATTGTCATCAAGATCAACTACTTTACCAGATTTTCGTACCTCTGGAGAGTCTTCGTTAACATTCTCATTAGGATTAAATGGCTTATCTTCATCTTCATTTTTGAATAGCTCTGCTTTGGCAATAATATGGCCTTCATTATTAATAACATTGCCATCAGGGTCAACCTTAAAACCAGCAAGTTTAGGTGCCATACTTGCATCAACCGTACCGACAACATTATCTTCCATATCAACAACTTTACCTGACTTTCTAACTTCAGGAGAATTTTCATCAACCTTATCATAGGGGTTAAAAGGCTTATCATCTTCTACTCCCTTGCTATCTTCATCTGAACTAACTTCATCCGAATTGTTCTCATCAGAGTTATCCTTATTTAAAGTATTTTCAATTGATTCTTCGTCTCCTATGTCTTCATCTGTATCATTTTCATTTACAGACTCTTGATTATCTTTATCAACTTCATTGATAGATTCTTCATCTTCAGGCTGCTTTTCTTCGACAGTATCATCATTTTTTTCTTGATCCTTACCACCATCAATATCCTTAATATCCTTATCGGTAGTATCCTTTTCTGTATCTTCAGCCGCATCAGTAGCTTCTTCGGCATCATCATTAGTAGATACAGGAGCATCATTAGCTTCTTCTTCAGCATTTTCCGTAGCTATTTGGGCATCTTCATTTGCAGAGTTAACATCATCTTTAACATTATTTTCGGCACCATTGGTATTACTCTTAATTGTTTCGACGTCATCATTACTATCATCTTGAGTATCATTTTCAACAGTTTCTTCAATATTATCATCCGATTTCTCCTTCTCAGCATTTGCATTATTTTCTAGAAATATAAATAAATGTAAGCTTAAAACATACATACACACACACGCGCATACAATATACGACTTTTTTTTTGTACCTTCAAGTTTTTCTGGTATTTCCTCAGAGTTCTCAGTTACGGTTCCTTCCTGTTCTTCTGTATTTTGAGCATCATCTTGTTCATTTTCAGATTCTTGAGAATCGCTATCATCATCGTCATCATCACTTTCTTCTCTAATTGGTTCGACTCTTCCAATAATTTTCCCTTTATCATTAACAATAACACCATGATCGCCAACCTTCTTACCAGAAACTCTCTTTAATTTACCCTCAATAAGTTTGCCGAGAATATCACCTGTCTTTTTATTAACGACCAGACCATGCTTATTGACCTTTTTACCAACCATTTGCTGGTAAAGTTCTTCATCCTCATCTTCGGATTCTTCCTCTGAATCATCATCGTCAGATGTGTTATCCTGATCATCGTCTTCAGGCTGTTGTTCTTCAGAATCTTTATTGTCTTCAGGTTGTTGCTTAGAAGAATTTTCTTCATTTTGCTTTTCGTTATTGTCATCAGTATCTTCTGTTGATCCTTGCTGCTTATCAGAATTCATAGTTTCAGGCTGTTGCTGTTGCTGTTCTGAAGATGGATCGGCTAAAGAGGGGTCATTATTCTTTTGTTTAGCAGCTGCTTCTGCTACAGCTCTGGCCATTGCTTCTTGTTGTTTTCTTTGTTGATTTTTCATTGCACGACTCGTTAAATACGGTATAATAAAAAATAATTCAAGAATTTTTGTAATACGTTTAATATGCTTTCTTTATATGTGTATAAATATGTATATATATTTTTTTTTGTTCAAAAATATAGACCAAATATATTTATATATGTAGATGAATATGGATATATTTAAAAAATAAAATAAAATAGAATAGAATAATTAGTTTTATATATTTGATTTTATACTACGTTATTGCTGCCATACATTTAAATTTTATTACTTCATATATAAATCACTATAGTTAAAATAAACTTAAAAAAAAAAAAAAAAAAAAAAAAAAAAAAAAAAAAAACTTTAAATGTTACAAAAAAAAAAAAGAACGTAAATGACGATAATCAAACGTATGTTAGTTTTCGTATTTTTTTGGGGGGAATTTAAATTCAATGGTATATTATGACATACATAAAAAGCTATATTACATTTATCCTTTTATTATTATTATTATTATTATTTATTTTATAACATGTCTTCTGCAATTGGTCTACTTGAAAAGAAGAAAAAACCAAGTAAAAGTTCGAAAAGTAAGAAATCTTCAAGACGATCTGATGGATTGGTCGATTCTCTTGGTGAGCCTGTAAAGTCCACTACCAAAAAGGTTAAATCTTCTGCAAAGGAAGCTAAGAAACAATTACCGGTTGAGGAGCCATCTACTGTAGGAGAGACAACGGATGATGCTATCGAAAACGTGGATGATGCCACTGATCAAGTTCAAAACACGGCCACTGATGTGGTAGGCGATGTGAACGATAAAGTCCAAGATGCCACTGACAATGCTCTTGAAGACAAAGTCCAAGATGCTACTAATCAAGCTCAAGATGTCACTGAACAAGTCTTGAACACAACAAAACAATTAGAAAATGAAACAGAGAATGCGCCAGAGGAAGCCCAGGACATGTTTGATGATCTTCAAAACAGGATCAAGGCTTATACTGAAAAGCTTCAAAATAATATTATTGATAATGGCAATAACCCATTAGACAGTGATAATGATGCCTTGATTACAATGAACGCTATCATGGAATATAATCGTAGATTAATGCAACGATTAAATGGTTTAGAACAACAGACTGAAAAGAAGAGCGAAGGGGTAAGTAAGGAAACTATTCAAAATACAGTTCAAGAGACATATAATGAGGTCAAATCTGAGTTCGATCAAAAGACAAATGGTACACATCAGTCTTTTGAGCTTCCTATTGGAGACATGATGAAAAGTTACGGAAACTTTAGTTCAGAGCCTTTACCTGATAAAGATGAACAGTCGAAGAAATCAGATAAAGATGAAGAATCCACTATTCATGAGGGCGATGATGAAGAAAACAAGATAAGAATTAATAATGGAGATAAAGATGATATTATCGTCAAGGTTGATGCTACAAAGACAGGTATCACTTTTACCATTCGTATCCCTCGCAATTAATGTGTTGCTTTATTTTATTTTTCCTTTGTAAACCTTTTATAATTGATATTTGTTTATTTTATTTTATTTTATTTTATTTTATTTTATTTTATTTTATTTTATTTTATTTTATTTTATTTTATTTTATTTTATTTTATTTTATTTTATTTTATTTTATTTTATTTTATTTTTTTTGTAAATTTACTATGTCCTATATTATAATATAGTAACAATAATAAAAAAGTACTATAAATCACTTTTATTTAATTTGAATCATGTTTATTAAAGTAAGAATTATTTTATATAGTATTAAACTAAACGATAGCTTCATATAATATTGATTATATTTTTTTTTAAAAAAAAAAAGGATATATGTACAACAGGATTATAGTATTTTGTATTTACTTATTTACAAGAAACAAAAGTTTATTCGATATTAATGTTAATGATGATTAAATATACACTTATGATAGGAAAATAAAGTTGAAAACAAATTAAAAAAAACAGATCATTAACGAAGTAAGGCTAAAGTAACATCACCATGTACTCTGGCTTTAAGTTCGATTTCAACATCTAAATTAAGATCAAGTCGAAGACTAAGAGGATGGTCGCTTTTTCCACTAACAGCATTAGAAGCAGTATCGGCCACAGAATTTGCAGTGTTCCCTATATTATTAGCATTATTTGCAATACCCTGTGCAAGACTATTTTGCTTCTGAAGTTGAGCAATTTGTTGTGGAGTTAATTTTTCTTCATCTGATTCTTCTTCTTCTTCTGAGGTTTCTTCTTCTGAGGATTCTTCTTCTGAATCGGTTTCTTCTTCCGAGTCAGTCTCTTCGTCTGAATCAGTCTCTTCTTCCTCACTATCATCTTCTGAGTCATCATTATCATCTACCTCCTTTTTAATAGGTTTCTTATCATTCTTTAATTTATTAGTTTGCTTTTTTGCTTCTTGTTCAGGTTTATTGTTCTTTTTGCCCTTAGCTTCCTCTTCTTTGGGTTTTTGAGGTTGATTTTCCTTTGGTTTGGATGCTTGTTTTTCAGGAATGGAGCTATTTGTGGGCATCTTTTATAAATGTATATATATATATGTATATGTGTATGTGTATATGAAGAAGGGTTTTTTTTTTCTTGCTTAAGAATAAGTTAAGAAAAGAAGAAAAAAAATTAGCCTTAAGGAACATTGATTTTAATTTTATACATAATAGGCTTAACTTAAAGAAGGAAAAAAAAACTGACAGTATACAAACGTAATTATTCATTGTTATGATGAATACTAAAAAAAAAAAAAAAAAAAAAAAAAAAAAAAAAAAGAAACAAATATAATTTTATAACGTAATTGGTGTCCAGGGAAACAACATAATGTCATTTTATCTAATTCCTACCCCTTTTTTATAAACTTAAACTTTAATTTAATCGGAGAAAATAAAAATAAACTTAGAAGTCATGTTTTTCTCCTTGATAATCATTTGTTGCCATTGTGATGATATGAAAATAAGATCATTGTTTTTATGTTTTTTTTTATATTATTACATAATATTTCAGGACAGTAAAATTTTCCCGTTTTTTTTTATTAATAATAATCATGTTTCTATATTAAAATTAGTTTATTGCCCCTTTTTTTATATATTATAAATGTTATATTGCAATGGAAAAAATCCCCCCAAAACAAGCTTATATTAACACAAGTCAAAATAGAACAGCTAATCATATAGAAAGTAAGCAACTGCAACAAGCAAAAGCGTTGAAAGATACCTCTTCAAAATTAACTAAAATAGATAACAAACAGCAGCTTTTGGCTAAACAGCAAGCAGAGAGTTTGAAGAAAAGTTCAAATAGACTTCATAAGCCAGATGAGGAGCAAGCATTACTAGCTAAACAACAAGCAGAAAGGCTAGGAGTATATTCTAGGCGATTACATGAGCCAGATAAGGAACAAGCATTACTAGCTAAACAGCAAGCAAAAAGGCTAGGAGTATATTCTAGGCGATTACATGAGCCAGATGAAAAGCAAGTATTATTAGCACAAGAGCAAGCCGAAAAGCTGAAAGTGAGTTCAGGAAGATTACATAAACCAAATAAAAGACAAGAGATGTTAGCCAAGGAACAGGCACGGACACTGAAAGAGTATTCAGAAAGCTTACCAAGGCCAGATCCTCAACAGCAACTTAAGGAATGTGCTGAAAGACTGTCATCGTCATCACCTGAATTAGCGAAAGATCCTAATGCTGCTGGTGGAAAAAGTAATGCTTTACGATTACGGCTTGATATTAACCTTGATGCAAGTATTCGATTAAAAGCAAGAATTAAAGGCCCTATAAAAATAACTTTTGTATAAAAATATATCCTTTAAAGTTTGAGTTCTTTTTTTTTTTTTTTTTTTTTTTTTTGCAAAATACATATTATCCTTAGTTATTTATTATTATTTTATTATAAAATTATTTCTAATGTAATAACTATATTTTACATCTATTCCTATATACTTTGTATACATATAATGCTTCTAATAATATTAATAAATAGCAATTAAATCGTTTGATAATAACAAGTTGACTATTAAGTATTATGTAATTGGCTCCATTTATTATAGCTCTATGTATATTAGAGTAACCAAATAGATGTATAAATGAAAAGGACTGGCTATATATAAGGTTAAGCACTATTCTTATATAAAATTAATTCCTCCCCCCAAGTATCATTATCTATCTTTAGAAGTAATATGGCCAAAGTCATCCCATATTAAATGAAATTCTTTCTTAATCCAACAGATTTATTGTTAAGAAAAATAAAATAGGTCTAAAAAAGTTTATTCTAGATCAAACAATATTGCGCATATACTTAACTTTATTAGAAATGAAGAATACTTCGTTTTATTTTTTTTTGAGCTAAACTAATTTCTCTAGGCTGAATCATGAATTATTGCATATGTCATAATTCCTAACTTGTTGTAGTAATAACAACCAATAATATAGTTTTATAATGTATAGAAATATATGTATTATAGTAATTGCATAAGATCACTTGATTAAAATATGATTAACATTCTCTTCTGTAAATTAGGTTATTATTTCTGCTTCATTCATTTTAATCAATAGTTAAATCTTTATGTATTCCTTAAGAAAAGATAAATGATAATATCCCACTTGATTTTCCTTAATGTGTATCATCATTTTTATAAGGAAATAACTATAAGCTAAAATTGCTATGTATCATTGATAATAATAATAATAATAATAATAAAAGCTGTTCAATATATAAAGTAGTAAAGATGGCCTAGTACTTGTATTTGATTATATTTAACGACAAGAGTCACGTAATTAAGTGATTTATACGAAAAAAAAAAGGGTTACAGATATCAAGATATACTACTATTTTATTATATTTAATTACACGTATAGACATATAATATATGCTTTATGGATTATGAAGAAAGAAAAAATAACAGAGTGGATGTATAAAAGTAAGTTATGTATTAAGCCAGCAATGATAAAGTTACATCACCATGAACAGTCGCTTTCAAATAGAGTTCAGCTTCAAGATTTAAATCCAAACGAACACTTGGCATTTTATTATTACTGCCTCCACTTTGTTGTTGTGGAGGTTGCGCCTGTTGCTGTTGCTGCAAAGCTTGCTGTTGCTGTTGTTGCTGTTGTTGTTGTTGTAGCAAGGCTAACTGCTGTTCATTAGGTGTTTGTTTACTCTTCTTTTTTTTCTTTGTGGATGTCTTTTTTTGATTTTTCGTAGCTGTAGGAGTAGTGTTTGTATTATCAGACATGTTTATTATTATCAGAAAAAAAAATCGAAAGGAAAAGGGAATAAGCTTTTTATTATTTGACTCTTTATTGCTTTGATTTATATGTTAATTATTACCACTATTTATATAAAAGTTTAGTTCCTGTTTTTTATTATTAATATTTTCCGTTACCAAAAAAAAAAAAAAAAAAAAAAAAAAAAAAATGATGTAATTAGATAAAGTTCCTTAAGAGTACAAATAGAAAAAAATGGATAATAAGAGTGGATCCCTCAAAGATGAATGATGATGCTGTCATTCTTTTGTCATTTTATTTTGTATTTATTTATTTATATGGGATTCATTATTAAGCCAAAAGGGAAAAAACAAGTACACATTTGATTAGTTCTTTAACCCTTTCCTACCGCTTTCCTTAATTAAACAAAAAAAAAAGAAAGAAAGAGAAAATGCCACCTGCCAAGGAAACGGATAAAGATAATGAAAAGATAAGAGAAGTCAGTGATTCTGAAAAAGAGGAAGTTGATACTCCAAAGCCAAAAAAGGATTCAACAAAGACAAAGAAGGAAAAGAAACCGAAAAAGACAAAAAAGAAGAAGAAGTCAAAGTCATCACCTATGGATTTAGTCCCTGGTAATTCAGCAAATGCTGTATCAGGTTTAGGAAACGGTTTTGTTGGAGGTCCTCCACAGCAGCAAATGCAACAGCCTCCTCAACAACAAAGTGGTGCTGGTGGTGGAGGAGGAAAAGGTGATAACCCTTTAAGCTTACGTCTTGATCTTAATCTTGAAGTTGAAATTACTATTAAAGCACGAGTACATGGTGATGTGACCTTAGCTCTTTTAGCATAAATGCTCATGAATATCATATTGGAAAAAAAAAAGAAAATGATAGAAATCATCTTATACAAGTTTTTTTTAATGTAATATACTATATAATAACCTATTTTTTTTATATTTAATTATTTTCCTTCATTTCTTCTCTTTATCAATTCTCTCTTCTTTTTTGTAAATAAAGCATATTTATTCAATATATTCTATAAATAAATAATGAATTTGTACTTTGCTTAGAATTATGAGATTGTATATATTTATTTATCTTCCAAGCTCCATCTTATAGAATAGCTATTTTAGTGAAAAGGAAATTTCAAGGACAAGAATAGTTGAATCATGTGATGCTAGTTTATAAAGTTATATAAGGGGCTTTACTCATTATTTTGTTGATATGTTTGAGAGATACTTAAGCAATGCTTACAATCTCAAATTTAATTTAAAATTAAAAAAAAAAAAAAAAAAATGCATTGTCTGGATTTCAACCAAAAAATACTCTACTTCTTCAGGTGCAACAAGATAATAATAATAATAAAAAAAAAAAAAAAAAAAAAAAGTCATTTTCTTTTTCTTTATACACATATCTTTTGTCATATCTTTAAACATGAAAGCTTATCCTAAATATTTTAATAAAATCTTCTCTTCTGTTCAATATTTAAATGAAAAATTTGGATTAAAGATCAACAATTTGAAATTATCTAATGAAGATAAACGTGAATTACAAAAACTTGTCAATGAGATCCTTATTGCTATACCCAAGCCATTAGAAAAATCAAGCATATTTTGCAATAAACCTAACTTTGTCTTATCACATGATGCTGATAATATAGAAAAGGTACAGCAAAAAAAAAAAAATAAATAAATTCAGTTTAAAGATCACATATGCTGATGTTTATTTTAGATCTTGACTGAACTATGCGTGTTCCTTTTGTCAAACTGGCAAAATAAAAATATGTTAACCACAGGATGTAAACTAGAAAAGGTTAGTTTATATATTATAATAAATTATGGTAAAAAGGTACCAATGATACGTTTATGTTGAATAGTATTCTAAAACAATACAAATGAGATCCGTAAATACCTTTTTTGATGAAATTAGAACAACGAAAGGATGGTCTATTTTACTTGAATGGTAATACTTAACACAATAATATATAACTCATATTTACTAAATTATTGTAAAGTATTGGAAAAGATGAATTTTGTCGCTTACTTTTAGATACAGTTGTTTTGCGTAAATCAGTTAATGATGTTTACTATCAGCTTGCAGGTAAGCTATTGAAAGAATATATGCAAATAGAGGATTTATATATTTGTATATCTTTCTATATCATAGGCCCTTCTTTATCCCAAAATATAAATATGCATCATGATAGTGAAGAAGAAAAGTTAAAGGCATGTAAACCTATTGTAAATCAATATTTAAAAACATTTTTATTTGACATTGGAGCACATGAAAAAGATTTAAAAGAGCATTTAGACGTACTATTATATGATAGAAAACGTAAACATAAACAACAAGAAGACAATGAAGTCCCTCAGAAAAAGATAAAATTATGTAGACGTCAGAAAAAGAAGTTAAAAGAACAGCTTCAGTCGAATGATAGAATAAAGAGGAGAAAATTAAATACAGATAAAGCAAATACAATTCAAATAGATCGAAGTTCATTATTATATTCTGGAAGTAGAATTAACAAACAAACAAATAAAGTTATCATGGCATTACCTAAAGATCGTACGTTGACTTGTTTTATTTTATTTGCTTGTCTTTCGTACAAAACTAACCTTTTATACTTAGATTTGTTCCAAACAGTGAAGAATTACGACGAAGAAACGCGCTTGGAAATGTGTCTTTCTAAAATATTTCCAAAAGAATTTACAAGTTCTAATCGAAAGGTTAAAATTTATAATTAAAAATATACATGATTTATTGCTGAAATTCGCTCTCTTTTATAGAAAAAGTTTTATAAGCGTTGCACTACTATTAATGAAATAATGAAGAAAATTTTAAAAAATAATAAAACAATACATTTTATGACAATATTGAATAGAAACTGTCCAAAGAAGGTTTGTTAATTATATTAAAATTGAACACATAACATGTATGATTAATACAAAAGGAAAAATAAAATAAAATAAAATAAAAACAGGTCTCAGATGTAACTATTTCTACGGCATCTACTTCTCACTTCCAGGTATTTTTTGATGCTTTTTAATAAAAAAAATATTAGTTTTAACATGTTGGATACGATTTAGGTATTTCATTTTATCAAACAAGTACTAGAAAAAGTATTTCCATTAGAATTTTGGGGATCACAACATAATTTTAATATTATTTGCAGAGGTAAAGAAAGAAAGAGAGATAGAAAGGGAAAAGAAACACAGTAACTAAAAGGCTTTGACTTAGATATTAAACATTTTATCTCTAGAAGAAAATTTGAGAAAATGTCAATGACAGAGATTATATATCAGTTTAAGGTTTGATAGCATATAGAGTTTGCTTAATATATAATAAAAACTAAGATATACATATTAGACCTTAGATTGTACCTGGGTAGTGTCAGAAAGTTCCAAAGATCAAAGAGTAGTGCCTACAGAATTGCGAAAACGAGAAGAATTAATTGAACAAGCTTTGGAATGGGTTTTTACTGATTATATTATACCAGTAATAAGAGTAAATAATTGTTTTAATATACATATATGTTTATGTAATACTCATATAATATATGCATATATAGTCCTTCTTTTATGTTACAGATCATGCAGATTATGGTATGGAACTAAAGTATTATAGAAGAGATGTATGGGAAGTTATTTGTCAAGAGCAAATACAATCATTAATTGACGAAAACTACTACACCAAACTAAAAGACAAGGTAAAGTCAATTTTGTACTGTATATATGATAAATAATCTAATTCTTTTCTCATTTGTTTTAAGGCTGAATTAGCCTATAGTCCACTAGGAGTTGGAAAACTTCGATTCATGCCAAAAACGAGTGGATTAAGAACGATAACGAATATGCGTTATACTAAAGATTATGTAAGTTCTTGACTAAAAAATAAAACTTTATTCTTTACTAATTATATTCATTCATATTAGACGAAAGATGATGTGAAAGACCTTGATACAAATAAAATACTAAGTCCTGCTTTAAATGCACTTAACTTTGAGAAAGTAAAACTGATATAATCCTATTTTTTTTTCTTCATATCATACTAACAATATATATATAATAGGAACAGGACCCGGAAAGTGTAGGAAGTTCTGTATTAGATCGCGGTCTTTTTTATAACAGACTTAAAGCGTATAAGCAGATAATGAAGACTTCAGATACAGATAAGTATGTGAATGAATCTATTTTTATTTTATCTTTATTTTATTTTTTTGAGCTAATGTATTTTATACAGATTTTATTTTGTCAAGATAGATATCACTAATTGCTTTGATAATATTGATCAACAAAAGCTTCTGTCTATAGTTGATAATATTCTAAAATCTGTAATGGATTTTTTTTTATAAAAAAAAACAAGGAATATAATTCTAATAGGTTCTAATTATCAATTTTTATATAGAATGAATATATGAGAAAGACGGTAAAAAACATTCGACCATTCTCAAATTCTGTTATAAAAAAAGAGTTTGTTTCTTTTAGTACAGGTAAGATATTATGATAAAATTATACATATATGCTTTGCTACTAAAATTATAACTTATAGCAAGTGCAATGGATAATATGAAAGACTCTATCAGCAACATAAAAGGTCTTCATAAGGGCTCCATTATGGTGGATTTGGTTAGTTTATAATATTCTTATTAATTTCAGTAAAGATCAAATTAACATATGTATATTTCCATAGAATACATATCACCTTACTACAAACGCAAATGAGCTTCGTTATTTGCTTAAACAAAGTATAGTATCCAATTATGTGAAGGTAATGCAAAATAGAATCGAATTAATAAAATTAAAAAAAAAAAAAAAAAAAAAAAAAAAATGCTAATTATTATTTAATATAGTATGGAAATGATTACTTTAAAAGAAAGCGTGGTATTCCTCAGGGATCTTGTTTATCTACTTCATTATGCAGGTAAAAAATAGCAATATAAATTCAACTATATTTACAAAATATAACCATGAGTTAGTTTTTTCTTTGGTCAACTTGAAAAGGAGAAACTGTCGTTTTTGAAGGAAGATAAAAGTGGAGTAAAGTATAAAATAATTGAATAAAATATAATAACGGATTTATTTACTTTTTTCTTTTCGATAGATATTATTCAGTTATGTTGATGACTTTTTGTATATTACAAAAAACCGTCAATATGCAAGAAAATTCATGAATACAATGTTTGCAGGTAAAAGAAAAGAAAGGAGAAAAAGATGGTAAAAAGTCTTGGGAACCTTTTATTTATCATTCATATATGTGCAGGCATTTCTGATTACGGAATCTCAGCAAATAAAGATAAATGCATGTCAAATTTGATAATTGATATAGAAGGTAAAACTAACTGGTCTATTCTTTATGTATATCTGCTAATAAACATTTTTGTTAATATATAGAATTTCCCTGGCTTGGGTTCAAGTTGAATACAAAAACGTTAGATATCTCTATTGATACAACCAAACGAAAGCGTTTAGGTAAAAAGGGAAAAAAAATTGTTATATGTATATCCTTTTTTTTTTGTGATTAACATATTGTTAAAGATGTGCTTTCCAGTTTGACTGTCCAATATAGTTGCCAACCTTCAAAGACTTTACTAAATAGTGGTGTTAGGTAATATTCATTTAAAATAATGTAAGCAGCTCTCTTATTTTAATAACTGCTATTAGAGCCATTAAATCAAACTTTTATGATATGTTAATGGACCATGAAATGAATTCAAAAGAAACTTTAATCAGGAATTTGTATGATAATTTTCAATTTGCAGCATTGAAAATAGAAACACAAGCAACTGAATTGGCGAAAAGCATAATTGGTTATATAGATGAAAGATGTCTTTTAGGTAAAGTATGCATGTATAATAATAGAGTAAAAGAACTGTAACTTATCTTCCCTATTAGAAATTATTATACACTTGGGACAAATCATTATACCAATGACACCGAAGGGTATAAACAAATCAAAGAATCTACAAATCTTTTTTAAGGCATTCTATGACGTCTTTAGAAGAAGATATTCAAGATACCCTTACTTGTCAGATTATTTAAAATATGTCTTGAAGAGATATGATCGATCTGTAGGCTATAAAGAGTAATGATTTAAATGTATAATAGAAGATAATTCTTTATGCTTTTGGGTTAAAAAAAAAAAAAAAAAAAAAAAAAAAAAAAAAAAAAAAAAAAAAGAAAGAAAGAGACCTTTTATTTCGGTCTATGGTTTAAATGTAATTTCTCCTATCTATTCCGCAACTTGGTTTTCCTTTCTACTCTTCTTTCTTTGTTCTAATTTTATGGCTTTCTTTTCCTGTCTTCTACTTATGGTTTGGCCGTTTGAGGTCGTGTACATCTTTTGTGTCTCAAAGAATTTATCTAAAGACTGAGGACTTACATCATCAAGTGTGAATTGACCCAATTTTCCAGTTCTATAATATTTTAAAAAGAATTTTGCTGCCATATTCAAATCCAGTTCACCTCCCTTTACAATAGCCCCTATACGTTTGGCTACGCCTTCTAATAACTCATTCACATCATTAGTAGGCTGATGATTGGGCAAGTTAAACCAAGTTGCATAATTATATGCCTCAAAGTTATTTAGTCGGTAAAGTAAATAGTCAACCATAATTTGTTCGTCTGATAAATGATCTCGGATACCACCTGTCAAGGCTACTTTTAAACTTCTTATGGGGTCTTCGAGATAAGGCACCATAACGCCTGGTGTATCAACTAAATAAATTGTAGGGTCTTCAAGTACTTTAATAGTGCCTATCACAGTTCGAGTAATACCTGGTTGTGCACCTGTTGCTGCTGCTTTACCTTTACCAACACCTACTCTTCTTAATGAATTAATCAACGATGATTTACCGACATTAGGCATACCAACAACCATCAACGTAACTTGGGGTATAGGATGTGCAAGTTTGGTAGCATATCTCAAGATCTCCTTTACACTTGAATCTGTTTGACAGTTTGTAAAAACTACAGGTGTTGCAGGTGCATGTTTACTAAAAGCCTCTAGAAGAGGCTTCTTTGTTGTTTGATTAGCCAAATCAAATTTATTGTATACAATCAGTCGTGGTCGTCTACCAACTAATTTTTCGAAATTAGGGTTGACAGAGGAAAGTGGAATTCGTGCATCTCTCACTTCCACAACTAGATCAACTGAATTTAAACGTTCTGAAATTAAACGTAATCCTTTTGCCATATGGCCAGGAAACCAATTAATGATTCTATCATATGGGAATGTTGTTCTTGGAATGAACTTATTGGCCATTAAAAGTTAATGTGATTACAAAGGAGAGCCCTGGGGAGAGGGAAGGAAGGAAGGCTAATTTCATTTGGTTTTTTTTTTATGCTAATTGTGACTCTCTATTTTTATTGGTTTTTTTACTGTTGGTTTTTTTTTTTTTTTTTTTTTTTTCTGAACTTGATAGTTTCTAGTTGTTTCGCTTTTTTTTTTTTTTTTTTTTTTCAAAAAAAAATAATAATACAATGTCAACTGAAAAAAAAAAGGGAGCCGCAGCAACAGAGGAAGCACAATATGCAGCAGAAGAATATGCTGTAAATGACTATAGTGCTTCTTCTAATTATAGTATACCACAGGGTTATTATAACGATAATGGAGAATACATTGAAAATGGAAGTTATAATTACGCAGATGCCAGTCAATACTATTACGGGTATGATTATACAACAGGAACATATACTAATTCCAATATGACGTCAACTGATACCTCAGGAGCAGGATATAACTATGATCATTATTATTCACAACAAGCTTATTATGATCCGTCAGCATATAATACTACAGTACCCGAATCTGTTGCTGCCATTCAATCAGCAATGGCAACTCCAAAATACAATACAACACCTGTAGCAGCTTCACCTTTAACTTCTACTGCCACTTCTACTATACCGCTTAGGACATCCATCACTACTAATACAACAACAACAACAACAGCAAATAATCTAGCACCTAAAATATATTATCCCTCAACCGCTAATCCTAATAATCCAGTGGGTCCTGTTATCGTATCAAAGACCGGCTATACAGGACCTCAATCTGCAAATGCAACAACAACAACAACAGCAACAACCTCAACATCAGCATCAAATGACAATAAAAAGAAAAAGAAAAAAACGACTGTTAGAGTAGCAGGCGGAGAAGTATGGGAGGATCCTACGTTAGAAGAATGGGATCAAAATGATTATCGTTTATTTGCAGGTGATTTGGGTAATGAGGTAACTGATGAACTTTTGTATAAAGCGTTTTCAAAGTATCCTAGTCTATTAAGAACACGAGTTGTACGTGATAATCGAACTTTAAAATCAAAAGGATTTGGTTTTATAAGTTTTAAGGATCCTGATGACTTTGTTAGAGCTTGGAGAGAAATGAATGGTAAATGTTTTAGCATGTTTCGGGTTAATTATGAAGTATATACTAATTAATAAAAATATGTATTATTAGGTAAATATGTTGGAAATAGACCTATTAAATTGCGTAAAAGTAACTGGAAAGAGCGTAACATTGATGTTAAAGCTAAAAAAGAAAGAGAGCGCTTTGGACCCTATTCAAAGCATAGATAAATAATTAAATAATAAAGTAAAATATGTGTAATACACTGTAATTTATTATTATGATTATGATTATTATTATGATTATTATCGAAGATGACAGCCATGAGGATGATCATTTAAAACATTTAAAGCAATTAAAATGACATCGACAGTCCACCAAACACCGCCAAGACCAGCAGTTAAAAGTTTAATGATACCAAGGAAAATATAACCAAGATAGAAACGATCAATGCCTAACGATATATATTTAATTATAAATGGATACTTATACAAATGTATACATGTATTAGTTAGTTTTACCTAGAGGCCCAAAGAAGATAGAAAGCATTAAGGCAACAAACCAACTACGATCGGATACACACATTTCATTCAAATTTTCATTATTATCTGATACATGGGGCATTTCTTTATCTTTAAGAGTAAAATGTAAAGATAGAGTCAAGACAGCAGTTATAGAAAGTATAATGAGCCAACTAATAATAATACGAAAACGATGTTTGTGTGTAATTCGTTGAAATTTTTGTCTCCAAGATCCATTAGACTGATTGTCATTTCTTGGAATTAAAGGAGATTCTTCATCATGGTTCATATTAGCTAACGTACAAGTTTTATGTATAAAGGAAAAAGAAAAAGAAAAGAAAAGGACCGAAGTGTGTTCGTTTTTTTTTTTTTTTTTAGTGTAACATAAAGCACTTTAGTCTCCTGATTATATATTATTGAACTGCTTTATATAATTTATTCTGTTCATGCTCTTTTCGGTGAAAAAAAAAAAAAAAAAAAAAAAAAAAAAAAAAAAAAAAAAGTGATTTTCATGTGCATTACAATAGACCAAAAATCGATTCTATTAGGAAGGTGTACATGTTCATAACTGTAAATGAGACATGATTTGAATCATTTGTACTGGTCCAATTTATATAATTCAGTAGCTAGTATCTGTCAATATTCTTTTCTTTCGGCAGCAGTCATCTTTTCATATTTATATTGCTCTGATCGATGGCTGTGCAATTCCCGTGTTCACGTTTTTAATTATTTATTTATTTTAGCCACATTTATCTTTGAATTAATATAGAAAGCCATTTTTCTAGTAATCTATATCCGCCCAGCTATGTCTAACTATCTATATAGCATATGTTCTTGCTGTCTCTAAGTTGAAGACTGTCCTCTTATTTCTTTCTCCTCTCATCTTTCCTCTATTCTATATCACTTGACAAGTTATACTTTATTTGCTTTGCTGCTGCTGTTGCTGCGCCCATTTGTTAAACCTTTTTAATAATAATTCCATCTATTTAAGCCGAAAAAGGAAAAAAAAAAACTTTGTATCAATAACTTGTAGTAGAGTAAAAAGAAAAATGATACTTGGCTAGTTAAGAAAAAAAAAAAAGTAAACTGTGGTGAGTGGGCATCTTTGTAACTATTATTACTGAATTATCAACGTGTAAATTTAAACTCATTACAGGTATAATAGAAGGCAGAAGACCTTTTTTCGTGAGTTTATAACACTCAAGTTAAATAAAAGATAATTTATATCAATCATTGAGATTAAAATATGATATACTTGTGTAGCAGAAGATTATATGGGTGTGTTAAGATATAAACAGTTTTGTGTATATGCTGTATAAATTAATCTTTTTTTCCTTGAAATTTATACAATAAAATACAAACATTGAATAGAAGAAGAAGAAAAAAATAGATTTATTTTCATGTAATTTATAGCATTTATTTCGTACAAAAATGAATGTGCCCATATCATATAGTAGTTCTTCTTAAGATTTGCGCCAATCAGAAGTAATGACAGTCTCTTTAATAGGGTCAATCTGTATATGACACGTAATAAGAATAAGAATATATATGTATATACATATTCATATATATTGATTACATCAATAGAATGTTACCTTAAAATAAAGATAGTCTTTCTTGGGCTCAAGATAATATACAAAATAAAATGGTTGTTGATTTGTAGTTGCTGATGAAGCTGTTGGAATAGTCGGACCTTTAAAATGACATTTTAATACTTGTGCATAAAAAAAAAAAGTTCAATTCTCTATTCTTACCCGGCATAGTTTGTAGGACAGCTTCTGTAGAATGCTCAAGTGATGGTGTTAATTCATCAGGCTTACCAAGTTTTGATAAAATATCTGCTGCGGATGTACCGGGTAAGCCAAGTTGGTCACCTAAAGTCTTTTTTTTTTTTTTGAATATTAATTTATATTTTTACCATGTCTTTACATTTCATACCTTCATAATTTTATATTTTTCATCATTATCAGCTCCTTTACTAGAACCATTACGTAATGATTGATACTTCAAAGCCAAGTCATTTAAATTATCTTCTGACATGATTGTTTATAGATGTATATATTTATAAAAGAAAAGAGAAAATAGAAGGGAAGAGAAAGGAAAGGAGGAAAAAAAAGGATATGATGAATATATAATTTCAAAATTCAAAATATTTTAGTACAAAAATGACGTAATTTACATAAATTAGAAATAGCTATCATAAAACAGGTGTACCAACATAGTTTAAAAAGTTAGACTTGAACATCAAAGATATATTTGTATATGTATTGTAAGTGAAAAAGCAAAACAGTTTATTGTCCATTACAATAAATGTATGTAAAGACATTAGCAAGCATGTTTTATATAGAAGCATAAAATAGATAATTATTGTGTATAGCCTTATGCATTTGTTTAAATCAGTTCTTATATATGTGCGTATACATTATGTAGAATAATAAAGGGGACTTTGTTTTTTTTTCCTTATTATTTCAGGAGAGAATCTTTAAAATAATTTTTTCGCGCCCTTTCAAGCTCTTTGTTTTCTTTTTCTTTTTGCATTATATACATTAATGTTGCAAGGAAAGAATAAAGATATAATTCATATATCACTGTTATATATAATTCAATATTTAAGTATTTCAGTTATTATATTAAATGCTTTGGCTTTAAATGAAACAAAGAATACAAATCAAGGATTAATTATTGCCGCAAAATCAGGACCACAAGAGTACATTTTACTAATATTAGGAGCAATTTCATTGTTTGCTGCTTTCCTTTTACTATGTTCATACCTTCGAATGGTTCCATGTCTCTTAGAAAACAAATCTATTTTATTATCAAAAAGAGCATTGATACTAGAAATATGTTTATCAGCCATAATTATTTTTCTTTGGACGCTAATTTCAGTCAATATTTTGATGTATTTTCATGGTACGGACTATAGACTATTTTAACACTACACACACATAGATATATATGTATATGTGTATGTATGTAACTTTAAAATATTATATTTATATATACATCTATAGGACTATCCTCATGTAAAAAGCGAAATATATCTGTATTAATCACAGATATTTATTTTGACAAATTTGGTAACAGTAACACTATAGTAAGCTCCAAAGCATGTAATTTTGCAAATACTATGATTATAATATGTAAGAATTATCACACATTTATTTTTCTTTATATATTTATACGTATTAATACTAAAACTTTGTACACAGCATTTGTTACAATTAGTGTTTGGTTGCTAGTATTATTGTCGTCTATATATTCATTCTCAAATATAAAAAACCGTTCTTCTATTAGTGATTTATTTATCATGCAAGAACCAATATTATATGAAAACCAGTTTCAAACAAATCAATTTAGCAATAGAAACACTGTGTCAATTATTAATACCTATTCATTTAATATAACAAAGATAGAAAATGAAGAGAAAATACTTAATCGAGCGAGTGATCATCTGATACTTAATAATGACCAGCAAAGAAATACTCTTCTTGATCTCCCTTCTTCTCCTCCTAGAGCTATTTTAGCAACTAATAATCGACATTTTGACTTTACTTATTTAAAGCCTATCAATCTTGGTTTGTAGCTTTCATAACAACTATTTCCTCTTTTTTTTTTTTTTTTTTGTGTGTATCATTCATGTTTACTACACATAAACTAATACTAATAAATATAATTAAGCATTGCTGTCAAAAAGGCTAAAATTATGTATATAATGCTTTAATTAGAAAAAAAAAGAGGGGAAAGGAGGTAATTCTGCCCCAGCTTCACTAATTCTCGGTAGAGTGTTCAAGTAGACTCACTATAGATTCAGGTTAGAATTCTCGATCTAATAAAGTCCCTTTTTAATGTTTACTATTCTGAATATATCTTATTATTTGCAGAATCTTTTATAAACATTTACGAATGCTTATTTTCATACATTTGTATTACTAAGGATTAGTAACATAACATTATCAAGTCAGAAGTAAAACAAGTTTTTTTTTTCTTACATCTAACATCACATCATTTTCAAACCTCCTTATTATCAATAATAATATGAAACAGTATCAATAGTATCAAACAGATATACGTCATAGTGTTAAGTCTATATATAATAAGCATCAACATGATTCCAAGTCACTACTATTAACAAGAAATGATAATTTATTATTATTTAAAAGAGATGAAAAGGAGACTTACAGTTATCAAGAATACTAAATTAACAGTAAAGAAGATAAAAAGGAAGGAAGAACTAATCTCTTTATTGAAAAGATAATTATATAAATTTTATCTTGGTAACTATTAGCGATAACGAAAATTCAAACATTCTCCTTCGTTCTACTTTTTTTTATTTTTATTATTGAAGGATAAGGTAGTATACTTTTCCAGTGAGAAGAGATCACTAGTATGTTAACAAAAGTCATATTATACTTTTAGTCTCCAGTTATTGTGAACAAATATGTAATGAATATAAATGATAATAACTAACATGTCAATCATACTACAATTTTTTTTTTTTTAGTTGGTATGTGTGTAAAAATCAGGGTCAAAGCTATTTTAAGAACAATTACTAGTTGGTCGTGTTACATTATTTTAATAAATATAAATACTCATAATAGAATGATATATACAGATATATAGACATATATTTATACAGGCATATATTGATATAGTTATATATTTATATAGATATATATTTATATACACATATATATACATGTAATGTATTATTCATAACCAAGTCTTTAATATCTTTCTTTATTTTCTCGATTTAATCATACCTACTAGAAATATATAGTATGGACTATAACACTATACATATTAAGTAATATAAATAAATAAATAAAATAATAGCATTTAGTACGGAACAAATCGGGGTTTATTTGTATTAAAGTTATTGTTTTCTTTATTTTTAAATCTTATACTTTTCTTTCCCCTTTTTTTTTTTTTTTTTTTCTTATACATATAAATATATTTAATCAACATGACTTGTTATTATGATCTTGTTAGATACCCAACATCGGATACTATTAAAATAGTTACTTATTTATTAGAACGAATTACAAAAACAAATGATAAACTTCAATATTCTTCACGACAGTCTCCTTATAGTTGCTTTTACGCAAGATCTATTCCAACTATTGATATACAATCTTATCTTGCACGTATTTTAAAGTATTGTCCTTGTGCAAATGAATGCTTTATAAGCCTCTTAATTTATCTTGATCGAATGTCTCGGAATTTGACTGGATTAAGAATAGATTCATATAATATACATCGTCTTATCATAACAGGTATTATGGTTGCTAGTAAATTCTTTTCTGATATGTATTATACAAATGCTAGATATGCAAAGGTACTCTTTTTTTTTTTTTGTTAGTATTATTTATTCACTTAAAATAATAATAATAATAGGTAGGAGGATTACCTGTAACGGAATTAAATGCTCTTGAATTACAATTCTTAAAATTAAATAACTTCAAGTTAAATATTCAAATTGAAGAATTACAGCAATATGGAAATCGATTATTAATGCACTGGAATAATCGTATAAAGAGTATCATTTATTTAAAAAAAGTTGATTTTTATAAAAAGGAAGATTATCAACCCATAATTTGTTATACAACTACTGCTGGTCACAGGTTAAATCATTCACAAACTAATACTAAAAAAATTCAATCTTGTTCTTCTTCCAATTTATTCATAATGCATTCAACAGATACAGCAGATAAACTGGAATCTATTACTAATTGTTAAACTAAAATCAAAAAGAAGAAGGGAAAAAAAAATCTGTAAATATAATTATATATGAATATATTTATATAAATATTTATATTATTTATTAGGTATATATTATTGTTTATTTTAAATATGTGTTTATTTTATTTTATTTTATTTCTTCACTTATTTTTTATTTATTTTTTGCATTTAAGCCATTTTATATATAAAATAAATGTATACTTTATTTGTGTATTATACATAGATAATAATGCGCTTTCATTGCTTAAAATAGATAAAGGATTATTGATCAGCATTTTTTGTATTACATGCATAATAAAGGTTTTTTATTATTATAAAGGAGAGAAAACGTTTATGTAAAAAAAAATAGTTGAATTTCAGGTACATAAAATGCCTAAAAAAAAATGCATTTATCTATATTTGTGCTAATCGTGTGTTACATGCCCCTGATAAACAAAAAAAATAGGTACATAAACAACATTGTTTATTATTTATACACTAAAATAATCGGTATGGTGATGATGATTATGATGAGGAGTAATCACTTCTTCTTCTTCTTCCACGATTAAAGCAGATGCAATAATATCATGATTACTATTTTCAGGTGTTAAAACAGGTGTTTTTCTTTGTATATAACTACTATTAAAAGAATCCTGGATAATAACAGATGATTCTGAAGGTACAATCAAGGTAATTGCAGTCGTTGTTTGACCATCTTGAGTAATTTCCCTTGCAGCTTGAACAACTTTAATAGATTCTTCTTGTTGTTTTCTTGCTAAATATTTTTCAAAGAATAGATCTGGTCTAGTACAAGTACCAAGGGCTCGCCGCATTTGTTTTGTTATCATACTTAATCCAATTTGATATGAGGCGTTCATCCAACCGAAACCTTCGCGTGGTATATATTTAAAGTCGACACCTACATTACCATATTCTACTTGAACTTTATGTGTCAAACTAACTACGTCATATTTTTCAGGAACAACACCATTGAAATCAACAAATGATTTTGTGATCCTAATCATATTATTAGCATAAATAATAATGTGGTATTACCTTTTTTTTTTTTACATGTATAACCAACGATAAGCAAGTCTTTGTTGGATATCAGTCTTGCCATAATTTTCAAAGCCTTTCCAAGCAAGTATTTGATGAGGTGCCCAACCAAATGGAAAATCCCATTGACGATTAGGTCTATCTAAACTAATTATGCCTCTTGATTCAGCAGTTCCTGAAACAAGACCACCCATGACTTCAAATTTAGGGAGAGCCAAATGTATCATTTTTTCGACCTGTTCTTGACTAGCACACTTTGCCCACATGGTCCAGAATGTGGTTACTGTTTCATAATCACTTTGCTTTCCCTTCACAGTGTCATAATCAAAATACATGCCCTTTTCTTCATTCCAAAGATATGTATTCATGCGCTCTAATCTTAAACGCGCCCTTTCACGCCATATATCTGCATCTTGCTTTACACCATGATAGTCAACCAAGTCATCATTTAAATAATCTGTTATCATATCAGCAATATCCGTTTCATATTTATAAAGTAAACTATTTAAATCAATTGTAGCCAAATCAGCACAACGTCCCTCATATCGGTATGTCGTATCATGTCCAGATTCACGTACAGCACGATCATGTAAGAAATACTCATCTAGCTCAGGTTCTATCAAGGTACCCTTATTATACTCTTCCATATAGTCAACAATAGATAACCCTGCACGAGAAGCATAGGGTTGAATGACGTGGTCGAAATGAGATGCTTCAGTCTCAGGCGGGATACCCTTCCCATCGGGTCTAAACCGTGATAATTGGGTCTTGGGATCTAAACGAGGTTCAGCCATCCATACGGTGTGATACTCCTTGATGGCAGCTTGCAAGACGCTTCGTAACCATTCTTTATTTTCATCGTCAGACATTGTTAATTTTAAATAGACTTGACGTGCCATATCTGTTAAAAAGGGTGGCTGTGATCGAGTTAGATAATAGGAACGATTGGCATTCAAAATTTTCCCATAATGTTTGATCTCATAAGCAAAATTCTCAACCATCCCTTGAGCCAACTCTAGACGATCATCAATCAAGAGGCCCAACGCTTCAAAATAAGAGTCCCAACCATACATCTCGTTGAATCGACCCCCTGGGACAACAAATGGAACACCTATAAAAGTAAATTCACCCGTCTCGATATCCGTGACCACCTTCTTGAGAGCTAAAGACAGGATACCCGGTCTATCATTAATACCTTGAACATATTCAGCTGTGATATCTTGAGGAAGTCTCTCAACTTCAAGCCCCCACATCTTTTTAGTATTGGCAACATTTTGGTAATATTCAAATACCTCCTCTTCTTCATCATAAGGGATATAAATTCTCGGACTATGATTAGCAGATCTATTTTTAGGATCCATACATATCCGCTCAAGTCCCTCAGCATCGATACGACGAGTTAAGCCATCCCAGAAATGATGTCGAATCATTCGAGAAAGACGATCTACTGGGTTTTCACTTAAACGTGCCTCATCCAAGACAATATACTTTCTACCATAATCTTCTGCAAGAGCAAGCTCTTGTAATAAGTTGGACAACATATAGGTGCCTCGAATCTCAATCTTACGATACCCACCTGAATCTGCGCTTCCAACAGAGAGCGTCTTTGGTCCTAAATCATTGACTGTAATTTGAAAATCTCCATCTGTATCTTCTTGCTCAACCAAGACTCTTTGTGTATCCTTAACGTCAAGTAAAAACTTTCTTGCTTTATATTTATCATCTATTATTTATATATACATATATATGAGAGGAAAAAAAAAAGAAATGGAAAATAAATAAATAAATAAATAAATTATAATATACATATACAAAAGTAAGAGGAGATAATTAGATAGTTTAATAAGAGCAATACAACTTTATTTATTTTATTTTTTTTTACCATGAGAACCTCTTCTTTTTCTTGGAGGGATTAAATCATTTTTATCGTTATTCAATACATGTTGTTGTCCCTATTCATATATAAAATAAATAAATATATATGCATATATATATTATATATGTATACAAGTAGAATCATTTGTAATATTACAGATAGTGTACGTAAACGATGGACAACATTACCAGCGTTGCTACCAGTAGTATAATATGTCTTTGCAGGAGCATGGACATCTACTATTATCTCTTCTTGATCGAGAATCGTAACATGTTTGGCTGTAGATACTTGCATTTAACAAAAATAAAAAAAAATGAAACGAAAACAAAGCAATGATATAAATCAAATCATTGCTTTTTATACACGAAATGAAATGATGAAATGTTACATTATAATATGATTGGTTCTCTTTAAATCAGGAGTATCATAATTGATAGCCTTCATATAATAATAGTAATGACTACCATTTACTTGTTTTTTGTGTGTGTAAATAAGTATATTTCTTTTCTACATATTTATTATTATTCACAATTTGTATTGTCATCAAGTTATCAGTCGCTGTGTTAATTATCTGGATCTTTCATAAATAGCAAATAACGTTGATTTTATATAATATTATTGACATTTTTTTTTTTTTTTAATAATTAATTTTTAGGGGTTAATTGGATAATAGCAGATACAGGTACTACTTCAACGTCTCTAGCACGAGCCTTTACGCTTAAATTTCGATCACCTGTAATTAAACAAACGGGAACAGTTTGATGACTATTATTTGATGAGTTTTGTTGAGATGTCCACCATAAACATGTTGAAAGAATTAAATCATCAAGGTTTTTATCTGTTTCTCCAAATACAAATTGTTCTGAGCGAATTGAAATATCATTCATAAAATTGTTATGTGATGTTTGAATTCGTAAACAAGTACTTTGTTTAGGCTTATTAGCCAATGAATGCTCTATTAGTTCGATACCTTGTTGAGCTACAAGTCCCAATTTTTGTGTGTTTGTCTTTAAGCCATCCAATTCAGTAACAACTAAATACGAAAAAAAAAAAAATAACCCTTAGGTTTAAAGGTTAAAATAAAAAAAAATAAAATAAAATAATTACCAACAAGTGGTATAACGATCGACCATTTTTGAGATTCAAGTAAATATTTAACATGCTCAATATGCCCAATAAAACAATTTGTATCAAGAACCAAAACTGTTTTACCAGGAATAATGCGCTCACGTAAGTAATTTAAGCGAGCTTCTCTTTCCATGGCACGAGCAGGTAAACGGCGATATCCAAAACGTTCTTCTGCTTCTGCACTAGCTACAATAGACTGAAGTTGCTCACGTCTCTTTTTCAATTGTGTCATAATATCATCTCCATCATTTTGTTCATCAAATTCAGTTTCACTCGATAATAATACATCATCTTCTATTTCTGCTATCGTCATCGTATTTTCCTCATATAAATTTTCAACTGCTGTCTGCTGCTTAGTAAGTGAGGATTCTGAAGTTGCAGCAGGTTTTAATGTAGACACCCTTTTTTCTATTGATTTGGATACTGTAAATATTTCTTCTACTGGGTCATAATAAAGTAGATCATCCAAATGCTATAAACTAATTGGTTTAACAATATAATAAGACTATGATTATCATTTATTACCTTGACTAACGTAAATCCATATTCCAAAATCTTTATCTTTCGTCGAGTAATCATGTCAATATTATGAATTGGTAACTTACAAGTATCCTCCATAACTGGCTCTAATTTTAAAAATCTACCATGTATATCATCCACCCAGCCTAAGCCTCTTAAAAGATCCTCTTCTGGAAGATCAGGTTGTGAGCCCATAATGGACATTATATTCTTAGAAAATGAATATTCTAATGTAGAATCTAGTGTCGTCTTTTGACTGTTGTCCTCCATCAAGTGCTTGTTGACTATATCATATTTGATTTCATTGGGTATTTCCAATAAAAGCTTGTTTAAAAATTGAATCAAGAGAGGCCAAAAAGCAGGTGAAATTTTAGAATTATAAGAACCGTTATCTGTTAATGGAAATCTTTTCCTTTGATATGCAACAAGATCATAGCCAATATCACTTATCAGTGCCTCCCATAAAGAAGGCTGATCTTGTGTGCGAAGACATATACCGTTTAATACCATCCAATGGAATAAAGTCTCAATATATATTAGCCAGGCATATATATCTGTCTCCCTCGTCTCTTCCTCTTCTTCTTTTAGATGAATTCTATTGCCTTCATTATCTTGAACAGGGTCAAACAAAAAATCTTTGATATCCATAAATTTCAATGAAACATAAGGTAGATGAGGGAGTGAAGGAATAGTAGGGAAAAGAAGACGTGAATCAATATATCGTTGAAACAATTCAGTGGCAATTTGGCATGTCAAATCGATCCCATAAGTAAATAAGATATTCTCCTTTACATCTTCTAGTAATTCTTGATATTCCTCTTTCTCATTAGAGTAAAATAGTCTAGCTGAATTAACAGAGAGCAGTTTTGTCAACTTTGAATTGGCAAAATCATAAGTATACAATGATGAAATACATAAAATAACCATTTCAAACCAAAACAAATGATCCATAGATAGCTGTTTATGATCGTTTGCAGTAGAACTTTGATCTTCCTTAGGATTTTCTTTCGAAATTTGAAGTTGTTCAAATTGAGTCTGTATTATTTGAGGTTCTGAATCTCCAAAGAGCGCATTAAAAAACGACCGTTTTATTCTAGGTAGCTCATCTAATCCAATTTTAGTAAAAAGTAAACCGTGAAGACGAATAAATAAAGCTGGGATAATTAAATTCTTATCTGTCAAAATTGATAACTTTGCTTTACTGCTAGTACGCTTATTTTTAGATTTTGAACCAGCAGTATTTGAATCAAGATATTTCTTAATCCAACGCCTATTTCCTTCGAAAAGAGCCAGTATACTTTCCCTAGCATTTAAGAATCCATTATGTCGTACCATTAAACTGCGAATACTGAAATAGAGTTTATGAAATTCATAGCCTTGTAAGGATTGTGACGATTGGGATTGCTGTAAGAGCAAGGATAAATTAAAGTACAAATTACCCTTTGCTGGCATAAGCCAAATACCTAAGAAATATCTTTTCCAAGCTTCTTTGAATGCTTCTGATTTGGTCCATTTAGTGATTTCAGATTTATAACGTGAATTCATATCATCATAGTCCATATCATTCTCCAAAGGAACTGGAGGTATGTATTCCTCTTTAGGAATAGAAGACCATCTATATCTCGCTATATCTCCTCTTAATGGAATACACGAATACCACTTGTATTTTTTAGTTCGTCTCCACTGAACTAAATATTTTTCTATATCATCATCTTCTTCATTGTCTATATCCTTTAAGAAGGTAGTAAGTTGTAAATAGAAATTGTCAGCTAAATCAAGATATTTTAAAAAGAGAGTGAGGGTAATATGCATTTGCTTCAGTCGAAGTTTATGATTATTCTCTTCAATTTTGTCTGGCTTTGGGTTTTCTAGTTTGACAAAAGTCATTCCACCGCCCTCATGAATAACTGGCATTTCTGTAAGGCTATCATCAACAGCGCAATCATCTAATAAGATAGTAGCCAAGTCACTATTAGATTGCGTTCCCTTCGATGAAACACATTCCTCTTCTTTAATTTCTGCTGAATTAATTGGTGTAGTATTGAGATGATCAGTAATATTAGTCAATGCCTTTCTAAACTGATCTACCAAGCTGTAAATTGCCTTCTTCCAGCATAAACTTTCTAACCCTTTCTTCTCAGCGTAGTCGAAATCGCATTTCAAAATCTCTAAATATTTTTCACCAAGAGATAAATGAAGGTCAATTTTTTCCTTCCAAACCTTCTCAGCATCTAAAATATCTTGCTCCGTAAGTATATTTTGCCCCTCTTCAGCCACTAGTTTAGATCGTCGTGTATCATGATCCTCGAGTGCTTTAGTATCATAAAAACAAGGTAATGAACGAGATGATATGACTAAATCCTTTAGCTTAGATTCAATCGTACGAAGATTTACAACCAATGATTTTAATTTTTTTCGCTGAGCATCCTTTTGTAATTCCTCTGGGTTTAATGAAACAATATCGGCTTGGATTAGTTTTGGACTTGTAGTAGGTGTTAACACCTTTTTCTCTAACTTTGTTTTAGGATTTGGTGACAATACTATTTTTGGAATTATTGATTTTTCTTCATTTCTTGATTTTGGTGGACCATGGACTGAAGGAATGTCTGCGGTCCATAAACGTCTTCCAGAAGTGGGTGGAGGTCTTCTAGCAAAATCGGCTAATGGTTTTCTAGAAGGAGATTGACAATACGACCCATTTGTTTCCTTATTTCTTGGTTCATTGTCACTTTTATTATTTTTGTTAAAGCGGATTGGATGATCTGTGTGAGGATCAAAAAGCTGTCTTTCAACATTAGGAGCACCTTCTTTTATAATTAATAATTTACTGTTGCGATCAAAATCATTATCTTTTTTTCTTAGATTACTCCCTCTTATTTTGCTCATGTTATTTTACAATATATAAATATTATTATTTGGATCTAAAATAAACATGTATGAATAACATAATTAGTCATGGGTTGAGCAAATTAAAAGGCTTTTTTTTTTCATACTTGTTGGTAAAATTCATTAGAAAATGAAATTTCTCTTGTTTGTGTAGACACTTTATTAAAGCTATGAAATAGATTAAGAAATTGAATGTACAAGATTATTAGAGAAGAGAAAATAAATCTGGTCAATAATATTTTCACTTGAAAGAAAGTGAAAGAAAAGTTTTTTTTTTGGGAGGAAAGTGATAATTTTATCTCCTTAAAATGGAAATAGTTTATTTTATTTAATGACTCACATTATGCATTTAATTATATTTTCTTGTCAATATTATTAATCATTTATAATCTATACAGGACATCTTGAAGTGAACATTCAATAATAATAATAAAAAAGAAGAAAAAGAAGCATATAACAAGAAAGAAATACAATTAAAGAGGAAACATCTAACGACAAAGAAATACATCGTTGCAAGTACGTTTGATTTCTTTAAATATAAGTTACAAAAGACTATAATTCTGACCTTTAGTTAATCCTACGTAGTAATGTTGACACTAAAAAATATCTTTATGAAAGCTTTCATAAATTTATAAGCATTATATTTGATCTAATAGTTTTACATTCGACTATTACTGGTTACACTGGTAGGCATCTCCTATATCACAGTAACTGCAATAAAACAATTTATCCGAGAATGTAAACATCTTTAGCACAAGAGAGTCGAGTCTCAAGGCAGAGGCATGTGATGTAAATTGAGCTGTCTTACTTTTATGCTTGATCTACTAAATACATGAATTAACTTTTGTATACTTCCAAAATTTAGACATACGTTAATTAAAGTTTATAGAGTAATATTGCACATTCTTTATACGGGTCCCAAAAGAATTATCTTTACTATTTATGAATAAATATCCCTCAAAATGTTCTATTGATTTCATCTTGTCTAAGAGTCAACAGATATATGCTACTATTATTACTATTATTTCTAACATGTATATATATTATTAAAAAAAAAAGAAGAGAAGGAGAGAGAGAGAGATGAAAAATATAAAATAAATAATAAATATAAACTTGAAAGGGTAAATATACAAACATACATATATGTGTGTATGTGTGTATGTATGTATGTGTGTGTGTGTGTGTGTGTGTAAATGGATGCTACTATGTGTATATATATAATAGAGTAATGATAAGGTTTAAAAGGGATCTAACATAAAGTTATAAACTTGTGTAGCAGAATGTGTTAATCTTCTACCACAACTAGTCGTTGTAGAAAATGTATAGAGACTTGATAAAAGATTTGATATACTTGTAGGTAAAATAGATGTTACAAAACCGACAAGATCAGAAAGAATAAAATCAGTTAAAGGGATTTTTGTATTCTTTTCAGCTATAACTACTGACTTCTGTTGTTGTCTTCTTCTAAATAATTGTATGATACGCTTATGCCCTGCTTCTATTGCTAATCGCTCTGCTGTTTTACCAACACGATTGACTAATTTTAAATTACTTAGATCTATTAGTAATTCCACAATTTCTACTTTGCCAGACCAGCTTGCAAAATGGAGCGCAGTAAAGCCATTCTTATCTACTTGATTTACATTACAGTCTAATTTTATTAATGTTTTCACCAGTCCCACATGCCCACAAATTGTAGCTAAATGTAATAAGCTATGTTGATTACGATTTGTCAAAGAAAGATAATCTGAATTATGTGAACTGTTCATATTATGTAATGCAAGCATGCTTGATGCAACAAGCTCTTCGAGATGAGGTAAAAATAAGCTATGTGCATTATCATAGATAGCATTTGCAGCCATATGCGTTAACACTGAGCGATGATGATTAGGTGCTGTCGTTGTTGTGGTTGAGGTATTCCCATGGTTATTATTATTGTTGTTGTTGTTGTTATCGCCTTGAACAATGCGCATAGCAATTTGACGCGCATCTTCAACTTTACCCATTGTTTTTAATCCAACAACTTGTAAGGCAAGCTCCATTAAAGCACGATCACTCTCATCAAAGTAAGTAAATAACACTACATCTTGCCCTTCTAGCATTAAAGGATGTTCTTTAAATGATACAACGACAGGTCCTGCTGTTGCTGCAGGTGGTAAAATACATAAAAGTGTATTTGCACTCCAACAATGAGTAGGAATAGCAGGATTTTCACCAAACATACATGTTAATCCTTCATAAAAATTAGATCCAAGTACTGTGACCTCAGAACCACCATAGATAGGGCCCTCAGAAGGAATCAATCGATGCAAACGTGGCAATTGAGGTATTTTACTACTTTCTATTGTGTGTCTTTCTTGAAGTTTAGTATATATGTTATTATTATTATGATACGGTTGTTGTTGGCTGGGTAATATGCCATGGTTCATTACTGGTATAGTAGTTCTTCTTCTGTTATTATTTACATGCATATTTATATTATTTTGCATCATCGTGTTTTGATCAAAATGTGATACTATTTGTTGTTGATTATCAGGAATAGGATGTTGTTGATCTGGTAGCATGCTTAAATTATTAGAATTAAGAAAATCAAGTAATTCATTTTGAGGCATTTGACCAACATTAGGCTGTAATAGTGAATGATGAGTATTATTGAGCATAGTAGCATTAGTAGATGACATTATATGTTGTTGTGGCTGCTGTAATTGAGAGATAAAATGTCCCTGATTATTCTCAGCCAATGGATGTTGTTGGTTATTTACAACTAAATAGGGTTGGTTATAATTAGTACTTGGAGTGGTATGATTATTTGTCACTGTAGTTGACACAACATTCATGTTACTGTTATTATTATCAAATGATGTTGTTTTAACTGAGCTTTCAGGTAGATCATCAAGTTGAGAAGAAGGAGTAGCAGGTGTAGATACAATAGGACTTGATACTCCTGAATCAGTTTCAGCGTCCCCATTAGTTGCTGATTTTCTCTTTGATGTGGAAGGTGCATCACTTTCACTCTCCAAATCTGTACGTGCTCTCTTTTTTGCGGCTATTAACTGCATTTTCGAACTTTTATGGTCATCTGTAATCATAATAGGAGGTGACCGACCTATAGCTATCACATGGTTTAAATTATCTCTCAAAGTAAATTTAAGCCTTTACCATTCAAAGAAAAAAAAATACGTATGAATAAGAAATAGATTATACATGTATGTATATATATGTATATCTTTTTTTTTTTTTTGTTTACCTAAATCCTGTCTTCTCGCTATGATGTCGGCAGTAACAAGTTATTCTTGTAGGTAAAGTGGTCTCACCGGTATTAAAATCAACATATTCATTACAATTGAATAATATGATTTTTTTTCTTTCTTCTGCCATTATATTTTCATCACTTAGATCAGGTAAATCATTAGCAAATAATGCAGCTATTTTCGCTGCCCCTCCTTCTTTATTGACTGCTCGAGCAACTTTATTATCACGTTTTCTTTTTAGACGTTTACGCTATAATAAAATAATATTACTATAATAATCCTTTAAATTTCAATATATTACTTTACCTCACGATGAACACAACTTGTACACATGATAATTTCATTATCAGGCTGACTATCACAAATAACACCAGCTTCTAAGATTAAAACTTGGGTATCTGCAGGAGAAACGTGCTCTTCTGTACCATATTTTTGATTTTTACGCTTTAGTTTATCTTTGGCAACTAAATGTTCTGGTAATTTAATATGCGACCAATTAGTTGCTAATTCTCCTTTTGTATCTACTAGTTGTAAACATATTTTGATTTGTGTCTCTACTCTAGATTTTGCGCCTGTATGAGGCAGACCTAAGACTCGAATATGCCATGGGCTATCATTTTGTATACTTTTTTTTAATATATATATATATATATATATATATATATATATTTAAGTTAATAATAATTTCTCTTTTGTAATATGTTATTAATAAATTACATTGGTGACGAAGCAAGATTAGCATCTGTGTCATTTTCTAATTCTTCTGGGCCAAGTAAGCTTTGACTAATATAAAATGGATTAGAAAAAATAATAATAATATAAAAAACAGTTCATAATTACCCAGGAAGGGACGTCTGAGCCAAGAAATCTTCGAAATTTAAGCAATTCCTTGCTAAAAGTGGAATAGCATGTAACAAGGGATTTGTAAATACCTATTTAAAAAGATAAGATTATGCTATAACTTTAAATTTCATTAATAATGTACCTGAAGTAAAGAAGAATGTCCGGTTTCTTTTGATTTTTGTTTCCCTTTTTTTGTTAATTTAAAGGATTCAGTTTGTTGTTGGGATGCAGATTCCTGTTTAACTTTAATATTATTTGGTTCATGAGTTAACAACACTTGTAGTGAATTTGATGAAAAAAAATAAAATAAAATAATAATGAATAAAATAAAATAAAAAACTTAATCTCAATGTAGAATTTATCATTATTACCATTAGAATTGACAAATCCAAGCTCCTGAGCATTATATTCGGCAGTATGATTCAAAAATAGATCCATAGGCTGTTCATTTTGTTTATTGGTTGAGCTAGCGCCAGTGTGTTTTGACGAAGGTAATAAAGGCATGTTAGTGTTAGTTTTTACTATAGAATTTGTAGACGAATTTTCATGTGACCCTAATGGAGGAAGAGGAGACATGTATATAATTATATACGTGTTTAAATATGTATTTTAGAATGATGGTGAATAATGATGAAGTAAAAGAGAAAGTTAAAAAAAAAAAAAAAAAAAAAAAAAAAAAAAAAAAAAAAAAAACGGATAAACTATGGCTGATATTGAAAAAAAAAATATTTATTTTATACGTCACAGTCATTTATTAAGAATTACGAGCAAACTCAACTCTTAAAATAAGGTTATCATAACCATAACCATTAACTGCTTTTTGAGCTTTTTCAGCATCTTCACGGTCATAAAATGAAACAAAAGCAAAACCTTTACAGAGATTAGTTTCATGATCACGAGCCAAATAGATGCGAGCAATGCCACCGAAACGATTAAAGAGATCATGGATATCACTTTCAGTAGCATCTTCAGACAAGTTAGTAACACGAAGGGTAGCAGAGTCATCACGCTTTTGTTCACGCATAGATTCACCAGAACCAGCTCCTGCACCACCAGCTCCCTTATTACGGAGATGAGGAGGTGTATATTTGCTTCCACCATTTGATGAGTCTGTCACTGCTGCTGCTGCTGCTGCTACTGCCTCAGAACTATCAAGTTTAACAGTTTCAAGAGTAGAAGCAATTTCATCAAATGGCTTCATTGTATCCTTATAAGGACATTTAGATGTGAAGTGCTCTCCTTTACAAATACGGCATGCAATATTCTTTGCCTTATGTTGACTTTGAATCTTTTCTTTAGCTTCTTGTTCTGCAGCGGCTTCCAAATCCTAGTAAATATGATGTTAATAACTATAATACATAAAAAAAAAAGGAGGAGGTTTTATTTATTTTACCTTGCCAGCACTGGATCCTAACTTAAGGGGGATATTTTCACCAATGGTTGTTGTAGAGAGATCAGGTCCAGGCTTTTTACCTTTTTCTTCACCAAATTTAGCCCATTTTTTACGCTGAGCAACAGCTTTGTTGACATGTTCAGTTACAAGCTTAGAGCGAATCTTACGAGTAACCTAAATATATTTGTTTAGTGATATATATTTTTAGTGATATATATTTTTAGTGATATGTTTTCTAATTTTTTACAATTGATGTGATAAAATGAAACCAACCTTGACTTTTTTGCCATCTTCGTTTACTCTAAATTCAACAATGACCTTATTGCCGTCTTCATCTGTGTAAACTTGAGGTTGAAGAGAATCTATAATTTTAAATGAATGTTAACGATCATCTACTATTATCTTATAAAATGTTATACATCATCGAATGGTATATTGCTGTGATTAAAATAAGTTGTACCTTCTTCATCTTCGTATTCATCAGCCCATGAAGCTTTAGTTGGTGTACTATAAAAAAAAAAAGTTACGAAATTGTTAAATAAAAAATAAGTATAAATATAATTCATTATTCATTAGTTGCTTTCTTTTTTTGTAAGATGGAACATACTCGGTGTCAACAGCCATTATTGTTATATAATTAAGGATTAAAGAATAAGAAACAAAAACAAAAAAAAAATATGTTTGCTTTTTTTTCCAGTGATAATCGCAGTTTTTTTTTTTTTTTTTTTCCTCTAAATAAGCCACCAATTTCTTCGGGGAGAAGAAAAGCTTGCAAGGCTCCTGTATAAATTCTTTACTTTTTTATTATGCCAGCATAAACTTATAATATATTAGAAAGGATAATCTATTATATAAATATATACATGTATATAAATAATGACTATGCTTATTTGATTTTTTTTAAAGCTGAATTAACTAAAGAAAAATCAAAAATAAGTCTTTAATTACTGTAACTGTGATAGCATTAAAAAATTTACCCTAATACTCTCCAATCTATATTTTACAAAGCTATTTTATAAGCTATTATAATGACTTGATCTGAAATATAAAATACGGTGAATACCTCCCGTGAAATATGTATAATTATGTGAATATTAAAGGAAAACCCTCCTTTCTAAAGTTTCTTATGAACGAGCTGTAATCAATAATTTTGAAGAAAAGAGACCTGTTATTAAACATTAGATATAGAGGAATTAATCATAAATTACATAGGGCGCATATACAAGTTTATAAAAAAAAACTTTATAACCTATATTTATATGACTATATTATGTTATCGCAGAGATAGAAAAAAAAGAAAAAAAAGAAAAAAATGTCTAAAACTCTTTTTAAAGAATAAAAGAAAATGATAGCATGCTATCGAGTCAACGATTGAATAAGCAATTATTGTCCTAATTCATAGAGGGCTCTAGTCAGTTCAGAAAGGCGTAAGAACGTAGTAAAAAATTCTCCTGGATAATAAGAGGAAAAAATTGCCACCTCTGGAAAGACACTTACTTTACTAATTGAGCATCAAAATCAGTAGGTGAAGAAAGGGGTGTATTATGATGTAGACCATATTAGAAAAAAAATACACAGATAATAAGCCAATAGACTCACCAATGTATGGCTGCATAAGCTTTTTATTGCAATAATGTATTTTCGGTATAAAAGTTTTTTCAATCATATCCAATTTAGCCCTTAACACAGTATATTAATATTAAAGACTGATTATTAATAGTGTGTAGAATATACGATAACTATCTACAAAGCACTTTTATGAAATCAAAAAAAGGAGTTTCTGGTTATACTATCCTTTATTGTAGAAGCTATGGTATATTATAGGACAAAGATATAAGTGTCTCAAAAAAATATAGTATACATAAGCATAATCACTTTGAAATGAAAGTATGAATAATCGAATTCTTAGAGCATAGCTGCTTCCTTTTCCCTTAAATACACATTGCTATAATATAAACTGCTTAGAAAGATTTATGTAAAAAATTCCATGTATACCAAAATTATTTCTAATTGGTCTAAAATTTATTTCTATTTCATAAAAAAAATGCTCCATTTATAGCAAAAAGCTAGTAAGCAAATATATCCTTTCGTTTTTTTTTTTTCTTTTTTTTTTTTTTTCTTTACTTTTTTTTTTCTTTTTTTTTTTCTTTGCTTTTTTTTTATTTTTTTTTTTTTTCATTTATTAATACTATAATGTCGAGCACATCTTTATTCAAATGGATGGGCTTGGTAAATTCAATTTTATAATTACTAGTAAATATATTGAGACTAATTTATATTTTAGGGACAACAATCGGGTAAGCCTTCTATTGATAATGATGCTATTGATGAAGGTGAACGCTATTTTGGTCTCGAAAACGTAAGTATACATACTGTTTGCTTTAATTTCAATATTAATATACACATATATAAATAGTTCGGTAATACTTGGTAAGGATGTTATGCAAAATAGACATATTTTCATTATTTTTAATTTTTTTTTTTTTTATAGCTATAGTAATTCTGTAGTTCAAGCTCTTTATTTTTGTAAACCTTTTCGGCATTATGTGTTAAATTATCCACAATCTATTAACAGTGCAACTCAAACTTATAATACACCTTTATCAACAAATCCTAATTCTCCTATGAATGTTGTTAATGGGCATTCCTATTTTCCTTCCACTAATTCGTCAACTACATCATCTTCTACGCCAACTATTAATGGAAATATGCGACTGAGCAGTAATAATAATGTATTGAGTTCATCTTGTAGAGAAACATCTAATTCTAGATCGATTCCTCGCAATGGTGCTAATGGCATTTCTTCCGGATCAACAAATGGTGCAAGTACACCAACTACGGCTCCTATTGAAAAAGATCAAAATAATATCAATTTGGCACCTGGTATGGAAGATACCTTGTTTTCTGCACTTAAGGATTTATTTTGGAAGATATCTCAAAACAAGAAAAAAACGGGTGTCATTGCACCTGTTAATTTTATTAACAAAGTTAAAAAAGAAAATGGTAATTACATAAATACATGTAAATTTTATATATAATTAAATTTTATAAATTTAGAATTATTTCGATCAAGTATGCATCAAGATGCCCATGAATTTTTAAACTATACTTTAAATACTATTGCCGAAGATGTTCAAAGGTATCAACAAAAGCTAGCTGATGAGAATGAAAATAAGCAACAAGAAAGCATTTATAGTGATAATAGTCATGGATCGAGTAATACAGGTATTGTTTTTTTTTTCTTTCTTTCTTCTTAAAATAATCCACTTTCCTAATAAGTATTATGTAGCAGGTACTACTATTGGATCAAATCCTAAAACTACTTGGGTACACCAATTATTTGAGGGTGTGTTTTCTAATGAAACTAAATGTTTATCCTGTGAAACTGTAAGCAATTAAACATATAAATGTATACATTAATGTTTAAATTTTGCATTATAGGTGACAAGTCGAGATGAATGCTTTATGGATTTATCGATTGATGTTGAAATGAATTCATCCATTACTTCTTGCTTACGGCAATTTTCTGCAAGTGAAACACTATGTCATAAAAACAAATATTTCTGTGATGTATGCTCAGGCCTACAAGAAGCGGAACGCAGGTAAAAGGAAAAAAAAAATACGTTCAGTTTACGTTGAGTGTTAAGCCTTAATATTTTATTTAGAATGAAAATCAAAAAGTTACCCAATATATTAGCACTTCATTTGAAACGATTTAAATACCAAGAACAATTGCAAAAATATATAAAGTTAACATATCGAGTAGTCTTTCCTTTTGAATTAAGATTATTTAATACTGTAAGAGGTTTTTTTTTTTACACTAATATGTATATAACTACTAACACTACAACTTTAGAGCGATGACACTGAGGATGCTGACAGAATGTATGAACTTTGGAGTATTGTGGTGCATATTGGAAGGTGAGGATGATGATGAATTACTATATTTATTCAATTAAATTTAATAATCCGTATTTAGTGGGCCTCATCATGGACATTATGTTGCTGTTATTAAGAGTAATGGACAATGGATGTTATTTGATGATGATGTAGTTACAGTATGTATAGCTATATTTTATTGTATTTAATACGATATTTATATATTTTAAATTAGCAAATTCAAGAAGATGATATTCAGAAATATTTTAGTGATCTTCCTGGTAGTGGATCAGGATATGTCTTATTTTACCAATCAGTGGATCTTAATATGGACTCAATTAATATTTCTCTTGATAATAATAAGATAGACTGTGATAATGATAGGCCGGTACCAGTTATGTCACAGCAGCCATTGACTATTCCCGTCAGCCCACTTCGATTAGACAATATAAGTAACGATAACAATCATTTTAATTTACAATCGCCAATTATAGGTAAAAAGGATGACTACTCAAATTCAGAAATACCAACACCGGAAACAACTCCTTCTCCTCCACACCAAGAAGAAAAGAAAACTCGTTGGGGATTGGGTCGTAAGATTAGAGAAAAGAGGGATAAAAAATAAAAAATGCTTTGTGTAAAGTTATATAATGTAAATAAATAAATAATATACATTGATTCAATTCAATTTGTTATTAATTTTTAAAAATTACCATAATGTAAGTCCTTACGTACCAAAGAAGATAAGATCAATAAGAAAAAAAAAGTTTCTTTTCATGTTACATATTTAACCCTTTTTATTAATGTATATAATGAATACTATGTTCTTCAAATAAGACAAATTATAAACAGCAAGTGTGGACCTGTCCTCACGGTAAAGCAAGCCACATCGGTGATTGAATTTTTAAGAGGAGCGGAAAAGATTGTGCAGAAGGAAACTCTGGGAAGGTCAGGCATTCTATACAAAAAATCGATTGTCTTGTTGAGATAATTAATCTTCCTCTTTTTATTTCGATCAATCATGGTAAGTGGGGGAAAAAAAGCTAAAATATATTATAGAGAGAAAAAAAAAAAGAAAAAGTATCTATAAACTGTATTTTATCTGAAATTGATAGGATCCATTTAGATGAATGGATGGATGGATGGATGGATATAGAATTAGTTTACTTTTTCTTTTTATGGAAAAATGTCAAAATTAAGTAATTCTCATTAACATCATTTATTTAATTAGTCTAAGAAGGCTGCTCCCAAGGCTGTTGAAAAGGTCACTCTCGGCCCCCAAGTTCGTGAAGGTGAACTTGTTTTCGGTGTTGCTCACATCTTTGCTTCCTTCAACGATACCTTTGTTCACGTTACTGATCTTTCTGGTCGTGAAACCATTGCTCGTGTCACTGGTGGTATGCAAGTTAAGGCTGATCGTGATGAATCTTCTCCTTATGCTGCCATGTTGGCCGCTCAACAAGTTGCTGCCAAGTGTAAGGAACTTGGTATTAACGCTCTCCACATCAAGCTCAGAGCTACTGGTGGTACTGGTACCAAGACTCCTGGTCCTGGTGGTCAAGCCGCTCTCCGTGCCCTTGCTCGTGCCGGAATGAGAATTGGTCGTATCGAAGATGTTACTCCTATTCCTACTGACTCTACTCGTAGAAAGGGTGGTCGTCGTGGTCGTCGTCTTTAAGCGTATCGTCTACGATTCGAATTTTATTGTGTGTACCTTTTTAACATATATAAAATCGACATTTTTTTCACTTTGTAGAAACCTTTAATCTAGTAGACTTTGTTTATATTTGTTACATAGGATTATAGTAGTAATGCGGATTATGATTCTATATATGTGTAATTTTGTATGCTATTTATTGTCAGTTGCTGTGTAAAAAGTGTGAGGGAAAGCACTAGATAGGAATGGATTATAGAATAAGTCTTTTGATAAGATTATCTGAGAATATTCCCAATGTAGTTGCAAAATTTCAAGGGATTAAACTTTGATAATAATCTAGTAAAATTATGAAAACTATACAATTATAATCAACTATTTATCTTTTTTTTTTGGAGCTAATAATAGTATGCAAAAGATTGTTTTATCAGCAAGCGTGGACTATAAATTACTGTCCTTTTTATTAAATTGTATAGCTTTAAATATATTATCATGTCTAAACCGCAAAATTCATTTTAGTCTTAAACTTTTTAATAAAATAGTTGGTTTATATTACTACAAATTTCTCTGTAGCTAAGAGATTTATTATTGAGCCATCATACTCTCCAGACTGCGATCACGAGAGTACAAAAAGACTCTAGCTTTAGCTAGTAATTGAATACATTTTAATTTTTAGACAGTATTTGGTAATTTTGGAGCACTTTTGTATTAAACTAAATTGGTAATACTACTATCCTAATATTTTTTTTTTCAATTATAAAGCATAAGGCCATAATAACTCATTAATAATGGTAACTTGTATAGCTCCTATTTTGCTTAGGGGCAGTAATATTATGTTGGACAATCTTAATGATATTATATGTAATGTTATATACTTATAAAAGACAAATATTTTCCTAGTCTCCTATATTATTTATTGTAATAAATTCATATTGTTTCAACATTTTGTAATTAAAGTCTTAATAAGAGCGTCGTAATATTAATCATTTTGATTGATTACAAGCATTTGTCTTATATAGCAATTAGTAAAAATACAACCGATTACAAACAACTTAGTATGATTGAATTACTACGCTTATACTGAAACTTCTTACTGTCAGAACTTTTATACACAATTTAAATAGGCGTAACAACCAGTTAACTAAATATCGTTTTATTGTACATAAATAAAAATATATGTATAAATCCATATCTTATTACTTTTGCAAATAAATATAACCTCATTAAATAATATTGCTCTACGATTGTCACACTTGCAACTGTCATGAAAGTTACACAGTATTTATTTCGTATCACCTTTGATAGAATATAATTATTAATATTTTGAAATAATAATAAACGGACATTTCTTTCACTCAAAAAAAAAAAAAGTTATTCTAAATAAATAAACTGAATACTAATTAAAGCTTCCTGTTTAATAATAAACGATAGTACTACTTACTGATCAGACCTGGCACAACAACATTACAACAAGAGGCAAAATTACAATATATTAGAACAAAAAAGAAAAAATATCAGGTCCCACCGAGAATCGAACTCAGATCACCGGATTCAAAGACCGATATGATAACCATTACACCATGGAACCCGTTGATATTTTGACACGGTGTGTGATAATTGTCAAATTACACTTCTAAAATCTAGCAGCCACGTGACTTGTGACTACTACTTCTTTGGGGTGCTTTTAATAATTATTATAAATATTTTATTTTTCTTAAATCTTTAATAAAGAGAGCTTTTCTTTTGATAATAAATTAATTGTGTACATTGAGTACTACGATTGCAGCTGAAGCAATTGAAAAGGATTATTAATAAATATTGTCAAGAGAAGAACTCGGAAAAAGAGAATATTGTCAAGATTGTGATTTGGTTTATTGAGTCTTATTTGGATATTATATTTTGTTTTAGTTTATCAGCTTATATTTAACAATTTCACACTTAAGCACCGCAGACGTATCAATTTTTTTATATCCTCTCTTAAATATAGTCCAAATCGAAAAAATTCAAAATCCGCTAACCAATCAAATTGCTTAAAGTACTTAAATACACCCTGTATTACATAATATTTACTTTTATGGGCTTAAATTTATTTTTTCTTTGTAATACTATTCTATTTTATAGAAATAAAAAGTACATCTCAAACTGGAATAAATCAAAAATAAAGGTAATTAAATATATATTCCTTAATAACGTTACAAAAAGCACTTAAAAATTCAAATCATCTTTAATTTACTATCCACTTAAGCTTTTCTTTATCATTTTGTCAGGTAGTATACAAAGGTAAAATTTGAGTACGCAAAAATTGGCAGTAGCAACCACGTGAGAGACCGAACTAGTCCTGCAATTTATTTATTTTTTAGAGCATTGCAATATTTGATGTATTGCCCAAACAAAAGTATATTATAATTTGTGTATTTTTATTAAGATGTCAGATTAAAATAAAATATAATACGAAATGAAGCTAAATAAGTTAACAAGATCCAATATTCACTTTTTTTTTTCTATCTTTATTTATAAATTGATTTTGAAGGATATTCATGTACAATATTGTTATCTTGCAATACATATTTGGAGTCAGAAAAGTATTTAGTTAAGACCGAATAGTATTTTTTTTTTTTTTTTTTTTTTTTTTTTTGATAAGGTACAAGAAATTTTAACCTAAAAACATTTTCTTTGTTAAGATATCGTCTCAGATAATAACGGATTATATAGACCTTAGATGTCAAATGACGATATAATTAAATATCTATAGTAATTTAAGGACTACCATGTTATTTGTGCTTTAAATAGACGTTCTATAGATACAGGAATGCGACTAAATATAATATATAGCAAGCAAATAACATAGATTCATCATAAGATCTTAAGGAAGTGAAAATAACAGTGAATAATCAAAAGAACATTACACAGGGTTTTTATATGGAAAATGATAACGCCAGTACAGAGGCCTCTCATTAAAGTTTTTACTGTATAACTTATTCTTCATATAGTCCCAATGTATTTTACACTACGTTTATTTACTCCTCAAAGATTTACACAGATGTTACTTGCTTCTTTTGATATGATTTAAATTCTGTTAGCAAGTATTACAAAGCTTTCTATCGTTATTATCACTACCTGTCATATATTTTGAACAGACAAATAATAATAATAATAATAATAATAATATACATAATACTCTGCAAATCCTAGGCGTGTATATGTTTTCACCCAGTTATTTTTAAACTTCACCTAAATCATCGTGAAATCAAACGACATACCACTAAAGAGGAATATACAATAAACATATCAATAAAGCATTCAAGAAAATTATCTATGTATAGATAAAGATAAAAAAGATGTCCATTGCATTTAATGATTTTTTTTATAAAATTAATAGTACTCTCAAGCATAAAGAATATATTAAATTTATACTCCAGCATAATACTGATCTCTTTATTCTCTATAAAGTTTCTTAAGTAAAAGATAACCTTCAAACTTTGGTAAAGTTAAAATATATTACATCATAAGAAAAATGCGCTATTACCGGTTTTTTTTTTTCTTCATTTATTTCTGATATCTTGTTTAGTTTCAATACTATCTTCGAATCATCTTAAATTGATGTTTTTTTCTATATTAATAATAATAAAAAAAGAACCGGCGCGTAAAAGCGCGTTTATTTTATTTTATTTTATTTTTTTGTTTTGCGAATTATCGCGACATTATTTCTTTATTTTTCTTATTTATTTCCTTTTTTTTTTTTTACAGTTAAACTCGAATGACCGTTTTACCTCCTACAGCATTAAAACGAATTTTAAAAGAGTTAAGACAATTACAAGAAAAACCGGTAGAAGACATTCGAGTCATTGTTAATGATGCTAATTTAACCGAGATCCAAGCCTGGATCAGAGGTCCAGGTAAAAATAGATAAATAAATAGATACAAGAAAAGTTTTTTTTTTTTTTTTTTCTGGTTTACACTAAAAATATCATTAGATAGTACACCCTATGAAGAAGGATATTTCAAAGTAAAGCTAAATATAGATGAAGGATTCCCTAATACACCGCCTAAAGGCTATTTCATAACAAAGATATTTCATCCAAACGTATCTTCAGCTGGTGAAATTTGTGTAAATACATTAAAAAAGGATTGGAAATCAGAACTTGGGATAGAGCATATTCTGCTGGTAAAAAAAAAAAAAAAAAAAAAAAAAAGCGCATATATGCATATTTTATTCAAGAAAATCTCAACATTAAATTAATTTAGACGATTAAATGTCTTTTGATTGTGCCAAATCCAGAATCAGCATTAAATGAAGAAGCTGGACGACTTTTATTAGAACAATATGAAGATTATGCAAAACGAGCACGTTTATATACATCTATTCATGCTAAATCAGGAAAAACTGAATTTTGGAATTTGTCAAGGGAAGAATCACAAGATCAAGAAAATGATAATATTGATAATCAGGAAACAAACAATACAATAACCGATAATATTATACTTCAGTCATTATCAAATACATCATCTATTGTTAGTAAAAAGAGACTTCACGAGCAAATAGACAATACTAAAGCACAACAAGATGATACAAAGAAAAAAATAAAGAAAAATGACAAGAAAAAAACATTAAGAAGACTATAATCTTTTTTTTTTTTTTTTTTTTTTTTTTTTTTTTTTTTTGCAATTCGCTCTAAATAAATATAATGCATGCAACGATCTTATTTCTTTGAACATTCAGTTATAAATTTCGTTAAGCATTTAGCATTTGATATCGGTAATAAGTTTCGTTCAATATGTTCATCAATTTCCTATGGGATATAAATGAGTTATAAGCATATATGTATTCCAATTACACTTACAATGATAACTTCTTTTGCTGCTGGACGATTATTAGGTTCAATTTCTAATAACCAAGCTACAAGCCCAGTACAGTAAATGGAAGGGTAAGAGTAAATAAAAGTTGGACTAGGATCGTATATGATTTTTTCATAAACTTTTTCGTCACTTTTAATATTATAGTATGGTGGAACACGATCAAGCATCTCGATCAAAGTGACACCAAGAGACCAAATATCAATTTTTTCATTGTATTCAGCTTCAATAACTACCTCTGGTGCCATCCACTTTAAACAGATTATTTTAATCTTTTTAATTTAAAAAGATTTAAAAATTGTTCTTACCTTGGCTGTGCCCAGTCTATCAGAATTCATTCTTTTCGTAATAGCAGTCAATCCAAAATCAGCTATGAATATACATTAATAATTATGATAGTAATTATAGTAATAAAAAATAAAAAAGATTTACCTAATTTCACTTCACCCTCAAAACTAATAAGCAAATTTTCACATTTTATGTCACGATGAATGAATCCGTTAGAATGTAAGAAGTCCAAAGCATTAAGGGTCTAAAAAAATAAAAAAATAAAAAAAAAAAAAAAAAAATAAAATAAAAAAATTAGCCATGCATAAAAAATAAAATGATATTTTATTACCTCACGAAAGATATAAATTGCATGATTTTCAGGTAATGCTTTGACACATAATATACTAAATACACTACAACGCATCAAGTCCATAGCAATCCAAACTTCATTTTTGTATACGGAGACTTCTTTCAAGCTAATAAGGTTGGAATGTCCAGTTGACATAAGACGGAGCTCCCTTATGATAGATCTACGATAATCAGGGTCATTTGCTAATTTGCAGCGTTTCAAAGCTAATTTTATAGGGGCAGTCTTTTTAATTTGAACTTGAATGACAGCCCCATTGACACTATATGTATATGCATATGTATATTTTTATATAAGGGATAAATATGTGTATATAATTTTTTATGTAATTTTACCCTGTGCCTATCTTTTTAGATCCAATATATCTTGTCTTTGGTAAAGAAATAATGTCAATCTTTGGCAATGCTTTTCTTAAACTTTTTTCAAATGCATTATCTTCACTACGAATGACTGGTTGTAATGGTAAAGGTACCCAATTTGATCCGACTGGTATCCAAGGAGGCTATGTTAGAATGAGTTACTTTATACTTATTCTTAGAAAAAAGATGCTATTATATGAAGTTACCCTTTTTAGTGTAATTTCTTTTTTTACTTCATCTGAATATTTGTTTACAATTGACGAAACTGTAAGAGGTTCTATATAAGATGTATTTTTTAAAATATCAGGAATCTCACAACGACCAGGAGAACGCCAAATAAGAGGTTGAGTCTTTGGTTGTTGCTATATAAAAGATAGATTGTTATTATTATTATTATTATTATCTAAAATGGTACCTGAAACTTTACTGAGTCTGATTTTTTATTATTTTGTTGTTTGTTGATGACAGTTTTATTAGATGTCATATCTGAATGCGACTTTCTAACATGAGCTTTAACTGTTTTAGAACTAACAGTAGTTTTATTATCAGTAGTGCTATATGATTTTGCGAAAGAATTCCGTTGACTATTAATTGATTTTGTAGCTGTCCCTAAAGGCCTTTTATGCATTTTTAAATTTGAAAAAAAAAAACAAAAAAAAAAAAAAGATAGATAACTGGTTATATTTGAATATTTAATAACTAACTTGGAGAAATCTAATTTTTAGGTTATTTTTATAAAAGGAGTGCACTTTAAGAAAAGAAAAAAAAATAGGAGTCTAATACATTTAAATAAAAATAGCAATATGATTATGCACAAATCTATGTCATCAAATGAAATTACATATAACAAAATACAATGAATGTAAAGTTAGTTGTTCTTCTTCATTTACTATCATATTGCATATTCACAAACTATAATCATTTATAATGTAAAGTATTGAATATAATTTATACGCCTTTTCTTTAACACGATAAAATACTTTTTAATTCAAAGCTTCCTTTATTTCAAAACAATCTATTTCTTATGATAGTCATTTAGAGATGTGTTCGTGTTGCCCACTCATAGATTCTTTTTTTTTTTTCACCTTAAACTTAAACGAACAAATTCAAAAATAAACTAACCTATTCATTTGTTAATAATCATATCGATTTGCAGTCGTTTCATTTCTATGTAAGAATAGTGTTAGTTATCAATATCATATGATATACTGCTCTACTGCTAGATATGACAGAGCTTGGGGTGATTGAAGTTTAAAAGTCTTCTTTCATGGAATACTTTCCATAAGGGTTTATGTCATTCATATATCGCATATGCAATTAAAAAAAATAGCATTATCTATATAACTGCATACAAATTTAGTGAATAGATATTATCAGTCACTGTTAAAGTATAACAATTGGTCGATTGGAATTATATGCAAAAAACTTGACAGATAGTGCTTATTTTTTACGAGTACAGAAGTCATGTCCAAAATGATCTTATTTAGTATAAAGGGCTTTTCAAGTAAACATTTTTTTTTGAAAGAGTTGAATCGGAAAGATCTATAATGTACAATGATAACAAAAAATATTATATTGACTTAACTAGGAATGAAATGCCCTTTACGCTATTATTTGGGATCCTATCATACCTTTTTTTTTTTTTTTTTTTTTAATCAATTATCAGCTAAGGAGAAGTGTATTTGTGTATACTAACGAACAAGGTATTCAAAGACATACATATTTATAGACTATTCTACCCCTAACTCATTACAAATAACTCAAAGTTTACTTTTTTTTTCTTAAATTTATGACATATCTTTTAAGAAAAATAGGTTATACACTTTATCATACAGTTAAACAAACAGAATTTTTTATTTTATAGACTGCATTTTTTTTTTTTTTATGGTTTTTGGTTAACTGCAGATTTACAAGGTTTAGGTATAGGTTTATCTTCTGGTATAGGATCATGCAAAACACGTCCAATTTTATGATATTTGTGATGTTTTTCATAAAACTTTTTCCAATGTTCAACTCCTTTTAATTGTTCTACACTTAATCCTCTCAAGTCGTGTGTTAAATGATCTTTAAAACATCCAGTTACATATGCTCTAGCAGCATCTCTACCAGCAAAATGATGATAACTTCCTCCTTTACCATACCAACCACTTCCTGTTGTAACATCATAAACATCTCCACTTTCTTTTTGTTAATTTTTTTTTTTCTTTCATTAAAAACATTTTCAATCCTTACTCTATGGCTAAATAGATGGGCTTTTTGGGATCTGTACCATCAAATTGTAATAATTCCTTTTCTGTAAAGATCCTTTCTTTACGCTATGTAAACTACTCTTAGTGGTTTCTTATTTATAAAAAAAAAATAGTTGTTCTTACAGGAATGTAAGTATTAATGTTTGTCCATTTGCCACGATATCCCCAAAACCAAGTTTCTGTAATTATATAAGATCCTAAAAAGAAAAATAAAAGAGACCAAGAAAGAGCAATAAGTCCTTGACTGAGAAGTGAGGATTTTTTCTTTTCTGATATTTTTTGCTGTGATGTTTCTGTAGATGACTTGGCTGCCATTATCAATGTAAGTTAAAAAAAAAAAGAAAAAAAAAAAAAAAAAAAAGGAAAATATAGATGATTCATATTTTTTTAAAAAAAAAATAATGTTCAGCTAACATTTATCATTTTTAATATTATGCTGTATTGCTCAAACCAGCTCCGAAAAGAAATAAAAAGCTCTTAGGAGTTAAGAGAGAAATAGACAAAAAAGAAAAGAAAATGTTAGAAATAATATGAGTATGCTAGTAGTAGTTTACTATGAGGAGGACAACGAATATATTAGTTTAGCACCAGAATTAACAGTAGAAGGAGGAAAAAAAAAATGTTTGGTAAAATAGATAATCCCCATTTCTTTTAAAATGATACAAATCGTTAGACCAACAAATTAGCCCAGGGGAAAATAATTGCAGGGACTTTTGTTTCTTCAGAGAATATTTTAAGTCGAGGAAAAATGAAAGTGGATCAGCAATAGTGAATGGCATATAGAGATATTTAGTAGAGCATTTACGGGTAAAGTTATCATAGAAATGATAAGGACATGGCCAAGAAACACGAGTCACTTTCTACCTACAACCGCCAACTATTCTAGCCAACCTTCTACCCTATCCGTTCAATTAGACTCCTACCTCATTACATTTACATATATTCAAGACGGTATTAAAAATTTGCCTACTAAAAAAAAGCTCCAGGTATTAATCATATCAGACTTGAAATACTCCTACTTTTAGTAGACAAAAGTAGTTTTATACTTTTATATTTGCTTCAGCTTTGTTAGCAATTATTATATACTTCATTGAACTGGCGTATTACTCAGATGACCCCTATTCATATAAAAAAAAAAAAAGCCCCATCAATGGACTCTAAAATGAACCTGATTGCCTCTCATTTCTACTATGCACAAATTGTCCGCTCATAGTTGAAATATGACTTGGCTATCAACACATTTAACTCCAAAACGATCAAATCTCTTAAAGACTGTCAAAATTAGCTGTCTCTGCCCGTATGTTTGGTGTGGCAATACAGCATAATATTAAAAATGATATAGGTTCATTGGTCATTTTTTTGCTTTATTTTATCTTTAATAAATAAATTCTTATAATCGTGAAAATAGATGCAGTGTTTATTTATATATGTATTATGCAGTAACAGCTTGTTGATGACTGTCTTGTTGCACTTTTTCATTCATTTCTTCACGATTAATAACTATGGATATTTCATCATCTTCATTTTTAGGAGTTGTTAGTCCTGAGGAAGTTGAAATTGTGCTAACAGATGAATTTGTAGATGAGGTCATATTTTCTTTATTATCTTGTAGCTCGCAACAAATTTTTTCCCACCAATCTTGAATAATACGTTTTACTAGTCGTTTAGTGGTTGAATTTACTTTTCGTCGCATACCAGGATTTAATAAGCAGTTTAGTATTTTATATGTTTCTTGTTTCTTGTATGGCCTTTCTCGAAGTTGAGTATTTCCCAATAATTGTTCAAACACACGTAAATAGGCTTCTTGTAACTAAACAGGAACGTAAATAAATAAATAGAGAGATCAATAAAGACACTTACAGTTTGTGACTCTTTTGTATCACTTAAATTGCATAATTCTCTTAGGGTAATGTCAACCAAGACGTAAAGGTCATTTGTATAAAAGTATTCATGTAATGTTGGAGTTGTAAATATACCATAAAGCAGTTTTAATATCAACATTTGAGTACATAAATCATCTATTATAATTTAAACAAATGAGTTAGTTATAAATTGAGGTTTTCGTTATTTATTTTTTACCTAATCTATTTAACATAAATATTAAATTGGCACTAAATGTGTCTGAGGTACCGATACGTTGAGATAATACATCAAGTATTAAATTCTCGTTTAAACCAGACATCATATATTGTTCATTGAATACCATAATTAAACGAATAACATCATAATTAAAAGACTCATCTGCATCTCCACGTGTTTTTTCTACTATATCTAAAAGATAATTTACAAGTGAAGTATCTATTAAACCTATAAGGAAAATAAATAAAGATGATATATAAAGAAGATGATAAAATATTTACTTAGATCTTCTATATCTACTTTAGCCAGTTTACATAATTCATAACATAAAGAGAATGCGGCATGAAGTAATTTATAGCAGTCATAAAATCCAAGTCTCACTTCAGTAATAATTTTGCAAAATAATCTATTCTTTTTCATTTGAATTGAGTCCAATAAAATAAACTCTAACCATCTTGGTTCGTCTTTGCCCGCATAAAGTAATAAAGAAAATGAAACTAAAAGCTCTGTTTTATCTTGAGATACAAGTGCATGTTCATTTAAAATGTGTGATAGTACAACTGTACTGTAATCAAGGCAAAGTTGAGAATCGATTAGTTTATAAGCAACTTGGGCAAATTCCACTGAACTTTTCAAAAATTCATCTAAATTAAAAAAGAAAAAAAAAATAAATAAATAAATACAAATATGAATATAAATACGAATATCAATATAAATACAAATATGAATATCAATATGAATATCAATATAAATACAAATATAAAAATAAACATGAATATTATATTTAATTGTAACCTGAAATATTAAATATAAAACCTACGTTGGTATCTTACAAGGAATCGAATATATTGAGTTGTTATTTTTTTAACATTAGTTTCGTTATTATAAGGTTGATTCAAGACATCATCTAATTCTATAGCATGCACATGTTAAATATTTTATTTTATTTTCATGATATCATATATCGTCTAACCAGCATAAAAGTTCTCTATACTATCAAAGTAATACTCAATTGTATCATCATCCATATTACCTACTTTATTTTAATAGAGAAAATAAAAAAAAAAAAAATAGAAAGAAGAATGCAAATCTTTTTTTTTTTTTTTCTATTTTTGAAACTTTATTTTAAGTGTCTTTTTTTTTTTTTCTTTTTTCTGTTGATTCGGAAGTCTAAAATAGACACATTCTCCTCGTTTAATATGCTATCCTCTTTGGGATTAATATTCATAATACTTTTTAGATTCGTATAGTCTATTATCCCTTTTTTCTATGAGAGACACATACTTTGAAATTGAGAATAGACCAATTATATTGTTGTATTTTATACTTTCCAACAACAATCCATTGTTTAAAAACCAACAACCATTCATCTCTTCCCAAAAATTAAATCCCCGATAATAACTACCCCCTTTTTTTTTTTTTTTTTCGTTGTTCCTCCTATCCCTATTTCCTTTTATACTATTTATCTCTCTCCATATTTCTAATTATAAGAGATAAACTACTTTTTTTTTTCCTATAAAATAATAATAAAAATAGAAGTTTATTCAATCAATGAATGCAGCAACTAATTTCATTTTAAATGGAATAAATACTACAAATATAGATCTTTGGTCAGATGAGGTACTTGCTCTATGGATGCCAATTGCAGCTTATTGGATATTTTCTATTTTTTGGCATTTTGTAATGAAAGCTGAAATACCCTATTTTGAACAATATAGAATACATGCAATAGGAGAAATAGAGAATCGAAATAAAGTAAGTTTCTCTAAAGTGCTCTGTATGGTTTTACTGCAACAAATAGTCCAATTTATTCTTGGTTTATTTATTTTACATCCTGCTGATTCTGTAAGAAATACTATAAAACAAGGATGGTGGACAGAAGTCTTTTTAACATGGAAATTACCTGGCTTAAATGTATCTTTTTTTTTAGCAAGTTTTGTCAATTGGATAATTATACCTATTATACAATTTGTATCAGCTATGTAATAAGAAGATATATATTTATATACCCAAATATATTTACTTTTCTAATATTCTATAGGATAGCTTAATTAGATGGAAACTAATCTATAATTGATAGGATTATTTTGGATGCTCATCAATATTTCTTTCATCGCTTATTTCACATGAACAAATTTCTTTATAAACATGTTCATTCACATCATCATCGACTTTATGTACCTTATGCTTTTGGTGCACTTTATAATCATCCAATTGAAGGATTTCTATTAGATTCAGTTGGAGCAGCACTTGCATTTGAACTTACTCAAATGTCAACTAAAATGGGCACACTCTTTTTTACTTTTTCAACTTTAAAAACAGGTATGATTGCTTTATATACACATATCATATTATTCATGTTATTCAATTATAATCATAGTCGATGATCATTGTGGTTATGCAATTCCTTGGGATCCTTTACAATTTTTATTTGAAAATAACGTTCAATAGTAAAGTATTAGAATTCATAGTTAGAGTCAAAATTACTTACTTGTATTTATGTATAGTCATGATATTCATCATCAATCATTTGGAATCAAACGTAACTTTTCTCAGCCTTTCTTTACATTTTGGGATAAATTATTAGGAACAGAAATGTCTCCTTTAAAGAAAGTAGTAGAGATAAAAGAAGCAAATTAACAACTATTCTATTTCATCTATACATACATACATAATAAATATTTTTATTAATTAATGGCAGTATAAACATATTCTGGTGGGCTCAAGATAGCAATCAATGATAAAACAATAGATAAAATAACACTTAATATCCAACTTATGATGCTAAGAATAAATGAGAAATTATATCTTGTTCCCATATAAAAGGTTGCGCTTGAATTAAATAAATAAGCAATGATACCCATTGAGAGCGCTTGAGGTAAAGCTATAAACAGGGAATATATAAGCGTGTATAAATGTAAATTTATACCTTACAAAAATTTACATACCAAATATTAAAAACAGACTATTATAATTTCATGTTAATTATCATTAGTAAACGTATATCATTCAATATACTTACAATGAAATAGGTGCCCATGCTTTTGATCTCTTATGTCTTTGACTACACATCGTTATTAATAATGCAAAGATCGTTAAACCACCAATAACTACGGCCACTATCATACTTGCTGCTGCTATTCGCCTATCATGTTTATGTGAATCGGTCAATATATAATGTATATGTATCTATATAATCTATTTTTACCATAATTCACAAAATCCATCTATAATAATTATTAATATTAAGAAATATATTCAAATATATATATAGTATACATGTTTACCTTCTTTACAATCTCCATAATCATATGAAGGAAATGGACGACACTCTCTTGTTATACTAATAAATACGTTATTAGTTATTGTCTTAAATTTATTCACATTATAAAAAGAAGAATAAGAAAAGAAACCTTCTACAAAGTCGAAATAATCCATAGTTTGTTTCCATATAAAACGGTATAGGCGTTACAAAGGTTAGCCTACAACATTAGATTAGTAATGAATAGGTGATTCTTATGTACAAGTATGTACCATTTAGGAAATAAAAGCGAGCAAATTGTTAAGGTATAATTACAGAGAAATACGAAAAAAGTAATAACATATGCAAGTAAAGAAACTCCCATTTTAATAAATAGAGTAAAAAAAAAAAAAAAAAAAAAAAAAAAAAAAAAAAAAAAAAAAAAAAAAAAAAAAAAAAAAAAAAGGAGATAAGAAATTTTTTTGAACTTACTACTACAAGTAACTTGGAGCACCACCACCATCATCGCATACAGCTTTATTTTTTCAGAGAATTTGGTAAAGTTATTTACTATGACTGGACCAAATTACCAAAAAAGAAAAAAAAAAGGGCCGTTTAGATGCATTATTATCCTTTCATTTCAAACAAGATGCTGTCATTTAATAAATTATTTAGTGTTGAGTTTTATTTTTATTCTCTCTAACCAACTAAGGATGAAGTCACAATCAATGCATAGTATGAATAAAAAGGTCAAAGCACATCGTATTAATGTTAAAAGATAAAAAAAAAAAAAAAAAGAAGAAGATTATTGTTTATATGAATGTCTTTTGTATCATTCATTTAAAGGGAACGCAATTCTTAATTCGTTTAATCTTGCTAATATTTTCAAAATATATAATTTACATCATTTGTAGGAATTCAATACTTGTAATGTTTATAATCAAACTCGAAAGATGACAATTACTATGTTATGTTGATATATTTAAGATTACAAAGGGGAAAAAAAAAAGCCCCCCTCCCTACCACTACTGCTGCTATCTTGGATAGTCTATTTGTTTTCTTTGAAAAAGTCCCTTTCATATTTTCAGTATTATTTGAAATATGAAATACAATATTCTCTTTCTGGAAGATAAAGATTTCTTTTTACAGGACTTCTTTACTACTTTGTATTACGCTATTCATTTACATTTTTTTTAACCTCAGTAGTTGAATCTGCCTTTTAAAGTTAAAAATAGTAAAATTTTAAAACTTCAGGAACATTTTTTTTTTTTGTGTGTGTGTTTTTTCCCCCTCTTGTTAAATAATATGTTTGGATTATTTCATAGAAATAGTAATGAAAAAACACTTTCAGAAAAGGGTCTGTTAGGTGTACTTGAATATTCAAATAAGTCGTCTGGTCATGTTGTCCAATTGGCCGATATGAATCGTATTTCTGCACATAATCTAATGACTTTTGGTTCTTATCTTGGTGATGATTTAACAGTAAGAAAAAAAAAATATCTATTATTTATTCAAGGAAAATAAAAAAAAAAGAAGAAGGACACTTATGTATATATGCATATATATTTGTATTTACTTAGGATGTCACGCAGAAAATGGGTCATCTGCTTGTCGAATGGTCAAATGTTTTAATAGAATTTTCAGATGCTATTAACCAATATCGTGAAACACTGAAATCCATTTCTTTAAAAGAAGCAATATTACAACCTGGAAGGGATCGAAAAAGAAAACTTAAGGATAATATTGAAAGCTTACAAAATTCGCTTTCTTCTCTAGATAAAGTGAATGCTTATAAAGAACAACTTGAGGAACTCGAGAAATTTACAGAGCTTGATGAAATTGAAATGAGTAATTTTAAACGAATTGCTACACGGGAGGCACTTTATTTACTTTTGAATGGGATGCATGCTATGGCTAGTAAGACAGATATAATTTCTACTTTTGGAAAATACATTGTGGATGAATTAGATGTAAAACCTATTAAAGTGGGTCAGGAGAGAGAGGAATACTTGGTGACAGAGAAAACGAAACGTATCAAGGAAGATGCAATACGTGCTATTGCAGAATGGCATCCTGACAAAGCTAAAGTAAGAAGAACATTAACAGCTCATCATGGTCATAATCCGTTAATTTCAAAACAATTACCTCCAGCCCCAGATAATAATAATAATAGTAGTAGTAATACTTCGCCTTCACCATCAGCTACAATCTCTACTACCTCTTCCAGTTCAAAACGAAGTAATAATGAAGAAGAGCATAATGTTCCTGATCGTACTGTGTCATTAACTGAGCAAAATAAACAATATTCCTTTTATAAACCAGATGAAATAGTAGTAGTAGCAACGGTTGAAGAGAAAAATGATGAAGAGAAAATTGACATTCAATTGCCTATCACTATGATGCCTACTACTACTTATCAGCCTCAATTAAGTCCATCCACAAGTAATACGACTACACAACAAGCTTATGATAGTGGTGGTGGTGGTGGGTTTTCTGACTTATATCTATTTCAAACTCCAAATTATCACTTTCAACAACATACGCTAAACCAACAAAACTTGTATCAGTTTTATCAAAATTATTTGCCTCCTCGCTCTTATGATGATGTAGCATCTATGTTTAGTCCTGGAGCTGTATTTCAAGGTCATAATAATAATAATAATAATAATGAACAATCAAAAAATAAACATTATGATGTAGGTGGTTTTGTGTTACCTTTTACAAATCCTAATTTTCACCTAGGGCCTTCAACTTCAACTCAATCCTTATCCTCTTCTAAAAGCGAAAAATCAAATAACGAACACGAATAATAATGGTGCCTTCATAATAAAAATATAGACCATGCACTCCCTCTTTATTCTTTTGCCTCGTTTCATCTTTTTTTTTTTTTTTTTTTTTTTTTTTTGTGCTTTCATTATTTATAATAATTTTTTTTTCATTTTATTTTATAATAAAGTATGATATGTGAAGCTAAGTATATCGTATTTTATCAATACCTAGACTACGTCTCACTTGCATAATTGCAACAAGTTCTTTAATCATCTCTTCCAATATGACTACATTATTTAAAAGCATAGACAGAGGAATCTCTTTTGATTTATTTATTCGCCTTCGTTCAGATGGATTGATGGGCGGAGCAAAGACATCCTCATTATCCTCGTCCATATTTAATATCTGCTCATCTCGTTCTGTCTCAAAATTAGATGGAAACAAAGGTTGAATACGAATCTCACGTGTTCTTTTAGCATGTAGAGCAAATGGAGATAGAGGATTTATGACAGGAGTTAATGATAATGATGATTTCTTCAGATATCCAGTATGAAGTAATGTCGTATAAGCATTATTATTTGTCTGCTGCATTATATGACTATTATTTTGAGTAACAGCTAAAGCAGCCGCTGTAGTGGATGATGAAAGTGATTTGGAAGGGTTGACAATGGGCATTGTTGTTGTTGTTATTGTTGATGATGATATTATAAAAGGCTTCAGGACACTACCTACATTTGAATTACGTCTTCCATGCATACCAGTAGTATCATTAGAAGTTAATGATGTAGTTAATTGAGTTTTATGAACACCACCACCACCACCACCAAATCCAAAAAGCTTGCTCATGACAGAACTAGCACCTATTTGGTTTGTTGACGTGATTGTACTAGAAGATGTAGAAGGCTTCATGGATGGATTATCGAATAAGAAAGACCTTCGTCGAATAGAAGAGGAAGGCATAATAGGAATGATGCTACTTGATGTAACATTGGTAGATATCCTAGGTTCTCCAAATAGCAAACTATTCCAACGTTCCTTAAGTAAATCGTCGAATTCATCTATTTCAGATCGATAATAATCCACTTGTTGCGTTAAAGTTTGAAGCAAAGTATAAAATGGAGGAAAGCATTTGAATTGAGTAGGCGTTGTCATGTAGATAGAGTTACGATCTACTCCAAAATCAATAGACTCATCATCATCAGCATCTGGTACTTTTTCTTGTTCTTGAAAAGTCGAAAGTCCGAATAGATCATTACCATGTATTGGATCATCTTTCAAAGTTGCTATATTATTATTAAGATAAGAAGACAGATTTAAAATATCGTTTGAATCTGTACGATCTGTTTCACTAAAAGAGATCCATCCTTCTAAACTACGATAGGGACAGAGAGCCAAAGCTGAAATAGCTCCAGATAATGCAAGGTTTAATTCAGAGGATTGTGCAAAGAAATGAGATAATAATCCCAACAAAATTTGGATAAGCGGGTCTGTAGGTTGAATACGTTGATATTGACGTGGTTGCTGTCTTTTTTTTTTCAATATCTAATGCAGTATCTTGATCATGAATGTTAATCTCTCTATTTCGTTGTTGTTGTTGTTGCTGCTGCTGCTGCTGCTGACCATATTTAAAGCTTCGACGTCGCACACCTGTAGATGTAGACAAAACATCACTTTCATCAATTTCTCCAATAGAACTAGAATGCTTGCTTTCATGAGGTAGATCAATCAAATCATGAAAACAACTATCCGACTCCATCATGTTTTCTATATCTTTCAAATAATCTTCGTAACCAATTGTCAAAATATCATCAGCATGAGCATGGTCTATTGAAGAGATGAGAGCAAAATATAATTCAATTTCACGTATATGATGCGATATGATAGTACTAGACGATGATGAATACTCTTGTCCATCTTGATTGTTTTCTATCTTTGTTGCATCAGGATAAAATGTTAATAAACGGTCAGCGAAACGGCAATGTTTAACAATTAATGTCTTGAGTAACTTTAATGTTGCGATTACTGTCGTTTGTGAGCTAGATTTAAGTCTACTGAAAATTAAATCTTTAAGTGTAAATCGTTCTGCAGTTGCAGTAAAATAAGGTGAACTCTTTAATTTATCTAATTCGACTCCATGGAATAGGTTAGAATATTGATTATATTGAGAAATAGAAGAGCTAGTTGTTGACTTTATGTTGGTCACTTTAAATTGATCACTTTTATCATCTGAAGTATCCATCAAGAATCCTACAACAATAGTAGACAAATCTTGTTGTTGTATCGTTTGTAATATCAAATCAATATAACTCACAACAGCTACTGAAGAACCATCGGTATCTGAGCATTCTAAAATAGAAGGATATAAAATATTTTCTAAAAATATGTTTCGAATATATTGCAAGAGACTTTTAGAGATAGCGTTATTTGGACACCTTATTAAAACGTCCTGACAGAACTCGAGTAATTTTAGAAATGAATCAAGCTGATATTTGAATTGCTCAGAGTTAGATTGTTTTACACCTGGATCTTTAGATAGATAATCAGCAGAAGGGTCAAGATCATCATGACCTACTAGTAGATAGGCAGCAGGTGTACTATTGATTTCATTTTCATCCCTAATGATTAATTTTCGAGGTAATTGGGAATAAAGAGCACCTAGCCCTGCAGACATAATGCTAGCGAAATCAGATTCTAAAATAAAGTCACCAAGCTGGTCTGTAGCCATTTCAATTAAAAATAAAAGACCTGTGCGAGCAAAATCCCCTGTTCGACCCTCACGATGAACAAATCTTAAAAGATAAGTGAATAAAAGAAATTCATACTCAGGATGATGATATTTCTCAATGATGAATAGAGAAGAAGAATGAGGTGTTGTATCTGATGATTCCTTAGAGGAGGGCTCACGAATATGATTAGCAGAGGCAGGAATCGCCTTTTGAGGTGTCGTGAGCCATTGTTTATCATGGAAAAAGATATTCAATAAAGCGGGGAATCTATGAATCTTTGAGCAAATAATATACATTAAATCCACAAGATCTTCATGATAAAGCTCACTTTGTCGTTCATCAAGTACACAAAATCTAAGAAGTTTAATAGTTGGCTTATGAACTGCATTATGAACTAAAAAGCGATCATCTAAAAGATCAATCATAGAAGCTATCATTCTAATACTTTCAACACGTATGCCTTCAGGATAATCCATTTTTTCAGAAGCATTCACTAAATATTACAATATACCATGCTTTAAAAAATATTCCATACAGACTCCAGTTGTATTATTTTCTTGTCTAGCTTCCTCATCCACAAGCATATCTACCATTTGACGTAAATTTTCAGGAATATCTGTTTGTTTTACATGTAAATTTGCTTTTCTATCTTCTGTGATAAAAATATTCTAATAATTGAAGCAAACAAATAAACAAACTCATACAAAAAAAGGCTTATTTTCCTTTTTCTTTCTTTCTATTATACTACATACATGAATGTAATCCCAACATTTATGAAATTTCGACAATTGCATGGTGCTTGTTGGTTGAGTCTTTGGTGGTACTATACATTTCTTAAGTTTTGAAAAATAGTCCATTATGATGATAATAATAAAAGAAAAAAGGGGAGGAGGAAATATTTAGATTGAATACATTCTGTTATCTAATGTATATTTACTCCTTTTGTGTTGAATTTGAAAATATAGAAGAAAAAAAAAGGGGGGAGAAAGTAAGACTTATCTTGTAAATAATAGTTACTTTTCTCATACTATAGTTAATGAATAATATGTCTTTTATAGCTAAAAAGTTTAATTATTCTTATTCACTGTTGTTGTGACATAAACAATACAGCTTTTTTTTTTTACAAAAAAAAATTGGTGATATAAAGTAGGTGTCTTTCTCTCCTCTGCTCCAGGTTAAAAGGATGATCATTACTTTTAACTAGTAATGATATCACTTTTATCGAAATAGACATGTATTCTACAAATAAAAGTTGACAAAAGTGTAAATCTTATGATTTAGACAGTTATACAGCAGTGAAAAACAAAGCGTAAAGAACACGCTTTGTTCATGTATTACTCTTGCAACATGGTATGGAGTAATGATATGATGATAACTGAAAATACTTGCGATAGTTTTCTTTGTATGATATTAACTAATAGCAATTAGTGCATTTAAGAGATTAACAAGTCAGATATTGTAAAACAATAAAGGAAAAAGAAAGATCAATGATATAGTTTACAGTTAATAAAAGATATATGAGACTTCTATAATAATGCTTTATCTTTTTACTCTGATAAAAGATTAAACAATAAATCACAGAAGCGTTTTGGAATAATAGACTATTACTATTCATTTCTTACATATTTGTATTCTTATTGGTGCTATCTATATAACTTTATGTTGCTGGTTTCAAAATTTGGTAAAGACATTTTTTCGGCTGAGTAAAAAAAAAAATTGACACAAAATATTGTAAGGAAAAAACGGTATTACGTGTATAATACTGCCTAATTTGGTAAAATGAAGCTTATTATAGACAAATTTGGCGACAACTATCAGTTATTAATGATATTACTATGAGTCATTTTATTTTTGTTTATTTATTTTATTCCTATTTATTATAAATAAGTCAAATGTTCTCTTATTTTTTTTTTTTTTGCTCTTTCTTTTTTGAATAAAGTTAATACTAAAACTATTATGACAACTTGTTATCACCAAAATCAAGCCTTACCATTGAAAGAAGAAGAATTCAAAGACTTTTTTGTTACTTATGATCAGTCTATATGTCATATTTCTGAAGACTTAGATTGTTGGAAATATACAGTAAATCAAATGCATCAACAAATATTTAATTCAACTAGTATAGTTTTTCCTTCACCCGAGAAATATTTTTTAAAAAAAGCAAAAGAGGAGAGAAAATTAGATAAAAGTTTCTCAGCTTTCAATTGCGGTTATAATGATTTTTGTTTTTCAGATCCTTTAATCTATCGTAGACAACGATCAGAGAATTTGGTTTTCCGTATGATACATTGTAAAATTATAGATATGAAGCGAGTATCTATAATGCGTCTTTCACAAGGTGTTTTTGTACATCATAAATGGCAACCAGAGCCTTCTCAATCATCTCTAACTGTTGCTGATATGAAAAATAAAGCTTTTAATACTCATATTTTTGATATTCAAGGTATTAAAAAAAATAGATATTATAATATATATATAACGGTATTAATATATATATATATATATATATCTTTTTTTTTTTTTGAATGTATACTTATACATTAGCTGAAGCACCAATGAATACTTATCAATGTGACCATGTTATCGATATACCGCCTAATAATAATTTAAATTCTTGTTATGAAGCATTTATTCCATATAGTTACACATTTGGAGCAAAGTATACGAATCCCTATGGACAAGTAAAGGATTTAGCTATTCGTGGAAAGCTACCTTTATGGTGTCAAACTCTTTTTTATCAAATTGTTTAAAGCAATCTGAACCTATTTTGCCATACGTTTCTATCAAAGGGCTTTTCCCATTTGCCCCCCATATTGCTGTTGCATTTAAGTCGTTTACTGAAGACGAAATAAATCCAATTGTACCAGAGATAGGCTTAGTATATGAACATTTCACATACGAATACAATCATTTTGAATTGGAAGAATGTGAACACGTTGATGTACACTGGCCTGAAAGAAAAAAAGAGGTATTGAAGAATATGCTTGTTTGCGATCTTCCTGATAATTTAGCTGAAATTCTTACCGATATGGCAGTTGTGTGGGCAGCAAGCCAAGGCCTTTTATTTCAGGATTGCAACAATATTATGTAAATATTTTTTATTATTATTATTATTCATTTTACCTTTGTTTCATATACCATACAATTCTAAATTCACGTATATTCATACACTAATGACGAATATACTCTTCTGCTTTTGTAAATCAATAAATATAGCAATATTATAATAAACTCTGTACAAAACAGTTAGTTATTGATATATACATGTCATCGAGTAGCTATATTATATTTCCTTAATGTCGTTTACGAGTTTTTTTTTTCTTTTCGCTTACCATTATGTTTTTTAATCACATTATTATATATACTGTAATTTGACAGTTCAAAAATTGAATAATGATACATAGTATACATATATAGTTAAGTAAAAAATATGCAAGTACACTATGTTAAAAAGTTTAATATTTATTTGGTTGTTAAATGTCCATAGACTTCTTCTTCCAAGTCATATTAAAATTATATGCATAATTTGATATAGCATTATAATGAATATATTATTAGTGAGGAATTTTGATTGTTTTATAATTAAGAAAATCAAGCTTATTGTTTAAGAAAAAAAAAAAGACAAGTAGGTGATGCTCCTAAGTTATAAATTTAGATTTAAGTTTGACAAAATCTTAAATTGATAATGCTACCATAACAACGCTCAGTCCATTTTTTTTTTATGGTTGTGCAAATTAATCGATGGAAATATAAGTGATTATTGATTGCTGTACAACTTTAAGAATGAATAATTATTATTTTGTAAGCCACTCCTTATATATTCGTTGTTTTTTTTTTATGTAAAGTTAGTAGATCGAAAAAAGGGCTTTTTGTGTATTTTTGCTGTGTAATTTGATTGGCTGAGAATGTGAATACAATAAGGTTCATTTCATTTAATATTTGTGCCTTAAAAAAAAATAAGAAGTTCATCTATACAGAACAGAAGAAAGTAGCATTTCATATATATATATATGTGAGTTATTTTAAATTTCTTTTGCTTCCTACATATATATTTAAAAGAAAAAAAAAAGTGAAACTATGGCCAAACTTATGAGTCGTGTTATCAATAGTATTTTAGTACTGAACTATATTAATTTTAATGGATTATATGTCATTCTTATATCGCTCATAATCGTCTATGTATATATATATTGTCGAAGAAGATATTTTTCTCCACTTGCTTCTGCACCACTAGCTCCAGCTAATCATTTCTTAATCAAGTATTTTGGTATGGTTCCACCTCCCAATGATGTCGAAAAAACAGACTCTTTATCTCGTTTTCTTATTCTTGCTGGGCAAGATCCTTCTTTATCCCCTATAAGTGTTTGCTGGTCTATAATAGGAACTCCATTGGTCCTTGTAAATACATTAAGAGGCGTAAAAGATGTTCTTATTGACGGTCAAGCAAAAAGTAAGATCAAAGGTGAGCCACCAAAAATTCAACGTGGAAATCTTATTCGATTGATTCAAAACCTGGTGTTTGGTGGTAAAAGCATAAATAATGCTGTCGGTGAAGTAAGTCTATCTCCTTCTTTAAATATAGTTAGTATATATATATATATATATAATTTTTGTTGATTAATATATATGTAATGACTAGGAATGGCGCTGGAGACGACATATTTTATTACCACCTTTTCAACCTAAACAACTCGTACCTAAACTATTACCTTATGTTGCAACACGTACTGGTGACCTTTTGCAATTATTTGAAAAACATGCTCACTCTGGAAAAGCAATCGAGCTTGATGAATTATTTATGGGCTTGACAATGGATGTTATCAACTATTATTTATATGGCCGTAGTGAGTTAAATTATGATATAGTAGGTGGAAGACAAAATTTAAAGGTAAAAATTATACTTTATTATTTGAGCTGTTCAAGTATAAAAACCCTTTTTTTTTTTCTAACTAAACTAACTAGAATGAACATCATCGTCTTGGTTTAGGCTTTCAATCAGTTGAAGCTTGGCTTCCATTTGGTATTAATAAAACGAACTGGGCACAAAGAAGATATAAACCAGCTCGTGATAAATTGAAAGAATTTATCAGAGATTCCCTTAATTATGCTTTAGAGGACTACACAGAGGATTTAAAGAATTATGAAAAACAAGGTGTTTCAAAGAATCAAAGATCATATCGCTCGGTTGCAGCCTGTGCTTTTGATAGTGGAAGTTATAAAGAGGATCATATTGATCTAATTAATGACTTACTTTCATTAACTTTTGCTGGTTATGATACGACAGCACATACTTTGTCTTTTGCTTTCTCTGAACTTGCTCGTAATCCTAAATTACAAGATGAGCTATTTCATCAAGTTCGTTCTGTTTTAGGCCCCCCTCCAGTTGCTCCAGAAACTATTACTGCTGAAAAATTAGCAAAAATGCCATTAGTTACTGCTATCTACCGTGAAACTCTTAGAAAGTACCCTGCTGTTGTTTTTATTCCTGTTCATGTAAATAAAGATGTTATTGTTGATGGTGTGGTTGTACCCTCTAATGCAGAGATTTGGTGTAATGTTCGTGGAATTCAAATGAATCCAGCTATATTTCCTGATCCTGAAAAATTCGACCCTACTCGTTGGCTGAAACCTCAAGATAAAGTCAAATTAACCGAGAATAACGATAATGAGGTCCCTCAACAGGATAATGTCTTTGATAACTTAAATTCAAGTAGTAGTGATGACAATAACAGGACTGACTCATTCATTACACCTGAAGCTCAATATAATTTCCCGGATTTATCATTTACTTTAGGGCAGCATGCATGTTTAGGAAAGAATTTGGCTATTTTAGAATTGAGAACTGTAATTGCTTGTGTTATGAATCAATTTACATGCAAATTAAAAGAAGGTTTAGTCATTGACACTAAAGTTGTACTGACAACAAAACCACGTTATGGCGTTTGGGTGCATTTTGAGCAAAGATAGAAAAAATTATTATATTACTTAATTATTTATTTATTAATAAAATGAAAAATATTTTTTTCATTACCAAAGAGGCGTTAATAATTAGAAAAAAGTTATCTTATATTACAATCCATATACAAAAGGAAGATTTGTACTGAAAATGTACTAGTAAATATCCGCAAAGGGCAATATAATGATGTATAATGATTAAATTACGCTTATTTTATCAAATAGCATATACAGTACTTGTTATAGCTTGGAAAATACATACTAATAAGTATTATAAGCATTAAAAATAAAGATAATAACATTAGAAGAATAAGGTTTATATCATTACGTAATAAATGATAGTATAGTTTATTCCTATTATTAATAAAATCAATGTTAAAACAATAATTGCTCTGATAATTATATAATAAAGTATTTCAAGTCCTATTATGTGATTCCTTCGAATATCAAATAAAACATTAAACAAAACTTAGCAATGGATTTTTTTTTAATATTTTTATTAAATATAAATCTTGGGGTCAAAAAAAGGTATTTAGTTATAACTAAATAACATTACTTATATAGATGAAGCGAATTATATCCTGGATGGATAAGATATGTTCTTTGATTTTTATTTATTGTCTGGGCGGAATCACTCTGAGATTTAGCAAGGTATAAAAGATTTCAATTTTTTCTAACAAAATACAATAGTAACGATACAAAAGTAAAAGATATTGTCAAGAAATAATATTTCACTAGCACATTTTCTAGCGCAGTATTATCCAAATTGAAGAAAAAAAAAAAGAACCTTTTTAAGTTACGATATGCCTATTGTAAAATAGACTCTCTTCAGATTCTTTCATCAAAATTTACAATGCTGACCGGGACAGCAAAATCAGAGTATAAAATGCTATTTTTATAACAGTTAATATGTTATATCTAATTTTGTGTACTTATATTTTTTTTTTGTATTGCTTCATATAGAGTAAGTGTATCAATCACTCATCAGACGGTTACAAATAATAAAATAAAAAAAAAGCGTATTCACTAAAAAAGAAAGGACATAGTATGATAAATTTTCCGCAGAAATAAAGGGGAAAATATCAAGATAAACATTTGAATGACGACTTGATTGGTAAGGAAGGGACGAGAGGTAAAGATTAAACAGAAATAAGTTTTCCAAATATCTTGCAATGCGTGTACTTGCGAATAAATAAGATAAAAATAAGGATGTATATATGACAGATCTAAATAAGTATATCATGGATGGCCTCCAGCAACCAGATACTTCATAACCAAAATATAAAGTTAATAATCACAAATAATATATAAAAAAATTCCAATAACAGAGTAACATTAAAGTTGTCACAAATATAAGGGCATTTGATTGGCTGCGGTGTTTAAATATTTTACAAAACAGACATATATTATTTAGCTGCCTCAAAATCCAACAATGGCTTCTTGGTTTAGTGGTATAATTCTCGCTTAGGGTGCGAGAGGTCCCGGGTTCGATTCCCGGAGAAGCCCCTCTTTTTTTCTTTTTTTTGTTTTGCGATCATATTGTTTTATATTATCAAGTACATGTTTGTCTGAATCTATGTGATGTATATTTAATTATATCTTTTATAGTTATTTTGTATTACACAAAAGATATTGTATCCAACAGATGTTGAAGGTCTGACTATTAAACTGGATTATTATATTATTAAAAGGGTTGTTCATTCTAATTATTATATAGCAAAACAATATACAGTTGATTGATCGTTGTTGCGCTTATTTAATCCTTATATAACAGCAAGATAATTATAATATTTCTGTATACACATATATTCTTTGAAATATGCGATAATCTTTATTGAATTAACTAAATTTCATTATGATTTGTACTAATGTAATACAAGTTTTTTTGCTTTCTGGTACGACAGTTATAACGTGAGGAAATAATAATAAAATACAAGTTAATAAAGAATATTCTTTTTGTTTTTCTTCTCTTATTATATTTATTAAGCATTACAACTTTAAATAAAACTAGTCTAGTATTTACTGCTATTGTGTCTTTTATCACTCTGTATTTTACCACGAGAAATAATATAGATATAAATAGAATAGAAAGCTGAAAACATCTACTATATCTTAGACAACTATATTCTGATTTATATGTTATTACAAAAGATCAAACAACGCACATTATATATAAAGAGTTCTTATATCATTTTTATACAGAAAAGAAATACCTCTTGATAATTTATTTAAAATTATTGGTTATCTTTCTCTCTCTCTCTCTCTTTTTTTTTTTACAAATACCCACAATCATTATCTGTACATTATGTATGCTTTACATTAGATAATCTTCGCAAAATAAAACAAATACTTAAAAAAAATAACTTCAAAAGAATGCCTTGTTTGATTATAAACTTATTTCTTTTATAAATAAATAAAAAAAAAAAAAAGAGAAAATGTCCACACAATTAAAAGTATAGATTATAACTTTTTTTCTTTTCTTTTCTTTTTTTTTTTTTCTTTTTTTTTGAATATTTTAAACCATTGCTTGTAATTTATATAAAATACCTTGACAAAGTGAAGCTGAACATAATAGACCATGTTGTAATGATAAAGCGCTTGGCTCAGTTTTTTGATTTAAGAATAACTCATCAGTAGCTTCCATTTGTTTTGTACTCTCTTCCATAGAAAATAACCAGGTATCTAGTGAATCCAATAAGCCAGAAAACTGATCAAACGGCATAAATTTAAACTGCTGTGCTACTTTAATAGGCTTTAGGTTATTTTCTGTATTTATAGTTTGTTGCTGTACAAGATAAGGCTGAGGTGCTATAAAGGTATCCGCTGTATTATCTGTTGTTTTAGTACATGTAGAATAAAATAAATGATGATAAGCAGCATCAGAAACACATATTGTTGTCTTATCAGTAAAGCGTATATCAATAGCGTATTTAGCAGAAAAGATGACGCGCACTGAATCGTAAGCGCGAGGTATAATCAAAATTTTGCCAATATCGCCTTCTATAGCACATTTTGCTTCAAGATGTTCAAGGCATGTCATTAATGGTAACGTTTGGAATAGAATCTTTTTTTTTTTTTAAAGGTTAATATGTCATTATAAAAGATAGATACTCATATTAGTTTTCTTACCTGTACAAAATAAATCAAGTCTCGTTTTTCGTTCAAAACATCCCTCAAAAAACTTATAATTCGCCAATGAGGATTACGAGATTTTAATATAGGTAAAGGGGTGGTTTTTGTTTTATTGCCTTCATCTGCCATATCTAATTCAATATTGTATTGTCGTGAACGCTCTTTTCCATTTGAAGCCCATTTAATTGAACAAGTAAAGTTCTATACATTTTATATATTAAACTATATGCAAATATACATCTTTTTTTTTCTTTTTCAATATTACCTTTGCATATGTGAATGATAATTCTTGTAAATTAGTAGGATTGAACTTTAAGTGCTCTTTATATTTCTTGAGCCAAACAGAAGACACTAATGATAGTAATAGTAAGTATATAATCTATATAGTAAAGTAATGATGGTTACCTTGTCTAGTCAAATTAGTCATCATAAAGACTCTTTCCCAATCCAATAAAAATTGCATAACACACGTATCGATATTAGGATAGGTAAATGATAACACATTAGTTGACTTATCCAGTGAAATATGATCACCTAATTCATTATCTTCAAGAATTAAATTCCTCCACTCAAATTTTTCTTGTATTACTACATAACAATCATCTCGGCCACGATCCCACCATCCTGATGAACGAATGAGAACATCATTCTTCATACGAGTCGCTAATTGCTCAATCCAAGGTATGGTTTCCAGAGGCTTTTCTCTTCTGGTACCATCATCTGCGAAATGATATGCACATGTTTTGAGTAAATCTCGCTGAGGGATACAAATAACTTCAATTTTATCAGCAGCAGGGTGATTTATAACTTGTGTTTCTGTATTAGATAGTGTTTGTAATAAAGGTCGTAGATGATAAGAAATTGATCCTCTGAAAGACTGTAATTGTAATTCAATCTTTCTATTAGTAATATACGCTTTACAAAGTGAATCTAGCTTGGCTAAAAACCTTAAATCTATCGAAAGGCTTACGTATATGGGTATTAGTTTCCATTGTTATTTTATACTGTTAGGGTCCTGAAAAAAATAAATAAATATACATGCATGCATATGTATACTTTACTTGTCAACTTTGTTTGAATATTGAGATAAAATAGTGAGAGTATCATCAATCGTATTATTTATCGACACCTTCCTTCTTCTTTTTATATCTGGTATCATATCTTGTTCTTCTTTTATTGTAGTTGTTTCCTCAAATTTATCTTCCAAATGCCTTTTATTTCTATTAGCTATTTGTACATCATCAAGAGCTTTCAAACTATGATTCTTTTCGATAAATTGGTCTTTCCATAATCGATTACAATCAAAATAAGTCAAATCCACGATAGCATGATAAAGACCACTTTGATCATATGTTTTACTTTTTTTTTTGTGTATATATAAAAAATTATTATTGTTCTGTTTTATACTATACTGTATATATAACTTACTTGATGCAACAAAGCCATGATTTAAATTCATTTTTAACAATAGCTATTACAAAATGCCAATCTTCAAACTGAGGAAACTGAAGAAATACACAATGTGAAGGGTATTTGATAATGTTGTTATTGTTATTAGAAGTAGTTATATCACCGCTACTAGCTAATGTATTTAGAGTGTTAGCTGTAGCTTCTCCAATAATATCTCCAAATAGTTTTGTTAAGTCTTCTGATCGAAGATTCATCTGAGACGGATGGTAAGGTTGCAAATTCAGTTGTTTAGCAAGTGAAACAACTTCGCGTATAACAACTTCAGAACGAATCCATAATAAATGTTGAGAAATGTTCTTCGGATCATTATTCAATCTATCCTCTAGACCTCTTAAATTAACTATGAAAAGATAAAGTGAGTCAATACACATACTGCTAAAAAATTTCTCGATAAATATTTACAGTCTCCTTCATTACATCCTTCACTTGTATCAAATGCTTTAATTCTACCCGTACGCGAGTCTGCCTCAATACTTATATACCTTTGATGTCTATAACGTACAATTAATGATTGAGCTGTATTTTTTGTATCTATTTAAATATGTATTAATATCTCTTATTTAATGCCACTAAAGCCTTATTCTTTGTGATCAAATAACCTTTGCTATTAAGTACAGAGTGAGATTCATTTTTTACATCCTCATGACTTCCTTCAGTTAAATATAACCCATTTTCTTCAAGGAAATTCTTTTCAGATATCAATGCTTCTTTAAATTTATCAATAATACATTTTCCATGGTAATTTGTCACATGTAAAACAAGTTGTTCAATATCTAAATTAGAAGATTCCTAATAAACAAGTTAATTTAATATCTTAAAGGAAAAAAAAAACTTTTTTTTTTCTATGCTGAATTTTATACATACAATTAACTTTATATCTGTATAAAGTTCAGGTCTATCATTCCACAGTATCTGAAGAGAATTTTTCGGATATTTCAATAATGAAAGTACTTTGGGTCGATCATGGACAGTTATATCTGATAAAGCAATAGATGCACCAATGCCTGTTTTCTGAGTTAATCCTTTAAGCTCATCATGAATCTTCATATTTAATACTTCAGTATTATTATTACTAGCTTGTCGAAGCTGATTGGTATAGTCTTCATTATTGATCGAAATTTCAATCATTGTACTTTTTATAGCATTCGATGCTGTTGTTTGTGGTTTACCCCAATGTGATGCAGCTGAACCACCACGCCAGTAAACTAAAGTTAATTTTGTTCTATCCTGGTTCATTTGTACTTTAAGTTGATTTATCCATCTCGTTTTAGATAGCATGACAGCTTGAATATATAATATTTCCAACTGCATATGAAGACAACTTAAGTGAAGATAATCATACATATTAACAAGTGGAAAGAATAACGATTTAGAACTATTTGATGGTGTTGAAGAAGAAGCTGTATTCATATCACTATTATTATTATTAGCTTGTAATTGATCTTCAGCTACAACAGGTGGTACAAGCTGCTTTTGTGCATTAACGCGAAGATGTTGTTTTTGTATATCATTTAATGTAATGTCTATATCTTCTATAATAATTTTTAAACATGTTAACATATAAATTAAAGAATTTTTGTTATCAAGCCCCCTCTTTTTTTTTTTCTTTCACCTGTTGATCTACTCTTTGAAGATGCTTGAACAAATATGTCTAGGGATACAACCCACCATCGTCTATTATTACTATTTCCCATTAATGTTAGCACAACCTCAAATTCATTTTCAATTAAAAAGTAAATTCGACCATTTTCTATTGAAAATTTTTGTGAAATTATCGTTTGCATAGATTATAAACCATTTTCTTACCAATTCGGTAGTTTCGCATAGGAGGAGGCAAAACTTCTGTTGTAACAATACGCATTCTAATCACATCATTCATATTACGGAATGTTGCTAATACTTCTTCATCAGTTAATGGTGTAGGTGCCATCATGTCCTAAAAGAAAATTAATATCAATTGTATTTAATTTGAATATACTTTTTTTTTTCCTACTTTGATTTTTGTAGGCATGCGCTGATAACTTCCTGTTGTTAAAACATCCACTGCTGTCGGTATATCGAAGTTTCGTAATCTTGCTGCCGGTAGTTCCAAATGAATTTTATGAAGATAATCGACTGTGTCTTGAAATATTTTATTTTGATTTGCTAAAAAGGCCATAATATTCTATGCATTTCAAAATAGAGTTTTTTTTTTTTTTTTTTTTTTTTTTTTTTTTTTTAAGAAAAAAAAAGAATAATAATTTCATTTAAGAATATAGATATTTACCTGACACATTTGAATGTCTTTAGCATTTTTTGCCCATTTAACGAGTACAAGTAATTTTAAAAATTGCTTTCTTATAAATGTTGAATATGTCAAAATTTGCCGCTTTTTCTCAACATCAGACATGGAAGGTAATCTAATGAAAAAAAAAGAAAACTTATCAATCTCTCTCCTTTTAAAATAAGTCATACTAGTATCCAAAACACAAAAAGTAAGAAAACACGAAAAAAATAACTTTACGTATCGGTTAATGTCATTAAATCAGCATGTGCCTTATGGATTAATTTTCCAATTAATGTTTTAAGAGACACCATGCTTGCCATTTCAACGGGTAAAACAATCTTTTCCTTTTCTTCGTCCTCAACATTCTGCTCTAGGTTGTGATTTTTACCATTCATGTTTTGCGATTTAATAGATTGCTTTCCATTAACATTATCAGGTTGTTCTTGTTTAACGATGCCATTAGATTGAATAGTTTCCTGTGACTCATCAGATGGTGTTGTTAATATTGGCTGCATTACTTTATATATATTTTTTTCTCTTTTTATACAATAAACAACACTGACAATAATAATAAAAAAGCAAATTCGCGGAAAAAAAAATAAAATAAAAAAAGAAATGTTTTTTTTTAAAAAAAAAATTGAACCTACGTCACCATCATCTTTTTCAAAGAAAACCGAGAATTATATTTTATTTTTATGAAGTCTTCAAGAAATTTGAAAACTAACCTCTTTTTAGTTTAGAAAAAAAAAAAAAATAGAGAGCTCTTTTTTTTTTTTTTTCTTTTTCTTTTTTTTTTTTTAGAAATAAGTTTTTAGATGAATTCCTTTCTTTTAGATTAGACATCTTTTAAATAAAAAATGGACTATGTTAACTATATTCCAGACGAAAACTACAATAATTTTATGACTGAGGGAATGGAAGTTGATGAGGTTGCTGTTAAGTTCGGCGACATTGAGATGCTTTGCTTAGGAAAAATGAGTACCTCATAGAAGATATTTCTTAAAGCGCATATGAGAAAATGGATGAAATGGTTTTAGAGCTTGAGAAGATGACTATTATTAAAACGAAAACAAACATATAAAAAAGTATGGGCCTAAGCAAATCGCACGCTTTATACACATATTACAGGAAACAGGGGCCACTGTACCAAAAGTAGCCAAAGCTTGTGGCATACCTACAAAGCAGTGCCTATAAACTTTTAAACCAGTTCAATGATAGTAATGGGTCACTTCTTCCAGGTAGTACACCAACACAAAAAGGAAAAACGAAACAAAAAAAAAAAAAGCTATTTCCTGTCTATACTGCCTTTTTGATCTAGTTGTTTGACGCTAACTCTTCAACCGTTTTGGAACAGACAGGAGAAAAGCTGATGAAGCAGTTTGGAGTACCCGTTACTATTTCATCTTTGTACGCGCATATTCGTGAAAAAGTGCTGCTTAACATTAAAGTAAGCTAGTAAATACACAATCGAAAGAGATGCGCCTAGAACGCTTAACCTCCGTTACGAAATTATCAACAAATGGATAGAGGCCGGTGTTGATTTTCAGAAAAACTGCATGTTTATTGATGAAGCTGGCTTTCACTCCCAACTGATGAGAGGGCGTGCATGGTTGAAAGTTGGTACTCCAGAAATTGTAAAAGTGCACACACACGAAAAGGCGTTAATTTTAGCATGATTGGGTGTATATGTGCTAGAGGAATTATAAGCTTTACTAAAGTTATACCTTTGAAAATAGAGGATACTGAGTTGATAGAGAATGAGTTTCATTTCGAGGTATCAGCTAAAAAAGAAAGAAAGTATAACACTCAAGAGCCTAAAAAACAACAACCCTTAAAGAAGGGTACTATTGCTTATCATAGAGTCAAATATATAGAATCTGTTATGGATATACTTGATAAAAAGGAGATAAAAGGGTTTTTTCATTGTCATGGGTAACTGTAGGGTACATCACACCAGATTTGTTGTTGACGCAATTGTGAAACAAGGATACAAACCATCATTCATGCCACCTTACTCTCCTTTTTTTTTAAAAAAAATCCCATCGAAGAGTGCTGGTCGAAGATCAAAAGTGGTATTAGAAAAAACCCTTTGAAAAAAAGGTGATGAGCTGACACCTCGTATCGCTGAAGCATGCAACACGGTGACTACAAAGGACTGTTTGCAGTGGGTGAAGCATGCTGAATCTTATTGGGAGAGATGTATTCAGAAAGAGAAGGGGTTAAAAATAACTAATGTTGTGTTCTTGACCTTTTCACATATAAAACGTCCTTCTAAAATTTTCCCTTTATTTTCTAAAACAATCTAAATTCTACTTGACACTTTTCCATGTCCATTTCCGTGTCTATTTTTTTTCAGCTGCTGGTTCTCGTGTTCCTTATCGTTACCTTTTTCTAAGTACTAAATATGATAACCATAACAAGAGAACAAGCTATATGCATACTATATTGTGTAGCTTTTAACGATGAAAATGTCAAGACATTTGTGTACTGAAAAGTTTGAAAGCCTGCTACAAGGAGGATCCCATGGAGCCAATGGTGATCTCCATTTACAAAATAAATGCCTACCCTTTCATATACAAAAGATATTTAGTCAAGAAAGAAGAATTACATATTGAAGATAGCACAAGTGTGAATAAAAATCAAATGAGTTTAGGTACATAGTAAAGGCTATACCTTTTCTACTCTATGATATCCAGTAACATTTAATCTATATTTTTATAGTCTCTAAGGCATAAGTATCCAGTTTTCTTGATATCGTATTTTTGCCTGCCAACCCATTCAACGAAGACGCATATAACTTCAAACAGGTAGAAACCAAGAAAATATTGTCTTTTATACGTAAATATTCATGTCTTTTTAACAAATATAATATCAGCAGCCTTGGAAAGTGGTTGAAGTCAGCAAAAGTAAGCCTAACAGACTCTCCGATCAAAAGAATATACGGCAGTACAGGAGAAAAAGTACAAGTAAGAAACGTGTATGTCTTAAAGGATGAATATTTAGGTAAGTTTGGCTTCAGTTTGTAAAAAGCATGCATTTATTAATTATTGGGTTTTACTACAGCGGATACCTTAAAAAAAGTGGTTTCTTATCTTGAAGAGTACCAAGAATATATAAAAAAGTTTAAAAAAGGAGGGTTACAATGTGATTGGCTACGCTAGAAAATCAAAGGGCAAAGAGACAGAAGATACTTGAATAAAACTATTGCAGCTGATGTGTAACTGTTTGAGAAACAGATCGCTTGTTGATTGTGCGTTCGCTTTGTGCTCCTGTAATGCAAGTGACCCATTACATTCGAGAGACAAGAGCCAAGAAAAAGTACTCGAGGATGGCAATACTCAAGGTAAAAATAACTAGTTCAAGAAAATATTCAGAATTATAACTATTTATTGGGTATGCTGTGTCATATAAAAAATAACAATAAAATGTGTCTGGTAGTTCTTGATTACGCAGGCCTTTCTACTAATCGCGAGGATTTGGAGCAGATTATTAGGTAAAATATAAATAAAATAAAACAATGAAGTATAAACAACATTCTAACGTTTAGTATTAGTGACAATGAGAGCTTACAAAAGATAATCATCGATACGTTGCCCTTCAATAATAAAGTAATAATATATGAACGCCAAAAACTACTGAATAAACAGCAAACAATGAAGGCATTTGAGTGCACAAACAGGCCTCTGCAACGCTCAAAATAATTTTGTTTATTTCAAAAAAAAAAAAAAAAAAAAAAAAACAGTCTATAGTGAAAAACTTAAATTTCAAGAAGCTAAAAATGACAGAGAAAATGTTAAGGCTTTGACTAGAAAAGATAAGCCTTGTGACTTTTCTTCTAAGTTTTGGATAGTAGGATATTTCCAATAGTTAATAGTGTGAGTGTTATGAGCTGACTTATAATGCAATATTTCGTGATTAAACATGCGGATCAGAAAATTATTCAAGGAATTCTATCTAAATTCTCCTGAAACTCTCTTAATCCACTCTATCAAATAATATTAAAAACTTCTAACACTTCATTATCTATAACATATTTTATTCAGTCGTAACTAGCACTTTTCTGATTCGCTTCTTATCTCAGACCTCTTTAAGAATTCTTATAAATACGCATCAATTTAAATTCATTATTCATAAATAAAATCATTGACTTCAGAATCATTGTTCGGTCTCATTGATGATTTTTTTATTTTATAATATTTTTTTATTTGATATTTTACAAGCAATATCACAGAACTCCTTAATATTATGGATGAGGATGAATCTTTAAGGTGAGTTATTTAGTGATGGATAATGCTAGTATCCATAAGTTGAAACCAATGATTTGAAAAATTGAGGCTAGATGTTATAAAGTAATGTAACTCCCCCCACTTACTCACCTGAGCTAAATCCTATTGAACAATTCTGGGCCTTAGTGAAAGGAAAAATGAAGTGCTATCGTTTGACGAAAGAAGAGACATTATCTTCTAGAATTGGTGATGCATGTAATAACGTTCGTTTTAGTGATCTTTATGGCTTTTGCCTTCATTCCATGCATCAAATTATAAATTGCTTTAAACGAATTCCATTCTAAGCCTTTCATTGAATAAATAATTATTAACTTTAACTATAAATCAACTAAAGTGTTACGAGAACTAAAACATTATATGATTCTATTAATTAAAGTATGATTAAGCGCTATAAATTAAACCTAACAGCATCTTTTCCTCCTGTAACCGACAATATCTACTTTTTTTTTTATTTTTTGGTACGGTACGATACTGTACGATACGCTTTTATTTTTCTTTATCGCCATGTCTGAATCAAGTATTCACCTTGAAACAAGTAATGGCTCCATTAGTGGTAAGTAAAGTATATTATGTAAACAAAAACACTTTCTCTCATATACAATTATAGATTACTTGTTGTCAGAAGAGTTTGTTCCCAGTAGTGATTGAATTAGCAAGGCTGTCTTAACTGATGATAGAATCATGAATATTATATGCAAAAGTCTTAACAATAGTCCACAAGATCAACATATGGCCGCCCCTAACGAATTCTTGAATAAAAACGTCAGTGATATTATATATCTCCTAAAAGTGCCTCTTAGTGAGTACCCGCTCATAATGGTAGAAGTCTAAAAAAAAAAAGTTAATGACAAATACATATCTCGTGCAGCACGTTACTCAACATCAGTTTATAAAAAAAAATACAGTAAATACTCGATTATTTTAATAATTGGTGTATCTACGGTAACCACATCAGTAACCAGAAAGCTAGCTCCATCTACGGCTTACCCATATAGTCTAGAAGTTCCATGTCTCTTTTGGGCCAAGCACTATTTACTAATGTCTTCAAGCACATTATCAAAAACTGTATCAATTGAGCAATTAGATCCTTTAGCAGCTATTGATATGTTTTTATGCTCACAAAAACTCTCGATAAAACACCTTGATTGTGGCTCTGATGACTCTACTATGAAACTTTTATATAAAGTGGCAATGATCTACGTTCAGCAATTAGTTGGTGAGGAAACAGAGAAAGCAGAAGCTATTAAGTTAATTTGTGATAATACAGAGAACCAAATAGAAAAATAAAAAGATGTGTCGATAAAAATAAAAAAAATTGGATCTCTAAAAAAACTGAGTGCAAAATGGATCCTTATTTATATCTTGTGGAGAACTGGGTTACTTTGTGACAGGAACAGAATGAAAGAAGAATATTTCCCATAAAATGATTAAAGTTATTTTTGTCTGAGCTCTAGTCTTTGCCCTGATTAAATTATTCGTGCTCACTCTAACCGGTTATTTTCCTTGAAACCAAATAACGAGATCTCGTTTGTTCATACTTGTGAATGATATAGGGAAGATGCTTTGTATTATATTCATTCCTCAATGCACTACTTGAATGAATTTCATTATAGTGTATAGATAGTATATTAGATAATAATCTGGATATATAACTCATAGGTACAGCCTATAATTCATATATGTCTTTATCATTAATAACTCTTTCTACTATTGTTTGGCCTATCATTATCTCGTAATGTTAGTATTTATTATAATATTATTTTTCTTATCACGAGAATGTTTTATAATTTGAAATCAAATAATATTGTATGCATAAAGTGTACAAATATTATGACTTTGATCTGTATATTATAAGATATTATGTAATACATCATTGTATACACAACAATCACTATAAAATATTTAAACGGCGTACTGTTATTATTATCTCCGATAAAAATGAAATACAGCAGTTTACTTGTTATATATTAATATTTTTTTTTTTTTTTTACATACAAACACACATCTATTTATATAAATGTCAATTAAAGAGATTTCAAGAAATAAATGCTTTGGCGGCCATGTTATTAAATATGAACACCATTCAGATGAACTTGACTGTGACATGAAGTTTAATGTCTTTTTACCCTTAGAATCTTCTACACAAAAAGTACCTGCCATTTATTTTCTATCTGGTTTGACATGTACTGAAGATAACTTTATTCAAAAAAGTGGTGCCATGGCTGAGGCAGCAAAGCATGGTATTGCTTTAATCGCTCCTGACACATCTCCACGTAAATATACATATTTCTGTTCTCATTTTCCTTTTTTGCTATAATAAGTATTCATTCATATATTGTATTACAGGTGGTGTAAAAATTGAAGGCGATGATGATTCTTGGGATTTTGGTACTGGAGCTGGATTTTATATAGATGCGACACAACCTAAATGGTCAAAAAATTATCGTATGTATTCTTATATTACTAAAGAATTGTATCAACTTGTCTATGAGCAATTACCTATTGTAAGAAACACACGTTTTTTTTTTTTTTTTTTTTTTTTTTTTTTTTTTTTTTTTTTGCTTTGTTTTTTGTTTCCTTCATCCTTATTTATCTATTTAACAAGTATAGGATGAAAATCGCATTTCAATTATGGGACACTCAATGGTAAAGTTGTATAATGTTACTGTAAAAAAAAAAAAGGGAGAGGACTTAAATTATTATGCATAGGGAGGTCATGGCGCATTGACCATATTTATTAAAAATCCAAGCAAATTCAAATCAGTTTCAGCATTCGCACCTATTGCTAACCCTATGAATTGCCCTTGGGGCCAAAAAGCATTTTCCAACTATCTTGGTTCTGATAAAGAATCCTGGAAGCAATATGATACTATTGAATTATTAAAAACGCATATGAATGAGCGTATGAATGCACTTGTTGATGTTGGCACTGCTGATGGTTTCTTGGAAAAGGAGCTCTTGATTGATGAATTAAATAAGACAGTAAAGGAATTAGGACGTGAAAGTGAATGGAAGATCCGTTATCAAGATGGTTATGATCACAGTTATTTCTTTATCTCTACTTTTATTGCTGACCATATTCAGCATCATGCAACCTATTTAAAAGCATAAAAAAATTAAATAATAAATTATTTTTAAGCCACTAGTATTTTTTTTTTTTTTTTTTTCTCGTCATTTTTCTTTTTAAATAATAATGTCAAAAAAGCAACAAAATAAAAAGATTAATACAGAAGAAAATGAAAGATTACAAACACAGATTGATGCCTCAATTGGCATTGCAAGAACGTTAATCCAATCCTGGTTACCTCCACCAAAACCAGGAGAAAAGTTAGAAGATGAAGATGAAGATCAAGACATTTATACAAAATATTCAAGTGGTCGACCTGATAGGTAAAAATTAAAAAAAAAAGAGTCTTCCAGAACAAGTGATATATGTTTTTTTTTTTTTTTTTTTTTTTTTTTTTTTTTTTTTTTTTTGCTTTAATAGACTTGGCCTTGGTGCTAAATTCTTATCTCATGCAGAAGCTATGCGTCATAATAATAATGGAGCTCTACCTTCTAAAGAAGAACTAGTATTAAAAAATAAGATTTTAAATCAAAATAAAAGAGCATCACAACATCGTGATTCGTCTATAGATATCAGAAAACGATCACGTCCTCAAGATCAATCTGAATCATCAGATGAAGATGAAGAAGGTTCGCGATCAAACACAGTCGGCATAAAAAACAAGAAAAAGATAGAAAGTATCTCTACAACATCAAACAGTAATAATAAAAAAAAGATTGGAAATCAAGGGGACTTTTTATCAATGTATCTATCAGAGCGTGCAAGTAAAAAGAAGAACAAAAAGAAATAAGAGTCTTTGAAAGATCTTCTCCTGTACATAAATTCTTTAATAAAACTAAAACTAAAAAGATACCCTTTAATGCATTCTTCTATTTGATGGGCCAAAAAAACAAACAAACAAACAAGACTTTACTTTATTAAAACAATATGTATTAGTAGATAACAAAAAAAAATCATTGACATAAAAAGTTAGTTTATTATTTATTATATCCATGTTTTTTCTTATAACTATGATTGATCCAACTCATTTATTACTGGTCATCTTTTTTTTTTCTTGGTCTTTTATTTTGCACTTTTCTACAATGCCACATCCAACAAGCTAATACAGAGGCTGAAAGATTGATTCAAGCAAAGATATTCATTCAAAAAAAAAAAAAAAAAAAAAAAAAAACGAAAAGGCAAGAAAAAGAAGTAAATCCGAAAAAATGAAAAAAAAAAGGAAAGGGTAGACAACAACGGTACAAAAGGCAAATTCGCAATTACAGTTTTATGTAAACCTACTGATTTTTTTTTTTTACGTACTTTACTAGAAACAAAAAGTGGAAGCCGTACAAATTTATTGAAGAAGATAAATCAAAAGTGCCACTCATTATCTTTGGAAATGACGCGTTTAACAAAAACGTAGTAAAGTTCAAAGATGTACGTTATGGTGCAGTAGGGATCTTGTGCAGATGCCTTAAGAAAAGAGAAGCAGCAGGAGAATTTTCTGGTTGTTCCTATCGATGAATACCGTACTTATCAGATAGACAACTCCCGTAAAAGTAGAACGATGATAAAGCACCCTGATGTCAAAGGCCAAAGTGTACTTGTCTGTACAACTTGCCGTACACTTTGGCAAAGAGACATCAGTGCATCGAAAAACATGATGCTTATATCGCTTTCTGTCTGGAGTGGCCATGGTGTTTCTGAAGCGTTCAGAAGGAGCAGCTCATGAACTTTCCATGCCTCAATCGCCATAATCAACACGGTTTCCATAACAGGATTTAGATCGCATTACAGGTAAATGTCTAAAGACTGTATATAAATCTTCATTCGTCTAAAACTCAATTTTTTTGTCTGATTTCATCTGAAAATTAATTTTGATTCGTATCTAGTTAGTTATTGTAGCAAAATATTAGTCGGAGTAATGCAGTAATAAAACCATTAGATTTTTTATTTTTCATTATTATTTTACCTTAAATCCCAAGTAAAAGAGGTCTACTTACCAAAAACTAAAGAAACAAAAAAAAAAAAAAAAAAAAAAAAAAAAAAAAAAAAAAAAAAAAAAAAAAAAAAAGGGAGAATCTATTGTAATAAAATAATTTTATGTGTATACGTTATTAGTTATTATTAAAATGATATAAAGAGAGCGAATAAGAGAAAGAAAAATTTTTTCTCCCTTTAAACTGGAGATCGAAATCAGTTCAAGGTAAAACCAAACTAACTTGGCTTTTTTTTTTCTCCCTTGTTTTCTACTGTTGTAAATAAAGTAAAATAAAGAGTTTAAAGAAGAAACAAGAATGATATATTACATAAATATACAAAACAAAAACATAAAGAAAAAAAAATACACACACACACACACACATTAATTTCCTTTTGTTGCTGATAATAATTTATCATGGATGCCTTGTAAAAATTGATCATTTGCAGGTACAGGCGGTAAACGCTTGCAATGCTTCATTTTCATTTTCCTGAATTTCACTATAGGATGACTAGTATAAGGATGACTGATAAAACTGCTGTAACCACTACTATTATATTTGTTGATACTTGCCATATCTTTTTTTTTATCTTTTTTATCCTTCTTCTTTTCCTTCTTCTTTTCCTTCTCATTTAAATTATTACCCTTTTTTTCGCTTGCTGCTATTCCAATAGATGTTTCGTTAGAAAAAGAAACACTCTTTCTACGAATGGGACTATTATTAGAAGGTGATATAGGTTCACTGTCATCTCTTTCCTCTTTTTCGTTTTCTTTCTCTTCTTCCTCTCTTTCTCCTTCTTCCTCATTCTCCTCATCTGATGATGATTGTGCTGATAACGATGTTGGTGAAGATGATAACAAAGTGGAGGGAGTGATTGTGTTACCATTACGTATCGTATTCTGAATGGTTAAGTGATCTTGGTTGACTGTATCATTTAAATTACATCGACTTGTTTCTTCATTCAATTCTTGAATCAAAGAAGAAGCTCGTGGGTTTAAGATAACGGGTACAACAGGTGTACCAAGTGAAGAAGGGCTCTTAAAACCTTTGTTTTTCTTTTTCTTCTTTTTATCTCCACTATCTTCCTTCTTTTCCTTCTTGTCTTTCTTTTTATCCTTTTTCTTGTCTTCCTTTTCTTCCACTTGATCATTCACTTTTGACACTATTTATGATGGCTATAAGTTAAGATATTTTATCCTTATTCTACTATTATAAAATATATAAATGTATATCTGTAATTATATTTTATATACTTTTATTATTTTCATCTTTAGAAGACCATTCAGGATCAATACTATGCCTTAAAAGGTCTTTTACCAATGGAAGTAATTCAATTTGCTATAATACATATTTAATACTATTTAAATTAAGAAAAATACGAATAAATACTTACAGTCCAACTCTCTTTTGATAATGATCTCAAGTCATTAATCTATGATAACATTTATATGTGTGTGTGTGTGTATTAGTTTTATTGTGCATATATAATCTCTTTATTTTATTACAGTAGAAATACGATTTTTGTTTAAAATAGAGAGATCTTCTTCAACTTCTTTTTCTGACCAATTCCTTTCTTTAGCAATTCGTTTTAATACATTGCTCACAGGCTATAAACGATATTAATTCTCTTTATATTTGTATACATGTATCTATATATACAAAAGTAAAATAATCAATCACTATATTTACATCAGTGTCAAGTAAAAACTCAGTCATTTTTCCTATATTTATATATTTGTATATGTATATGAAAAAGAGAAAAAAAAAAAAGAAAAAAAGAAAATAAAGGAGCTTTTTTTTTTATCGTTTTTTATTTTATTTATTTATTTATTTATTTTTTTTTTTTTTTTTTTTTTTGAAGTACAATTATATTCCGAACCACCACTCACTAACTCAACATGTGATCAATTTTACTTATGGGGTTTCAAAGCAACAAAGTACACAACATAGAAATATTAGGAAGAGGAATCTCACGTAATTTTGAGTCACAGCAAATCTAAGCAATAAAAATTATGACTCTGAGAATGAATATAATACAAGATAACATGCATCTGCTTCTGACTCAAAAATAGTTGCATATGAAAAAAAAAAAAAAGATAAAGTGATAATGAAGAAGACTACCCGTTATACTGTCGATCACTCAAATCATTTATTTATTTATAGTAAATCCTTAGACAACATAAAGTCATTTTTTTTTGAATCATATATACACTAGTTGCCATAGTTTGTACACCAATGTTGTTGTTAGGATATAAAATGCGTGTAACAAGAAAAGATCGTATAACAATTTTTTTTTTATAATAAACCTGGTACTTTATTAATTAATAAGCGCCAAGAAAAATTATTATTATTATTATTATTATTATTATTATATATAGATAAGGAAAAAACAACAACAACAACAACAACAAGTTACTAGAATTACTCTAGTTGACTTTTTTATCCACTTATTTATGTGAGGTTACTAGGTTTATTTCTTATAAAGGTAAGATTGATTTCTTGTAAAAATATAAACAATAACAATAATAGATGTTTACTATTTTTAGAAGTGATCGACACTAGTACATGTAAATTTTTCCTTTTATGTTAACAGAAAGGGTCGTCTTTATGATTAGTCTTCCATTAAGTTTTGTTCTTTTATTTTTTTTCCAAATCTTTGTAAATCTTCAAGTAATAATTTTGGTTCCTCTAAGGCTGGAAAATGCCCACCCTAAATTATTTGAAATGGTTGTAAGTATAATGATTATTTTAAACAGAACGAAGAATAAGCTTACAGAAATCATCTCGGTGTATTGTTGAAGGTCTGTTGAAGCCTCCAACCAATCTTTTGGTATCTATTAGTAGATTACAGAAAGGTGTAAGTCTTTTTTTTTTTTTTTTTTTTTTTTTTTTTTTTTTTTCATTTGATATAATGAAATAATTCATCTATGTGTCACCTTTATAATATCATGAGCAAATGCACAAACAGCTACGGGAATAGTAATTCGTGGTAAAACGACTTTCATCATTTCTTTTTGTTGAAGACATTCATAATAAATACGAATAGATGAGGACATGGTATTTGTTAACCAATAAATAGAAACTTGAGTCAAGAATTCATCGTAACTGATAGTAGTTGGTAACCCTGAAGTCTCTTTTTCTTTCTCTAGTGAATGATATGTCCAATCATGATACTTTTCCAGCATCCAAGCTAAATCATTTATTTAAAAGGATTAAAGTTATCTATTACAAAAAAAAAAAAGTGTGATATCAATACCTAGTAAACCTACAGGACTATCAGTAAGGCCATAGGCTAAAGTATAAGGTTTTGTGCCTTGTATAGCTCTATAACCACATTCATTATTCCATTCTGCATTAGCAAATGTTGCACCTCCCAATAGTGTCTTTCCTGTTCCATAAACTGTATCAAATCCCAAAATTAAACTAGAAAAAAATTTCATCACCTTGAAAGGATAAAATAATAGATTCCTTGGTGTAGGTAGTGGGGGTAAAACCATAGGTAGATTTGTATGATATGCTTTACAATTTTGATTATAATGTGTAGCAATCCATTTCCCTATAATCGCTCCCCAATCTCCACCGTGATAGACTTTAGAATAAATGAATGTTAACCTCTACATAGCTATTACATATTATTAAGCTTATTACTATATTTATTGTATCCTAGATTTAGCATTAATGAGTTGATTGTACTAGCCATTTTAGATACGCCATATCCTTTTACTTTCGGTGCTTCTGAGAAGCCAAAGCCAGGTAAACTAGGAACAATCACATGAAATGCCTTTTAAATAATAATAAACGCGTTTATAAATTTATGATAAATGTCATTTTTCCCTCTGCTTCTCTCTCTCTCTCTCTCTTTCCCTCTTTCTTTCTTTTTTCTTTTGTTTTACCTGTGTATCATTAAAACCATCTCTCAGTGGTTCTATTAACTTATGAAACTCATAAAATGTAGACGGCCAACCATGTAATAAAACAATAGGAATAGCATGATGATGAAGAGAAGGTTCATAAACATAATGTATCAATAGTCCATCTATCTTCATATGATAGTGATGCCATTTATTCATTTTCGCCCTGGATGATTTTTCCCAATCAAATTGGTTTACCCAATAGTTCACTAATGGTTTAACAGCCCAGCTAGGAGCTCCTAAACTCCACTCATCATCACCCGGTTCTTCTAACTCGTTAGGCCAAATGATAGAAGCTGTCTTTTCAACTAGTTCATGATGCTTTTCATTAAAGTCAGGTATATAAAACCTTTCTATTTCCCCTTCTGACAACAACATATATTGAAAAATAAGAATAAAATAAAGGAAAATAATAATAATAAAACTCGTTTTTTTTATAACCAAATGCTTACTCTTTTGGTTAAAAAATGATGACTTGTTTAATATTATCCTTAATTTGCTACCGCAACTTAAAAAAAAAAAAAAAAAGATGAGGGGAGGACATTATTTTCTAAAAATAAATAAATAAAATAAACGCGCTCTGCTACAAATATTCCCTTTTATTACTTTAATTTTTTTTTTTAAAGAAATAAGGATGCCATCACCTGTAAGTTGTCAATTGGGGATTAAAATGTACAGTTACTAACTTTTTTTTTTTAATCTTATTTTCGAAATCTTTCTACTCTTTTCCTGTTTTTTTTTCCTTTTTTTTTTTTTTTTTTTTTTTTTTTTTTTTTTTTTTTTTTTTTTTAAAAAAAAAAGGCATTTGAAAAAGCAGCAGAAGAAGTTCATAATCTTGCTAGCAAACCTTCTAATGATGATCTTTTAAAGTTATATGCACTTTATAAACAAGCTACTGTTGGTGACAATAACACCTGTAAAGTCAATTAAAAAAAAAGGGGGGGAGGGGGAGAAATGGAATAGATATGCAGTATTTGTATTAACTAACATTTATGTATTTTATTTTATTTTAGCTAAACCCAAGCTTGACATCAAAGGTCGTTACAAATGGCAAGCATGGGAAGACCTTAAAGGTAAACGCATAATGGAAGAGTAAAGAAAGTGGAAATAGGATTATCTTATATACATTTATTTAGGCATGATTCCTGCTGAAGCCGAGACACAATACATTGCTTTTGTTGAAGAGCTTAAAACTAAATGTTAGGGAAAGTGATAGGAGGGAGATTTTCTTAATATCCCTTATTATTATAACACAACTGAGACAGAATATAATTATGTAATAAATTTCTTTTTTTTTTTTCTTTTCTTTTTTATATTTCCACATATATTTTTTCTTTCTTTTTTTCTTTCTTTTTTTTTTCATAATCATAATATTTATACCATGTCAAAAGATATAGATGAATTGACTCAATCTATGAAAAATACAAATGTGAAAGAGGATATATTAGTAGATGTTGACTACGATGAGTCTTCTTCTACTCCTAACATTAATGACATTGATGTTGAAAACAGTAAAGAGTATGTTTACATTTAGCAATAATTTTAAAAAAAAAACTTACCCACTCCTTTTTATTCCATTATAAACAATAAAAAGTACTTTAACAAAAGAAAAGGATGAAGTTGTACAAGATAAAAATCAGCAACAAGGTATGATATAAAGGAAGAGATGGATTGAGAGGACGTATATATATTAATTTATATTACAATCGTTAGAAAGTAACTCTTCTCGACAATTTCAGGCAGATATACCACCCTTTGATTTTCATAGATTTTTAGAGCAAATGAAAGACCCAAGTGCTGTACCCATTGCACGTTATACAAAGGGGTAAAATAGCATTTTGAAAAAAAGTTATACAACAAAAGAAATACTTATCATTTATTTTATTAGCTTTATAACTGCCTTTCATAGAAGAGAAGCTTGGACTGTAAATGAGCAAATTAAATTTATACAGGACTTTTTAAACGTATGTTTATAGATGTATTTGTATAAAAATATGAATATATAAAGAGGAAATATAAAAAAGTCACACATGTTCAACTTGAATAGTTTACTTATGGTCGAATGAGGGATTGTGATGTTTGGAGAGATATTTCAGATAAAGAATTTGAAAATGCGAAAGAAGGCATGGAGAAACTAGTAATGAATAGGCTATTTAATGTGTAAAAAAAAAAAGAAAAAGAAAAAAAATTAAAATGATTTATGAATTTGACACGTTCAATTTTTATAGTACATTTTCACCAAATACTATGGATGATAAAGAAAAGGACGAAATATTACATCATAAAATTAAAATCTTTCGCTGGATAAGGGAGGAACATCTTGATATACCCAAAACGGACGATAATGAATCATTCTTAACTTTTGCAGAATCAGGCAAGTTTGTCTATGTATGGATTTAATTTGAAAATGAATCTAAATCTCCCTTTTTAGAATTATTGAAAATGAATAATTACAAGGCACCAAGGGATAAACTTATTTGTATTTTAAATTGTTGTAAAGTTATATTTGGTAGGTTATTATTAACACAAGTTAGATATAACCATATAGTATTAAAAATTCTATACTGAAACTATAATAGGCTTAATGAAGCACATGGAGAGAGATGAAGGAGCAGACGTTTTTCTTCCACTATTAATATATGTCGTTATTCGTGCAAATCCGCCTCGTTTAATATCTAATGTTCAGTAAATATACGTGTATATACATTGATATAATATAATACATATATAAATGCATATTTATATCTTTTATTGTCAATAGATATATTTCTCGATTTAGAAACCCTGAACATCTTAGAGCAGAAGCTGGATACTATTTAACCAATCTTGTAAGTAGTACGTATACAAGATATAAACAAGAAATAATAATAATAATAATGGCTTAATTAGATGGGTGCAATTGAATTTATCGAAACAATGGATGTAAATTCATTATCGATATCTCAAGAAGAATTTGATGCGTAAATAGATAATAATTACATGTAACCTAATTTTTTATACTCATTATGATTTAGTTTTATTGAAAAAACAATGATAGAGTTAAGTCAAGAGGAACCCAAAGTAACAATTGCAGATAAAAGACAAATTAGTTATGAAAATGCAGTTCATCCGTTACATGCTAAAAAGGCACAACAACAACAACAACAGCAACAACAACCATTAATAGAAATTGGATCAGATATTGCTCAAAAATCGCTCAATTTCATGGAGAGATTATTTTCAGATAGTAGTGCAAGTAATAGCGAAAGTGAGCAATATACTCATAAAAGACATCAACATCAACATCATGATAGTCATCATTATTACGTACCTGACGGTCCTTCTTCTCTATCACAAGAATTACCTATGCCCGCTAATTTAAATTCAGCTCAACAAGAAACAGTAGCAATAACAAGACTACATTCTGAAGATGCTCGTAAAACATTTGATGAGGATTTAAGTACTATTGTCTCTATGTTTCCTAATATTGAACCTGGTGTTTGTTTTATGGTTTTACAAGCGTGCGAAGGCAAATTACCAGAAACAATTGAACGGTAATATATACAATGAAAAATAATATTTATTTATTTATTTGTTTATTTATTGTCTTTATAATAGCTTATTAGACATGTCAAACGATTGAATATAAATAAACTTGTTATACCTTTAATAATCATATTTTTCTTTCTTCCATCGAGTAAGTAAGTTATCCTTATACTCCTAATAAGAAAGAAAATAAAAAAAAGGGGGAGCGAGTAACAGTAGCAAAAATATGATGTAATATCAGTTATATTATTAATTTTCAAATGTTTGTTGTTGTTATGTGTATTACAATGGTTCGATTTTGACAGCGTTATAGTTACACGAATTATTTTAATCGAACAGCATAGCAACAACATTGGTATTCTGATGCCCCTCCTTTTTTGAGTAGTAGTCAAGTTGCTGCTGACGACTCCGCTATGATATGTTGTTGCTTCCTTAGTCTTCTTCTCCTCCACCTCCTGAAGTATATACAAATAAATATTTGTATGTGTATATGTATAGAAATATGTGTATGTATACAAATATATAATAACTACATCATCTTTTTTTTTATTTTACGTTGTTGATGTTAGTATTTTTTTTTAAAGAGAAAGAAAATAGATCTGTGACAGCAATAATATGCAGAAATAGCTTTAAATAATTTTGTTTTTATTTATTTAGTTACTCTAGAAGAAGAATTATAGAATCATTATCATAACTATAAACTCGAATAAGTGAAACAACAAATCGGAGTAACCCATTTACACCTAGGTGGTAGTTTTTTTTTTTTTTTTATAAACCAAAAAAAATAAAATAAAATAAAATAATCAAAAAAAAAAAAAGATAGAAAGATGAATTCTTATATGTATTTAAAGAGAGACGTTATTAGAAAGATAGATCCTCTCCTTTCATTTCTTTTCTTCCTCCTCTTTCTCTCTCTCCTATTCTTTTTTTTTTCTTTTTGACCTAAGAGGAAGGTAAAGAGAAATAAAATCATTCTTCTTTTTTAATGACCGCAAATACTTGTTAAAGAAAAACGGCATCAGGGACAGCAATAATAATGACAGCATAGAAAAAAAAATATTACTTGGATCAGTTTAGAGAAGGAACTTTTAGGGAAAAAAAAATAGACAAGACTTGAAATATATAACAGAGTTAAGGGATAGATGACTGTATTTAGTATCAATAAGGTATAGAAAAAAAAAAAAACTACTACAAATTATAAATGTTTAACAAACAAGTAAAAAGTTATGTTACATTAAAAATTGTAAAGTTCGTTTCGATCTGAATCAAACTGTATAAAATAAATTTTATACATGTATATTTGTATTTATGTTATTTATCTATAATTTGTTGTATGCTAAGTTATTTCTTTCTTTTTTTTTTAAAAAAAAAATAAAAGCAAAAAAAAAAAAATGTTTATTTTCGAGTAAGTTAGCATTGATGACTATGGCTGGAAAATAAAAATAGTATTATCTTCCACAAGTTCTCTCTTTCTCTTTTTTTTTTTTTTTTTTTTATATATATCTTTATTTATTTTTTCTAAATTGATTTGTATACTTTATTTATTTATTTTTCTTTTGGAAATATGAAACTCAGTGAACAAACTACTATTTTAGGTAGTTTTACTGCATTCTATGCCGAGAAGAGCTTATGATGGCGGGGATTTCCATGTGACTATAAATGCTTGTACTAAAAAAACCTTGAATTGGTATAAATTGTATTTATTTATTTTATTATATTTTTCTTCTTCTCTCTTTTCTCTTTCTTTTTCCTTAAGGGGAATGCCTTCTTTTTTTTAAAATATATAAAAATACATACATATTTTATTTATTTATTCATACTTGATCACTATTATTATTATTTCTTTTTTATACATATACATATATAAATATATTAAAAATATGACATCTGTAGCTCCTGCTGGTCAAATAAATAATGTGGATAAAATTCCAACTGAACAAAAGAGCGCTTTCTATTCTTTTTTAAAGTCATTAGCATCATTTACAGGTGATTTATCTTCCGTTACTTGTCCAGCATTCTTACTTGCACCTGAATCACTTATTGAATACTCGTAAATATATATAATCTATATACATATACAAATTATCTGTTTATTCATAGAATAGTATATTAATTCTTTTTACCTTTTCTTTTCTCTCCTCTTCCTTCTCCTTCTCCTTTCCTCCCCCCTTTTTTTTTTCTATAAATTCTATTTAGTGAGTTTTGGGCAGCTCAGCCGGAACTGTTCGCAGCCATTAGTAAACCTGATGATGAAGTGGAAAGATTTTTAGCATTTATGAAGTGGTTTATTTCATACTTGAATGCTGCTTATAAGAAGCGTGTTCCTAAAGGACAATGGGAGAAAAAGCCATATAATCCTGTTCTCGGTGAGCAATGGTTTATGAAATGGGCCGACACGAATGGTTGTGGTGAAACAGATGTTTTATGCGAACAGGTCTCTCATCATCCCCCTGTGACGGGGTTTTATATTAAAAATGATAAAGCCGGTGTTGTCTTGAATGGTCACTCGGGTCAAAAGACTCGTATCTCAAATGCCACTTTAGTCTGTGATCAAACAGGTCGTGAAATACTTCGATTAAAGAAGAGAAATAATGAATCTTATTTGTTTACAAGTCCGTCCTTAACTGTCCGTGGTATATGGTATGCAGGTAAAGTGTTGTTGTGTCATCATACTAATTATATAAATTAACCCCTTTTCTTTTTCTTTTCTTCTTCCTTCTTCAGCTCCTTATGTTGAATTGATCGGTACAACTTATATTCAAGCATCTACAGGGTATTATGCTTCTGTTGAATACTCTTCTCGAGGCTGGATCTCTGGTGAAAAAAATCATTTCAAATGCCTTATTCGTAAGAATTCGGATGGACCGAAAGAATACCTTTACAAGATTGAAGGACAATGGAGCGGGAAATCAATGATTACGAACTACAAGACAAAGGTATCAAAACCATTTTTAGATGTCAATACATTTAAATCTGCTACTGCTATCGTTCAACCTATTGAAAAGATGGGTGAAATGGAATCTAGACGTATCTGGCAAAAGGTCTCAGAGGCTATTCGTGCCAATGATACTCTTTTGGCTGGAAAAGAAAAGAGCATCATTGAAAATAAGAAGCGTGCCGAAAAGAAGGAACGTGATGAATCAGGCATTAAATGGGAACCTGTCTATTTTAATTGGGTAGAGGATGAGCCTACAGTGACAAAATTACAAAAAATGTTGAGTCAAGTTGTTAAATATAAAGGTGAATTACATCAATATGGTAATTGGGTATTTAAAGAAGAAATGAAAAAGAAATAATCCTTCTCTCTCTCTCTCTCTTTCTCTCTTTTTTTTTTCTTCCTTTGTTTTGTTTTATTCTTTTGTTATTATTATACATATACTACCTATTAGATACAATATACCAAACTTTCTTTAATAATAAAATTATTATAATAATAATAATACACGCACACACAAAAAGTATATGTATTATAATAATCAGCTTATGGAATATAAATAAATATATTTATTTAATAAAGCTCTAAAGGAAAGGGTAACAGTTATTGTAGCTAAAGAACTAAGTGTTGCAGGTTAATACCACTAATGTAGCAGTAAAAAAAAAAAAAAAAAAAAAAAAAAAAAGGTATCGTCAAGACCATCTTCAAGCTGAAATAGGGTTAAATACATATATATTTCAAAAGAAAAATGCGTAATTATAACCAACTGAATCTTAACAAATTTTGCTTTTAACATTAACGTGTTGATACCATAAAGTATAACTACCTAAAGTGTCATTTCTCCTTTTATTGTGTCATTGAAATCAGATAACATAGAAAATAATCATTTTATCAAAAGCTGGTATCGCAATTTTATTACAGTCAAAGAAACTAGATTGGGCCAATGAGAAAAAATTTGATCGTTTCAAAATTGGATTGGGACACTGATACAAAAGTGGGACATCAGCATAAAAGTGGGATATATTGAGACACGCTTAGTTTTTGGGCGAATGTATAAACAAGAAGCTATAATATTGTTCCATTTAACAAGAAAGGTCACTAATAGACTATCAGACTACTAAGATGATCATCCAGATTAGGAAATGATCCACCTAACTTGAATGATCCCGGAACGAACAATCCTCATGGAGAATATCCCAGATTTGAATTACTTAGGACAATAAGGAGCATTTCTGTGAGTTTGATGGAGTGAGTGAACTATCGTTTTTGAAATAATAAAGCCAAGTAAAGTGATTAGGATACGTAGAATGTAGGGTTTTTATTATTCGTAAGAAAGAAAGACCTAGAGCCACCAGGTCTTGGTTACAATCATTATTTATAGTCTGTAATATTGGGCTCCGTATGTAGTCCAGGTACCAGTGGATCAGAAAACCGACAATTTCATACGATTATATTCATACAAGTAACAAATAACGATAAATGTATGTAAAGGAGATCATCTTGAATCAATAAAGTTCTTCAGTCAGTTTACATTGAATAAACACTCACACAAGCATCTAGATTACCCTACTGTTTTTATTTTTTTTATATCTTTTTTATCTACCGATTCTACAGAATGAAAACTTAAATAACATCCCCTTTCTCTTATTTTATTGTCATTTATGCTGACACCCATCAATTATTGGTCGAGGCTGTACCAAAACTGACTCACAAAAAACTATACAACTTTGCTGCTTTATTTGTTGGTCAAGGAAAGAATGCCGATGCCGAGATCCCTAAAGTTTTCTTACAATTTAGTAATAAAATGGGAAAAGATTTTAATAGGCAACAACAGTTCCCCCAATATTCAGTATAGCACACTAATCTCAATAGTCATGCGTAGCTTTGAGACACTTATAGAGAATCATGTTGGAACCAACTTCAAGCCAAAAACGTTGCGCTATCTCTTTACGAGGCTTTCTAACACAACTGAATTTCCAGGCCTCCCTTTCCGAAATAGTGTCAAACGCGACCTAGCTGAGCGGGTATATGATGCTATTTGTACCAATCAAGAAATAATTTACCCTGCTAATCTGGAAGTTGCCGACACTCACAAAACCTCAATCAACAACAATCCTATTAATGAATGCCGCCAAAAATTACATGGCTTGAACCTGACTGAAGCAGATTACTATGCTAAACCTTACTTGTATTTGCCGTGGTTATACCATGTTTTAGAAAGAATGGAGCAGCAAGTCATCACTCGTGAGCCAATGTTGACGCACGCCATCTGATTTCTAATACACCATCAACAAGGACGTGTAACTGGGACCAGTTCAATGAAGCTTTGCGATATATATTTCGGAACTTTGAGGCAATTAAAGGCTATTACACAACCGGGTTGAAAAAGCTCAAATATCACGGCTATAGAAGAAACAAGCAAAAAGCATTGACCGAAGTGTGTAAACGGTTGTTTACAGGTAGCAGAAAGTACCAAGAAGGCAATCCTGATATACAGCAAGCAAATCAGCAAAAGTGGAAGCCGTTAGCCCCTAGAGACAATGCCGGTGAAGCTGAAAGGCCTACTGTAGTGGCGTTTGGTTCTGCTCGGTTCGGTGAGCTTCGTGGGAATGTACCTTCTCCAACAAAGGCATTCGGAAAAGCCTTGCTAAATTATGTCAAATCAACCAGATGCAACCAGCCAAATTCAAGAAAGTAAGTCGTTTTGATTGATGAGTATTTCACAAGTCAAATATGTCCCAGATGTCATACAAAAAGTACTTCTAACCAACGTGATGACTCCAATATGATGATCCATTCAGTTCTCAACTGTCAAACTTGTAATATCTCGATGGAACAGCGATCATATGGCGAGTCTCAACATGCGCTCTATCTTTTTGTATATGGCTGCTAACAACAACAATCGACCTGAAGAGTTTCGGCGGGGGTAAGCTATCTTGATATTAATATAGATTTCATTACTTTATATACTAACAACACTATTATTATTTGTGGAAAAAAATAGCCTTAACAATTGAATAACATTATGTCTTGTATAACAGCAAGACACCCTATATTTACAGATTAGTTGACCTATTGAAAAAAAAAAGTCTTCATTCGCCTAAAAATTAAAAGTATCTTAATATGTTCCATTTCCATATCGTTGTCCTACTTTCATATCTCTGTCCCATTTTCATAATGGTGTCCTAATTCAATTTTGAAACGGCCTAATTTTTTCTCATTGGCCCAACCTAGTTTCTTCGACTGTATAGCTGGTATCTTTCACATCTTGAACCAAAAAAGAAAAAAATTAAATCTCCTCATATTTAATGCACAACTTAATCACGAACGTAGTAAAATCATAGTAGAATCATTTATTTGTTAAGAAGCCCTTTATTAATAAATAATAATACATCATGCTGCGTCTTTCTCCCCATTTTACTCTTCTGATTGAATAATTCTGGTCAGGAGTGAAATAATAATAATAATAAAAAAAAATGGAGAAAACAGTTAGCGTATAAGAATAGTTTGCTACCGCATAATTCTACCAAATTACCCGAGAGAAGATTGACACTTTATTAGATAGTTTTTCATTTTTTTTATGAAGTTTGTTTACTTATTTAGTCATTTCTTTTTTTAATAAGGATGTCAAAGGATATGTTATTTAATAAATAAAAGTCGTTCTTCCATTACTGGTTATAAAAATAGATAAAGCGTGACAGTAGTAGCGATAATGATTATCCTGCTTCTTTATGAGTTTGAATTATTTCCGAATGACAGCTATTTTTTTTTTTTTTTTTTTTTTTTTTTTTTTGTTCTAGTCGATTCTAAGAAAATCTCATTTGATCTATCATTTGCTGATACTCATAATAGAGAGGGAGTGCATTAAGTTCAAAATACTCCAAGATATAATAGATTTCTTTTAGTGGAGTTTATATACTAAAGATATTGAGCATTACTTAATACAAAAAAAAAAAAAGCTTTTTAAAATAAGAATGGACTTCTTTAACGTTATTTTCTTAATAAATGTAGATCTTTTGTTAATGAAGGTAAACTTCTGAAAAGTCCTTTTTTTTTTTCTTTCTTTTTTCTTTTTTGCACGTATCATGTGTAGCATTTTATGAAAAGTCAAACCTCTGAGTTTAATATTTCCTATTTAGGTAGAATGAGAATAAAGGCTAAACTATTTTTATGTCTTATAATTCAAACATAATAATAATAATAAACTTGTCTTATTTTTTTTTTATTTTTATCTTTTCTTTATCTTTCATAATAAAACAAAATGATGGCAAAAGACCTTATTCGTACTGAAGAAGCTAAACAAAAAGCTCTTCATGATTTGGAAAAACAATTTGATTTGTCTACTGATCAATTGAAAAGGATATCAGAACTTTTACAAGCTGAAATGAAGACTGGTTTAAAGAAGGAAGATACGAATTGTAATGTTCCTATGCTTCCTTCTTGGATTTGTAGTCATCCTTCTGGTCAAGAGAAAGGAGAATATCTCGGTTTAGATTTAAGTGGTAAGTGAGTGAATGAGTGAGTGAGTGAGTGAGTGAGTGAGTAATTAAGCATTTATTTATGATAAAAAAAAAGGTTCATATATTCGTGTCTATCTTGTTACACTTCATGGTCAAGGTCGTATTACCACACGTCAACTCAAGTATACTGTCAAGGAAGATTTAAAAGTGGGTCCAGTCAATAACTTGATTGACTTTATGGCTGAATGTGTTGATTCTTTCTTAACCTTTGTTAATAAAGGTGATAGCAAGAATCCTCTTTCCCTTGGTTTATGTATCTCTTTCCCACTTCATCAAACAGCTATCAATAATGCTTATATTTTACGTTGGACTAAAGATTTTGAGATTACGGGTGCTGATAATAAAAACATGGTTGAACTTTTACAAACTTCCTTCCGTAAACGTGAACTCCCTGTTATTGTTAAAGCTGCTGTTAATGGTGCTTGTAAGTTATGAAAAAGAAATGAAACAACTTTTTTTTTTCAAACTCAACATTTTTTTTTTTCTTTTCTTTTCTTTTAAGCTGGATGTCTTTTAGCTCACAGCTATCGTAGTTTGGATACTTTACTTGCTTGCACTGTTAGTACTGGTACAAATGCTGGTAAATACTATTTTTTTTTGTTTATTATGTCCCAAAGTAAGATTTGATTAGGTCTTAACTCTAGTTTTTTCTTTTTTTTTTTTTAAGCTTACTGGGAAAAGATAGATGATATTGAAAAGATTAGTAACAAAGCTAAAAACCCTGAACAAGAAATGATTATTAACACCGAATGGGGAAGCTTTGGAGATACTAAATCTGAAACAATTCCTCATACCTTTTATGATATTCGTGTTAATCGTCAATCCGTTAATCCTGGTGTTCATGTTTATGAAAAGATGTGTGCTGGTCTCTATTTAGGTGAAATCGTTCGTCTTATCTTGGTGGATTTCACAGATCGTCGTTTATTATTTGATGCTCAATACTCTTCTGATCTCAATAAGGCTTACAACTTTGAATCTGCCTACATGAGTGCTATTGAACGTGATGAGACAGACGAGTTGGAAGATACAAAACATTTGTTAGAGAACGTGATGAATTTGAAATCAACTACTTTAACAGATCGTAAAATGGTAAAACGTATTTGTGAACTTGTAGGTAGACGTGCTGCTCGTTTAGTAGCTGCTGGTATGAGTGCTATTGTTAGTAAACGTAATGCTCTTGATGGTGGTCTTACTATCAGTGTTGAAGGTACTATTTATGAACATTATTCAAACTTCCCTGATCGTGTAAATGCTGCTTTACGTGAATTATATGGTGATAGTGTCGAGAGAATTAACATTGGTGTAAGTATATACAAATATAGATATATATATATATGTGTATGTGTGTGCGTGCGTGTGTGTTGTAAGAAGAAGAAGTTTAATTTTTTATTCCTATTATATAGATTGCTCGTGATGGTAATGGTATTGGTGCTGCATTGGCTGCTATGCTTGCAAGTGAAGCTTAATCATTTTTTATGTTTATTTTTTTTTTCATACTGTCATTATTTTACATTGTTTTTAGACATAACCTTCTCATCTATTATTATGCATGATCGTTAATAAAATTAGTCCCTTTTCGGGTTTAATATTAATCCGATAATATAAAATGGGAATAAACTAGCATACATAATTAGACTACTTCTTGTAGTATTATTATTGTTTACAATAATAACTCATACCTATTTCCCTTCCCGCAATTCTTCTTCTTCCTCTTTCCCCCATTTTTTTTTGTCTAAATTTAGACAAGGTTTTTAATTAATAATAAGGAAGGTTAACTTTAATAATAACAAACAAACTCTATATTTTAATAATAATAGGCTCGGGTTCAAAATAAGATGATTCTACAAGTTCATCTTCATTTTCTAATGTCACTTTTAAACCATCATAAGCAGGTGCAACCCTTAAACCTTCTGTTGTTTCTAATTCTTTTAATTTTTTCTCTAAATCATAATGATCTGTACGATGAGCAAAACCAACATAATAAGTCTTGACTGCTTTCACTTCTCTAGTTGCTTCAAGTGATTGTTCCAACGAAAAATGAGAGGGGTGAAGTCTTTGCACTATTTTTAATATATAAGTTTTTAAATCTCTAATATTATTTATTGAACTTACATCTCAGGCAATCCACTATAAATATTCTTGATTTCTCTTTGATTAATTTCATTGTTTCCGGTGGAATGTAATTAGTGTCCGAAATATAACTAACTCCATCGAATTTAAATCCAAAACAAATATAAGGTTTCTTTTCAATTCCATAACTACCATGATGAGCTTGTAATAAAGAACTTTGATTACTACTTGCTCATTTACTGTGCTTGTTGCTTACCTGCAAGAGGAGTAAATTCTAATCCCTCAATTATAAATGATCGATTAGGATCAAATACATGATATTTAAAGAATGCGACTTGTCCACCACCTATTAACGTAATGATTTTATCAATATCTAATGTTTTATGATAGTAAACTATCACATACCTGTTGCTAAACTGGAATCTACTAGAAAGGGGAAGGTTCTTCCAATAACATCCATTGATTCAGGAGATAGATGAACATTAACATAAGGCTGGATGACACCGTCTAAAGTCCAACCCCTCAAGTCATCCATGCCGAAACATGCATCAGCATGGCCATGTGTAATAATAACGCCATCTAATTCTCGAACACCATATTTTGGAAGAATTTCAATCGCACTAGCTATTTTTTTTTAAAAAAAAAAAAGAAAACAAATAAGCTGCATGCATTTTTTTTTTCTTTTTAAAAAAAGATAATTACTATAAAATGTTTTGCCACAATCAATGAGGACATTTCTATATAAGAAAGACATTTAGTATTTTTTTTTTTTCTTTTTTGTAATTGATTGGCCATCATACAAACCTTAATCTAAATCCAGTAGGATCCGAATGTTTACGAAAACGAACAACCATTGAAGTGTTTTTCCTGTTATTCTTTCTTCCTTCAGGAGTTTGTGAAGATAAACATACTTTACAACTCTTTTCTGGATTGGTTAGACATGCAATAGTAGGAACAGAACTTGATGTACCTGTTCCTAAGAAAATGATTTCAACTACTGTAGCCATTAAATAGTAATAAAAAAAAAGAGGAAGAGAGAGAGAGAGAGAGGGGCGAACATGAAATCATTATGCCCTTATCTTTTTTTTTTTTTTTGAATTATCCAATCAAAGCTGCAAATCCTAACTTTGTTTAGTAATGCAGACAATAATCAACTATCACAAGAACATAATACCTTCCCTTTTTCTTTTTCTTTTTCCTATTTCTTTTATCAACTATGGAGCAAGAACTTATTGAGTTACTACTATTTTCAAAAAAGGCACTGTCAACAGGGAAAACAATTTGTGCTCAAGCTAATACTTGTCTACAGACTTCAGAACAGCATGTAGAAACAATTGCAAAAATTCATCCAAAATTAGTTTTTGTGAATAATCATATTATTGTACAAACAAAAATAGTAGAGCAAATAAAAGACTATCTGGATGCTCAAACCGAGTCTTGTAAAGACAGAATCAAGGTTTTACTAATTAATTTCAACTGATTTAAACAACATGTACTTTTATTTATTTTATTTTCTTTCCATCTAATTAAGGAACATGAAACTCATTTACAAACATTGACACTCGAACTGACCAATGTATTTAACTTGTTAAAAAAACGTAAAATCGATAAAGATATATTACAAGTGAATAAAGAAAGAATGAATGATAGTCAAAGTCAACATGAATATAAAAGTTTATTTGACTACATTTCTGATCAAGGAATTATTGAACTACAAAGACAAGCAGACGATGAAATTGGTGAAATAGAAGTTTGTATTCATCGTTGACCTTTATTTTTTTTTTGAACTATTCATTTTTTTTTTCTTTTGAATTTATAGACAGTGAATAACTTGCTACAAAAACAATCCAAAATGATATCAACGTTTCTACTAGAGATAACAAAGTCAAAAAATAATGCCTTGTTGCCTATTGCTTCATTAGATGTAGCATTTTCAAACGAAAAGATACAGGCTCAAGAAGATGAGATATCGAATATGGCAGAAATTCTAATAAGTCTAACAAATCATTATGATCAATTAGGTGAGGCTATGAGGTAAAATTGAATCTATAGAGATACATATGTATGTGTAGATTGAACTACTAGTACTAAATAGCCCCTTGTATAGAATATATCAATCAGATGTAGAAAGGCGTGATGAATTAGATATTACTGTGTTGAAAGATGATCATGAACATATACCCCATATTTTAGAAGATTTAGGAAATAGATTATATATTGTGGAATCTATAAAGTAAATAAGGAGAAAGAAAAAAGGGAGAGAGAGAGAGAGAGAGTGTGTGTGTGTGTGTGTGTGTGTGTGATGGAGAGAGGGAAAGCATATATCAAGAATAATAGTAACGTTATAACTGTCTGTTATAGTGAAGAAATTGAAGTTCGTGTACAGCTTTATTTAAAAGTAAAAGATGATTTAATCAAAATATTAAATCAATTTGAATCTTTTGGTGATGGACAGGCTAAAATGATATTAGAAAAGATGCTAGATACAGAACATGAAATAAAAGAAAGAGAATTAAATCTAGAAGAATATTTCAAACAATTGTCCTCCTTAGCTGAATGGTATAGATGCTATGCTTCTTCATATAACTATTTATTATTAGAAATTGAACGAAGAAAGAGAGCTCAAGAGAAGCAAGATTCAATTAGAAGAGAATTATTAAAGTCATTTGAGGAAGCTTATCATGGTAAAGTCATATGATTGTGCAATATACTTGTATTTAACACATTATTTAAGATGAATTACAAGAACGAAGATCATGGGCAGCACAACATGGTCAATATTTACCAGAAGTACTTTGCCCATTTATTAATGTAACTCAAGTCAATTCATATTATTATTATTATTATTATTATTAACTACTTGTAAAAAAATTAAAGGATTCTCCTTCAATGTTAAGAATAGAAATAGAAAGTGAATCGAAAAGATTACCTAATCTGTCATCAGAAAGCATTAAAAGAGTAAAAATAGATATAATGCACACATGTATGAGACTGTTACTAATCATATATTTCCTAGGCATTAGCAGAGATACATAATAATAATAATAATATTACTACCACAAATACCACTATTACTGATAGCAATACCAGCGATGCATGTTAATCATATTTATATTTATACAAAAAAAGAAAAAAAAAAGCAAGCAAGTAAACAAATGAAAGGTTCTGTGCATATATTACAAAATTAAAGATCTTTTACAGTTTCACCAGGTATACTTGTATCTGGCAAAGGTGTTGGAGTAGTTGAGGTTTCAGCATGAAGTATTTTTTCATCATTTTTTTGTAAATCGAGTATGCCATTTAAGCGAGCCTATATACATATATAATATAAATAAGCCATTTTAACTGTCGATTATTATCCTTACAAGTTCTTCCTGAAGTTTTCCTTGTTTCTTTAATTCCATTCTACGATTAACAAGCATACCCACATTAACCATGTAATAGACTTTTAATGATAATAGAGTTAAATTTCAATTTATAAGTGTCCTTCAAGTTGTTTGTTGTTTTACTTTACCAGTGGTTCCAGCAAGTAAAAGAACAGCAGATTTCTGTGCGATATCAGCTAAAGAATTTGTAATAGCCATAATTCTTATTTTATTTTTGTAATAATAAAAGATGTACAAGCAACCTGGTAACTCCAGTCACTCCATATATTTATTTTTGCTGCTTTAATTTTGAAAAAAAAAAAAAAAAAAAAAAAAAAAAAAAAAAAAAAAAAAAAAAAAAAAAAAAAAACCACATGCATACATGACGTAATTTTGTCCTTTATCATGAATCTGTCATTGTAAACGCTTTTCTTTTTTAGATTCGAGAAACAATACATGATTCATTTAAAGTTCCTCTTTTTTTTGATAGTAAATTGATTGTAAACAACATTCTGCCATTGACTATATAAAAGTTATCTTCCAAACAATAGTAACGTTTAATTATCTTTCTATTCTTTATTGCGCATCTCATTTGAATCAAGATTCAAAACTTTAGAAATAACCAGAGATCAACTGTCTATTATTATTTAATAACATATCTTTCTATTTGTCATATTTTAACTTTATGTTTAACTACCTAATACAAAATCCTTGGCTATAAATTGACACATTCCTTATCCAACAAGTAATCATTATATAGAATCAGTAGATGAAGATGTTGAATACTGTATAAATTAACATCTTTGATTGTTATAATAATTTCATTTTAGGTCTAGTTATTTCTTCTAGATTTTCTTTACTCCAAATATAAATCAGTCCAAAGGATAATAAAAAATGCAATGGCTTTTTCATTAAACTTTATAGCAAATAGTTATTCATGTCATTTACAGAAACCTTTTGATATTAGGCAAAAATAGGCGAAGAGAAATGTTCATTCTATTCCTCCTTGTTTAATAAAGTGTTTTTATTCATTTTTTTTATTTTTTGTAGGCTATCAAATAGTACTTGGAATTCTATTTTACATCCTCAAACATAAGGCGATATATTTGCCTAATATTTATAATTATATTTCCTTGAAGAACCTTACAGTTAAAATGTATATTATATAATTCCTACATGCTGGAAGTTTATTTTTCTCTTGTTAAAAGATCATGCACCTACTGCGGTCATTTATTTTATAGATTAAAATAATTGCTTCATCATATTTAATTTTTTCTTTTTTTTTTTTAATTTTATTCTTATTTATCTCTCTTTTTTATATACATACACATACACACACACACACACATACATACATACATACATATATTTATATATATAAAATGAACCTTTTCTTTGGTAAAGCTAAATCAAAGACAACAGCAAAAGATGCCATTTATAAATTACGTGAAACGTTAAGCATGTTGGAGAAAAGACAGGCTTTCTTAGAAACAAAAGCAGAAAATGAATTAAAAATCGCAAAAGCGAATGCTACCAAAAATAAAAGAGGTTTGTACAAGAAAAAAAAAAAAAAAAAAAGACATAAATTCGATAGTTATTAATAAATGCGTTCATGTAGCTGCTTTAATGGCACTTAAAAGGAAAAAGACATATGAAGCTAACATTGAAAAGATTAATGGTGCTCGAATGACGATTGAAACTCAAATGATGGCTATTGAAAGTGCCAATGTTAATTTGGAAACCATGAGTGCTATGCGTGCTGGTGCAGAAGCCATGAAAAATATTCATGGTTCAATGTATGTTAACAAGTGATTTACTATTCATAAACTGACTTAATAATATGTGTATATAGGGATATTGATAAAGTTGATGCTACCATGGATGAAATTCGTGACCAAATGGATGTTGCAAACGAAATTTCAGAAGCTATTTCTCGACCTGTTAATGTTGGTGATGAATTAGATGAGGTAATGTCTAATAGAAATGAAATATTTTTAATAAATACATGTATATATACATGTATATTTATTTATTTGTACGCTTACCCTTGATTATGTAGGATGAATTATTAAACGAATTAGAAGAATTGGAACAAGAAGAATTAGACGCAAAAATGTTGGAAACTCCTTCATTGGTTGTTTCTGCCCCCAATGTACCTTCTCATGTGCCTGGTAAAATAAATTGATATACTCTATTACATGTCCTGAATACATACTAATATATTTTTTTTGTTTATAGCTCATAGTATCAACGCTGAAGAGGATGATGAAGAAGCTGAACTTAGAGCACTTAAAGCAAGTATCGCTATGTAATTTTAATATTGTTTTGAATATAAATATATTATGTATAAATGATAGCAACCAAGTATATAGCTATCCTTTTTTTTTCACAATAATAATGATAGTATTATGTAATTATGCATATACATATACAGAATACTTATTATAGATGAGATATATAATTCCAGGTTCTCGAGTCATTGTTGTTAAGCTATATATATATATATATATAAGCTATTGGTTCATGTCTGTAAATGACTACAAATGAAATAAAGTTAAAAGGCAACAGCTACTGTTTAAAGAATATATATATATATATATATATATACAAACAGTAGTTGAATATTGAAAGAACTTGGAAGGAAAGTAGGATAAAAATGAGAGAAAAGGAAGATGTATAAACGGTATAAGAAGGAGTTAGTGTTACTGGTTATAAAATGTGAGATTGGAATAAAAAAAAAAGGGTCAAGTTCATATAAACCAAAGAAGACTTGAAACAAGTATTTTGTGTTTAATTTTACAGTAATATTGATTTAATACTTGTATATTATCAATGCTTTCTTTTCTTACTAAAATAAACAAATGTATACCATAAAAACAATATTTATAACGGCATAGTTTTGTTTGAAAAAAAAAATCCATGAGGTTAAACGCAATACAGTAATAAAAATGATATTCGTTAATGAAATACAAAAAATCATAAGTAGTTAACTCTCGTTATGACACCTATCAATACTAGCTAATTCCTGACCATGTATTATATATTTCAATACTATTGAGTACAAGATCTACAGCAACAACTTTATCATCACACTTGCCAATAAAACATGAAACGACAAGTCATTTTTGGCGTAAAAGTAGTTTTAAAAAGCCGCAAAAACCAATAACTGTTCAATCTGTGGTTTGTGACTCGCAACCAAAAAGAGGCACAAAAAAAAAATATGAATAACTTTTTTTTTTCTTATTATTGTTTTATATAATCTGAAAACATGCCTAAATTAACAGCAAAGACAACCAAGAAAACAACCCCCTCCGAGGACATGAGAGCCTTTGGTCCTATTTTCAATAAAGATCTTGGCCAGCACATTTTAAAAAATCCTCTTGTTGCTCAAGGCATTGTTGATAAGGTATAAATCAAATAATGATCGATGATTTTTTTTTTTTTTTAAAAAAAATGTGTAAAACTTATAACATTCCCTTATAGGCTAATCTTGTTAGTTCAGATACTGTATTGGAAATTGGTCCAGGTACTGGTAATTTAACAGTTCGTATTCTTCCAGCTTGTAAAAAAGTGTATGCTGTTGAAATGGATCCTCGTCTTGCAGCTGAATTACAAAAACGTGTACATGGAACGTAAGTTGATAGGCAAACAGCAATATTATATAGACGTTATGAAGCTAATTATTATTACTATATAGCTCTGAACAAAAAAAACTTAATATTTTACTTGGTGATTTTATGAAAACAGATCTTCCCTATTTTGATGTTTGTATCAGTAATACCCCATATCAGATCTCATCTGTTCTTGTGTTTAAATTGTTGGAACATCGTCCATTGTTCCGTGTTGCCATTCTCATGTTTCAACGTGAATTTGCTTTACGTTTAGTAGCCAAACCAGGTGATGAATTATATTGTCGATTATCAGTTAACGTACAATTGTTGGCCAAAGTAGATCATGTGATGAAAGTCGGTAAGAATAACTTTCGTCCTCCACCCAAAGTCGAATCATCTGTCGTTCGACTTGAGCCAAAGAATCCTCCTCCACCTGTTAATTTTAAAGAATTCGATGGTTTATTGCGTATTTTGTTCACAAGAAAACACAAAACTTTTTCTGCCAATTTCAAACAATCTACTGTATTAGATATGCTTGAAAAAAATTACAAAACTTATTGTGCTGCTCATGAGATGGTAAAGAGATAAATAGACGAATAGATATATAAAAGATTCATTAACGAGATGATATGGTTTTGATTTTATTTTAGATGGTCGAATCTGATTTTGATATTAAAGCTAAAGTAACTCAAATTCTTGAATCTGTTAGTATGTCAGATAAGCGTGCAGCAAGATGTGATTTAGATGATTTCTTAAAGTAAGTAATTACTACTTGTATATAAAAAAAAATCTTTTAGTATGAATGAATATTTATCGTCCTTCTTTCTAGTCTTTTACTTGCATTTAACACTGCTAATATTCACTTTTCTTAACAAAAGATATCGTTTTCTGTTTTCTCTTTTTTTTTTAATTTATTACATGTAAAGCATTAATAATTGTATTAGTAGTAGTAGTAGTAGCAGCAATATAGTAGACACTTATTCATAGATCATTTTATATTCGTTATTTATAAATCAATAAATAACTATACTATTATTCAAAAATGACTTTAGTAGTAGTATCAATATATATGAAAGGCGTTGATTTAATTAAAAAAAAAAAAAAGTAAAAGTTAGTTTTATATTTTACGGGATATTTCTATATAGAAAGCAGGATACTATTATATGTAAAGTATTCAGCATTGGAAGAAGTGTATCTTTTTAAAGAGATAGAAAGTTAGCATCGAAAATTTTTTAATTTCTCTAAAAGACAGACTGTAAGCTTTGTCTGACTTTGACCGCTTTTTAAAGATAGTTTTCCTATTTTAACCTGAGTGCGTAAAACGTGTTAACGCAATTATCAGTGTAAAGGAATAAAATACACATCAGGCGGAAATCAAGTTTTATATACGTTTAAAAAAAAAAGAAGAATAGGAAAAAAAAAAGGCTTCTCTCCCTCTCCCAATCGATTTTTATCATTTTTAAACAATCTATTGACAACTATTCGCTTCTTAGGCTATCGATGTCAACCAATTAGTTGTGTATATATATCTTGTATTCCAAAAAAGCAAAATGAAACCTTGTATTCACCCACTCATCATGACGTTCTCACTCAACTTATTATAAACACTACTGTATCTTTTCACATCTATTTACAAAAAAAAAAAAAAAAAAAAAAAAAAATGTATTGTCTCATTATTTATTTTATACTCTATAGCCAAAATCTAACCACCATAGTGTTCCATTTTTTGAACCGTAAATCAACCCCATTGGACCCATGGCTAATCTTGATCTTACAAAATCATAACCGTCGGATAATTCATCATCTTCTCTATTACTGTTGATATCGTTCTCATCTTCCATCCATTCCTGTTGTTCACTCAAACCTAAATGTGCCGTAACTCTGGCTGCTGTCGTACCATTTAAAGCATATAAGGCTATATCCCCTCGTCGGTTAACAGTAGCCACACGATCTCCATGAATTGCAATATTTACAATTTCTTTAGCCGTACTCTCAAGTGGAGTTGTACGAATTGAATGAATTAATCTTGGACGTTCACTAAGGTTAGGTAAAGGGGGGAGCAGAAGGTTTTGATTAGCCATATTATCATAATATTGCTTAATGTATTGATCTGTTTTCAGTTGACATGCATAACCATAATCATTATAGGATGAATGACGACGTCTACGAATAGAACACTGTCTAATAAAATCTTTTGAAGTATTTTTTGATAAATGCGTTCCAGTTGAGGTAGATGAACGTGGCTGTTGACTAGAAGGATTAAATGAATGGTGTGCAAATAGATGATGAGTTGAAGAAGGTATTTTTAGACCCAAGAAACTACTCAATGTCTTGGATAATCTTTGTCTATGAGACATGGCTGATGGTAGCTGTGCGGTAGAATGTAAGTGATGATGGGTGTTATTAGTTGACAATGATAAAAGATGCTCCTGATCCTCATCATTTGATTTATACTCATTCCAACGATAATGATAAATTCTTCTTGAAGCATGCGGTGCAAGAACTAAACTTAATTCATTATTATATTCAATACATGGTATACTACAAGCGTTTAAATAGTGTGTAATAGTTGCATCTCCTAACGGATCATACATATTAAATACATGTAATAACCCATCTACGTTTACAGTGATTAAATTATTTCCAGATAAAAATACATTATGAGGCTGATTTTCAAAAGCCTATATTATATATTGATGTTTTGTTACATGCCAGTATTTCTTTTTTTTTTTTTTTTTCTTTCTTTTTTTTTTTCAACCTTTACCCTACTCAATAACTTTATGCCTTTTCTCCAATTCCAGACAAAGATAACAGATGGTTTCCTACCAGCAAGAGCAAAATAATCTTGATTTACTGATATAGAATCAGGCAAAAACCAAGGATGACTACCTCCCTTAAGTACTTGGATAGGATCATGCTTTGAGCCTTTTGTAATATCATAAAACAAACATTTTCTAAATATAAAATGATGCTGAGCTTATAGAATATGAACAAGTATGAGTTTATATTTAATCACTTTACGATCCACGCTGTGCAATGACTAATATATTAATATCTGGTAAAATGTCTATACATTCAACAATACAATTTGACTGTAAAATAGCTGGATCACCAAAGAACCATATTGATTTTAATATAAATCCATGTTCTGTAGAATATTCATATAATTTAACTGTATTATCCTTCATGATAAGAAAATTACTAAATACATTTACATACACATATAAATACCAACTTACTTCTGATAAAGTAACTAATAATTGATTTCTTAGTTTGACAGCCAATACACGATTGTGATTGTTATTATCAATCTTGATTGTCCTTTGCACATTACCCATTCTCCAATTAACAAAGGTAATAGCCTGACAATATCTTTTTTTCCAAGGTAAAGTAGAAGTATCTAACCATTTTAATGGCTTATGTGCATATATATCTGTAAAATGTGAATTCAATTCGTAAAATCTATTTCTCCATATGGTAACATCTTGAGTGATTCTATTCCAAGTTTTGCATGTCTAAATAATAATTTATATTAATATATTGTTTATGCGTGTGAAGGTCTTTATATTATATATAAATGTACTAATTGGATTTGAATTAAATCTTGAAAGGATAGTAAATAAAATATTTTTAAAGTAATTTCTCTTGGTAGCAAACTAATAATATCTTTTTGCTCAAATTCATTCTTTTTATTTGATAATAATACGTTATTTTTCTCTACTGGCACACAATTAGCTTCAGTCTGAAGACTTGTTTGTAATAAAGAAAACTTCCGAAGTGGATTAATAAATTTTTTCTTTTGATGGTCATTCATCTTGTTTTAGGAAAAAAAAAAGAAAAGAGAAAAGGTAAGGTAAGCTAAGAATAAAAAAAAAAAAAAAAAAAAAAAAAAAAAAAAAAAAAAAAAAAAAAAAAAAAAAAAAGAGAGAGAGAGAAAGGGGGGAGAGAGGGGGGACAGAAACAGAGTCGTCTTTAAGTTATTTTTGGTCATAATAAGTTTTAAAATAGGTTGATAAGCACGAGAATTCCTTATTACAGTATTTCATTTGTACTGTATTCTTACAAGTCTGTTGGGAAAAGGCGGACGCTTTTTTTTTTTTTTTTTGACTCTTTTTTTTTTCAACTCAGTTTGATGTCTCTTCATTCATAACAATCGTCTTTTATGCTTCCATTAAATAATTAGAAAAAAAAAAGTTCATTTATGAATTTGATATAGTGTACAGTTAATAAGCCTTATTCTCTTTCTCTCTGTCTCTTTTTCCTTACTTTTACTTTTATTGAACTGTTTGTTTCTTCCCAATTTCAGATATTTGTACTTCTATTACATTTCCTGTAGAAGTATTTAATATGAAGTGTATTTTGTAGTCATACAAACAACGATTCATATTAATTGAAACATTGTATCTTAAATAGTCAATATTTATATTCTTACCAAATATCAAATTCTTTTCCCTCCCCAAGTTATTCAAAAGTAAGATATGGCATTAAAATTGAACAGTTTTAAAGATTTCAATTATGATTTGAGAGGGTGAGTTATTTGCAAATATTCGTCTGTAAGTTGACTACGACGAAACCGTTATTCTAAAGAAAAGAAAATGTAGCTCATAAGGCTATCGTTCCACCATCTTGGAGTAATTCTCATGTGATAGATACCAAGCTTACATGTAAATTCTCTGCTACCATTTAAAAAGGAAGATCGATACTATTCATATTAAACAATCCTATAAATCTGACTTTCTTTGACATCCTTTTCATCTGTAAGAAGGGATTGACAGTTGGTGCTATCAAACCTATGTTAAGATTATAACAATATACGCTTGATATTATTTTTTTTTTTTTAATGTTTAACCTCTTTTCCAATAAAGGATGCAGTTCAGGTTTACAAAATAATGTATAATACGGCGAATATACTACTCGTTGAAATTGACAACATTTATTTATTAAATATGAAAATAAGCATGCCTTTCTTCTTATCAAGATAAGTGTAGTACAATTATTAGTAAATATTTTCTTCTTTTGGTCTATTGCCGTATTACAGTTGAAGAAACTAGGTTGGGCCAATGAGAAAAAATTAGGCCGTTTCAAAATTGAATTAGGATATCATTATGAAAATGGGACAGAGATACGAAAGTAGGGCAGCGATACGGAAATGGGACATATTAAGATACTTTTAATTTTTGGGCGAATGAAGACTTTTTTTTTCAATAGGTCAACTAATCTGTAAATATAGGGTGTCTTGCTGTTATACAAGACATAATGTTATTCAATTGTTAAGGCTATTTTTTTCCACAAATAATAATAGTGTTGTTAGTATATGAAGTAATGAAATCTATATTAATCTCAAGATAGCTTACCCCCGCCGAAACTCTTCAGGTCGATTGTTGTTGTTAGCAGCCATATACAAAAAGATAGAGCGCATGTTGAGACTCGCCATATGATCGCTGTTCCATCGAGATATTACAAGTTTGACAGTTGAGAACTGAATGGATCATCATATTGGAGTCATCACGTTGGTTAGAAGTACTTTTTGTATGACATCTGGGACATATTTGACTTGTGAAATACTCATCAATCAAAACGACTTACTTTCTTGAATTTGGCTGGTTGCATCTGGTTGATTTGACATAATTTAGCAAGGCTTTTCCGAATGCCTTTGTTGGAGAAGGTACATTCCCACGAAGCTCACCGAACCGAGCAGAACCAAACGCCACTACAGTAGGCCTTTCAGCTTCACCGGCATTGTCTCTAGGGGCTAACGGCTTCCACTTTTGCTGATTTGCTTGCTGTATATCAGGATTGCCTTCTTGGTACTTTCTGCTACCTGTAAACAACCGTTTACACACTTCGGTCAATGCTTTTTGCTTGTTTCTTCTATAGCCGTGATATTTGAGCTTTTTCAACCCGGTTGTGTAATAGCCTTTAATTGCCTCAAAGTTCCGAAATATATATCGCAAAGCTTCATTGAACTGGTCCCAGTTACACGTCCTTGTTGATGGTGTATTAGAAATCAGATGGCGTGCGTCAACATTGGCTCACGAGTGATGACTTGCTGCTCCATTCTTTCTAAAACATGGTATAACCACGGCAAATACAAGTAAGGTTTAGCATAGTAATCTGCTTCAGTCAGGTTCAAGCCATGTAATTTTTGGCGGCATTCATTAATAGGATTGTTGTTGATTGAGGTTTTGTGAGTGTCGGCAACTTCCAGATTAGCAGGGTAAATTATTTCTTGATTGGTACAAATAGCATCATATACCCGCTCAGCTAGGTCGCGTTTGACACTATTTCGGAAAGGGAGGCCTGGAAATTCAGTTGTGTTAGAAAGCCTCGTAAAGAGATAGCGCAACGTTTTTGGCTTGAAGTTGGTTCCAACATGATTCTCTATAAGTGTCTCAAAGCTACGCATGACTATTGAGATTAGTGTGCTATACTGAATATTGGGGGAACTGTTGTTGCCTATTAAAATCTTTTCCCATTTTATTACTAAATTGTAAGAAAACTTTAGGGATCTCGGCATCGGCATTCTTTCCTTGACCAACAAATAAAGCAGCAAAGTTGTATAGTTTTTTGTGAGTCAGTTTTGGTACAGCCTCGACCAATAATTGATGGGTGTCAGCATAAATGACAATAAAATAAGAGAAAGGGGATGTTATTTAAGTTTTCATTCTGTAGAATCGGTAGATAAAAAAGATATAAAAAAAATAAAAACAGTAGGGTAATCTAGATGCTTGTGTGAGTGTTTATTCAATGTAAACTGACTGAAGAACTTTATTGATTCAAGATGATCTCCTTTACATACATTTATCGTTATTTGTTACTTGTATGAATATAATCGTATGAAATTGTCGGTTTTCTGATCCACTGGTACCTGGACTACATACGGAGCCCAATATTACAGACTATAAATAATGATTGTAACCAAGACCTGGTGGCTCTAGGTCTTTCTTACGAATAATAAAAACCTTACATTCTACGTATCCTAATCACTTTACTTGGCTTTATTATTTCAAAAACGATAGTTCACTCACTCCATCAAACTCACAGAAATGCTCCTTATTGTCCTAAGTAATTCGAATCTGGGATATTCTCCATGAGGATTGTTCGTTCCGGGATCATTCAAGTTAGGTGGATCATTTCCTAATCTGGATGATCATCTTAGTAGTCTGATAGTCTATTAGTGGCCTTTCTTGTTAAATGGAACAAGTTTATAGCTTCTTGTTTATACATTCGCCCAAAAACTAAGCGTGTCTCAATATATCCCACTTTTATGCTGATGTCCCACTTTCATATTGGTGTCCCAATTTATTTTGGAAATGGTCAAAAAAGTTTTATATTGTTTCTTCGACTGTATCAAGAAGGAATAACTTATAAAATAATATTACTTTTATACTAAATTTACTCAAAGAAAAATGGGTAAAAACAAACTCTTGATATTTTATACAAATTCTTATGTGCATCAGACTTATAAATGTTTTTGTCTGATTCTTTGATTTTATTCTATCTTAAATTTATTAGAAATAGTGTAAAAAAGAAGAAGCATATAAACTACCTTAATTGTGTGTTTTCTTTTATTAAATAATTATGTAATATAATTCTATTCTCTTCTCTTCTCTTTTCTTCTCTTCTCTTCTATTCTTTTTTTTTATTGACCATATACATAGATTCCATCTGGCTCATCTGAAGCTATTAAATTTAATTCTGATATTTCATTTAAATTGAAAACTAGACTAACTATACGAGCTCCATTTCGATAATGTTTTAGTAAAAAATCTGCAAATTTATCAGTATGATCTGGTAGCAGAAATACGATAATGACTGTCCAGTTTATGTCATGAACTATTTTAGGTAAATCCAACAAGTCTCCCAAGATGAAAGAAACTTTATTTTCTTCATCCGGTAACAATATTTGTTTTGATAATGTTTTTGACGTCTCTACAAGTTTTTCATCGGATTCAATACCTACTGCTTTTGATGCTCCAAATTCAGAAACTGCTGCTGTCACAAATCGACCATCCCCTGAACCTAAATCAATCAATACATCGTGCGATCCTATTTTGACCATGTTTAAAGCTTTCAAAACTCTTTTTGCAGAAGTTGGACAAAATGGTGCTAATGAAGTATCAACATCATCAATATACGCTGGAAAAGGATCTTCTGCACTTTCATCGTAGATCCGATTATCTGCATCTCCATATACTTGTAAGAATTTATTAGGAATTGATGGATCGTTTTCTTTTACTGACATTAAAGGAAAAAAAAAAAAAGTATATTAGGTGTGTTTGAAAAAAATTTTTTTCTTTATACATCTTTATGAATTATGCCTTATATACTCGGATCAAATTAATTATAAAAGAGAATTAATATTTGTATTCAACATAATACTGCACAGTTACTTGATAGAAAAGAGACAAGAACTTATTCTTTTGGACAAGTAATAACTTGTCTATTTATGAAATATAATAAATCAGGATAAAGTGTTTACCCCTTTTTCTTTTTTTTTCTTTTTATAGTGTAGTGTGAGATAAGATAGACACTGTTTTATTAGGAATATTATGTAATTGTATTAACTTTTTATATATGCATGTATGTATTAAATAAATCTAATGGGAAGATAGGCTTTCTAAATCAATTTCTTGATCATCCAAGGTAACCAGTGATTGATATGCAACTCCCTTTTGTCTCTCTCTCCAATTGTTAATCCTTGTATAAAACTTATAAAAGAGATTGACTTTGTTTTCAGAATAGTAATTTTCTTCATCAATTAATTCAGGTTTACGCCAGAACCATTTCAACATTAAACTACTAACGACAACACTTGTTGAACTTGCTGCCATAGCCATACCTGCCATCATTGGATGTAAATGAAGCCCTAAAGGCATAAAAACACCCATTGCTAAAGGAATGCCAATCAAGTTATAGATGGATGCCCATAATAAATTTAGTTTAATACGTCTGAAAATACTTTTGGAGAGTGCTAGTGCAGTGACGACATCAGTCAAGTCATTACGCATTAACACAACATCAGCCGCTTCTATAGCGATATCTGTGCCACTGCAGAGAGCAATTCCCAGATTAGAAGCAACAAGGGCAGGGGAATCGTTAATACCATCGCCTACCATAGCTACAATTGTAGCTTCCGTATGTTTCTCCCAGAAGGGTATCCATTTATTATGACGTCTGTGTCTAATCTGTGCTTGCATCTCTTTTATAATTTGTGTTTTACCATTAGGTGAAATGCCAGCATGAACTTCTGTAATACCTACACGGGCTGCAATACATCGCGCAGTTAAGGCATTATCACCTGTAACCATAGCTGTATCGATACCTAACTCTTTTAACGTCGCAATCACTCGTTTTGCTTCCGGTTTAATCATATCAGAAATAGAGATAAACCCTGTCGCAACATGATTGATAGCAACAAGGATTGTCGTATGGCCTTGCGACAACTCCCCTTCTACTATTTGAATTTGTTCGTTTTGTAAAGTGATAGCATGATATTCTTCCAGCCATTTTTGATTACCAATCACTACATGATCTACTTTTTCATGACGAGAGATGTTACATTCAATACCATAGCCAGTTTCACTCTTAAAACTCAAGATGAAGCCTAAATGATCCAAGGGTTGATCTGAGGGTGTAGATGTGACTTCCTTTGCTTTATGAACGACAGCACGACCCAAGAGATGCTCACTGCCTGCCTCTGCAATGGCTGCCACCAAAAGCATTTCTTGACGCGTTGATTCAAGACCATCCCAACTTTGATAATTCACAACCTGTACCTTACCCATCGTTAGCGTACCCGTCTTATCAAATACAACCTTATTGACCTTTTGACCCTTCTCCAAGACTGCACCCCCCTTGAAGATCACACCATGCTCTGCACCTAAACCTGTGCCTACCATCACTGCAGTGGGTGTAGCTAAACCTAATGCGCAAGGACAAGCGACAATAATAACACTGATGCATAGCTTGAGACAGACAAAGAACCAATCTCCATTCCCTTCTCTTGTAATCTCATGTTGGAAAAGTATAGGCATACGATTGACCCCTAGACAACCTACTAAAAGGGACCAAAAGACTAAAGTAAAGATACCAAGACATACAACAAGAGGGACAAAGATACCAGCCACCTTATCTGTAAATCCTTGAATAGGCGCCTTGTTCATTTGTGCATCCTCCACTAATCTAACAATTTGGCTTAGAGCCGTATCAGAACCTACACGTGTCGCACGCATTATGAATGAGCCCAAGCCATTTACAGTTCCACCAATCACGGTATCACCTGGATGTTTATTTACAGGATCCACTTCACCTGTAATCATACTTTCATCTATAGAGGATTCACCTGAAAACACAACACCGTCCGTTGGAATTTTATCACCAGGAATAATTTTCAAGTAATCATTGATTTGGACCAATTCAGAAGGTATCTGCCTTTCAGATGTGATTGCCTGCTTCTCATCTGTGGTGGTAGTATCAGGAAATTGAACAAGGGTTGCAGTAGAAGGAGTTAATGACATTAATTTAGAGAGTGCAGTAGAGGATTGACCCTTTGCCAAATTTTCTAAATAACGGCCAGCAGTAATAAATGAGATGAGCATGGTTGAAGTATCAAAGAAGACAGAGGGATGAGTAGGAGAGGCTATAGAGATAGACCGAATGATGGATAAGACTGAAAAGAAATAAGCTGATAAAGTAGATATAGTAACCAAGACATCCATAGTAGGAGCACGATGTTTTATAGATTGATATGCTGAAATCAAAAAGCGTTTACCTATCCAGAACTGCACAGGAGTTGCGAGTAGCCATTGAATAAAATCAAAGAGAAAGAATCCTGGTATAATATAAGTAGGTGTATTCAATAGAGAACGACCCAATTGAAATTCAGGAAGAATCATGGCGATGACAAATACAGGAAAGGCAAATATGAAACTTTGTAAAAAGGTAGTACGCCATTGCTGGATTTCCCGGACTTTGGATAAACTTTCAAGTTGTATATCACGAGTTTTATCAGATACGAGGGCATTGAAACCCAAAGATTCTATAGCTTCCACGATTTGCCGTGGACCAATTTGAGATGGATGATGAATGATGATACCTGACTCGGTCATAAGCTGAATAGATACAGACTGAACTCCCTCAAGCCTTTTAATTTCACTTTCAATGGTATTTACACAACTAGAACAAGTCATACCATAAATTTGTAATTGAAGTTTTGTATATTTATCTTGTGAAGAAGTAGTATGGTCGATGAAAGAAGCTTCAAAACCCATATCATTTATATGCTTTATAATGTCATCTATATCAATGATAGATGAATTATATGTCACTATTCCTGATTCAGCTAATAATGAGACTTGTACAGTCATAATGCCCTGAATTGTTGATAATCCTCTTTCTATACTATTCACACATGAAGCACAAGTCATTCCACTAATTCTTAACTGTGCAGTCCACATATAGTGTTGTTGGCATTCATCGTCTTCTTCTTCCTCCATATCCACACTTGTATGTAAAATAGATAATGGTGGTGGTGGTGGTGGTAGTGTTAAAGAGGATGAGTTGTCTTCTTCTCCTGAATAAGGAAGCACAACATCAAAACCACAACTCTCGATTGTGTCTTTAATTTCGTTAACAGAAACAAGTGAAGGATGATATAAAACAGTTGCATTTTTATTTTCTAAACTAACGTCGATTGAATTTACACCTTTTAAATCAAGACATGCTTTTGTAATTGAATTAACACAAGAATGACAAGTCATTCCATGAATAGATAAAACTAACTTGGGTACATCAAAGCCACAATCCTTTATTGTTTCTATAATATTTTCCAAGAATGTTGTAGCTGGATTAAAAGTAATATTTGCATTATTATTTTTCAAGTTTACTTGAACAGTATTTACAAAAGGAGTTAAAGCTTTAGTAATAGAATTAACACAAGACATACAAGTCATGCCTTGAATAGGAATAGTGATGACTACTTCATTAGAATTACTCATATCAATTAAAGAAGTAGAAAAAAAAAAAAAAAAAAAAAAAGAGAGAGAGAAGAGATAAGAAATGTAAACAAGCATAAAAATAAAATAAAATAAGCCAATCCAAACACACATTTCTATTTACATCTTATTTGATGAACTGGTTTATTTAATTAACCGAGTTTATTTTATTTATTTATAGTCGTTCTTTATATAACTTTTTATAAATATGTATATGCATATTTTTTTTTCAATAAAAATTAAGCTATTTCATGCTTTGTTATCAGAATATAAAAATAGAACCCGCCTGTAATTGAATACATTTAGAAGTAATGATGATAATAATTATGATAATCAAGCCATCATTTATGAACAATAAGATCTAGAAATTTGAAACACAGATAATAATAATAAAAAAAAAAAAGAGAAAAAAAAAATTTAAAATCAGGCAAAATGATAAATTCTCAATTCTAAAGGTATTTCAAGTAGCAGTAGCAGTAGCAGTAGTAGCAGTAATAGCAGTAGTCTGTTGTGTAACTTTATGTTTATATTATGCAGCTACTGCTTAGAACTCCATTCATTGCATTCTTTTATTTATTCATTAAATAGATCGCCATATTGTATTTTATCTCTCATAAATTAAACTATAAAATCTGATAATAAAACACTCTGTACAAGTTATTCTGTTCTAAAGTCACTCTTATCAATCTTATTATCAACGTAATCATGACTAGCGTACGTCTGGTATCTTATCATTATACAAGTGTTAACCAAACCTCTCACAGTCTTTATATATAATATAAAATGAGTACTTGTCCTAGTGAAAAGGAGCTTTACAGGTTTACTTCTTTCTCTGTTATTTATTTATATTGATTTAATCACATGATGATCAAAAGCAAGTCAATGAAAGTAAATAGTATATAGAGTATGATAGGTGAGCTTTTCAATTGTATATAACATTACGTATTATTACTTGAAGACAATCGATAAACAAACTAGTGTAAAATACTTGTAGGCTTTTACTCTACAAATCTAACACTGATACTACTGTAAGTAAGTCACTTACTTACTTTGATATCAGTCTAGATAGTCATGTCTTTACGGATAATATAAAGCAGTAAATATGTAATAACACAAATAAACTTTTCTTCATATTTATTAATTCATGTGACAACAATAATTGAGTTTATTATCACATATTTATTAAATTTATTTCTAAGGATTAGAATTAAGATCAAAACGGTAATAATAATAATAAAAAAAAAGAAGCAGTTGTGCTTTATTTATGCGATTAAAGGCCATCATATGTAAACTCTGTCTTTTCTTACCTCTCTCTCTCTCTTTCTACTTTTTTTAACCAATCAGAATCAGACTATCTTTTTTTTTTTTTTTGTTATTGAAAAGTAGATACTTAATCTTACGTGGTAATGCTACTTAGAGTCATATTTGTGTAAAATAGAGTGAAATTTAGAGCACTTTTTGTTTCCATCTTTAATAGAAACAAATCTTTTCATACTTGAATAAAGATGCATAATAAATCTCTTTTACATAAGAAGAAGAAACATTTGACAGTTATATAGTATTATTGTATTATAGTGTGTATAAAATGAGCTGCCTAATTTATGATTATGGTGCAGTAATAAATAATAGTTATAATTCACCAGATTATTTCATAGTAAAGATACTTGGTTTATTGTATTTTTTTTTCATTTTTTTATAAAAGAAAAAAAAAAGAATTAAATGGGAGAAGCACCGACATAGTTAGGGTTAGCAATAATCTATAAACATACGCATTAATAACTCTTTTCCTCCCCTTTATATATATATATATATATATATGTATCTGTATTTCTTTTATAAAGAACTTACTTCAACCCAATAACCATCAGGATCAGTAATAAAGGCGATATTCTTCATTTTACCATCAGTCAACTTCTTAACAAAGTTAACACCAAGAGATTCGAAACGCTCACAGGCCTTTTCAATATTATCGACAAGAATGGCTGTATGACCATAACCACGACCAGGATCAGAGTTACCATTAGCATAAGCAAAGTCGGCCTGGTCTTCTGTACCCCAATTGCTATAATACACACGTAAATATACATGTATATTCTGGATAAAAAAAAAATAACTACTTACTGTGTTAATTCAAGAACACCGGGCATACTGAAAGCTAACTTTTTCTTTTCAGCTTCATCTTCAGGAATAGAATCGACATAAGCCAAAAAGTAAAGAGTAAATTTGTTCTCAGGAAAGTCATGCTTAGTAATAAGCCTGAAAATAATTATTATAATAACGTGTCAACAGGATTTAACCAAAAGAAAAAGCCTCTATTTTTTTCTTTTTCTTTTTTAATTCGTTAACTTACTTCATACCGAGAACTTCAGTATAGAATTTGATGGAAGCTTGAGGATCCTTAACACGGATCATAGTGTGGTTAAAAACATACTTGGAAGGATCAGTTGACATTATGTAATATACTTATTATAAAAAGAATGAAAAAGAATTAAAAAAAAAAAAAAATCTTTTTGGTTCAAATTATGAATGCTTTTTAAATTTTAATATCCGCCGCTAGAAATACATGTCAAAAATGATGTACATCATAATGTGACGTTTAAACTGAATAGTAGATTTGGATAAATTATACTAATATATTACAAAGATAATTTACAAAACATGGATTATTTTACATATATTTAAGAAGATTCAAGCGAGTTTTCCAAGTCTTCCAAAAAGGTATGCAAAGCCTATTTACGTTATTAATAAAATCCACCAAGTTTGAATCAATTATAAATTATACTACCTACCTGAATTCGATAACCGTCTTTATATTCTCTTCCTGCTAAATAGACAATTTTATCTGCAAAGGCTAATAAAGATTCACCCATATAAATGAACGTTGTTTGTGGATTTGTCATGATATTTCCAGCTACTTTACTATTTGTACTAGCATTTTTTTTATCGGTTTCAATTATACTAATTGCTCTCACTACTAATTCCACTAAAACTGAAGTAAGATTCTCAACTGCAGCTACAGAACTTGCTAAATGAAGTATATCTTTATGTCTTAATTCTAATTCCTCTAGAATATATAAAGAGGACAATATACGCGTTGCATTATCCATCAGTTGCATAAAACGAATATCCATTCTCTTCGTACTTGAGGACTTTTTTATCATATCTGAATTATCAGTTACATGTTCTAAATTCTCAGAAATCCATTGTTCATAAATCGCCGCTAATACACAACAGTCATAAATAAGTTTATGTGAAGTAAATCCAATAAAACAGGATGCTTCTGCTATAAATTCAAGGCCTGTTAAAATACAAGCCATTAACTATACAAAATATAGGTTTGTACAAATGAATATTTTCTATTTGCATAGACTATATATATTTATATGTATATCCTTACATTCTCACCCATAGGTAAATGAATAAGCTCTTCCATATTATTAGCTAATTCTTGAGCTTTCTTACATTCAGTATCTAATGCATCTAACAAACCCGTGCAAAGATTATGTAGCCATTCCTTTGTTGCAATCAATAATGAGTCATTGACTGGCATCCCCATCGCTTTCCATTCTAACCCATTCTGTATTAACGCATCACCATAAAGTGCTATTTTGTTCTCTAGTAATCCTTGAAGCTTTTTTATGTCTTCCAATAAATCATTTGATTGAGGTATAGTACTATTTACTGAGTAACTCATATCTTCCATTGACTGAACATAAGAAGCAAGCTTATTGATTTTGTTTTCATATAAGGTCCATTCCGGAAAAATTTCCTATAAAAAAAAAAATCAAAGGTTTCCATTTCATTATTATACTTATTACCTATGCCAAAAGGAAATACTTACAATAAATGGTAATGTATGATCTCCACTAAGTTCATTTGCTATTCTTAAAACTTTAGATAAATGGTCACGCAATGATTCAAACTCTTGATCTGGTTTTTGCAGTAATTCCAGCTCTTTTCTAAGCTGTTTTTGTTTATCATTAAACAAATGTTTAAACTCGATTAATGGTATATTATTCTTTTGCGCTTGTAATTCTAACCATTGTTCCAAGGATGATGCTGTGGTTGGATTCAAAGTTCCACTCATAGATATTCGACGTAAAGCTGGCATAGGATTTTCTTCATTTAGAGGTTTATTATAATTAAAAGGATGAGGTGGTGGAGGCGCTGTAGTCATATCAACATCATCAAGTGATACTGATAGACTACGTGCAATATCATTTGCTAAACTGCTTGAAAGTTTCTGTAATTTACGATCTTGGGCAGAATTAGAAAAACTGCGTTTACGTTTCAAGTTGTAATTACTAGGTGATTCAGGTGTTGATAAAGTTTCTGTATGTAACAACATGAATATATATATATATATATATTATAAAGGTGAAATCAGTTTAATTACCTGTACTTTCATTATATTTTGACCATTCACGATTTTCTTCATTAAAATTAATTTTTGTTGTAGGAATAGCACCTTTCAACAAACTATCCTCTAAAAGTGGGGTTTGGGGGGAGGGAAAGAGATAAAATTAGTGACTTAATAACATGACTAAAGATAACACACCTAATAGACCCAATATGACTTTAACACAAGTTGTCCAAGCGTCTTGTTCAGATCTTAAACCATTGAACATTTTTTTTTTTTTTTTTTTTTTTTTGCAGAAAAAAAACGTCATGTTGGTAAATTTCGGTCAGCTCTCGTTCTTGAACTGGCGGAACCTGATTACTAAAAAAAAAAAAAAAAAAAAAAAAAAAAAAAAAAAAAAAAAAAATAAATAAATAAATAAAAATCTCGTGTTTAGGATTATGGAAAATGGAGATGGAAAAAATACCTTTTAAGGAAAAATGAGACTTGTTGTTTTAGCATAATCGTGAAATTATTTTTAAAGAAGTGGATCCTTTTTGTTTTTGTTTGTTTCTCTCTTTTACTTCTTTTTTTTTCTTTTTTTTTAAAAAACAAGGCTTGATTTTTAACTTAATGAATACTACCCTTTACCCGATTTTTGATATATGTCCAATTAAACATTTTTATATGCGACCTTACCAACGCATAAATAATTGTACATGGTATCCAATCGAAATTCACTTAACTGATTCAACAATTCAACCTTATGAAATGAGATATCAGTTTGATGATTTTATTGTATTTTCTCGGTTATTGCATAGCAAGTTTGATATCTCAAAGAGTCTATTACCAAAAATTAAAAAAAGTAATTATGCATTCTCGTTCAGTACATTAAAAAATGGTAGTGGATGTAAAAGTCAGAAATATATTGACAGACAGCTCGAGTTGGAAAATTTTTGTCATCATCTTTTACTATTACCGTCTTACATTACTTGTTCTGAAATCTTTCTCTCATTTTTCTCGATGAAACCAAATGAAGATATACTTCAGCAGCAAGACTCTATATTAGAAACAGCATCATTTAAAGCATTTTCTTTAAAGGATTTTATTTATTCAAAACAGTATTCAGAAGACGAACTTGAAGATATTTTCTTTTCACGATCTTATATAGTCGATCATGATTCTTCAAGTAAAAGTAATCGTAGTAGCGCATCAAGTTCATCGACTACAACTGACAGTGGTGATAGTAGTAGTAGTTGTAGTAATAGAGATAGTTTGTTACTATCGAAGCACTTATCCACATCAACTATAGCATCTTTAACAGAAGAAAATGAAAATATTTCAACCATGAATTTCAAGGTCATTTATGATTCAAATAATATCATCATCATACGCACTTCTCGGTCAATATCTCTTGAACAGTTAAAGTCTCAAATCATTCAAAAGTTTGCTTTACTTCATATTTCTTTATCTGATTCACTTATTTTATGTTCAGTCGATGGCTCACGGTCTTCCTTACTTTCTTCTCATCCTCATGTATTGACGAGTAGCATCATGCACACATTTGACTCTTCTTCAGATTCAGGTATCCTAATCTCGGAAGAGGAGGATTTTACTAAGATAATGCAACAAAAATGGTCATCACTTCCAAAGGTGACACTCAGATGTGTTATCATGTAATCCCTATTATTCCTACTGTTATTATATCTTGTATTTTTACTATAAGTGTCTGTATACATTCCCCCCTCCCCTCCTTATTTTTTCTTTTTTTCTTTCGTTCGTTCTTTCTTTCTTTCGTTCGTTTTTTCTTTCTTTAATTATTATTATTATGTAATATGTCTAATTTCTTATGTAAAAAAAAAAAAGAAAGATTGTACATTTTAAATATATATGTTTATAGATAATATTAAAGCTTTAATTTTATAAAGATAGTATTCAGAGTCTATATATCAATCATCTCTCACACTCGTTTGATCACCTGCTTAATATGAGCAGTCATTATATACGAATCTTCTAAAGGAAAAAAAAAAGATAGCAAAATAAAGTGTATTCAATTATTTATACCCCAATCATACTAGAAAATTTAGTATAATATAAGATTTATACAAAGAACAGGTCAAGGAATTTACATTTATAAAGGGATTTTATTCAATTACATAATCAGGGTCTATTCTCTTTTATTTAACAGAAAAAAAAAATAGTATACTGATAGATAATTTGTCTTTAATAACAGTAAATCTTTATACAAAAAAAAAAATCTCTTATTTTATGATTGTTTCTAATTGTAAGACAATTGTAATATTCTAGAAGTAAACAACGATTGGCCTTTTTTGTACTATCATCGTTATCATGAGGAGAAAATATATTTTTTTTTTTCAAACAATAAAATAATTTTCTATAAATAAGAAGAACAAAACAAAGTTTTAAAAAGTTTCATATCTAATTTTAAATAAAAAAATACTCCACTTTATTACAACATGATACTCCCTTATTTGAAACAATATAGAATTTCAGATAATACTTTATTAATGACAACACATTTACTAAATAGATTTACAAGCACATGTTGTATATATCTTTTTTTTTGTTTTATATACATATATATACATATATAAATATGAAAAAGAAAATAAAATGACCACCAGGCACGTAGTTTATAGATTTAATGAATTTGCCCTCGTCAGTTTAAAAAATAATAATAAAAGTAACTAAACACTCTTTTCGGACAAAAGGCACAAAAAAAAAAGAAAAAAAAAGCAAAAGCAAAGGCAAAAGTAAAAGTAAAAGATGAATGAAATTATAAAAAATAAATAAATAAATAAAGTGTTAGAAAGGGATGAAAGGCTTGAAGAACCGGTCTACCAGGTGTGATCCTGGATTGGAAAGAGCTAGAGGAATGGTGTTGTGAGCTAGACAACCCATATCTCATATAATATGGAACATATTGAGGGACAACGGATAAACTATCAGACAAACGTTATACTACAATTTTTTTTTCTTTCCTTTTTTGAAAGAAAGTGTGTTGGGAAGAAGGAAAGAGAGTCTTCAATTGTTTGTAGCATTTGCAATATGTAGTACATATGGTAGACAATATATATTGAATGAGTTCTACTTTTATAAGTTGATCAGGGTGAAAAAGGATCATACGTAAGGGTAACCAGCCAAGACGCCAACGGAGACATCAACTTCCATCCTATTGTACCATAGACAACCAGAGGATAGGATCAATCTTTAATACATTACGACAGGAAGACAAATACTTGAAATAACGACAAGCAGAACGTCTTTCATTCAGATGGTCCAGAAGATAAGTGGAATAGATATTTTAAAAATAGACGCAAGTCAAGGCTTTCAATAGGAGGGATGCATCGTTTTCAAAGCGGTGTTTTGTAAAGGAAATAGCATTGTGAGCAATTTTCTGATAGTTGAAGATAGAGTATTCAGTTTACTAAGTAGTAGTGCATTATCAAAAAGAGTATGGGATTTAAGAATAAGTTAAGATTGTAGTAGACTAATACATTTCATGTATATGAAGCAGCTTAGTGAGGTACAACATAACCTTTGTGAAGAGATGTGAAATAGCTACTAAATATATGGTGGAGGCAGCTATTTCGACAGTCTGTGATATCTCTATTAGAATAACAGAGAATAAACATATATACATATATACATATATGTATATAATGATGAAAAACTATAAAAGACTAGTAAAATCAACGACAAGGCCGAATAATAGTTCCAATAGTTGATCATTTTATTTGTAATTTTAAACGATGGTTGTATTTATGTTAAAAAATATCTGAGATTAGAGAGGAATTAGAAAAAAGTATTAATAACGACTGAATGATAGTATTTAGTATTGTTAATGAAGTGTACAATGTCCTTAGTAAATTATATAGACTATGAATGAGTATTATAAACAAGTTGAAATTCTTTCTTTTCTATTATTTGTTCAGGTACTTTAAATCTGGCACTAAATAAAGGGTAATTAACTCTAATCATCTTATTTCAATAATTATAAAAATTTATTTAGTGTCAGATCATGACAAACTCTACGTCTAGGAGGTAGTTGTTTCTTATCATTGGGAATTAAAACTACTATAGCCGCCCAGAGTCCATTATATATTTTTATAAAATCCAGCCTTATAAGTACTTCTATATATCCTTTCATCTATTTATTTGCCTTTTTCAAATTAAGAGTCTAGGTACGTTCTTGAATAGATTACTATTTTATTTAGCCTGTATAGTATATGGCTTGGCTTTTAGTACCTTCATTCCTTGAAGAATCTTTACGAAAACAGAACAGTATATCCATATTATTCTTTTTAGTGTCCTCTGTTGTGCTAATGATAAATCGAGATTGATGTCTACTTTCAAATCAAATACCTTATCGAATATTATCACTTGCTTCAATAACATGTTCGTCAGACAGTCTTGGATCAAATGACATATAGCTAATCGTACAAGGATAGCGCAATTTCTGATTCCTGGAGAAGAATGACATTTATGTAATATTTAGGTTAAGAAAGAAATGTAGTAAAAATAAACGAAAGTAAAATACGTGAAATTTGTTAACATACCTTTATTAATATATACATATATAATATTATATCAGTTAAAACTTAATGAGAAAAAAAGAAAATTATCTCTATAAGATGTTTGCTATCTATACTTCTTGCATGATTGTCTTGTTAATGGTTTATTTATCAAAGTTGTATATTATTACTCCCTTGCACTGTATTAGTTCATATAGTCAAGCTATATATTATATATTTTTGGTGGTTAGTCCAATGTATACAATATATATATATATATATATATATATATATATATATATAATAGGTATAATGGATCAATACTTATTTCTATTGTTTATTGCAACTTATCTTGATTTATTATGCACAGTAGTATATTATATAAAGTTTAATTTATGTATATTCATAATTATTTATATTTGATTTAATAGCTGAATTATAGTTATGATTAGCGGTACATTAGCCTCAGTTCTAAAATTATTTATTACTGTATCTGTACTAATACCAGTGTTGTATATGAATATTTAATTTAAACTTTAACTTTTATCTTTATTATCATATTATGTGCTAATACGATAGTTGATTTGAAAATCCTGTTTCATTAGTTTGCCCACCTTTATGATGATCCTTTATGACATTCACCGGGCTTATTAATTGCTACATTTTTACCACAGTTGGTATACAGCTTTTGAAGGAGGGAGAGAGAGGGAGGAGGAGGAGGAGGAGGAGGAGGAAAGAGCAGAATCTTATACAGTGACCTGTCTCTCCACAATTATAACAGGCCTGACTCTTTGTCTTGCAGTTTTCCAAAATCATGACACGATTATTAGAATTAGCCAAGCCATTGTCTAATTTCTCCAACTTGTCCAATAAACTACTCTAAAATAATGATATACACATACATATATATATATAATAGAAAGAGAAACTCATAATCTATTAAAAATTATTTTGTTTGATAATGAAGACAACTCAAACTAGATTTTATGTTGAAGTCTAAAATATCATAAAATTTATCTAAAAGCTTAATACGTTAATATTCATTTAAGAGATATTCCATTTTTTTCTTTTTTTTTTTGCATTTATTAGTACACATTTTTAGATAGTCTAATTTGATTTATAATGAGGGCTTATCTATTAAACTATATACATATATATTCTTCCTTTTTTAGTTGTTGCGTCTAGCTTGTCTAAATGCCGTTGAACGTCTATATAAATTAATCACTTGTAGCTACTTTAAATGTATGTTGTCCCATAAGTTTTGCAACTAATGTTCCTATTGCTTCCTGTTCAATTATCAGTTCAACATTACCCGCTGCAAATGTTTGCCAGTAGATTTGATTCTCAGCATAACGTATTTTTTGTTGCTCCTTTTTTCTTTTACTATTATTATTTGCTTCTTCGTTGTTATTTGTTTTAGTATCAACTGAGTCATTCGGATTTATTGCGACGATGGATGATTCACTACCATTGATTGCGTTAAATTGGGTATGCATTATTTGTGTTATACGTCGTTGCAAAATTTGACGCGCAAGTTCTGCTGAAGGTAGTGAAGCAGGTAAAGGAGATTTTGTTCGTAATGCGCCAGCTAATATGAAAAGATAAAGATGAACCGCGGCCGCCAATTCTTTACGAAGAGGGTTGATAGGGTGTATTAATAATCTACGTACATGAATAGGGATATACGACTGTGTCGTCAAGAGATGTTCAATCCAATAAAGCATATTTTGCTCATGGTGTAAGATTTGTTGATAGACGGCAATAGGGAACTTGCCCTTTGTCAAACGAGGTTCCATACCGGCCAGGACAAGCATTTGACTTGTCAATTGATATTGACCTCTTAGTCGTTTTGTGTTTCTTTGTACGTCTTGAAGGGTACATCGATAGTGATACGAATGTGCATCCTCTTGGCTTACAAGAGATGCTACCTTTGAAAACTGAATACCTGTAGCTATCAAAAGATCTGATAAATTCCTACGCATCATCTTACGTGCCCATACAGGCCATAACAATTGGTCAATGATGAGCACGAGCATGATAGCAAAGATAGCTGTTAGTGTACGTTTCCAAACAGGTTCAAACAGGTCTTCTTGTATCGTATTTATATATCCTGTTGACATGACAACTGCCATCGTCAGTAAAGCAATAAACCCCATACGTGAATATGTATAACGAGCTAACATGATATACCACAATGGGACTTGAAATACAAGTGTTAAAACTGATAAAACATATGGATTCTCGTTCCTGTTTGCTGCTAAAAGACTTATATAGGCTAAGACAGCTCCAATAACAGTTGCAATAGTACGAAGGAAACATAAAAGAACTGTTGATCCAACTGTAAAATTCACAACAATCATGGCTGATAAAAGAGCCCATTGCCCATGATTTTCCTTTTAGTTTTCGTATTTTTTTTTTTTAAAAAAAAAGGAATTAGATAAATGAATGAATATATATATACATAGATAGAAAACTTACGTTATATAGATCATTGACACCTTGAATCGGCAGCCAGGCCATTAGAGCTAAAAGCTCCATAATAATAGCATACTTAAGGGCGTAGCGTGTAGAATCACCTCGCATCCATCCATTAATTGCATATAACCATTTATTCCACCAATGTGTTCCAGGCGCATTGTGTAAGGAAGTTATAATTTTTTCATTTCCTATTACCCAACTATTCTCTCCTGAGGATAATAATATATTCGAATCATGTTGCTTATTGGAATTATTATCACTATTTGGTTTGTTAAAATGTTCATCTTTCACTGTTGGTAATATGCTGTCTATATTCGATGATGATCGTGATGTCACAATTTGATCTTTTTTTAACAGACCTTGCTGATCAAAGAGGATTTGATCATTGATCGTTTGTTGTTGCTTTACACTGTAACTTGCCTTTCCAAGCCATTTCTTGAAAGGTACCTTTGGAAAGAATAGAGTAGGAAAACGCTGATTATATCTACGCTTTTGAATAAGCTTCGTCGCTTCCTTTTCTAGTTCAAAAAGCTTCTCACCAATTTGTGATAATGAAAAAAGAACAGTATAAATAAGATAATGATCTTCAGTCACCTTTGGATTTTGACCCTTTTCATATTCATTTTGTAAGATAATTTTTGCTTCCTGTAGGCTTTGTATGATGCACTCTAATTCTTTATGACGACAGTTGTAAGATTGATCTTTGTGTGTAGTACTTTTGTTTTGAATTGGTTGTTGAATAGCATCCTCTTTCTCCAAGTGACATCTAATAGCTTTTATATAATCTAAACTTGTTTGAAAGAACTTTTTCATTTCAGGTTGAATTGACGATTGAAGATGAGATATTAGTTTGTATTCAACACGTGAAATGGAAGCCTCTCCCTGATTTAATTTGTTTGTAGTATTATCATCCATTGAGAGATATGAAGATCCTTGATCGACTCCACTACCATCCATCTCATTATTATCTTGTCTCATTCTTATTAATCTTTGACAATACTCACTATTTTCATGAGTACGATTGCTGGATACTAATAATGATTGAGAATCTATCCTTTGCTGTGTAATTATTTGACTCTCTCGCTCAAAGGCTAGCATAAGTCCAAAAAAATGACGTGACAAGTCTTCCATTTTATTTGCAATAGGTTTATACCAAGTAGGGCAATAATAAGAAAGAACAATTTCATATTTAGCTTCATTCTTTGCTCGCTTCATTCTTGAGATATCAGCATCTAACTGATTTATATTCTGACGCAATTGTTTAGTGACTGATCTATCTTCAAAGGCATAGCACTCTTCTGAAAATACATGAGTATTCAAGTACTCTAAAACATTTTGTACGGATATAAATGCTTTTCCAAACGAAATTCTACAAAAAAAAAAAAAATAGTTTTGTTTTAATAATGATAAATAGATGTGTGTGTATATTCTCTTGTTTTCTCTCTCCCTTCCCCATACTCTGAAGCTTTTGCAGCAGTTTCCGGCCATAAAGTTAAATTGATCAATAACGCAATTCCACCCCCTATTAATGTTGGATAAAATATACCAACAATAGACATGATACTAAATTCTGTTTTATAAATTCCTTTTGTTAAGCTAAAGAACGGGACCACTGAGCCTATTAAAGTTGCAATAGCTAGACGAGGATACTTCATTCGCAAATAACCAATAGCAAATAAACAAATAAAGAAAGCAATAGAAGCTATTACACCAGCACCATTACTATAAAGTGATGATGAAGAAGGGACTTCAGCCAAACGCTTGTTATAAATTGTACAAAGATAACTAATAATAGAGCACCAAATACATACAGGTATAATGATGATAATGTCCAAGAGCATCTCTGCAATTTGATTGCCAGCAGTGCCACTTGCGTTAAAAAATAAAGTACCTAAAGGTATTAAAAATGGAACAATTCCCTTGCTATTATAAACTTGAGGTATTAAAGCGATAATCGTCCCTATTTCATAAGCAATAGTACATTTAATCACTTTTTTCCATACTTCCTTATTTGACATAAATTGTTTAAAATATCCTTTAAACAATTCTTTATTGATAAGCATTGAATGAATAACTGAAAAAATAAATAAATAATAATAAAAAAAAAAAGAAATTTTAACTACCAAAAGTTTATAGATCATATTTATTAATACAGAAGTAGCAATATAACCAAGAAAAAAAAAAGGGGGCGCAATAATTGTAGAAAGAATTATTATCCAATTGATTTTACAGTCAAAGAAAATAGATTGGGCCAATAATTTTTTTTTTCGGTCATTTCAAAATTGAAATGGGGCTCCCACTTCGAAAATGGGGCACCGATGTAAAAGTGGGACACTTATATGGAAATGGGAAACCTGAAAAGATAGCCTCCTGTAGTTTCTGCTATTCTAATAAAAACTTTTCTTGAAGCATCTATTACTATTTCTTTATTATACTTCTTTGAATTTTTTACTATTATGGATAACGAAACTAATTTTGATGGACAGACAGTACCATTGATGATTCAATCCTATATGGATTGGGAAAAGCCTACAGAAGCGAATGCTGAGGACAAGTTGACCAAGAAAAGAAAAAGGCCCACTCTAAAGAATCCCCTTTCGCTTTCTACAAGATAAAGAGGATCTTACATTACGAAAAAACGAGCCAAAGGTCGTAAAGTTGATCAACTTGATGCAAGAATTCGAAGGTATGTCGATTTGTGAGGCAGCCTGTAGAGTAGTACTTCCAAAATCAACAGCTACACGCAAGACCAAGCAATGGAACGAGATAACAAACAATCTAGATGAGACGGGAATTTCCTGATACTATCGTTGCTGAAGAACATAAAGGGTCGAAGAACGATACTTACAGATGAGCATACTGTCTTTATCTTCCGGCTGTTAGCTGACAAGCCAACAATGACAGTTGAAGATGTTACAGAGCAACTTTCTGAGGCATTTAAAAACATCAGAATTACTCCCAGTTTAGTCTCAAGTCATATGGGGAAGAAATGTCATCTTACTTATAAGCGTATTGTTTCTCGATACTTCAAGCCTATTACCATCATTTTCTTGTTCCATGATATTTATGTTTTGATCAACATTGTCTTGAATAACCTCACCAAAAGCTATCTGATTTTTGGGTATCACTTCCATGATCAAGTTATGGACAAAAGAAGAGCAGGCTGTACGTGATTGTACAACAGTTGCCGTTCTAGCTTTCTCTTGCCAAAAACCGACAAAGTCGACAGTGGCCGTCCATCTGTCCAAATCATTAAGTAAATTATTCTTGACAACGTCATCTTTGATCCATTTGTTCACTATTTTCATAAATTATTTGCACAATCTCAGAAAAAAAATTACACAGTTTTATTTTTTTTTTCGCAAAGTTTACAGAAACAAATTTCGCACTTTGATTTTGAATAACGACAAAATCCTTGTAAGTCACTTATTAAAGCATTTTGACATGCTTCAGTAATTCTCATATTGAGTGTTTTGGCCTCTAAAAGCTTTTCTCGCTTCAATTTGCTCTTAACAGCAGACCAAAATTGCTCAATTGGGTTAAGTTCAGGGGAATATGGTAGGAGATAAACACAACCGTACCCACGGCTTTCGATAAACTTTCTAATGTTATCTGAGGTATGGATAGATGCATTGTCCATAATAATATAATGCCCTTTGAATTCCTCATGGCGATCCATCACATCTAGAGTACTTGCAATAAAATTGAAATAGTGTCCAGTAGTTTTTTGCATCTTAGTTCTGCTTGCCATCTTTTTTTTTTTTTTTTTTTTTTTTTTTTTTTTTTTTTTTGAAGCTGCAGAATACAGCACTCTTATCTTAACATTGACAACGTCATGCAGGGATATGGCACCTAAAATTGTCATAGTTTTGGCTCTTGTCAGAGGTTGGACAACCTCGGCTCGAGTACCTTTCTTGAACCAAGCCATTGTTCTTTTCAAAGTGATATGGAATGCAGACTCATCGATAAAAACACAATTACTATTGTAATCCATGTCTGTTCTACCCCATCTAGTTACCCAATCGAATCTGTTTTCGATGCTTACATGCGAGTGCCTTTCTTTCGAATGAAAGTGCGCTTTCTTAAAAGATAAGGCAGATTTTTCCGTCATAAATTTGTAGACAGTTGTTTTTGTTACTTTCAAGTCAGGAAAATGGTTGGTAAGATTTTCCATCGCCTGATCTAAAGTTGCAGAAGGATGACTGATGAATTTTTCTTCGAGATAATTTTGGTGTTCTTCATTCAATAAAGCTGGCCTACCAGCTTTTGTTTTAGGTTCTTTTGGTTCCACTTCATCCAATGGTTCCGCATTTCTAGAAATCTCTTTTTGGTCTTTTTTGAACCAGTCATAAGCAGTTCGACGGGCAACACCGAGCTGTTTTCCTGCTTTTCCTGCCGTAAGGCCTTCTTGATAGACCAAATAAAAAAAATGACATTTAACATCGTCCCCATGTTTTTTGTAGTAAGTGGCTGGTCCAGCTGGTACTGAAGTAATTGTTTTGAATGCTTTAGGGGTTATCTTAGGCTTCTCAGGCGGCTTGAAATCCATGTAATTATCAAAGTCGACAGTGTCGGCGAGAGGATAACCGTCATCATCTACTTCCATTTCAACTGGTTCATTGCCGTGCTCATCCACAGCATTGCAATTCCCATCTTCTTGATAAAATCGAAAGTCCATCGTGCTTTGTTGATTTTGCGAATCTGTTCGAAAAAATAAAAAAAGAAATTGTCTATGAAAATAGTGTATGTAGTAGTGAACAAATGCCTTTGACCGAACCCGACCCTTTGTCCTTCCTCTTGAATAAGCTGCCAAATAAACAAAAGCGCAGGCCGCCAATCTCATCAGCTCTCAACTCATCTATCTTTTCCGCCTGGGCGATTCGTTGGCCTGCTATGTACCTTCTACTTTTTGAACTTGACTATCTCCACCATGGTAAACTTCCTCCAGAAACTGCCCCCCCCCCTTGGTACAAAACTTGTAAACTGGTTACATTACTCTGACTCTAGTATTTGTTGATATATCTTGCTTTTCCTCTTCCCTTCTCTTTCTTTTTACCTTTTTGCCTATCAAAAGGTTTTTTAGTACACTTTTATCCTTTCTCGAACTGACCCAGGCAATCCAATATGCCAGTATTATGTGCTTACACGGGTTTTTTAAATTTTTGTTATAAAAAAATCTTAATTATAAATAAAATAATATGAAGTAGTGAAATCTATGAGTGTTGATTTTGATTTGTTGAGCTGTGTTAAAAAAAAAAAAAATGTTAACAGAGGTTGTTGCCCTTTATTTTATTTATTTATTTTAGTTTTATTATGCAATCCTCGTCTTTAAAAAAAGCAATCTGGTTTACTGGCTCTATAGAAGAGGCAGTGAAAGCAGTTACCGAAAATAACTTAATACTTTTAGTATATATCTTTGGTAAAATAAAATAAACTGACATGTTCGTATGCAACGTTTATTCAATCATTGACTTTAGATGAGTCAGAAAAAAGTAAAAAATTTAATATTGTATTTGAAGATGGAAATGTAATAAAAAATCAAGAAATGTATAAATATATTTATATGTTTATTATTATACCTTACCTTCCTTTTCTTTTTTCATTTATTTATGTATTATAGCTTGTGTCGGCTATAGAATCGAAAGCCATTGCGTTAAAATTACAAAAAGATTCACATGAAGCAAACTTATTCGGTCAATTATGTAAAATAATTTCGATGAACATAATTCAAATTTTTATATACCAACCTCTTTTATTGTCATAGATCCAATTAATCATGTACCTTTAGTCTATTTTATTTTGTAAGTTACAATTTTGAGAGGAATAAGTGAATTATTGATAATGAACAAATACACTTTTGTATTCAATTTCACATATAGACAAGGTACAATTAAAGACTTTGGTATTGAAGGTTTATCCAGTCAAGATATAATATCAAAAATAAATAACCTTTCTCCTCCCACTACTACAAAAGAGTAAAGAATATGATATATTATATTTAGTAAATATTTTCTTGTATACTAAATTAAACGGTTTTACAGCATAAAGGAAAAGCTAAAAGAGATAAAAGAAAAGCATATTGAAAAGGAAGAAAAAGTAATTATTAGTTCTATATATTCCCCCTTTTTTTTTCTTTTATTCATTCATTTTCGTATTATTTAGCAATTAAAAGAAAGAGAAATGAAGAGACGAGAAGAAGGAAAAATAGCTCAGGAAACTCTTCAGGACTTGAAAGAAAAGCAAGAGAAAACATATTTCGAGAAACTAAAAAAAGAACGAAAAGCAGAAGAAGAATACAAAAAGAAGATAAAAGAACAGATTGCAAAGGACAGAGCAGATCAAATTGCTGCTAGAAAAGCAGAAAAACAGCGTATTTCAATCGAAAAAGAGAAGAATATGAATCATAACACTTCTTCAGAGTAAAAAAAAAAAAAAAGAAATATGAATATAGAAACAAAAAAAAAGATATAGTATTCTAATGATCTATCATAGTTATTACAGCCATTGTAATTTAAATATTAAGCAGCTGAATGGTTCAAACTTAAGACATTCATTTTCACGTAAAGAAAACAAAAATGATATACAAGTTTCACTTTTTGATACTCACTGTTTTATAATAGCTTCTAATCGTCTTTCTGAAGTAATTGAATGGATTGATATTGCAAGTATTTATAATAATCATGATAAAGTGAAACAAAATATGTAACTTCTACTTTTATATGTGTATAGAATAGAACAGACAGTGATGTACCATATAGATTATTTGCTCAATTTCCAAATCGTAATTTTGACATTGGTGAAGAACAAAGGACATTATTAGAACTAAAATTGTGTCCTAGTGCTACTTTAATTATGAAACCTATGAGAAATGTTTCAACTGCTTATAATAGAGAAAGAGGAAGCTGGATAGACTATCTGTATTCTGCAGGAAATACAATCTATAATTCTGTATCATCCATTACTTCTTATCTGGCTACCCCTACGACTACGACTACGACTACTACTACTGCAACAGTACCTGAATCAGGCCAAAGATCAAACGGTGAATCATCTAATCCTAGTCAACAAAGCATAACCACCAATACATTAACTAACAAAAAAAATGACGATGATATCAATCAAAGACGTCACATCTATAACGGTAATTCAGTTAATCAGGAATAACGCTTATTATGAAGCAGCCTTCTTCCTGTATTAATAAATCATCTGTTAGTGAGAAACTAACAGAGTTACAGTATTCCATAAATAAGACATCCAACTAATTTGTTAAAGTATTTGTATTTATGTTTAATTGATCTGTCAGCTGCTAAAAGAAAAAAAAAAAAGACTTCTTTGATTAAATTAAAAATCCTTTATTATCGATATTGTTTCTATTCAATATGTTACAGAGTATATACATGTACATATACATGTACAAATATATACATGTATACATAATAATGATATTTTATTATAAGTCGTTCACTGTAGAATAATAAAAATAACAAGTCAAATAAATTACTTCTTCTTTACAAATAAATAAATTCACATTTATGTATTATTTTTTTGAATGATCATCATGAATTGTCTACTTTTTACGACAAACTAGAGTAACAATGCATGTGATATCATCCACTTTTCCTCCTCGATAATTACTTCCATGCGCTTGAGCAGCTTTTGCCCACGGACTGAGTCGTTTTGGATTTAAACTTAATCGACGTGCTCTATCAGTCAATGTTTTAGCTAATCCTCTTATTGTAGCAGTAATTAATTCATGATCATTGGAATTATTTAAAATGATATTTTTCATATTTTCATTAATGATTTCTAAAGTTTCTTCAGGATACATATTATCAAAATATCCATCTGTAGCTAATAAAATTAAGTCTCCATCTTTTAAAAAGAAACTTTTTGTATCAGCATCTTTTGGTAAATCAGTGACTAATTCATCACGATTTGGGTAACTATCGGGTACAACGGTCAGCTGGTATCTATAATAATAAAGGTTTCAATAAAACATACTACTATTCCAAAAAAAAAAAACAAAACTAAACAAAAGAATGGCTTTACGGGCAATTGAAATAATGTTGTTGACTTGGACTTTCATAAACAATTTGCTTGTCTCTAACAAGTAGAAAAGCAGAATCACCCAAGTTACAAGTGGTCATTTCTCCCGTTATTTTTGATAAATTTAATATACAAGCAGTACTACTTCCTGCTGCTACTTTACCACTTTTTCGTAATTCATAAAAGGCGGTATCTAAGATTTGTTGAGCGGGGATAGATTTTTCATTTTTAGCAATCATCGCAGCATTATTCATCAAAGTCCATGAAAATAGAGCAGGATCAACGCCAACTAAGCTCCATCCTCCTACTCCATCAGCAACACCAATCGCTAGTCCTTCAGGTGTATTCGTCTGAAAGAATGCATCCTCCCCCGCGTCCACTTTACCGGCTTTGAAATTTTCTTTCCAGTAAGGAACTCTTTTGGAAGAAGACGATGTTGTTTTATTGTTTTGTCTACTTTTTGGATGCCAAGCAGCATACGCAATAAATTGAAATTTTTCTGAAGCTGTATTTGTGCCTGGTTTTTTTGTATTATTTTCATTTTCATCTTCTATAATGGATACGGGTGCTATTTGAATATGTGGACTAGAACTGGTTGAACTGAAATTACGTATTAAATTACTGTTATTAGCATCACTCAAATATAATATTTGCTGCTGAATATATGACGGTAAGTTATAAACTAATGCTGGTCTTGTATAATTTGAACTTGTCCATAAAGTCCTTGAAGACCTTAGCATTAATGAAGCTATTGCAATTCTTTGTATATAAGGCCTCATTTAATATTATATTGTATGTAATGTAAGGGAGAAACAATAATAATAAAAACAAATAAAAAAAAAAAAAAAAAGTTGTCTATTATGTCACCCAGAAAAATAAGCGGAGTATAAATTGAATAACCATTGAAAAAAGTCCTCGATTTTATAGGAACTAGTCGATTATTATTTTTATTTTATTTTTTTCAACAGTTTTTATATGTTTAAAGGTATGCTGGAACTCGTCTAAAGCTAACTTTTTTTTTATCTGAATTTCCTTTTTTATTTCATCCGAAAAAGGTAAGCAAATTATCTGGAAAGTAATTTTAATTCATCTAAAAATAAACTAACGTCGTCTGGATTCAAAGTGTAAAAATTGTAAATTGGTTTAGACATTTATTAGCAGTCAAATTTAGTACTCTGTGAATGACAAGAAAAGAATGTACACACAAAAAAAATACCTGGGAGTACGAAGTATTTCTATTGTTGCATAGGTAGGGAAGGGTAATAATAGAAGAGTATAGTACCTAACCAAAAGAGAATAGTAATAAAGTATTTGATGGGTTGTTAATAATGTAAATTTATTTCATTATTATTATATGTACTTAAAATAAGCTCTTCAGTTTATAGAGAGCTTATTATTATTATTAACTATCATAGTCCTAGTAGTATTTAATGACATGAAAATGCTATTTGTGACCTGCAGTCATTTATAGAATATGCCAACTGCTTTAATTATCTTTATTTTTCCCAGGCATGTTTTAGAAGCATACTTATAATATATTCAATTTACAACAATTAGGCACATAGGAGAAATGCATCTTATCTCATCCTCTACTCTACTAAAGATATATCAATAGGTTAAGTTTTATGAAAAGCTGGCTTTATATCCTTATAGAAATAGCCTATATAGCGATATCATCTTAAAGAATGAACTTAATATCCAAATTCACATATAGAGAAACAAAATAAAATACTACATGATTCGTTGAAGAAGTGATATATGTAACACAGTAGCATCTTACAAACCTCTTTCTTTCGATTTGTAACATTTAATAAATAAATATGTATAAAAGCCCTTTAAAAACTATAAGAAAAATAGGAATATACAAGTTCTAAGAAGAATAAAGATCAAAAAGGACTTGTATGCTTACACAAAGGAAACAAAAAAAAGATAGGAAAAGAGTACAATTTACAGGAACATATGTGCCTTCCGACTTTTGTTATACATTGCACAAACGCGCGTGTATGTAAATAGTTAACATTGTATTATTTTGTCAGAAATTATAGTAGCTTGCGTTACATAATGTGGCAGCGTCTGTAATTCATGGATGAACTTATATTTATCATCATTATCAAGCTCTTATAATTGCATATTAGCACATGTATGATATTAATAATTTTTCATGCTCTATTATATAATAATATCCATTATTTCACATAGGACAAAACATAGGAATAACATTTTGCTTGCAATTATCTTTTCTTTTTTTTAAAAAAAAATAATTATAACATTGACATATTCTATTCAATATAAATAGATATTTTATAAATTCCATTGACACGTTATATACTGTTTAGTATTTCGAAATATGTAACTTAATCGGCTTATTATTTACACTTTAAGATTTACACCATGAATCTTTGAAACTTGATATTAGTACCCTTTATTTGATATCTACTTGTGCATGCTGAAGAAAATTATAGGAAAAAAAAAAAAGTAAAAAGTAAAAATAAGAATAAAAATGAAATAAGACATGTCTATTTGTATTTTGAGTTTTTATACTGTCGGAATGAATACCATCCTTAAAAAATTATGGGGTACGAAACTCAATAATGCCTTATTTTCACAATAGATAAAGGCACTAGACGTATTTTGTCTGACAGAAAATATCAATGGATATTAAAAATTTCTATATTTTACATATAATCGATTCTTGTATATAATAATTTTTTTTTGAAAACACACACACATATTTATATATATTTCTTTTCCTCTCTTTCTTTCTCTCATTTTTTCTCCTCTCTCTTTCTACTATTCTATTTTCCTTTCATTTCTATACTTGATAAAAGAAAAAATATAAAGAAAGAGAAGTCAAGAAAAGACTAAAGTCTTTTTATTTTATTTTATTTTATTTTACTTCATCCTATTTCATTACATAATTGTATCATGGAAACCCCTAAACTTAAACATGTAAAGAATACATTTACTCCTTTTAATCGGTTACATTCATTAAATCAACAGAACATGTTTATAAATGAGCCAAGTGACCCAAGGATAAGAGAAGAGCATCATGAAATGAAATGGCAATATAGTGGGAATAGAGATGATTTTTATAGTATTTCTTCAGATCCTATACGTCAACGAGAATATTCTGCAGAAGAAAAGGCGCTGGTTCGTAAAATTGATTTAATGGTTTTACCAATCATTTGTACCCTGGATTTTTTACAAGTAAAGTGCAACATACGAATTTGTATACTTTTTTTTTTTTGACTAGACATTTCTGTTAACAGTTTCTAGATAAATCAACCATAAATTACGCTGCTTTAATGACATTTAAAACTGATCTTCATTTAGAAGGCAATCAATTTAGTTTACTGGGGTCTATATTTTACTTAGGCTATCTCGTATTTCAGGTAAATACATATATATATATATATACATATATTCATATAATATTAAAAAGAACAAAGCGTAACCTGATTAAATATAATTTAGTTACCAAACAACTTTTTACTGCAACGAATACCCGTCGGCAAATATATCGGTGTAATTGTTTGCTTATGGGGTACTGTATTACTTTGCACTGCATTCGGTACGAACTTTTCCCAAATAGCTGCCTTACGTTTCTTACTTGGATTTTTTGAAGCCGGGATTTATCCTTCCTTAACTCTTTTGGTCAGTACGTTTTATCGAAGATCTGAGCAGGTAGCTCGGCTTGGTGCTTTCTGGATATTCAATGGATTTGCTTTATTTGCTGGTGGCCTAATTGCTTATGGCATTGGCCATATGAAAAATATTGGGGGATTAAAAGAATGGCAATGGTATAACAACGCATCATGAATCGCTGCATTCTTTACTGATATTATAAATAATAAGAGGAATAACGACTTTTTTTTTTTTTTTTACACTTATTATAGGATTATGATTATTTTGGGTGGCACAACTATTTTGATTGGTGTCATATCTTTTTTCTTTTTGATTGATTCACCTAAAGCACGAGCGCTCAAATTAAATGCCGAACAAGAAATTTTGATTGAAGAGAGGACAAGAGATAACGCTACAGTTCGTACAACAGAAATTAAAAAAGAGCAAATTTGGGAAGCAGTTAAAGAAATACGTTTTTGGTGTTTTGGATTAGCTTGTTTATTAATAAATCTTCAAAATGGTGCTATGACCATCTATAATGGACAAATTACAGCTAGCTTTGGATTTGATGTAAAAAAAAAGAAAAAAAAGCATGTATATGAATATTAATTCCTTTTTATATATATATGTATGTATTATAGCAATTACAATCAATGTTACTCAGTGCAGGAGCAGGCGGCTCTACAATTTTATTTATCGCTCTAGGTGTATTTTTCGTACAAAAGACGAACCAG